GGGGGGGGGGGGGGGGACATGAAGTTCATGTTCAGGGGGTGGCCATCGGGCCTGAACTCAAACTTTTTTGTGAGCTGCCCTGCAATGACATCAACCCCTTTGCCTGCATCTCACAGTCATTCAGAGACAACAACAATGATGACAACAACAGTCCCAAAGATGGCGCACCTCAAGACAATGACACAAACATGGACAACAAGTCTGATCTGTTTGACAGCAATAGTAGGGAGTTCAACAACGATACTTGGATGGGGCCTGACAACATGATATCTCGGATCCTCCACCCCGGTGACGTTGTTGGTGATTCAGCATTGAATTGGTGTCACAGACTCCCTTGGCGTTGGCATTGAAATTGGCTGGCTTCACTTATTTGATGCTAGTGCTGAGGACTTGGCCTTGGGCAAGTGACGTTGTGTTTCTAGCAAGGGTTTCTAGGTGATTAAAACACTTCATAGCACATATCTCATTGTTTCTACATAATATACAGGATTTTTTGTAGTTCTACCAGATGTCTACCCTACTATGTTCAAGGCACTTCAAGAGGGACTCAGCCTTAGAGGGGTGGACTGTCCACCCCCCGGAGGTTCAATTCAGAGGGGGGGTGGACAGGTGGACTGAACTTAAGGTCGAAATGGTACAGTATATGGTTGGAGCCTTAGCACTGCAAACACTCTTGGGAGGCTATCTCAGAAAGGCAACATATGTCATTGCCACCGCTCCAAATGTAAACAACAATTCTAGCCCCACTGTAGTGGAAACTGGCCTATCAATATGAAACTCGCTGTAAGACAGCCCCATTATAAACACCTTGCAGCTTTTTTTGACAAATCCTCTGGGGTGGACTCAGACATTGCAATTGCATTTCATCCATAACTACATAAAACACTCTGTGATGCACTTCAAGGCCATCAGGAACATTGTGAGTAGCTGGTTTGGGCTTGTACAGGCTTGTACAAGGCTGTCGGAGCTGGTACCAGAGCAAAGTTCACAAGTCAATCAGAAGAACCAGGAATTTCACAAGTTTGCACACCCTGTTTGTTGCTACCAAATATGTTCATTGCTTACTGACTAAATAAATGGGGCGCACAGCCAACAAATATGTGGAGCGGGTGAGAGAAAGGAAAACAAAGGGAAAGCTGCAGACTTAAATCAAAAGAAAAATCTGCTGGGATTTGAATGCATGACCACTGAAACACCATACTAAGTATGCCATTGCGATTATAATCTTAACTGTTGCGCCATGACGCCATTAGAATAGCAGGTAACTTTAGTCAATATACCCCACATTCGAGGGACTTAGTGAACATTTTATCAGTCAGGCTATGGACACTTTTTGTCCTCAGCCAGGGGATTCTGATGCTACAAGCTGAATATCATGCCTACTTCTGTTTCATGATTCAATTGTTTGAATACAGTACTTACTATCATACATCAACTACTGTATCAAGGGCATACTGGTGTCGAGGGTTTGAAGGAAATTTTCACCAAGTCCCTCAGATGTGGGCTATATTGACTAAGGCTACCTGCTATTCTAACGGCATCGTGGCACAACGGTTAAGATTATAATTGCAATGACATGCTTAGTATGGTGTTTTGGCGGTCGTGCATTCAAATCCCAGCAGATTTTTCTTTTGATTTAAGTCCACAGCTTCCCTTTGTTTTCCTTTCTCACACCCGCTCCACATATTTGTCGGCAATGCCCATATATTTCATAAAATATCCTAAATAGGCAAAATACAACCTTGCCTCGCCTTGTGGTCTTGGCTGACCAGGCACAAGGCCTGGAAAGTCTCAAAAGTCCGACCAGAAGGTCACGATCTTCCTGATGGCCTCAAGTCAATCATCAAATCCTATAGCTACATGATAAACTGCACACATCAGATGCTTGTCGGCCAAATATAAGCCAAAACTCACATTACTGGCTGTTGATTCTGAGATGTCTGAAACTCCACCCAGGTTTGCAGCCTCGGGACTACTGATGAGACTCATGCCTCTGCCTGATTTCTTCACTTCTGCCCAAAATGCTGGGTTACCTGGCGGAGAAAGACAGGATTCTTTCAAATCTCGCAAGAATCTAAGCCAAGCACATGAGTCAGCTGCACTTGAAGAGAGCAGTCAGCTAAGGGTACGAACTTGTTCCAGGCATCAATTTCGTCTTCCTGTAACCAAAGGGCGACTGAGTCATTACCCAGCTTGCTTCAATGCGCGAGGGAAAGCTCACCTTGAGACAAGTTTCCCGTAACGCGGTTAAACAACTGATCAACTCTTTATGCCTGCGACTCGCAAAGGGCCGCAAAACAATCTCTTTGATAACGTACGCCATGTCTTCGACAGCTTTCGTGACGAGATCACCCTGGGCAATGTTCTTCTTAAAGTCTTGCAGCGGATATGTCGTGCCTATAATCCGTCCTCGCTCGCGCCCTGGGTCTACATCCGTGGATGCAAGTCGCGCAGGCGTCGGTGGTGGGTTTGCCTTTGCACCAGACTTGGGTTGGTCAAGCAATAGTTCTTCGTCCTCGCTCTCCGTCTCAGAACCTGCGTCTGCATCCTCTGAAACCTGGTTTGTGTATGGCTCTTGTGAGGTAGTTTGAGATTCGGAGGCGGATGGCTTCGGTCCCTTGAGATCAAGTAGCAGCATTTCCTCATCGTCGTCTCTGGCGCGCACATGGCCGTCTTTTCGGGCACGCTTGGCAGCTCTTTTGGGGACTGTGCCAACCCGTAAGTAACCTCGCTGAACGTTAGGCAACGAAGGAAACGGCACGTACTTTCCTTGACCTTGAACACGGTCTGACACTCCTCGACAGCCTCACGAGCGCGCTTGACTGCACGCTTTGGTGGATCAAAGTACATGACGAGCTCCGGATGGGGCGGCGCCAGTGGATTCGAGACGACATCGTTCACGATTGCACTATGATATAGTGCTTGTTTGGTTCGGTGTATAGCTGGATTGTACGAGAGACGGGTGTCGAACCAGGGTTGACGATGTCTGACAACCGGGTTCAGCCAGCCAGACAAAAATGCATCGACTGGAAAGACATACCCGTCCTCGTCTTTTTCACCAGCATCCATGAGATCCATCGCGTCAACAAAATTCTCCATTGCCGACATTTGCTCCGAGGTTGGAAGGTAAGGATGAGTCGTGATCGGGTCGCCTTTCTTTGACACCAAGTGTTCAAGGGGTGCAAACGTATATTTGCGTACATCATCTGCAAACGGCATCTATAGCTCAACAGTTAGCGGGGGGACAGTAGAGACGAAGGGGACGCACCTGGACCCAGAGCAGACAGTCTACTTTATCGAATTGGCTGGGGCATAATACGCCCATCTTCGGATCGGCCCCGTCCCTCATAACCCAGCGAGCGATTGCTAACACGTCTTTATCCGCCATCGCTTGCACCACCGAAGAGAGTGTGACTTGTTGCAATGCAGAAGACGGGTCTGCCCACACGTACTGAACCTCACCCATAGAAAAGTCGCGGCGAAACTAGAGGGTTATTTAATATCGTGGATGACGGAAGAAAAGACACAACATACGTTTTGTCGATGAAAGAACCCGCATATATCGATTCCCTTCTTCGTCGGGAGCTTGGGGAACTGTCCGTCAGGACAAGGCGCATAAGTAGCCCCATACTTGAAGCCGCGGATAAGCTGCTCCTTTTCGACCTTCTCTGGTGCATTCTTCTTCTTTACGTCCTCGCCTTCTTCGTTGTCTTCATCGTCCGTGTCGTCTTTGCTCTCGCTGTGGTCAACGTAGTACTCGGTTCGCATCCTTAGCTGGCTGAAGACGGTCTTCTTATCTTCGTCCACTTGACCGTCCACGTCTTGCGTCTCGTCCTCTGCGTCTTGCTTTACTGCCTGGCGTCTGGCGAATTTCTTCCAGCTCTTGGGGCGCTCGAGCATGGTACATTTGCTCGTCTTGACCAACACCTCCATCGCTTCGTCAGGTCGCACATCCACGTCACCAAGCCGGAGCATAGTGCCCATGAGAGTAGACTTGGTATCTTTTGGTTCTGGACGGTACCTCTCTTGCAGGGCTTTCTCGAATGTACCAACTTCGCCATTGCTCAACGACGAAGTGAACTTGGCATAAAATGCCTCGTTCTCGAACTATCAAGATCAAGGATGCGAGATTAATAAAATTACACTGTAAATGACTACAGACTTACCTTTATGTTTTTTTTGCCTTCTTCTTGATAACCGATTTCCTCGTCGTCGAAGTCAATGCCCCTGTTGAGTCGGTTATGTTAGCAATGTATCCAATTTAAAACATGGAAGCTGACATACACGACATCGAGAGAGATGTGCAAGGCGTTCATCTTGTGGACGGTAGCTTCCCAATCCTCAATCTCCATTGGGTTTTTGCCGTCTGTGAGAAGGACGATTTTGCGCGTCCAAGTACGTTTCTTCTCGAGATATTGATCCTGAGTCTCGATGGCAACTATCAAAGCGTCAATAGCTGGAGTATACGTTCTGTTATCAGTAAAATCACCGTTCATGATGCGACTAAAGGACGTACGGTCCCCAGAAGTTTCAGAAGGTTTCAAGGTGTCGAGCTTGGCCAAGGTGGTTGCATTAGGCTGACCAATGGGAATGAACTCGGTGACATGGTCATATCCACCATTCTTTTCGTTGACAACATTGTGTGTGTCTACATACTAATAAGTACAAGTGGCTTCAGTAATTGCACGGCTGGAGGCTTACCATCGGAGCCAAAGATGATGACCCCGCATTGTTCGGTTTTTCGTCCGTGGAATATCTACTAATAATCAGGTAAAGTTTCTAGGGGTGATATATAGAGATTTACCATATCTTGTATCCTCAGTTTGACGTACTGAAGTGAATACTCGAGACTGGAGACTTCCCGGGTGCGCTCTTCGCCGGTTGGACCAGGAGGAAGGTCGACGATGCGAGTTTCCACCATTGAAGGGGAGATGTCGACGAGGAACATCGTCACCGTATACTAGCCCGTCGTCAGCATGGTTGAGTGAGCACGTTGTTGGTGTACGTACGCCTGCGCGGTCTGCAACCATGGTGTTGGCGGGAAGTGAAGTCAGTCTGAGAGGAGTTCAGTCACGTCGGACGCGTTTCGACTAATTGGGTGCACGTGATGGGCGTGATGTTTATGTTCTCACGCCACGGGTGCTGTGAGTGTGACTGGAGTGTGACTTGAGGTGAGAGGCGAGAGCATTGCCACGGGTTTTGTTTCGCGGAGGACGCGACTGATATTTCGGCCCAATTGACGCAGCGGACAGTCGGGAGCATGGCCGGCTCATTCCAGCCCCAGAACATCTCCCTCCAGGACCCCCAGCAGTATCCCCAGTTCGCCCACGTCCCTCAGACCGTCAAGAATCTTCCCCCAAAGGAGAGGCTCCAGCTTGCTATCAATGTGAGCCTCGCCTGCCTCTGTCCTCGCCCGCATACACTCACCCCCAATAGCGCATAACAGAACTCAAACGGCAGGGCTTCACGCCGGAGACCAACCCTGAGATTATCACTTTGCAAAAGTTCATAAACACCGCACTCAGTAAGTCGCCACCTCTGGTCCTTTTCCCTCTCTTATCCGCGCTCCGTTAGGCAAGGGCAATTTCGACCCCACCCAGCTTCATGCCATCGACGGTCAGCAAGCTATCAATGGCCACGCTCAGCCTCTACAGAACGGCGTCCCTCTCAATGGCCAGTCCATCACATCTGGCCCCGTTCCCTCCCAGCCCGTACCCCCGCCATCTTCCACTCCCGTCTCCTTCACACATGACCAAATCAACGCCCTTCGCGCCCAGATAATGGCATTCAAACTCATCTCCCGCGGCCAACCCGTCCCGGACCAGCTTCAGCAGGCCATCCGCGTGCAGAACGCCTCGGTCCCAGAACTTGACAAGCTCCTCCAGAACCCCGACCTCAGCGCTCGTATCCTTGATTCAGCCGTCAAAGTTCAGAAGGGCGTCGTTCCACCAGGTACTTCTCCCGTTCCTACGCAGGATCACTCCGCTGTAGCTGCTGCAGCTGCAGGTGCCGTCAAGGACGAAGACCCTGCCGCCCCGTCGTTTGTCAACGGAGAGCTCTCAAAAACTCAGCTGCTCGAAGACGACTCGAAAACGGGCGTTTATCCATACAATGCCCTCCGCTACCCTTTCACTCACCTCCAACGCCCGAAAGACCTTGATCCCTCGCTCTTTGCTTCGCGTCTACAACGCCTTCTTATACCCTCGATCACTCCCGCCGGCCTCGATGTTCATCATGTTATCAACGAACGTGACAGGTTTATCGAAGCACGCATACAGCAGCGAATCGGCGAGCTTGAGTCTTTGCCCGCTACTATGGGCGAGGGCGGCTTCGATTCCATGACCGACGACATACTCAACGGATCGAATGAATCCGAGAACGAGCCACCCAAGACGGTACACCCGCCCGTGGACGAGAACGCGAAGCTGCAGGCACTCATCGAACTCAAGAAACTCCGGCTGCTTGAGAAGCAACGTGCACTTCGAGCATCCGTTGCCGAGCGTCTTATCCAAGGAACTCTTCTCCCCTTCAACCGCGCTGACTTCCGTCGCAATCGTCGCCCAACTCTTCGTGATGTGCAACAAACAGAACAGCTGGAGCGCCGGCAGCGAGTAGATCGTGAGCGTCGTGCGAAGCACAAGCACGTTGAGCAGCTCGGCGTCATCTGTGCTCACGGTCGTGAGGTGGTCGCGGTCAATCGCAGTGCTCAAGACCGTGTGCTGCGCCTTGGCCGCGCCGTTCTGAGCTTGCATGCGGTAACGGAGAAGGAAGAGCAGAAGCGCATCGAGAGGATCTCCAAGGAGCGTCTCAAGGCTCTCAAGGCGGACGATGAAGAGACATACATGAAGCTCATCGACTCCGCCAAGGATACCCGTATCACCCACCTGCTCAGACAAACGGACGCGTATCTCGACTCTCTCGCCCAGGCTGTCGTCGCCCAGCAGAACGAAGCCGGTGTTCCTCCCAGCGAAGGTCCTGTTTCTGATGAACCAACGAACGAGGCCACTTTTGGCGCCCAAGTCGATGCCGACGCTGTCGACGATAAAGGCAAGGTCGATTACTATGCAGTTGCCCACCGTATTTCGGAGAGGATCACGAAGCAGCCTGGTATTCTTATCGGCGGCACGCTCAAGGACTATCAAATCAAAGGTCTCCAGTGGATGGTCAGCTTGTATAACAACAAGCTGAATGGTATCCTCGCAGACGAGATGGTACGAGCATCGACCACATGCAGATGCGATGCAGCTAACGATATTTGATAGGGCTTGGGTAAAACTATTCAAACCATCGCACTTGTGACCTTCCTCATCGAGGTGAAGAAGCAGCGCGGCCCCTACCTTGTCATTGTTCCCTTGTCCACCATGACCAACTGGTCTGGCGAATTCGCCAAGTGGGCCCCGGATGTCAATATGATCTCATACAAGGGTAACCCGGCGCAGCGACGGGCACTTCAGAATGACCTTCGCATGGGCCAATTTCAAGTCCTCCTGACGACATATGAGTACATCATCAAGGATCGTCCTATTCTCAGTAAGATGAAGTGGGTGCACATGATCATTGGTATGTCTACAGTATTTTTTATGAATTCCTCCGCTAATGGTATGTAGATGAGGGTCATCGCATGAAGAACACACAGAGCAAGTTGTCTCAGACCCTCACACAGTACTATCACTCCCGTTATCGTCTTATTCTCACCGGCACTCCACTACAAAATAACCTTCCCGAGCTGTGGTCACTGTTGAATTTCGTCTTACCCAAGATTTTCAACTCTGTCAAGTCATTCGACGAGTGGTTCAACACACCCTTCGCCAACTCTGGGACAGGGGACAAAATCGAGCTGAACGAAGAAGAAGCTCTTCTCATCATTCGCCGTCTGCACAAAGTCCTTCGCCCCTTCCTGCTTCGTCGTCTCAAGAAGGACGTCGAGAGTGAGCTGCCCGATAAGGTGGAGAAGGTGATCAAGATCCGCATGAGTGGCCTGCAGAGCCAACTCTACAGACAAATGAAGAAGTTCAAGATGATTGCTGATGGTAACGAGTCCAAGGGGAAATCCGGCGGAGTCAAGGGTCTCAGTAACGAGCTCATGCAGCTCCGGAAGATCTGTCAGCACCCCTTCCTGTTCGAGAGCGTCGAGGATAAGGTCAACCCCTCCGGCATGATCGACGACAAACTCATTCGGTCGTCTGGCAAACTCGAGCTCCTCTCTCGCGTTCTTCCCAAGTTCTTCCATACAGGTCACAGAGTCCTCATCTTCTTCCAGATGACGAAGGTTATGGACATCATGGAGGACTTCCTGAAGTTCATGCACTGGAAGTATCTTCGCCTCGACGGTGGTACCAAGACCGAAGAACGAGCTGAGTATGTGCGCTTGTTCAATGCCAAGGACTCCGAGATCCAAGTCTTCATTCTCTCCACTCGCGCCGGAGGTCTAGGCTTAAACTTGCAAACCGCCGATACCGTCATCATGTAAGTCAACCCTGTTCACAGTCCGTTCCTTCGCCTGACATTATTTGCCAGCTTCGATTCCGATTGGAACCCCCACGCCGATCTTCAAGCCCAGGATCGTGCGCATCGTATTGGCCAGACGAAAGCCGTACGCATTCTTCGTTTCATCACGGAGAAGAGTGTGGAGGAAGCCATGTACGCAAGGGCACGGTTCAAGCTTGACATTGACGACAAGGTCATTCAAGCTGGTCGTTTCGATAACAAGTCTACGCAGGAGGAGCAAGAGGAGTTCCTCGTACGTTCGTTTTAGATCGCAGCAACTGATGTCAATTTGCTCAACTTCAGTCTAGCGTTCCATTCTTGAAGCCGACCAGGACGAGGAAAACGAAGAGGCCGGTGATATGAACGACGACGAACTGAATGAAATTCTCGCCCGCAGTGACGAAGAAGTTGTCATCTTCCGCGACATGGACCAAAAGCGTGAGCGTGATGCCTTGCAAGAGTGGCGTAACAAGGGCGGACGCGGCAAGCCACCGATGCCTCTCATGCAGGTCGAAGAGCTTCCAGACTGCTACCAGACCGATGAGCCTTTCATGCCCAAAGAGCTGGAAGATGTTGTTGAAGGCCGTGGTCAACGCCGGCGCAATGTCGTCAGCTACAACGACGGTCTTTCTGACGAGCAGTGGGCAATGGTGAGTGTCCACCGTTTCCCGCATTCTGAGTTTAGCGTTGAAGTACTCTCCAGGCCATCGAAGATGGCGAGGATCTGGAAGAGCTCGTTGACCGCGCCCGTGGTCGGAAGGAGCGGAGGGCAGCCAACAAGCTTATTAAGGATACCGAGGTTTCCGGTCGCGGCACGCCAGCTTCAGACAGTGGCCGAGGACGGCTCAAGAAGGGCAAAAGCAAGGCCGAATTCGGCACGCCTGTACCCAACAGCAAGCGCAAGCGAGGCATGAAGTCGATGTCTGCCACGCCGTCCGTCAACGGAGACGAGGATGACGAGGATCGTGGGGACAGCAAGAGGCGGAAGACGAAGGGTCCTGAGCTCTCTGCTGGCGTCAAGGACAAGATGAAGAAGGCCTTCAACGAATGCTTCAAGGCCGTTTCCGCGTGCGCCGACGATACTGGGCGGAAACGATGCGAGCTTTTCAAGGACCCGCCGGACAGACGGGTATGTCGTGTCTTTACTGCCTCTTAGGCGTCTGTGTCCAACATATCCTGTAGGATTACCCAGACTACTACCAACTCATATCACAGCCCATGGCACTCTCGATCCTGCGCAAGCGGATCAACTCCAACTACTACAAGAGCATCACCCAGTTCAAAGCCGACTGGTCGCTCATGTTCAACAATGCGAGGACGTACAACCAAGAAGGATCCTGGGTCTACATTGATGCGAACGAGATGGAGAAGGTGTTTGATGCCGCTCTGGAGAGGACGACCGCAGGTTCGGGTCTGCCTGGTGCAGCACCCTCAGCTGCAGACTCGGCCAGCGGCTCTTTTGACGGAGCGCTCACGCCAATGGACGAGGACGATAAGCCCGTGCGGTCTCGCGGTCGCAGTTCGACGCGAAAGCAGGTCATCAGCGACGATGAGTATTTGACGCCGAGCGATGAGGAGTAGACGTGATGATGGACTTTTTCTTCTGTTGTTATGATTGTGTAGTACTTCCGTGCTAATGTATAATATACACTGGGCTTAGGCAACATTTAGACGCACTCTGAGCTGGAAAGACCAAAGGGAAAGCAAGACCCGATATAAATCGTTCCAATGCGGAGCTCATGGTGAATTAATGGTGGCAAAGGAGGTGAAAAGATACCAATACATAGGAACCCGAGCGGGAAAGGTGGTACTCTAGAAGGAAACGTGATATGTATGTAAAGGTAGTATGGATACGTGCATGCAGATGCTTGTGAAAACAAAAAATACAGCCGGGTGTAAGAGAAGCTAGTTGGCTTCCTGCTGCTGGGACTTTGCCTTGAACGTCTCAAGGATATGGTGTACACCAGACGGTTCGAGGACAACCTTGGTACCGTCACATCTGGCCTTCTTGGTGAACTCGGTACAAAGCTGATTGATATCCGCATCCTGAAGTAGATGACGATTAGCTACGAATGAGAAATAGAGAGTCAACGAGGCCCACCTTGAAACAAGGATGCGAAGTGATACTACGCCACGCCTTGAGCACTTCAATGTTCTGTTCGCTCTGCTCGGTACGGGGAAATGCTGTCCCTTCGCAGTTGACGAAATTGCCTTCGATCGTGTCCACAATCTTGCGCAGCATCGGTGACGACGCTGCTGCTGCTGATGCAACTGCAAAAGGTGAATCGCCTCCAATTGGTGGAGGACCGGCGTTGGATGAGAAGGGCGACTGACCACCTTCGGCGATTTTACGTGACATGACTTCCCTTGTGAACGCGTTTGAGTTTGTTAAACAATTAGCTCCGTTCTGCCGCTGAGACTGAGACTGTTCTTCGGAAGCCGACGGAGGACTGTCGCTTGGCTGGGACATCCCCCAGCTGAACGGACTCTGGGAATTCGACGTACTGGACTGCGAGGCAGGCGACGAAGACTGGTTGTTGGTCACCCCGTTAACCATTTGCGAAGAAGAAGTAGAACTGCCTCCAGTGCTGTTGTTGCGCGCGGCATGGGAGACGGGTGACATCGATGGTGTCTTGACGAGGGCATTGAAGTCAAGCGGAGAGTGACCACCAAGCATACTCCCTCCAAACAGTTCGTCTAAGCTCGTGCTGTGTGGAAATTCGTGTGACTGTGGTGGCGAATTGGTGAAAGTAGGTGGCGATTGAGTGGTCCAAGCATGTGGTGACAAGGAAAAGCTGAAGTTAAAAGGGTCCATCACGTTACTGTTGGTTGTAGCAGAGCTGGTGGACGGGTCGGGACTCATCAAGTCCATACTTGGATCAGGCGTCTCGGCAAACGACATGAACAATGGGTTGTTCGCAATCGTCTTATACTGGTCGCGGGAGGGAAGAGCATACTGGCCGTATGGCGAGTTATCAACTTGCATGCTACTGTTGGCGTTATTTGCCAAGGCCCCGTTGCTATCTGATGGAACATCGTCGATTATACTGAGCATATTGGAGTCGAAGGTGGTGAGCGAGTTCCAGTCAATATCGCCGTTGGCATTCGAAGACTGGGGCTGGTCGACTGACTGCGACGGCATGGTGAGAGAAGTGTTATCAATCGAAGACGGCATTGGGCTGAAGAAGTTGAATGGCAGCTGTCCTGATGGCTTGGAAGGGCCGGCAACAGCGTTGGACTGTTCTGACGGTTTAGGTACCGTAAAAGTAAACTGGGCTTGTTTGAGCTGCAGGTTCTCCTGCTGAAGGCGGTTCAGTAGATCCTTGAGATTTTCGTTCTCTGCTGACTGTTCGTCGTTCTTTGCTTCAAGAGCTGCAACCTTATCTTCAAGCTAGTTGGGCCAGGATCAGACAGGCACGAGCATGCACGGCATGGATGTGTCTCACGTCTTTGACATGCTTCTCTTTTCGTTCTCGGAACGCTCTCTGGGCGGCCCGGTTCTGTTCCTTACGCTTGAGCAAACGAGCCTCGTCCTATGAGAGAAGTGTGGGATATATTAGTACCGGTGATAAAGAGGGGTGGACATGGTGAATGGGATTACCTGGTGGTTTCCGGTTGACTTGCGCCGAGAGTTAGCAAGTCGTTTGGAGGAGGGATCATCGGCTGAGAGGTCCATGAAAACGAGTGAGATACTGATTACGGACGAGGAGAGCCAATAGGCTGCACGCACCTGTGTGCTGGTTCTTAGAGGAGGGGCCCTCCATCGAATCGTCGTCATAGCTCGCCTTACGCTTCAGGGAATCGTCTCCGTCGGCCCGAGAATACGCGATAGACTGACGTCGGGATCGAGATTCGTTGCGTGCGCTATCTGGGCTGGAGCTGCTGTCATCGGACTCGGGGTCTACAGAGGACTGTGGGGGCTGGTTTTGGATGGTCTGAGGGTCGACGGCGGTGCTGGAGGAGGGAGTGGGCTGGTGCGAACCGTCTGCGAGTGTGCTGGGGAATTGTTTTTGGAGGAGGGCGAGAAAGTCGTGATCTGGGAGCTGAGAGAACTGGGAGGGAGTCTGGGAGAGATCCCAGAAGGCATTGAGGCCCGGAAACTCCATGGCGCTGATGTCTTACAAAGCAAGGATGAGGATGAATAGGCGGATTCCAAAGCCGCAATCGGAAGGGTCAAGGCCGGTGCAGGGCGTGTGCGGGGAGGGAGAAGAGGGAGGATGACAGAGACGAAAGTAGCGAGGAAGATGACTAGTGGATTATAGAGAGAGGTCCACCGTCGAAATGGAGGAGACGAGATGCTGGACAGTGCAGGGGATTGGTTCCCCGACAAAATCACCTCCTCTCGGTCATCCTTCGGCGGTCGTGGTATCTCACTTGCTTACAAACTCCTCCTCCTCCCTTCTTCGTCCATTTACTTATTTATTTTCTTATTTCTACCTGATCCCTTCCCCTCATCTTGCCGTCGGCACAGTGGCCTCGTCACCGATAACCCTCTTGCCATCTCCATAAGGGGCTGGTTAACCCACACCTGCACCGCATATCAGAAACCCCCCTTGATTGTCTCGTTCTTCTCCCCCCCATCCCCGGTCCCGAAGCAAGTCTTGACTCGATTGACTCGACGATCATCACGGCCCGCATACTCAGCCGTCTCGGTCTCAATCCAGCTTTCCCCCTTCTATGCTTCAGTGTGCTTCAGTGCTTACCTCTTCCTCTCCGTCAACGACATTCTTGCCCTCCTTGTCTTTATTCTTGCCTACATCTTATACTGTCCTTGTACGAATCACTCGCGTATCCGGAGATAACTTCTGGATAACATCAAGATAGACGCAGTTGAAATTCATCGCACAGACAGTGCCTCATGTTCATCAGATTCATATTGAATCGTTGCTGTCTTCGGCGTAAGTCCACCATGCATCTCCGACAAGCTCGTAGTAGCTCGTAGTAGTATTACCATTGGCTGCTACACATTCTGATTGTATTTTGCATTTATACGTTGCTTAACTATCAGCGCTCGGCTTTCAGGGAGATAGCGATTATGATAAGTAAACTGTTTGCTCTCGCATGACGAACATATGATGTATCCGGCAATTAACCTATGACAAGACAATGCTCCTCATGTCGGCCTGATCATCCAAACGGCTGCCGTACAACATTGGTTATTCATATAAAATGAACGTTAAGCAGCATTGCGGAGTTGTGACTTTGAGTCCTTAATCCACCTCCATGATTTGCTCATGAGAGCAAGCCCCTGGGTTTACCACCGCTCTGCCCCGGATTATCCTTGTGTTCATTTCATCAACGCAGCTATACTCATCGACGCTAACAATGTTGCCACGTTCAACGCACGTTTGACTGGGACAGGGACTGAGCGATGAATCCCTCGTGAATTCCAGGCACGCGCTGCCATCAAATGATACAGGGGCTATATACTTAGCAAGGTGAAATAGCCCCTGTTGGATCATCGAATACGTCAGTATCTGGTCCCGACACCGCCACTTTACCATCTGTGTGCGCTCCTCTCACTAGTATCGCCCCACTCACTACTGCGCGCGCCTGTCACTGACAACACTGATTGCGTGCTGGCAACGCTTGCCTAGGTTGTTCCTCCTAGTGTAAGCAGGTGCTTATCTCTCCCAGCACGCCAGGCCCACAAACCTATCATGGCTGTTCCAACGAGCCCACCCTCCCTGCCGAAGGAGCAAAAACCCTCTCAGGCACCCACAGGTAAGTCCATACTTAGCGTCATGCCACTTTCATATCCTGAAAGACTCATCAACTGGACTCAAACAACGCGATCGAACCTCTAATCGGTTCTCGCCCTTTTATCTGCGCGCCTTCTGCCTGGACGTTTCCCCAGATCCTCCTGTGGAGGCCAACAATGCCGTAACTTATGAAAGAGGTACAATGGATGACAATTTGTCGTTGGACGATCCTGAATCCGTCGTTGATAACGATGAAGACGACGAGATAGGCTCTGACACCGCCAGCCGCCGCTCACGCGAGCTCCGTTGTTCGTTCAGCCTGCCCGTGCTCCCCACACAAGCACTATCGAACGTACGTTTCCCCTAACTTTACGCCCTATCTATCATGGCGGCTAAACAATTTCGATGCGCATCCTCGCCAACTACACCTACTAACCTCGCTCCAGCTCCCACCACCGTCTGCACCTACACCAATCCCCCGCGTCCGTTTCAATTCGCGTGTACGTATCACAGGCGGCGCGCGCCGTCGCCGTCTCTCTGACGGCGCAGCCTCCTCCCTCTCCGGCTCCCCCGCATCATCCATCTCCGCGCCCATCCACTCCGCCACCCACCTCTCCGCCAGAGGATGGGGCCCGCTAGGGGCCCGTGTCAGCCTCCTCGCCTCCGGCCGCGACCTCGGCAACCCCCAGCCTCTCCCCCAGCCCGCACCTCAGCCCCGGTCGATCCTTCGTACGCCCAGCTCTCATTCCCGCTCCGCTCGGAGCGCCCCCGATGATTACGGAGTGCAGTACGCAGGTGGACACCCCAGCCAGCGGAAAGGCAGATATGACAGCGACGTCGACGAGCGCACCCCGCTTATGTCGCGCCTATACTACGCCCCGGATGACATGTCCGCCGACGAGGAGCGCGAGTGGCGTGAGCAGGTTATCAACGAGCACTTTGGTCGGTGGCCGCAACGGTTGCTCAATCATCATGTGAGTTTGACTGTTTTTTTTCCTAGAACCTCCCCGAGCTGGACATGTTTGGGGGACGTCCATGTGCAAATGCAAGAAATCGATGGCGCGTGCTGACGACTTCGTGCATACAGTGGTGGTGGTGGAAAATGGAACCGATCGTGTGCTGCCTCTGTCTGGACTGCTCGGAAGAGGATGAATGACCCCATTTTCTCAGTCGGCGTTGACTCGCTCCACTGGCATGTTTGTTCGTTTCTATGTTGTACTTCTTGGTTGCTTTTGTTTTCAGGTCCGCTGCCCATTCTAACGTATCTAGATTGAGCGATATACCTACTGTCATATGGTTTATTTATAGCTTGTAGTATAGTCGGAATACACGTGAAGGAGGTCCTTCGTTGTTGTTTGTAAGGACAGGTGTGCGGGTTGCTAGTGTATGCACATGCTTCATCCCGATCCCATTGACAATTGGCTGACTGAAATAACTTTCGGACAACGCGGACGAGTTACTCCGCTGTTGAGTTTGATTCAACAAATATCTATAACATTACACCCGTGCTCACGTTCATATACACTAATCTATAGGGAAGGCAATCACTTGGGAATCCATTCGATGGTGAGAGAGGGACGGCAGAGACAGCCACACGTAGAAAAAAGGAACCAGCCCTAGCACCCGTTCCATCGGAGGCAGTCAAACGTCTACTGGGGCGGCATAACCATGGTTGGCGGGAGGGTCGTGACGGGGGGAAGACCAGCAGCAGCGCTGCGACGTGCGCCCTGGATAAGCAGCTGATCCATGACGACGAGAGCAGCCATGGCCTCCACGATGGGAACGGCGCGGGGGACGACACACGGGTCGTGACGGCCCCGAGCAGCGAGCTCGCCTGGGGTGCCGTCGTACTGAGCGGTCGCCTGGGCCTGTGAGATCGTGGCGGGCGACTTGAAGCCGATCCTGGGGAAAAAGAAGAGAAGCAAAGTGTGAGAAGGATTACAAAGACAGATGATAGGTTGCTTCGACTCGGGGATAAAAATAGCTTACCGGAAGTAGATATCCTCGCCGTTGGTGATCCCGCCCTGGACGCCTCCACTCCAATTGGTTGCCGTGCCGAGGCTGCCGTCTTCCTTCTTCACGAATGCATCGTTGTGCCGACTGCCTGGCACTTCAGTACCGCGGAAGCCAGACCCGATCTCGAACGCCTTGGTCGCGGGGATCGACAGCATGGCATGGCCGAGCTTGGCCTCAAACTTGTCGAACACCGGCTCACCAAGCCCAGACGGGACATTGCGGATAACACAGGTCACGGTACCGCCGATCGAATCGCTCGCGTCCTTGGCCCGCAGGATACGCTGTGTAAAAATCAAGGCGGAACCGCAATTTAGTTTCACAATGCCCGTGGGGGTGAGAGTGGACAAACCTTGGTCATACGCTCTCCCGTTTCGAGGTGCGGGCAGCGCGTCGGGTGCTTGTCAACTTCCTCACGCGTAATCGTAGCAAGAAGCTGCCTGAACTCTGGTGAGAGTGCGTCCTCAGCTTCATCATTGTCCTCGTTTCCGTCGTTGGGAATGAGCGATGGGGGAGCAACGGTCGCGGGAAGGTGAACCTTGCCTACGGAAGAGACAAAGGCAACAATCTCAACACCATAGACCTCCTTCAGATAACGCTCCGCGATCGCTCCGGCAGCGACACGACCTGGCAACCAAAAATGATTAGATTCGATGAGAGCGTGCTAGGCACGAAAGAAGACTAGACTTGCCGATGGTCTCGCGGGCGCTACTACGGCCACCACCGCTGCTAGCCTTGACACCGTATTTTTGGAGGTAGGTGTAATCGGCATGGCTGGGACGAGGGTAAAGATCGGTCTCAGAGTAGTCATGAGGACGCTGATCCTCGTTCTTGACAAGGAGACCAATGGGTGTGCCTAGAGTGACGCCGTGCTCGATACCGCTTTGGATATGGACGGCGTCCTTCTCGTTACGCTGATAGGGAAATACTGATGAGGACAAAAATAGATCTAGATGATAATTGAATGTGGACTAACAGGAGTGGTGAGGTTGCTCTGGCCGGGACGTCTACGGCTGAGCTGAACCTGAACATCTTCGGCGGAGAGTTGAAGACCCTGTGGGACAGAGTGATGAACGAGTGAGCGAAGAGATGGCAACGCGCCAAGGGAGCGGTGTGGGATGAAGTTGAACTTACAGGAGGGCATCCATCGACGATGGCGCCGACGGAAGCGCAGTGGCTTTCGCCGTAGGTGGTGACGCGGAAGAGAGTACCGAAGGTAGACATGTGGACGTCGGGAGGTCAGATGGCTTCTGGCGGGATGGGGGTGGTGGGTGGAGGAAAGAGATGAGATTGCGAGGGAAATATAAGGCGGTTTTGTAGGGCGGTGAGGACGGAGATGGGAATGGAATGCGGTATACGTCTCCGACTGGGTTGGTCTATGATATGGCAGATGAGGCTAACGGATGCTAACGATGTAGGGGGTTATGCGTTTTACCAAGGATGTACTGCAATGTTCGTTAGATCAGTCTATTAGCGGGATAGTTTGATGACAAGCCTAACGGCGTCCGCTACTGCAAGGAGTAATCTAGCCAATGCGCGTCCGCCTATCCATGTCTGCCCCTGCCTGCCGCAGATCACATCCTCGTCGATCCGTGGGAACAGCGCACTCGACTGCACTCATCCATGAACACCGCAAACCAGTCCGCAAACACGTCCGGCTCACGCTCCCGCCCGCAGGCTCGCAAACGCGCCCACGACGACGCCGCCTACTTTGGCCCTCCCGCCCCCGCCACAAAGCGCACTGCCCAGGAGAGACCCGATGGTGAACCACGCGTGAAGAGGAAACGCGTCGATCCATCGTCCACCGCTGCCTCAAGACGGGCAGACAGAGCAGCTGCTGCTGCATCTGCCGCAGCAGCAGCAGCAGGTCCAGAAGAGAGCAGTACCCGTAGTCTGGTCCGCACACACACTTGTTTGCATGACCCGACGGCAGAGAATCTGACATGCAGCATAGATTGATTTGAAAGCGTTGCCTGACCCAGTCCTCTATCGCTATCTCTCCCACTTCAACCTCCTTCCCGACATCCATCCCTCGCCCCTCCTATCAGACGATCCTCCTTCCCCACACTTTCTCTATGGCACCGGCAGGAACACTTCCCGCGCTCTCAGTCCCACCGTGCTACCCACACCAGCCAATAGACCGCGTCGGGATCCCAAGGAGCAGAGCCGCAGACGGAGCTCCCGTCTCCTAGAGGAAGCCCTCAGTCGCCCTCCAATCATGTCAGACGTCGCAGACGTCCACGTTGTGCTGGCAGAGATGGCAGAACGTCATCTAGAAGGACTCTCCATTAACGAGATAGACACTCTGGCCTCCTTTATGGTCAAGACCAAATGCGAATAAGTCTTTGTCGTGTCCACGCGCACGCGCTCCAGCTATGTACCGATGAAGTCATCTTTTTCGCCTTTGTTCCTCGAACCCACTTGTAATCTCCTGACACAACAACCAATCGCTGCAGTTAGACGAGCGGCCCGCGTTCTACATGGCGACCCGGCGGGAAATCGCGGTGAAACATCAGATTCTCAGAACCAACATACTGGCAAATCCTCACACGTCCCTTCTCCTTGCTTACCATTACGGAACTTGGTTGCCTATCGGACGCGCTGGTTGCTTGACGGCTCCTGCTTATGTAATCCCAGTTGCTATCCCCGTTCCTGTTGTCACAACGTCGTTGCAATGTTGCGATGCTCTTTCAGGAAAGTCCGACCAAGTGCGAACCGCCTGGAGCCCCTAATCCTTTCACAATTTGCGCGTCGTCCTCCTCCCTTCGTGAGTGTCAAATCCCGAAGAAATGGTAAGAGCCCTCAGGCAGTCGTCTGGGGGACGCATGCACCTTCGCAATTGTCTTCTGACCTCCCCGTTGCATACCTATAAAATCTCGAATGTCTGGGCATTTCGTTCTCCATTCCCTTTCCTCCCTCTTTCTCTCCTTCCAACTCTCTTCGCAGCAGAGCTGCCTGGTTCTGGTTTTGTACGTTCGAGTCTCAGTCTTTTCGCGTCCTCCCAAGTAACTAATGATCTTTTCCTCTCTCTATATCTTCAGAACCATCTCTAGGATTCTTCTTAGCTCTTTCATCTTCTGTGAAGATCTTCTCCTAGCGTGCACCCGCCCCTGCTTCTTCGCGCTCCAAGCCTAGTGCTCTTTGCATCCCGATTTCTATCCTCTCGCGCCCGCCATGAAGTTCTCGGCAAGCCTTTTCGTCATCCTTCCTTACTTTGCCGCACTGGCTGCCGGCCTCACTGTACCCGTCTCTCCCGGCCTGCTCGCTCGTAAGGGCGGCAATAACAACGGTGGCAACACTGGCAACACTGGCAACACTGGCAATACCGGTAATACTGGCAGTACTGGCAGTACCGGCAGCACTAGCAGCAACGGTAACACCGGTGGCAACAGCTCAGCTCAGGGCGAACAGTCATCACTCAGTAAGTACACCTCGTTCGATGCCACTGCAATACGTGCTAACGCATCCTTCAGCGCTCGATCCTAGCGTCATTGCGAAGGGTTTCGAGGACAATGGCCAGGACCAGCCCGCCGCCGGCCAAGTTGCCTCGCTGACGTCGTCGAATAACTTCATCAACTTCTGCGCTACTACCGGCCAGACAATCACCAATGGTCAGCAGGTCCAAGGTGGTTCTTGCAATCCCGCGCCTATGGGCCAGATTCCTTCCACGTCGAACATGCCCTCCGCCAAGTTTGTCAACCCAGTCAACATGCAAAACATCGCTGCCAACACGCCCTTCAATGTCATGCTCGCCATCCAGGGCATGGAGACCGGCAACTTCGTCAACGCCGAGGAGAACTACTTCTCAGCGCCACAGCAGCTCAACTCGCAGGGTCAGATTGTCGGTCACTCGCACGTCGTCATTGAGCAGTTGGACTCCCTCACGCAGACCACGCCCACGGACCCTACAAAGTTCGCCTTCTTCAAGGGTCTTAACGATCCCGCCGTCAACGGCATGCTCAACACGACCGTCACCGACGGTCTTCCCGCTGGCACGTACAAGATCTCGACTATCAACTCTGCCGCCAACCACCAGCCTGCACTCGTCGCTGTTGCTCAGCATGGCTCCCTCGATGATGTTGTCTACGTATGTTCCTTTCTAATTTTGCTGATATCTTCTTTGAGCTGACAATTTTTCTCAGTTCACTGTAGGCAACGCTGGAGGCAACACTGGCAATAACAATGGCAGTGGCAACACCGGCAGCACTGGCAACAACGGTAGCTCGTCTACGGGCAACAACGGCAACAACAATGGCAACGGCAACAACGGCGGCACTGGCACCTCTTCCTCATCTGGTGCCTCGAGCTCGTCGACGTCTGCGGCTGGAGCTGGCAACAACAATGGCAACAATGGCAACAACGGGGGCAACAACGGGAGTAACGGGGGCGGCAACGGTAGCACTGGCACTTCTTCCTCGTCTGGTGCTTCGAGCTCCTCGACATCTGCTGCCGGAGCTGGCAACAACGGCAACAACGCCAATGGTGGTGGCCAGAACGGTCAAGGCAATGCCCAAGGCGGTAACGCCAAGGGTGCCACTGGCGGTAAGGCCACCGGCGGGCAAGGCGGAAACGGAGGCAAAGACAGCGGCGCACAGAACGGGAGCGGGAACAACGGCGGGAAGAACCGTCGCCTCTTCTCCTTCCGCCGTTCGCGCCTTCACTAAACATTTAGCTTGGTCTTCACGGGTGTGCTCATCGCGCGGGTCGCCCTGACTCTTCGCCCGCTTTTTTCTTCTTTCCTTTGAAAATTCAGCACCCTTCTTTCTAGTACTACTACACGCATATTCTTGCTTTTCATTCATTCATTGTTGTGTACTTGTAGGCCTTGCTCGTTTGGCGTTTTTTGTTCCACGGTGCACGCGTAGCTTCATATGTTGGTTTAGCTAAAGCTGAAAGAGCCTTTTTGGAATCCTCACATGTGTGATATATGCTGAGACGCGTGAGGGTGGCTCAAGCGCTGATTTAGGCTTATCTGATCATCAAGAACGTGGAAAAATGATGAACACTGCAGTGTTTGTGCAAAACAGCATATACGCATTGCTCCTGATGCCAGCACGCTCACGATTTACACCACAAGTGCATTTGGAGTTCGTCCCTTTCGTGCGTCCTGATCGGTAGTACCGTACGATGCGATAATTCCTACTACTTAGTACTACTTTCAAGGGTTTCCCAGTGAGGCTCATGGCGGCGTTCGACTGAACGGTCCTAGTCCTCCACCTCCACGCCCGACAACAAATTTGACCATGATACAGTTTAAACACTGTTCCACCTTCAGATGTCAGGGGCAAATGGACGCGATAGCATCAAGCTAGCTTAGCCTTGGCATACTACTACGTAACGGCTACTCGACCTTGGTTCCATCGAATTCCATCCCAGCCTGGGGACATGTCGGTCACTGAGTGAGCAATTAAGTCGATCACTCAGTTTAATTTCGTACAACCTTACTTGTGCTGCAGCGAGGCCAGTTGATCGCTGTAGTACGTCACGGCGTGTCTGATTTAATCTGAAACACCTATGGCACTCGGCTATCTACCGCGTGCCGCAAGGGTACCTCCGAACCATCTGGAACTTGCACCGAGGGCAAAGATACGAACGTGTGCAACGTCGCCTAGTAAGAGTCAAGCCAGAGGTGCATGACGTTGACCACGTTTAAAAATATCGCAATCAACTGTCATGCACGCCGACTGGCAGTGGTCTACCTATATCTGTGGACACGATTGGTGGCACGGTGGCGCCGGGTGAACCGAGATTTCGAAGTAACCCGATCAGGGACCACACGGAGACTACGTTTCCGCCATCAGCACCATGGGACCGGGTATTGTGGTCCTTGCGAATGTTGAGCGCTTGAGGGCTTAAGACTGTTTGACAGGCACGTTGTAACGCGTCCATCAGTTCTAGAGTGTCCACCTGCCAGTGTGACCACATTTAATAAGCGTGTTGGACACTTTAAAACAAGCCTAAACCAATCTCGAGCTTGCGGCACAGACGCGCGTCATGGACTAAAATGAACCTATTCATCCTTTTAGCTGCTTGCGAAGGACGCATCTAGATTACTTACGCCGTGTTACCAGAGAAGGTTTAATGCTAATGCCGTGAATCTCACAAGCTTTATTCATGGACACATGCAGTACAGTTCAATAAGGGGAACTAGGCTTGGCATAATTTGTAAAGTCGTCAAGGCGGTGGTGTCAAAGTGTAGCAGTTATAAGGCGTGGCGTACCTTTATCTGAAGGTAATGCTCCAAACCTTAGTTCCAGTAGGTTGGCAAATGACCGACTGGTGTCGATTTTCCGGATATCACCAAATCCATATGGCATTAACGAAATTGGAACTCAGAGCAAACCCTCAATGTGCCCGGATAGCTCACTGCAGTTCTGAGCACCGCGTCAATCTAAAGCCAGCGCCGCCATGGGCAAGGCTACCCCACTGCCAGCTCCGAGACATGGTTCAGCCTCCCGATGAAGGCACAATGGATGCCTCGGTAGCATGTAGAAATGCCGGTTCTGGAATCACAGCAGATTAGAGAGTGGATCTGAGATCAAAGCTTGTCAAGACGTGTCGTTCACATGAGAGGATCATCTCGGACGAGTTGCGGGTAATGTGCCTCCGCAGCTCACCGACGACTGAATTAGCCTTTGCCTCGAGGAGTCCACGGTGATTAGGCTCAGGGCAGCACCCGGCATCACTTATAGCTGTGACCCTAGGCATTCTCGCTACTCTGGCACTTCGCAAAAATCCGCGAACCTCCCACCTCCTATATTTAGTGGCAAGGCAGGTCGCGAGCACTGAACACAGAGCAGTCGTGCGCGTGAGATCTCGATACCAGCCGGCCGGAGTGTTGGTCCCGATGCAGATCTCAGATTTCCAAGTAGAAAGCTGAGTATGTTGTTGACCGAGGTGAGAATACCGAAGGAGATACTCACAAGGCACCTAAGTACCGGAGGCTCTTGAGTCCAATACGAAGAAAGCGGCACTCCGCAAGGCTTCCTTCTCTTAATTCATGGTAAGATATATGTACCATGGGTCTCATCTGATTATTAGTTGTCCCCGAAAGAGCGGTATGCATGCGTTACATCGCGCGCATGCTGGACATCGATATTCAATGGGGAGATATACGTTACGGTAGCAAGTGGCGTTACTTCGATGGCAGGGCTTCAGTTGCTGGTCGCTTTTCTAGAATTCCATCGACGATGCCAAAGTCTAATGCTTCTCGGGCTTTGGGTACCGTAAGTCTAAGATGGCCCATCAATTGCTGCTGCGAACGTACCTGTCATGAAATAATCGCGCTCTAGTGCTTGCTCTGCAGGAATCATCCAGCTTAGATAAGAATGTATAACTTGAAATTGAAAGTATCGCACCGAAGCGTGCCAAACCGTTGGCTTCACTCTCGCCCTCTTTATTGCAGTGCCGCTGGTAAATCGAAGTGAGTAATTGACGGACTCTGAGAATCTCCTTTGCATGGATAGCAATGTCCGACGCTTGACCGGAAGCACCCCCAGACGGTTCTATACACGAGTCACTTAGAACATCACCTTGCTTGGTCAAGAGCGGAACCCACGATGTATCATGATACTGGCGTTGGGGAGACAATGCCGCTTCCCTTTTTCACCTAGGGAAGGGGACATGATGAGGCTTCATATGATGGAAAGTGTCCAACACACACCTGCAGCAAGAAGCAAGGAACCCATGGAGCATGCCTGCCCTACACAGTATGTGTGTATGGGCGACGAAACGTACTATATTGCATGTCATTAATTCTTGAAGAGGGGCGATTCAGCGTTAAGATTCAGACCTGCATCTACCGCATGTGTCAAGTGAGCAATCAAAACATGTAGTCAAGGAGCCTCTCACGGTGTCATAGATAGCGAGACCTGCAGTGACGCTACCCCCCGGAGAATTAATATAGAGGTGAATAGGCTTCGAGGTCTCCTCAGCCTCCAAAAACAACAGCTGCGCAACGGTAAGAGCAGAATCGTTGTCGTTTATCTGTGAGCCGACACCATATGTAAGAAGCTAGAATGGATAATTTTTCGACGTACGCACGGGCCCATATAACATGATTACGCGCTCTCGAAGGAGCCGCGAGAAGATATCATACGATCGCTCGCCACGTCCCTATGGATCAAAATCAAGAAAGATTTGGCTCTGAGGGACTAGACTGACGTACAGTTTGTTCTATGACTATGGGGACGAGGTTAGCAGAAGGTGGTGAGGACCATTGGGTTGCCAGAGGATGATATCGTCGTGAAGAAACACGTATGGGTCGTGTCAAGGTGCGGGTAGCATTGATGGCTGAAGCGCGCAGCATATCCAAATGCTGGTGTCTGGTCGAAAATGGAGTTGAGGATTGTCGAACACCAAGTCGCGGTTCGGCCTAGCGCGTCTGCTGACTGGGGAAGTAATATTTGTGACATGTGACCGCGTGACGACCGCGTTTTACGCGCCGGACTCTGGAATAAGTCAACGGCAACCCAACCTAGCCTGACCAGCCGGCTGCCAGTCAACTCCACAATCATCATATTATATCTTGGTATGTCGTATATATCCAGATACCTAGCCATTGACATATGCTTTACATGTTCTTTCAAGACATTGCGCTCAGAAATGAACGCCCGTCAGAGGTCTACTGAGGCCCCGATGGACTTTGAGTTCACCAACAGAAGTAGCGTCACACCTGCCTGGGCCCAGTCCTCACCCAACCTTGACACCCCACGCAAACGTAACCGTCTCTTCGTGAGAAGGATGTACGCTCACTGACGTCAAGCTGCCAGGTTCTTTCAATGAACTTAACACACCTACCAAATCCCTGAGCTCTCCCCTTGACATACCAAGGTTTGGCAATAACTTTGGACCCTATCCCTTTGAAACGCCATACAGACAAACCGCCCAGCCATATCATTGGGATTGTCCGCCTGGCCTGTCACACCAGAAAACACCAGACGGGGCTCGAGATGTCGACATGACCGAGGCTAGCCCTCCGAAACCCAGGACGGACCCCAAGGCGGAACTCAATGCAGAGGAGAGCGAGGCCTCTTCGACTCGAGAGGTCTCGAACGGTGCGCTTCAACGTCTTTATCGACGCAGAACTCGGGGAAAGGGCCGGCCAGTTGTCACTCGAACTAATAACGGTGTGGAAGTCTCTGACGAGAGTGATGGACAAGAGGACGATCTGGATCGAGAAGCTTCTGTGACACACCGTACATCAAATCACTATACGCTCAACCTTCCTTCCACCCCCTCATCACCATCAGACAGACCTTATGTTCTCCTTGGGTGAGTGAGGTCAAGTGACTGCATCGTTCCAGACGTTGATCAACGATAAAGCTATCTGCAATTCTTCTTCAACTTGTCGTTGGTCCTGGTGTTTCTCTACCTGCTTCTCCAGTTCATTCTGACGGTGCAACGCGATGTGGAACATCGGATATCGGAGTACTCCATGGGTGAGCATCACATTCAGCGCCGAGTGCCTGCCTACTGTGCTGACAGACGTCTTAGACATTGTCCAAGAGATCGCACTCTGTGCCTCCCACTATAAGAACAACCTCTGTGCAACAAGTCCTATTCCTGCCATGATTCGGCAATGTGGTGCATGGGAGACCTGCATGAACCGTGACCCAACCGTGGTCGGTCGGGCGAGGGTCAGTGCCGAGATGATCGCAGAGGTCGTCAACGGCTTCGTCGAGCCCATCAGCTGGAAGACATTGGTTAGTATCAATGCTTCGTTCCGTTCCATACGCATCGCTGAAGGGTTTGTAAAAGGCATTCACCCTGACGTCGCTGTCCTTCCTCACGGTATTCGTCAACGCGCTCCTATCTTTATATCGCTCTCGTCATCGTGGAAATGACCAGGCCCAACACCCATATCCTGTTCCCTCAATACCATTTGCCCCTAGTCACATCAACTCACACCCATCATGGCACCATCTATCAGACACAGGTGACGAAGCGTCAGAAATAGCTTCACGAAGACGGCGTCTCGAAGGGGGGCGGGCGATCAAAATACAATAACCCGGCTGTTTGGTGCTACATAGTAGCAGCGCGCCTATCTTTTTCATGCTTAGAGTAACTGACCGATGGGCTGGTAGTTGTGGTCGATGTACTCATGTTAACGTTATCACGTTCCGTTTTTTGGTTTAATTAATACATGGACAACTGTTACTGCGGATGGATCTCGTTGAGTTCAACCTATGCCTGCGAAACCGCGATGGACTTGAAGAAAGCCCTGATTATCACAGCTTAATCGTGGGCGATGTCGCAGGAACATGTTGGCTACGCGGCTTTAGAGAGTTAAGAAACACACGAGGACTCGCCTCAACTTGAATTGAACAGATGAAAGTCAATTTTCGACAGGAAGACTTTAAACCCAGGACAAACATGAAAAAAGAAACCGGCATATTCTTGGATTGAAACATTGAAGCCACGAGAAGGCTTTAGACCTAAACAATGAAGAAGCAGAGTTGGAGATTCCTCGGGGTAGAAACAAACGTCTGTGGGCACTGGGCATGGCCATCATCCCGCGTGGCAAAACAAAATTCACAAAGTTATTTCCCCCCGCCACCTTTATCTCCCGCTTCGCCACCAGTGCGTTCCTCCTCCTTCTTCTGTTGGAGACGTGAGACTGCGTTCTTGGACGAACCGGGAGACGAACCTTTTGCTTTGCTCTCAGCAACTCAGCATCCCTGAGAGATGTGAGGATCGATGTGGTGAAAGATCCCATGATACAGATACTCACGCTTCTCTGCGTTTTGCTAGGTTGGTTGCACTTTCTTTTGGTTTGGACTTTTGTGCAGCGGCCTTCTTCTGCGCCTTGGCGCGATCCGTATCGCGTTGATTACCCCCTAAACAAACATTAGAAGCACGAAAGAACACAAAGGCTGGTACTGACGAGTCATCTCGACGATCGGTGTACACCCGCAAGCCTGCCAACCGTGCTTGTACAGCAACCTTAGCAGAAGCGCAAGGCTCCTGATAATACCAAACAAGACCAAACAAAGGACCGTTGGCAACCATTCCGTTCCATCTCCCTATTCCCCCCGAGATGCTCATAGTCAAATCAGCTGAGCTCATCGATCGTCGCGCGGCGAATCTCATCTGAATCTCTCTCAGAATCTCCTGTGGGCTTCCAACAGCGCCCACCTTTTCGAATTTAGACCTTTCCCACAATTGTCTACCTTTGATCTTCTCGGTTTCAACCTGAGGCCTCAGGGGCCCACTTCTTAGCCACCGAATTCTACATTACTAAGCTTATCCTGTCTCCTTCTCCGCCAGTCCCGCGTTCTTAGGTGGTGCCTGATCCATCTAAACCAGCCTACTCCTTGTCAGGTAGAATATATGACACATGATGTCCACATTAATTTTACTATGATACCTAACAAAATATTACCATTCCCTTTTTTCGAGCGGTCAGATGTCATGCTGCGTCTTCATATTGCATCGCAGTTTCATCACAGAAGGTTCCACTGCACCGGGATCACCGCATCAGGCCGACGTTGTACTCTTTCGGCCTGCTATCTCGAGTATGAATCTGGCTAAATCGAGTGGCGGTAACGATGGCTGCCGAGGACGTTGTCTTGTTTTAAGCACAGCTCCTTCTTCCTCTCTCCCGTCCCGTGGGTGAGCCATTCACCGTAATCGTTCCGCGGAGTTTCGCTGGGAGGGAGTGACCGAAGCTATCAGATACTCACATGCGTTGTATCACCGCTTGCTTTACCGTTTTCCACATCGTCTGATTCGCCAGCTATATGTCCTGTTGAACTAAGTGCCGAAGACGCCTGACAGATATATGCAAGCCTGCAAACCAGTCTACTGGTCCCAGACAGCACAGCCACCTGTCAAAGAGCTGTCAGATGGCCCTGGTTCGCTGCTCGGCAATCCAGTCAACAGACAGCCCCTTTATCGACACCGTTGTGCGTAAAATCAATTGGTCTGGTGCATGGAGCTCTGTCCAACAAGGTCCGGTGCCGGGAACGATGGCGGTGGACTCTTTAAATTTGAATGGTTACCACATGTGCGGCTGCGAGTCTATTGGTCTCAATTTACTTATTAGTAGATCGGTCCGAGAAGCCTGAAAATCGTTCTGAGATCGAGCGCGAGGAGCGACGCGCACTTCAACACGCCACCCAGTGCCGCAGTGCGAAGGGGGTGATTTCTCCGGCCGCCTCGGTTGCAATACTATGTTACCTTTTAATACCCGTGTTTTAGAGCTTGTGTGGGTGTGGGTCTGATCTCATGCCTCATGGTTTTGTCCAACCTTCGTGGTTGCGCTGTTTAATTTGAGAAGGCTCGGGGAAAGGACCTTGCCACTTGTTCCTTCTGATGCGGCCGAGATTGGATTGCCAAATCGGAAAAGCTTATCCGTCACAAACGGCCTCCTTGAAAACCCGGCAATTGTCCAACAGGGTTGCACCTTTTCAGAGCAACTTTCTGACAGGCTCGGTTACATACCTTGCCAAGGCAGGGTCCGTTAAACGTTGAAGCGCGTTCTCGAAGCTGGCTACATACCATGACGTGGAAAAGGGTGCGAAATAGGGCCTGCCCTAGGCTCACACTCCGCGTCACCGGACATGAACAGAGTGGCGATGGTACTTCGTTCTGAAGGCATCGCAGGTCACATCTGCATCACCAGGATGGAGATGTGGGTGGCAGTACTTACTCCAGGAAGTGCACTCTGACCGCAGCCTACCGCAGCCTTGGTTTCGCTTGTTAAGGATCGCCACCTGCCAGCTGGTCATCACCGATATATCATATGCCATTGAGCGCTCAGTGGAAGGTCGGCGGTCCGCCAACGTAGGCATTTGATCGCTGCTAGATTACGTTCACGATCAGCCGGTTTCATTGCTGTTACGGACTGACAGTTGAAGGGAAGCAAACCTACTCGATCATGGCAGCGGACAAGCTATTGGAGGACCCTCCGTAACGTCTGAAATTTCAGATTCGTCTTCAAACCTTGTTATGCCGAAATGCCGTTGTCAACTTGTCTGGTAAATGAACATTTTTCAACTCCGACGTCAGCTCGAGCAGTCTTCAAACGTAAAATCTGGAGGAGGGGGGTACTCCCCTCCTCCAGATTCAAAGTTGTCTTCAAACCAATAGCCGATGTCATACTTGACGTTCCGCGACAGATCCGCTCCGGGTAATGAACGAAGCAACGACTTGGCAATTCATTCCTTTGACATTGCCCTTGCCATGAAGTGCCTTGACCACTGACCCTACGGAATTCCCAGGTCTGTATCTTCAGACTTCAGATTCAGCCGAAACTCCGACATTAAAGTTTGAAGGCGAATCTGAATTTCCAGACCTTACGGAGGGTCCTCCATTTATGGTCAAGACGGTGTTCCTGATAGCTTCTGGACAACCAAGTGACGGCTTAGTCACAAAGCTTCCATACACGGAAGCAGCAAAACCCTGGATACGTTGATTGTGGGGTCTAGACTGACAGCGTCGAGTTAAGGGCAAGTCGGTACCCCAGCCTCGGCGCAGGCCATCAAATCGGTACCCCGAGATCTCGCACCCGCAAAGCAGCGAAATTGTTACTTATTTCAATACGTAGTTAGTGACTGCCGTAAACTGACCGACAACGCCATTATACAAGGGCTCCGTCCTAGCCGCCCTATACAAGGATGATCAATAGCTCCCTTCGGGTAGCACGCAGACCTCACTCATTCAAAGGTTTGAATCAGATGCTATTGTAAGATTGAACGGAGGGAGTCACAGACAAGAACAAGCCGAAGCCGCGTCCAAATTGAGCTGCGGGAGATGTCCGTTAAGCTCTTTGGCTCACGCGAGACCCGAGTTTGGCATGCTTCCACGCGACTCCACATGCCCAAAGGACAACGTTACTGGATGGAAATTGATGACACGCAGTAGCCGACGGACAGCGGCAACGTGACGGAAATGGCAGGTGAAGGCACGCGTCGGCTGCTTTGGAACGAAGGAAGGATGTCATATCGGTGCAAATTCAAATCAGGCTCAGATTACATCTTTGCTTCTACTGATCGCCTTTGATCGTGCGACTGGGGTGCTTAGGGCCCTGATCTCCTCTCCCGCCAATTCGTATATATATCGCCATACAACACGGCTTGATGACTTTTCTCCCCTCCTCGCTTCCACGTCCCCTTGTAGCGCGATGTCGCTCAGACATATGCCCCGTCAGTCTGACCGGGACGTTCGCATGCACGACCCGCCTCCCCCGGCTGGCGTGCACCCCCATCCCCTCCTGACCCATCCTCCTCCCCCGCCTGGCCACCCAGCTCACCTGAACGGTGGAGTACCTATCCCGACGACTCCAGGCGGGCTTTCGAATGGCTCGGCACACGGCCCCCCACATCCCCCGTCTGCGCATATCGTTTCACCGGCCGTAGTTCCGAATGCGCCGCCGTCCAATGGGGTAGCACCGAAACCAAGTAGCGTCATCCACCAGCTTGCGGTGGCGAACGAACAAACTTGGCTGTTAATTGGTGAGTGCGGTATCTCCGAAACCAGCTAAATTGTAAGTCCGCGTCGCTAAACTCTGCATTTTTTCCCAGGGCGTGTGGCGGAGCAAATGAACGACCTTGAACATGCCATCAGCGCCTACGAGAATGCATTGCGGCACAATCCGATGTCCCTGCCAGGGCTGACCCAAGTAGCCGGTATCGCTCGGATCAAAGAAAACTACCCAAAGGTGAGTGGAAGATTCGTTACCAATTCCGGTTTCTACCGAAGTGCTCCGATCGGGACGAAATCGCTCGAGATCTCGAGCGATCTAAGATCTTTGATGTGGGAGTTTCGAGTGCTGACGTCAAGCTGTGTTTGCTCGCAGGCAATTGAATACTTCCAACGAGTAATCTCGATGCAGGAAGATAACGGCGAAGTGTGGAGCGCACTCGGTACGCTTGTTGAACATTCCCTTCTGTCTTGGCTGTCTGACATGGCTTCTGCGTAGGCCACTGCTATTTGATGCAGGACGATCTGCAGAAGGCATACGCCGCATACCAGCAGGCGCTCTACCTCCTGCCGAATCCGAAGGCAAGCTCTTGTTCTTTACACTCTGTGCCCCAAAGCTTATTTTTCTGCTTCTCTGTTAGGAGGATCCCAAACTCTGGTACGGGATCGGCATTTTGTACGACCGCTACGGTTCCCTCGACCACGCAGAAGAGGCCTTCGCCTCCGTGCTCAAGATGGAGAAAGGTGAGATTGTCACCCTCGTGTTCACCACACCCCACGCCTAACTCCATTCAAAACTAGATTTGGACTTTGACAAGGCCAACGAGATACTCTTCCGCCTCGGCATAATCTACAAGCAACAGGGCAAATACGACGAGAGCCTGGGTTGCTTCGATCGCATCCTTCGAAACCCTCCCATTCCTCTAGCACACGCCGACATATGGTTCCAAATCGGCCACGTCTATGAACAGCAAAAAGATGTTCGTGTTTGCTTACACATACGTTTATTCTAGCTGACCTCCCTTTCGATTCTTTCTAGCATGTTCGTGCTAAGGACGCTTACGAACGCGTCGTCGCCGATAACCCCGGACATGCAAAGGTCCTCCAACAGCTCGGGTGGCTTTACCACCAGGATGGGTCCTCTTTCCAAAATCAGGAACTGGCCGTCCAGTACTTAACCAAGAGTCTCGAAGCCGGTATGTCCCTTGTTGTGATTCATCTCTTCTTTTCTAAAATGTGTCAAAGATCCCTCGGACGCTCAGAGCTGGTATCTGTTGGGTCGGGCCTATATGGCTGGCCAGAAGTACAACAAGGCGTACGAGGCTTATCAGCAGGCCGTATATCGCGACGGACGCAACCCCACTTTCTGGTGCTCTATTGGTGTCTTGTACTTTCAAATTAACCAGTTCAGAGATGCGTTGGACGCCTACTCTCGAGCAATCCGCATCAACCCGTACATTTCCGAGGTCTGGTTTGATCTGGGTAGCCTCTATGAAAGCTGCAACAACCAGATCTCTGACGCTATCGACGCATACGCCCGAGCCAGCGAGTTGGACCCTAGTAATCCTCTAATTGCTCAGCGCCTCCAGCTCCTGAAGAATGCACAGGCAACTGGCGGCCAGTTGCCAGCAGCACCGGGTCCACAAGATGTCCATCCGACTGCTTATGCCAGCGCTGTCGTCCCTCCTCCTGGTTTGACAGGGCCACCTCTTATGCTTCAATCCTCGGCCAACCGTCCTATCTTCCGCAGCGACTCGAGGGGCCCCTCCGATGGTGTTCACTTGCCTCCGCCTCCGCCTCCTGCAGCACGATCTTCACCAGGTCCGTTCCGAGGTGGACCACCCCCGCCGGTCATCATCGATGAATCGCGCCACGCTCCATCTCATACTCCTCTGGCACCAATGGAAGTTGACCGCCCGCCGCACCCCCGTGAGTTTCCGGGCCCTGGTCGCGACGGACCCAGCCGTGGCCCCGCCGGTCATCAGAATTTGCTGCTTCACCATCCTATTCCTCAGCAACAAGTACCTCCTGAGGAACTTCGCCATTCAGCAGTTCATGGGCCTGGCCAGCACCAGGAATACCTTCCTCGTGGGCCTCTTCGTGTTCCTTCACCATCTGCCTCCCCTCCGCCTCGCGCCCGTTCCCCTTACGGGTATGCTGCCCATCCTTCCGCTGCTCGCCCACCTGTTGGGCCTGCACAGGGTGGTGCACGCACTCCTCCGCCATATGCGCGTGACGGTCGCCCAGTCGATCCAGACGTGGGCTGGGAACGACGAGCTCCCCCACCCGAACACCACCGGGACTGGGACAGGGATCTGCGACGCGAGCGACCGGAATATACATCTCACCCGTCACAGCAACCTTATTATCCGTCGCCTGTGATGTCGTCGCCGAAGTCTCGTCCACATTGGCATTATAGGGCATCTGGCCACCGCTCAACGCCGCCGCCGCCGCCACCGCCGCCGCCGGAGAATGGACACCGTGGCCGCTACGACCCAGCCCGATACGATGCTCGCGATTCCAGAGGCTACGAAAGTGGTCAGGAAAGGAGGGCATCAATGACCTTTGCTGGATCGCCTGAGGGGCCAGTTGCTCCTCCCCCGCATTACAACAACAGCCGCACATCTGAGAGCCCGCACCTTACTTCCGGGATGGTCGACCCCAAGACGAAGCGACGGAGCCAAAAGGACAGGGATGCTGATGCCCAGTCTGTAGAAGGCATGTCCACTGACGGGAACGGGGCCAAGAAGGAACGCAAACGTCGCCAAAAGCGTAAGGACGATCAAGGTCGCGAGATGAGCTCTGTATCCTCTGGGCCTCCCTTCAAGGTTGCGCAGTTTCCTGCCAAGGAGGGTCCGGTAGTGGTGCACGATGCATCAAGCTCTGCGACGTCAAGTAGATCTGTGCAGCCCTCTCCCACTGGTGCGACTCCTCGCCCACCCTCTCGAGTCGTTGACGAGGACTACGATGAAGGTGTCGCAGATGCCCTAGTCGGTTTGTCGCAAGCCAGGGCTCTAGATATGAACGGCCCTGGCGTGGATGCCGCTATGCACTCACCCACCATTTCAAGCGGGAGTCGTCGCGCTGACCCGTCTCCTCGACCAGGTATTTCGCATCGGGAATCAGTCTCCTCTACCCGTAGTAGGGCTTCCCCGCTTCTAACGTCGGGGACGTTGAAGCGCCCATTGAGTCCGGGGCCTGACGACATGGACACGAAACGCAGCAGGGTAGATGTAAATAAACGAAGTGCGTCATCTCCATCAGGAGACCGACACACACCCGTTCCCTCATCACGTCCTTCTCCTATACCATTCCGCACACAGCCGTCATCACATTCACCTGAGTCTCGGGCACAACCCGAGCCGACGTCTGCACACACCTACCCTGCTGCTAGTCCTCCATCGCTGGCTACTATGCTGCCTCCCCATCCTCGTCCAAATGGACAGGCTAGTGGTGTTTCTATCAATCTCCCTCCGATTACGACCCTCTCTCCTACTACCTCAACTGCACCATCTCCTACTGAGGAGCGCATGGCTGTGGACGTTCCCCAGTCAACTTCACCACCTTCGCGTGGAAAGTTGTCGGAGGTGATCAATCGGGCGTCTGCCTCGCCAAATTCGAAGTCAGGAGGTTCTCCTACTGCGTCGCGTGTGCTAGACAAGAAGCCGCCGAGCCCATAGATGTTGGACATTATTGCTTACCAATGACCGATCTGACAGTCGTTACATGTTTTGTGTGTTCGAACCCGTCCGCTTTGTTATGACCGTTATGCCGCATGTTTTGGTATCTGTCAGGTATTTTGTAAACCACAGTCTGCACATCCCACGCCTGTTAATACATTTTGTTTCTCTCCTCTAACATGTGTTGCTTAAGAGTCGGGGAATCGGTATAATTGATGTGGGAAACGTCTACCGGCCGAAAACGCGGTTATTGACCAATTTGAATCCGGCGGTGCTGTCGTGCTTCGGCCCGCGGCTTGCAGAGGTTGTGGGCTCTTGACCTCGCTTGACTTTCCTCTGCGTTTGTTTGTTCCGCCGTTCTATGCTCTCGTCATGACGGCAGGTGACATAGCCCTCCAAGGTGTCTCCTACTCCCTTCCTTCTCCTGCTCCAACCGACAGTGAACTTGAACCCGAAGATCCTCTCTCACCTGCTTCAACCCACTTCGAGATCTCCTCGCCCACTCATGACTATGGGGACGACGGTGATGACGGTATCAACTATCACCATCGACTGAGCCTCAGCCGTTTGGAACCTCCTGAGCGCACTGGAAAGCCAGGTTTCCCATCTGATCTTCCTCCCAGCCCCCCTCTTACCCGCACTCCAACCGAAGAGAAAGGCAGAGGAATCACAGAACACGATGACATAGCATCCTATGGACACGGACAAAATGGGCACGCTGTCGAGGAGAGGGACACCGCGAACAATTGGCACCCATTAGGGGACCAGTTCAAGCCCGGTCAGTCGTCTCGCCAGAACAGTAAACCGGGGGATCTTCGACTCGAGTTCAAGCCACCATCACCCCAGCCATGGGATCTCGTCGACCCGCCAGCTGGTAACAACGACCATATGTCGGGCGACTGCTATGCGACGCTGTCGAGTAACTCCAAGACCTTTGGTTCGGCCCAACAGAAGGCGTGCGTTACTCCATCTTCGTCGCTGACACGCTTTGACTCTCACGTCGCCCAAACACCAGGAAGAAAAAGCAATTGATACCCCGTTCAGCTTACTATTATGGACCTCCCTCGGTAGATTCTGCTTACGGGACGAAACCCTCTGGGCACATCGGAGTTCACCACCCTCGCGAAATGTTTAGAATAGAACGAGATTATAGCGGGGGCGAGTTGCCACAATTCACAGCCGTATACCCTCTTGAGCTCGAGGGCCGAGTGCGTTCTTCACGTCTATCCTTGTTTCTTAATCAGCTGATTTGCGATAGATAACGCCCACACAATTCTTGGAGTCTATCAACACCATTAATGAAGTCTTGTATTCAGCTCATAGCATATCTCACGCCTTTATCTATAACTTTATCGCCGTCTTCACCTTTCATTTATCAACACTCATCATGACATCTCATTACGACAAGGCATGTCGCTACATTGCCATACATGTTATAATCCCTTACTGACACAGTCTTAGGAGATGCGACGTCTTCGATCCGAGATAGACAGGCTCAATAGAGAAATATACAACCCCGCCGGATTGAATATTCTCTGGCCTCACAAGGTCGCTTTCCTATTCGTACGTTCCATAGTTTCCTTGCCAGCTTTGTCTCTGACAAAATACTTTAGCTGGAGATCGAGTACTATGTAAGTTTCCACTTGCTACTGACCACAATTTGACTGATGTTCCTTTTCTCAGTGAACTTTTCTGCTCCCTATTTTATGTCTTTATTTGGATACATCGCATTGGTTTCCTGGTTCATTTTGGCATTAGGACTGTATTTCTATTCGCAACACTGGAGACTCTTCCGGTTAATATAGTATATAATCAGATTTAGTACGACTTCCTGTTTCTTATCGGCTTTGCTCTAGTTGGTCAATTGAGTTGACTCAATACAAGCTCAACACCTTTCCTAGCAGCCTTGGCGTCGAAACGCGGGGGTTTTCCAGGGCTATTGCCCGGCCCACTGATTTTTATGCATTTTACACCAAGTGCCTGAGTGGTGTAACGACGTGATCATTGATAAGAGTATATCAAGGCATTTGACAAGGCATACCGTGACGGCATTGACATCCACGTCGACATGTGTTCCCTCAAGGTAAACCATGTGCGTAATAAACGCTGATACCGGGTACGTGGTGTTGGCGTTTCCAAGGCCAAAGGGAGGTTTTTGGTATTGGGCGTTCAGGGTGGACGCGAATGCTCTAATGCTTGTTCTCGTCTCCCGATTTCGAAGATCTCGAGGTGGACACTCACTGGATATAGTCAACGGCGGTATAGCCCGGTGTCTCGCGGTCATTTTCCGAGTTCACTGTAATGCTGTGAATAAGTAACGATCCCCCGGGGGCCAACTCTATCACGCACGTAGAAGGATCTTCACCCTCAGGGAATTGGAGCGGGCTATCGCTGGCCCTACGCCACGTAAGGCAAGGCAGGGAATGATACTATGTATGCCATGAGGACCGATGCAGTTAGTTCATACAAACATGAACAACTGGCGCCCTCCACACAGACCTGGTCCATAAGGATCCACACGCGTACACCAGGACGTTGGAGGCGGAGATGTTCCTGAGATACTCGGGATTTGGCGCCGGATGGATCTCAGATCCATACGTGTTGATATAATGTAATTCTGGTCAACTGGTTCGTCAATTGGGTGTAAATGTGGCACTAGAACACACTGGATATCCGAGATGTCAGTGGCGGGATTATGGTATCTTTCTCTTGTTGGCTGAACTTGACATTCTGGCGCTGGGGCAAGACTTCACCCATGCCGTCCTCGGAGATGCCATCCAAAGAAGAATCGTCGTCGTCCCCGCCGCTATTCTGCATTTGTTCGAACGATTCGGACGTGCTATGTCCGACTGGGTGTGATATCTCACATTGGCCAACCAACTTGGAACCATTCTCCTAGAAGCAGAATAATAGTCAATGTCTCAAAATGGTGTCACACAAACGATTGCTCAAACCAATTCGGCCGCGATGGTGACGGTGTGATTTGTCACAATGACAGGAAGAATATTAGCCTATTGGAACACAACGGGCGTTGCGTTCAAACTTAGTTGCCGGACGAAGAATGTTAAATCCGACCGACCTGGCTGTTCGTAATGGAAGAGAACAAGAAGATCGCAGATGGCAACGAGCGGAGAAACCCCATAGCCCCGGCGAGAAAATAGTTGCCAATACTATGGTTTGACTGACTAAATATGGGCCCTTTAGAACAAGAGATGTGGACCGACCTTCCGTTGATGAAGGAGAAGCGTTTGTGGGCCCTCTTGAGGACCTCTGCTTCGAAATAGACGAGGAAACCGCGAATAGTCTCTTTACGGTCGTTGGGGATACCTGACCAGAGTGAGCTGGTACCTTCGACGATATCCCTCCATTCGTCGCGAGCTTCGCGTTCGGTCACGTCCACTGGCAGTCTATACGACATCAACTTGCGGATTGCATCAAGAGGCGAAGAGGGGGGAGCGGGAGGAATCAGTCGCACAAGTCGCGACCGAATGTCACCTACAGTGGTTTCAAGAAAGCACTCGCAGTGAATGAAAAGTAGAAAGAGATGCAAAAGAGACGTACCGATCGAAGGTCCGCCGAGTACTCTGATGATTTCACTGGAAGAGCCACCGTCATCAGAGACAGGCAAGACGTAACACGCGTTATCAAATGCAGCGCAGATGCTGTTTCCCCCAGTTCCGCCAGAGACGATGAGGTAGGAGATAGAAGACCTTGAGCGGGAACTGATGTGGCCAGTCGTATCGTGTTCGATATGTGTGGCAGAGTAGAGTCTGTCTCCAGAGCCGTTACGACCGCTATGGACGGTGTCAGGAGTTTGGCTAACTGGTTGAACAGACAAGTCAAAGACAGATGACGAAGGACTTTCCACGTAGACTTCAGGAGCAAGGAGATCGCGATTCATGATAATAAGTATGTATGTCAGTCAGCAAATTAGTTGTCAAAGGATCGCAGACTCGGGTCAGAGAAGGAGGAAATTCGGTGAACACTGCATACCCTATTCCAGGATGGAGAGTTTATATGGCAGCACAATATTGTCCAGAACTCGTGAGTAATCAATGAGGTGCGCTATTGAGAAGGACACGACATGAAAACCAAGTTATCTCATGACACGTCTCTCCACGGTTAACCATAACGTTTCGAACGCGTGCAGTCGCGTAGCCTCGGCGTCACGGTTGCCTTCGGCATAATCTCGGATTTTTATGGCTTTATCCCTGTCTGCTGCGTTATGATCCTGATTCGCAATGAGGTGTAGGATGGGCATTGGAGGCAGCTCAACGATAATTCCCCAAGAACAATGCGAAGTAATGGTGGTGGTAGTGATGTTCTTGATACATGATACACACAACTATTTCCTTCCCCACCAACCACCTAACAAACTGCTCAAACCGCCGCGGGCAGGAGCCGCAGGTTCCGGAGTTTCCGGTCGTTCCTGTTCCTCCAGTCTTGACTTTACGGGAGCCTGCGCCTTCTTCTCTGGCTCGGGTTGTTTTTGTGCACTGGTAGGTTTAGCTGCAGCCTGGCTAGGCGGTGGTGCCTTCCCAGCCCGTTCCTGCAGTCGGTCTATGTCTAGTTGCACGTAGTTGAGCGCGATATCAAAGAAGAGTGGCTTCTTGTGAGTCTTGCTGTCGCCATCCAGCTTGCCGCCGTTGTATGCGAACCAGTCTTTCTTGGACGACAGCGCCTCCTCTGCGAACAGAGCTTCTAGCTCGTCAATGTCCAATTTTGCGAGTACGTAGAAGACCGGCGATCCACTAGAGATCAGTGGGTCTTCGGCAAAGGTGCTGAGAATGGAACGCGTTTCGCGAAGGTGTATGTTGCCGTGCTGTATTAGCGTAAGGGCCTCGCCGTACTTCTTGACTGCAACGTAGCATTGTGCAAGTCGCAAACATCTTCTGGCTTTGGTGAACAGGAGGCGCGCTTCTATAGCTGATACCAGGTCAGGGCTGTCGTCAACGATGCTGAGGTCGCGCATCTGGATGAGATTCTGTACGATCGTATCCAGGACCTTGACGGCTGCCGGATACACGCGAACGTCAATCTGCTCCTTCCTTTGCTTTGGTGCAGAACCACGCTGTGGTTTGGGGGCTGCTGGCTGTGTGCTCAAAAGGGTAGAAACTAGGAGTAAATCACGTTGCGTGCGCCGTGAAAGTAGCTGGTAGACGATGTAGGCATGAACAAAGTGGATGTCCCGAGTGCCAGCGCCGGATGAGCTCGATAGACCACTTATCTGGAGGACGCTCAAAGATATATCTCATAGAAAAACGTAAGTACTAACCTGCTGTGCTTCAAGTAGCTTCCTCGCAACGTCTTCAGCATCGCTGAGGGCCAGTAACACGGCATCAAACGCAGCGACACCTTTCTTTCCCTTGTTCGCTCTCGGAGCAGCGCCAGCATCCTTGTGAGCGTCGGCAATTTTGGCCTCCGCTTGTTGTACCTTCAAGAGGACATCCACTAACTCCGGGTTGCGCACAGGTACAGGCTGACCTTCCCAAATCAACGGCTTCAGTTCCTTCCTGCCTTCACCTCGTCCATGAGCTTCTGAGTCTTGTTGGAACTGTGCGATCAAAGCAGCGCCTCCTTCGACAATCTCATTTCGATGCTGGCCCGCAATACGCGCAACGATCGCATCGACCTCGTATGACTTGGAGTCGCCGAGCTCGTGAGCGCAGTACCGTATCTCAGGTCCAATCTCGTCGGCGAACACGGACGCAAGCGCCTGATCGCGACTGGTGGCAGCCCGAGCGGCCAGTTCGTCCAACAAACTACGCGCAACTGCCAACTGGATCAACGCATCGTCGAACTCATCTCGATAGCGGAGGAAACGGCCGTTGAGAATCAAAGTGTACACCGTCGCCTGGAGGAGACATTCGGCAGAGAGCTGTGATTGGTTGTAGAGGGTCTGGCAGAAAGAAAGCAGCTGGGTAGACCAGTTTACAGCGCGTCGGAAGCGACCAGTTGCACTGTGACGGAGTGTGCCGGCGTGATCGTCGTTTGCGGGGACGCGGGATTGCGCAAGAAGGTCTTGCGAGTATGCCCAGGCGCGCTCAGCCTCCAAGAGAAGGAGTTCGAGGCTAGTGAAGATATGAGAGATAGTGTATTATCATATAATGGATACATACTGGGCATCCTTCATGTTCTCCGGGGTCAGGGGAGGCAGCTTCTTGAACTCCCTGCCCTTACCATGGGTCATCTTCAGCGTAGATCGAAGTCGGTGAGTACGATTGGCACAATGTTTTCTGTAGATCACTGGTATTGGAACTGGGATTGACTGGATGACATTACACGTACCTGTATCTGGTGTAATCATTGTATCGAAGCCCATATGCGTTCCGTTGCTCGTTGGCGAGCTGCAAAGCTGGTCGACGATTGGCCTCAGTGTAAACATTGCACAGACAGACATATACCTCGGAATGTCAACGTGGCCATCAGAGCGTTTAGGCAGGACTGAAGCTAGGCGATTACGTTTCAAGATGCCCCGCTGATTTCCAGAGGGTTGTAGAACGTGGACGGAGCTCAAAGAAGTCACTGGCTTACTCCCGTCGCGTAACGCGTCCTCCTGCCTGCTTTGCACAATATCAGAACCAGTCCCTGTACTTCACTTCCCATTCAACATTCTCTCCCCGTCTGCATTACAAGATGGCCGATGAACTACCTCCCACCCTCCAGAACGTCCTTGATCAGCACTCTCTCAAGTGGATCTTTTGCGGCACGTCTATCCTTCACTAAACCCTCACCACGTTTGTTCACTAGTTTGTCTTCTCGTAGGTGGCAAGGGAGGCGTCGGTAAGCTCTTTCGACCCGATACCGCCCTAACTTCGCTGAACATCTCTTTCGTTAGGGAAGACCACCACGTCCTGCGCGCTTGCCATCCAGCTCGCCCAGTGTCGCGAGTCTGTTCTCCTGATCGTAAGCTCGAATCTAGCATATTCGGAAGCAACGCTGTAACAATACCTCACAGTCCACGGACCCCGCACACAATCTGTCAGATGCATTCGGTCAGAAGTTCTCCAAAGATGCAACCAAGGTCAACGGCTTTGACAACCTATCTGCCATGGAGATCGACCCGACGAGCGCGATCCAGGAGATGGTCGAGCAGTGTACGTGAATGATATGGGGTGTCTGCATATATATTCTCTAAAGCAGTCTTACCCTTGCAGCCGACTCGAATGGGATGATGGGCTCGATGATGCAGGACCTTGCATTTGCCATCCCCGGTGTAGACGAAGCCATGAGCTTCGCTGAGATCATGAAGTAAGTCGACAATGCCCAGCAATTGCCTCAATTGCTGAGCTTTAACTAGACACGTCAAGTCGATGGAGTATTCTGTTATCGTCTTTGATACCGCACCTACTGGCCACACCCTTCGCTTCCTCTCCTTCCCTACAGTCCTCGAAAAGGCGCTCGGCAAACTCAGCACGCTGAGTGGGCAGTTTGGTCCAATGATCAGACAAGTTGGTGGTTCTTCGGATTTACTGTTGCTATTCTGAAGCTTTAACAGATGTCCAGCATGATGGGCGGACAGCAAGATTCACAAGAAGACATGTTTGCCAAGCTAGAGTCGATGCGCGCGGTCATTAACGAAGTGAACACGCAATTCAAGGATCCTGTATGTATACCATTTTATGATTTGCCTTGACGGATATTGATACTTTTTACAGGAAAAGACGACTTTTGTTTGCGTGTGCATCTCCGAGTTCCTGTCTCTTTACGAGACCGAACGGCTCGTCCAAGAGTTGACCGCGTACGAGATCGACACGCATAACATCGTCGTCAACCAGTTGCTCTTCCCGAAGGCTTGTGAGTAAATTCTGATTCTTCTGCAGTACCAATAGCTTAAACGTTCTCCAGCTGCAAATTGTGAGCACTGTACTGTGCGCCAGAAAATGCAACAGAAATACCTTGGCGAAGCCCATGAGCTCTATGACGAATTCTTCCATATCATCCAACTGCCCCTTCTTACCGAGGAGGTTCGTGGGCCCCAGAAGCTCAAGGAGTTTAGCAAGATGCTTGTGGAACCATATGTGCCTAACTCGGATTAATGACTTTCTACGACGACCCTTATTATATGGGATGGTTTACAGGATAATCATACGCAATTTAATGGAAGGTGGCCATAAATCTTTGGTTGTTATGTTTTCTTCCGTTAAGCTATAGCGCGTCTCCCACCGTATTTCCCCAAAGGTTTGCAAGCGATGATCGAACGTACACAATACGCTAGGATGGTAGCCCTCGCACTGGGTTCCTGGTTAAGAATGGATATGTCAAGGTTGCTATAAGGGACTTTGAACAGAATTCACAAACTTCGAAGGCATTTTTGCGATGTACCTTAACTAGCTTAAGGCAGGCGAAAGGGAAGCTCCCTAACTCAACCGAACCCATGTCTTGTAAATAGATGGTCGTTGATAGGCGCTCAGCGTAACCCATGAGTAAATACCATGAATTCAAAACCTCGGATCCACGGGTTTCTGCGTTCAGAAAGAAAACGGATCCTTCTTCGAGTGAGTGCAATGGAGCCAACGACCGCACCGTACCACATGTAGTGATGTCGTAAAAAGACGCATCCCGTCCCAGGCTGTCACGACCTTTCACGGCAGTAGGTAACGATCACTTGAGCTTGCGTAACTGTAGTCCCGTGGATCCGGATTCATGCACTGAGATTGCTGCAAATGTGATATAGGTACAAAGTAAAATGGTTGGTCCATTGCTATGCAAGAAAGTACACCTGATTACACCCTATCAAATATTTAGCAACATTAAGGGGATGAAGATAGCTACTCACGTATCATCTAGTAGGGCAAATCAGCAATCAAGACCATTGAGATTTACACATGCGTCAACAAAAAAAACTTACCATCGTAGTGGAACCGCGTCTGCGGGTCACTCAGTACTCGATCGAGAATAGGCATGACTCACATACCTTCTTTGGGTTATCTGGCGCGTGTGCCACATATCTATCGTTGTCTGGCGGACTGAGCAATGGATTAGGGAGCTGGGAATCGTTAGCATCGACATGAACACATACCGTTCCTTAGACTAATGAAACGCGTGAGAAATGCATCAGACCCGCGGTTGAACACGCACCTTGCACGAGGCGAGCATGCTCTGAAGAGTGATGCAGACGGACGCGACGCTGAGGACTGGGGACCAGTCATTGCCGAGGATAGAGGCACAGATCTTGTTGTGCCTCAGAATGGGACGAAGCGATAAGCAGGGTATTACTTACATGGCCATTAGAGTATACATGCTGCAGAGTGGTCAGAGTTGTAAATGACATCGATCAAGCACGCACTGGATGAATTGGCGCCTGGTGGGTCTGATCTACCACAAATTGCACAGCAGGGGAGGAAATTGGGTAATGACCGTCAAAGCGGAACATGAGTTTGAACACTTCTCCCTGGAAGAAATTCGCGTCAACGTCTGGGGTATGCGGAGAAGCGTCCGTATACAGACCTGGTATAGAGTATTACCGAGGACCTCGATGGAGAAGAACCAGGTCTCGAAGTCATCCGCGCTCAGGAGCTTAATACCTAGAATGAAGCAAGGCTCTCGGTGATGTTCCTATGATCGCATTCTGAGATTGGACTGACCTGTTGGCGTGCCCTCGTGGTTGATTTCTGTGAGCTCTTTCTTCAAGCGCCGCGCAGAGATGGAGGCCATGCCGGTCCAAGTCCAAGAGTTGTCCGCTTCCTCGATCCTGTGCCCGATCGAGCATACTAGGTTATGCCCTTCCCAATCAGGCTGTTTTCCAAACAGCCCACAACAACCGTCTCATAAAATAAGCCCTCCGTTGGATAAGGTGCGATTTCTTCAATGTCATTGTCCTCCCCGCTTTAGAGTCACCTATATTCCTACTCTTTTCTTCAAGGAATCCTTAGGCGCTCGTGGGGAGGCAGACCAACCTCTTGTACCACGCTTTGGCAGATTCACGGGCATTCAGCACCCCCTGCCTTCGGTGCGCAAGATACATCCCGCCCTCGACGCCATCGATGCACACTCTTAATCCCTCGCGGTTCAACCAAAATTCCCTATCTCAGGCTTTCGTAACTCTTAGCTTTGGTTCTGTAGCTGGTATACACGACTATTATACAAATATCATCATGCAGTCTGACCTTCCATTGTTGCCTCAATTTTCTGTCCTTCTGCAACCGTCTTTGTTTCACCGGTGCGTCGTGCTCTGTCTTCCGTGATGGCCAGTAAAATGGGCCCTCCACCGGAGGTAATTAGTCTCTCTGCCAGCTGCGCTCCCACTCGCTCCGCTTCGGACGTGTTACTGATCTTTGCTAGCACTTTTTCTTCGACATGTTGCGTGCCATCGATGGAAGTAATCGTTCCGGACATTTTGAGAGACGCATGAGCGATCTTGCCATCTTCCCCTCTTACAATATCGCTCAATTCGGTGTAGGTGCCCACTGGCACGCTGCAACCTCCCTCCAGCTTGCGGAGCATCGCCCGCTCAGCCAACACTTTCCATTGCGACTCCTGGTGCAGAAGGCCTCCGCACAGCGCCCGCATTTCATCATCACCTGTCCGAATCTCCACGGCCAGGGAGCCTTGCCCAACAGCATAGTAGAGTGTTGGTGGTTTAAAGTCCAGTGTGATGCGATCGCCCAAGCCTGACCGCACCATGCCGGCCTTCGCGAGAATGAGGGCCGCGTAGGGACCGTCCTTCGCGTCCAGTTTTGCTAGACGTGTTACCCTTTTATCTCAGTCAGTTACATTGAGCAATGGAAAGCCAAGAAGTGCATTACAGATTACCGCGCTGTAAGATTAGATCAGCGCGCTTTCAGTGGAAGTGCATTGAACTCACCACATCCATGAATGCCAGCTTAGGGAACGATTTCCGTAGCTGCGCAACTCTTCTGACACTACTTGTCCCAATGACGCTTCCATCGGGCAAATCTTCCAGCCGTTTGTACGGTAGTCCCTCCTTTACTACGAGACTGTCTGCTGGGTCCTCTCGCTCCAAGATTGCACCAAGTTCGCACCCGTCAGGAAGACCGGTAGGCATGTCTTTGGCGCAGTGCACGATGATGTCCACTAGATTGTCTTTGAGAGCAACCTCAAGCTCCTTGGTCCACAGTGCTTTCCCCCCAAGCAGATACAGCGCCTGGGACTGGTTTTTGTCACCCTCGGTGGTCATGAAGGAGGTGGCGAATGTTTTGTCAGGAAATGCAGCCTCGAGCGCATCCCGGACCGCGTTGGTTTGGATCTGTGCAAGCTTGGACGCTCTCGATGCCAGAACGTACGTTCTTTTACTCGACTCGGCCATTTTATGAGAAAGTGGGTGGTGCGGAGGAGATGGATCGGTGAACGATCGGCTTGAATCCGTCCCGCGGGTCATAAGTTGGCCAGAGATAATGGCGATTAGATAAGACAACTAACGGATGCTTTTCCTGTTGAAAGTCTACTGCACTACGGTAGTGAGAGGATATCCAGTCGGTACTAACAATGATTTCATTGCGATGACATGCAATTATATCTACGACATAAATGCGACACAAATGAAAACCAGGAAGATGAAAAAACAGTGAATAGTGTCCTCATCTACCAATGCTGATCCCTCTGTTCAAGATCGTCCCCCCACTTTGACTAGAGCACTGCTGGCCCAGGTAATCTGGTATGCTAAACTGCTGAATCCTGCTCGGCAAGCTCGCGAACTGCATCAATAGCCCAGCGGCCATATGCCAGCCGATGTGACAATGGAACGCCCAAAGTCCCGGGTTGTCGCCGATGAACCGAATCGCTATCCAGCCGTACCCGGGGACGGTGAGCGTGTCTCGTCGAGGTGGATTGTTGTAGTTTAAATACACCTCTGATTGACCGGGCACGAAGGAACCATCGCCAATTCCCAACAGCCAGAATGTGTGACCGTGTAGATGGAATCTGCCAACAAACTCAATCAGTAAACATTGCCTACACATTAGAAAAGGCTAACTGTACTCACGGATGAGATGAGTCATCGTAGTTATCCATGATCAGATCAATGACCTGAATGTCATCATTGACGACCACCAGCTGACTCTGGCTGAAACTCGTCTGCGCCCCCGCTTTATACATCTGCATCAGGGTGGGATCAGCACTATCCGCTTCCCAGCTCGTGTTGTTCATATAGCCTAATGTTGCCTGACCGCCCGAAGCAAACGTCTGCTGGAACGACATCGAAACGCTGACCGTCATCGTCGAGTTTGGCGGTGGTGACTCAATGACAGGCACAAGCTGCGTTGCGTTCAAGTCGATACAGTCGCCAGGGTACGCATCGTTCCAATTCTGCGTGCTCGGGGTTGCCACAGCCGTTGCTCCGTATGTTAGCGTGCCGAGAACCATCGTATCCAAGTTGGGGTTGTCTAGCTTGTAACAGATGTCCTGCATCTCCGCACGAACATTGTACGAGCCCAACGTCTGGTTCGTCGTTAGAATTACGGAATAACGTTGTGCGACGTTGATTGGGGCACGATGAACTGCAGCGCCGACGACACTCGTGCCATCCGACTCGACAACCTCAAGCATGTGGTTGTCCACGCTGAAGACAAATTCCGTGAGGGTGGCCATGTTAATGAGGCGTAGGCGGTAGCGCAAGTTAGGCTTGAAATCAAACGATGAACCAATCATCTGGCCATTGATGAGACCGCTATCCGGGGGCGGCTCAGCGCCAGGGTTGTCGTATATGGGGCTATTTTGGTCATCAATCCCGGCATTACTGAGGTATTGTGTCAGGAGACCAGACGACATATCGTGATACCAGTCTAACCAAAGAACGAGTCAGATAACTCATGCAAAGCGCACGCATTATGGAGCTGGGTAGGACACACCAGACATGATAACAAGGGCCTCTCGATCGTAACTCCCGTAAACAGGTTCGGCGGGGGAGTGAATGACAAGTGGACCATAGATACCATCCGTATACTGAGTAGAAGCGTGCGCGTGCCACCAATACGTGCCGTACTGGTTCGGGTCGATGGTGAAACGGTAAGCTCAAGCGAGGGATCAGCTTGGGTCAATCTAAGTTGTCTAGAAACCTACTGTAGTTCATGCCAGGAGGAATGGGACACTGCGTCACCCCACTGGTGCCATCCATGTAATTTGTGCCATTTTGCCATTGCCCATGCCAGTGAATTGTTGTGCCATTCGGCAGGCTATTAAACACGTTGATAACAACTTGGTCACCACTGTTGACCTCGATAAGCGGACCCGGGAACTGATCTGCGCGAGTTCTTGAGCTCAACTCGAAAATCTTGTGCAAATAGCACCACTTACTGTTGACCACAAGCATAGTCCGCTCGTAGCCATCTGGAGCCCCAGATGCCTCTGAAACGGTCCACTCATAATACCGGGTTGTAGTCGCGTTAGATATTTGAAAGGAAGGGTCTAAAATAAACGATGAATTTGTTGTAACGTAAGTTCGAGATGAGTGATGCTTGAGTCCGAGTCCGAGGCCAACTCCGAGGGCAAGGGCGAGGACGACAACGAAGGCCAAACCAGCGAGAACGAGACATGGCAGGCTTGCGACGGGACCTATGTCCATGAGTTGAAGTAAAAAATAAAAATAAAATAGCCAGACCGAGACCTACATGCCAACCCTCGCTTTGAAGGAGATGCAGGCGCATCTGCCTCTAACTTGACTGGCGAGTCAGCGTCTCGCTCAGGGAGCGAAGGTGTCCTGGGCACTTTCTCGTTCATGGCGAGCTGTCAGGTATGCTCCGCCGGCAGAAAAGGCACAGCTGTCTCAAGGCTGGAGGATATTTAGCCTTTCGAGAACGGGGGACGTCCACACATGATATCGGGTCAATGGAGCCTATTCCTGCCACTGGGACCTGACTTGATGGTGGGAAGTGCCCAGCGAGAAGATAGCAAGCTCGTAACTGTATCTTGGAGGTGTCAGTGCATGGACGTACACGCACGTTCGTCAAGAAATCCATCGTTCGCTCACAGGGGGAAGACAGTGGCGTCAGCTGGACGCTGTAGAAATAATTGGCACAAGACAAGGCCTCTAACGTTCTGCGATCGCCATCACCAAGGTAAGCATGGTCATGCAAAGAAGCCAAAGGCGAGAGGCCACCAAAGAAGCGGAGACTAGCGGAGATGTTGTTCTCAAAATCCAAAATCCATGGGCTGACAAGGTAGTCGAGGCGTTCCAGTTGCAAGAAGCGTCTTCGAAATGAGCCAAATTTAGCACCACGACGAACGAACGTGGTCTCCTCACGTGCGTGAACAAGCAGATGGTTCGCGTCCCCGCGCCGTGACGGAGGATGTCAATGAGGCCCCTGAGCGCGAATGTGCCTCCTGTACCCACACGAACGTCAAATCGCTATCTCTTACTCATTCAAACGGCCGAAATTCCGCTTGTACAAATATCAGTTAGTTCATTCCCAAAAAATTATCCCTGTGCTTTGCCCACAGCCGGTTAACTCATTCATGGTTCTCCTCGTAGCTCTCCTCTCTGCAGCCTTTGCCCACTCGGCCTCGGCTGCCGTTGCGTCTACCTTTACTGCTCCTGCTCCCGCGTAAGCTACAAGCCCTTTCTTTACTTATTTGCATTCCTCACAATTTCCTGCCTTCCCGTACAGACCGACGAGCCAATCGCCTTTCTACGTTGGTTCGTCCAATGGCACCATTCAAAACTCGCCCCTCGTATCTGGACAGGTTTTCGACCGGTTTATCCAGATCTGGCTCGAGAATACAGACTTTTCCAGCGCTCAGTCCCAGACCGTCTTCCAGGAGCTGTCCAAACTCGGCATCACCCTCAACCAGTATTATGCTCTCACTCATACCTCTGAGCCCAACTACATAGCTGCCGTTGGTGGTGACTTCTGGGGACTCTACAACGACGACTTTGAGCAGATCCCTGCCAACATGTCGACCGTCGTCGATCTCCTCGACGAGAAACTGATCTCCTGGTCCGAATACCAGGAAAATATGCCCGAGGACGGATACACTGGGTACAACTATACCAACCCCCAGGACGGCTACACTTACTACGTCCGGAAGCACAACCCTTTGATTATCTACAACTCCGTTTCTCAAAACAGTACTCGTGCTGCCCGGATCCGCAATTTCAACGATTTTGCTGTCGATGTTAGTCTTGTCTAACTTCTAAAGACACATGCTGACATTATTGTTTTGAGTAGCTCGGGAACAACTCCCTCTCTCAATGGGTTTTTGTTACCCCAAACATCAGAGAGTGTGTCCCCAAATTCTGCCAGATGCATTCGCAAGCTAATTCTTGCATTGCATAAAATAGCGACGGCCACGACACCGACGTTGCTTATGCTTCCGAATGGCTTAACTGGTGGCTCATGCCCTTGCTCAATGATACGAACTTCAACACGGAGAGGACGTTGATTCTTCTGACCTTTGACGAGTAAGCCACATGAGATGCACCCCCGATATACCTGGACTAATTAACGATGTCCAACAAGAAACGAAACTTACACCATCAATAACCAGGTCTACAGTATTCTGCTTGGCAATGTCATCCCGGAGAACCTGCGTGGGACGACCGACTCGACCTTCTACACCCATTATTCTACGTAAGCTACACACAACTTTTCTAACCTTCTCTTTTTATATGACAACCTTGTATAGCCTCTCTACGGTTCAAGCCAACTGGGGTCTGGGTAACCTTGGCCGTCAGGACACCAACAAGACCGTCTCCAGTTAGTCGCGGTTCACCGAACCTGATATCAGAGTATCATTCACTGATAATTCTCCTCCTATAGACGTCTTCCAGTTTGTTGCCGAGATGACGAACTATACCAACGTCAACCTGACTGGCGACGCCATCCCTTGGCTCAACACGACCTTGACTGTCCCGGGCCCACTCAACCCCGAGTACTACACTCCGTGGATTGCCCCCAACACCAGCGCTGTCGGCGCCGGTGGTGGACCGACGTTCGTCGGCGCCGGGACGAACATGAACCTCAACGCGAGCTCTGCCCCTGGTCCGATCAACCTGACCGCGTCGCAGAGCAGCACCGGCGGTGCAGTGAGCCTCGTTGTAGATGGCCGGTGGTCGGCGTTGGTCGCTATTACGGGAGCCGCCGCATTCCTGCTTTAACCTTGTTCATGACGAAGAATGATAGATGTAAACTGTTTTTATTGTGGTATCGGCTTGGGTATATATTGTTGTCACAACTTTTGACTGTACAATGATGTGGTGTGATCAAGCTGCCCAAGGGTACGCCAGCTTAGAAATCTTGCACATTGCTAGTGATTTTCACAACTCACTGATGTCATGCGTGCTAGAAGCTATATGGTCCCTACTTCTAGCCGACCACGTCGGCCAATACACCTCCACGAGTCACGTCACTCAAGACTAATGGTCTGACAACCCGATTCCAATTCTGGGCCCATGTCCACCAGGTGCCCTCAGCTAACGGGTGATCGTCTCCCTCATTCAGACTCTCCGGGGGACGGGATAATCCAGCACGTAATGCGTCGATTGACGAGGATGTAGGGAATCCCGCTAATAGGTCCTGAACACATGTGTCAAGCGTATGTATGGAAGTAATGATAATGCGACAAACCTCCATTTGCTTCGCAAGCTCATCCGCGTTTTTGAACACGAGACCGTTTTTACCATGCTGAACGAGTTCCGGTAAGCTGCATTTGGAATGTAAATGATGATGCTCATCAATGGGCTGAGAGATCTCAATGATGTACATACCACTTGAAATCCAAAGCACAAACAGGAAGCCCGCAACCAAACATATCGACAACTTTCATAGGCAGGTCAAGGGCCGAAGAACTTGAGTGCAGGCACACTCCAAAATCAGCAGAACCTGTATCATAGTCAACAACGTTGTCCACTCGGACAGTGTGTAGTATCATAGCAAACTTGGATCACAAGGGACGTACCAAGCAAAACTGGGTAGTCCTCTGCCTCCAACCAAACGCTTGCACAGCGAACATACCTCCACTCTTCTTGAAGCTTCCCAACTTGACTCATGTACGAGCCGCGTAACGGACCCTTTCCAGTTATAAGCACCCACAGGCGAGGTAAACCTCCGGCTGCTTGTCTCGCTCGCTGCTCATACGTCTGCAACGCTTCCAACAAGATCCCAAAGTCTTCGTCAGGTGTCCACGATGTACTAGATACAACCAAAGCTGGTCGATCAGAGCGCATCGAGGGCATCCCCACACGAGAATATGGCCCAGGTGCGGCAGCTGGTTTATTTGGTGGGGACGAGTCATCTGTTTGGTCCTTTGTGGGATAGTACGATGTTTCTGGAGCATTAAGATGTGCCTGGACCGAGGGCTGAGGGGTAGCCACTGCGCTAGTTATCGTCGCTTCTGTGAGGGGAGTCGAAAGCGGAGCAGAGTAGCTTGGTAGAAATGCATCCATAGCTGAACGATTTGAGGCGGTCAACAAAGGCGTAAGGCGAAGAAAGAGCTATACGAGGAAGTCAGCGCGAAGCTCAGACACATTTGTGCATGAATTACCCCATGAATCTCCTGAGGGGAAGCTCTTCTGAAATGAGACGGAGGTCGGTCGTGTAAAACAACCTTTTGTCCGCTATGAATTCCACACCAAGCCCAATGTCAGAGGGGGACATGAGACCCGGTAAAGAGGCGCACATTAGTCCCCATTCGCGTTCAAGATGCTCGCGCATAGCATCAGTGACGAAGAGGTGCGCGTATGCTCTTCTTCCAAACGTTGCTTCAATCCTGTATACGAGCAAGATGTTCGGTTCAGCTTAGTTCACGACTCTACAGAAGTCAGATGCACCATTTCGCGACCTTAACCAAGGGATGCGTGACCTTGAGCTTTAGAGCGAGGATGGTGTATCCAAGGTTATGCCAGTCGATGATGAGCTTGCTTCCGCGTAGCAGGGAGACAAGATACAGGAGGGGAAGGGTTGGGATGCTTGGCGGATTCTAGTAGTCACATCTTTCAACTTGCGTGCAAATGGAGTCAAGTCGAGACGGACCTGAACAATGATGAATTCGGGTGGTTTCTCAATTTCAAGCAGCAACACAGTAAGTATGGAAAGGACTTGGTGAACAACTTTTAGAGGCCCTCCAAGGATAAAGGGCAACATGGAAAGGATGCGGGGAGGCTCATGAAGCCAAGTAAGGTGCACATGAGGGAGAGATGTGAGCGATGCGACCGGTTTCGAGCCTATAAGAGAGACATGTTTAGCTAATGCAGTGTTCAGAGAGATCGAGCATTGACCTCTATACCCGACGACATAGGTGTCGAACTCGTTCTTGGCGAAGCTTTCGGCATGATACATCATCCTCGGACTCCGTCCAACATCTCCCAGGACAAACACGACGACGGTCCTAAGAGATGGCTTCACATGACTGATCGCGTAGCTTATGCGCCACGTAATGGCGAGACCAGAAAGAACGACAAGAACGAGAGCGAGTGGAAGGGCATACTCGGTGTCGGCCTCGTCGTGTCGCGACATGCTTGACCAATTAACTGCCTCCGCTCCGGTCAATCCAATCAGAGAGGAAATGTTACGTAAGAGGCACCCATTCTGGCATATGGACCAACAGTCCGAGGTCCGAGACGCTGACTTAGACTCTCACTTGCTCACTCACCCCTCCTCACTTTCAGCATGGCTTCACGATTTGCAGCAACAACATCCTCTAGAGCGCTTTCTGGCTTCAGATCAGGCTGCAGACGGCAAGCAGTCGTGGCTTGGTCGAGGGCGTTCTCATCTTCGCCCGCACCAGCAGCCCTCCACCGCGGCCCGACACTCGCTACCGCATCCCTTACCCATGTCCACCGCAGCGGCATCTCGCAACCTCAGCACACCGCAAAGCGTTCCATGTTCATCCAAACAGAAACCACGCCAAATGAGGACTCCCTCAAATTCATACCCGGAGTCTCAGTCATGGAGACCGACGATTCCGACTCACTTACCGCCGAGTTCCTTGACACTCGCTCAGCTCTCGCCTCCCCTCTCGCCGTGCGCCTCATGGGTGTCGACGGCGTCAAAGCGGTCTTCTATGGTCCTGACTTCGTCACGGTGTCTAAAACCGAGGAGTTCTCCTGGGCTGTGGTGAAGCCCGAGATATATGCCATCCTCATGGAACACTTCTCCTCCAGTGCCCCCCTTTTCCGTAGCAAAGAGGACAGGGAACGTGCAGGTCCTCAGGACACACGCATCCTTGACACCGACTCAGATACTGTTGCCATGATCAAGGAGTTGCTCGAGACACGCGTTCGCCCTTCGATCATGGAGGACGGCGGTGATATCGAGTACCGAGGGTTCACGGAGGAAGACGGGATCGTGAAGGTCAAGTTGAAGGGAAGTTGCAGAGGATGCGACTCAAGTGCCGTTACTCTAAAGTCTGGTATTGAACGCATGCTTATGCATTACGTCCCGGAGGTCAAGGGCGTTGAACAGGTGAGATAATACATTATGCAACCTATATCAGTATGCTGATCATCATCAAAGATACTTGATGAGGAGGAAGTCATCGCTTTGGATGAGTTCAAAAAGCTCGAACAACGGTTGAACAAAGAGCAGAAGGAACCCAAGTGAGTGTTCACGTACGTGCAATCACGACATGGCTAACATTACCACTCCAGCAAAATGGCGCAATACATGTCTTTATGAGCATTTTAGATGTCCATCAGCACTTTCATTATCCCCATCGTCTATATAGACTATTCGCATGTTTGTTCGGAGATTGCACCTCTCAATGACACGGCTTATCTGCCCGAGCTCCGCCTGCATTTTACTTACGCTTCAGTTGGTGCACGCAGCATGAAAGCTCACGCGCTCACGTGTAGTGAGCATGTCTTTGAAGTGAAATAAAGATAGCGCACCGAAGCAGATTAATACGACTAAAATCTCAGCTGAACAAAGCTGAACGAGATTGCAATATGATAGATGAATTATGCATGGCGCGTCAATCGACTTCTTGAGGCTATTGAAAGTTCTTCTGACTTCGAGATACCCGATGGCTGCACCGCTTTGTCCCGCCGGGCTAACTCCTCTCTGAAAAGGTTGTGGAAATTCTACTTGTGCAGCACTTACAAGCGGTTCATGACTTCAGCACGCGTTATTGACCTTGACGCGTGTCGGTGCCAATTGGGAACAGACTTTGTTATCTGCCACCAGGTCCAGTACAACCAGCAGGTCACTGATCGATGCCTCTAGGCATGCGGCCGCCAACGCCGTGCCTTTGTTAATGGCCCCAAGGCTATTGCTGATCGCGACTCAGTATTCATATTCAGGGTCAAGTATTACAAGTACCCACCTGGGCTATCTACCTTCCTCGACCCTTCCATCTGCCAGTACAGGCACCGACTGGCTTTCTACGCAATCAGACTTCGATCTAGCTCAGCCTTCCCATGGCCACCCATTGCCACGATCCCATGCGGTCCCGCTGATATTACAAAGCTCGTTGGAAGTTCCTCTGCCCTATCAGCTCGCCTTTAGGTAATGACCACAGCCATGTCTGAGCAGACGTACTCCTCTTTTGCTGTCGTTGGTGCAGGACCCAGCATCGGCCTCAAGATCGTCAGCGTAAGCAAGATAACCCTCTTAAAAACCTGAATGTCTACTGAGTCAACGCATTGGTGACTTAGGCTCTGCTTGAGACTGGCGCCAGTGTTGTTGTACTGTCCCGAGCTCCAAAGGACGTGCCACCGGGCGCCAAGCTTGTCATAGTCGACTACGCCAGCACGTCATCCGTCGCCCAAGTCTTGAAAGAGCATGGCGTTGAAGTCATCGTGTCTGCTCTGAGTTTTTATGCGCTAGAAGCACAGGGCCCACTCGCACAAGCCGCGAAAGATACAGGCGTCAAGCTGTTTGTGCCCTCCGAATATGGTATGCCTTCAGAAGGCGGAAAGGAAGGCCATCTGCTCGCAAAATCCAATTTCGCCGGTAAGTGTGAGTTTATCTGATTATAGGCACAGTTACCAAGCACTTTCCGTCTCTCAGAATATCTCAAGTCTCTCGGTGTTCCATCGCTACGCGTCTATGTAAGGCACCAGCTACAAGGACATACGATCGAAAGTATTGACCATGAATTCGCAGGCCGGGATGTTCGCGGAGTATATTCCATGGCTCACTGGCGTACCAGATACCGGAAAGATGCTCATTATTGGAAAGGGCGATAAATCAGCATCCTTCACTTCGATTAGTGACGTGGCAGGTTCGTGTTCGTTTCTATTACTCCAGTCATGTTCACCAATACTTTGTAACTACAGGATTCTTGGCCTACGTCCTCACCACCTTGCCACCATCCCAACTACACGATGTCAGTTTTCGGATTGAAGGCGAACGCATCTCCCTGTCCTCGGTTGGAGCGCTCTACAGAGCTTCAGCCACCAAATCGTCGGTAGTGACGGAGTATGTGGATAAACTCCCGGAAAGCTTCGTAAAGCAAAGCTTTCTGCAAAACAAATTTGAGCAGGGTCGTGTTAGCTCGGGATGGGACAACTACAAGAACAGCGACGATATCTCGGCTGCGTCCAGCGGCAACGAACTCTGGAAAGATCATCGCTTCAAATCTGTGAAAGAAGCTCTCGATCTTTGAAACAGCCGTACCTCATAATGTATCGTTAATACACGCTATGTTCGATCACACTGTCCACTTTCTTGATGTGATCATGAGTAACGCCTCCTTGTCCCAAGCAATTAAATGTGAGAGATCGGCACGAATTTATGCGCCCAGCCTAGCCGCAGTGTAAAGCATGTACTTCTACACAATCGACTCGGTTCTCCTTGGCGTGTCGAGTGCGTTACAACACCGCTCCTCTCACGTCTGGATGAACATTAGTGCTTCTGCAAACAATGTGATGGCCTGAATAACTAATTTATCGCCAACTCTTCATTGTCTGTTTGCTGCTTCGAATCGAGATCTTGCGACACCACAAATCCCTTTCCACATGATACAAACTAGGTTTGCAACCATTAAAATACATTGATGTTATGCAACGCCGTCGACTTTTTTGCTATAATACAATGATGCTATGCAACTCTGTCGTATAATCTTACAAGTGTTGTTACATGAAGGAAAAACCAACGTGTCAGAGAGTTATCCCGTATGCCCCGTTTAGGAAGTTTCCTGAGGGTGAACCACCAGCTTTTTGGCACTGACCCGCTCATCCCTCAGCATGTCGAGGCCATCTTCGATACCGTTAAGTCCGCCGTGCTGGACTTCGAAGCGGTTCGGCTGGATGGACGCAATAAGCACTGCAGTGACGTGCAAATACCAACCGGACGATACATACCATTATCCTCTCATTCTTCAACCAATCGCTGAGTTGAGACCAAGTTTCCTTGCTAAAGTCCTTGTTCTGGCCGATGTGGGGGCTTCCGCGCGTCGAAACGACCTCGCGGCGGTCGCCGCTGCCGGGTTCAACCTTTGGTTCGAGGGTGACGATGAGCAGACCATCGTCGGCGAGAAGGTTCCAGCCAGCCTCCTGCGTCTCGCGACGAGAGACGGTGTCGAATACGACCCTGATAGGATCCTTGGTATGCTTTCGGACCGCCATCTTCAAATCCTCGGCAGACATGTCCCTGTCGAAGACGTGGTGAGCACCAAGGTCCTTGAGATACTTCTCGTTCTCCATGGACGCAGTGCACATGATGGGCGAGAAACCAGCATAGCGAGCAAGTTGGATAGCTGTGCAAGGTGTCAAAATTATGCCAAGCACGCAAATGTGACAAACTCACTGTAACATCCGACAGAAGTAGCACCGCCCATGATCATCATGGGACGGTTGCGGTACTTGCTCCTGTCCTTCCAGGGCGGGGTCAAGCCCGCGCCAAGGTCTCGTCCGAAGAGACCCACGGAGGCGGTGTTGAAACCAAGCGGGATTGTCGCGGCGGAGTCAAACGCGTGCTTTTCGTGCGCAAACTTGCTGGGGATCTATCGCCCATTTAAATCTCAGATGGAGAAATAAACGGCAAAAATACGTACCGTAGCAGTGAAGTCAGCTTTGCAGAGCATGTACTGCTGGAAACACGCATGATCGTTTTCCTTGTCGTAACGACCGTGAGTGAGGCTGAGAAGAATAAATGAGAAGATGGAAATCGATGTGCAGCGCTAAAGGAAGACGTACACCCTGTCACCCTTTTTGAAGTCTCGGACGCCGTCGCCGACCTCCATGACTTCACCCGCAGCGTCCATGCCAAGGACGGCAGGGAATTCTTCGACCATGAATCCGTAGTCCTGCGCCCGCCAGTCGATAGGGTTGAGAGCCGCCGAGCAAACCTTGATGAGCATCTCACCGTGGTGGGGCTTGGGGATGTCTCGCATGATGATCTCATGGTCGCCACCCTTGGACTTGACCATCCAGGCCTTCTGCTGAGACATAGTAGACATAATGATGATCGAGCGCGTAGAGTTTGTCGTGGAACTGGAAGTGTAGCCGCGTGAGCTGGGTCTTCTTCAGCGTAAATCCTGGCCATTATATCCGCGTTGGATTAGGAGCCCTTCGACCCAACGACAGAATTCGACACGTTGGTCTGTGTCACTTAGGAGTGTTGAATGAAAATTCGCTGACTCGGATGGCGCTCGGTAGCTCATTATCCCTGTCTTGGGCAAGAATGTAGCAGCTGGCAGGGATTGGCAAGGAAAGGGCTCCGTTACTTTTGCAAATGTACGGGGCAGATGGGATAACCCATGCTTCGTAGCTTCACAGGTCGAGGTGGAATGTCGAGGCAGATGATGCCAGCGCTTCCATTAAGTGGTGTTTTGGCTCCTATAGCGGATCGAGGCGCGTACATGTGAAACGAACAACAAACATCCAGGCTGTCAGGCGCTCAGAATATCCGGGTACTCATCGTCAGAGGATAGTTCAGCTGAAACCGCATTGAAATGTGTGCAAAAGCGAGTAAGATCGGAAGCGGGTTTTAGGGTTTGGCCGCCAATCAGCTCAATGTCATCTTGATCGTGGTGGTTGGATTACGACCATTGACTAGTCAGCTGGAGCAGACTGTACGCGTGAAGCTCCGTGAAGTTTCCCCTAGGCATACCCCTGCAAAGAAGCTTGAAGATAGTCATACCTTAAGCGCTTGATCGTGTCAACAACGTCAAGCTCCAACGAGAGTGTACTCGTCCGGTTCCCGTGGGTACTTTTTACTGAGATCGGCATAGCCTGACAGTTCCCGCGACGACTTCCAGCACGTTTCCTAAATGTCTGTTTCATTTTTCTGGCACTTATCTATTCCATTCTGCTTTGCAGATTCCGGTGATCAAAGGTGCAATATTGACACCGCTGACTCCCGAGAAAATTTACAGAACCGACTGTTCTCGCTTCAGTACAAGCTCTCCGAGTCTACACGGACTGTCACTTCAGAGAGTCTCCTGGGGTCTAGCTACAAGCTTAGCCCCGCTGACCTCGTTTCTCTGCAGCCGCTCTAAGCCTTCGGCGATACCTCTCAGACCATCCGGAAGAACTTCTATATTATTGGGCTAATGGCTCCCGCATCAGCGCTCGTTCTTCCTCTAGCGTAGAATATAGATATCCGCCGGTGGCAATGCAAGTACTTACCAAGATGTCTCCGTCCTCCAAATACACTTCAAGATGTCTCCAAAATACCCGGCTGAAATCCCTGTTCTGCGGGGCATACGGCACCCCAGAGACTTGCAGGACCTGACGCGTGTCTCCCGTTCCTGGCTGTACCAGCGCACCGAGCGTTACGACCATCTTACCCCCTTGCGCAAGTAAAAGCCATCCGGTCTCCTGCGTCTCTTTCGTAGAAATTGCGTCGTAAACAGTCTTCACAGGGCTACTCGTGATACTCTCGACTTCAATCTTGATGTCGCTTGGGGAGAGCTGCCTATCAACGACGTGCGTTGCGCCAAGGTCCTCTAGATATTCTTCGTGACGAAGGGAGGCAGTAGCGATGATTGTTGAAAACCCAGCCAACCGCGCGGCCTGGATTGCTTTTTGGGGGGTCCAATTTAGAAGACGTGCAACGCTCCTGAAGACGTTTCATGCACTCACCATATGCCCCCACGGACGAAGAACCTCCCAAGATAACGATGGTCTGCCCTCCGTACTTTCCAGGTTGATCCCACGGCGCAACCAGGCCAGCATACTGTGATCCAAACAGGCCGATCACCGCGGTGTCCAAGCCGAGGGGGATAGAAGCGCCCTCGTCATCTGACACCTCAGCTGGTATCTGTGGAAACACGCCTGTGAGCTCTCCGTGCCATCCCCACTGACGCTCGAGCGTTCACCTTCGCTGTAAAGTCGGCAACAGCTAAAACGTACTGCTGGAACGCCGCGTGCTTGTTCTCGTATTGGGTGTGGGTGATCCTGCAGATACATCGTCAGGAGGCTGGCTGCTACCTTTGACACTGCTACACAAGGCTGTGAATCGAAGGAAATTACTCACACCCTGTCTCCCTTTGCAAGACCCGTCACTCCGGCGCCCACCTCCTCCACGGTACCTGCCGCGTCCATACCAAGTATCGCGGGATACCTGTTGACTATAACACCGTAGGCCTGGACCTTCCAGTCGATTGGGTTCAGCGCAGCGGCGGTGACTCTCAGGAGCACCTCGCCATGGCCGGGGTGAGGTATCTTATTTGCTCCGACCGCAAAGGCGCCTTGCTTGCTCTGCAAATACAAAACCTTCTGAGACATCGACAGAGTGGGGGTGAATGCACTATGGTAACTGATAGCAGTTGGACGGTGATACTAGAGCTTGAAGGAGATTCAGACGCCTCGAGCTTATAGCCCCCCTTTGCTATACATAACTGCATGACCTCGGATTCTCAAGCTCAAGCTGGTGGTCGGGAACTAGCGGGCGAGGGAACAGATCAACGCCCCTAATGTAAAGAGCGTTTCCATTGGAGGCGAGTGGGAATCCCATTTTAGCATTCCGTTACCCATTCTGTGCATCTGAGCGGCCGAGCGCCTACGTACATGCTCACGCGCTCACAAACGGCTATAGCCGAGCAAAAGCCAAGTGTAGGCTATATCCTAGTAGATGTCGGTGAATCACGATGTATGGTTACAAGACGAACTTGAAAAGACGAAGTGACTGTGTTTCGAATATTGTGAACGTAATGCTTTGCCCCGTCAACATAATAATGCGCCTCGGTTGAAAGGACATCGAATCATTTGGTGTCAACATCTTCCATTTGCCAACATTTTACATACATGCGTCAAGTGTGAATAGCTTCACGAGTACCACAACCAACGCTGACCGGGATCGATGGAGGATTGCTGGGTGAGAGTTCATTCATTTCAGCTAGACCACTTACATTAGATCTTCAAGACCCAACGCCCGTAGCGCAATAACATTACTCGGCGGTCAAGTCTCAAGCAGACAGCTGACAGCAACGTGAAGACGCAGAGTGCAATTGAAGGACAGCCAGAAGCAAGGGCGAAGGGATCAGCAAGCCGGGATCGGCATCACGAGTATTATATCGTATGAAAGCATCCAGAGCCCAAGTGACGTCAAGCCCACCGTGCAAGTCATGAGATTGAATGGATCGCCCCAGAAACACTAGCCCTTGGACGGCTAATTTGCATCTTCATTCTAGAACAGCCCACATCTCCGAGCAATCACCTTCGACTAAAATACTGCGGTTCCTGGTATGTGAATTGGAAGAACTCGTTTCGAGGGGATCGATGGATCGTTGACCCCAGCGAGTCATGAGATCTTCCGTGAGTTTGTTTTACTGCGCCAGACCGCAGCCCAGGCCAGGCGCAACTAGAGCTGGGAAGACAAATGGATCCCGGCATGTCGTCATTGCAAGGCTGGGGTGGTACTTCTTGGTTATAATACCCGGATCGCGAGGCAAGTCAAATGAGAGGACTGACATGAGGATACCCCGTTGCACGGTCACTTTTTCGAGGCCACGTCAAACGCTAAGATTTGGATTGGGCTGAAGTCCACTGGAGTGGGTCGATCAAGGGTCGATGTCGCCTCGACGAGTGGAGAGAATAGGAATAGAGCATATTGATATTGCATAGGGCATGGAATTGCGGTCAAGGTCTCGCACCTTTTGGCTCAGGCGTGAAAGCGAGATCTGCATATTTTCAAGGGCGGAAATAAACCTGCCTGAGCGTGGCGTAATGGAACCCATGATGATGAGTACCGCAGAGATGAGAATGGGGCAGACTCTTTACGGAGATGATCAAAGAGAGTATCGAGGCCGAGGCGTAAGGCGTACTGCAGGGGACTGGGCGCTGCAAAGAAGCTGTAAGTATCCACAGCTATGTAAGAATATACACACCATGTGTCAAGCAGTCTAAACGTTTCACGCTAATGCCTTCTTGCGTCGATCTTTTGGTTTTCGTGAACCATAACCATCATTTATATGGCAGCAGCTGCAGGCAGGCTCTCGGATAGTGAAGCTGATAGCGGGTAGTCTCTCTGGCACGTGTTTGCTTAACGCTGTAGCGTGTTGTTTAGATATAACAGCAGGTACACGGGGAAATTGACGGCCGGCATGGACGGGAGGGCGAAGACTCGGATAGAAGAAGAAGCGTGTAAACGTGGCGCTTTTCGATGGAGTGTAGGACCCCCGAAAGTTCCTGTCAAGGTGTACCTAGGGTTCGGGCTCGGGTTTTGACCAGGTAGAAACTCAAGCTTGTGCTGGATGGACGGCGTCAAGGACCCGAGACTGAGGAAGTCGACAGAAAGAGGTAGTGGGCGTTTGCCGTGTGAATAGAGACTATCTTTGCGTGTATCAGCGGAAATATCAAGATTGATATTCATTACGCCCATATGTTTGCTCAACCCTACAGTCAATCTCTCACCTGCCAACACTTCAGTCTACGGTTTACGAGCTTGGAACTTTGCTTCAGGCTTTTTGTGTATGCTTTGTGTTTTATCCGGACCTCGTCTTTTCAGCACGATTGGTGGTCATGAAATCGGCTAGAAGAGTTTCAATCTTTTCCCGCGACCTTAATGAGAAGATGGTAGCGTAGTTGCACAAATGCGATTTTCATTGGATGGCGACGTACACACCGAATCTGAATGACTGTGAAGTGTTTGAAAATGCCGACCTATAGACGACCTTGGCAGAACCCGGGGTTCGAGGTGCATAGAAGGCGATGGCCGGAGCCGAAAAGCCGGGGTTTTGACAGGTACCAGGGTTTGAGGTCGGGGTTGGGCGTTTGGCATAATGGATCGGGGGCCTGGAGGAACAGAGTTGTTTCTGCGTGGTTCCGTGGGGGTATGACGTCATGGGGATCAATGAAGCCTGGACCCGGGTTGGGCCTGGGCCAGGCATGACATCATAAGATTCGTGTCAAGGAGATCGGGAGAAGGGTGCATCTGGGTGCATGAGGAATCGATCTGTTGTGCTCACTTTTGACAACGAACGCTCTAGTGACCATATCGCCCAGCAGAGCTAGAGACTTCCTCCCACCAACTCCCATCGACCATGGATAAGCCCAAGTCTCAGCACGGTCAGGACGCCGGTCGTCCCCAGCCCGGAGATGGACCCCGCCCCACCGTCGACGGCCCAAACGCTGATGATTTTTTCTCCTCCATTCCGTTCGGCAGCACTGCCCACCATCATCCCTCCACGTCTTCCAGAACGGAGAGCATCGACTCTTTCGCCAACGCCATCGCCCAGCGTTTCGGACAGTCCGACCTTCTCACAGCCCGCCTCATCCCGGAATCCCACCGCAGAACCTCCCTCCTCCCCCATTCCCCCATCCCCCACTTCAATCTCTCCCCATCAACTCCGATGGCCCATCCCCGTCGCCCACCCATCTCCAACGCCCCCTCCCTCACCCCAGCCCAGCCATCCGTCGCCCCTGAGATTGACTTCCCATCCGTGTCCCCCGCAGACCTTGATCAATACCTCGACGATGTATCCACCCTCATACTCGATATCCGCCCCCATGCCGCCCACACCGCAGCACGCATACATCGTTCCCTCTCCCTCTCCGTCCCTTCCACCCTCCTCAAGCGTCCACTTTTCTCCCTCGCAAAGCTCACCCAGATGCTTCCCTCCCCCAATGCCAGGACAAAATTTTCGGCCTGGACCACCGCTTCCCGCATCCTCGTCTACGACACTGACTCTACCGTTATCCCCACCTCATCCAACATCTACGGCCTCCTCCGCAAATTCCGTCTTGAGGGCTTCAAGGGCGAGCTTGTCTGGCTTCGGGGTGGATTCCATACAGTCTGGAAAGATCAGCGCCATCTCGTCACAAGCGATCCAGCGTCACCGGAGGAAGATGACGAGGACCAACCGCGAGCAAGTGGCGTACCGAGTGGTGCAGCCATGCTTCGCACGAGGCATCTCCCCAAGTCCGCCTTTAATACCTCTACGATTGCCGCGAGCGGTCCATCAGTAGGTATAGTACCCACAACACGGGCCTCGAATCCCTTTTTCGATACCATCCGCCAGAACGTCGAACTCTCCCATGGCATCACTGAGCGTATACCCTTGCGTCTCCCGAGACGGGTCCGCAGGCGCATCCACGATCTCCCCTTCCGCTGGCTGCAGCATATCGCTCGTCGCAGCGCCATCCGTGAGCTTGATCCGGGCGAGTCCTCTGACTCAGAGGAGTACATGCCTGGAGACGACGAGCCTAACGACGGTGAAGTCGACGAAGGCTCGGAAACACTCGCAATGCAGTTTTACCGCATAGAGCTTGCTGAGCAGCGTCGTCTCTTGACCGTCATGGAGCACCACTCCCGCGAATCAGGTCCTATTGCCGGTAGAAGTGTCTTCGCCGTTCCGAGTTCGCCGCACTCGAGTAAAGAAGCTTTCCCATTCAGTATCATTGCAGGTGTCGAAAAAGGCACCAAGAATAGGCAAGTTCCGCATAAATTAGCCGACCAATTGGACTGATATTGATTGACGCTCAGGTACAATCACATTTGGCCATTCGAGCACGCTCGCGTGCGGCTTCACGATGGCAAACATCGTGGTTCTTACCCCGGACCTGCGCCAATAGCTTATAGTCTAGGTGCACGAGCAGTTGGCCCTCCTGAGGACAAGCATGCCGACCTCTCGAGCGTGAGGGTGGCGCCTGAGCCTACCCGTCCACAGGTCGACAACACCGTCGCCGCGTTGGCACTGGAACGGCCGGCATTTCGACGTAGTTCGGATAGCTCAGCGCGTTCCAGCAGCACATCGGTGTCCAGCAGTGGCAAGAATACTCCTAGTAGCAGTGACGGGGCAAAGAGATCGCCTGACTTGAGCAAGTCGTCCTTGGCGCCCTTCAAGCCAGGAGATTCCGCCTCACAAGCGCAGGCTTCGCGAAAATCGTCGCCTCCTCAAAGTGCCGGTCCGAGCAAGAGGAGGTCGCCTCCATCGGCAAGGTCCTCAGCGTCGCCGCAAGACCATTCAAGAGTACACTTTCCGTCCAAAGAGGCAGCTGGATTAGTGCCTTCATCCAAGTCGAGTCGGCCAACATCGGCTCACCCCGGTATATTATACCTGCCTCTTGCTCCACCAGCCGGGCTCGCAATGGGTCCAGCAACAACTTCGTCACCAGCCGGACTCATTCGTTCACCCTTTGAGCGCGAGCTGTCTCCGGAAGACGATTACGTGAATGCATCGTATGTGCAGCCTTTGGGTACTCCCAAGCGGTATATCGCCACGCAAGGTCCTCTCCCTGCCACCTATGTTGATTTTTGGACGTAAGTGGTAAACCATATCGGGAAAGCATTTACTAACCTTTCCTTGCGCTTGTTTCTTTTTGCGCTTACCTTCCACTTCCACTAACCTCTCGGTAGCCTATGTTGGGAGCAAAACGTGCACGTCATCGTCATGCTCACCCGCGAGGTTGAGAATGCAATGGTCAAATGTGGCACGTACTGGACGGACACAACCTACGGCCCTCTACGTCTCCGCCTTGTGTCATCTTCTCCGGCAGTCTCACCGTCAGAGACGACTGAAAACAAGGGGTTTTTCTTCGCGCTTCGTGATCCAACGCCCGGTGGCGTGCACAACCGTCAGAGGCGTCATACGACAATCAAACGCATCTTCGAGCTCAGCCATGACCAATACCCAAACGTACCCCCTCGCCGCCTAACCCATTTCCAATACTTGGAGTGGCCCGACATGAATGTACCGGAAGATCCTCGCGGGGTCCTGCAGTTAATTCGCGAGGTCGAGCGCGCCGTCGCTGAGTCGTCCCCTGGTCCTTCACCTAGCAGCACGACTCCCGACACTTGGCCATCTGACAATGAGGACACCCTGGCGGCATACTTTTCCCCTGGCGGCTCTCATCACGTTGGGACGGACAAGGAACGTTTTCTGCATGCTTGGCGAAACCCTGAACTTGACCCCAAGACGGGTGTCGCCAAATTCGCGCTTGGCAAGCGCTCGCCAGTGCTCCTTCACTGCAGCGCAGGGGTCGGGCGCACGGGCGGGTTCATCACCGTCGACGCTGTCCTAGACGGAATCAAACGCGAAATGCGCAAGAGACGGAACATGCGTTCGCAGCAGGCAGCACAGGAGATGGCGATGGACGTCGATGAACCAGAGACAGTCAGTGAAACGTCAAAGGAGCCCCAGGACGTGGCGTCAGAGGGGGGTGACGTTAGCGCTAGCGGTGAGCTGCCCACAGCTGCTAGCTCCAAGGCCGAGGCGGGAGATTCCAAAGAAACACGACGCGCTATGAACGATGCTCGTGCTCAGCAAGCTGGAAGCCCAATAGCAGGCACTGTTCCTTTGCACGTTACTGCCGGCGCTGATCGCAAGAAACCTCGGCGGTCGCAGCACCACCCTCACCACGGCAAGGTAGTTGGAGAGAACACAGATTCGTCCGAGTCGCTCGTCGTGCATGTCCCATATGCCAGCGGTGGAGAGGGTACTATCGGTCCGGCCGATGACAAGATGGATCTCGACAACGACGACAAGGTTCAGCTTAACGTAACCAAGGGTGGCTGGCAGTCCACTTCCACCCGTGAATGGGCCGAGCAAGTTTCTGACCAAACAGGCGCTGGAACCATGCCTCAGACCCTCAGTGACCCATCACTTCCTATGCCCATGTCCCTGTCTGCGCTTCCTTCGCATGTTCCTTCACGAAACCGATCTCCGACAAGTGGAAGCGTGAGCAGTGGTCCTAGCGCTCTTAACTCTGCGGATGATTCTATCGGCGTGGGTGGTGGAGCTAGTGCTGCTGAAAGCGCCGGCGGGAAAGCAACGAGTCAACGGAGTGGAGCGAGTGGTGGAGGCAGTGGAAGCGAAGGGAGTGCGGCTGGGCTGAGCGCAAGTGGGTCTGGTGCTGGCAGCGGTCTGGGAAGCGGGGGGAGCTCGGGCATTGGGAGTGGTATCAGTGGGCTGGCAAGCGGTGGCAGCGGTGTAACGAGTGGTGTGGATAGCGGTGTGGATAGTGGTGGCAGTGGTGTCGTACCCCCATCCTCGTCTATCTCTGGAAACTCGGGATCGCTATATGCGAGCGGGAGCGGAGCTACGACATCAAGTTCTGCACTGGGCTCTAGCGGGTTCATGGGATTCATGCGACAGCGGTTGCAGGACGACTCTGGAACATCGCTCTCCAACATTTCCCAAGGATCAACGGGAAGCAGGAGTAAGAGCGGATCTGGAAAACCTACCCGACTCTCCTCAGCAGTCCACTTTGGCAGCGAAAGCCCTATGAGCGGTGCAAGCAAGTCAGGGGAGAGCAGGAGTGGTGGCGACAACGAGGAATACAATATGGACATCGTTGAGCAAGAACGGCCCCTCAGTGTTCCTGTCCCGATTCAGGACCTTGCTCTTTCCCCCGCCGGCGGCCTGCCTTCGCGCGAAGGTTCGCAAGTGCAATCTCGCGAATCGCCCCCGCGGTCCGGACAGGAAGCCGTTCAATTCAAAGAAGCTTCTGATTCACCATCTTCGCGCCTGATAACAACACGCCAGCGTACAATGTCTCCGGGTCGCGTGGAGGAGGGTGCCTCGCTTGTCACCGACGTAGCCGCTCAGGCTCCGGGAGAGAGCCAGAAGCAATCGCTGCGCTTGGGCCCCGGCTCCGATAAGTCCTACGATTCCTTGAAGAGCAGTGACAGTGGTGTAGGCGCGGATGCCGAGAAAAGTGGGAGCGGAGGAGACGGCAATGTGCTCTCAGACGGGAGCATGGGAATGGTGCCTAGCTCGAGGTCCGATTCTTCAGGCGAACAAAAGGCGAAAGTTGGCGGTCACTCTGGATTATTGAAGGATATTAGCATGGGCAATGCAACGGTCGATGTCGATGAACCCGCGCCGATCTCAAGCAAGCCGCAGCTGCCTCCGTCGGATGGCATCAAGTCTGGCCCGCTCCAGAAGACAGCCCAAATTCAGCCCCCGACGTCGTTACCGCGCGTACCTGAAAATTCCGATCTGCCCCCCGCGCATTCCAGCCACCCGCCTCCCACCGGCAAGCACCCTCTGCCCTCCATCATCGAACCAGACCAGCGTGCTGCTGGTCACTCCATGATCGATTACAAGCTTCCAAGGACACTCCATTCCGAACTCTCTCCTCCCCTTCTCTCCTCGTACGACGACCCGATATGCACCGTCGTGCAGGACATGCGCGAGCAACGCATGAGCTTGTGCCAAAGCTTGCGTCAATACGTCTTCGTCCATGCTGCCGTTATTGAGGGCGCTTTGATGCTCGCCGACGAGGAGCGGGAGCTGTACGGTGACAGCACAACTAGCGATAGCTCGCCTGGTGGCCCTATCAGCTCTGGAATGAGCTCCTGGGGTGGTCCCCGCAAGAACGACGAGGTCGAGGTCACCAAAGCAGGCTCCTGGTTCGCCGCCGCCATCATTCCCGATAATGAACCGGAACGCAAGACCGCCATCCGCCATCGCGTGCAATCCTTCCCACCCCGGAGGTCACTTGCTGGGAGCCCCGCCAGTAGCAGCAATGGCGGAGGTATGCCGGGCACAACCTTGAAATCGTCGGGATCAGGAGTGTCAGGGTCTTTTGGATCAGGATCTAAAGGATCGGGCATGTCGTCAACACCATCGTACGGGAAGAGGCGCGCCAGCCCGACCGAGTTGCCCAAGGAAGACAAGACGGGTAGCACGTCGCTCGCAAAACGGCCCAGCATAAAGAGAAGGACTCACGGTAGCGAAGATAGCGTTGCCGAGTTCGAGGCTGAAGGATCGGTGGCTACACGGACTGGAAGGTCTTGAAGGGTGGACGAGGGGAGGGTGGTGGTGGTCAGAGGGTGCATCGATGGGGCATCATTCGTCGTCGCATGGTTTTCTCATGAGGGTCGCGAGTTCAAGGGTGCACGTTTTCCGCAGTCGGCCAGACGATGGGGTGGAGAAGGTGAGTTGGACGTTGTCGATCGGAGGACGTCTCACGTTGACTAAATTTTGACAGGCTGGGTGGTCTTTGGGACGACATCACTCCTCATCACCCCCTCCGGTGACCGGTTAATGCGTCAGAAGAATATGTGCCCCATAAACCCCCATTTCCCTAATGGCATTACCACGGGCGGGCCCCCAACTTTGGCTGGTACACGGACCTCTACCACTGGCTGGAATTTCCTGTTATTTTTCACGTTGCGGAACCTGAGACCCTCGCTTAAGCCCCTGATTCGGGGCGGAGGGCGACCACATGCCTCTTTGGTGCTTAGACTCGGACTGGGAGTTCTATTTTTTCTCTTCGTTATCTCTGCTATATCATACTTCTGTTGCTCAGGTTAAAACCACTTTAGCTAAACAACTTGCTCTTATTTCACGCACGACCGCCCTCACTTACATATGCATTCACACTCAGTGCTACCTCATACGTGCATTCTGGTACTTGTCTGTAATCAAATAGCATAATGGATATATCCTTTTGGGTCTTTCTTGGGGCGGTTAACAGCTTGAGTGTGTACCTGTGGGGTGGGATCGAGCCATAAAGAGTTCTTCGATGCGATGCGGATACATCCACTTGGACAGCAGCCGTGGAGCACCACGGGCTGCTTTCGGCAGGTCAGACAGGTCCAATCATCAGACATCAGACATTAGCAACGACCTGCGAAGACTCACAGACCGGTCTTGCAGACGTTGGCTGCCTCAAGCTTAAGGTAGAACCGTCCAGGTCGAGTCGACGTTGAAAAGGGAGAAATGACGAAAGCTACCGGTCGCTGACGCGCTGACGTCCTGCGACACGGAATCTGCGGAACTGAATTGCCTTGTCCGAGCTTGTCCGATGACGCGGCGGCCAGCAGGAAACGGAGGTATCCGGGCCAACAGGGGTAACCCTAGTTCTCCGCGTCGTCAGCTGCTCGTTCCAGCCACTTCGCAAGGTTAAGTTCAGACGAGACTTGCAAACTTTCAGCCGCCCAGCCCCTGTGCAGCGCATATAGACGGTACTTTTAGTAGGTGAAGTTCTGATATCGTTGACATGAACGGAACCACTTTGGCTCCACAGAGGCCGACGTCATTCTCGTTATCCGAGTCTCGTTCCGTTGACCTTTCCCAACTTCCCCGACAATGCGTTTCGTCATTCCGCTGGTTTGTCTCGACAGACGCAACAGTACTATTCGTGAACATGCTCATCGTTGCTCACAAAGTGCGAGCGTTATAAACACCAACATGAGCTAAATCGGCCAACAATGCTGTTGGGCAGCTAAATTTGAGAGAAGATAAAAGTACAGTAGTGCACTCAAGCCAATTACATGAGAGTTCCGCAACCAAAAGCCCAAAACAGCGCAAGAAAGAAGATATCAAGATAGAGAGAGAGGAGCAATGAACCGAGCTCAAGAATACACCTGGGTTATATATGAGTCGAACACTTTCTTAGTAAACCTTACGACATCATTGGTGTCGAGGGAGAACCATGGGCGTGCCCACTGCTGCAACATCCACCACACTCTTCTCGACATCCACACCTTCCCTCAGGACAGCCACAGTTTCCAGAACAGCACTCCAGTCTTGGAATTCTCACAAGCCCATACGCTGCACCGTGCCGATCATCGTTCCCCGTGAACACCGAGCTCGGATACACCATCACATTCATCGGGTCCATGTTCATGCTCATTTTGCGGCTCGCTGGCGGACTCGGCAGAGCCGCCGCTCGCGCGAGAAACTGGTCGATCATGCTCTTTCCCGCCGGCGACACTCTGGTTACCGAGCCTCCGGTAAAGGCCTGCCCGTCCAACCCGGCAGGAAGTTCGACACCCTCTGATGGATCGATGCAGTAGCCACAACCGTCCTTGCAGTCCTTGTGGTCTCGCGAAGCATGCTGTTCCCCTCGGTGCTCCACACATCCGGGGCAGGCGCAATCGAACCCGCATGTGCAACCGGAGCCAGCGATCGAGGTGATTGCACTGAGAGGGGGTATCGATGCGAACTCGGGTATTCGTGCGTTTGGAGAGCCAAGAAACGTCTGGGCAGTGTGAATAGGTGGCAGGTCGATGGTCGGCGGTGGGGAGCGTGACGGTTGGTTTCGCTGGCAACATGACCGCTTTCCATCCGACTTGGGTTGCGGGGAGGTTGGACCCGGATCGAGGAAGGGGTTCGCCTGATCCGCTTGGTACTGCAACGCTGCCGCATGTGCCAGTGCAGCAAGTCCACCAGAACGCGTTGACGGGACACTCTCCATGGATGACATTGCAGAGTTAGCGACGGACACCCCACATCGACATTCTCGCGTGCATGAGCAGTTGCATGGATTTAGCAGACGGTCAACTGATAAAATTAAGATTAAATCAAGGCGAGTTTATCAAAAAAAATGTCAAAAGGTTCATACCGCTTTGTCTTGACTGCGAGGATGCATTGGAAGGGCCGGCAATGACGTCAGATAGACCGTTGGGCAGGGTCGGAATAGAGGGCATGAAACGCTTTGCTGAACAGGGACAAGACGAGGTTGAGCCCTGGTCTTTGTCTGGAAATGAGACAAGCCAGGACATACGTTTTTTATCTGAGCGAGACATGGTCGGGATTGGCACTTTGTCTACTTCTTGAGGTCTATCGTTGCACGAGCAGCGCGAGTGCATGCGCTTTGACTGTCTGAGCTGGCGGCATCGATCGCATTGGGAGACTGGGCGGCCCTTCTTCTTGACTTCAAAGAGGGGCCGTTCGTTGTGCTGACAGGACGAAGACCTGTGGCCTTTGATGCACGATTCGCTGGATTCGCAATGATGAGCTTCTCATGATCCAAGAGGAAGAAGAAGGATGAAACATACCAGGCAAACTTCTTGTCGTTGACGTATACCTAGAAAGGTTCGTGTCAGCTAGGGGGGATGATGGGTTGCAAAGCAGTGAACTGACCATGCAAGTGGTTTGAGTGAGGAATGTTGGAAGAGATGAAGCGGGCGGATTCTGGGCGGAGAATGAGTGTTAAGGAGAGCGAGGTATATATGCGCGTGGCCAGTGGAGAGGGACCCGAGGATTGGCTGGCGAAGAGGATCCGTTTTACCTGAAGCATTGGCATCAACTCACCCCCGATGGAAGCTCCTAATGGCACCCACGTGACATGCGCTCACCACCATGCAACTTCCGTCCCTGTCCTGATCTTCACTCAGTTTATGCCTCTTTGGACAAGCCAAGAAGTTGTTAGACGCCTGTTGTCTAAAATATCGTGCAGTACCTTCTCGCTCGCTGCGACTGTGTACCGCACCAGTGTCTTCTCGTCATTGTTTGCACGCCCGCCAAGCTCATGACGTCTGCATCTACAAGCCACCTTCTCAACCTCAGCGTATGACAAGATTCCTTAGATCCAGCACTCAGAGGTATCGTATGTTCTCTTCGGATCTTACCCACCATTATTGTCGCATCACTTCGAACGCGACCCAGGGCCATGGTACGGGTCATGTTCTGGCGCCTCACTCCTCCACGAGACCTCCCACAGGCCCACTCAACGCATGAGCACCCAACATCAAACAAACGTTACCGTCGGCATTTTTCTAGCTGTCTCCCTTGGCACCGGTGGCGTTTTTTGATCCTTTACCTCCTGCGAGGATTTGGCCGCATGAAATGCCTCATCCTCTTTTGCCGTGTAAGTGACACTAACTGCATATATCATATCTGTCTTGAACCTGACACAAGACATCTCAGACATCTCAGCAAACCAGAACCTAGGGCCTGGGACCCCCACGGTCACGGCGACTGCCCCTACCAAATGGCTGGTTCCGAACTTACGCGTTTTGGTGATCGCACAGGTCAAAAACAAAAATACTTCCAAGTCTTTATCGTCGTTGTACGACCGCTGATATCCGCCTCTAAGAGTGCTGCTATCCATGCATCGTCAGCCTAGAGCGCAAGCGGCAGAGACGGAGCCCCGGGACAAGTGCAGCTCTCAATCTTTTTCCACAACCAACTAGCGCTATTCTGGGCTTGTCGTTGTGTACTCGCAAAAAACCCTCTTCAACTTGGCGAACAAGGTCCAGAGATCAGGTTCACGCATGTTACTTGTGCCCCCAGGCCGCGCGGTCTCAGCAAATTTGTCTCGTTGCCCCAGCTCCTCGGCCGAACGTCATTGGTCCGTGGCACATACAGCGCAGTGGCGCCCATCTGCATCAAGCAGTGGTTCTCGTGTTCGTATTAAACTTATCCGCATCTGTCGGTTCTCTGAGTACTAAAGATACGGATGCTTCGCGACACGCTAACCTCCCGCGCACATTGAGCGTGCATGACGTTTTGTAACTTTTATCCGTCTGGGTAGTAACTAAACAGTAGCATCTGACCATTCATCCGAACTGACGACTTCGCCACTTCCACGTTCGCGGTCGTTATCTCACTACCCTACTTCGGCCAGCCGAAGCGCATCATAGATTCTTCAGGTGGCCGACAGTATAGCATCGGGACCGCGGCGTTTTGGACCGTACCAAAATTCGCAAAAAGAAAAGAAGGGAGAAAAAGATAAAAAGAAATGCTTATGTTAAGACCTGATGTCGATTACTAACTAAAGGCTGGTCATAAGACCTCTTGTGCATCTATTCTTGGGACAATTACGGTAAGGGCGTGGCCAAGGAAGCCTCGATACTACATTACAGGCTTTTGAAAAACCAATCAGCGCGAGAGATGGTTCAATGGGGATGAAGTAAAGTCAGCCTCGGGCCCGTGCATCAAAATGCGTCTGAGTTCATTGCGTACCTCTCACAACGTCTAGATTCTTTGCGTACCCTCCAGGATGTCGCGTCAATACCTCTGAACGCATCGGTACCGCACCAGTCACGATCAATCAACAATCAACTGGGGCCGAAATCCTACAAGCAATCAAGCAAGCAATAATCGAGCTTGACCTTCAAAGCAGAGTTTCAACTGTATGCCACAGTACTAGTACTGCCAGAGTGCTGTTCATAATGATACTGAGACGAGTAAAAGCCAAAGACCCAGCTTGCACAGGTCGTGCATCCGATGAAGCCAAGATGTCTTACTTAGAAGAGAAAAATAAGCGACAAGTCCGACGAGTCCGACAACAAGCCTGCCTTGGATCGCATTTGCAGCATCTCGCAGCTAAAGCCATTCGTATGCTGTCCCTCCAAGTACCCTCGCGGTGGTGGTACCACACCAGTCCCAACAGCCTCAAAGGTCCCCCTTGTATCAAGCAATCGTCAAATTGAACGCCGTGCGGTAAATTAACTCAAAGGAACGAAGTAAAAGAAAGGAGTCAAACATCCGCCTATCAGATGTTCTGGTCGCCGCTCAATCCACCCATGATGATATATGATATCCCGTGTTCACGTAGGAGAAGGCAAAGAAAACGAAGAAGAACAAAAGGAATAAAGATCTCCGAGTACGAAACCGAATGTCTACTGAACGTAGTTCCCAGGGAATACGCCTTCCTGGCCGTTCACTCGGCCCGTCCACCAGTCCTCCTGACTGTCCGTCTTCTTCAAGATCTCGATCCTGTCGCCCGTCTTAAACGACAAATCACCGTCCGCCTGTTATTCAAGCGTTAATGCACGCATCAGCAAAAGTTCCTAGCTGACAAATCGGCGGCCTACCTGCGCATCGAAGTCGTACAGCGCCGTTACGTATTCCTTCGGCGGCTCCATCTTCGGCTTCGGCTTTATTGGCGGAGGCGGAGGCGCCCGCTTTGTCGCTGCAGCGGCAGCCATGCTCGCCCCGTTCTCCCCGGCGCTGTACGGTGGTGGAGGCGCTGGCGCAGCTTTTGAGCCAGGAGGCTGTGGAGGTGCCTTCTTGATGAACGACGGGGCTGCTCTAGACGGGGGCATGCCGCGCGAGGAGCTCGCAGCACTTGACGCCGTCGCCGTGCTCGTGGAACGGCCGAGGGAAGAGCCTCCACCGCCATTCGCTCGGTTTTGTTGGACTAATTTGGCTGCAGAGCGAATACGCGTAAGCATATCATAATAAGGAGAACCTGTTTATCTTTGAGAACTTACACGTAGACAAAATACGCTTGGTGATGCCCATTTCCTCTATCGTACTCCAAGCGTCTGACCTCTTTTCCTCGTAGTCATTGGAGATCTGTGATCCCGGGACGTTGGTCACGTCGTATTTCCCCTCCGCAAAGGAGTTTACTTTCTCCAGCATAAGATAATAAACGTTAAGCCTTTCAGATTATTGGTGAGGGCGTTTCACAATTATGGCTCCAGCACACTCACTGCATGTAAAAGAACGAGTGGAACAGGGGATCAATGAACTGCGTGGCGAGCTGCATAAAGCGCGGCAAGTCGCTCTTGAGCTGGTTGTTGATATAATCATACTCGTTCGTCGCGTTCTCGAAGTCTTGCTCAAGCTATTGGGCACTTTAGTATCCGCCTGGCCACACCTCGCGTCCGTTGGTGCTCTCACCTTGAACAAATTCTTCTCATCGCTTAAAGACTTTTCCTTCTTATCACGCAGCTTTGTGAGTGAGTTGTTGTATCGATCATAGTCAACCAGCTTGTGTTCACGTTTCGTGATGCACTTGCGGATCGTCTTGAGCACGCCCTGGAACTCCTTGACCGGGGCCATGATGCGGCTCTCGATGAGCTCAAGCTCGGGCGAAACCGCAGAGCGGAGCTCCTCCATTTGAGTAGCATACGGTGGTGTGTTTTCAAACGTCGCAGCGCAATCCGGGTGCTTGCTTTGGAGGCTGTATTCTGATCCGAGAGGTGTGAAGATAGCACTGAAGTGGTTCGCGAAGCCGTGGCCTGCGGTGAAGAGAGCTGTAAAGATGCACCAGTAAGAACATTGGCACAACGAAGGGCGAATCGAGGAAGCGGACTGACTAATGACGGCTTCGCAGAAACCCTTGGTATCCTTGAGCAGCTTCTCGGTGGACTGTTCGAGCGCGGCGAAGTGACGATTGTAGTCATCGAATTCGGGATCGGAAGACTCTACGTGTCGGCCATGTCAGGCATGTCCCTTGTGTGTATTAGTCGAGACGCACTCTTTGAAAAGCCAACTTTCGAAGTGACCAAGTGGGGAGTCCTGCATCATCCAAGTGAGTCCAGAGCTTCACGAACGCGTTTGGAATCCAAATAAGAGAACAGTCCAAATCGTTTAGGACCCTGTATCCCAATGCGGATCCCATAGGAGTTTTCCCAGCCACAACTTTGGGAGGCAAGCTACAGAGAGGTTGGAAACGTGTAACATACCGCTTGATAGCCTTGGTAAATCCCTTCATGATGACCTTCTGCTCACTGCGCCCTGATCTTCCTTATAGACTGGTAAAATGGCGGGAATCGAGGGAAAACAAAGACGGGTGGGAGGCTTGCGGAGCGCAGCAAGCAGCGGCAGCGGCTAGGATGGAACGGGGAGCGCTCGGAGGTGGAGATGGGACGTGGGTCGACCTGTGCACCGCAACAAGGGGGAAACAGTACGGAACAAGTAGATTATTACGTAATCAACAAGGGTGCCGAAGTCCCCGGCACTCGTTTCCGTTCAGCCTCGCGTCACCGCACGTCACAACCACCAAGGCTCCGAGATCTTCGAGTCAACCCAACACATCTATAGACTTTATTTTACTCCGAGGCAGCAATTCCTTCTAGCATCACCAGCATCTTCCACACATATCGCTCTTGTATCTCTATCCACCATGCCCATTAACCAACCTTCAAACCAGATCAAGTTAGTTTTCTGATATTTGCTTCACAGTCTTATTGGAAGCTCATCGGCGCATTTTCTTAGGCTTACCAATGTATCCATAGTCAGACTCAAGAAAGGCGGCAAACGTTTCGAGGTATGCATGACCCGAAAGTCGCCTTCGCTCAAACTATGACGCCCCTATTGATACTTTGTGGTTAGATCGCTTGCTATAAAAACAAAGTGCAGGAATGGAGAAATGGCGTGTACGTAGTAAAGCAGACTATCAATGGACTTTTAATAACTTGGCTTCAACCTTGCAGCGAGACCGATCTAGACGATGTCCTTCAAATATCAAATGTCTTCATCAATGTCTCAAAGGGAGAGGTTGCCAAGCATAACGACCTCCAGAAGGCATTTGGAACATCGGAGGTGGACGAAGTTGTGAAAGAGGTAAGTTATGATATAAATCCTCATAATCTGCTTATACATATGTCTGCTCAGATCCTGAAAAAGGGAGAGATGCAGATCAACGAGAAGGAGCGGGACCATGACCTGAGCTCGTTACGCAAGGAGATCGCCACCTTGGTGGCCGAGAAATGCGTGGATCCAGCGACCCAGCGACCGTATCCCGTAGGCATGATAGAGAAGGCCATGGCTGAGGCAGGAGTGAGCGTAAAAGCCGGGAAAACGGCCAAAAGTCAGGTAAGCGGGAGATTGGTTTTCGCTGGTTTTCGGCCCCTGACTCTGACCTGTGCTAGGTCTCCGAAACGCTGAAGTTGCTGCAAAGCAACTCGACCCTCCCTATTGAGCGGGCACGCATGCGTGTGCGTGTATCGCTGCCCTCGGCAGATGGGGAACGACTCCGCGAACAACTTGTCAAGTGCGCCGACAAGGTAGAACGAGAGGACAAGGGAGACACTTGGGAAACGGTACGTCACTGAACTCCTCTACCATCGTCAAACTTCTAATCGGTACAACAGATTCTGTTGATCGAGCCGGGCCAGTTCCGAGTGATCAATGAGCTTTTGCAGAAAGAATGCAAGGGCCGCGGGCGTCTGGAGACGTTGACGTTTGCGGCGACTGCTGACACCAACTAAATTGATGATATCTAGACTTTTGTCATGTTGTAGCGTAGTTTGTTATATACTTAGTATCGGTCTTTGTAGATGGAATATCGTGCCAGACAGTGCCGAGCCTCAATTTGCCTGAGAGGTCTTCGAAGAGCCTTTGTAAGCTGTGTTCTGTTCAGAACCTGCTGTGTTTGCTGCTATCGACCGAGCGATTGCCGACGCGTTCGGATCACGTGGCAGAAGGCAGGCTGAAATGGGCTGCGTGTGATTGGCTATTGCCGCAAGAGAGCGAAGGTGATCGCTCAGCAATAATACTGCATAGGCTATTTCATCACTGTCCCCTCCATCTTCCTCTCTCTCCCTCCACCATGGCCACATTCGCTCGCCTGCCCTCGCTGCACATCGCAGCACGCTCCCTGCGCTCCTCGCCGCGTCCACAACTCGCGCCCCATGTATACACCTCACACCGACTCGCCATGATGTCAGCGTTTTCGCCCGAACGCCGCCTCCCCGACTCGGTCCAACCAGGCAAAGCCAAGGCTTCCCCGGACTCGCCCCCACTAGCCGACTCCCCGCCCGTTGTGGTCCCGACAGCTCAATCTCTATCGTCTGATGCTGCATCACCCCAAACCGCCGCTCGGCCACCCCCCGCACCGAAACCCGAACGCCAGCGTCCAACGATCCGATCCAAGAAAGCGGCCTTGTCTATTGTACGCAATCTCACTCTCCTCCGTTCTCGGTCGCTCACATTCGGTATCCGCATCATACCTCACAGACACCAACAGCCGTCGAACGTCTCCGCAACCTCCTCAACGGGCCCACACCCCAAATTATCCGCATCGGCGTCCGGAACAAGGGCTGCGCCGGCCTCTCCTACCACCTCGAATACGTCGACAAGCCCGGCAAGTTTGACGAGGTCGTCGAGCAGGACGGCGTCAGAGTCCTCATAGACAGCAAGGCTCTCTTTTCGATCATCGGCAGCGAGATGGACTGGGAAGACGATGCTCTTAGGTACGTTCCCGACTTCCCGTGCTCTTCCGCGTGCTCCGGGCTCGGGACCATCGCTGAAACGCCCCTCTAGCTCCAAGTTTGTTTTCGCGAACCCGAACATCAAGGATGCCTGTGGATGCGGCGAGTCGTTCAATGTCTCATGAGATAACGGACCACCTGCATTTCCGTACTTCGACGTTTAATTATTCGCGCCGACCAGACACCACCAGGATCTCACAGCACATTAGTACTCTACACCGGCATCGCACCATTACCGCACATATGTATCCATAATTTTATCCGTTTCGCAATAGAAGGCCGTGCCCCCACTTTGCTCACTCTGTTTCATGACGAGTGAGCTATATGCACAATCAACATCCGGATACTAGTATTATACTAGTGCTATAACGAGGCTTGAAACATGGAATGAGTAGAGACTACAACCTAATTTACACACTCTTACACCACCGCAAGCTGACCCTACGTAAATAATCAAGCATCCAACAGCTCCTTGGGCATGTCCGCAAACGCGGCCGCCCCGACGCCAAGCAACGCAAGCTGCATTAAGCAGGCTCCTGTTTGGCGGTAGAGCCTCTCAAGCGCTGGGCGAGTCGGCCGCCCTTGCGACTCTGTTGATGATAATGATCAGTCAGTAACGTACGAATGACAAAGACTTTGCGTGAACTTACGCAGAATTGCCTGGTTCAACTCAGTCGCAAGGACGGCACGGGCATTCTGACCCGCGACCTCTGCTGCATCCCCACCGGCCTCCAGCGGGTCATCGTACGCGACGATGACCGACGCGCGTTTAAGGATGTCGCGCACTTCAGGTCGGTCGTTGTAGTCCGACTGCAGCTCCTGACCATACGCAACTGCCTTCGAGAGCGCGTCACCGTACAGAGTCGCCGCCGGACCGCCATGTTGCGACGCGAAGCTCTGTTTGCGTTTCTTGATCGGAATCGCAGAGCTGCTCGCGACACCGAAGCCGTTCGTCGAGCCGTCGGCACCGTCGGCACCTATACTTGCATCGTCGTCGATGTCCATCCCTCCCACCACGTCTTCGTACGCCATACCATCTCCTGAGGTCTCGACAGCCATCTCAGACTCTTCGACGCCCATTTTCTTCTTGAGCTCGGCCGCTTCGAGGATCATCTCAACGAATTTGCGGCACCGAAGCTTGATGAGCATTAGGCCCTGGTTCGCCTCGAGAACCGCGGGGAAGTACTTGCGCGTCTCTGAGAGCGCGGTGTCGACGTCGCCCCTGAAGACGGACTGGACGATTTGCGTGCGGAGCTCAATATCGTCCGTCTCCGAGACCGGCCGCACAGAGGTAGAAACGACATCCATGTCCATGACCTGGTCCTCTGTACCAGCGGCAGCAGCAGGAGAAGTCGGCGCCAAGCTCTCCGAGTCAGAGAGAGCCCCTCTCTCCTTGCAAGTGGCCTCGAACGACCGAGCTGTTCGCGCATAGCCGTGGTGGGATAGATACGCCAGAATTAGGCGGTTGATAGGAACCTTTACCCGATCCTCAGAAGATAATGACGACCCGCTCACGTCCTGACCCTCATAACCCTTCGAGTCGGGCGCGGGCGAAGGCCACCTGAGTGGCGTAGATTGGATATTTGCCCACGTCTGGTTGCGTTGCTGGAGCACATGGTCGTCGATGTCGTATTTAAAGGTCTCGTGGCCAAAGTTTGCCCGTATCGATTCGCCATTGTGGCACAGGCCGACTGCGGGATAGAGTTCGCAGTCCTTGCCAATATTATCGAAGACATGACCTAGGGGTCCGGCGTTAGATCGCATAGCTGTGAAACACCTGAAGAGATCGCCATACCGATCAACTTGCCATTCTTCGTGTAGAAAGCTTTGTTTTGGCTGAAATCGATGCCACAGCCAATGACATCGCCCGCTGCAAGATGTGCATGAGTCGACGGATAAAAGAAGCAATATTAAACGTACCTCCAAACTGAGGGCCGTATGGTCTTCCCTGCCTATCCGCAGCGAAAGCCAACCCATCATCACCGTGGTATCCCCAGGAATGCTTCTCCCAACCAGGAAGCCGAGACGTCTTGACATCCTTTCCGTTGAATCTATTCTGATGGTCAGGCAAATGGGTGACTATATGCGCGTGAAGGTCACACTCACCCAATGCTGATGTGCCTGTGAGAATTCCCCGCATAAGTTACACGCGAACACGTCAATATCACGAACGGGCGCACCCTTTGGTAGTCTTACTCGTGATCTCAACTTCATAATAGAATATACCGCATGCCGGTGGGATGGGATGGGTCGTCCTTGCAGCAGCCGAGTCCTTGTCGGTACCACTGTTCGATGCAGCTGTATCAAACAGGACACACGATTAAAAGATGAGCACGAGCTGGACAGGGAAATTAAGAACCGTTGTAGCTTAGTTCCCGCCCGTCGGGAGATACAGATAGAGCGGCATGCCGGATTTGTTCACACCAACCAGTCGGCAGCCGTAACATCGAGCTGGTCGTCTGCGCGGTGGGTGCTGACATGGAAGAATAATCTCTTCGAGGCGGAGGAGGACTCATGTCATCCTCGTCACTGTCCATGGATATACGGGATCGGCTGAACGACGGAGGGTCTCTACGAATCGGAGCGTGCGTCGGGGAGGGCGTGGACATATCTTCTGTTTGCAGGAGGTGGCGCATAGCTGAATAATCCAGGTACGCAGGACGTTGCACGACGATTGGGCCATCAGGAATGGGTGGTCCGGAGGTACCGGAAGTCGACCTCTGCATGCTAGGACCACGTACGCCTGGTCCTGCAGTAGTGCTCGTCCGACGTGCGCGAGTGGGGGAGGTTGACCATGGCGTGCAGGGGCTATCGACGTTGCTAGACATATCTGCCCTGATGATACGAGGTTCATAATTCCTGGGCGAGTTCCTGCTCGGGAATCCAGACGACTGAGTGAGCGAGCGGGCAGTGGGCCGGACTGGGCTAGTCGCAACGGTGCTGCTGGAACGAACACCATGCGAGAGCCCAACCCCTCTGTGGTCTTCAGCTAGACTAGATCTGGATGGCCAGCCTTGACCACCGAGGCGTGGGCGAGCCTGAGAGGGACTTGCGGAGAAGGGGATGGAGATGACGGATTCGATGTTTCGTACTGGTGAACTGGATACACCGCTCCTGGTGATTGGAATGCTGGCAGACCTGGATGGTCTGTTGGACATGATGCTGTTGGGAACTCAAGAGACAGACAAAGATTGGGGTCGCCTGACAGCGGGGTGTGGGGCAGGGGTACTATATCCGCTGCCAGGGGGCTATTCCCACTAATTAATCAGACAAATGAACAAGGTTCGTAAAGGGGAGAAGACGAGACACAAATTAATGCTGGAGATGGACAGAGGGAACAGGCGAGACCGGGAGGGAAGGGCAGAGCGAGTGAGTGCTCACTAGCACTAACTAATAAGTACTTTAGTAGTCTTCCAGCCAGCGAATTCGATGACTGACTCCCGCAAGCACGGGACCATGTCACGCATAGATCGCATATCCGCGTGTCACAGCATCACAGCCCGTGGATCACACCAGTCATCCCAATACTCTGTCACACGCCTGCATACGCGTCTCCCCTGTGCAAGTCCAGATACAACTCCTACGTCTCTTTCTCCCTCATCATGGTAAGACATAACGCGTTCTTTACAGAACTTATACTGATCCAATGCCGTCAGGATCCGTCACATCGCATTGTCCCGGCAGCCGCCACCAAGACTGCGTCCATTCAGGACACCGCCAACACCCTTGGCCTTCATGATACTCTCCGTTACGGCCCACGCAGTCTCGCTACAGAGACTAGGACACGCACTGAACTCCCAAGCAGGCTCTCAAAGGTTTTGACACCATGCTATCTCCCGATCTTAGCTTATATATCGTGATTAGTGGGAAGAGACCCAGGACAACGCCAAGCTCACCATGCTTCGTAACGTGCACGGCCTGCATGCGCCTGCTCGCCTGCTGATGGAGCGTAACATCGTCTCGCACGTGGGTATCCCTTATGTTTCACTCAGATCCACATTGAGCGTCCTTCCGATATCATCCAGAGCCCGCATATGCCAGCATTGCCTCAGACGAACCTTCACCTTGACATCCTCATGGGTAGAGATGAAACTCTAAGCCCAGGCGACTTCTTCAGTGGTGAGTATTGTCAACGTCCTCGTGATACTCTCTCGACTCACCAGTTTCGCTGGTAGGTATGGAGAATGGTCACTCGCTAGACATCCACACCGACATGGAAAGGAAACTTCGCATGTAAACACCTGTACAAATTGTCATATACTAATACAACGCCATCATCACACATATATTACAACAAATGACCCCCGATTTCTGCTTGTATCACCAGAATAATATTCTTACAGGTCCTGCTGTGCATTCTTCATTATCTCCAGCATCCGGCCAAGCGCTATCAAACCGAAGCTTTGTGGACCAAAGGTGGTCGGGTCATCCCGCAGAACAGATGCAGCCACGAGCAGTGCAGCCCATGCCCGAGTAAACGTCTCCGCCGCAACAGCGACGTCATCTTCATCTTCGTCATCCCAATCGAATGTGTCGTATTCCGAGTCCTCGACATCAGGCTCGTGTCTCTGAGGTCGCAATTCTTGACGGACCTGGCGCACTAGAACCTGCGTCTATTATGATTCAACGTCAGACAAAGTGAATGTCGAAGAATTAAGTATGCCACAGCGCGCTTCACGTACCTGCAAGTTCATGGCGTTGACAGCCTCTCTACGCTTGCGATGGTCCGACCAGTTGGCTATAATAGTCCCGCTCACGAGCTCCGCTTCTGAGATGTAATCGTCCTTATCTCTCGACACAGTATGGGTTTGCGCAATGGCATATAGTTGATCGCAGTACGCCTCGCAGAGGCCCATCATCTCCTCCCATAGTACTGGAGAAGGCTTTCCGAGTATGGGTAATCCCAGGGTCCACGGTCGAGCTCGTCGGATTGCTGCATATACAGTGTTTACGTCGAAGGGAGATTCTTCTTTATTCCAAAACCCCGGTGACCAATCCTGAAGAGGTACACGGCGGAAGAGTTCACCAAGGAGTTTCTGGCTCTCGTAGAAACGTTCATTCTTATGTGGGTTTTCGCCTTCTCTGGCGAGGAAATCGGGTTTGATCTCCTTGTCCGGTAGCCTGGGGAGAAGTTTGAAATCAACAGGCGTTCCTGTCTTCGGGAAGTCAACAGCTTGGGCGGCAAGCTCAGCAAGTGTCATGCAGCTAGCGCAACCAGGGTCTTCCAAGTCGGCGAACCGAAGGTGCATGATGGCTATCCGCCCAACAAGATCCGTTTCAAACTATGTCATAGCTGGTGTCAAGGCGCTGGCACAACGATAAGGCTGAGTTGAGACCCACGTAGTTGAAAACGAAGTCCACAACATCTTCGATGCCGCAGGGATGAGTAGTTTCCTTGATTGGTAAACTGACATAGGATCCCGGTTCGCTGTTAGCGGTTGGGAAGAGAGCCTCCTAAAAACATGTTAGTCCGAATCAAGCGGATATTGGGAACACCCACATCGAGAATTAGATTGAAGTCGTCGCCATCAAGATCACCGCCGCCTAAGAAGGAAGGTAGTGCACGATCTCCTCTGAGAAACATCAACCGAGTTGTTAGTCGACGGACTTGAGATCATGACTGAAGTTCGCTTACTGAGTCGAGAATACAACGACGTTAGTCAAGTGCTCTAGCTCCGGTCGCCTAACGGCTGTGACGACTTGGATATCTCCAGGATGGATCTGAGGACTACGGGTCACAGCTACTCGCCCCACAATAGGCTTGTCCAAGCCATTCCTGATGTCGCGGACAGTGGCAAATATCTCTCCAGGCCTTAGGCAATTCCACTCGTCAGAGACTCCCATGAGAGTGTACGAGCCTGGAACACGGATATGGGCGCGATATTTGAGCTCGCGTAGCGCATGCGTAGAAATGCATCGTAGGGCATCGATAACGACCTCATTCTGCCAGCCGTCGTCAGATTCTCGCGTCCATACCCTCATGTTAAGCTCCTTGGCAAGGTTCCCAAAAAGAGATGTCAGATGGAACGATGCGCCGAGGCCGTGTACTTGGAGCATCTTTGCGGCATCCCGGAATGACGAGCGGACACCTTGGGCCTCTTGGATATCTGCATGCTGCAACTCTAGGATACGATCCATCGTGTCCTGTTCGCCCAAGTGCTCGAGGATGGCGATCAGAGGTCTGTTGAGAAACATTGGCCGAGGGCGAGCTGTATGAGACTGAACGTCGAATGTCAATACGTTTGGTGCCTCGAACTTCCGTTGGGACTTTCGCAGGCAGACTACTCTATCATTCAGATCAGGGTTTTGAACAACGACGCCTTTGGCCCCTCCCAAGCGAAACTGGAACGCGGACGGAGGGAACTTTAGAGGGAAAGTTCGCCTTCGTGTCCTGTTTAAAGATGTCCATATTTCGCGAGCAAGCTCAATGGAAATTGAACTGCAGCCATCCGTCATACAGTTCCCTGAGGCTGACGTAATATCGTTGACGTATTGTATTTCTCGGCGTTCAAGAGTAACAGATGGATCAGTGGTGGAGAAGGCTTGAGACCACCTGGCTCCAAGACGGGCGGGCTTGTACTGTAGTTCACTGAAGTCACCCTATGTGCTATGGTTAATCACCGGTGCATTTATTAGTATGTAAATCCTTACCAACTGGCCTCGAATCGTCTCGGCGTCCATCGTTATTCCCTTGTCCGAGGTGAATGGTGTCACGAACCAAACTGAGTGTTCCCTGAGCCCACTCATGGAATAGCCCAGAAATTCGTAGTGTCGACCCGCAACTTTGTGACCCCCGAGGAAGATGGGTCGAAAGCGTTTTTGCATCAGCTCGCTAATGGAGTACTCGAAGTCGCGGCGAAGAGGCGCGCGGTTCTCGTCCTGGAACGAAACACGGAGGAAACATTCATGGTTCCCGAATCTCCGGAGGACACTGTTAGATTGGTCTGGTAACGGACCGTCTAGAATATAGGTCGAAGGAGTGAATATCAGATGGTAGGCTTCATAGGCTCCATCCCGAGCCAGAGGTGAGGTTAAAAGGCCCCGTGGCGCCAGCAGCTCTTCCTTGACGGCTTTGACGGCCTCTATCAGGGCATTGGATAAGAAAGATGGGTCAGACGTGGAGAAATGAGGTGACTGTTTTTGTTTGCGACGTCGGCGCCGAGGTCGCGGTCGGCGAAGCTCCTGCAAATGAGTCTCTTCTATAAGCCCGGAAAACCTGAGGAAGATGCGGGGGGCGTGCTCTCCAGCCTCTCTGTCAAGCAAGGTTATGTCCCTGCGTATAGACATAACCTCGCGTGGGGAGAGGACGGATGTAGAAACCGCCTTCTGCACCTCCCAAGCAACGGAAAACCGGAGTTCTGCAAGAAACTGGTCCAATTCGTCCATGACATCCGTCGACCAAAGATTGTTGCGAACGTCAATGGTTGTTTGTCTACGGTCTTCTTCTAGACCTAGGCGTCGACAACGCAACAGAAACGCCTCCTCGTCAGAAGCATTGACGAAAACGACACAGAGACTATGACAGCCAGGTGGCATATCGGAATTGCCAGTAAGGCTTGAAAGACGCTGCGCTTGTTGGGTGCCTGCGAGGGATCCCGACGCCTGCTGGAGGTAGAAGAGTGGAGAAGCTCGAGCTTTTAAAAAGATCCTCCGGGACGAGCTAGTATCCTCGGTGACGAGGGATTCGATGTTTGAAGGCTTGTACGATGCTATGAAAGTTTGACTTCCGAATAGTTGAGTGGCGAGGTCCCGTATGGATCTTCCGAATATATCATCCGTTTCCTCACCCTGTTGACGAGAAGTGCCCGGAGTGATCGTCAAGCGCACCTCCTTGCGAGCAAAGTCGCACACGAGGTCCACACGACCGTCAAATGTGACTTCCGCCGAAAACGAACCGTCCCGACAAAATCGTCCAAAAGAAAATGTCTTTATGTTAATGCTTGACGAATCCACCGCGATTCTATCTCTCTCCTTTTGCAGCTCGCGAGGATCCTGCCACGGGTTGTCTCGTAACATGTTCACTCGTGGTTCGCTCAGTGGCCTGTTACTTTCTCTGAATCTGATGGGGCGTCCCTTCAAGATGATCCCCGATAATCCGTAAGCTGCGAGGAACTTCTGTCCATATTCTTTATAAGGGATTGTTAATATGCCTTTTCCGCGACGGTTTCCGGTCCATAAGTCGACATGGAAGTGCAAGCGCGGGGTAGTTGGGTATGGATGTTTGTGGAGTATGTTCGCAAACTCGATCTTGATGTCCATTGCAGTGGCAGCCCACGCGATATTGAACATGAAGATGTCCATTGTGCCTAATAGTGTATGAGATGAGCGAGCGGCACGCCGGAATAATTCCAGTGTGATGACACACCTAGGTGAGGGCTTCGACAGTTAGCCTTGCAGGAGAGCGAGCGAGCACCCCGCTAGCAGTTATAGAGGCTTAAGCGCTTATCTACAGCATCTACTCTGGCAGGTTGCTCCCACTGCTCCAGATAAGGTACAAAGCAAGACGGTCGACCTTCGATGGTCGAACAGACTAGACTTGGATGTCTCAACCCCATATCTCGGGGTAAGAGGGAAAGGAGACTCCTTTGTGTCCACGAGGACAAGATCAGCCCAACATTGGAAAGGAAACAAACCTAGTGTGCTTGCAAGGCGATCGAGATGCATCATGTACTGCCAGTGTATGACCGCCGTGCTCGCCTCCCAAATCATGTAATCTATTATTGGGCACGAAACACTGGCCTCGAGGATGTCCGGGAGGGAAACAGAATCAATCCCATGATGTTCGCAAGGACTGCATCGATTTCGAACTTCAGTGGAAGCCCGGGCTGTGGAAGGGTCATCCATCTAATGTTGGTGCCTTGAGCTATCTCTGCCGGCGAAATATGCCGGTGAATTCGAAAAACATCGTAAGATATAAGGCCGCCTGGGGGTGGCAGAGGAGTAAGATATATAGTTAGATAGCTGGTAAAATGGGTTTTTAGTCTCAGTTTCACTGCCACGCCTTGGCGGCGCCGTACGCGAAGACGGGGGTTACTAGTAGAGAGTGGCCGTACAGCGCAATGACATCTAGCCTTGTCTTTTTCTCTCTCGGGAAGACGAGTAAGCACAATTAAACCAAGTTGAATAGCCCCGGTCCCCTTCCAAGTCAGCCATTCTCGGACTGGTCAAAATGGCCATGATTGCTACTACATGCAGAACCGTCTCGTGGTAGATTCTCGTCTCATGGTACTAGATTATGGGAGACGTAATCGTTTCCTGATATATCACTTGCAAACCAAAGTATCTACAGATTCTGTCGCTCCCTTTTCGCAATGTCGAGCATCCTGCCCAATGCTATCAAGCCGAAGCTCTGTGATCCAAAGGCTTTACCGGACGTTTCCTGTAAGGACACCTCAGCAACCCACACAGCGGCCCACGCACGAATGAACGCCTCTGCCGCCATGAAGCTAGAATCCTCTTCCTCAATCTCGCAAGAAGACCAGTAGTATGTACTGGATTCTCCATCCTCAGTATCCGTCTCGTCCCGACGTGGCCGAAGGGCCAATCGCAATCGGCTGGTCAAGTTTTGGGTCTGGCATTGTCATCGTCAACCAGCGTCTAACACTATGACATACAGTAATCCGCTCACCTGCAAATTCATCGCATTGACCGCTTCCCTTCGCTTGCGATGGTCCGACCAATTCGCCAATATTGTGCCGCTCACTAATTCAGCTTCTGATATAAAATCTTCCTGATTCCTCGAAACAGTGTGCGCTTGGGCTATGATCTGAAGCTCGTCACAGTACGCCTCCAATAGCCACTGCATCTCCTGCAACGTATCTTCACGAGGTCTGCCAAGGGGTGGCAAACCATAATCCTCGAGTGGGATGCGGTCGAACGCGGTGAGTATACTGGTGATATCAAAAGGTGAGCGGCTTTTACCCGCCTCTGGCATCCAGTCATCAAGTGGAATCCGACGAAAGAGCCTGCCAAGCAATTTAGGACTCTTGTAGAAGCGCGAGTTCTGGTGCGGGTCTTCGCCTTCCTTGGCCAAGAAGTCTGGCTTGATGGTATCCGGGAAACGAGGTAGATCTTCGAACTGAACTGGTGTCCCAGTCTTAGGGAAATCCACTGCTTGTGATGCGAGTTCAGCGAGGGTCATACACTCTTGGCTATCTGGATCCCCCAAGTCCGCGAATCGCAAGTGCGCAATGGATATAAGCCCCACGAGATCGGATTCGAACTATGAAAAGAGCGGACGAATACTCGATTAATGACACGAAACGTTTCCCAAGGACCTCGCTTACGTAGTCAAATATGAAGTCAACTACATCTTCAACACCACAGATGTGAGGCGTTTCCTTGATCGGAAGGCTAACATACGAGCCCGGTATCCGATTATATGTCGGAAACAAGTTCTCCTGAAGGGACATCAGAATGCAGCCAGACGTATGTTTGAAAGGCATACATCTAGAATGAGATTGAAGTCGTCGCCATCGAGGTCTCCACCACCCAAGTAATTGGGAAGAGGTCGATCACCTCTACAGCATGGTCACAGAATCAGCGATTTTAATTGGAATATCATGATAATTGCGTACCGAGTAGAGAATACGATGACGTTCGTCAGATGTTCAAGTTCAGGTCGCCGAACCGCCTTCACTACTTGAATATCGCCGGGATGGATCTGAGGGCTCCTGGTCACAGCCACTGGCCCTTCGATGGCGTGGTAAACCCCCGTTCTATAGTCCCTCACCGTGGCGAAGATTTCCCCGGGATTCAAACAGTCCCACTCGTCCGAGACGCCCATGAGAGTATAAGATCCAGGGACTCGTATATGCGCGCGATACTTGAGCTCCCTGAGCGCATGTGTCGAGATGCAGCGCATAGCATCGATGATGATCTCGTTTCGAAGTCCTCGCGGAGTCTCCGATGTCCAGACGTGAAGATTGAGTTCGCTGGACAGATTGTGGAAGAGCGAGCCGAGGCGGAAAGGCGCCCCGAGACCGTGCACCTCGAGCATCTTAGACGCATCTTTGAACGACGAGCGGACACCTTGCGCCTCCATGATATCGTCATGCTGGAGTTTGAGGACGCGTGTCACTAACCCGCTAGCCGCCACATGTTCTAGTAAAGCAATGAGAGGCCTATTCAGGTACATGGGGCGAGAACGCGAGTGCGATTGAACGTCAAACGTCAATTCAGACCCCTCAAACTTTAGCTGGGAAGGACGAAGGCAAACAACCTTGCCTTCGAGGTCTGGATTTTGGACAACCACCCCTTTGGCACCCCCAAGGCGAAATTGGAAAGCAGATGGAGGATTTTTGAGCGAAGACAGCTGTCTTCGATCCGTCCTTAGTTTCTCCCATATGTTACGAGCAAGGTCAGGTGAGATTGAGCTACAACCGTCGGTCATGACTTTCTTAGACCGCGGCGAGATGATGTCGTCAACCCTGAAAATCTCCTCTTGCCGAAGGACTACAGAGGGATCCGTTGTCGAAAAGGCTTGAGACCACCTGGCGCCTAGACGAGCAGGTCGCTTAAGAAGTTCGCTGAAATCTCCCTGACAATGATCCGTTGTCAGCGAGCACTTACAAGGGGTACACATGACTCACCAACAAATTACGGATAGCAGCGGCATTCAGCCATTCACCACGGTCGTTCTGGAAAGGCGCCACAAACCATACAGAGTGCTCCCTAAGTCCGCTCATCGAGTATCCCAAGAATTCGAATTTCCTTCCTGCAACACGGTGGCCCTTCAAGAATTTGGGGCGGAAGCGGGACTTCATAAGCTCGCTGATTGACCATTCGAAATCTCGTCGGAGTGGGGCACAGTTCTCGTCCTGAAAAGAAACTCGCAGAAAGCACTCGTGATGCCCAAAACGCCGGAGAACACTGTTCGACTGGTCAGGCAGTGGCCCTTCCAAGATTTGTGTTGTGGGAGTAAAGATTAAATGATAGGCGTCATAACTGTTGACCGGAGGAAGAGCCGACAAGGGCCCAAAAGGCGTCGCCAGTTCCATCTGTACAGTCTTGCGAGCGCTGCGCAAAGCGCGAGAGAGGGATGAAGGATCAGATGTGGATATTTGTATGTCTTTCCGCTGCCGCCTCCGCAGGCGCACCAGGCGATTTGTGGTCCTTCGTTCAGCAAATTCTTCGATGAAAAAGGTGAATCGTTGGAAGATGCGAGAAGCGTTTTCCCTGTCCTCTCTCTCAAGCGCGGTAATATCTTGTTGTATAGACATGACCTCGCGTGTGGAGAGAACAGATGAGGAAACCGCTTTCGCAACTTCCCAAGCAAGAGGAAACCAGATGGGTGCAAGGAATCGATCCAGATCGTTCTGTGCGGCTGCTGACCAGGTATTTTCATGAATGGTGATGGATGATTTATAGTCTTGACGAACAGTGAGACGTTTACAGCGCAACGTGAAAGCGGTAAAGTCGGATTGATTGGAGAATGTGACACGCAGACTATGGCAACCGGGGGGCATATCAGCTCCATGGATGAGGCTAGAAAGGCGCTGCGATTGGGGTGTAGAGCCGAAGAGACCGGCAGATCTGTGTCGAGAAATGGAGGGAGGAGCGCGCGCTCGTATAAAAACACAGTAATTGGATGCGTCGGAGTCGATGACAAGAGACTCAACACCGGAAAGCTTATAAGATACGAGAAGTTTCTGGTCTCCAAAGAGCGACGCTGTAAAATCCGAGAGACCCAAATCGTCATCATGCTCGTGTGCACCAGTCGCGATGGATAGTCGTAGCTCTTTGCGGCTACGATCACAGGCAATGACCGCCGCACCACCTGGGACGACTTCCTCTGAGAAGGATCCATCTCGACAGAATTTCCCGAAAGAAAAAGCCTGTACTTTGAGCTCCGACGAGTCCCGCGCAATCCTATCCCTCTCTCGTCGTGTCTCAAGAGGATCCTGCCATGAGGTATCTTTGAGCATATTTACTTTGGCTTCGCTGGGCGGCCTATGGCCTCGGCTAAACTTGATGCGACCTCCTTTCACCACGAGTCCCTTTGACGCGTAACCTTCAAGAAAACGTTCTCCATATTTTGCATTGGGTATAGTTAGGATGCCTTGGCCGCGCAGCTTGCCTTGCCATAAGTCCACATTGAAGTTTAGAAACCGAGTTGTGGGATAAGGGTGTTTATGCAGAATCTTCGCTAGCCCGATTTTGATATCAACATCCGAAGCTGAGAAGAAACCAGAGACGTTGCGCATGTGGATATCCATAATGCCTATATGTCAGAGGTCAATAGCGACCGACACGGAGAGTCTCCAAGGGAGTACGTACCTGGAGAGAGCTACGAGGGGCCATCTCATCCAGGATAAGATACGGTCACTATTAATATTGAGCACCGCTGCGCATGATTCTGTTCCCACTGTTGTGTCGCTGACTCCGGGACACCCCACATTTGGCTACGACTGATGGACCTTAGTTCGGGCACAATCTCCGCTGTCAACTTCCCAGATCGAACATTTCAGCCCCAGATCTCAAGAAGAGGATGGTGTATATAAGTAATAGTGTACACGTACATGTCTAATCTAGCCGCCGGCGCTTGTCCCGGTATGAATCGTCGCGTTCTCGAGAAAGCGGGCGTACGGCTCGTCTATGATCGTCGTGGCGATCGTACCCGCGTCTCCCACCTGCGGGCGAGCGAGACCGTGACCGCGAAGGAGACCGACGTCGACTGCTCCGGGAGTCGAACCCGTTCCTCTCTTGTTCGTCTCGATAATTGGGTCGATAAGACGAGCGTCTGCCATCGTCTTTGGGAGGGCGACGATCGTGACTGTCATCCTCACGGTCACGCCATGATCTGGTGTCTCCTTTACTGTGTGCAAGTGGTGCTGCATTTGAACCAGAAGCGTTTGGACCTGTGTTCTGCGGGCAATCTTTTTCCAGGTTAGAATCATGGGAGCTGCGCGGCGGAGGAGATTCCTCATACCTTTCTTCAGGTGAGGACCCCCACAAAGGAAGCAGCCTCCCCCCTCGGTACCCTTCCCTCCGCTCTTGACGGATCCAGCACCCCCAAACCCGCCATTACCAGCGGCTGTATCTTGATCGAGCAAGTGTGTATACTTTGTACGGCTGCGCTTGCCGAAGTTCTTCACCTGCATGACCTTAGGTAGCATTGATATATCCATAGTTGACTCCGTTGCTTCCGTGAAGTCATGACGTTTGAGAATTTCTTCATCCTGTGCGCTTCGTCAGTCCAGGTCAGATATCAGAAAGGCTAACACTCCCACCTGATGGAAAGCACCCTTGTGCCAATACTTCTGAAGGAACTTCTGCTGTCCTTTTGGTTTCTCCGCTCGAGTTCGTTCCGCACGCTCCATGTCCTCCTTCAACCGCTGCTCTTCCGGTAGTGCCCTACGCCGTTCGACCTCTTCGCGCTCCTGCTCTAGGCGAATTTCTTCCTCCTTCTCCTTCTTGATTCTTCCCAGCTCCCTCAATCTCCAGGCTTCGAATTCCCCCGCCGGATCCAAACCGTCTGTGTCGTCCACATCTGGAACTACGTCTTCTTTCTCCTCTGCGAGGTGAGTAGCGCGTGAGTTCCAGCTGCGTTCTATGAATATAGAGAATATGAACTTACTTTCAGCAAGTTCTCGGCGGATGCTCTCCGCTACCATGTCGTGACTCTGTTTCTTCCTCTCCTCCGCCGCCGCTTCCTTTTGCTGGAGCACATCCTCGGTATCCTGTGCCATAGCATCTCGTTCAGCAATAGTAGCCCGATTTCGCCTGTTACGTTGTAATTAGTTAGAATTACAATCCGAATGATGCTATTCGAACATACTTGTGAATAAAAACAGGTCTGAACTGCACTTTAGGTTGCTCCTCTTCAGATTCAGACTCTTCTTCATTACTCTATAAGATATTAGTTTATGTCGGAATGACAGGCAGCGAATGTGATTATTACCTCTTCTGATTCATCCTCCTCTGCACCAGCTACGGCCCGGGCTGGCTTCTCGTCCTCCTCGTCCTCCTCAGACTCGGACTCTTCCGACTCTAGTAATTGGTTAGGAGTATATTCTGGAGGCTTTTATTAGCGCTTACCCTCCATCGCAGTCCGCCCAGACTCTTCCCTCCCAGCAACAATAACCTTCCCGTCCCTGGAAATATTGACATCCTTGAGGGACACATTTATTGCCTTGGCCCTCGAAGGTGCTATCACCGGTGCTAACTCCTCGTCCTCATCTTCCTCGGCGTCCAGGTCTCCTTCTCCTGTAATAGGTACGTCACCATGCTCGAGTTCGGAGCCCTCGTCCTCTTCTTCATCCTCCGAGTCTGAGCCAGCGGCCGCGGCACCTTTTGGTGCCTTTCCCTTCCAATACCGGCCTGCAGCGCGAGCCGGCCGTGGTGCGTGTTTGCGGACTTCAGTTGCAAGGACTCCTGACATGGCGCGGTGCTGGTCTAAACGAAGTTGGTGGTCAATGTCATACCGCGACGATGGTCAGCTGTTTACTTCCTAAAGCTGACATAAGCAGGCGTGCATCCGAGTTCACCTCCGGCTCAGAACGCATTTCGGTTTTCAGAAGACTCGAAGGTGCCGGTGAACACACGATTAAGTTCTTGGTATCTAGAAGCTTGTTACATGACTAGGTAATAAGACTGTAAATGATATCTCAAGAGGGTTGCAATCCTGAAACGTCCGAGAAAGTGTCCATAAATCAATGTAGTAAATGACCAAAGAAAGGATAGTTTGTCCATTGTCCACCATCCCTGCTCAAACAAGGGTCCAAACTCCACTCATCAAGCCCACAGCGAGCATGACACCAAGGCCGGCAAGCGCACGTGGGTCCTCAAGTGAGATTGCACCTCCAGAGTTACCGCTACTTCCTCCGCCAGAACCACCGCTAGAGCTTCCACCCGTTGCAGACGGTGTGAATACGGAAGTGGCAGATGCGAGACACGAGGATGAAGCAGCAGAGAGCCCGCTAGTGCCAGAGGGTGCATAAGAATTGACAGTGCCGTTGCCAGCAAAGTAGCAGGCTTGAGCATTGGAGTTCTGCAGAGTATAGTACTCGGACATCACGTAGGATAGCATGATAGCTAAAATGAAAGAATAAGAATCGCGCTGCGAATAGGTAGACGAAAGGCACATACAAGGATCGCATTGAGAAACAGCACCGTATTGTCCAGAAGTCCCGTTGGCAGCAATCCCGTTGCAGGAGCTACCCATCTGTCCAAGCTGACTGCAGGCATAGTTGAGCAAATCACCCAGGATGGTCGAGTAGTTCGAGGTTTGAGGGGTGAACTGGCAACTCAAGTCGTTCTCAAAGCAGCTGCAGGCTGCCGCATTAGGAGTCGAGGGAAGGCTCGTCGAGCCAATGAAGTTGGCGCTCTGCGAGGGACATGAACCATACGATGCCGACGAGGAACTCTGGGAGGGTGAGTTGGGAGGTGAGACAGATCCATACTCAATCTTCAAACTGTTGAACTCCTGGCCAGTGGTGACGGTACTTCCGTCGGATGAGATATTGACCATACCAAATTGACCTTGAGCACTGGTCGCAGGGAAGTACGAGAAGGCAATTCCACCCGACCAATCAGGAGACATTTGTGAGCTGAAGAGTGCCCCAACTTCCGTCCAGTACCGTGTGCCAGCAGTGATGCAACCGAACTCGCTAAAGTAGGCAGCGACATTATAGCTCGAAAAGTCCGTCTCGACTGCAGAGTATGCCTGGGAGAAGGTGGTATTACCACACCACTCGCTAAAATAGTGATTAATATATCTGGTGAATAGCATGCTCATAAAATAATCTTACTAGTTGTTCAGGCCGTACAAGTCAATAGACGTCGCACCAGAGTTCGACCCCGAAGGATCACAGGACAGATACGATGCGAGAGGGTCTCTCCAACTCTCGTCTCCGTCAATGGCAGCATATCCGACGAGAGCGGACGATCCTTTGGAGTTACTGTTCGGCAAGAATAAGAAAGCCGGTGTTCGTATAACACGAGGCCACCTACAGGTATGCCTTGACATCACGCGCAGCTGCTTTGATGAAGGGCGCAGCGCTAGTCTCATTGGGAGCAGTGACAACCTCATTTCCGACATTGTACGCGAGAACGTTGTCGTAACTTGAAAACGCGTCGATGGTGTTGATGTACTGGTTCAAGAGACTTGTGGTCCATGAAGGAGACGCACGATCGATAGAGCCGTTCAAAGGAAGGGAAAGATCAATGCTGTATGAATCAGGCACAGTACCCGATGAGAAAAGAGTTGTGAGCGCTGCCTGGTTCCTTTGGGACTTACATGGTATAGATGCCTGCATTGCTGAGTGCCTTCATGCATGCATCGTGGTTGAGAGAAGAGTTTACGCTGTAAGCACGGATGGTGTTGACACCAAGCTGTTGGAGGTAAGGAATGTCACGACTACAAGCATTACTGTCGGCGAGAGGATCAACAAAAGTGGAAGGTTCGAGGAAAGGGTTGCTGGCGCTAGCGACCACAGAACCTATGAAAGCACTATGAAGGAACGAGAAAGTCACGCGATGTTGTAGAAGAACGCACCTTGGGGCTGATAGGCTATGCCCTTGATGTAAAACCTGCTCCCATCTTGTGTGTAGAGGTATCGCCCAGAGCGAGAGACCTTGGACACGGCCTCGGCGCTGGCGAAGAGGACAGATGCAGCGACGAGAGCGCGCAACGCCCTGGCCATGATAAATGGCATGGTGAGGGGGTAAGCGATGAAGGGGTATGAGATGAAGGGATGAAGCGGGGTAGTGTGACCGATGTGAGGTTTATGAACCGAGCGGCGAGAAAGACAAAGTCGGCTTGCCAAGCCCGAGCCTTCCCCACCAAGCGCCTCAGGGGTAGTAAGTTTCCGTTCCGACGTCGGATGTCAAGTACGGTGGCAGTGTGCACGCCGATAATAGTTCCAGCTCTCATGAATTCTCAAGTTGAAAGGGCTCCGACTGGTCAGAGCTATTACAAGTTAGGAACAGGGAGGAATGGACGCCCAGCGGTCCCAGAGCCATCCGCCACGTCTCACACACTCGTGTTTGCTGGCTAAAATCTTGTCCATTGTTTAATGGCCGCACGCTTTCCATAGTGAAGCCTGAACTGCTCTCAAGCGTGCACAGCAAAAAGCGAATGAGAGCGCGCTCGGATCTTGCCGGCAATAACAATCTCGCACTAAACCTTATTCCAGCCACTGTATAGTCCACCGCGTCTCGGCTTCTGTCTGTGCAACGCTAAGCAGCTCCTCATCGCCGGCAGCTTCAAGACCTCGGTACGTCCATCAGCACTTCGCGTTGCCAAACGTCCCACTCAAATTCTCTGGACCAGCCTCAAAATCAAAAATGACCCACGACTCCGTTTGGTTCTCTCGCCCAAGAAAGTATGGCAAGGGCTCCCGCCAGTGGTGAGTGCCACCTCGGAATATGTCAAAACGCAATCATAGTTAACTCGGACGCCTCCCTTCCAATTAGCCGCCTCTGCGCTCACCAGGCTGGTCTCATCCGCAAGTACGGCCTTGACCTCTGCCGTCAGTGCTTCCGTGAGAAGTCGGCCACCATCGGTTTCGAAAAGGTGTGTAGCAGTCGCACTTCAGTTACATTGTGTTTGCTCATCATGTGCATTCAGAACCGGTGAAGACGCGTAGAGTCGTTGGAATCTTGCAGCATTGTTTCTCTCTCATCGTTCTGGCTAGCTATCATCACACCATGTCTTATATGTTGCTATGATATCATGCAACGAGACTTCACTTCCGTGGACTCGTCCAACTAAGCAAAGTCATCCAAACATCACCGTCCAATCTTGGCTGGCTTCGAATCAAAATCACGCTTCATGTTAAATTACGGCTCGCTCAAAATCGTAAACGTCTAAGCACCAAGTGCAAACATGTATTGACGAGGGAGCATAAGTACAAAGGTATTGCTTAGCCATTAAACAGACATTGGTTAGTTGGGTTAGATCAGGTGGCAAAATTAGAGCTATACAGATGCTGGCAGATGAAAGGATGTTCTGAAAGCAAAGAAGAGCAATGGGTGGATGTGCCGAGGTGCGAAGTACAAATGCGCGGTGTAAAAGATCTCCAAAGAACAGAGTTCATGGCGGACGACGTGCATGACCCAGGTATCGATGTTGAGTGCAAACATATACATAGAAATAGCCGTTTAACGTCCCAAGGTTCATGATCGTGACCGGTGAGGAGCACGTAGAAAATTACATGCCATACCCATAGCTGGATCGCTGGTAAGGATCGATCAATGATCCAGCAGCGCCAGCGTTGGCGAATGGGCTGGCGTTCGCATACGCAGAGACGCCGCCAGCGAAGCCATTTCCATGGGAGAGCGAGGGAGTCATGCCTGCTTGATGAGGCGAGCCGCCTTGCATGACATAAGGGTCAATGGACGAGGGCTGAAGTCCGTGAAGTTGAGGGCCAAGATGAGAGGGGGCGAAAGATCCCTGTCCTTGCAGACCATAAAGACCACTCTGGCCACCATAGATATCCGCCATTGGGGGGTTGGAGGGGTGAAGACTTTGAGGTAGATGACGACCAGAATTGTGAAGGTTGCCGACACCAATAGATCCGTGGTATCCACCGCCAAAGTTGTCCATCTGCTCGCGTTGCAGCTTGTTTTGAATTCGCTTGCCATAAGGCGTGTTGCGAATCAAGGGCAGGACGGGACGGATGCCTTCCACCAGCAGGGCACGCTGACTAGCTTCCGCGTAATCCAGCGCAGTCTGAATTATGGTGAGTTGGCATCAACGCAACAGAAACATTCAACCTTACCTGAACACAATAATTGCCGTACGAATCCCGCAGCAGCTTCTCCAAACGGGAACGGTTCAGGACCTCCTCGATCAGTATCTTACGAGTGCTATGCTCAGCAACGCGGATGCACTAGAGGGATATATGGTAAGTCAAAGTCATCATAGGGTAGAAAAACCAAAACAGACCTTCTCAATGACATTGGAGCTGAATTTCTGCACAGAGAGCGCACACACATTGCCAGTAAACTGACGAATGACGCCTTCACTAAAGCGGTTGTCGTTCAAGTCCAGAACATATTGTACAACCTGAATGAGACTCAGCACCAGCACTGAGAAGCTCATTTTCAAGCGCTTACATAGTTGCCGTAAGGGTCTTGCACCAAGGTCAATGCATTGTAGGTGATCTCATTGACAAGCTGGATACGCTGGTGATCGGACGCGTGGTCGATGCAACGTTGCAACACGCAGCAGCCATGTCTGTGGGTAGCTACCTCAACACAGTTAGCCGCCACCGCGTTGTAGATAAACTGCAACTCTAGTATCAGTTTTCTGAGCTAGGTTGACGGACTCGCTATGATTACCTGGTTGTCCTCAGGACTGAGCTTATTAAGGCATTTCTGGATGACATGGTTTCCATTGAGATCCTTAATCAAGACTACGACGTGGAGGCTGAGAGCGAGGATAATCGAGTGGATCTGAGTGTTATATCTATGATCAGTCTAAATTCACCCCCGTAAGTGCGGCAGAAAAGTGAGAGCTGAAACTTGACTTACCTGTCGCCGAGTAGACAGGAAATCGATCATCTTCTGAACAGCACGGGTACCATGCATGTTCAAAGAGATGTTGACGAGATCCTGTGCCACAGATTCACAGATCAGGTTCCGCTGCTCATCCGTGGAGTACTCCAAAAGCTTCTGGCAAAGGTAGTTGCCGAAGGGGTCTAAAACTAGTTAGCTCGCAAGGTCTAGCGGAGAGGAATGGAATAGTACCTGTCATCAGCTCCGCGAAATGGCTGAATGTCTCCCGGAAGATCATGTCGCGATGCTCAACAACACCCTCCTCAAGCTTCTTCTGGAGATAACGACAACCATGCTGGTCTTTGCAGAGAGCAGGAATCTCGCCTTGAAGATCCTCAAGACGAGTGCCAGCAAACCGGTTCACTGCAGATTTTTTTTTTATTAGCGAGTATCAAATGAGGAAAGGATGTTGTCACTGACAATCCATGTCCCCGCGCTTGTGCTTGGGCCCGTGTAAACCGTTCATCTTCCCGTTGTCACTCAAGCGTCCAGTACCAAGTCCATAACGAGAGCCATTATGGTGGTAGAGAGCAGTCGAGCCAGTCGCGCCATCGATGTTGGGAGTCGAGATACGGCTATTCGACTCAAAGCCATAGGAACTGTACCGCCTGCCTTCTTCCAATGGGGCAGTGAGACCGTAAACCGACTCTACACCGTACTGGTCTTCAAGGAAGTTGCCATCATACTGACCCGATAGGCGTGATAGAGAAGGCTGAGACTCGAGCCTGTCCTCACCAATGTGACGGTGGCTTTGCGACGACAGACGACCACTCAAATTCTGGGTATCAGGAGTGAGAGGAGTGCCTGGGGTATGCAGAAGATGACCACCAGCTCCGTTAGTGATACCGGAGAGGGGAGTAGCGGGTACAGAACGCGTAGAAGCAAGCTCAAGAACTCCTGGAGATCCGCGCCGAGACGATGCCTGCATGCTAGCTGAAGGAGGCAACTGAGCAGATCCTGGGCCCATCTTGCCGGACAAGTCCTGAGAAGACGAGGTAAGTGTCAGTGTCGGACCTGTGCGGTGGTCTGCACGAGAGTTCAAGCCATCAGGACCATGGTGGTTGCCAGAGAACTGAGGCCACTCAGAAGACTTCTCGACGCGCGCCGAGAAGGCGCTCCTCGGAGAAGTTTGCGACATGTGCGCGAGATCCAGGGCGGCAGACGATGTCGTGTTCTAAAAGTGGGGCAGTCAGATGTCGCAGGTAGGTTTTTTCGTTGAGAATGAATCACCTGTTTGCCATAAGCATGATACTTGTCGTCATCAGAAGTAGGCAAGTTCCTCATAGCATCTTGAAAAGACGATCAACAATAAGAACCATCAACACGAGGCTTGAGGAATGATCTTACTGTGCATTTCTTGGTCTAGTTGCTCATCAAGCATTATACCAGGGTTGTACGATTGCCCATTGCGAGCCCTATCATCATCGCCAAGCCTTCCCCGCAGCGAGTTTGCAAAACCCCCGATGGCGCCAGGGCTGGGAGTACCACGAACGAGGCCCTCGCCGGCCAACGCCAGGTTCTCGAGGTGTCCAGCCAGCTCTTCATCATGCTCACTAGCAGATGTACGACGGCTGGCGGGCATGCTCTTCGCACCTGGTGCGCGTCCATAGTGACCGTTGGAGTTCCCGAGATCCGGAGAGCGACTGACGCTGGGAGCGTACGTGACCGATTTTCTCTTGTCCGAAGCCGATCCGACCGCTTTTGAGAGACCCTCAACGTCAAGTCCGATCTGGTGACCGGGGACACCAACACGAAGTGCGGAGTCACCGTGCAGCATGGCGTTGACCCGCGGAGGCGTCGTCGGCGCGGAGACGGCAAACTGGGCTGCGGCATTAGGATCAAACGGAATGCTGAGCAGCTCTTGAGCCTGCTGGTGCTCCAAAGCGCGCATTTGATCCTCGAACATCTTCCTCTGCAAGAGGCGCTGACGCTGATGCTCTAGACGCTTCAGCTCGACGCGCTGTGAGTGGCGTATACAAGGTCAGCGGACGCGTTCGCCATACGTGACTATTCTTGGCCACGTACCGCAGACATGTCGGGCATATTAGTCCCCAGCCTCGCAGCCTGGCAGAGAAGGTCAGAGGCTACCTAACGCGGAAATGGGGGGTGAGGAAAGCCTACCGAGTCTGCGAGGTCGAGAAAAGCAGGGGGACTTTGCTTCCTCCCGTCGGGGTTGTGATTATTATCGGATGAGTTAATAGCATTCTGGTTGATACTCATGGCTATAGACGACAAAAGCGGGTTAGGCTTTTCTTGCTCGAGGCTGATGGGGAAATTAAACGAGGGCGACAAAGGAAAGCGAAGGTATTAAGGAGGTGTAGTCGAGTGCAGCTTAATGAAACAGATCTTCCTGCGATGTGAGTGGCACGGAGGTGAGCTGGACGTGGACGCGACACGGCTTGTTTGGACAGACCGGTAAGCCAATTTTACGCCCGTCTATAATGGACTGATAGTACAATGAGGCTTTATGGGCTGTCGGAGAGGCTGTGAGCGAAGTGAAACTATATGCGCGTGGCCTGGGGACGCGCCGACCTTTTTCGGAGACTCCAGATTTTGCAGGATGTGTGAGGAGGAACACGGTGATGTTGCTCAGTAGAGTCGTTACGGGCAGCAGAATTTAAGGCACTTGGCCAGGCGCGTGGGGAGAAAAAACAGCCGGAGTTACCCTCTTTTTTAAAAGTCCGCCCTATTGCAGCATGGCCTTTGCAAATCTAATTGCAAGTCCATACATTCTTTAATGAATTCTCGCCCTCCACTCCCGCTCCCGTCCTCCATCGTCCCTCTGCTCAGTACCGAGTCCTTTCCTGCTGGCAACTCGTATCTTTTGGAACTGTCTCGTCCGTGATCTACTGGTCTATAGCACCCAACTTTGATGAGTGCGAATGTTGTTGAATATACTTCCGCTGTCACACTCCAAAACGCGCGCCTCATGTCTTCCATTCACCCGACCCTTGCAGTGCACCGTATCACCGCAGGCCCGGCCGAGAGAAGCTCGGATTGGCGGGCAGCAGCGAGGCGACAAATTTACTCTCGTATCACATCATCATGCCGCCGCATACACAACCCTGCGCTTCCTGTGACCGACCGTCCAGACTCTGGGTTCCCCCTCCTCGAATCCTATCATTCGCCGATCATAGGTATATTACAGTTGCAAGTAACCCTGATTCAATAACCAAAGCTAGAACTTGTTCACTGGAACAACACCAATCTTGAGTGCCACTCGTCGGACGGAGTCATGACTTGGAAATTTTTCACAGAAGCATAAGTCATTACTATAGCCGCAACACGCGAGCTGGGAAATAGCGTAATATAAAGAGCACAAACCCCGACCATGTGTACTAGCGAGCCGGTACCGACGAGGTCAAACCGCTCTTCTGGAGTCCAATTTCTTTGGCTGACTTCTCGACGCCCCCTGCTGCCGGGGTCTTCACGTCCTGCTTACGCTCGTCGGTCCCGTCGCTATGGTCCATGTCCAAACCTCGGATCGTTCGCCGGTCATCTTCGTCGTCCCTAATGGGCTGTTCGGGCGCTTGGCCCGTGCTGGCCTCCCCGTCAGCCGCGCTGCCATTGGCGTGCACGGGGTGGCCGTTCTCAGTCTCGCGTTTGACAGAAGGCGCGATCGAGGATGATGTGCGCGAACGCCAGAACCCAGGAAGCTGAGGAAGTCCAATGGAGATCCTAGAGTACCTGGAGAAGGCGCTCCCATCATTTGAAGAAGCTGTCGGTGTTACGGCACCGCTACCTGACCCGTCACCTTGAGAATCCTCATTAGTGGGGACATCCGCGTTGCCATTCGCTTCAGAGCCGGTTCCCTCCGTGTCAAGCGTTAGAGAAGGCGGAGATTGAGGTGGTGGTGTCACAAGCCCGGAAGACATTGGGGATTCTGAAATACGCAACGGGCTTCATAACAGGTCAATACTTCCGAATCATTCTGCCGAGCAGCCAGACACATACGCAGAAGACGCGCATTCGCCGTCGCTCAGAATCAGCAGTAAATTCTTGAGGTTGAATAATGTATGTCGAATATCCATGGTAGGTGTTTCGTCCACCATTAGCTGTTCCAGGCAACCATCAGCATATAAGTCGCATGCAGGAAAACCGCAAACTTACCAACTCAATATTCTTGTTTAATAGAAATACTCCATATTCAAAACGATAGGTATCAACGCCTCTTGAGAAAAGCGGGAACCTGATACAATGTTAGTATGGCGGGAGAAATACGGCAAAAGAAAGTCCTGACATTCGAGGGCCGACCATAGCAGAGATATTATCACGGATAAGACTTCTGCTACCAATGTAGGTGACAGGGTATACCAGAGCCTTGCCCATATAAGCGGCAAGTAGATGGATAGCCAACGCAGCATATCCCAGAGCCGTAGCGACAGAGTCTTCGTTTACGTCCTTATGAGCAGACCACGAGAGAGGAGGGGCGGGATCCGTTTTGTTCAAGGGTATAGGTAATGGAACCGAAAGAATAGTATAGAGTAAATCCTCGGGTGATCGCAGGTCGATCGGGAAGATGAAGGAGAGTGTTGCAATAAGACGGGTGCGGAGAGGCGTCAGTTGATTTCGAAGAGACATCAACCGTTTCCTGGTTAAAGCGTGAAAAATGGCCCAACCCGATTTTGAGGACGACTTACCTCTCTTCGACGAGTACTAGCTTTTCACTAGCCAACATAGCTGCTCCCTCGTCCATCAACCCTTTAGCACTGGCCAAAGCAGCCTCTCGACTTCTTAGAGATTCTTTCTTGCGGGCAATGAGCTCACGGACTTTGAGCATAGGATCAATTTAGTAACTATCAGTCGGTTGAAGAATAAAGTGACTGACGTTCATTTGATCTGCTCATAATACGAGACCGGTCATCTTGACGATCACGTATTCGTGTCTCCCGCTCCGATACATCACGCATCTTCAACCCATGTCAGGAATTGGTATCATTACGACACGGAAGGAGTTGGAAACCTACTAGGGCAGTTACAGCATCCGCACGCAACGAGTCGGACACTGTGTCAACAATCTTATTCAAAGATTGTTGGTTATCCCGTATGCACGCTTGAAGCGTCGCTAGTCTACCATGTAGTTAGCGCTCGTATGTAAGTAGACGATATCGAACTGCTTACTGAAGAAGATCTTGCCAGCTTGAACTCCGTCCTTCAATTCTCCTGCTTCGCTGCCGCGTCTGAACTTTCGGCAGAGCCAGCTTGGCACTATGACGGGGAAATGCTAAGTCCCCAACAGCAGTGGTAGCTTCTGGGTCGGATGTGTAACCAGGAGAAGGAGATCTTGAACGTCCCTTCGGCGGCGGCTTGGGGAGGTAAAATGTGGTATCGCTCGAGGAAAAAGTGACCAAAAGAGTGTTCGACGGAAGACTGAACTGGTCCTGGGATAGCTACAGAGCGTGTCAGCATCGCGCAAGTGCAATCGTTAAGAAGGATATAACCTCTTCAGACAGAGGCACAAGCTCTTGCAAGTGAACATCCCACTCTTCCAATACCTTCCAGTCCTTTAGTCCATCCACCTGCGTCTCCTTTTCTTTTCCCTTTCCCTTCACACTCGAATGAATATCGACTTGACTTCCTGTCTTCGCCCAAAGCTGCACATGGAAGTAATTGGTACTGCGATCTGTCCATTCTGCAAATTCATACGATGACCGGCCATCGATAGTAAATGCCGGGTTGGTTGACGGTCGGTGGATGGGGGACATGTAGTCAGGGACACCATCAAGATCATCCTCGGTCATAGTTTGGCCTCCGTTAAGCGCGGATGACTGAGAAGGGCCAGCTTTGGACGGCATTGACAGAGATGACTTGTGGATCTTGCTGGCAGCCTTGGAAGATACCGGACTATCTTTCATCGCTGCCTTCATATCCTTGGGCCGGAATCTTGCATTGTCTTGGCTCTGTGTTCGCGGTCGTCCGTACGCGTCTCCAGAGTTTCCAACAGGCGAAGATGGACGGGAGCCAGACGCACTCATCGTCCTCGAACCGACGCGATTCGTGCGAGAGGGGACTTTGATGGTGATGAAGGATTCAACCAACCGTGAATCGACGACCTCCTCAAGCTTCTTCTGGTTGTACTCCATAAAGAAGCCACTCGTGCTGGTATAGGTTGACGACGAAGGAACAGCGGAAAGCGCACTAGCGGAGGGTATATTGCCAGAGGCGATGGAGCTCGTGCGATTACGAAAGGAAGGTCGAGTAGGGTGAATGGTAGGGCTAGGAGGTTGTTGTCGTGAAGGTTTGCTGCCTGCTCCGGTGCTCATACTGCCTGTTGGTGCGCCCGTGAAACTAACCTTAGATTGTGTTCTCCGGCGACCTTTCATGTCGGGAATAGACACTCCAGGGGGAGACCCCTCGGTGAACGGTACAGAGGGATCCGCACGAATGCTACGCAAGGTATTGATAGAGCTTGTGGATATCCGGCGAGAACGCCTCCGGGCAACAGTTACATCGAGGTCGTCGGAGTAGTGACCATGAGCAGTGAACTGGGAGTGAGAGGCGGGTTGTAGGAGAGCGGAAGCGACCGCATCTCGAGCAGGGAATGGCGTGAAGTTCCTGATCTGAATAGAGGTTATGTGGCGGAGACGGTGCTGGAAAGTGTCCTAGAAGATGAGGAAACGGTCACCCCTCTGTATGCGGTTAGAGAGAAGATGCGAATGACCTGATAGTCACTTAGATGCCACGGAATATTCGGTGGAGAGTTTGAGAGGGCATTGTGTGCATCTTCGGACATGTTCAGACAGCCAGGACGAGCATGTATGAGCACGAGACGAGATAACACGAGTTGAGTCTGCCTATGTTGTCGGGGACTCGAAGATCGACGCGGTTGCTCGGAGACGAGAGCGTTTCCATTCCCAGCGCGACACTCACTGCAGCGCTAAACTCAGGCTACACCTCGAAATAACGCGCTCTCATGGCGCCAAAACCAAGGCAGAAGAGAATTCCCTCAGGGCCAGCAAAGCCCGATGATGCACAAACAATGTCTTCAGCGCCGCAGCAACCAGCCCCTACTCCTGCAGCAGCGCCTAAAGACCAGCAACCTACACCCTCGACAAGCACCCAGGCGACCACTCAAGCTAGCAATGCCAACCCGACCTCCTCAGCAGCTATGCCCCCGCCACCTCAGCCACCAAGTAAACCCCAGGCGATCCTTGAGCCCGAGATGACCGCTCTTGCAGAATGTCTCAAGGTACCTAACCACTGCCGCTATTAGCCGAGCACCAACCTCACGCTCTCTAGAATGCCGTGGTCAAGACAGCGCAGGTATACGCGTTTCATGCGGATGCTCATAGGCTGTGCGTATATGAATCCTATAGACGTTGTGTCGACTGAAGGAACGCACACAGCGGCTTGCAACGCCACATGCCATATCCACCGCGTTCGCTCATCGCATCTCTCGGCAGCGAGGTCGAGAGGTATGATCAACTCTGCGATGCGATCGAATTTCAAGTCGTAAGCATATTTATCCCCGCCGCCCACTCCATCAATAATTCTGTGTCCTTTCCAGTCTCGTGCCATCTCTGTCCTGCAACGCGACCTGTCTCGCGAGCAAGCGCGTATCCGTGAGGCCGAGAATGCCATCGCCCAGCGTACTCGGTCCAAATCCCCGTCCAAGTCCCCAGTCTCAACCCGTATCTCCTTACCACCCAGTGACGGCACCGACATCACCATGCAGCCCCCCACCGGACGTGACCAGTCACCCACATCGTCCACTGCGCTTCCTTCAAGCGCCCCCGCACGGCGCCAGTCTAACATCTCCCTCTCCTCCCTCCAGCGCCCACCACTACCTCTCAAACTCGACTTGTCCGCAGCCCGTATGAACCCCGACGACGCCACCAACTTCGCCAAGAGCGGCCTCGCGTCCCCCGTCGCGCTCGCACCCAAGTCGGCAAGACTCACATCGACAGCGGAGATAGATCTCATGGCTGCCTTCGCCAACGCCGCGAACCAGTCAGAACATCAGCGACATATCGACATCGACCTCACCAGCTCCCCCGTGAACATGCCCGACGACGTCGACTTGTCTCTCGGCACTACTGCGGACAAGCCCATCGAACTGGACCTCGATAACATCGACATCGAGATGTCCAACATGACGGATCTGTTCGGGGACGAATCCACCGACGCTCAAGGCGGTGACAACTTGTTCTCCCCCGACGTGACAGAAGGACCTATGGCACTTCCTGCTGCCGGGGGTTCTAATGACACCAAGGACCTGGACATGGGCCTCATGGATGCGCTTTCCGCCGTGGATGCCAGCGGCCAAGGCGGCAATTCGCTGGATTCCCTTCATATCCCACACGATGGAGGCCAGCCTGTGTCGGGCGACGGCCAATCCCACCCAGCACCCTCGCCAGGTGCATTCCTCGAAGGGCTTGGGAACACAGAAGGTGGCCAGGCACCCAACCACTCTAGCATGGATTTCTCCAACCTGGACTTCTCTGGCCTAAGCCCTGACTTCTTCATGAACCAAATGAACCAGCATGGGGCCGACATGAACAACTTCGACATGGACTCGCTCTTGCAGAACATGGGTCAAGCACCGTCAAGCAATGACACGCATAAGCCAGACTCATAGGACTCGGGAGGGGACGAGGAGAAAGTACGGAACCGTAGTCAATACTTAGCATTTTAACGCATAATACCAGTACCTAACGTGACACGAATGTCCGTTATGTGTCCAAGAAAATGGGAAATAACACAGCAAATAAAAAAGTCCGCAAGCAGCGCAAAAGCAATGTCTAGTGTCTAAAGGGCTAGGTCGTAGGATGCGAAGACGGCCCGTTGATGAGATACTTGTCCAGCCGTTTTCGCACCGGATGCCCATGGCGGACGCCCACCGCCCGGAGCAACTGCGCGAGGTCTCCCGTTAGCCTTCTCTTCTCTTCCGGACCAATGTCTTCAGAGTCCTGGAGATCCTTATAGGCCCGAGACAGCCGCCCTTTTGGCAAGTTGGGAGGACCAGAGCCGTTTGTAGACGGGAGAGCCTGCACCGCTGCCCCTGCACCGCGTTTCTTCTTCGACTTGATCTTGGGCACCGCCAGCAGAGGCTCCATGAACTCCGTCCTGAATCTGCGCAGCGCGAGCGCATACAGCGGGACAACGCGGTCCAGCGAGCTCGCCGCCTCTGCACACGTCTCCGCCGACGCTAGCCGCTCCGCCTGTTCGCGATGGTCAGGCGGCCCAGCGATAGTCCCCCACTTCGCGAGTTCCTCGGTGCGGCGCTCACGTAGCTTCTGGGCAATCTTCTGGCGTGTGTCGCCAGCCTCAATGTTCTTGGAGACAGCGTCAAAGATGTCGCCGAGGGTGAGCCAGCCGCGGTCCTCGTCAACGGCGCGCTTGACGTAGTGACGGTTCACGTAGTTGAGCAAGCGGTTGACCGAGTTGGCACCGACGGCGTAGCGTTGGAAGCAAGGAAGGAGGTAGTGAATCAGGTCAGCGCTGTCCTCTTCGGGTGCGCCAAGGAGAAGCTCGCGGGCGACCCCGGCGTAGTATCGGTCGATGTGCTCGTAGAGATCTGTACCGCTGGGAATCTCCTTGTCCGGGATGGGGGAACGGGGGTTGCAAGAGTCGGACTGGGTAGTGAAGTAGTTGTAAGTGGCGGTGTGAATCCCCATATGATAGGAGATGTCAATAGCTGGAGCCTTATCCGTACTGTTGGTTGGCGAGCGGACGATATGGTTCAAAGCCGGGAGGATATAGCCCCAGAGCGAAGAGAGGGATGCCGCTGGATTCGCGCTGCCCGCAGAAGGGTTGGGCATGGGAGGGACGGTGGACGAGGCTGGCTGCTTGCCTTTGCCCTTGGACATTCTGCAATTTCTTCGGACGATGGAGAGTTGACAAGCGCGAACCTAACCTGCCTCCTAAAACTGTCCCATCAACGGAAGCAAAATTTCTCGGTGCACCGGCGGCACCGGCGACCCGGCTCGCTAGCGCTGGCCACCCTTCTCTCGCCAACGAACACGCTGAGATGTGATGGACCACGCCGTCGAGCACGACATGCACACACGCTCTACAGGCGCGCGGCTTTACGGCGGCATGTCCCCACCATACACGACATTTCTGTTGTTATTGCACTTATCAAAACACGACTTTCTCAGCATCACACAGAATTCCAATGCACATGGCCGAGTTATATTCACATTACGACAAAACAGATAATCAAGATACTATATAGGCACGCATAGATCAGGTTTGTTGCAAGCCAAAACGTCATCAAGCAAAAGTAGCCTATTTCTTTATTTTTGCCTTTCCTAGAAGCTAGACAAGCCAAGCAAAAAAGCATCGCTTCTCTCTTCTCATCTTCGGTAGTGACCATTAGCTTCAACAGGCTCCCGGCCGCGAGGAGGGTAATCTCTAGAGCCGCCTCGGGGAGGGGGATCGCCCGACCGGCCAGCGTAGCCATTGCCGTTGTTGTAAGGAGCAGCACCAGAGTACCCAGCAGAGTCATAATGCCCAGCAGAGCGAGCAGGAGGGCTCATGGAGCGACGCCTTTCGGTACACGTTCAGTAAAAGTTACACTACCGCGTGTCATCGAACGCACCTGTAGCGTTGCGGAGCAGCTTCTTCGCCAGCCCTAGGAGGAGGATAATCAGGATAGCGAGGAGGCGTCATAGGACGGGGTCGATGCTCAGCCGGAGGCGGATAATCCCTGCCCAACCATCAGAAGGCATTCATGCTTCAGCCAAGCTATTAGACAAACCTAGGAGGCCTCTCGTAGTCATCACGAGCCCGAGGCGGCGGACCAGGAGGAGTTCGGGGACGAGGAGCAGCAGCTGCGTACGCATATCTGTCATCAACAGGAGGACGCCTGTCATAGCGATCATAAGCATCACGAGGCGGAGGCGGAGGGAAGCTGCGCGAGTAGCTAGCGTCTCTATCCCCGGGATATGGTCGATCGTATCGAGCAGGTGGAGCTGCCGCCGCCGGAGGGGGACGAGACCTGTAATCGTCAAAGTCCCGAGTGCGAGCGGGGGGAGCCGGTGCTACAGGGTAGTCGCGCACGTCTCGGGGAGACGGAGGGCGACGATAATCACGTCCAGAGGAAGGGTAATCATAATGCCGAGAGTCTCGCGGAGGATAGCGTGAGGAAGGGCCAAACTCATCCCGAGGAGGATAGTCTCTGGAGGGCGGAGGGTAATCGCGAGAGTACGTGCGATCAGGCATACCAGGCTCAGTTCCACGTCGGCTGCCCATTAAATGTTAAATATTGTATAGGATATTAATGTGTCAATTAGAAACTTACGGAGGGCGGAAAGATCCATCCCCGTTGGGACATTCTCTGCAACACTATCAACGCATGAGACTGTCAACAAAACGTGAGCTGCATACCTTGCCCAGTGACCAGGTTGACCACATTTGAAGCAGGCACTGGGGTCGCTGCTTACGTGCTTCGTGATACGACCACGGCTATGAGAAAGCTCAACTCGAATTTTGTTGCCCATGAAGTAGCCCTCGTTGTACTTGGCGACACTTTCTTCCGCGGCCTCGCGACTGTCGAATTCCTAGAGGCCTCAAGTGAGGCCCTGCGTGGGAAAAACATTTTGTTTGCGCGACTTACAACAAAGCCAAAGCCAGTCCTATAAAGAGGTGGCGCCAAGTCAGATAAAGCCCCACGTCATTCCAAAGACCAAACATACTTGAGCTCAATAGCGACGATACTTCCAAGTTTACCAAAGCAGTTCTGGAGATCTTCGGTCTGGGTGTGTTCGGGGAGACCGCCGACATAGACCTTGTTCGCCTGGAGTGACATCAAGTTCAATATCGAGTCCAAGTAACAAAGGCGCGTGAAGAGCAGAAGAAGAATACAAAGCGTCAGGAGCAGAAGAGTGAGCAAAAAGCGTGGAAAAAATCAAAGCCCTTGGTCCCCGGTTTGGCGGAGGGCGACACGCCAGTGCGAGGAGCCAGCGTCAGAACCGGTACAAGCACCGACGTCAGTGTCAACCAGATCTGTCGCCAGACGCAGCTGTGAAAGAGGCATGCCGCTGAAGACACTATATGTCGTCGCAGAAGCAGACGCAGCCGCGAGTAGCACAGAAAGAGCATGGAAGCCGGCGAGAAGCACACAAGAGGAGATGGGGACAGGGTGTAACAAGAAGAGACCTAAGCACCTTGACTTGTTTTTCGCGGCCGCCATCCGTCTTGATGACGATCATGGTGTTGCCGTTGCTGGCGTTGTCGACGCTGGAGCCCCGCCTGTACTCATCTTGGCCTTGGCTGCCTTGCATAGGGTCATCCTGGCCTGGAGGAGGGTTGACGGCACTAGGGCCCATGTTGTCGGCACTGGGTGCGTCAGCTGAGTGACTGTCGTGGGCGGAGGGGAGAGCGTCCATGGCTGACCTTGGGGAGGCGGCCATCGTGATATGTGCTGTAACTCGTTGAGACCCAATGGAGTGGTTGGGGCGAAACCAAAGAAAACTTCAGTTCAGACTCCGCACGGATTTAACCCGCGACTCAGAGGCAAACAGCTTGGCACGCAACACGTTGTTCAAGCGCTCACGTCAGGGCTGCAGTCAACCGCCTTGTACTTTATCTGACAACCTTGTGTTTTCATGGTGGCCGGTTGAAAACAACATGAACAGTGATTGAAGTCAAGGATACCGATTACAAGGACAAGATAGCGCCCGTTTCAAGTTATCTTGGACTTCACTGGGGCCATAAGTCAGCAGTCTTGTCTGCGATACAAGACAACCAATGCCTTATCTTAAGAACTGAACAGAGGCCCTGGTGGCATAACATAAAGGGTGATTCTAGACATAATCATATAAACTCGTATGAACAAACAGTTGAAGCCAAGGATACCAACAACAAGGATTAGAACAAATCTATACAGATATCCGGCAAAGCCAAAAAGCAACCAACGCCCCATCACCGCATCTTGACCATCAACAAGTACCTCAGCCTGATTTGGGCCGGGTCATACACAATGTACTGCAAAGACAACAATCATCAGCGCTCGAAGCAACGAAGCGCATGTCAAGCCAGCACACGCACCTCGTTATACTGCAACCACGCTCCGTCGGGGTTGACGTTCGAAGGCTTTCCTTGGGGAATATGGCATCCGCCCAGCTCGGGGTGGTTCAGAGCAGCGGCCGCGTCCTCCCACTCTGTGGGCTGCGTGCGTCCGACACCTTTTGTAGCACTGTGTCATGTGCTCGTTAGCAGGAAATAAGCGGATGGCATGGAGAAATCACTGACAGCTTCTTTGCGGCTTTGCAGTCAGCATCGGCGGTATAACTCGAGTCGTTGAGCTCGAGGAACGGCTTCGCGGCGACTTCACACAAAAGCATCACGCCAATGTTATCACTCAGGCTGTCACAGTTGATAAACACGCTGAAAACCAAATGCAACAGAAGTCACTTACTATGAGTGACAGTAGTTTGCCGACTTGGTCATGATCTATCAAAGAAGGATTAGTGACCCAGCGGTTGTAGGTATTCCGACCAGCAACGCACATCAGCGAAGTAAACGCCCTTTCCGAACATGTAACCCGTTACAGGTGCTAGGAAAATTGTAAGCCTCAGCCTTTCATGATACGACGGGACCGCATACCTTCAGGAGGCGCAATACGCAAACCCTGCGAGAGAATACCCGCAAAGTTGGTAGAGCGGCTTCCGTGCCAAAGCAGCATCCGCTCGCCAGCGGCAAGCTTGTCGAAACCAGCATTATTCCATGCCTCAGTCTCAGTGGCCCTTGAGAATTGCTACATTAGCCTTACTGCAGAGAACAAAGCATCAGAAGCACTTACCGCTCGACTCTGAACGCGTTCACAATGCTCGCTGAAATATTCGAATGCGTCTCGCCATGCGTGTCTCTGACATAGGCCGCGAGCCGCGCAAACTCAGACGTCCCCTGATCAACAGGATCCATGCTCGTCAACCCGAGCGACGCATATTGCGAGTCGACCGGGTTCACAAGGTTCCCGTCCTCGTCCAATTTCAACGCCGTGTTCAGCACCTCGTGCGAGATTTGCTAGAATCAAAGAAAGGTCTACTTAGATATCACCGATGGGACGCGAGGAAGAGACGTACCATATCACCCAAAGCGTCGACGAGATCAAGCTCCTTCTTGAGAGCGACGGCATTGTTAATGACCGTCGGCCTAGTGCGCCCGAAGACGTGCGGGATGATGGAGTAGTATTGGCTCGTGAGCTCCTGGCATGCATTGGCTAACCCTCCCATTGACTTCGCGAGGTCCCCATTGGGCTGGTCAATGGCTTCTGCAAGTCTCTATTCCGTTATGAGTAATGCACATAAGCATACGATTACACAAGCATAAACCTACCTTGAGTGCGGCGAAGCCTTGCAAAATCGTGTTTTTGGCTAGCTTGCCGAGAGGTAACTTGTTCGCGTCATAGTTCATCGACGAAAGTGTCGCATCGATCAGGCGCGCGTTGAATATAAAGTTGCAGAATGTCTTGGAGAGGGAGTCAGCTCGTAGCAGATATCAATTGTAAGGTGATATTACCTGAATATTTGGGTGGAGCTTGGACGCTGCAATCGGAGGCGAGTCCTTCATCTCAGCATTATCGTCCTTCTTGTCGTCGCTCTCATCTTCGAAAGATCGCTCTGTGGTTGTTGTTAGTGTTTAGACTAGAAGCCGGAGGCTGTAGCATACCCAGCCACGTATATTTGCCTGGAAACCATACACGATATTAGCTTACGGCACGAAAAGAGCTCGATGGCGTGCGTACCTTTGCCAGCCACCATGCCATGGCGACTCTCCCATGCGACGCCAGACTTCGCGCGGAACTGCTTCTTGAAGTCACTGACTGCACCAGTGGGAGACGTCAAGGGCTAAACACATGCATCATCATGCGTCTGCCTCATTGTACACACAGACAGCACCCACGTTGGACTTGGACTGACCGCGCTCGCCAACACGGCCCCAGCGCGTGAACATGAAGCACTGGTTGTCATTCCCAGCTGGATGAAGGACCTGAATGACATAGAACCTGCGATAATCATTAGTCTCGGCATTGTAAAGGCAGAAGGAAGTACTCACTTGTTCTTGTTTGAGCCGACTTCGGTCTGATTAAGCATGGCATCCCAGACGGTGTTCATGCCGTTATAGACTTGATGGGTCGCTGCAAGCAAGTAGCGACATGAGTTTTGAGTGCTCGGAACGAGAAGAGTGACTTACCGACATAGCCAGACTCGGGGTCAACAGGCGCAGCACCGCGTTTCACGACCGTGACCTACCAGAGACCGCGTCAAGGCATAAGAAAGCGAACGCGCCAAAAGGTAACTTACCATCTTGGCGTCCTTCTTGTCGTCATCCTTGTCGTCGACATCGGCGTCGGCGTCATCTACGTCGTCCTTCTTGGACTTCTTCGCGGGCGCGTCCTCGTCGTCCTCGTCGTCAGCGGGACGAGCGCGCTTGCCCTTGGCAGTGGACTTGGGTTTCGATGCAGGCTTCGCTGCCGCCTTAGCAGCCCCGGCTGATTTAGGCTTTGCAGCAGCCTTGGACGCGGGTTTGGCGTCAGCAGCAGCGGCAGACGACGGCTGAGCCGCTGCAGAAGCAGGTTTGGTCCTGGAACGCGTTGTACGCGTAGAAGCCGGCTTAGCATCAGCAGCGTCCGCACTGGCATCAGCACTGGCATCGGTGGTCTTCTTTCTAGGGGCCATGGTAGATAGTACGAGTCAAGAGTTGGTGGAGGGAGGAATGTGGGGTAGAGCAAGGTGATGAAGAAAAGGAGGAAAGGGGCGATGGTATCCTTGGCGGGGGCGCGACGGGGTTTATATACGCGTCGGGAGGGCGGGAGGCGAGCGCGCCGCCTCGTGACAGTCGAGTCAGACGGTTGTCGGGCGGGGCGCGTGTTGGGCGCATGACAGGGGCCAAGAACACCGCCCTTTTCCGTATATGGCAAGTCCGCCGCCTGCCCTCCGCCTCATGTCGCGCACTTGAATTAGCCCCTGACGTTGCGGAGCCGACAGCGAATAGTTGCTGAGCGTTGGAGAACTGTTGGATGCCGAGAGCATCGACACAAAGCCGCAACGCGTTCAAGTGGGCGTTCCGTGTAATCGCGACCAACGTCTCAAGGAGGGCAGATATTGACCATTTTGTCATTCTATGCGCACGTCTGAGGGGGACAACGAAGGACCAGTCAACCCCCTCCTGGGAATTTAGAGCCCCCCGTGGGAAGGTCTATCACGTGAAATCCGGTCATTTTGTAAGGTCACGTGAGCTGCTAAGGCCTACTCACGTGAAAGTCACGCACTGGTCATGCGTATATCATGTGATATTGTCCCAAAGGGGATGTGATGTGATGTGACGATGTGAAAGGGTGAATACCTGTGATCATTCACAAAGTGTGATCACAGCAAGGGTTAATTTCCTTTTGCGGGTGACAAGCGGTCGAGGTCGAGCAGCATCGACGGGGTTGTGTGTGCAGTCGCCAACTCTTGTCGCGTCCAGAGAGATGGATAAAAAGCCCTCGATGGCCCACCCCAATCCCCATCCTCTCCTGCTTTCTTCCCGCTTCCAGCTCTCCCCAAACAATGTCTCCTCGGCGCTACATCTCCAAGATGCGTCTCACTGTAAATCACCCGCTTGGTGGGTCCACTTCCCCTGTCCACATGCCTTGCTTTATCCCGACGCTGATCCCCTTCTCCTTTGTCTCTCCCAGAGTTCAAAAACGCCGCCGAGCTGCATTTTGCCACCACCCCGGATCAGCCTCCTGTGGTCCCGGCAGAGTGGCCGGCCGAGTCCTACTCCTACGCCGCCCCGGCTCCTCCGTCCGCGTCCCACTCGTTTGAGATCACGGACCCCAGCAATCCACAGGATGCCTATGCCCTCGCAGAAGTCCTCAGCAGCTTCCCCATCCCTCCCCCCAAGCGTTCGACTCGTGCCCCCAAGCGCATACCCCGCCCGCGCAACGCCTTCATGCTCTTCCGCTGCACCTTCTCCGCCTCCTCTTTCATGCGCACCTCCACCGAGCACGACAACCGCCACATCACCCGCATCATCGCCCACTGCTGGAACGCCCTCCCCGAGCGCCAAAAGGCCTACTGGTACCGCAGGGCCCTCGAGGAGAAGCAGCACCACGCAGAGCTCTTCCCCGGCTACCGCTTCACCCCTACCTCCCGCGCAAACCGCCAGAAGCGCAACGTCAAGCGCAACAGCGACGCCGACAAGGAGCGCAGCAGGCGCATTGCAGAGCTTCTCCTCGCTGGAAAGCACGGCGACGAGCTCGATGTCGCCGTGAAGCAGGACGACGCCGTCCACTCCGACAGCGACGGCTCCTACCGGTCTGAAAGCCCAGAGACCAGGCCAGCAAAGGCACATAAGAAGTCGCTGACTTCCAAGGCCCGCAAGCCTCCAAGGAGCCGCACTGCGGCTATCTCGGCAGCAGCTCCCGAGTCTCTCAGCGTCCCGACCGTGAACTTCGAAACGGTCACTGCGAACCCATGGGACTACTACTCCACGGAGCCGTCCTCGATTTACGCGCCTCAGGCTTCGTACCCGCCTATGCTGCCTCACGCCCAACTTTACCAATCGCACTCTGTACGTTTGTATTCTCCCGATATGTGGCGCACCTGGCTCACGTTTTATATCACAGCCCGCCCTCTCGTCTGGCTCTGCTCACTCCTATGGCTCATCCTCGAGTCCTTCCCACCAAGTCGCCCAGATGACCGAGCAGTTCGCCTATACCTCCGTGACCACGCCGCCACAGCCCCGTGCTACCGACTATTATTCCGCAGGCTCGTACGACACCCAAGAGCGCCACCCCTCTCCCGACGACACGTACTCGCTCGCCTACCCTCTCTCGCAGGACTACCTGAACGTGCAGGACACGTACACCCGCGGCCTTAATTTTGAGTACCCCATGCCGTCTGGCTACGCCACGAGCTACTCTGCAGGCTACCAGCCGAGCTTCATGAACACCGTTCACCAGAGCCAGCCTTCGGGCGAATATTATCCCGAGTACAGCAACTACTAAGGTTTCTACCCACACCCTTCGTGTCGAATTTTGAAAATTATTCACCGTCCCAAAAATCACCCATGTTTCCTCTATCTCTGCGCCGCTTGTCCAGTCCCCTCCTTTTCTTATGTTTCTTTCAACGTACCATCTCTCAAAGTGACACATCATTTCTAGGATCCCTTTGTCTCTTTATTCCCTATGACCATTCCATGACTTGTTCCTGTAGCCATATTTCAACACATTTCTTCTCGGCATAGCGACGCACACACACTCCCTCATCTTACATACTCATATGTTTTAATCCTTAACCAGTATATCATATGTACCGTACACACTTTTCATGTTTTGAAATATACCACCAATACCTCTTCCATCCAATATTAATCAAGAAACCGAGCGAATCGCAATCTCTATCCACCGATCCTCGCAAAAGCACCAACACCCTCCCAGCCCAACACACTCGCGCACTCCACCGCGCCCGCGCCCGCACTGACCATGCGCCTCCTCGCCTCCGGACCATCGACCCCACCCGCGCCGACGACGACCACGTCCCGCACGCTCTGCACAGACGACGCATCGAGCGCCGCTCTGAACGCAACAACGTTGCCCAGCGCGAGCGCATGGATCGCCGCGCCTCCGAGCCCGCCTGGGCCCGAGCGCGGCGGAGCTGCAGCCGTCTCGTCCGGCGAGGGCGAGAATGTGTTAGTGTTCGTCGCCGAAGATCCGTCGGCACGGGGCGGACACGTCTCCTCCCCGAACAACACCGCGTTTCCGACCGTGTTCGTGCACACGAGCCACGCGACGGGGCACACGCCCCCACCCGCGACGCGCTCGAGCGCACGCACGACCGCGCGCACGTCGTCTGCGCGCGTGTACGGCGGGAGCTTCACGCCCAGCGCCACCTCTCCGTCGCTCCGAAAGAAATCAGCGACAACCCTCAAAAACGCCTCCAGCGCACCGACCTCCCCACCCAGCGCCCCTCCCGGATGCGAATCCGCCGCGTCGCCTTCCCGGATATTCGGACACCCCACATTCACCTCCACCCCCACCCTCTCTACATTTCTCTCCCCAGCGCTCCCAAGCTCCGCACGAAGAAACTCGCCGATCACACCAAGCGCCTCACCGAGCTCGTCCGGCGCAGACGCCGCAACGCTAACAACGACCGGCTTGCGCGGCGCACAAGACGGCGGCGGCGGACGCGCGAGGAGCACGCGCGTCCACGCGAGATAGGCGCGCAGCGGGTGCGGCGAGTATCCGTACGTGTTCAGCGTCGTGCGGTGCTCGCGGTGGAACACCACCTAAGATACAGTACATACCACCAATATCAACGATCAATGAATGACATACAATCGAACAATGAATAGTTTGATAGACTCGCGATGCTCACCCCGTGCGTGCCGTCCTCGACGAACCCGCCCAGCGTCGCAGTGCGCGTGGTAACGCCCCCAGTATGCGGACAGTCGTAGAGCGCAGTGAGCTGGGCGAGATCGGACGCCCAGACGCAGGCCGCGTTGAGCAGGGGCGGATCCAGTTCAATCGTCCGGAGTTTCACCATCGCAGGTGGTCAAGCAAGATTGCGTGACGTTGACGAGAAATCTCAGGAGGAGATCTCAGGAGGCGAGGCCGGTCAGAAGGTCGGAGGCAGCTATGTATGGGCATGTCAAGATTCGAGCTGTAAAGTGCCTGAAAACGTTAATAGAGAATGCTTCCGAGATAAGATAAGATTCAGCACAAATCCAGCTCTGACATTTTCCGTCGTCAACGCCACAGTTTAGTATACACCTATATATTTTATCACCAAAAAGCCCGACGGCACGGCAAACGCCCAAAACACAACCTCCAGGCCCACAGGGGCCTGGTTGGGCAAAGAAGGTCCCTGACGAACGCAGCAAATCACTTGAGAACCTCCTCCCGGGCAAGCACCTCCTGTTCGAGCTTGATGAGGATCGTCACCCGATGCGGATACTGCGCAGTCGGCGTCGCATGCGATGTCACTCTCGCAGGCTACATCAGGTCATCCATGACGTAGCACAACGACGTCAGTCTATATACTATAGGCGGCAGCAACGAAGCGACGCACAAAGTTGAGGCCATCGAGCACAGCTTCCACGATGCCTGCAGCGAACGAGGAGCAGCTGAGGGTGCTCATATCGCGCGGGACGGAGATGTGCCGCTCTAGGGGCGGATCGTTATCCACGATCATGTCTGCAGCAAATGTCAGAATCCGGGGAAACGGGATCAGACGAGGCATGTGGGGACGCGATAAGGTACACAAGCACGACAAAAAGGGGCCGAACACACTCGGTCCCGGGGGTCGGGACGTTGGCTACCGGAGCGCGACAAAAGCAGAACAATAGCGAGGGAACGTACACTCGTCGGGATTCTCGACGCTCTTCTCGATCGCGTCTGCCTGCTTTGCAAAGACGGCGCGCCAGACCTGGGTGTGGACAAACATGAGGGCGGGGAGGAACCGGGTCTCGCGCTTGGGCGCCTTGGAGGCGGACTCGGATCGCCAGGCGAGGAGTTCGAGGACACGGAGGCCGACGCGGTAGCCAAGCGCGTTTAGTCTGCCGCGATGACGCGCACGCACGGACGGCAAAGAGATGGCCGAGCCGGGTGAGTGTGTACGCGGAGCGATGCATACGGACAAGCGCGAGTATCGTCAGGATTGACATCATAAGGTGGTGTGAAGGCAAGTGCGTACCTGCGTTCGAGGTCATTGATGCCACTGACGCGTTTCTGGGTGTACTGGATCATCTCGGAGAAGAGGAAGGAGAATGCGGAGAGGGAGACCTCGGCGGTGCGCGTCTTGTTGATTGGCCGGTCATAGATGGACTGGCGAGGCTGGGACGGCTTGGATGAGCCAACGAGGGTTGAGTTGATCGAGGGTGCTGAGGCAAGAGAGAAACGAGGAGATGAATTTGTGGGTGAGAAGTGGTCTGAGGAGATGGAGGAGGTGGAGAGGACGGAGAAGCGGGAGGGCGGGGGAGGGACGTAGCCAATAGACATGATAAAGACGAAGGTCAAGGGCAGTGCTTAAATTGACGCTAGTAATATAATATAATAGTGTACCTGCCGGGTGCCAAGACGCTTTCTATTTAGGCGTCGAGTGTGAGGAGACGTCGGTAAAACATAATATCTATCTAGTATATCTCATAAGATATCCCCCATGTCCCACATACACAGGCACCTCCATCCCTCTCCCTCCCTCCCAGACTTTCACAATCAGACCCGCCGCACCAGACCCCGGACTGCCACCACCTCCGCCGCCTCCCCTCCGCCCGTGCCCCCTCTCCCCCCCGGCATGACCAGGTCATCCATCCTGTCCTCCTTTGGCCCCCCAGCACCATCGCCCTCAGCGCTACAGCAGCACCTCTACCACTCGCTGCTCGAGGGAAAGACTGCCGACGTTGCCATCCATGTCCGCGGCTCCTGGCACGCAGTCTATCATCTCCACCGCGTCGTCCTTATCCAATCCGTGCGTCATCATCATCCCGACCTGCCTTTCACTAACTTCTTGCAGGGATTCTTCAGCGACCTCTTCACCGCGGGCTTTGCCGAGTCCACCTCCCGCCTCAACAGCCACTTTGCAGGCCCCGACAGAATCGACGTCCTGTTCGACGACCACAACATCACCCGCACAGGTCAGCATCTCCTATTTCCCCGCCTATTCCCCGTGCTTATCCTTGAATCTAGCCTTCGAGTCCGTGCTCTCAATCAATCACTAAAGAATCACTGACATAATAATCTGCAGGATCTGTATCGCTCGTCTCTACGGTGGCGGCCCCTCGCTATATCTCCCGCCCTCCTTCATTCCAACTCCCTCCGCCCCTCTGACACCCGCCTTCTCTGCTTCACCCCCAGCGGATGTCGACGCACCACCCGGTCACCATCCGACATCGCCGCGTCTCCTTCTCTCCCTCCTCGCCACCGCCCTCTACCTCTCCATACCGTCCATCGCATCTCATGCCCTCGCATCCATCATCGCCTCCGTTGGCCCTTTCACCGTTGTTCCCTATCTCAACTTCGCCATAGGCCACGGCATTCCATTGCCTGCACCCTCAGAACCCGAAGCCGCTCTCGGTTTGGAGCACATTGCAGAGCTCATCTACGACGAGGAAGAATCCGAGGAGCACTCTGACCACGACGAGCAGACCGACTCTGCACCGGACTCGGAGGCGACTTCGCCAACTACAGCTGACATCAACGCCCTCTCGTACGTCGACGTCCAGAAAGCATCGTCGCCCCGGCAGGCACGACCGACCCGTCCACCGCCCCCAGTTCCCTGCGCACACTACGGTGCCGTATCCGACAAAGTTGGCGAGGCCGCCGCATGCTGGCTCGCTCGCTGGGGCGCCGACATGCTCCCACACGAGGTACGTGCTGACGCAGCACTGTCTGCAAAGGACATATCTTCGCCCGTGCCCGTCTCCGCGTCCGCTCCTGGCCCATCGTCTGCGCTCTCTACGTCGCGCAAGCGTGCAGATACCTTGCCCTCCCAGAGCTCGAGCGCCACTGACGGTCCCAGTCCGGCGCCCGCCCGTGTCCCGGTGATCTGGAGACGCGGCGGCCTCGGCCCCGCGTGGGTGCGCGAGCTTGTGGGGTCGGACGCTATGTTTGTGCGGGGTGAGCGCGAGCGGTACGACATCGCGCGAGGCGTCGTCAATCTGCGCCGCGCCAGTGCACTCGCCGAGACGGGCAGTCTCGATTCCGAGGACGAACGCGAGTTCGAGACAATGTTCCGCGACGGCGTATACTACGCCAATCTGGTGCGTGATTCGTATAGTTTCTGTCTAATATTTATTCTTGGCTGATCATTCATTCTTTCGACCGAAGACCGTCGAGGATATCATCGCACTCTCACATGACATCTCGCCCCACACCGGCCGACCGTACGTCCCGCTGCCTGTCCTCCAGGCTGCGCACTGGTCCCAGTCTCTTCTTCGCTGTCAAATCACCGCGCGGCCGGGAGCGACGGCTAGCGGAAATCCGCCTGGTTCGCCAGCGAGCCCTCACCCCCGCGAGAAGGAGCTCGGGATGTCCCTCTCCATGGATGACGTTCGTCTACGGCTCAACGGTGGTGGCAACGCTCTTGGCATAGGCGCGCTCGGCGTATTGGACGAAAGCGAACGCGTGTATTACCCCGTCGCCGTCGACGCGTCTCACCGGATTGGCGACGCCGCTCACCTCGAGAACACGACAAGCATGGACGCGCTCTTCCGCCCGTCCACCGCCTCGTCCTCGGGCTCATCGGCCAACGAATCGCGCCTGGCGACGTCCGAGAAGAACTTCTTCGGGCTACAATCCGAGCGGCGCACCGCAGCGACCATCGTCGCCGACTCGACCGCCGAGCCCCCCGCGTCCTCGAGCACAACGTCCCTCGCCCCCGCGCGCTGGACACCGTACGCGCCGTGCCGATTCAGCGCCGAGTTCTGGGACGTCGACGCGCTCCGCGAGAAGCAGCGGCTGCACTCGCACACGGTCTGGTACGCCGGCTCGCTCTTCAATGTCTACGTCCAGGTCGTGCGCAAGAAGGCGTCGAGCAGCAGTCCCGCCGGCGGCGTCCAGCTCGGCGTGTATCTTCACCGCCAGAGCTCCGTCGATACCATTCCGGCGCCGTCTGCGCCGTTTGCACCCGCGGGGCTATCGCACCACGGGCACGGGCACGGCGGCGGCGGCGGCGCGCACGTCCACGGCCGCAACATCTCGCTCCCGCAGAACCACGCCGGCGGCTCGCTCCCCGGCGGCAGCGCCTCCACACCGTCGATGATCCACTTCTCGCCGTCCATCCACCCGCCCTCGCGCAGCGGCACACCCTCCTCCGCACCAGGCACCGGCGGGAGCTCCGTCCTCGCGTCCTTCCTCCCGCAATCCGTCAGCACCTCTTCCTCCACCACCGGCGCAACAACATCGACATCGACACCAACAACATCGCACACGCTCCCCGCGCTCGGCCCCCCAACCGCGCCCCCGCAGCCATACCGCGACCCGCGCGCGGCCGTAAGCGCCTACTTCGTGCTCGGCTGCGCGTCCGCGACCGGCGGCGCGCTCACGCGCTTCGCGAGCGGCCCGGACGTGTTCAGCGTCTCGCAGAGCTGGGGCTGGAAGAGCTCTGCGCTGCGCACCGAAGAGTTTCTCGAGCTCGGGCCTGATGGCGCGCCTGTTCCCGCGAGCAACGGCGCCGGCGGCGCTGGCGGTAGTGGGGGTGCGGCGCCGAGGGAGTGTAGTTTGCGGGTGACGATTGTGCTTGGGCTTGTTTGAAGTGTCTCGGGCGTTCTAGTGTGACAAAGGAAATACGGGACGATGGGTGCTGATTTATGAGGATGCCTACGCGCTCGTATGACACGGACTTGATAGAATTATAGTACTGTAGCTGTATTCCGCATCTATGTATGCAATGTCTTCACATCTCACGACATATGACACGATTCAACTCTTACATCGTTGATACCCACCGCACTACTCCATGCCCATACCTCTCGACGCGCACACAATCGAGCGAACATGAATATTTGAACATCCAGCGACGGCGTATGGAGCAAAGACGAAGTGCACTGTGCATTTATGCTTTTCTATGGGGATAATTGCATACTAGAACGAATGATAAGTAAGCCCGGAATGTGATGTGCGTTGTAAATTCTGTAGTGTTATGTTATGTCGTTGACGTGTTAAAAAAGTCTTGTTGATGTTGTGTTATGCTACATCTATGACGTGCAATGCATCGGCCCCTCTACGGCGGCGGCGGGAGCTCAGAGCGCCCACACCTTGACGACAGAGTCCCGTCCGCCCGAGACAAGATAGCGGTCCATGTACCGCACGCGCTCGGCGGGGAGCATGTGTCCGTTCGTCTGCAGCGTCGAGTGCTGCATCGTCGTCCGGTTGTATATCTAACAAGACTCAGCACCGCGAGCTGCACAGCAGCCGCACCACGCACCTTGACGCCGTTCTCGCCCGTCGCAGCGACGACCTTGCGCGTGTCGAACTGGAGCGCCGTTACCGCATGGTCGTACTTGAGCGTCTCGAACGTGCCCCCCGTCCGAACGTCCCATATCTACATCCCAAACACATTATTATGAAACGTTAAGGGCCCACAAAAGCCCACACTCACCCGAACGGTCTTGTCAAGACTGCCGCTGACAATATGCATCTCGTCAAACTGCAGACACGTCACCGGCGCCGTATGCCCCATGAGCGTCCGATGCGCCTGCCCCGTCCGCATATCCCACATGCGCACCGCACCGTCCCCGCTCCCGCTCACAAGCCCGTACCCCCAGAACTGCACCCCACCCACAAAGTCCTGGTACATCTCCCAGCTCCCGTCCGCAGCCGGCGGCGCCGGCACCGCGAACGCCGTGTTCGCCGCAGCAGCCGCACCGGGGAACGCCGCGCCGTGGTGCGAGATCGCCCAGAGAATGTCCATCGTGAGCACGCACTGGCCCGTCTGCACGTCCCACTGGCGCAGCGTCTTGTCCGACGCGCCCGTCACGAGGCACTCGTCCTCAAAGTACAGCGCCGTCACCGCCTTGCTGTGCCCCTCGAACAGACGCACGCACGGCCCACCCGCGTCCGTGCCCGCCTCGCTCTGCGCGGACGAGCGGATGCCGTTCGGCCGCTCAACGAGCTCCCCGTCGTCGTCGCCGAACCCGCTGCCCTCGTCCTCCTCCACAACCTCCGGCAGCGCGCGCTGCCAGTCCTCGCCGTCCTCGACCTGCCGCAGGTCCCAGAGCCGCACGACGCCGTCCTCGCCGCCAGTAAGACACAGCTCGTTCTCGACCTGCACGCACTTGACCGGCGCACGGTGTCCGCGCAGGCGCCCGATCTCCTCGCCCGACATCAGGTCCCACACGCGCGGCTGCGTGTCCTCCTGCGCCGCGGTGACGAGCGTCCCGTACGGCTCCGAGAAGTCGAGCGCCGTTATCGGCGTCGTGTGGCTCTCGAGGGTCTGCACACCACTTTAGCGGACGGCTAAAGCAATGCGGCCAACCACTCACCATGAACGCCACCCCTGGTGGGAGGTCGTCATGTTCAGATGGAAGGAAGACAGGTCCTATGACAACAGATTGTGAGACGAGCGAATTTTTACGCCACTCATCCTCGGAAAGCGTACCTTTCCGCCGTCGGGACGAGGTGACATGTGGCGAGTGTGCGTTCGCCGTCGCTGGGTGTTTGCTCGACGCCTTCTCGTACTCCAGTCGTTCGCGCACCCCTTCGACTTTGGGCAGCGCCTATCATTAGCACACGTGACTGACGTCCGAGTGACGCACGTACGCTCATCATCCAGCTCAAGTTCGTCCTCCTGCAGTCTGAGAAGATCCTGTTCGAGTTTCTGGCGGATGGCCTCGAGGGCTTGTATCTTGCCTGATACCTCGTCAATATCGCTATGTAGTAGACTCTGATTGCAAATATATGATGAGTATGTCCATGCAGAAAGAATGTACACGCACCCTGCGGACATGCAGATTCTCCTTGTCCAGCAGAATCTCCTCCGACTGCCGCGTGAGCTCGCCCACGCTCAGAGTCTTGCCCGAGTTCAAGCGTTCTCTCCCTCTCCGCTTCCCTCTCCGCCGCCCATGATCCGACCCCACAACGACAACATCATCCTCGCTGACAATACTCTGCCGCTCGTGATCCTCCTCCTCGCCCTCGAGCAGCCCGCGCGCGTGCATCCCCAGCCTCCGCAACCCAAGATGCGGCGTGTCGACGTTCCGCATCTGCTTCCTCCGCGTCCGGTTCTTCTCCGCGCTCGGGATCGTCGCGTTGAATCCGCGCAGCAGGCTGACGTCCTGCGCGACCCCGGCCGGCTCGGGCACCTCCGCCTCCAACAGCTCCGCCATGGCCTCCTCGACCTCGAGGTCGCGCGCCGTGACCCTGCGCGTGTTGGCGAGCGAGAGGCGCATGGGTGCGCGGCCTATGGTGGCAAAGTCCATGCGCGACCCCGCGGTGATGGTGCGTGGTCGCGAGGACGCGGCGGCGGTTGCGGAGACCATCTTGGGTGTCATGATGACTGGTGCAACTTTAAACAAAGGAATTAGCAGAATATAAACCTCATTCTTCAGCCATGAGAAAGGTGCCTACGGTCTGTCAGTATTCTTGCAGAGTCGGATTTCTTATGTGTGAAGGGGGCAAATATAGCTTTCGAAAAGACGTCGAGGCGACTTGGGCCTGCAGCGGACTCTGGGGCGGCCGAGTTGTATGTCGCATGCGCATCTTGCTTTGAATGCTTGTGCTTTGAAGAGGGGGCCATTGTGGGCGCCCTCGAGGGCAACGAGGCAAGGGGAGTCTGGGGAAGGGAAGGGCAGTAGAAATGCTCTGCTATAAAAGTTGCAGCAAAGTTGCTACAGTCTCTCCTTGCCTACATAATCCTGGCGGAAGCCGGGACACGAGCACTTGCTCCCACGCTCACCACGACCCTCTCGGCCAGAGCTATAGTATGCAGGATATCCATGTTATAATGCAAATGCTATGAAATACACTAAGACCATCTAGACCACCGTGTGTCAACAATCAAGTCGAACCCAAACTGTCCCAAGTCGTACTCTCCAGCCTGCAGCTCCCGGGGCGGCTTCGAGTCCTTTCCCGTCTCATTCGTAGCAGGAGGCTCGGCAGACTTGGATACAGTCGACGATGCATTCTTTGAGCCGCCCCACCAGCCAAACCACGACAGCACGGGACGCTTCGACTTTGACGACGGCACAGCAGACGCGCTCGCCTTGGCCGGTGCTGAAGCCTCCGTCTGGTCCGAGTCTTCCTCGGCGCGCGCACGCTTAATAATCTGGTTCTTTGCCCTCTCCACGCTGGCCATCTCCCACCGCTTGACGTCAAACGGCTCAAACAGACCGGGCGCAAGGTCGCACCAGCACCGGTCAATCACGCGGACGAGCGGAGAAGGAGTCGCATACTCGGGGGGAAGGGTGGCGGTGAGGGCGTCGCCAAAGGTGGTGATGTTGTCTGACCAGGGCACGCTGAGCGAGACCTCTGCGGGAAAAGCTTGCCAGTAGCAGGACGAGAGGAAGAGAGCGGCGAGGAGTATTACGCAATAGAAGCTAGATATTTGTCAGGGCCATAAATGAGACAGCGGACAGACTATGACACACCAAGGCTTTGCATGGAGGACGAGCGAGAACAAGAAGAGGAGGAGAAAGTAGGGCGGGGCGGTAGGGAAGGGAAGGAGCAGAAGCGGCAGAAACCAGCGCGTGCACCTAAGGAAAAGTCAACAAAAGATTACACAAAACATAAGAAATTAACTGACCACATCGACCAGAGACAACCAGGCGTTTGCAGGGGAGATGCAACTTGAAGCGCCCACCTCCACCTTCCCTGAACGGCATATGCACGTGACGTTTGATCATCGCGTCCACCAGACTAATGTTCTCTGTCATTCTCCACTATTCTTGCAGTCTCCCGCTTATAATCCACCCACCACCACCACCACCCCCGACGACAACACCAGATCCCCCCACACCATGTCCACCCACCCCGAAGTTCTCTGGGCCCAGCGCTCCTCCACAACAGAGGCAGAAAAGGTACGCGTCACACATCGATCGACGCGATAGCACAACACGCGCTAATCGCCCACCAGAACGTCGTCTTCCTCACCGTCAACCTCCCAGACATCAACGACAAGTCCGTCGAGTACACCCTCACTCCCACCAGCATCTCCTTCAAGGCCGATGCCGGAACGTGAGTTCCGATCTCCTTCAAATATATGCGATCTACCCGGACCCATACACCCACTCACAATCTCACCCCCAACTTTTTTTTTCCAATGATCTCAAACAACAAAAAACTCACACATCACACACAGCACCGAGAAGCGATCATACGCCTTCTCGCTAGACCTCTTCGCCGAAGTCGTCCCCGAGGAATCAAAACGCTCCCTCTCCTCCCGCTCCTTCGTCGTCGTCCTCCGCAAAAAGGAGCACACGGCCGAGTACTGGCCCCGCCTCACAAAGGAAAAGCTCAAGCTCCCCTTCATCAAGACCGACTTTTCCAAGTGGGTCGACGAGGACGAGCAGGACGACGCCGAGCCCGATGAGGACCTCGGCGGCATGGGTGGCGGCATGGGCGACATGGGCGGTATGGGCGGTATGCCCGGCATGGGAGGCATGGGTGGCATGCCTGGTATGGGCGGTATGGGCGGTATGCCCGGCATGGGTGGCCTGGACATGCAGCAGGTGCGCCTCGAACTTGAGTTCTTACCAGTATCACAATCTGACTGCCCAACAGATGATGGCAAACCTCGGTGCCGGCGGTGCCGGCTTGGGAGACCTAGGCTCTGAGGGCGCTGAAGCCGATGGTGACGAAATCGACGATGGCGACGACGACGACGAAGGCCCCCCGCCCCTCGAGGACGCTGAGCCCGCAAAATAAACGAAAGTGACGCAGACGCATGGCAGCCTCTTTGCATTGTAGATTACGAAAGAAGCATTCTTATCACGCATCGGACTGTCAAATTCACTCCATGCCACATTCGCCTTTGCAGTCTCCGCTGGTCTGAGTATGAGTGAATGGTGGTTGCCTGAGCACACACATCGCATTGGGCACTAGCATAAACATGATAAAAAAACGAAGCAAAGTAAGATGCACAGTTGAATCAGACGAATATTAAGCCGCGTCGCCAAAATCCCCCCGTCTATCTTCATTAATAGTGAATAGGGGTATCATTCCCGTCAGTCTCCTCCACGTCGTTTTGTGAGCCTCATGGGCGCGGGCGAGGCGTCAGCTTGAGGAGACAGCCATCCTTGGGGAACAGCGTGGCGATGATCTGGACCTTCTCGCTCTCGGGCGTCAAGACGTGCTCGTAGTCCATCAGGATGCTCGCAAGCGCAAGAACGAGGCCCATGTTCATCGTCGCGTACTCGATGCCGATACATCTGTGCGGGCCGCTGCCGAAGACGAGGTAGTTCCGGGGGTTGGCGTTGGCAGAGCTGTCCGCGTCCAGCCAGCGCTCAGGGATGAGCTCTTCGGACTTGGGGTAGATCGATTCGTCGTGCAGGGAGTTGTAGAACGTAGGGATGACCATGCTGCCATTAGGAACGGTGTAGTCATTCGAGATCGGGAAGGCCTTCGTCGTCTTGTAAGGGACCTGCGAAGATCATCAGCAAAATTAGCCATAGTGCCACGAGACAACTGACCATGGTCACAGGGGGCTTCATCCGCATGCTCTCCTTGACAAAGGCCATGAGGTAAGGCATCTCGTCGATCATCTCAAGGGTCATAGGCTTGTCGACGTCTCCGCCACGGACACGGTACTGCTCCTCACGAAGCTTGGCGAGGATCTCGGGGCTGTCAGCGAGGTGCTGGAAGCCGTAGATCAAACCGCTGCTCATGGCATCCTGGGAAGCAAACAAGAACGAGAGCACGACCATGGCCATCTCCTTGTTGCTAAAGTCTTTGCGGCCCTTGTACGTCGGCTGCTCCATCACACGGACCCACTCCTCGAGCATGCATTCGGGCTCACCGCCCTCAGCCATAGCAGCCTTGGCCTTGGCGGCGGCGGTCTCGAGCCAGCGCATGGCGACCTTGCGCGCCTGGATAGCATTGTAGATCTTGGTACCGGGCAATGCGAAGGGGAAGTTGACAAGCTCGAGAGCCTTGGTGATGTGCCAGTACTTGTCGGCGATCTCGCGAGCGCCCTCCTGGGGAACATGCCGGCCGCAGAAGACGCGGAGGGACGTCTCCATGTTCAGATTGCGGGCAGTCATCATGATAGGCTTCGGCGAGGGATCACGTGCAGCATCGGCAAGCCATTCAGTAATGTGCTCACGAGTGATCGAGTCCATGATGTTGATGTAAGTCCTGTTGACGCCAAGTCAGGACTATGCACCAGTAAATGATGTAAGCTGGCAACTTACGCAAGGGCCTTACGCGTGAAAAGCGTGTTGAGGACCTTGCGGTAGTCGACGTGCTCTTTGCCAGTGAGGAATACCCTGATAAAATATTACTGATAAACAACAGATATACGACGCGTCAAAAAAGCAACTCACCAGTTCTCAGCCATAAGAACCTTCTTCGCCGAATAGACGAGGCAAGGCTCAGCGTGGTTTGGCGAATTGAGGATTTTCCGCGAGTGTTCGTTCGTCGATGCCATGACGATGAAACTAAATTTTGAGCGACAAATGTTCAGATATTGGATCAGCACTGAGAAACGGATGAGTACGAACATATTGAACACGCTGATAGCGCTCAGCGCCCCTTGGGCCCACTGGGCCATGTAGCCCTCCATGGTAGGATTAACCGAATCGGCAAACTTGCCAATAAGCGGGATAGTCCATGACGAGCCAGGGAGGTGTTTCTTCTTGTACCTGTATACGGACTGCTCGAGGACGAGAAGCGAGCCGATAATGGCAGCAGCGGTCCAGTACCAGGGGGTGTTGGCCAGAGACACGTTCGCGTTCTCAAACAGGGAACGAATGGGGATGTCGGCAAGAGCCTCGCGGGTGAAGGAAGGAAGGGGCGCGGAGGCGGTGAGGTGCTTGAGGTAGGAAGCCATAGCTAGTCGACGTATGCGACGACGAGCGAGCTATGAACTGGGGAAGAGACGGAACGAGCGTTGGACTGGGGTGATAGCAACACAAGCGAAAATGCTCAGAAATTAATGGCACTAAAAAGTGTCAGCGCGCATTCTGATTGGCCGGTCAAAAATCAGTCGATGATTTGGCCATGGGAAAAGTCTTAATAGTCCGACCCTCCCGACGGGATCAGCAACTCCAAGCTGACATGCGTTGACATCCCAAGCACGTCTTGTCAGCTTCACGATCTAATTGACTCACCTGCTCTTACTATACTTGCGAGTGGCCGCACTGTTTCTTCGCAGTCTCGTGAGTGTCCTCTCCGGGGGGTAAACATTCTTCAAGTCAATAAGTATATGCATGGACAGTCCAAAGTTGGCGTCCAAGCGAAGATCTTCTCTTCATCAACCTGTAGTTGAGCCCTGCCCATGGGAAGCAGCTGACCTCGAGTCGTTTGGCCTAACAACCAGCTAGTGAACCCGCTCCGTTGACAGACCGAACGAACTTTTGCATCAGGACGGCGGAAAAGTGAAGAGTACGCATCATGGAGGTGAGTGGAAGGATGTTTCTTCGACATAGCCCCCCCTTTAATTGATTGGTCCCCTCTTTGAGAGCCCATTCTGGTCCACTGCGCAGTTGCAAGGCGCATGCGATGAGCCGTAAGGGCGATAAGAATGGGGCAAATACCATCCATGTACTTCCCGATCACGTGCGATGACATAGTTGCCCTGCTCCTTCATGGACGACGTCATATTCGACGAGGGCAAGGTATATAAACCAAACTCGCTCTATCTTCACCAACACCTTCGACCTTCAATTCAGCCCAAAATTTTCACAATGTACCGCTCTATCGCTTCCACTTCCACCATCCGCGCCGCCGTCGCATCGCGCTCGCTACACACAACCCCTGTCGCGGCCAAGTCCGTCACCGAGAAAGTCAGCGAGGTGGCCGACAAGGTGCGTTCACGCTCACGTTTAGATCCCTGCCGGCGGTCGTATACTGACCTTCGCTGCAGGTTAACAAGAAGGTTGGGAAGGGCTTTGCATCAGCCATTGAGACTGGGGAGAAAGCCACTGAGAAAACCAAAGAGACTGTTGGTAAGTGTAGCGACATGTTCTCTAATTTGTTTGACCTCATCTTTCACCACAGTACCCAAAGCTGAGGCAGCTAAACAAAAAGCCAACCAGGCCACCGCTGATGTACGGGGCGCCAAAGAGGACGTCAAGAAAGATCTCAAGGACTAAATATTACACCACGGACACTCATAACGAGCTTGCAATTGTACCATAGTTAATTAGCAGGTTTCTTAATCCGATCATGTAACTCTCCCTTGTGATCAGCGGTTCGACAGTTTATACACGCTACCAAACATTATCAATCATTGTCAACGTCAGACCTCCATGTGAAGATGAGAGAGGCTCGCGGGAGCAACATAGCATTGTTAAGTCCGTTCATGAAGATCGTTTAGGATTGTCTGGTATCCTATTTGCCTTGCTTCCGTTCGGAAGTCTCCGGCTGGTTGAATGCAAAAACTCACAACTGATGTACTGTACACTCGAACGTCTCCGCCGTACGCTTCGTGCGGGCCGCATTGCGATGAGTGCCTGCTTCCGAGACCGACCTCGTTGTACTACCACGTTTGCACCAGAAGAGTACCTGATCTAGATATTTAACGGTACATGTTTTCCCCAACTCCGTCTGCTGTCACAGAGACGAAAGGCGAACGTTCTCCAATCACATCGTCCGCATATCTCATCGAGAAGATCGAGGTCCATCGTTTTACCCCATAGACAACGAGAGATGCCGAGTCTGAGCGGCCAGATAGGATGATATCACCGCCGCTCGCCATACAGGGCGGATACATACGGTCTGGACAGCATGAATGTCGGAGGTGTAGGGCGGTAAAACCAATCCGACCGAGAATAGATTCGAGGGCGTTCCGCCGGCAAACACCCGTGCTTGCCGACCTGCCAGTGCACAGTCTCGCCCTGGTCTGCAGGCTGCCCGGCTCGTTTAGGGCCAGGGGCATGTGGCTAGACTTTGAAGTCCGGTTGATGGTTCAGGTAGACTCCCGGCTCAGTAGCTAGTGATTATCCGGGCAAGCAAGAGGGCGGCCATCGCGTGTTCAACGCCCCAGAGACAAGGTTGGAGATCAGGAGAGGCTTCGGCGTCGAGCGGGCAAGGATGCTGCATGTCCGTGAGGTCCCTGAATCGATTGTTTGAATGGTCGGAGTACTCCAGAGACAGCGGCCGGTTGAAATGCATTCTGGATGGAGGCCAGGTCCGTGTCTATATCCCACCATTTAAGGTATTCACGAAGGTTCAGACATACAATTCATGAGAGTCGCGGGCTTTGCGCTGAGATATCGAAAGGCAAAAGAAGACGGCACAGAAGGCACGCATGGGAAATATTCCTAGTCCTGGACGTCAGCGTATCAATCATCTGAAAAGAACATTTCCCGGTCGAGAACACCTAGTCGGCTATTCATAGAGGTCCGCAAAGCCACTTGTGGAGAGAGACGCAGCAGTGGCAGGAATGACCAGAGCGGGCCGCGACGAAGACACGTTAAAAGTGGTAATGTACACGGATGTTCGGACGTCCTCCACGTCAAATGTTTTTGTCGGAGTCGCCCACTCACCGCCAAGACAAAGAGGCCGCCGCCGTTGAGAGTGATGACATACTCAAATGCACACGGTCGAATCGTTCGACCCCACACGAGACATGGTGACCGCGATGATTGACCAGACATGAGAACAGGGACGTGCACCTTGTTGCGCCCCCCGCGGACAACGAACGGATGTCCTCGACCTTTTGACAACGGAGTTGAACCTATAAATACATTGTTGGTTTCCCAAGGTCGGCGGAGAGTTTTGGCCAATCTTAACTTCGGATGAGATGACTTGAAGTGGCCAAACCCTGGCCATAAGCATCTGAGACGGCCTTAACGGTACTCACCTGTCGTCGTGGCGGAAGGTGAAGCTAGCCTGTATCTAGCATACGTGCCATTGATCTGGCTCGAATCTTAATCTGAGGGTGGTTGAAATGTGCTCCAGACGTCCGGCAGCGGAGTTGGCTTGTAGAGAGGACCGATAATTCCCGAAGGCTAAGTGCAAAGATAAATCGGGCTCCGGCGTGTCCTGAACGTATGCAGCGCTTTTATGCATACACAGATGATCGCGCAAAATCAATCTAAAAAGGAATACGTACGTTAATGATCATGATACATTGGAACAGGCGCTGTTACACATCGCCTTAGTCTCCGCAAGCAACCCGCCATCAGATAGTTCAATGCGGGGTTGAGTGCAAACATCGCCGCCGGAGCTTGTGCGTCGAACTGTGCAAAAATAACATTGTATGCTTGGACAATTACAAACCCAGCGGGTCATAGTGTTGGGATTCCACGGTGCGAATGATTCACTGAGTATTTGAAACGTTGGAGTGTGCGCGGGGAATCAAACCTAGTGAGAACTATCAGATTATGCCTGGAAAGGGCTGGCTGGCGGTTCTTTCTCAAACTCAGCGTAGCATGACGCTTACCAAGTACCATTGCGTCGGATTCCTGGTAGAGTTCTACCGCGTTCCTGCTTCGCTTCATGCCGCGACCGCTTAGTTACAGAACCTAATTCAGGCAGTAGAGGCACCATTTGGACGTCACTTCGGGCCCCAAGATCACCCCGGAAAGTGCGGTAAGCACGACACATGAGCGGAGGCAAACTCACCTAAACCATAAAAAGATGTAATCTGTTCCAGTATAAAGGTAGGGTGGGGGAACTGAGGTCAATCATTCTACTGCTCCCCTCTCACCTGCTTGTGACTTGCTTCGTCAAACATTGCACCAACCTTTGCACCATCTACATACAAACCCCTATAATGTCGCCGTCACCTTGGAAAAGATTATCCATCGCCAGCACCAAGGTAAGCTTAGCGTGCACTCAAGGCTTTGGACCTCTATTGAGGACCACTCTATCATCAGAGCTCGCGAAGCTCGTCTTCTTCAAATCGAAGCTCCCTTCTCGTGAACGAACATCCGGCACCGACGGACATCACTTTTGTGCTAGTGCGTCAGACCTTCTTATGATCAAGCATCGTTGGCTAACTGGTGGGTTGCCTTGAAGCCAATATCACACATAGAATCTACAACGTCGAGTGTGCCTGAAACAAGCAGCTCATCTACATACGACGGCTTCGTGAGTTCATGCCTTTACTTTTCCGAGGTAACGTTCCCTTACCTCAGATGTTCTCAACCAGGCGGAAATGCTCGACGACGACAACATGTCGTGGGGAAAGCGGCCCTCCAGATCAGGACGCAAGTCCAGATCAGGACGCAAGTAAACGCTTTCCTGATACTTTTCCATCGTAATTGGGTTTAGTGACCGAGTATACTCGTATAATTCTTGGACTCGTACCATGTATGATACCGCGGCATGTGATCACATAACTTATACCCCGATTATCGGCATCAATGCAACATTTTTGCCTTGCCCCTTACACGTTTAAACATCCGAGCCGCCTGTTCTTGACGCCATAGCTTTGAGACCTACGTCGGTGCGGAAGAAGCGGAAGGCCTTTGGTAGGCATACTTAATCCTCCTCAGGGACAGGGACAACCTCCCGGTCCGAGGGTGTATATATATCAAATAAAACATCGAGGGATCATCCGCACTTCCGTGTCCAAGTACCACGATCATACTAGACTGTGTTGCGTCGTATTCGGGTAGCCTGAGAGTGTGGTGTTTAAAGCGCCGAGCGAGCATTGCCAGAAGGTAGTGAACACGTCTTGTTGCACAGCGAAGCGGCGATGCGTAAAGGGCGTTGGATTGAAGCATTGAAACCCGGTTCACGACAAGAAGACATGCGATTGAGTGACAGATGGTGAACGAACAGCTGAGGTTTCAAATGCTTCACTGCACCGCGATGGATTCGTAAGTTTCTAGTTCATCGAGAGGAATCGTTCGACTAGGTCCTAAAAGTAGCCTGACAGGATTGAAGTAGATCCCAAGCAAGATTGATTGCAGGGGCAAGACCTAGGCCGCCGAGTACTATCATTGACATCGAGGCATTGGTTTTGAGCAATGAGCACGACCGCACTGCGACATCTCATAAGGTTAGATTGTGGGGGAATCACCTGAACATAGCAAGTGCGGCTATAACATTGCTTGACGTAGCCCAAAATATCTGGCCGCCGGCGCATACATACAACCTCTGAGGATCAAGGATTATGAAGCTACCGCGGAAATTCGCTGTCGGTCCGCAGCATCAGTGAATAGTGAAATCCGCCAGCAAGTGACCTGTATCATCATTTAGTTTGTGCAAATGTGGTCAATACTCACGTCGGACATCCACGAAACCGGTGGTACGTGCCGAGGACAAGATTTGAGCATCTATTTTGGCGGCCACTGCATTGAACAGGCTGTACAGGCGCGGGCGTATCCGTCGTGAGTTCCGTCGTATGGATGCGATGTGAAAGACTTGCGATGTCCAAGAGAAACTTCACAAAAGCATGGAAAGACAAGACAAGAGTGATCTGCCCTGATCTGCAAAGGTAGTGACTGAGCGAGCATTTCAAGCTCCGCGCGCCGGGCTGCTCTCAGTGTCGAGGGAAATTTCGACGGGTGTGCTCCACGTCTCTTTCGCTATCCACGAACACCGGACATAAGACCTCGATAATCTGTGGGTGCACGCGTGCTTCGCTCCATCTGATCCCAATGTCCCTTCCTCCGGTGCTGTATCATTACTTCGAACACGCTCTGCCGTATGCGCGAACACTCGCACTTCAGGAGAAGCTTTACCAGATACAACTCGCGAGTCGTCGAACAGGTTCTCACTCTGACATCCTTCTTCTTCTTCAGCATCGGCCAGTTTATACCGCCGGCCGTCGGCAAACAGAAGATGAAGTCAGCGACGAACGTTCCCGCCTCACTACTATCGGTGCTGACTTTGTCACCACGGGCCGTGGAGGTCAACTCACCTATCACGGTCCGGGCCAACTCGTCGGATATCCTCTGCTCGATCTAGCGCGTACAAAACCGCCCCTTGGGATCAGGGACTACATCTGCAAAATTCAACGAACCATACAGCTTCACCTCAGGAGCGCGCATGGAATACAACACGTCCCTTCAGACAACACTGGCGTGTTCTTGAGCCCCACTGCAAAAATCGCGAGCATTGGCGTGCAAGTTCGACACCGCTTGACAACGCACGGATTCGCACTCAACGTCACCCCAGAACCTCGAGCGTGGTTTGATGAAACCGTGGCTTGCGGATTGGCGGACGTTCGAGCAGCATGTATTGCAGATGCAGCTGGGAAGAATGTGACTGTGCCGGACGTGGTGCCTGACATTGTCGAAGTCTTCGGCCGTACCTTTGATCGAGATATGGAGAAGCTTCGCCTTCAGTCAGCGGGGGAGATAGGGGAAGCCATCGCGGGTTTAGAAGAAGAGGCTAGGGCAGCTGGAGACTGCCTGCCAAAGCCTCTTCTCTGATCTACAGATTTCATGTACGCAAATACTCTGGTGCCTTTCTTCATGAGCCTTGTTTGACGTCTCTTCATCATACCAGTATAATTTATACCCTGCACATGGCTATCTTTCTGCAGTCACTAATTATTCCCTCGGACGGCGATGCTCTCTGGCCGTGAGTCTTCGTCACGAGCATAGCACATGATTGCTTCTCAGGCAGTCATACCCTGCCCTTGAGTGGACTCACAGCAAGAGATGGCGCAAAGAATGACTGCGGAATCATCATGCCAGGCCGTACCGCGGATCATTTTAGCGGGATAATACTGGTACTTGATCTCATACATTACCAAGAATAACTTATAGTCCATCTTATGGGAGTCCAATCTTAGCCTAGGAAGCATTCCTCTTGGTCGATGATTCAATCAAATCCTCGCGTTAGAAATCTTCCGTATGCCCGATGCGGGCGAGGCGCGAGGCACGCTATCATATCCCCGAGCTCGAGCATGCCAGGACGATAAAGGCCAGGGGAATTGCCTGTATTTCCGGCCGGCCCGCTAGATAGCGCATAGTGCGACGCAGGTATTTGGGAGGTGCTCTTGGGCGGCCCGGAAAGATTGCTATGTATGCAAGGCACCAGCACAACAGATGCCAATGAACTCGTCCTTTGAGATCGTCCCATTGTCGGCTCCTAGTGTTTGCGAAGCGGATACAGCAGAAAACTTCGGATGTGTGAATGGTGGTAAGCGGTCTATGATGAGTATGCGCTCGTTCACCAGAATTTTCCCGAGATTCTACAACAATGTGGCAACCCACCGATCGAAGCGCTGTTAAGCATACTGTCGTAGTAGGAGTTGCTCTTAATGTAGTTGATGCTGTTCCGACGGTGTTCCGCAAACAAATCCCCAAAATCTCCTTGGAATACTGTTTACACTTGGTGTTGGCGTTGCAGTTGTCCCATACAATACCCATCGATTCAGCTGCCACTACTAGCATGCATATGACAAGTGTTACTAAGACAACCCTCGGTAAGCACTTAGTGAGTAATGGTGCACTGAACGTTGAATGAAATTGGATGGGGAGCCAATAAACGCGTTCGAATTTGTTTGCTTACGCTTCGCGTACGTACGTATTTGGTCTCATCTCTGCCTAGTTTGATCTCGCGCATCCATCGAGGCGTCCACAATGGCATCATCGATGACTTGAAACTCCCCTCTTCATTCAGCAAGGGCGCTTGTCAGGCAAGAATATAAAGTTGAGTGCGCGACCTCGTCTGTTCACCCAGCCCATCATCGGCACGATCACCTTCACAAACGCAGCGAGCGGAATACGAGCATAACTCTACAATGCGTGTCCTCATCCTCGGTGCCACTGGTGGCATAGGCCTCCTCCTTATCGAACGTGCCCTGGCAGCCTCCCACACTGTAGTTGTGTACGCGCGCTCTCCCCAGAAATTACCCGAACACTACTCGAATAATCCCAACGTCGTGATACGCAAAGGCGAGCTCACAGACGAAGCCACACTCACCCAAGCTCTCGATGGCGTTGACGCCGTCCTTTCCGCGCTTGGGCCTTCCGTCTCTCGTGGGCCCCTGCACCCCAGCGGCGAGCCTTTAGCGCACGCCTACGCGCTCCTTATCCGTGTCATGAAGCAGCAAGGGGTTCGCCGCTTGATTGCTCTCGGAACTCCTAGCATCACAGATCCCGCGGACAAGTTTAGCTTGAAGATGTCGGCCATCGTCACGGGTGTCGCGACGTTCGCGCGGACCGCATACAAGGACGTTGTGGCGATTGGGAAAACAATCAGGGAAGATGGCGGTAGCGACCTCGCCTGGACGATTGGGCGTGTACCGATACTTACGAGTTCTCAAAGCGAGGAGTATATAATTGGTTACGTCGGGGATGGTAAGACGGGCATATATCTGAGTAGGGATGCGTTTGCTACATTCGTCTTGGACGAACTAGAACGCCATGAATGGGTTCACAAGGCACCGCTTATTTCTTCTGCTTAACTCGTTTTCGAGCAGTACACTGACCCGAGTATACCTTCCATACTAGACATGTCTGCATGTAAGCATGAGATACTGTAATAACGATTCTGTAATATATTCTATGTCTAAGCCAATGTAGCATGTTTGAGTAGATCCTCCCACTTGAACTCCTCGGGCTTCTCATGGAAAGCTTGCAGCAGCTGACCAGCTTCACCCTCTTGGTGCCCTGTCTTTGCCTCGCCCCAGAGATAGAACTTCTGCAGGCCCATAGCGAGCAGTTGTGCGTCCCCCTGACTCAGCATGAACCTTTCAGAGGGATCTCCGCCAGGGGGTCTGGCGGCCGTCGCAGCAGACGGTGTGATTTCGCCCCGCAGGAGCACCAACCCGTGGCTCTTCGCCAAGTCAGGATAAAACGTGAGGACGAGGTACGGCGTTGCAAATGATGCGCGGAGCTTGTACTCCTGCAGCGGGGTAAAGAGCACGGTCGTGGCTGGTGGAAGGCTGTGATCGGCGGACGATGGTGTGGCGTCGAAAAGGTCGGTTTCCTTGGCCTTGGGCGCCGGAGGAGGCGCATGGAAGTCCCACTGGAGGTAATAGAACTCGTAAGACAGTTCGTCTTTTGTCTTGGCAGAATCGTCCTGGGAAGGTGGCTCTTGAGGTGGAACGAGCCGAGGAACAGGTATGACGAAGTTGGGGTAACGTTTGGCAATGCGCATCAAGGTTTCGTACTGGCTGACGGGAAGCGTCGCACACATGAAGCCGCGACCAGTACCCCCGCTGCGCGAAGCATGATAGGCTGTCCAAAGGGCAGATATTTGCTCCGACGTATGGGGAGTGAAAAGAAGTTTAGAAGTGTTGAAGATGGACTCTAATGGCTATTCCACGAGGGAAATACGAATTAGCGATGACACAAACTGAGGACAATTTGGGTACCTGCCTTGACAGGTGAGCTGTCCTGACGTTGACTGGTCGCAGGAGGGGGAGCGTAAGGTGCTGAGCTAGTTTTCTTGCCGTTGGTCGCCGAGTTGATGGTATTCGTATGACCAGGGGCGACTTCTTTGGCTGGCGGAGGTGTAGTTACTTGGGCAGCTTTGCGCTCGGCTTCAGCAGCCTCCTTCACTCTCTTCTTGAGTTCAGAGACGCTAAGACCTTGCCTTTAGTTTGTTATAGCGTGAGGCACGTGAAAAGCAACCTGTTAGACACTGTCATCGCGACCTAGCAAGGATTGGCGAAAAGCCAGCTCTCACTCTTGTGCTCGCTGCTGCAACTTGTCGGCATATCTGTTCTCGAGTGACCAAGCGTTGGGGGTGCTAGAGAAAGTGCGCCGACAAGGGCGAACTGCAGTCCACGCGCGCTGTCTGGCAAACATCTTCGGACGAGATGGAACTGAACGGCCGAAGGAAAGACGTAGCAACCGAAAAAGAGTCAAGTGCCAAGGTGACGCGTGGTCGCGTGCCATGAATCAAATTTTATCTCCGCGGCACCTGTAGATGGAAGTTGTTTCACCGAGGTGGCCATCGGGCTGAGATAGTGCTAAGATCCGTTCGACTAATACCCTGTTGTATGGCGTGCTGAAAGAAAATTGCTATTTTCCATGAAGACCAGTGGGACGTTCATCAAAGAAACGAAAAGATCACCAAGGTGCAGCAGAGCACGGTAGGTACTTGTAACCTCGCTGCATCACTGCGGACAATGATAATACGCCAGATGCTGACTAATCCTTGAAGGTTCTGTTATCAGCCAATGAGAACCCGAGTGTTTATCTTGTCAACTGCACCTGAGAATTTATGTCAAGTGTCTCCCGCCGAGCAAGTATGAGGGGGATAGAGGTGAGGAGTTTTTGCAGCCTCCCAGAAATCAGAGGAGCGCCTTTCGAGGGGATTTAGTTAACGTCGTCATCGATCTCCAATTCTGCCCCAGTCTTAAGCCAGCTTCCTCTCGAACCATGGTCCTTCAAAGAGCAAGAACCATCCTGGAAGCCACCATGTCCGCCAAAAGTACGTACTGCCTCCATGCACCGTCAAAATGTCCAGGTGCCGCGATAAGCCTGGTGCTGATACTGCCTATCTCTTGATGCAGGGGATTCCACACAGTGCGTCTGAGGATCTCACCCATGTTATCTATATGCACTCACTAGCCAATGGCACTCGTAGGTTCGACCGAGGCGACCTCTCGTTCATTATTGTGGCAGGCGCCATGGTATCCTTCATGATCCCAGGTCTTGGTGTGTCTTCTAGGATTCCACTTCTTATCGGTTCTCAAAAGTTAATGCCGCCTCCTTTGTTGTCCTAAGCCTTCCTCTACTCTGGTCTATCTAGGCGAAAGTCCGCCCTTTCCCTCATCTGGATTGTCTCGGCCAGCAACGCCATCTGCATCTTCCAATGGTACTTCTGGGGCTACTCGCTCGCCTTTTCGCCTACCGCAACCAGTGGATTTATTGGAAACCTGGATAATTTCGGATTGATCAATGTCCTGGACCAACCATCCCCAGGTTCCCCCTTGATCCCATCTCTACTCTATAGCTTCTATCAAATGGAGTTTGCATGTGTGACGGTAGCAATCTTGGTTGGTGGAATTGCCGAACGTGGCAGGGTTCTCCCCGCAGCCGTCTTCACCTTCTTCTGGCTGACTCTGGTGTACTGTCCTCTTGCTTGTTGGGCATGGAACTCCGGTGGTTGGGGCTTTACCTGGGGCGTTCTAGACTACGCAGGTACGATATCTTCGTACTTGAACTTACCTCATTTATTAATCCATTCTGTAGGGGGAGGTCCTGTTGAGATTGGCAGTGGTGTCGGAGGACTCGCCTACGCATGGGTTCTCGGACGTAGACATGAAAAGGAGCTCCTCAATTTCAGACCTCACAATGTTTCCATGGTCAATCTAGGCACCTTCATTCTGTGGTTTGGTTGGTTGGGGTTCAACGCCGGTAGCTCTTTTGGCGCCAACCTTCGTGCTGTCATGGCTGCTTGGAACTCTATGCTAGCCGCTGCGTTTGGAGGTATCGTCTGGTGCTTGTTGGATTACCGGCTGGAACGCAAGTATAGTATGGTTGGCTTCTGTTCCGGGACGATCGCTGGTTTAGTTGCAGCCACCCCTGCCTCCGGATACATTCCCCCATGGGCTGCCATTGTCATGGGTATTGTCACTGGCGCTGTTTGTAACTACGCCACCAAGTGTATGTGATTCCCTCTCTGTCCCGACGTGAAGTTGACCCGTGGTTTTTAGTAAAGTTCCTTTTCCGCATCGATGATGCTCTGGATCTTTTCGCTGAGCACGCCGTCGGTGGGATTATTGGCCTTCTCATGAACGGTCTCTTTGGCTCGCATACGATTACCGCTCTTGATGGTGTAAACACGAGCGTTCTAGGTGGTTGGATAGACCACAACTGGAAGCAGCTCTACATTCAGTTTGCCTACGTTTGTGCAGCGTGCAGCTACACCTTCGTCGTGACGGCCATCATCGCCAAGATAATCGATATGATCCCCGGCTTGCACCTGCGCACTCCTCCAGAGGGCGAGTCCCTCGGCATTGACGAAGTAGAGGTGAGATATTTCAGATTTTATTGTGGCGGCTTTTTCTAAGTAAACAACGCTTCCCAGATCGGAGAATTTGCGAACGATTACATCGAAGTTCGCAGAGATTACAAGGACTGGACGCCCCCGTCCCAAGACCGCTTCAGCACTCCGAGCTCGGAGCCTGCCTCAGACTCGACCGTGGCCGCTGGCGACCGCCATGGCCAACCCGATCAAGCCTACAAGGATCGACATGCTCTCAGACCGGAGTCCAACGGTCTCGATACCATCAGCGAGAAACCCAGCGAAAACCACGAAGGTCATGTAGCTGTGGAGGAGCTCTCATGAAACTGATTGGAAACACCACGCATTTTGGAGTATGGGGGATGCATTTAATATGGGTTATTTCATTTCATTTCTTTACCACTGCTACCTCCTACATGTGATCTTGATCTTTCAAACTAATTATATCCTTACATTTTGACTCTTGACTGGAGTAAAACTGTTCATTTATCCTCGACTAGACTGTGGGTCATTTAGTAGACCCATTTATTACATATCCCAATGTCTTGTAAGATAGGAGCAAATGATATAGATATGACCACTTCAATTAACAATCCCAACCAAGCACGAAGCCCTCCGATGTAGCGTTCGAAGCCGGAACTTCATCCTCGGAGCTGCCAAGAAGCGAACCGCAAATGCCTGACTCAAATTCTTCATGTAGAAGCAAGTCAACGACGTTGCGGGAGGAGATGGTCTCAGTCTCCATGGTCGAGATAAACCTGTCAGTACTTTAGCGTCAGCGTGTGTACCTGTGAGGTTTCTAGTGAAGTACTGACGGCTCAAACGAGTTGACGTAGTAAAACCCTTGGTCAAGCTTTACGGGAGGGAAAGAGGCGGCGGGAGGAAGCTTGGGGTAGGCATCCCACTTGAACAATCGTCAGCAACGTTTTCCTTCGTTCTCTTCTTTGAACACTGACCTCCTTGCGATACACCCATCCAACTTGCCCGAAGACCGTCTTCAACCACTCATCCGACATGTGATCTTTGGAGAAGATCTTCACAGCCCACTCTGGCTGAACCTCAGCGCTTTCGGTCGCCTCAACTTCAGGTACCTGCTCTTCCTCGGCACCATGCTCGGCGTCGTCAGCTTGTGTGACCTCTTCTACACGTTCGCTGGCTTCCCCTGGGACCGCGGTCTTGTGAATCGGACCGTGGTAGGATAGCGAGTTGAACTCGGGCTCAAAGCCGCCTGCACGAACGCCATCGTAAGTGGTCAGAATTGTGGTGGGCACTGCAGCATCAGCAGGGAGCCCAAAGTACTGAGGGTTCGGGTGGGGCGAAGTTGTGGAGAGGAGGGTTACGTGTAGGTGTACATATGGCTGGGCAGGGATCGTCTCGGCCAACTCGTCCGGGATAGAGATCCCGGACTGGTGGAATGGAGCAGCAAGGATGATGCCACGGTAAACCTGGGAGCCAGCGGTGGAGTGCACGGCCCATAGAGGTGAATCAGGGTGCTTGCGAGCGATCTCTTTTACCTAGAATATTGAGGGTTAGACATGGCATATGAAATAAGTACGTAATAATGCACCTCGGTGTTCAGATGAACAGTAGCGCCTGAGTGCTTGAGGAAGTGCTCGAAGATCTTGAAATTACCGGCCTCGACGCCCGAAGCTCCAGACGCAGCCATTGAGCAAAGACCTTCTAATGCATGAATTTCGTCGACATCCTACAATGCATTGTGAACATAATTCGAATTTCACAGAGCTTGAAACTGACCTGTCCGTAGTTGACGCGTGTAGCGGCCTCCACGAGTTCCGTAGCAAACTGAGAAGAAACGCCCAGAGACTGAAGATATTCAAAAGTAGTGGAGTTGGTAAGTTGGCTCCATTCGTATTTCTCTGATAGTGTCGCAACATTATCCCATCTCGGAGACTCCGTGGTATACAAGCCAACAAATTGCTTGATCATATCCTGGACACTTTGGTGCAGTCAGCCTCCTGCGGGTGCAACCTAGCATGCAACTCACAGGGACCTCGTCTTGTTCGGAGACGCGTAGCCGTATCTCCACAGAAGTTTGAGAGTTGCCCACCAGCTCTTGTACCATGCTCCACTCTCCATCTATTCAAAAGTCAGCAACGGCATATGAAGACGCGTCCGAACAGTACGCACCGTGATGATGAACTTCTCTCCATCCCAAATGGCTGTGTCAGAGTTGTCGTCCTCGAATTTGGTCAGAGTAAGGTTGAACTCCTTGGACGCCCTCATCAGGTTCTTATTTGCCTCGACGAATATGGAAGCGCCGAGTTCGACGGGAGCATAGTCGGTGTCATTGTACGGGTACACGACGGTGCTGCCTGCGGGGTGTGATGTATCTAGTTTATGTCCAGGAGACACTGGGACATGGACTCACGGCCGCCAATGTACGAAGAACGTTCGTATACGTCGATTTCCACGTCTACCCCAAATCTTTCCTTAGCCTTGGCTATCCAGAACGCGGCAGAACTGCCTCCAGCGCCGGCGCCAATGATGGCAATCCTAGGCGTGCCCTCGAGGTCCTCAGTGATGACCTGTTTGGTGGTGAAGAATGGGACCTTAAAAGGGAGTTGGAAGGCGAGCGCCGTTCCGAAGAAGAGCGTGTACACCAGCAGCACGCGCATTCTGAGTGACAAAAGGTGGTCGAGTAGGCGCGTCTCTTCAAAGCGTCGAATTCACTAGCGCAACCCTTGGCGCGGGAAGCGGAGCGTCACAAGATCGCTTAGTCAGCAAGCGCTCAACTCGGATAATAGCGATTGGCCCGCGGCTTTTTTCTTTCTCAAAAGTATCCCTCACCACCGCTGGTCCTTGTGGCCCGCAACTCTCTGTCCCCGTCCGGCTTTGGGTAACAGGTGGAGCAGGAAGATGGACGACCGAGTCCAATTAAGCCGGAGCGTTTCTCAGACCTCGTCAACTGCATACATTGTAGGATGAGATATGCTTGACTATGCGACTCAAACACATCTTTGCTCCTGCAATCCAACATGTTTCCTCCCTTAATAGTTACCTGGGCCTGGTACTTGGATTTTAAAACTGTTCGTTTCTGCAGTGCATATTGGTTGGTATCGATTTGTTATTGTTACTTCATCGCTTCGCTACACGCCACTGCGTCTTTAATATTATACACTGCAACTGGGTATGCTACAGATACGATTGTCACAAGGACATCACAGATGAATCAGTTATAAAGATCGATATTGATCGGGGGGTATCAATAAATACTATCGTGTCATGAAACAACTAATCGAGCAAAGCAAACATATAGTTGCAGTTTGTCCAAGAGGTGTTTTGATTATGTGGCCCGTAATTTGCCAGGTCTTTAAGCTTTAAGCTTCGTCAATTATTGGTAGTTGTTTGACTAAGCTGGACGGTATTGTTGAGGATACTGATAATGGCCTTCTGGGTAAAGGGGGTATTCATCTCCATACGTCGTGAGCTTGTAATCACTCTCGAGGGGCAAAATCATGCCAGCTACAGAGTAGACAATGATGGCGACATATTCTGTCACCATGCCCATGATGACGTAGATGTGCCAATTGCCATTGAACATGTTGAACTGGGACAAAGAGTTTGTTGTTGTAGACGTGGTGGTGGAAGTGCCTGAGATGCCGAACGAGCTGGATGAGAAGGTCGAGAGTATGCTATACAACGTTCGAACGCCGATGAAGGGGAGTGCAATAGTGATGGCAACAAGCAACTGCGAGGGCAAAGTCAGCGAAGCTCTTGCGCTCGACCCATTTTTTGCTTACAGTGCGACGATGCTTCATCAGGGATCCGACTTGGCACCATAAGAAGAGGGCAATTGCAGCCAAGATGATGAACATTAGACCGAAAACAAGGACACCAATGCGTCGGAAGAGATTCGCGTGGCTTTGAGAATCGGAGCTGGAGCTGGTTGCGTCTGAGATACCAATGATGGTGAGGACGAGGGCAGCCAAGCCCACAAGATGGATTAGCCTGAAAACCCTAGCGTTCTTTGAGCGTCCATCAGGTCCTTGGGTTCTACAAAAGATATCAGGTGGTGGAGTTCGAAGAGAATCAAGGGTATTCACACTGTCTGCAAGAGACCTAGAGTACACATCAGAAGCGGAGAAACCCCTGATGCCTCGCAGGCGTAGCCAGCAATGTACAGATTTATGTTAGGAGGTGTGATCTCCTCGGCGGCTACCAATAGTGCACCACCAACCACTCGAACTAGATACTCAATCAACGTCAACACCAGGATGCCTTAAGCACTGATCTAAACTCACTGATGGAAAAGATCAAAAGAAGAACCCAACCCGCATTCCTTCCAAAACCATGTTTCTTGGAAATGTAGAAAGAAATGAAGAGGAATGGGAGGTAAGCCACAGCGGTGATGAGGGCGAGAATGCCCTGCGTGTTGAGCTTCGACATGACGGGGGAGAGAGTATGGGCGATATGAACAGGCGTCGAAGCTGCTATGGGGTTTTTATGGACATCTGACTAGCCGCTCAATGGCAGTGATTCACGCGACAGGACCACACAAAATCCGAAATAGCACAAAAGCTGTGGCGCCTACATAACTGAAACCTACATGCCGGAAGCACGTACCGTGTGATAGCTGTGCAGCGAACTGTCCGATAGCGATGAGTATATAGCTGCGGATTCTGCGGATTACGTTCGACGTTCATCGGCCATATGCATAAATGCCCACCGCAGCCTGGGGAGATGTGTACAGTGTTCTCGAGTCTAGCAAAGCAGCGTTGTCGGTAAAATATCAACGTCAAGAACATCGTGTTCGAGCACATGATTGCATGACGCTTCCCGAGATAAATGCCGAACAACAAGGACGCGGCACTGCCACCACGCTTTCCGGCGCCGACATGATTTTTCGGCTGTTACATTTGGGGGTGTCATAGCCTGGACGATGCGGCTACCTCGGAGAGTGTCATGGTCGTCGGACGAGCTGGAACTGCTTTGCTCTTGGATATACGACGATGAATCCAATCCAGTCAATAGAAAGCTTGCGATAGACAGGGTGAGTTCTTTGCAAAGATGTGCTCCTTACTCTCAAGGTTTGCCCGCGCTAGTTATCAGCGTGGCGTACCATTACTCCTCTACCCCATGCTCTGGAATCAACGCTCTCCTTGCTTGCGGTCCGCGCAGCTGATGAGGCGAATTCAAATCCATCTACTCTATCAATTAGACAAAGTTATGCATCTGCAGTTATTCGCATGGTCAACGGCTTCGTCGATCCGTTGCAGGCTGGCGCCTTTGCTAGGTCGATAGCCTCAATCGCCACGCAATTAGGTCTGCCGCTATGGCTGGTTGAGCTACGTCATGCAGCTACGCACGAAGATATACCTAGCTTAGAGTTGCTCAGGGAAGCTTGTCGTCAGGTATTTCCCTTGCAATCTGATGTTGCAGTGTTCATGCTTATGAATTCATGTTCAGACCCTAGGCTGGCTATTTCACAATTTCTTCATGCCTGAGATTCACCCTTCGACCGCCGCAGCGAGCACAATACCTCAGATTCGTCCCGTCGCGCCGATCTTGAAGCAATACAAGTCGTTGCGCAAAGCCATGCTTCAGGATGCCACCCTCCGTTCGCAAATGAAAGGAGATATGGAATCAACCTACAGAAGCTTTGGGAGATGGTACTCCGAAGCCATGTTAGTCGCTAACGCTGTTATCAACGGTTCATCATTGGACTACTCTGCCAACGGTGATGACGAGGACAGAAAAGAGCGTTGGGTGTTAGATGTCTTGTGCGACGAGCTTCTGGTGAAAGGTCGATTGCCGTCAACCAAGGAGTACGTGCTATCATAGTTTTATGTTCAAATTAGCTTACGGCCTGCAGACAGACCAACAGCATTTCCAAAACTAGGCACCTCAACAAGGCTACCATTGCTCTGTGGTCACCTTTGCTACTCTACGTGCAATCCCTACACCCAAAGTTCTTCCTATCCCTCAGCTTGAGATGTCTTTCGTATCTTTCTGGGTATGAAGACATCGCCGATCCTCAAGATACTGTTCAGGAATCTGAACAGTATTTTCAAGCTTCAGATCGGTCGCTAGCTCGGTGGATTCTTTGGCTAGTCGCCACCTCTGAGAACGACAAGCTTGAGGGTCATCTCGATCTTCGAAGAGAGCTAGTCGCGGCTCTACTATTGACTCTAGCGCCTGCCCATAAGGAGGGTCTTCAGAAAATGAGTTTGTGAGCGCGTCTCTTGATTTAATTGACGAAGGAACTTACTTCAGCAGATTGCAAGAGTTACTGCAACTCGTCACTTTAGATCAAGAGGACGTGTCGGATTTGTGTAATTTTGTACTTGGTGCTAAAGTGCCCACGCAAGCTTTGGTAGGTCTCTAGACTGTAGTTGAGTATTTAAGCCACTGATATTTTGTTAGCAATGGAACGATGGGACCCTTAGGAGCATGGACCACCGGCTGCAAGCACTTCTGGCGTCCGAGACATCCTCCGGTGTGGAAGAATCAATGGATGAGTCGCTCCCGTTACCCACGGAAAGTCATGGACTCGTATCAGGATGGGCCGCCCTTAGTGACGGCAGCACATGGACGCCTAGTCCCATCGGTGTATACTCAGTCGTGTAGTTATATTGTAAGGAATTAACAAACATATAAATATTCAAGCCCAGTTCAGCTTTCAAGTCGTTCTTACGTTCGTCTCTCACAGCCACGGAGTTGGTAGCGTGAAAGTTCTGTCACTGAGCGTGGTGCCTTGTTTGCCATGTGGCATTGTGTCATGATCCTTGCCAACAACGTTGAACCTTCGCATCTAAGATGGCATGGCTGTCCAACCCCTATGCAAAATGGTGCTAAAGTAAGAAGGGGCTCCGCCCGCCGGCCGGGCACGGAGGCGTGGTATGAAGTGACGCTGGTCTGCTGCCTTCTGCTGCGCTCCTCAGCCATCTTATAACAAGCTATACCAGCCTGTCGTCACTCTGTAATCGTGGACTGGGATCCGACGCGTCTTCAAGTCGTTCTTAGCTTCCTACGGTAAGTCGTCTCATGCTATGCCGTTTCGGATGAAACAAGCTATATCTGACAGTACATCACAAGATGAAGTTCAGTACACCATTTCCTCAGACGTTGCCTAAGGAATGCGACAAGGCGGCCAAGATGTGTGAGTTGCTTCTTGAACTAGTTCCAATTGTATTGCTTGACATCTTCATTCTTACTAGTCATGTCCTTCGTGGACGGCAAGAATAATGGATTGGATGGTGTACGACCACATGGTTTCCTGCAACTAACTTCCTAATCTCACGATATAAGGGTTAGGTTATTCCTCGTTCCGTGCTCGAGAATGCGAAGGGCTTCGCGGTCTTTACTATTTTGAAGGCCGGCTTCGTTTTCTCAGCCAGAGCAGGGACTGGTATTGTCATCGCGAAGCTCGGTGATGGATGTGAGTCTGCCATAGATGTTGCGCTGCCATGGGTTCCTGGCGCTCATAGAACCCCATAGCTTGGTCTGCACCCAGTGCAATAGGCGTCGCAGGTCTTGGAGTAGGCGGGCAATTGGGGGCAGAGTTGACCGAGTTCTTGGTTGTATTAAATTCAGCGTCGGTGCGTAACTTGTTTGTGCCTATATCTTCCGATTATGTATGAATGAACTGTACGCTTTCCAGGCAGTGGTCAGTCATTTGTCCGCATATTTCGAGAGATGATAATGAACAGATGATACAGAAGCAATTCATGTCGGCCGGCAATCTAACTCTAGGAGGAAATCTCAGCGTTGCTGTTGGTCCGTTAGGCCGCAATGGAGAAGCCAGCGGTTCGGTGAATATGAAGGGCAATGTTGCTGCCACGTAGGTAGTCATCAGCAATTGTCTACTCCTTCTCATTACTCATTTGAAACAGGTATAGTTACTCGAAGACGAAGGGGCTGTTCGGCGGTGTTTCTGTTGAGGGCTCCGTCATCATGGAGCGGCAAGACGCCAATGCCATCGCATACGGCTCTGATGTGACAGCGAAGAACCTCCTCAGCGGGATGGTAGAGGCACCCCAGTGGGCCATGGCTCTAGTGAACACCATTGAGTCGTGCACTGGAATGCCAGGGCGCCGCTCGTGGATAGACGATCGCGTAGATCAGCCCACGGGATACCATTTCGGGGCGGTTTCAAGTCCTTCTGGCGAAAGACCTGGGTTACTGAAGAAGAAGAAAGGCGTTGATTTCCCCCCGCCTTCGTGGGGGAAAAGGAAAGATGTTGGCTCATACTTCGACACGGACACAGATACTCTCAACACTGGATCGCAATCGAGCTTACCACAGCCCACTCAATCTGCCTTCAAGACACGATTTGACTCTGACTTCGCCCCCGTATCACCAACGAGTTCTGCCCGTCATCGGCCAAATCTGAGTGTACCTCAAGCTCAGGTGTCTGAAGACCCCTACAACCCTGCTTCACCATTCAACTCACTACCATCATTCAGCGCTGCCCATGCCAGCTTGTCACCCAAAACATTGGCCCACTCCCGAGCTTTCAGTGTGCCACACATGTATCAGCAGAATAGCTCCACTACATCCTCTCTCAACCCATTTGATGTGGAAAGTTTAGATGGCTCAAGCCAAAGTAGACCGAGTCAGATTCGCTCCATCAGCCAAGGAGTGTCTCGGTTAACAACGAAGCCTGAGCTATCCGAGCCACTACTGCCTGGGGAAGGCGTGGGTCGAGCAATAGCCCTACATGACTTCAAAGCGGTAGAGGTACGCCAATGAGCCACAATTCCACACGTATTCGCTGACAAGTTACTAGTCTGGAGACCTGTCTTTCAATAAGGGTGATGTTATCATAATTACTCGGAAGAGTGCTAGCACGAATGACTGGTGGGTAACATTGTTTATGAGTCGCTTTGTCAAACTGAAAGAAACATCCTTTGCTACAGGTGGGATGGAAAAGTTAATGGTCGGAAAGGCATTTTCCCTGCTAATTTTGTTGAAGTGGTTTGAAATCACGGTAGTGCCTGCAGCCTTGGGAGGGACGGAAGCTGGGATGTAAGTGCATGTAATGTAATGATGCTATAGACATATGGGCCGTCATGTTTTTGTATACCGCAGTATCTTGGATCCAATATTGACTGTCAGTATTTCAGCTCTTAAGACCTCAGATCTCAGACTTTGATCAGGTCCCTGTTAACGTTCAATTGCTGTCCGAAAACACTTGAAAGGGTTTTGCAAAACGTTAACGTTCTGATATTCGCTCACGTGGTCATCACAGCGGAGATGAAAGTAGCAACGCGTGCGTTCCACGCGTCGAACATTATATGACGCGAACCGTCTTGCGGGCCATGCAACATATGCCGCGTGCGCCAAAGACGAAGTTTTACGCTGTGCGAGTTGGTCGCGAGGGAGCTAAGATATACAGTAGCTGGCCTGAGGTATGCAGGTCTCTCTATACTGTCTCTGAAAGCTTACCAACCTGGTTATTCCCTAGTGCGATAAAAACGTACGTACGAGCCATGAACCCATATTTTACAAACGTTTAAGGCCGTATAAACAGGTTTCAAGATACCCGAGCGCCGTCCACAAGAGCTTTCCGTCCCGAGAAGATGCCGAACGATGGATAGAACCCTATCTTCAGAGTACGCCAAACTTCTTGTCTATGCATACTATGTCTCAAACTGCTTGCGCATCTTCAGATGTCACGGTCACCCAGCTCCCCGCGCAGGATGGATTAGTCCGAGTAGAGCCAGCCTCTCCACTACGAATGGCTGGCCCTCCTCCATCAGCCATTGTCAATTCACGGGATCATACTGAGGACTTCGTTCCCCTCCCTTCGTTCGAAACCGAACAAGATTTTATACCTCTTCCTCCCGACGATGAAGTACATGCCATCCCTGAAATCAGTCCTGTGGAACTTTCCGAGGAGCAACGTCATGTCTTGAATATGGTGGAAAGGGGCGAGAACGTATTCTTCACGGGCTCTGCAGGTAGGTGTGAAACGAACCCAATACGCACCCGCTCATTAACGACAAACTTAACTGACAGGGACGGGCAAATCTGTACTTTTGCGAGCGATAATTAACAAGCTTCAAGAACGCGGAGACGATACCGTTGCAATCACGGCATCAACAGGCATAGCTGCCGTAAACATTGGTGGTTCCACACTTCACTCATGGGCAAGTATCGGGTTGGGTGAAGAAACCGCAAAAAGACTTGCGGAAAAGATATCCTTCCAGAAGTCTGACAGCGCGCGGGAACGTTGGAACAGGGTGGAAACGTTAATCATTGATGAAAGTAAACCCTCACGATTGCCCATAGGATTCAGGTTTTGACCATCGCTTCCTCTAGTCTCAATGATCGATGGTGCTTTATTCGATAAGCTGGTGCGTGACCCAATTCTGCACAACAACGTTGCATATGTGAACCTTCCCACTTGAAGGAGTACATTGCTCGTGCTGTGAGACGGCGCGACTCGCCGTTTGGAGGTATACAGGTGAAAAAAGACGTCTCATGACGTTCATCATGTACGGGCCATTTAACCACCACGCAGCTAGTCCTTTCAGGCGATTTCTGTCAGCTACCGCCAGTCCCGCAAAAGCAGTCCGGCAGACCCATCATGGTTTCGGACGTAGTTTTCGCATTTGAAGCATCAACTTGGAGCAAATGCGTGACTAATCTCGTCACACTGACGCAGGTTTTTCGTCAGAAGGATCAGAGTAAGTCGGCCATTCTTTCAAAAAGACGCTTTCTGATACTTCCATGTAGAATTCGTCGACATTCTCAACGCAATGAGATTTGGAAATCTTAATGATGATACCATACAGACATTTTATCGCCTGTCCCGTGAAGTTATTCATGATGATGGCGTAGGCCCCACACAACTGTACGACTTCTGAACTATCCCCTCTACCTTTGCTCACTATAGCACAGTTATCCGTTGCGATATCAGGTAGATGAAGCAAACAAACGAAAACTTGAGGGTCTTCTTGGACTACCTGAGCTCTACAAAGCATCAGATACCCCAGGATATGATGCAGATGGGAAGCGCGTCACACAGGAGAGGATGAAAACTCTGCTAAACAGACTTGTTGCATCACAATCAATACATCTGAAGGTAAGCCGCTCTTGTTTTAGTTCACATGGTAGGCTGAGGAGTTCGGGCAGGTCGGGGCACAAGTCATGCTCATTAAGGTGCGATAAAGATAAGACAAGTACAGTGCTCTCGATACTTATCCTGTTCATCTAGAATATAGAACAGGGTCGCCTTGTCAATGGCTCGGTAGGCCGTGTTGAGGCTTTCCTTTGTGTTGCAGAGGCTAAGGCAAGGAGGCGCACGAGCCTCTCCGAGTCAGCTGACGAGGATTGGGCGAAGCATAATCCCATGAAGTGGCCATTAGTCCGCTTCACCTGCGGGCGCGAGCTTCTTTGTACGCCAGAGGAATTCACTGTTAACAATCCGGACGGTGGTACGGAAGCCACACGAAGACAGGTCCCCTTGATTCTCGCATGGGCCCTCAGCATCCACAAGTCACAAGGACAGACTTTGGAGAGGGTCAAAGTTGACTTGGGAAGTATTTTTGAGAAGGGACAAGGTTTGTCGACAACTCGTCGCGAACTAACCGACCACCGCTAAATATCATATCCATAGCATATGTAGCGCTTTCCCGCGCTACTAACATGGAAACTCTACAGGTGATGAACTTCCGTCCAGAGAAGTAAGACATTGTGATCCATTCATATTTATGTGTCCTGACATTGGGCTTCAGGGTCATGGCTCATCCCAGGGTATTGGCATGGCATGAGGAACTAGCAAGTCGAGGTAGTATGGTTATCGCAGGCAGTACCTAAATATTAATGTAAGATTTTCCAAAAATCGTTTCGGAGATTGTGGTCCATTGTTCCCGTCAGTTCCAACCCTTTTATCAGAACCATAACGACGTTCTCAAGTATTCAAACAAGTGATTATTCTTGCTTGAAGGTCACCCTGACATACTACTTAGTTAACCAGCAGGACCAGTGAAGAAAACATTTCTACCGGTTTTTACGAGTTCTAGAACATGTTCTTGTTCCGAAGAGAGGGTGACCTTAGGGGCAGGCAAAGCAGTTGCCTGTGCGTTTTCACCGGATTCTGCCACCTCGGGTGCCGACTGAGTGTGTCGGGCAGCGAGGTGGCTGACCGCAGGCCTTGGATCCCGGGCTCGTGCAACATTGCGGATTTCTTGCTTGAAACCGTCACTCGGAATCTTGCGGTAGGGTTCTCCACTTGATGGCGCCGCGCAAGTGTGACAGCAAGGAGCGGTAGTACTTTTTCTGCGATGCTGGCCTATGTCTGCGGCATTTTAGTTGGTACGCATTCATCACAAGCGCTCCAACCGACAGTTCGTTCGATGGCTGATAAGTAGTGCACTTCTTCTGCCACGGGTACTAACAGACCTCACTCACACTTACCATAGCTCGACCTCCACTGTTCCAACCACCTTTGTGCCGCCCTGAGAGTAGAGAAACCCTTTCCACTTGCCCCTGAGTATTGGTGAGTCTGCCAGTAGTAATCTAAGTTAGCGTTCAGTAGTCTTAGTTAATAAATGGAAAGAGGCTACTGCGGCGTGATACTACCCCAATCATCAAAGCCAGAGCAAGCAACATGTTGTAAAGGGGTGGTTGCGAAGAAATCCGAAGGCAACCCAGTGAACCGCGAGTTGTACATATTATAAGTGTCGAGTCAAATGCAGTGTCAAATAATATTAATTCGAGAACTCACTTCTGCTTGACTGTCATAGACAATAGGCCCTTCTCGTCCAACCTTGACGGCGTAGTACTTGAAATTAGCGCACGGCATGTACAAGAACACTGATCACAAATCTGCAGGGGGCAAGGCAGGGGTATTCAAATCATGGAACGAGCAGCGGATACACGCGCCTAATTGCCTCATGGCATATCTAATACCTCCGAAAATGGACCATGATGGACCCATACTTAAAACTCAACAATACGAGTAAAGGTTTCATTATTCTGGATCTACTCATCCACTATATGTTCGTCACTGAACTCTGTAACAAGGGACCTTAAATATGGTATATAAATTGACAGACGTGTACGTAACGACTGAAGCAACAAATACTACAAGCTATAATGTACTAACAGATCGTTTTCTCTGTCTCACATGGCAAATCAGCGCTGACACCGATGATAGGTACCGGAAAATCCGTATTGCTTCGAGAGATCATAAAATATGCAAGGCTACGCGGTCGGGAAATAGCCATAACTGCCCCGACAGGCATAGCTGGTTTGAATATAGGTGGAGGGACCATACATTCTTTTGCAGGCATCGGGCTTGGCAAAGAAAATGTTCAGCACCTCGTAACACGTTTGTCTCAGAGTGCAGAAGAGCGGTGGAAGGACACATCAACGCTCATCATTGACGAGAGTAAGTCGACGAAATGTCCAAACGTTATTCTAAAACTAACCTCCTATAGTTTCGATGCTAGATGGCCGACTGTTTGATAAACTAGTGAGTCATGTTACTGCAGGCACTTTTGTTGATCATGTAGAGGCATATTCATGCAGGAAGAAATCGCTCGTATAGTTCGAAAATCGAAGAAACCATTCGGTGGTATACAAGTGAGCCGTAATTTGGATCCACGGAGGCCCTTATTCACAAGCTCATCCATGCAAATTTCAGCTGATCCTTTCGGGTGACTTCTTCCAACTTCCTCCCGTCCCCGATTCAGACAGTACAACTCGAATCGCTTCGACGTTTGCCTTTGAAGCGAAGTCGTGGCTTCGGTGTGTTGGTCCACCAGTGTTCCTTGAGACAGTATTTCGTCAGAAAGATACTAGTGAGCACTCCAGATACATATAAACTCTGGATTATGGTCTGTTAACCACAAGGAAAGGTTTTGTCAACATGCTGTCTGCGCTGAGGCTGGGTTCGCTCAGTGAAGAGCAAATCAGCAAATTCTTAGCGCTACAACGTGACATCAAGGCCGATGACGGCATCGAGCCTACAGAGCTGTGAGTTTCCTACATACTTCCCGACTTATTCTTAGCTCAGCTCCATGATACATAGGTATCCCCTCAAGAGGGAGGTGAACAAATGTAATCAGGAGCGACTAGCACGTCTCATGGGCTCAGAAGCTGAATTTGAAGCCATGGAAACTCGTGGGTCGGATATCTTCCATCAACCTATTTCAGCGCGTGCAGCGGAAGCACTGCTTGAACAATTGACTGTACCCCGTAAACTCAAGCTTAAGGTAATTGTCACGGTCATGTACGAGATTCAGTCTTAAAACTTGACATTTCAGGTTGGTGCGCAAGTAGTGCTTCTGCGGGTGGGCCTTTTGTCCATTAGATTTCCTAACCACATTGACATCCGAGTCGATTTATATAGAACTTTACACAAGGCCCAACACGTCTTGTCAACGGTTCATTAGGGAAAGTTGTGGATTTTATCAGTACGGGCGAGGCTCTGGAGAAACACCTCGAGATCGCCGAGCCAGATCCGAGGCGGGACAGTGATGAAATGCACTCTGAGGTTGCCCACCCAGCATCTTTCTTTCCGTTGAACGAGGGTGTCGTGTTCAAGAAAAACGAGCAATTCCCCCTGGTCAAGTTCTCAAGCGGCACAACATTGCTTTGCATCCCAGTACAGTTCGATGTACAAGGCCTTACAGGTAACACTGAGGCTACCCGAACTCAGGTTCCTTTAGCCCTAGCATGGGCAATGTCAATCCACAAATCACAAGGACAGACCCTGCCCCGGGTGAAGGTCGATGTGCGCCGTGCATTCGAACCTGGTCAGGGTACGTCGCCATCGCTAGCATCAGTTCATCAGAAATATGACACACAACGCAGTGTATGTTGCACTGTCGCGTGCAACGTCTCTGGAGGGACTACAGGTTCTGAACTTCGACCCTAGCAAGTGAGAAAGCTTGACGCATTCTATTCTTCAGTTTCAATTTATCTGTTTTATTTAGGGTTCGCGCGCATGAGCGAGTCCTGCGTTGGACAGCCGAGGTGACCAATTTTCACGAGCGAGAAGAGGAAATGGATTGTGACGAAGCAATCTCTCAATATCATTCCCTGTTTGATGCTGCACACTGATCAACTCGTACTGACTTATCTATTATACATTTTACGGTATACGTATGTATTTAAATTTGATTGTATGTGTGACGTAGCGCTTAATATTGGATCGTTCGTATCAATATCTGTCAGAATTATGCATGGTGGGTCCGCGTTGGTCCATCTTCGGAAGTATTAAATCCGCCATGAGGCAAACAGGCGCGTGTATCCGCTTCTTGATCCGCTCTTAGACTTGCGATCCCGGTACTGTTCTTGTGTATGCCGCGCGTCAAGTACTATGCCGTCAGGGTTGGGCGAGAAGGACCTCTTATTTATGACAATCTTGCAGAAGTAAGTACTCTAACGTCTCTTGGTACCTTGCCTTTGACTGGACGCTTGTGCTCTGCTCACTGCGATGGTCGACAACTCTCGCTTCTTGAACATGTGCCTGGACCGCGTTCTTGATGTGTTCTTTGCCTCTGGCGGCTTGCCCCTGGATCTCTCTGCGACATTCATCTGCATATTACTCTGAATTGGACTCTGCTTGGGATAGTATGATGCCGCGGTAGCCTGTTTTAGTTCCCTACTGGTGGATACCGTTTGCTGACTTCGATCACCAGACCAACCAATATCCAGGGGCTCGTGGAAAATGCTTCCATACTCTTCGGGAGGCACAAAAGTGGTTAGAACAGGGGAAGTCAAGCCACGGTGAGCGTGAGTGAGACCCACTGCCTGCAAAAGAGATGCACTACTTATCAAAGGTCACCCCATCGACCCAACTGTCGGTTTGAATGTTTGAGACGAGTGTGTATCCACTAAAATGCCGCAGATGCGGGTCAAAATTGCAGGAAGAGTACTGCCGCCGCTTGCCATCACACCTGTGTGGAGTTGTTGAGTGGAGACTCCGACCACGAGATTCCGAACGACGGCTTCAAGCAAGAAGGTCGGAATATTGCACGAGCTCAAACTCAAGATTCACTTGCAATTACCCGCACCGCTGTCCGACAAAATATTCAACTGGCACATGAAGTAGTAGAGACCAGTGAAAACGCACAGTCGCCTTCATTACCCTCCCCGGAGTTCATCCTTTCCTCGGAACAGGAACATGTTTTGGAACTTGTGAAAACCGGCAGGAGCGTTTTCTTCACTGGTCCTGCTGGTCAGACTGTTTTCTCTGTCCTACACAACAGAAATACTGACTGCGTGACGATAGGTAGCGGCAAATCTGTGTTGCTTCGAGACATTATCAACTATGCTAAGATTAGTGATCAAGAAATAGCCATCACTGCTCCGACTGGCATAGCTGGTTTGAACATCGGCGGAGGAACTATACATTCCTTCGCAGGCATCGGGCTTGGCAAACAAAATGTTCAGTACCTCGTGAAGCATCTGTCTCAGGCTGCCGAAGGTCGATGGAAGAAGATATCAATGCTCATCATTGACGAAAGCAAGTCAGTGAAATGTATGTACATTATTTAAATTAACCTCCAATAGTTTCGATGCTAGATGGACGGCTCTTTGATAAACTGGTAAGTCATGCTAATGCGTGCACCATTGCTGATCATATAGATGACCATACATACAGGAAGAAATCGCCCGTATAGTACGAGAAACGGACGAACCATTTGGTGGCATACAAGTGGGCTATGAATTAATATTCACAGAGGCCTGTATTCATGTAATGTGCAGCTGGTACTCTCAGGCGACTTCTTCCAGCTTCCTCCTGTCCCCGAATCAGATAGTACAACTCGAATCGCTGCGACATTTGCATTTGAGGCGAGGTCGTGGTTTCGGTGCGTTGGTCCACCAGTGTTTATCAAGACGGTATTCCGTCAAAAGGATACCAGTGAGTTCTCACAATGCAAAAACCTTTGGGATTTGAATTTATGACTATGAGGAAAGATTTTGTCAGTCTGCTGTCCGCGTTGAGGATGGGAACACTTGAGGACGAACAAATCGGCAAGTTTTTGGCCCTACAACGTGACATCAAGTTCGAAGATGGCATTGAGCCTACAGAGTTGTGAGCTCATGCGTAACTTTCAACTTGTCCTTAGCTCACATCTATTGAAACATAGATACCCCCTCAAGAAGGATGTAGAGAAATGTAACGAGGAACGACTGGCACGCCTCACAACCCCAGAAGTCGTGTTTCAAGCAATGGACACCCGTGGATGGAACATGTTTGGTAAACGTATCTCAGTGGATGCAGCGAAAGGATTGCTTAGACGATTAACCGTACCCTATAAACTCGAGCTCAAGGTGTGTACTACATTATCGCTCAAGATGCTGCTTTTGAAACTTGACATGTTAGGTTGGGGCACAGGTTGTGCTTCTGAGGGTAGGCTTTCATTTTTATATTGAATTGATAGATTGCACTGATCTTGATCTATGTAGAACATCACACTGCAAGGTCCAGTGCGCCTTGTGAACGGTTCGTTGGGGAAAGTTGTGGATTTTATGACTACAGGAGAGGCACTGGAGAAGCACCTCGAAGTTGCCGAGCCGAATTCGGGGCGGAGTGACGAGGAATTACGCCCCGAGATTGCGAAGCCAGGCTCTTTCATCCCGTTGAACGATGGTGTCATGTTTGAGAGACATGACCGATACCCCCTTGTTCAGTTTTCAAGTGGCACGACGTTGCTTTGTCTCCCATTACAATTCGATGTACAAGGCCTCAAGGGTAATATTGAGGTTACCAGAACGCAGGTTCCCCTAGCCCTAGCATGGGCAATGTCAATCCACAAATCACAAGGACAGACCTTGCCCCGAGTGAAGGTTGATGTGCATCATGTGTTCGAACCTGGTCAGGGTACGTCACCATCGCTCTCAAGTTTTGAGCAGAATATAACCCAAAACGCAGTGTATGTTGCGCTGTCGCGTGCAACGTCTCTGGAGGGACTGCAGGTTCTGAACTTCGACCCTGCTAAGTAAGAAAGCTTGACGCATTCTATTCTTCAACTTTAGTTTACCTGATTGTTTAGGGTTCGCGCTCATGAGCGAGTTCTGCGCTGGACAGCCGAGGTTGACAAATCTCACGAGCGTGAAAAGTAAATGGACTGTGACGAAGCAATCTACCAAATCTACTATTCTTTATTTGATGCCGCGCGCTGACTACTAGCACTGGCTCGCATTTTGTTTTGTGACTTATTTTGATGTATGTAGCATAACACCTATTATTGGATTATCCGTATCAATATCCGTTGAACTAGTATTTGTAACCGGGAACCACAGTACACCAGGGGGAAAAAGTAATAATGTCAATGGACTAGTTGAGGGATCCGGTCATGACGACGGAGACGGTTCCGACGGAGACTTAGGATGCACAGATCTGCCAGACCTTGGTGACTGGCTTGAATCGCGTGGCGAGTCCGAGCTACTGGTATCGTCAAACACCTGTATCACTTCTGTTGGTATATCTGTGATGTTCTCCTCATGGAGTGAGGGAGGCCATGAAGGGGTAGGTGGTGGCTCAATCGTGCTTCTGGAAGGAGAGACAGGGTTCGCCCGAGAAGAAGGGTGAATGCTGTAATTTGGCCTCGGGGGCAGCTTTGGCGTGAAATCTTCGTTCGGCCGAGATGGTAGAAGTGGAGGAAGGCTGGCCACGCGTGTATGCGTAGAGCCGTACGGGTACACGGAAGGTTGTTCTCCTACAGGGGCGTCCGGAAGAGGAGGGGACGCGGACGGGGGAGGCAATTCTTCAAATATCATGCCAACATTTTCGATCAGATCTTCCATAAGCGTGTCCTTGAGGAGAGATATGAGCAACGCCTTGCGCTGAAGATATAGTCTTACCCTCCATGATTGCACACTCAAGAGATCTCCGCCCTTGGGGATCTCATCCTCTCCAAAGATCACGGCACTGAAAACAATCGCCAAGTTCCGTGCGTCCATCTTATTTTTCTCAGACAGCGCCACAACGCGTGCTAGATGTTCTACCACCACACGTAGTGTGGCACGATGAACACCTGGTAGGCGTCGTATTTTGGAGCGTAACAACGTGAAACTGTTCGTTTGATGATCCGCTGGTAGTCACAGTCAATACGTGCTTCAACCTCTGCAAAAGAGTGGGATACGAACCGCGGTCTTCTGTATAGTCAATGCGATCTTGCAGAGCAAATTTGAACAACGGCTCAGGTAACTCTCTGAGATACATCTAGAGGGTACTGAATTCATGTGGATACGAAGAATGCCGAAGCTCTGACCTTCAGGAATGAAGCCACAGCATACACATCATCTGTCGTGGGATTAAACTTAAAAGCAGATTCGTTGCGCTCGATCTTCTGCCGCAACTATCAAAAATTGTTAGCATGCTCAGAGAAGGACTCCAAATCCAAGGTAGCTCACTTCGTGGACTACAGCATGCCGTCCAGAAACCTTGCAGAGGTAAGCATGATGATCGATGCCTCCCTTACAAGATGGCTCGCTTACCCTGTATATACCTTCTGACTCCAAGCCTCGTTGGTCAATTTCTTGTATACATATCCGAACGATTCTTGGAATCTCATGTTCTGGGAGGTTTCGGGCGGTGGCATAGTCCACGAGACTGACGCCGAAGATCAGATCGCGACACTCTCCGACGTAGTAATTGTAGTATAGGGTCGGCTGCGGCGTTGCTGTTGCGAGTGCACGGGGAATGATTTGTGTTACTGCATTGACGTCAACTTCGGGGCTGACTCTGTCGACAATCGAGCGCGCGTGCGAAGCTAATTGGGTTTGTGTAGCCGAAGTGGCCCTGTTTTCTGATGAATTTCCCATGATTTACCATAAAAACGGAGCCATACGTCATGTTATCGCTATATTTGATAAGCGCATCTTTCACAGCCGTTGAGTAGTCATGAACGAATAGCTCAAGACTCTGAGAAGATATAAGGACCGATTGGTTGACTGGTTTGCGAGCGGCGTACCTTGTATGCGCCTTCAAGGATCTTGGCGCGATGTAATCTGAGAGTTTCTAGCCAGTGAACACCCTTGCGATACTCTCGGTCTGCGGATCACTAGGTTCAGCGAGGAATAAGCACGGCTGCATGGTTTGGAAGCTGACCAGCTTCGTCAGCTTCACGCTTTGCACGAACACCTCTTAAAGCAGTGTTTTCAGAACGCCCGAGGGTTTCCTTGACCGTTCCACTCTTGTCAAGAAAGGTCATCAGTTGATTTTTCAGATGCTTTCCTGATTACCGCCATCGAGTCTTGTTATATATCAACCACGCTGATGTTCCTCTTAGACACGCACCTTGGTGAGCAAATTCAGAAAACGTGCTCCCGCTTGGCGGCGAGCGAGGTCGGGAAGTCGGCCCACTTCCAGAAGGGCGACGATCTAATGGACGCAGGGGGTGGGGTGAGGTGACATTAGGTCTGCTTGGCAAGTTTGGCACCGGTCGGATGTTCGGAGAAGGGACAATCCCTTGATCAGCAGGGTTAACTGACATAGGGGGCGGAGCGGCGGCGGCAGCAGCTTTGCAGTCCTAAATGGTGATCCATGCGTTCGAATGTTGATTCTGAGGCAAAGGGTAGAGGGTACAGACCTCAACTTCCTGACACCTCCTTAAATAGCTGCGTTTGAGCCTTGGTAGTGTCGATTCGGAGTAGTCGCTGTACGCATTGCCCGACTCTTTTAGATCGTCCTTGATACGCTTCCGAGTGCGTTCTTGCGTTTCCTATGTCCAGAGTTAAGGCCTGGGTAAAGAACATCGAGGACCTCGCTCATGCTTACCTTGAGTGAGATCAAGGAGTTGACGACGTCTATTGTTAGGGTGCTGAGAAAAGCCTGCCTGGTCTGAGCCTCTGGATCCGCCGGTGGTCATGACATGAACAGTGATCCTCACGTGGATCAGGGGTTGAATTCACCTCTTTCTAGATTATCACGAACTTCTGACCATGCCCTTCGGGCTGTGTTGAGTTCTATTCTATCATCAAGAAAGGTGTCGATGGCTTTGGATTTGCGGTGAAGCTTAAGGAGAGATTCTACACTAGGGTCCGGTCAGAGGCGGATCCGCCTTAATTCGAGGATTTGGACGCGTATGCGCTCACTAGACCTCCTCTATTCGCTTTCTGGAGTGCATGTGAGCGAGGCGGTTTGCGCCGAGGGTTAGGTACGCGAAGAAAACGCGTACCTTTCTAGGAAGAAACTGAGGTAGGAGTCGTTCAAGACTCTTAGATGGTGTTCAAACATGGGCAGAGGACTTGCTGGCTGCGAGGCTTCGTTGAAAGATGGTCTCCCAGATGGGATAGATTCGCTCGTTGTCGACATAGGCGTGGAGGATGAAGGAAGGCAAGCGAGGAAGCGACAACTGCGTGTTTGCTCGAGGGTTCAGGAGCTCGACTCGGGTGCGACATGGACGATAGCCCCCGGGAGCAAGGCCCCAATCGCGTGGACCCCGGGACCCATTGACCGGGATTAGCACCCGAATTCACCGGACTGAGACCGTCTTTGGTGATCTGCAACAATCGCTACTGTACCCGCGTCTGACTCGCCCGTTAGTACGGGTCCGACTTTCTCATCAGAATTCATTTAGTTTGAGTAACAAAACCACTTGACGCGTCTCTAGCCAGCTGGGCTATCTTCTTTCCACTCTCTTTCCCTTTGAATCCCTTCCCTGCTCCTCGCAGCCAAGAAGCGACCATGGACGGCTCGCCCCAGGTCATTCTGGCTGCCCACGGCCGCCATTGGCACAAAAAGACGTATGCGCTCACCTCTCTACACTATACTGACTCACTTAACCCGTTATCTAGCATATGGCAGGACTCTCTCGCCGTTCCCACCTATGCGGCCACCATTTCTGTTGTAGTTCTTCTCCTTCACCTTGTTATCGTTTCACGACCAGTTCAAAAACTTTGGGCTCGTGTATCACCTCCGAAAGACGAAGATTTCGACGCCGTCGCCGCACAAGACGAAAGTCCCATACCTGCGGAAGGTGTTGTCGCTGAAACCAAAGCATTTGTTCAAAGTCATGGCGGACCGGTCCATTTTGTCTACAAGATACTAAGGCTACTCGGATGTTTCGCTTTCCTTGGCATATGCGCTGCCACCTTCGTCTTCGAGGAGGGTCTCGCTGAGGACTCTGATTTGACTCTTCTCCTCCGGAAGCACCGGAAAGACCCTAAGCCCGACCAAACTCAGAGTGCCTTCTCGGACGAAGAGTGGCTCCAGTTCGCTCTTTGTATGACAGCCGTAAGCTTGTTTTAACGTTCGTGCCCTGCATGGGAAGTAAACGTGATATATATTTCATCTAGACCTACGCGTCGCTCCTAGCTTTGATCTCCGTGGGCACACGACCACGCTGGAGCAAGCTCATATCCAATCATCTAGCTACTATTCTATTGGTCACCTTTGCCGTGTTCATCTATCGGGACATTTACCCCCTATTGACCTTCACTAAGCAACCTCAAGACGTCCAGGAAGGCTGGCTGCTATGGTCGAGGCTGATCGTTTTAGGTCTCATTGCTGTCGTGTTTCCCTTGGTGTTCCCGCGCCAATATATCCCTGAAGACCCCACTGTGCGCACCCGTTTGCAATGCATGGTATTCATGGATACTCATGTTTCTACCCCAGGACCCATCGAGCGAGCCCCATCCAGAGCAGACATCGTCCTGGTTATCGATGTTCCTATACTTATGGCTCGATCCCATCGTCCTATTGGCCTACAGAGTTCCCCACTTGTCTGTTAACCACTTGCCTCCTTTGGCTGATCACGACCGCTCCGCCCTTTTAATGAAACGGTCTTTGCCGGTAAGTACTCTCGCATCCTTTTCATTTAACTAAGCTTATGCCCCATGTGTCTTCCAGCACCTGGATCCCTTCTCAGGTAGCAAGCGTAGACATATATTCTTTGGTTTCTTGAATATATTTGGAGTGGACTTCTGCGTCCTTGCATTGACGGTCTCTCTTCAGGTAATATCACCTCAGTTGATACATCAACACTATTTGACACTTGAATAGGCGATCTTCTCTTTGTCTGCACCGTTCGCCATCAAAAATCTTCTTGAGTACGACTCCCTAATCGTTTATTTACTACAACTAATGCACTTGGTAGGTACTTGGAGACTAAAGGGCTGGGTGCAGTCTTCCGCCCATGGGTATGGATCGCTGTCCTTTTCCTCGGACCCATGGCATCGTCGCTCGTCTTTCAGTGGTACATTTTCATTGCGGTATGAATTCATCGCAATCGGAGGCCGCTCGAGCTCATTTCTGGCAGACTCGCCTCCTGGTCAGGACCGAGGGTATCATCACTCAGCTCGTGTTCCAACATGCTCTTCGTATCCGGATGAAGGCAGAATTGCCAGATTCAAAGTCACCTGACGGAATGAATACACCCTCAGAGGCGTCGGAAACGGCTTCGCTCGCCGACTCTACGATTTCGGTTGGAGAAGACAACACTGTAGCCAACGAGGCGCAAGTTCACTCGAGTGCAGCCAGCGTCACTTCATCCAGGAAAGGAAAGCAGAGAGCAGCATCGGCTCATTCCAGGGCGACTTCAACCGCATCTGTGCCGGCTGACTACAAGCCTGAATCTAGCTCTGACAACCTTATTGGCAAGATTAACAACCTTGTCAGCACTGACTTGAGTAACATCACGGATGGCCGTGACTTCCTCTTGTGCTGTACGTGGATCTTCCATTTTTAATCTGCTTACGCTTCACAAATCCTCCAGTCCTATACATCCCATTGCAGGTTGGCTTGTGTATGGTGTTCCTCTATCAGATTCTCGGCTGGAGGTAAGGGTATTTTCGCGTCAACCTGAGATTTGCTTATTTGATTTTGTTAGCGCGTTGGTCGGACTGGCCATCATGGCCGTCACCTTCCCTCTTCCTGGGTATGTTGCCAAGTTGATCCAGACTACTCAGAAGCAAAAGATGAAGAGGGTGCGCATAGGCTGTAGCCACAGGCGGTTGCCATAGATTGCTAACTTTTGCATTAGACCGATGCCCGTGTTCAGTCCGTCACCGAGAGTGAGCATCTGATATGAATCAGCGCTATCCAGTCGTTGATTGTTTATCAGCCATGAACGTTTTGCGTATGATCAAGCTCTTTGGTTGGGAGTCCAGGATGGACGAAAAGATCTCTGAAAAGCGAGAGGATGAGCTAATCTTCACCTGGAGGCAGAAGGTTCTTGAGCTGGTCAACAATAACTTGAAGTATGCTCTCGTGAACTCGCTCGCCAAGCTTGATGCTCACGGTTACCAGCTTCATCATTCCCATTTTGGTCATGCTGGCCACCTACGCTACATACGTGAGTTGCACAGGTTTTTAGCCATGTACAAATCCGGAGCTCATTCTCTTTCAGACCCTCATCATGAAAGAAACACTGAGCGGTAGGCGGTCTTCCTGCGGTGACCGACTCTCTTCCTCACCCAATATATAGCTGGCAAGGTCTTCTCTTCCATGTCGGTCTTTGATATCATGAGGGACCAGCTTCACATGGTGTTCTACATGGTACCAAAGATGATGCAAGGTGGGTTTGTTTAGTGTGCCATACTTGATAACATCTAAAGCCACGAGCCTCTAGCCAAAGTTTCCCTGGATCGTGTCAACGACTTCCTTTTCGATGTTAGTCTATTATCCCCATGTTGTGTGACCCGTGCTGACATGTAATTAGACTGAGTTGCTCGATATTTACACCGAGGATGACGAAGCCGCCCTGCTTTTCCCGCCCGATGAGGACAAGTCTGACGAGATCGGTTTCCGTGACGCCAAGTTCTCTTGGTCGAGCGAGGGAAGCGGTGCTCTCACTCCCTCCAAGCGCAAGTTCAACTTGCGCATTGAGGACGAAATCCTTTTCAAGCGTGGTCGTATCAACTTAATTGTTGGCCCAACGGGTTCAGGCAAAACTTCACTGTTGATGGCTCTGCTAGGTACGCTACAAGGCTTTGGTTCATGGACCTTTCCCAATTTGTATTTTCTGCAGGCGAGATGCATTTCATCCCGTACAGTCCCAACTCCTGGTTCAACTTGCCGCGTAAAGGCGGTGTGTCCTATGCTGCCCAAGAGTCTTGGGTGCAGAACGAGACTATCAGGGTATGTGGGTCACTGAAAGTACTCGGTACATGACGCTAAGGTGCACTCAGGATAATATTCTCTTCGGCGCTCCTTATGACGAAGCCCGGTACAAGAAAGGTGCGTCTCATGTAACAAAGTGGAATCCTGGGCGTTAACACGCAATTGTAGTCCTGTATCAATGTGCCCTCGAACGTGACCTTACTCTGTTTGAGGCTGGTGATCAAACTGAGGTTGGGGAGAAAGGTCTTACCCTCAGTGGTGGCCAAAAGGCTCGTGTTACTCTGGCTCGTGCGATTTACTCGTCAGCCGAGATCATCCTGTTGGACGACGTGAGCGGAGCTCTTTTTTTCGTGGTTTGGTCGCTTACTTGAAAGCTAGGTGCTTGCCGCTCTGGATGTGCACACTGCGAAATGGGTTGTCGACAAGTGCTTGGGTGGTGACATGGTCAAGGGCCGTACGGTCATCCTTGTGGTATGCATATCCCAAAGCTCTCTCAGCATCCATCTAAAGGGTTCTAGACACATAATGTTGCGATGGCGAGCACCGTTGCTCAGTTCGTTGTGTCTCTAGGCTCCAACGGACGCGTCCTCAGCACCGGCACGATCAGTGATGCCGTCACCGCCGACAGCGGTGTGGCTGCTGACATGGTAAACGAGCAGGAGCTGATCGAGAAGGACGAAGAAGTGATCGATGCCCCTGCAGAGGGAGAGACTAAGGCCGGCCCTAAGGCTGATGGCAAGCTGATTGTCGCAGAGGAGGTTGCGGAGGGTCATGTCAGCTGGGCTGCCAGTAAGTGCTGAGTAGATCAAGACGTTCCTGATCTAACAGTTACACTAGTCAAGCTTTTCCTGACAAGCTTGGGTGGACAATACCCCGTGCTGTTCTGGTTCACCTTCATCGGTTTCATGGGTCTGACTGATCTCATCAACACCATTCAAACTTGGTTCTTAGGCCAATGGGCTGCGCAATACGAGATTAAGTCGCCTTCCGAGGTCAACGTCACTTTGTAAGTACATTTCTACTCACAAGAGGAACAAGTGCTTATAGTGTGTCACAGCTATCTGTCTGGCTACAGCATACTACTGCTTCTCGCTACCATCTTCTTCACTACTGCTTATGCGCTATACTATTGGGGAAGCATGAGGGCCTCCAGGATCCTCCATCAAAAGCTCATTTCCTCAGTGCTTGGAACGACCCTTCGTTGGCTTGATACGACACCAACGTCCCGTGTCATTACTCGCTGCACTCAAGACGTGCGGGCAGTTGACGGTCCATTCGCTCAGGGAATCGGTTGGATGGTAGAGCTCACGATGACCATGCTTGTGAAGCTGGGCGCGGTCGTAGCCTTCACTCCGATCTTCCTCATTCCCGGTTCCTTTGTCGCTGCCATTGGGGGTTGGATTGGCAGGATTTACATGAAAGCCCAACTATCCGTCAAGCGAGAGATGAGCAATGCCAAAGCTCCTGTCATGGGTCACTTTGGTGCAGCTATAAACGGACTTCGTAAGTCACAACGTCCTTCACATATAAGCTTTGGCATGACACGTTGGTCTAGCGTCGATCCGTGCATATGGTGCCGAAGAAGCCTTCAAGCGTGAGTCCCTGAAGCGCATCGACCGTTATACGACTACTGGTCGCATGTTCTACAACCTGAATCGGTATGTGCTCCCTTCTAGCAATGCGTCGCTGGTCTAAACTTTGCAATAAGCTGGGTCTGTATTCGTATCGATGGTTTCGGAGCTATATTCTCTGCTGGTTTGGCCGCCTATCTTGTCTACGGCCGTCAAGATCTGCAAGCTTCCAACATCGGTTTCTCGCTGAACATGGCAGGTTCGTCTTAGCGTATACGTGCATGTTTGTCCACTCATCGCCTTCCAGTTGGCTTCAGCTCGATGATCCTTTGGTGGGTTCGTATTCTAAACGAAGTCGAGGTCAACGGTAAGCATCTTCTTTTCCATTACTCTACATGTCTTGTGACCATCGGAATAGGCAACAGTCTTGAGCGTATCGAAGGTTACATCACCATTGAGCAAGAGCCCAAACCGACGGAGGGCGGACAACCTCCTGCCTATTGGCCCTCGAGCGGCGACCTGCGCGTCGAAGGACTTACTGCACGCTATTCCTCAGATGGTCCTAAGGTTCTCAAGAATCTCGACTTCCACATCAAGTCTGGAGAGCGTGTCGGTATCGTTGGACGGACAGGCAGTGGCAAGGTACCCACTTGGAACACTTTCTTTTTCGGAAAGCATTCTCAACTTTGTCTTTATAGAGCTCGCTCACGCTGTCTCTTTTGCGCTGTATCTTCACGGAAGGACAAGTCTACTATGACGGCATACCTACGAGCTCTCTCAACCTGGATGCTCTTCGGTCAAATATTACTATCATCCCCCAAGTGGTATGTGGCCAGTCTCTTCATAGTCTGAGCGTACGCTGATCTTGTACGCTTAGCCGGAGCTTCTGAGTGGAACTCTTCGTCAAAACCTTGATCCCTTTGACCAGCACGATGATGCGGTTTTGAACGATGCTTTGCGCTCCTCTGGTCTTTATTCTGTTCAGGAAGAAGACGAAGAGAGCAAGCTCACCCTCGACAGCGCCATCGCAAGCGGTGGCGGCAATCTCTCTGTCGGCCAACGCCAGATCCTTGCTCTCGCTAGGGCCATGGTCCGCGGAAGCAAGCTGCTGATCCTTGATGAAGGTATGACTCTCGATCTGTCATGTCCGTGTACAAGCTGACAATTGTGTTTAGCAACCTCCGCTATCGGTTAGTCCCTTACCTGTGCTGATTTCAAGGTGATGCTGATATTCCTGCAGATTACAAGACGGACACTGCCATCCAGGAGTCACTCCGGCAAGAGTTGAAGAGAGGTATCACCCAGATCATCGTAGCTCATCGCTTGCAGACCATTATCGACGCAGATAAGATTGTGAGCCATATTTTCGCTTCGTTTCACATTGGGCCTTTGGCTAACGATGCCAACAAGATGGTCCTGGATGCTGGCTGTTTGGTCGAGTTCGGCAGCCCTTGGGAGCTTCTCCAAAACGAGAGGGGGAAGTTCCGCGCGCTTGTCGACGAAAGTGGTGACAAGGATGCCCTCTACGACACAGCAAGAAACGCTGACGCGAGCGGAAGTTCCTGATTACCACCGCCTACGTCGATATTTACCATCTATATTCCATTTTTGCTACAGTCGGACATGTCTATGTAACGTAAATATATCCGGTACACGAAATGTGTTAGGTCCCTTCGCATTCAAGATTTCCTATAAATGTGCAGCATCGTGACCATATTGATCAGACGACATGCAACCCTCTATGTGGTATCAAGACTCAAAGAGTGATGTTAACCTCAACCTGATGTTCACCAACATATTGTGCCGAAACGCTACGGACACTCCATGAGTCTTTCTGACGTAGTGGCGGTAAAGGCGCACTCACTGAGTGAGATCCTGCACGACGAAGGTTGGGAAGATCACCGGAGCATCCGAATCGGAACTGTCTTGTTTAATGACGAAACCACCCTGGTTTTCCCGCTCTTCAAAGCTTTTCCCTAGACGGGTGAGAGCTTCGCGAAGTTCTTTCATGAGATTTTCACGCGTGTCATGGGACGTGCATACGGCGAGGGTCCTCGCGCCCGCGTTTAACCCTGCGATCAGTCCAGACGGTGCGTCTTCTACAACCAGACCTAACCAGCGAAGTCAGTGATGTCCCTCATAGGATAAGATTCCCTTATTGTACATTTCTTGGGATCCGCTTGACAAGCCTCGGCGCCCTTGAGGTAGGGGGCGGGATGCGGCTTGCCTTGCGGGATGTCATCGGCCGTGACAAACCGCTTCGGAAGGGGTATTCCACAGATCTTCAGTGCCCGAGGCGTGTACCAGCTGGACGCTGGAACGGTGGTCTTGCATCAGCACATGGTCGAAGTAACAACGCATCACACAAGCCAACCCGAGGTGACGATGGTCCATCTTTGCCTTGGCTCGTTCTTCTCCGCCGAGAGCTGTTCCACCTTGAGCTAACGCGTGGTTCGGTTCCCAGGAAATTTGACGACGAGGCAATGAGATAGTACCTGGTTGAGGAGCTTCTCTACTCCAGGAAGGATCTGTGGTTGACCTCCCAGCTTATTTTCTGGTGCATTCTCGTCCGTGTTATCATCTTCTTCGCCAATGACGGCCCTCTCGAACCGCATGATCTCATCCTAATCGGGAGTTAACCCTCTGGGTAAACATCGGGGGCCGATACCAGCGTACCTGGAGCTTCTGCCCGCTGAGCTCGGGCTCGCTCTCCGTCTTGCAAAAATCCTTGAGGCTGTCAAGGAGACGTCTGCCATGAGATGCATTTGCCGCCGCTACGGGATCGAAATGGTATGTTTTGGAGAAGATCGCCCATGCTTTGAGCACTCCGGGGGTGGAATCGATCAGAGTCCTTTCACGACAGCTCAGAATAAAGGCGGAGATATGGCGAGGAATGACAGGCGCACCCGTCCATGTCAAACAGGATCTGCCAAATCGAGGTGAGTATCTGTCAGCGCTGGCCAAACATTGGGCTCAGGAACTTCCTACAGCATCGACAGTAACAGTTTCTGTGGGCATGGCGCGAGGATATTATGGAACAGGAAGTGAGTGAGTGGACGGTGAACAATGGTCCAGAGTTGTCAGGGGCAGACGAAGCTGGCGGAGATAGACGCGCGAGTCAATTATCGCGATGGTTTCTGCCGGTCCGATGCCGCGATTGAAGGCGGGAGACGCGTGCCGTTCTATAAATGGATCAACAATAACCAAGTATGGAAGGTGTGTAAGAACAAAAGGTTGCGCTTCGAGAAGCTCGACTTCGACAATGGCAGTCGCTACCAGGCAACCACACAACCGGCGCACGCGGTCACACTCATACGGTGCCGCAACACATGCGCCCATTGACAATCCTATTGTAGTTCCGTGTCCTCAGAATAGCTCATTCCATTGTTTTTGCTTTACCAAGTTCTCAAACGGAGCGTTAGCCAAATACAAGGGCCAGGCTTATAAGCACTAACGCGATGCCTCCCAGATTCAGCCTCAAGCAGCCCTCTTTCACCCTATCGACTCGCGTCTCAGGAAGACCTAGTGTCTTTTCTACTTTCTTTTTCTTCTTCATTCTTTCTAGAACTTGGTATTGACTGCCTCCACTATCGTTTCTAGTCTTTGAGAGACTCGTCGACTTTCCTCTGCTGCTGCATTTTCGCATACCCACTCATACTTTCTGTCATGATGAAGTCATCCATCTTCCTTGCCATTGCTCTTTCTACTCTTGTGGCTGCGCGTCCGCCTCTCCGAATGCGTGCTAGTAGTTTCCAGCTTCAGAATGGACAGCAGGCTATCCAGCAGAAGTATGTTTTTCGAGAATCTTTGTTCGATAGTCGCTGACTCCTCCCAGTGAGCAGTTCAAGTCACTTACAGCGGACTCCACCTGCACATCTGGTGATGCATGTGTCAACAACTCATTTGCCCAATGTGTTGGCGGGAATATGTTCTCCAACCGTGTAACTCCGGGCTGGTGTGAGTACTGTTAGTGATGCTTCTTCGTGGCTGCGCCTAATTTCTCTCCAGCTGTGCCGCACTCCCTCTGGTGAACTCTGCCGGAACGAGTATTGCCTGTACCACCGAATCCGATGTGCAAGCACGGATCGCGGCAACGGGCGCCTCTGGAACTGGCACGTCCACAGGCTCTTCCTCGTCAGCTTCTCCCAGTAGCAGTACCGCCGCTGGTGGCTCCAGCTCCGGCACTAGCTCTGGGCAAGGAGCGGGCAACAGCTCTGATGCCCAGTCCTCGACGACTCTCCTATCCTCTGTGATCGCTACTGGCTTTGAACAGAACGGCCAGGGCTTGAACACCTCCGAGTCCGGGGAAGTCGCTTCTCTCACCTCCAAGAACAACTTCGTCAACTTCTGTGCCACCGTCAACCTCCCCATCACCAACGGGAAGCAGATCAAGAGCGGTTCATGCAATCCTGCCCCGATGGGCACCATACCCTCTACGAGCAATATGCCCAGTGCCAAGTTTGTCAGCCCCGCGAACCTCGCCACCGTATCCGCAAACAAGACGTTCCAGGTCGTTCTCGCGATGAAGAACCTTGACACGGGATTCTTCACCAACGCGGCCAGCAACTACTTCGCCGCTCCCCAGCAGCTCAACTCGCAGGGCCAAATCCAGGGGCACTCGCATATCGTTATTGAGGCTCTCGACTCTTTGAACCAGACCACGCCCACCGATCCGACCAAGTTTGCGTTCTTCCAGGGCATCAACTCTAAGGCCGATTCGAAGGGCCAGCTGTTCGCCAATGTCACCGGTGGTCTTCCGGAGGGGTTCTACAAGATGTCGACCATCAACAGCGCGAGTAACCACCAGCCTGTCCTTGTGGCTGTTGCCCAGCATGGTTCCCTGGACGATGTGGTCTACGTGAGTTTGCTTTGCGACCTAGAAATATCTCTTTACTGATTTCAACACTCAGTTTACCGTGACTGCAAACGGGGACGACTCTGGGTCGACTGGAACAGGTTCTGGCGAGGCTTCTGGAAAGGGCTCCGGCAAGGGCTCCGGCAAGGGTACCACTACGTCCACCAAGGTTCAGCCTACTACTACCTCGGATGGAAAAGATTCTAGCCAAGGCTCCGGCAAGAGTCAGCCCATTGCGACAAGCACGTCCTCGGCCATTGGATCAAAGAATACTGACGTTGCCGGAGGTAACAACGATAATGACGACGGTGACGACGGTGATGATTGCGAGTGATTTCAGCATGTTGAGAAACCATCTTCTTGACGTAGAAGTAGTCTGCCGGGCAGACTCTTCGTTTCTTTCATGTTGGGTATTTTGGTATCGGGATGTCGATTGGGTAATCTTGGGCTTCTTGTAGATCTCATGCTTGTAGCAAATAGCACCATCCACGTACCATTGTACTTCTAAGCAATTGCATATCAAATATACAACCATCCTGTCAGACGGCGCAACAAGTGGTTCGAAGATCGGACGTTCGGGCCGTTTGAAGTTGTTTGGCAAAGGCTTTAGATCCAAACAAATGCCGATCACAGACGCTAAAAATAACTGTTGGAGCAACCGTACAAAGTTGCTGGCACTTTCTTGAACCTGTGGCAATCTTATCGGCAGATCTTGCATAGTATGTGATCTTGACCATGACTCGTCTCAACTGCCCTGAACAATCTCACTCTTGAACACTCAATATTTAAGACAAGCCATATGGCTCCACCCAAGTCCTTCGTTCTCCGTGTCCCCGCGACATCAGCCAACATCGGCCCAGGCTTTGACGTCGTCGGTCTCTCGCTCTCGCTGTACCTCACTCTGACCGTCAAGTTCGGCGAACCCTCGAATGGTCTTGTCAAGATCACGTACTCGGGTGAAGGCGCCGACGAAGTCCCGCTCAACCCATACAAGAACCTGACGACCCGTGTCGCGCTATACGTCCTCCGGTGCAACGGCGTGCACACCTTCCCGTCCTCTCTACTCTCTATCCACGCACACAACGAGATCCCGTTCGGCCGCGGGCTCGGCTCATCGGGCGCCGCTGTCATCGCGGGTGTCCTCCTCGGCGACGCGCTCGGCGAGCTACGCCTCTCGCGCGCGCGCATGCTCGACTTCGCGCTGATGGTCGAGCGCCACCCCGACAACGTCACCGCCGCGCTCGTCGGCGGCTTCGTCGGCTCCTACCTGCGCGAGCTCGATCCGCAGGCGACGGAAGCGGCGCAGGTTCCTCTCGCCGAGGTTCTGCCCGAGTACCCACCCGATGCCGGCGAGGACTGGGGCCTTAACCCGCCAGTGCCGCCGTTGGGGATCGGCCACTATGTGCGGTTTAAGTGGGATCCATCGATCAAGGCTGTTGCAATCATCCCCCGTTTTGAGCTGAGCACGGCAAAGGCTCGTGAGGTCCTACCTGAGCAGTACTCTCGCAAGGACGTGGTAAGTAGCACTTATGCTCTAGAAAGTAATATTTCAAACAACAAGATCTAGATTTTCAATATGCAGCGTCTAGCTGTCCTCACCACTGCCTTAGGTCAGTCTCCTCCGGACCCCGAGCTCATTTACGAGGCAATGAAAGATCGCGTACATCAACCGTATCGCAAGGGCCTGGTCAGTAATACAATCTGCCATGGTCTTCTTACGCTGACTCCCTATAGATCCCTGGTCTTCCCGCCGTAACATCCAGATTGACCCCTGAATCGCATCCAGGCTTGCTTGGTATTTGCCTGTCAGGGGCAGGTCCCACAATTCTCGCACTGGCAACGCATAACTTTGAAGCAATCGCAGAGGGTGCTCGTGCGATTTTCAAAGAGGAATCGATAGAGGTTGATTGGAAAACCCTCGAGGTGGTGGGCGGAAGTGCCGTTGAATACCACAGTTGAAGACGAGTCACTTCAAGCCGGGGCGCTAGCGGTTTGAGATAATCCAAAATCCAATTCGTCAGAGTCATAGAGATCATTACGCGTGTAGACAAAGTAAAAGAGTGATATAGTAATAAATTATTCCGATGGTATCATTCGGCGTCTATCCTCGTGCAGTCAGACAAACAGCCCGCATTGCAACCAATGCAGCATCTCCGTCGTCGAAGGGAAGGTCGACACTGAACATCACGTCGCTTCGATCGTTGTTGAGATAGACCGGAAGGGTGACTAGCCCAGTCTTGTCTTCAGGCGTCTCGGGGTCTATCTGGACCCATCGGATTTGCGAAGGGTTCAGTCTCACAGACTGTCCGTCATTCAAGCCCAGTTTGCGAAGCTCGACATTCCACGAGGCACCTTCGAGACTGAGGCCTGCCAACGAGATGAGTATTGATTGAGATGTTATGAACACAAGCGTACCATCAATCATGAATGCCTCGGGGTTCTTGACCTCGCCAATTTCGAGGCGAAGGTGAAGTGTCTCAAGACTCCAGCGTTTGCGATGGGCCACAGCTTGGCGGGTGGCAGTAATATAGGCCTCTGGGAAGAAGAGTCCTCCAAGCCACACCTCAACATGAGGCAGGTTTTGTTGCATGGTCACAATCTCTTCTAGTTGTGCAAGGCGACGCGAGAGGTCAGGGATACACTCTGAGACTGACATGACCTTGGGCACTTTGTACTTTCTCCAGTGGTTTGGTATCGTGCCCTTCGTCAGTGAACTCATCAGAGTACGAAGATGGTTGGTTTGCTTGAGTTCGCCTTCGCAAACTTTGATGACGCTCTCCAGGTCCTTCCGGACTTGGCCCAAGAGTTTCTGACCAATCGTCCCTTCACGGGAGAAGAATCGGTACAGAGGATCCGATTTCTCCGACGCTTGCTTCGGAAGAACGTTGAGTTTCTACAAGAAACAATCAGACTAGGGTCAAGATAGATGATGTAACAGCGCACCGATGGCAGCTGTGCCAACCACTCGCGAGACCGTTCAAAGAGTTGACGCATCCAAGCTGGCTGTTGTACACCCTGGCCTTTCGAGGGACCGCTCGCACCAACTTCATCGTCATCGTCCGATAGCATGCGCATCTTACGTAGTTTGCCGAGCAGCTCATTACCTGTAGGTGGCAAGGATGAATATGATAAAACGGAAACTCAAAGGATTAGGTCGCTTACCTTGTGCAATGGCAATGACGCGCTCCGCCGTGGGTGGAAGACTGAGCCATGAAGGCGGCTCCCGATCAGGTAGTTTTCGCACCCAATCCAGGAAGTGTTCAACTTTAGTTCCATCAGGCCCTTCAAGAACGGTTCCATCAACACTCGGTACAAGGCTGAAGTCGACGTTATAAGCCATGGGGGTAAAGAGCTTGTCAACGAAGGAGTCAAGAATGCGTTGGTCGAACTCGCTGTCGACTCTTCCTCCGTAAACTGACTGCTTGATTAGGGTTCTGAGAGCATCCCAAGGTATCGTCGCAGGGTCGACGTTTGCACGCCCTTTAGCGACCGAGTTGAGCCAGGTGTCAATCGTTCCAAATGCTGATGCCATGTCCGAGTCGTTAAAGTCATACATCTTGCTCCATCCGAGAGGCACATAACGTAGACGTTCCTGGACGACAGCGTGGAACCAGGCGAGCAGGAAGTACAGCCGTGACTTCTCTGCGGGACCTTGTGATAAGCGCATAGGAGCAATGGACCGCAAGGAATCCAGCAAGTTGGCTTTGATACCTGGCGGCGGCTCATTCATGATCAGGCGAGATTGACGCAGAATATTGACAGGGATGGATGGATTTGCTTCCATTGTTAGGAACAAACGGAAGTTCCTATGAGGATTGAGTGTCTGAAGCTTCTTCTCGAGCTGACCAAGCCAGGTTGGAGCAAGGTGAACATTCTTCAAGAGTACCCATGTGCCTTGTCTTGCAGCCGCAGCAATTGCCTGGTCCGCCAGTGCGAAACCTTCCTGAGAACCCATTGCGACCGATGCCGAACGGACATTGTTGGTCTGTATGAGGTTCTCCACGCGGTAACTGGCATCATATCCGGTGACTGAGACGAGACCCACAGGTGTAGCAGGCGGCACTTCGTCGTTGACCATAGCTCCGAGATCCAGAGCTGCAGACAACTCGTCGTGGAAGACAGAGCGGACCAACAAAGCAGTCGCCTGCAGAAGTCGGTCTGGTCGTAGGCACTTAATTATAAGCATAGCGCGGATAGCTTCCACAGCGGCTGGTAAAGAACGAATAAGCCTCCTTTCCATATAGCAAATGTTTTATGACTCACGTGTGCTGGGATCCCAAGGCATTGGAACACTTGTCTCTGGCGTCTCGGACTGGATGAACGGTGCCCATTCCTCTGGGCGTTCCATGACATGGTTCAACACCGGCTTGAAGATGCTGTTCTTCGCGTAGTGCTCCAACGTGACCATTTGATCATCGCTTAGCACAGGAGACTTCTGAGTCGGGATAAGGCCGGGTGTAACACCTTGACCAGCCTCCAAGAGGTACTCAAGTTCATCGGCGATCTCTTCGACACCCCTGAGCTTGACTTGCGACAACAAAACAGCTAGCATCACGTGGTCGCGATAGAAAAGAGCACGAGAAGTCCTCTTGAATACGACGACAAACAGGTCACTGAGCAAAATCTCCCGACGGCGATGATGATCAGTGACGCCAGCCAAGTTGGGGTTGTGGTGTAGGACATAGTCGAAGATGTCCAAAAAGAAGCGAAGGGAGAATTGATAGAAGTGATTGACGAGGTTGAGCTGTTCAAGGATGAAGAAAACTGCGCTGCAAGCTTGGGCCAGAGGAAGATACTCGGCAGTCACTTCCTCGACTTCTCTCATCACAACGTCAGTCTCTTCGACTTTACGAGTGATCTCTGCTGCCTCCCGCTTCAACGTTTCCAAGGTACTGATGACCTTGTCGTCGTCGAGAATGTTGCCAGTGGATTCATTCAAGGCCTGCAACAGCAGTTTCTCCAAAGTTCGAAGACGGAGACGGAATTCTCCCTGGGCTTTCATTAAGTCGGTTCTCTTCCTCTCCGTATCCGGGCGTTCGACCTTGAGTACTTGGTCGAGTGACTGACTTTGTAGACTGCTGCGGGTCATAGTGAAGTTGACGAACGTTACTCGACTGCAAACATCGGGCGAGAACTCAACCGAAGGGTCGCGAGTCGACAAGAACATCGTGAAGGATGGTGAGAAATCGATGTCTTGATTGCCAAGTCTGATGAGAACACGACCACCCGTCCTCCGGATCTCCTTGTTCAAAACAGCGTTCAGGATAGGATCGAGATTCTCTACATCCTGAATGAGCAGTGGGTTTCCGAAACGCAGAGCACTCTCCAGAACTTTGAGGAAAGCTTCGTCAAGGAAACTTGTTACAGCGATTTTTCTATCTTTGTATTCATTGAGAAGGAAAGTCGTAGCCTGGCCAGTAGGGTCGATGATGAGTGGGTACCGGTTGAACCTCTTCAGCATGATTGCATTCTCCGTGGTGAGGTTGTCAGCGGGTAGCGACTTGGATTGCCAACTGAGACGATCGTCGGCAGTGGAGAGGTACTCGGTGAGTGATAACTCTGACTTGAACTTGACGTTCGCTTCAGAAAGGTGGCCGGACCAGTCTTGCCACATGACTTCTCTGTAGTGTTGGTCGAAGAAACCACCATACGCCAAGAAAGCAGCCGAAAGTAAGACGTCTCCGACAATGGTGCTCATTTCAGCGTCGAAGGTGCGGCTGCCATCTTCCCAACGACCCTTCTCGGATGATAGACTCTCCAAAAGTTTCATGCTACGATCAACTTTGTTCTGGACACGCTCCATTTCGGATTTGATGGCTTGAGTTTCACTGATCAAGAGAGCGTACTCGTCCTTGTATGTGGCGATCTTGGACTCAAGCTCGGAGATCATGGTGATGATTTGTGATGCCTGCTTCTTGGTAGTGTCTGCTTGGTCCTCCAAAGACTGCACTTCATTTCGGAGGGGTTCGATCTTGTCCAAAATTTCAGAGAACCGGACTTGGGCCAAAGCCCATTTGACGAGAGGACCGCAAGCCTTACTGGCACGTTGTACCATCTCGAAATTGTATGATGGCCGACTCAAAAATTCTCTCTTCATCAAGTCACGCAGTGGTTTGGTCATCTGGGCGTTGGTGTCGAAGTTGACGATTCGCTGGATGAAGTCATCCCTGCGAATGATGCCCTGCACTGTGCGCCAACTGTCGATTTTGTGACCGAGAATCGTGCAAACGGATTCCATGGCAAGCTTGACGGCTTCCGGGGGATTGGCCATAGCACGGACTTCTTGCAAGTGTTGTTTCTTGATGTTACCGACAGCAGCCTGGGCTTCAAGGACAGCTGGCTCAGCATCCGCCAAGTCGGCCATGACAACCTCCTTGCGCTGGGCTATATGCTTGTCTTGCTCAACAAGAGCAGCTTGAATCTCAATAGATGCAGCTTTCTTCTGCTCGGCCTCTTGTTGATCAGACACCATGCGCTTGAGTTTCTCGTTCGCCTCGGCGTCTTTGGCTTGTAGTTGTGTTCTCTTGATGGCGAGACTCTTGCGCAGCTCCTCTACCTGCGTCACCGTATCTTTGAGCTTGTCAAGCCCGACGTGCAAGTGGCGTTGTTGTTCTTCGAGCTCCTCACGTTTCTCATTGTAGAGCTTGACATAGTGGTTGATACTAGGAACGAATGGTCAGAAGGCTGATAAATGCCCATGATCTCCCACTCACAAGTCAAGATAATGTCTAGGCGTGACATAGTTGTATCGGCCTTGGCGACGACTGAGCCGCTGGTTGATAGCGTGGAGGGATGAGTGGACATATACAAGAGCGTTGACCACGGCATTGCGATGTGATGGTGGCAAGGAAAGCTCCCGGTATGCGATAGGGAAGTGGTCGGGAGGCGAGTATGAAGGCAAGTCGAGGTCGAGAGTATGCGTGAACTCCATACCGACCTGGTAGAATGCCTGATCTGACCAGTCTCCAAACCAGTCGAGCACACATCTGTTGAACAAAGCGGGAGATGTTGCAGCTCGCGAAGCCAGGCCGTTCTCTGGAGGGTTCATCGTGAAGACGACATGAAGGTTCTTTGCTACTTGTTGGGTGAACCAGCGGTATAATTCCTCATGCGAGTCCAGCATCAGGCCATCTCGCTGAGAGCCTTCTTTACAAGCGGTCATCAATGCAGCATGCTCGTCACCCTCGAACAGACCAGGAACCTCAGCGTTAGCCAAGAGCGTGTTCATCCTTTCTAGGAAACCAGAGTCGAGGACATTTGACTCGTCCATGATGAAACATATCTTTTCGCCTTTGGTACCTGCACGGCGCAAGACGGTACGCAGGTCCTCATCGAAGTCATCACCAGTATACTTGTTAGACACCTTGATTTGGAAGATGCTTAGACCGTTGAGCCAAGCAACGAACCTCGACAACGTCGTCTAGGTGCCAAGGTCAGCACGTAAATAGAGGCTGATGTATCATTAACTTACCTTTCCACTACCGCTGACACCGATCAACAGCAAGTGACCCTGAACTTGACGGAACACACGGTCGATACGCAGAACGTGATCGAGGACATCGTTGAAGAGAACCAGCGGGACGTCGAGCTCTTCTTCGTAGAACACCTTGAGACGTGCCTTGGTATACTCCCGAAGCTCCTCCCGGTCGACTGGGATATAATTCTTGGATGTCCAGTTGGAGAACAGTATGGGACGTTTGAGGGATTCCTCTTGGTTGATAGTGGGGAAGTTCTCCATCGCTGCATTGTTGATATGTTCGTCGGTCCATTGTCTTTCCTCCTCCGTGACCAGACGGTCCTGGAAGAGACGGAGGGCTTCATGTGCCCAGACACGAACAAGACCTTCCACAGAAAGGATCTCGAGTGGCCTGATTGCCTCATAGATACCACGAACCCAACGCGTAAGCTCACGAGGACTGTATACATAGTGAGCCTGAATGTCGGCTGTGAATCGCTTCTGAGAGTCAAGATAGAAGGCAACCATAGCGTCTGTCAAAGGCTCCGCGTAGGCGCGGAGTGTAGGGACAACTTTCAGGAGAGCGCGACTGTATGTTCCGTAGATCTGCTTCAAAGACAATTCGCCAGGGTAATCGACCATCACAAGAGGGGCATGACGCAAGAACCTATGGCTAAGAGGCACACGACCAGGATCAGTTGGAGGATTGCAAGCGCCGACAAATTGGATGCGCTCGAGAGTGACCCAGGCCATATCGCTGGAGCGCCAATACCCGCCGCATTCCACCAGCTGTCGCAAAAACGAGATAACCCGCTGCGTGCCGTACTTGTCCTGAGCTGGCAGGTTGATCTCATCACAGAACACGACAAGCCAGCGACCAATTTGCACTGGTGCAAGGATAACACCATTAGGAGTCTTGCGGTACTCGCAGTACTGCTCGAAAGTCTTGAGGATGAGCTCTGGCGTGGTGGCACTGGAGAAGTTCAGACCAACAACCTCCATGTCTGGCAGCTTCCGGAGGGCACTGAAGAGAGTCATAGTCTTGCCCGAACCAGGAGGACCACAAAGCATGAGAGGCTTGTGCTCGGAAAGCCATGAGTATAGGACTTCTTCATGGCGAACCGTGTCCATGGTAGGAACAACGATATCAGAAGCGGTGACGGATTGTGCCTCTATCTCGATGACAGGAACTTTGGATTGCCAAGCCACCCATTCACCGTTGGCGATTTGAACATCATAGTCAATGAGGGATGCACCAGGGCCCAAGGGAGGAAGATCAATCCCAGTCTGTTTGCAGAGGAATTCGCCCATTTGAGCGCGCAAGTCGAGCTTCGCGTCACCTGAAAACGCCCAGATGATGCTAACTAGGAGACGCTTGGTGACGTATTGTTCCACCCGTTCAGCCGATAGTGGGAAATCAGTGTGTTGCATGTTGTACTCGATAATGTTGCGAGCAGTCTTGTTCAGCAGGGAGAACAGAGTCTCCAAAGCGCGAGCCGCCGTGAAGTCCATGATGTGCTCGATGGATTCTGCATAAGAGAGGGCAGAGCTGACCAGTTCACCATCTGCGAAGTAACGCTCCAAGTTAGACGCAATCTGCTTCTGTGTCTCGAGGTGGGCAGAAGTCGCTTCGGAGGCATCGGCACGACGGCCGAGAACGTCAGCGGCATCTTCATCGCTGGCATCCAAGGGAACAGTAGATAAGGTGGAGAGGTAGTGCTGGTAGACCATGGCCGGGTCGATGACATCCTCGCTGAACCAGATCATACCGCAGCGACTGACGGTAGCCAATGTGGCATATCGGAGATGCTCAACCTCGAACATGATCCGTACGTTCGGAGGTAAGTTGAGACGTTCGCCGTTCGGGAGAGTCAGAAGCTTGTTATCGTCCAGTACACTGGAAAAGAGGTGTAAGAAAAGTTGGATCCACTTCTAACGTGACATACCTGTTCAAGTTCTCAACCCATTCAGGATCAACATCACCGTCAAAGATGATCCAGTGTCTCTTCCCACTCTCTCCACGGACGTCATCGACGATCTTGCGCAGTATGTGCGTGAATAGACCATCGTTCCACTCACGAGTCGTCTGATCGAGTGTACCGTACAGCGCGTCCTTGTGCATGGCCTTGGGGTCGATGACATATGCAATACCTTCGGTGCCGTCCAGTCGCTCAAGAGCAGCTAGCAGAACTTGCCAAGCGTTTGTCTTGCCGCTACCAGAAGAACCAACCATCATAAGACCGTGCTGAATCTTTTGGATCTGATAAAGCTGCAGGATCTTTGCAATCCATCGCTCGCCATCCACAAGACGGCGTTCAGCACAGACTTTGAGGATCTCCTCACGGAGAGCACCGAGGTCAACTGGCTCATATTCGGTTCCAGGGAACACGTCTGCTAGAAGGCTGATAGATCGTTAGTGTCTACTCCCCTTTGCCTTACTAGAAACCCACCTGGTAAGGAGAGGTACATCATCTGCGACAAGCTTAGGCACAATAGTCTCCGTGACACTCTGAATGACGATGATTTGTTCTGAGATGGTATCCGAGAGGCCCTCGGCTTCCGGTGCCTCCTCTTCAGAATCCCTCACAGCCTGTAGCCGCTCACGTTTCAGGATACCGGCACTAGCAAGCACAGCCTTGAGAGCACGGAGACCGAAGTCATAATGGGGCTGAGGAGAGAGCTGCTCGTCGCAAAGGTTAAAGAACGGAACAATCTTGGATGCGAGCGACTCCGCGGTACGGAAACCTTGCGAGAACAACATGACTTGAGCAATAAGCTCGCGATCGGGCCGCGTCATGGCCATACTGAAAGCCATGGTGGTCAATAATGCCCCAATGTAAATAGCACTAAACTTACGGTCGGAAAAGCTTCGTCAAGTTAGGAGGCAGCTGCGAACGACCAGCGTAGTTAGGGTTAGTCGTGATGAAGATACCGATATTCTTGTTAATCCTCAAGGTCTTGCCAACGAGTTCGATCTCGGTATTGGGGTTCTTCACCAATGAAGCGAGACCTTGCTGGATACTCTGGACTTGTTGGGAGACGGCGGAAAGAATACGTTCTTCAAGTCGGTTAAACTCGTCGAAACATCCCCAAGCACCGACTTGACAAAGACCGACGAAGATACGACCCATGGCTTGGAAGTCGAATGTCTCATCACAACAGAATACAAGCACGAAGCGGCCCAGCTGGACTCCAAGTGCCTTGACGGACTCGGTTTTGCCTGACCGATTGTCAGCAAAGTGGTTGCAAACCAAAAACTGAAATACATTACCAGTACCGGCAGGACCGAAGGGAGATCCTCCAAGCTGACTGTCGAGTGCTTGCGTGAGGGTAAGGTACACGCGGTCGGTGAGTGGTGTCTGAACGAGTCGATCGGGAACACCAAGGTACTCCCAACCATAGGGGAAGGTAGCATCCGCGACGCGAACGGCGAGGCGATCAAGCGGCTGTTCGATGGCATTGTCCAAGTAGTATCGCATCTGAGACAACCAAACGAAAGCCTTCGAGTCGACGATGTTCTGCTGAATGAGAGCACGAGTGACGTCTCGCTGATGGACGAGTTCCGTAATGAGGTGTTCACACTTGCGACGAGTGACAGGTGAGAGCTCTTGCAACACAATGTCGGCAAGGAGATCAAGGGCTTGGCTGACAGTCTCAAGAGGACCAGTTGGCGTCTGACGTTCTGCAAAACTCGCTTCTACTGAAGTGGTCCAAGCGACCTGAATGACCAGCGTCACCAGCTGAGCGGGGTATTTCTCCAGCCACGCCATGAGTTGATCCTTTGGCAATCCCGACGACAGACCGTAGAACATCTGTAGTTCAGACACAGCTTCGCAAAGCAGCTCAGCCAACGAGACCCGCATAGTCGCCTCCAGTTTCGCGAGCCAGTCATTAATCTTGGGATACTCTTTGAGCGAGATAGGGGTATTGAACTTGACTTCTTCACCCTCGCGGGAAGCCATTCCTTGAATCTCGGTCAAACCCTCATCGAGCCTGATAGTGGAGATACCAGCAAACATCTTCTTGAGATGCTTCATGATACGAAGGATGTCCTTGCTGTTACCGATGATTTCCAGCAAGTCTTCGTCACCAACGAAGTAGAAGCGGGGGAAGGAAGAACGTTCCCGCTCCAAGTACTCTCCAAGAGCTTTCTGAATCTTGTTGAGCAAATCAGCAAGCCGTTCCAAGCTTTTCTGAATGCCTTGGATGTTCATCACGTCGATCACAAAGGGAGACTTGTAGACTTTCTTCATGACCGTGAGGAATTCAGAATTGATGTTTTGGAAGCGCGCACTCTCCACAGGCAGCAGGTGCTTGATGTCCGCACTTCCAGAGAAGATACCTTCCAGGTAGACCCACTGCCTCTGCACATCGATCCATACATCTAGCCAATTGTTAGTCAGGTGCAGAGCATATACGAGTTAGCTTACCGAAGAGGACGTGAATCCTGTTTAGCTTCTCTTCCCAAGAGCTGGCCTCCTCCTCGAAGACTACACGGGTTCAGCGACTGGTGGTCGTGGGTTAAGCAAAGCGTACCTTTGTAGTATGGAGAAAGCTTCATGGCCGTAAGCGAGTTCAGATTCTCACTGCATTTGTTGAATAGGTCATCCCATCCTCTGTAGCATACGGTCAGCCTCATAGCGAGAAAGTTACACGAACAGCGACAAACCTGATGAGACGGCATTTGTTCTGGTAGTTCACCAACTCGAGCGTATAGTTAGACCAGACCTCCTTCACCTGCTTAATGTACTCCTCGAGCGCCATCTAAAGCGCACGGGTGAGAAGATGTCGTTCAATCATGACGAAATACAACTCACCTCTCCCTGTGCTTGTATAATGACCTCTCGAATCAAACTCTCATTCTTCTTCAGATCCAAGTCATAGACGTGGCCCAAGGTCATCCTACCAACATCGCGTCAGCATTCTCCTTTTGTAAAGAGCACAGGCAAACGTACAACGTCAAACTAATTGCCGCGGGCAACCGCAAGTTCTTGAAAAGCTGCTTCCAATGCCTATCCTTGAGAGCCTCCGACTTGAGATCCGACACCACCGAATTCGACTTCAACAGCCCACGCAGCTGGTCCTGAACATACTCGAACGCAGCGTACTGCCGCATCCGCGTCGGCATCTCCTTGGTCGACGTCAACAACCCGTCAATCTGCTGCCTCAGCTTCCGCGGCTGCACCGTCGCCCACGAGAGCTCGCGCAGCTCGTTGATCTGGCTCCAGACGCCCGAGAGCGCGGTCCAGACCGCCTTGAGGTCGCGGAGCTCCTCGAACACGGGCTCGAGGCGCGTGTGCCGGGTGAGCTCGAGGTCGAGCGCCTCCTTGGCGCGGCACACGAGGTCGTACTCCTCCTGCACGCGGGTGAGCTTCCCCTCGAAGACGTTGATCGTGTTCATGGCCGTGTCCGCGCGCATGTTGCCCTGCACGGGGCGCGTCTGCTCCCACTCGTTCAGGATATCGTTGATCTTGTTCTCCACGATCTTGTCCTCCGCGACAATCTTGAGCTGCAGCCCAGCTTCATAGCGCAGAAGTGCCGTGTCAGCGACGGCCAGAAATCACGCGGCCAGAGCCCTGCAAGGCGAAACGCACCGAGCTGCTCCTGGATCGAGTCGTTCTTCCGCTTCAGAATCTCATTAAATGCGCTCCACTCCCCCTTCAGTTGATCGCTGTACAGCCAGTCGTCCGGAAATTGGTATCGAAAGCGCTCGAGCGTCTTCTCGCCATTGGCACAGAGCTCTATCATCGGTCCCCATGTCTTCGTCTTGCGCTTTAGGTCCTGGACGAAAGTGATAAACGTGACCGCTTGCGCGGTCGAGGAGTTCGGCGAGCCAAACGCCTATTAAATGTATTTATCAGCTACCCAGAACTCATAATGCGATGTTGGGATAACTCACCTCCATCTTGGTCGTCGCTCGAACGGTCGCGCTGCCGACGCGTTCATGCACTCTCCCTTGAAAATCGGCTTATGTAAGCCACGTGGTGATTACCTCTTCAGGCGACCTGATCCTGGTGCAGACAGCGTGCTCTCCTCCTAGTGCAAGCACTCCACTCACGGACCCCACTCAACGTGACAACATCTGCCCAACATGTCTAATCGTCAGCAGAGGGTGATGGTTCAGCCCATCGTACGTCAATTAACGCGCCTTCCCTACTCTAAAACTGACTCGTGGCCCTTCATAGAACGTCATCTTCAAAAATCTCCAGCAAGTGAGTGGTCTTCCCCTTGTATAATCCGTCCGTTCGACTAATACATTACAGAGATCAAAAGTCGTGATTTGGCTGTATGACAACGTCGAAATGCGTATCGAGGGTCGCATCATCGTGCGTCTGCCTTGCTGTATCTACAACTGGGACATATGCTGACGCGTGTTGCTCGGTTCATCCGTGCCAGGGCTTTGACGAATTCATGAACGTCGTGATAGATGAAGCGGCCGAGGTGTTTGTCAAAGACGCGAAACCCCGACGAGAACTTGGTGTGTACTTCGACTCTCTCACTCTTACTTTGCTCATGTCGCATCAGGTCGGATACTGCTCAAGGGCGACAACATCACCCTTATTCAACAAGCTTCGTAAACTGCCCGATTACGCTACCATATATTCCTCTCTTACACGCCCATCAAGCGTAAAAATGTGCTGTAAACGTCGTACATGCTGAAAATGCACATGCTAATCTAATGCAGACCCCTCGCGGTTACAACCCCGATGCAATCGCAACGCCATCTGGATGGTCATAAGTTATAAATGGGAAGTAGACGCGTGAGTGTTAGCGACTGTCGACAGAGCGGGCATTCGGCCTAGTACGCCCTGGAAGTCAGCTAAAGACCAAAGCTCGCATATCATTGATCGCACCTTCTCTCTACCCCACCCAACAATACACGACCAACAAAACAAATGCCCGCATTCCGTCGCACAGCTATCCGTCCGCTCCTCCAAGCAAAGTGTGCACGACCGACCCGCTCTAATACCCGACGGGACAGACGCAATATCGAGAACCGTGTTTACGTCCTCCTCAGCCGGCTTCGCGGGCTGCGACTCGGGGTCGGGCGCATTGAGCATGGCCGAGACGAGCTGTCCGTCTACGAACGTCGCTTTCCTGTCGTCGATGGCCATCTTGCCCTCTGCGGTCCGCTGACGTGCCTCTGTCTTGCTCCGCAAATGAGAGATGAGCCGATAGATGAGCCGCGCTGCGATGAGAATCCCAAGCAGCGAGTATGAAGGCGGCCGTGCGTTCGGGTTCTCTGGTATCGAGGACAGCTACGACTGGCGATCAGCCTTATGCTTCGTCTTCGAGGAGAACCAGAGCTCACTCACATGACGAACACCAAGCACCCTCTTGGACAGGTCATAGTATGTGCCTCGGAGGTAAAAGATTGCCAAGTTCACCTCCGTAGCCATTTCAAGGTAAAACGGCAACGATCGAAGATACGTTGCGAGCGCAGGCGACCGTCTTTGGACCGCATTGAGATTCGAAGACCACCTTGAGAGTACATAGGACGGCAAGGTGGGCACGAGGACAAGTGCGGCCCTGATGAGCGGCGAAGGCAGTTTGTTGTTCGAAGCAGAGCGTGCCCATATGTCAGTGTACTCTTCTCCCAACGTCTGAATAGCTGCATGCATGCACACAGTCAGCACAGCAACCCGTGAGTGCAGAAGAAGCGCGCACACCTCGTCCAGAGGTCATTCCATAATACAGCGCCTTGACAACAAATTCAACCTCCTTGTCCCAGCGCGTCAACCAGCGTGTACCTGCAAGGGCCCACGATGAGCGCTACATACCCCCAAAATTCATTCTGCGCAAGTCTCACCCAGCCACGAGCGCACCACGCCCTCGGCCTGCTCTCTCAGCGAAGCAACATGGTACAAATCCCTCTGATGCGCGCGAACTGCACTTTACCTTCAGCTACCTCAAACAACGAACACTAGTGCATTGGATACATACTGATCTGCGCCTGACGGGCGGCGGGGAGTGAGGGTACGGAAGGAGAAGGCATGACGTGCCGGCGGGAACGAACGCCGACCGCGCCAACTCCGCGTCACGCGCAACTTCCAAGTCCTAGCTACTAATTACTAGTACTTGGCCGTAACTTCATCGACACCCCTCACCTCCTGCCGTCCTCGCAACCCCCAGCATGCCCGTTCCCGCAGCAAGACATCCCCAGGCTCAGGAGCCCTCCGTCTGGCAGAAGCGTGCGTACAGCTCCTGCCCTCGTTACCACCAGCGTTGCACATACTAACACATGGTCCGCTCGCGACAGTCAAGTCAGGCTACCCTCGTGTGTGTCCGTGAATCCAGCGTACTGACCCCAAATTTCCCCAGGATGGGCGCCATGATGGGCACCGGTGTCGGTCTCACCATCGGCTTCATCTTTGGTTCCTACACCATTCTGAGGTACGAATCTCAAGCTCTGCTTTGCCCAACACCGCGCTGAAATTTTGCTCTGCCCCCCAGAGGAGGCGCAGGCCCTCGCGGCGCCCTGTCCACCCTCTCACAGTACATGCTCAGCAGTGCTGCCACCTTCGGCTTCTTCCTCTCAGTCGGCTCGGTACGTCTCCCCTCCCAAACCGCTCGTGCGAAAGAAAAAATACAGACTTCACGTTCCTTCACCCAGGTCATTCGCAACGACGCGCTTCTCCCCCCTCACATGCAGGCCGCACAACTCCAGCTCCTCCCTCCGATCACGCGCTCCAAAGCCGAAGGCGCCATGCTCATGCGTTCACGCTGGAATGCTGAAAAAGCACGCGTCGAGGCGAGCCCCGTCCCGTCGTGAATTACCATCCCCGAGCTACTAGTACTGTCAATCTAATGCTAATGCCAATGTACACGGCCCGGATCATTACTCCATCCTCTACTCTACTAGCATAAACCCGTCAAATACATGCTGATTCCCTTCGTCTCAGACGAAAGAAATCCCGAGGCATATGATGCATATGTGTGTGACATAATGTCGTCAATGGAGCTTCATATGACCTCTGGTGGTGGGAATCATGAACCCAAGTCAAGGGTGCGACGGTCATCCTAAGTACATGAGGCAGGGTTCTTCGAGCGTATGTCTGCAACTCACCGCCAGGGATAGAACCGGTGCTATCGTACGACTGAAGTCACCTGCACCCAGAGCTTCTTGACCTTCCCAAACTTGGTTTTATGTACAGTGTACATGTTAACGGTTGTATGAGATGGGGATCGTGACAAACGGTACGGGCCGGATATTGTGGGGCGCTGAGGTGGCGAACGGCCGCACAACCGCTGAATCCACTGACACACCGTGACCTTCTCCCTCGCCTGACGCTTCTCCCTCGTTGGTGATGGTGGCAACGGAGATAACATGGGCGACCGCTGTGGCTCGTGCTCGTACATGATCGTGGGCGCGTCGACGAATTTGACGGATGGTGACGATCGTTTCTTGCTCCCCTTTTTCCTCACCGACGACATACACGGCTCGGTCTGGGAGAGGATGGAGCGGACGGGGGCGGTGCGGGTTTGTGCGGATGAACACGAGGTGGCGGACGATGTACTGTGTCGACGTGAATGCGTGTGGACTGGTGACAGTAAACCCTCCGAGCGTGCAAAACCGGATGGAGTGGGGCTTGGACATGAGGAGTTATTTATCGCGACATCAAAGAGGACACTCCTTGGTCTTGAGGGTGGAGCGTCAGGATCTGAGGACGCCTATACGTTATCGGCCGGAATTAAGATGCAGCAAGCGGTGGGATACAATCAAAGAACGCACAAACACAGCCTTGTGAAGTCTCTTGGACATGTCGTCAATGACTTTTCCTGAGTCCGAGTCCTAGGACGAGAGTTGGCCTTGTGAAGGATGTGTCCTATGTCTAATGCTTACGGAAATTTCGAGAAGAGTTTCTACCGACGAGAGGGCTAATATTGGTGCCTGGAGACGTAAAACATGAATTAACTCCGGAGATCGCAGTAGGGTTAGCGAGAGGTGAGTGATAACTCACGTTGACGAGGGTAGCAGAGTCGAGCCAGTCAAGAAAGATCTCGTCGTTTTCGACAATGAGCATGCTAGGATTCATCTCCGTAATCGAGGTTGAGATCGAGGCTCTGCTCTGAGTGAGAGGCCCGGGGGAGAGCAGAGGGGCGGGCGGAGCCGTCTGCGGAGAAACGGTGGTGGGTGGGGTGAAGAGCAGGGGAAGTGCGAGGAGAAGGAGAAGTTGGTGCTGGCCATGTTTGAATTTATCAGGGCGAGCGGGAACACGTGTAGTGTAGAAGCTGCGATAGAGTGATGCTGGCAGATCACCCGCACTGGCCCGCGCTGGTCACAAACCTGCAAGGCGGAAAACGCGTGTTCAGGCATCTCCGGCCAGATTCCCGGCTCCCACGTACGCTCTCTCCTCGGATAACCCAGGGCCTGTGGTCATGCATGTCATGTTGTCTATGTCTCCGGCTAGTGTTTCCGAACTCATAATTTGTATACCTCAAAACGCCGTGGACATCGGTACCATCCAGCGGGTACTCACTCGGCGCGTCCACGGAGGAATCATCAGGCCCTGAAAGGCGTCAGAGGCAGAAAATACGCAGATACACAGACAGGGATAGGGTGGTATTGATGGCCGGGGTCCGGATGCATAGGGCGGAAGGACAGGTACAGGTTAACATTAGACAGCTCTAGATTACGAAGGGTTTGTCGACGTGCATCCCGCTCCAAATACCCCTGGCAGACTCTTGGGAGCTTTCCACGACGCGGCCTCTCTTCAGATGAGTGATCTTGGCGCCGGACGAGTCCAGGAGAAGGTTTATTTTCTTCTCAATACCGTTGGGCTCAAAGCCGTTCAGTGGGATAACCTTGTCACGTCCACTGACTGAACGCCTCCTGAGTATACGTGACCAGACGCGACAGAGGCTTCAACGCACCATAAAAGCCCTGAGCCACTGGTTCCTGGCCATTCCGCTGCTTGACAACGAACTCGACGTGTGGGTTCTTCTTTGCTATCCGCTCGAGGTCATTGAGCAAAAAAGTGCGAGTGTTGGTGGAGGAGGGGAACCTTTGACAGAAAGAAAGGACTATCTTTCTGCACTGAGGGACGTATGAGGTGTATCCATTGGCTGGTGTCGAGCGCAGCGATGCCCTGAGCAGGTGCTTTGTTGAGCTGACAGCAGAGGCCATTGTGAGCGGCAGTGAAGACGGGTCCGAGGTGCGCGGAGTGGGAAATCGATGGGTATATTCGGTCGGAGAGTGAAAAAGTGAGGGGGGAATTGGGTCGGCGACAGAGGGGTGGGCAGTGTCGCTGTTAGGGCTGAGTGGGAGTTGAGTGAGGTCGGACACTCGACGCGGTCGACGCGGATTTCGTTTCGCCATATTCGACATTCCGTCAGCACGCGTCCACTCAATAGAACGCGTCCAACCACAGCACGCGCCCCTTTCCCCACCATGGCACGCGCAACCCGCTCCACCACAAACCAGCAGGAAAAGGACAAGCTCCCGACTACCCGCCCAACAAAGCAGACAAACAAAAAGCGCAAACGCACCTCGCTCCCCACAGACGAGGATCAGCCAGCCTCGAAGCAGCCCAAGAGCGAGAACGGCATCAAGTCCGAACAAGCCCAGGACCCAGAGGAACCCACACCAGCACCGGAACCCGAGTCGGACCAGAAACCTGCTTTATCATCCATCTCCTTTGCTGGCGATGACCCGATTGACCCCCTCGACGCCCAAAAGATTCTCGACGTCCTCGAATCGTACGTCGTTGCTCACTGTCATCCTCGCCCGGTCTCACTCGCAGCGCACCCAGCCTCGATGACCAAGGGTTGCTCGACCGAGTCTTTCCCTTGCCGTCCTTCGATCTTTCCGAACCATCCACATCCACATCACAGGCAGGCACCTGCTCACTACGCACCCTGCTGCGCGAGTCCTCTCAGCATCCCCTCAAAGTCTTGCACGTAAGTCACCGTCGTCACATTGTTAGCATGTCCCGATTCATCGCGTCATAGGCTGCCATATCGAGTCTCCTTCCCGAGTCCCACCAGCCTCGCTCTCAACCCTCGAAACAACTTCGCTTCTGCACGCTAGCCTTGTCCCTTCTCGACCAGGCCTCTTTCCGTGCGCTGCCCACCAACATCGACATTGATGTCATCCTCGGCGACGCCGTCCAGGAGAACGCCGAAGAGCCCGTCCAGGCGCTCGCCACCCGCACCCCCATCCCGGGCCAGAAGCGCAAGTATGCCCTCATGCAGCGCCTTCCCACCGGGAACTGGTGGACCTCTCTCAGCTCCGACTTCGCTCCCGACACAGAGAACATAAAAAAGATACAAACGATGAACGCCGAGCTAGTAGCCATCCTTCCGACGGCTTCGAGCGATATCCTGAAGCCCGAGCCAGTATCGGGTCTGCGTGCCTCGGACGCGAGTATACCTACGACGCTGGGCACGTATGTCCCCAAGAAGCCGCCAGGACTACGCTCAAAGCTCCCTGGTCCGAGAATGCTCAGTCGGGGGTCATTCTTGGATTACGGCCCCTTTTCCAGCTTCGCACCGTCGTTCGACCAGGACGGTGTTGAGATCGGCCAGACTGCGTACGGCGAAGTGCTCTGGGATAGACTTACGTCGGAAACTAAGTTCAAGCATCTGGAGTATGTCCACGAAGACGTCCAGGATATGGCGGTGGACCAGGAGGTATCGAGTGCAGAGACATCAGACACCGTTATCGATCCTGCATTGCTTGGGGATGCTTCTCAGAAAGTGGAGGAGTTGGACGGCATCCTGACACAAGACCAAATTAAGTCACTAAAGGTGATGCTGAACGATTTGGACCTCGAACAGTCTGTGCAAGACCTACTGGACAAGAATAGCAGAGCTTTGAGACGGCTAGAACAGCTTCAGGTGGAGCGCCTGAAGGAAGGGAACCCTCAGGTGCAGGAAGGGTCAGAAGAATGGGATATAGGTGAGCATTTTCATCATCGTAGTGTGAACCATCTCACAATCACTCTAGCCCAGGGAATCTTTGAATCGCTCGTTGTTTTGACCTCCCTCCGACCGCGTGCTGTAACAACTGAGGAACCTCCCCTGATACCACCCGCATCCACGCTCCACAAGCTCCAACGTACCCTCCCCAGCATGCCTGCCCAAGGATGGTACGGCTCATTACCAGCAGGACGCGCCAGCGCCCTGCGCGACGACTCGACACTCTACATCAAGTCCGACGCCACAGTCGTCCAACCCACACCAATCACCGTGCCATCCCAGACCAGCGCTACCCCCACTCCAACGAGCGCGACACCAAGCTACGCCTATTCATACTCCAACTACGCGACGCCCTACCGGCAGCAGGCCGCGTACCCCTACAAGCCCGGCCAAAACGCAGCGGCGTACTACCCGAACCAGCAATACGGCGCCGCAGCGCAGGGCCAGGGCGCAGCCGCCCAACCGTACTACGCCAACCAGCAGCAGTACAACCCGGCGCAGGGGCAGCACCAGCAGTACGGCTACTCTTCCTGGTACCAGTTCCAGCCGCAACCCGCACCTGGTGCTGTCGCAACGACGGCGGCGGCGGCGGCGGCGAAGGGCACAACCTCGGGGCGCGGTACACCACAACCCGGCACACCGCAACCAGGCGGCGCGCTGCCGACGAGTTATGCCGGGTTCTTCAACGCGGCGGCGGCAGCACAAGCAGGCCAGCAGCAACAGCAACAACAACAACGCGCGGTCGCAAACACCGTCCTGAACACGACGGCAGGCGCCAAGGCGTATCAGCCGTGGAGCGCGGGCGGGAACGCGCAGGGATACGCGGCGCCGACGATTCCTTCGCACCTGCGAAACTTCAGCACCGCACCGCAGACGCCTCAGACGCCGGGAGCCCCATACGGCGGGTACACGAACGGGTTCCACCAGCCGTACCAGGTGGTGACGCCGCAGACGCAGAGCTCATGATTATTGATGAATTGGACTACTAGGTGCACCTACATACACCCTTGCGATACACATCTTCACAATCTTATCTTCCACGCCCCCGGTGCATAATTCTTGTTTCTTTGAAGACTGACTACGTACACGTCCTTTTTAAATGTCGCTTCCGTACATTCCTTGCAGGAGAATACAAATGCTTGCATTTAATTAATCCACGAAACTCATCCATTCAAAGCTCCGATGATATACTGAGGCTTGCAATCCGATTCCGACAGTGTCCGCGTGCTGCTTTATAAGAATAATATATCCATGTATGTACCGAGGCGAGCATTGAAGAGATGCGAGGAATGCGAAGAAAAAACACACTGAAAAGATGTGTCGACAATTACCGCCCAGCAAAGCTAGCATAACTCGAGACGCGAATAGAACGTGCATGTTTGGCCCCCAGCGGAGCCACCTTCTTGACCATGTCCGAGGGAAGAGCAGGCAGAACCGAGGGCACGAAGGGTCCAGACGGCGGGGGCAGTGGAACATGCATCAGCGGCACCGAGTTTGCGGCAGGAGGATCCCGCGTGTCGCCCGAGCCGTCGCGCTGCGGCCTCCTCGGTGCCGGCCGGCCGATGTTCGCAAACAGCTCTTGCAGCGCGACACTCTGCCGCGTCTCCTCTATCCGGCCGTATTCGAGGGGCGAGTAGTACTGCAGGTGCCCGGGCTCCGGCTGGCTAGACTCGTCCGGCGTGTAGTGCGAGTAGCCTTGCAACGGCAGTGTGCCGAGGATGCCGCTGGGGTCATCCCAGGGTACTTCGTCCCCGTCAGCGTTCAGCCGTGCTAGATAGGTCCACGAATGGGCTGTCAGCGTTAGAAGAGAAGCGACAAGGTGGTGCACGCACGCCAGATGTTCCTGTTCCGAGGTCGTGACCGTCCCGCTGAATGAATGGCCTGGCGCATTCTCGATATCCTGTTCTGCTCGTCCTGGGTGAAAGTCGCGAACCGGCGGCGAGGAAGCCGTTCCGTAGTCTCGTTAGAAGCATGTTGTGTAAGACTCTGACGATCACCGTCGTTTCCACGAAGGAGGATGAGCCGTCGACTCGGGTGCGCAGCGATATCTTGAGTAAGCGCAAATGGAGGGCGAACCACAGGCTCCCCTGCTGGGTCAGACATCAAGAGCTCGTGGGGCGGCGGAAGAGACGTGCTCGTGTAGCTGATCTCAGTATCTACCCTGCTGCTAGACGGACGTAGGCTTTCGAATTCTTCGCGCATGCTTCTGCGAGCTCGAATACGCGCCAACGCCGACAGAGGATCTTCCCCTGCCGAGGGCTCGCTCTCAACTCGCGTCCGTGTGGTCCTCATCACCTCCACCTGCAGCACCGGGTTGGCGGCCGGGTCGCTAGGCAGCGGAGGTGAATAGTGGAAGACGCCTTCTTCGGTGCCCTGGCGTGCGTTCGTCCGCCCCGTACCTGCCCGCGATCGCGATTCAACTACGGCCCCCAGAGTCGTGTTCGGGTCGTCGCTTGACGTAGCGGCACCTATGTGCCGAAGCCTGAACCGCGCGATAGCGGACCTAGCCGGTGGGTTTGCGGGCGCAGGCCTGGGTGGCAAGAGAAGATCGGGCAACGGTGGCGAACGTGGACGCCCTCTAGTCGCCGCGGCCGGCGGGACCCTTGCGACCGACAGCGGCGCAGTCGACGTCGAGCCTGCACCTGGCTCTATACCGCGAGGGGCGTCGCTTTCCCGAACGCTACCTCGCCGGCGCTGCGTGTGCGTCTCGAAATCCTCGAGGCGTTGCCGCGCAGACGGCGAGATGATCGAGCGAAGCCGCTGTATCCTTCTCTCGATCTCTGCGTCCTCGGCACCCGCGAGCACAATGCCAGCATGCGACGGACCCATCCCTCCCGCAGCTTCCGAGTTCCCTGCTCCTATGCGCGCCCTTCCGATGCTCGCCGAGGTCGCATTTTCCGGTGCGCTCCTCGCGTTCCCGTCCGGTTCAATTTCCCATTGAAAGTCATCGGGAGGCGTGCCACTCGGAGGGGTGGGCATGGTACGACGCAGGTGCTCTATGCTGTCCCGTATTTGTCGTATGCGAAGGTAGGCTGCCTCGAGCGCGTCGATGGTAGCCTGAAAGTCGTGTGCTTGAGAGTTAGATAAACGCGGGCGGGTGGCTCGTACCGCGTGCTGGTCTTGTGGATTCATTCGCTCGCCTCTCTCAGATCTGTAGCTGGTTATAGCCACATGTCAAGTATGGAAAGGTCAAACATACCAAGCACGGCGTAAACGTCGCTGTGGTAGTTGGGGACAAGGCTGCTGAGGTCATGCGTCGCTGGTCCATTGCGCATTCAAAATGGACCAATTCCGGTCCGAGTCGTAATTGTGTGGGCTAACAAAAAGCTTACCGAAATCTAGAATGGCGCTCAGGGTAGTCCCCACACCCACCGCTTACTTTCTTATGAATGATAAGTAACAGTCTGAAAGAGAACGGTGTAGGTAAAATGCCCGAGTCAATGTATACATTTGTGTTGTCCTCAGGCACTCAAGCAGCCACGTTCCTAGCATGCCCACAATGAATTGTAAGTATCTACATATAGTCCGCCTTGCAATAGTTGAACTAGCCTGAATGTAAATTGTAGATGTGAATGAATGAAGTCCTCCTAAGATGAGTTCCAGATGCGTATAGTACAAATGAGCAGTGCGTGCACCACACCACTGTTGACTAGCTGAGAATGTAAGATACGAAAATATGGCGGCGTCTAGATTATAACCTGAAATCCTATCATGGCACAGCATCCGTGCTCTCCCGGGCTTCCACCACCTGCTTAGCGGGTCGTGGATCCTGGTAGGCATGTTGGACCTCCCGAAGGAATTTGGCGAGCAATGGGTCGGCGCCAGTGAAGGCAAACGCCAGCAAGATACAAATAATGATCAGAGCGGCGGTGATGGAACAGACGGCTGTCCACCCATATCTTGCTCGATCGTAAATCTGCGGTGAATGACATTAGTCTAAAAACATTGATGGCAAGGCACGTTTGGTCGCACCTGACCACCCATAACAGGTCCCACTGTCGGGTGGGCGTTAATACAGCAATGCAATGCTAGTCAGAGCAGTCTTTCTTACCTGCTGTTCCGAAGCCAAAGGCTAGATTGAAGGCGCCATAAACCTGTAACCCAAGCTCATATTAAGGAACTGTCTTGTTCATGATCTAACATGTCACTCACGTGAGCAACTGGCAAACGGAAGTGAGTTTAGAACACTCGAAATCACTGCAATCTAAACACTTACAGCCCATCCCCTTGATCTTTCGGGAAACTGCCGCAAGCTCGGCGGTAACTGGCGGAACTACGCCAGATACAAAGAAACCTGAAAGTGGGTCAGCAGGTGCAAAGCGAAACTGGCTCAACTAAAACTGACATTGGAGGGCGAGTGCCACCACGAAGAGAGGGAGACCTCGGTTCAGTGTAAGAAGGATCCACCAGGGTAAACAAAAGAGCAAGCAACCAGTAGTGAGCCATTCAGCGCCGCGACGATCATTGATAACTCCGGCCAATGGTGACGCTTAGAATGAAGTTTCTCAGTCCACGAGCAATGGACCCCTAGGAAATAGATGGGCTCACATATCAAAGCTGGGACAACCGCTGCCAGATAGACCAATCCCACTTTGTCCGAACCGAAATGGTACTTGTCTTGTAAATGCAATGGAAGCGAAGGTTCCTGCATGCTGTTCACAATACTGACGCACATTTCAGGCATCATACAGAAGGAGGTTGCGCGAGATCCTTACCCGTACACAAGCGCCATACCTAATGCAGCCATTGCCCGAGAGGATTGTGCCATTTTAGCAATGACTTGAAGGAGAGGGAGGGGCTTGTCGATCTCCTGGGCAAGCTTGTTCTGAGGGACTGCCGGTACTTCGGCATCCCTTAATAATTCAGGAGAATCCGCAATCTGACCACCATCGAGAGCACTAGATGTCTGAGGTGTCACACCATCTAATTGAAGCGGTGAGCTATGGCCCTCTGCATCTCCTCGGGGCACCATGGCAGCAGCAGGATCATATCCCCAGCGTAATGCGTCTTTCCGCTCAATGATGAGCAAGCGGAAGATGAGATCAACGACGGTGCATATCTCGCCGAAAATGAATGGACCATGGAACCCATAGTGCTTATAGAGTTCACCCCCTGCTGGAGAGCCAACAAGGAGGCTGCTATACGTGAGAAGTAATCTCGATGAACGTGCGAGAGAACATACCCCACAGAAAGTCCAGTGATGGCGAATCCAATCTGCCCTGAGCATGATCTGAATAAGTGTATCTGGTGAAGAACTAGACCACGCACTGCCAACCTGACTCTCGGGGGTGGTATCACAGCTGCAGGAATGTCAACAAGCCCCTGTACGCGCAGTAGTAAAGGACCGCACAGTAATGCCAACCCCACAATCCAGACCATGGACGAGCTTATGCCTTGAAGAACACGTGCAACAGCCATAACAGCGTAGCTTGGGGCTTCCATGAGCAGCACCTGAGAACCGAGAAGTGCGAACAGGCCAATAATGAGAGGATACTTTCGAGCCATATAGCGCTCCGAGAAAATAGCAATGGGTATAGTCGATACAACAAGCCCTGCAGACTATCATAGGGGTAAGCAAAGCCCCAACAGGAGCGAGGCAGGACGTACGTATGCACATAAGAGCCAACCTGTGAGAGCAGAGACTCCGTGGTAGCCAAGATGTTCAAGCTGGAAAGGCATGACAGGAATGATGATCGAGTAGACAAGAAGGTCGGTCGTTATCCCTGAGACAGTATATTAGGTGACTTCATAGGAGCTTGTGCAATGTACCAACCAAAACCAACCGCTGGGAGGACTGTAAGTCGAAAGAGTTGAACCGAACGAGAGAAGGTGCTTACCTATCGTGACAAACCAGACGGATGAACGCCATTTGAGACCCCAAGGCCTAGTAGGCTGCTTGGGCGGGAACATGGCCAACAAGGTGCAAGGAGTCTGATGGGCGTCTGGAGAGGGCGAGGAGTGAGTTCGGGAAAGGGGGCGGACTCCTTTTACATGTTCTTCGGATGATTCGATTCGGTCGGTTAAATAATCCTTAAATCTTGGTATGCGACCATATAATAGTATATAATTAGACAAGCGGGGCTATTTATGCGACGCAACGAGTCGCACCGGGATGTCGCACGCGTGGGTCATAGACACGTTGTCGTCGTCTTCTCCAGTCCCGTACGGTACTCGCGCAGTCGTCGCAATTGGCTGTGATCAACGCCTGGTGACCATCTTCGCGCGCAGGCTGATGTATGTACTCACAAGCTAATCCTTTCTTGCGCATGCAACTCTGAACAGCATTAATTCACTAAAACTCACACCTAAGCGAGTCAATACCAAGCTACAGCCTTTGTCCGAGTACAGTACCGTACGTACGGGCGGATTTGCGTCTTGCCTGTCAACTCCTGTCAATCACTTGAAACGGAAGGCGAGACAGACGGAAGCTTATTCCGAGCGCGCAAATGATCGAACTCTTACTGTATAGGGCAAGTAGGCACCACTCCCTGTTTCCCCGTGCACATGTTTAGCACGTCTGGTCCGAAACTCCGAGTCGAGTCTACTTCTCCCCGCTTGGAGTGGCTAATTACATCCAAGTTCTAAAAAGAAGAATCCTCCGCAAAACAGCAGTGCCTGAACTTACTTGACACTCCAATCTAAATCTAGCCCAGAATTACGCTTTCCACCTTTCCTACCTTCTCCGCAATGCCCGAACTTCCTGGTTAGATCTAAACATCTCCTCTTTCTGTTCTGTGTTGACAGCTCCATCTCGAAGAAGTCGAAAGAGCTGCGGGGCTCATCACAGCCCTGGCCACTCAGGGCAAACAAACAATTCAGCATGTGGACGCGACGGAAGACACCATCGTGTACCAAGGCGTATCCCACACTGACTTTGTACGTCCCACACCCTTGCTCACGTTACATTTGGATCTTGCTCAACATCGATTTCGCCCCTCACGATGTCAACGTGCACAGGCGAGGGAACTAACAGGCCGTAAAGTCATCCGTGCTGCCAGATACGGCAAGTTCAGTACATATGCTCTCCCCGAGCACCCCTTGACAAGGTTACCTCTGCAAATCCTTTCTTCCAGGGAAATACTTCTTCATCGAACTGGATGGCCAAGGACGAATGCCCGTTCTTCATTTTGGCATGACCGGCATGCTTCAGGTACTCTTTGTGGCTTCTCTTTTCCTCGGACCATCCACCAATAGTGCTGCAACGTGACCCACATTCAGATCCGTGGACAGCCAACACTTCAGTACAAAGCTTCCAAGCATAAGCACACTGAAGAGTGGCCACCTCGTTTCATGAAGGTAAAAACCCCATATACCCAGAGCCGATGACATTTCCCGCAGCTAAGGTCGTGCGCAGTTTGCTATCCACCTTGTCGACACAGAAGACCGCAGCGAGGCTGTTGTGGCTTTCTGCGATGCCCGCCGACTGGGCCGCATACGCCTTGCTGCGTCGCCTCTGAAGGAAGCCCCTATTTCGGAACTAGGTTTCGACCCAATTCTCTCCATGCCTGCTCTTGAGAAGTTCGCGGCCTCCGTTACCCGACGGTCATGCCCCGTGAAGGCCCTTTTATTGGATCAATCATTCAGCGCCGGCGTCGGCAATTACTTAGCAGGTAACGGTGCACAGCTTGACATGACGAACTTGTGCAGACTCAGCAAACAGATGAGATATTGTATCACGCAAGAATTCACCCAGAGCAACGAATCAACCAACTAAGTATAGCTCAGCTGGCTTCACTACATTTACAGATATCAGAGGTCTGTAAGATCGCAGTCGAAGTCAATGCCGACGATAGTAAATATCCGGGCAACTGGCTATTTCATCACCGCTGGGTAAGGGTGCCCGCTGAAAATCTCTGTCTGGTCTGATCACAGAAATGACCCAGGGCAAAGGGAAGAAGGCAAATCATACGATGAAGCTTGTCAGTCATCAACTCTATTACCCTGCCAGTAAACCATGCTGAAAATAAGTGCTGGTGGAAAAGCCCTCTGGGGAGCCTGCGACTATCAAATGGATCACCGTTGGCGGACGCACTTCGGCCTACGTCGCCGAGCTCCAGATCTTGTCCCACAGCAAGGATCTGCGCAGCGATTCTCAGGTCAGACCACATGTGCTACAGCGAGTATACGATTAACCGCGCGGATACAGCAGGGCCATCCCGACGGCAATGAAAGTGAATTAACACCACTTTCGTCGGATGAGGAGCTTTCCAAAGGAATAACAAGGAAACGCAAGGTTCAGATATCATCGATGTTGTTCTCATACAAAGCGCTGACTATTTCCCAGCCCCTGGACACTCAATCGCCGGTAAGAATCAGAACAACTACCAAGTTAGAAAACCATGAAGATGTGAAACCTTCGCCATCAAAAAGAAATCGACGCCGTTGATACTACAGCCAAGGGTTAGATGGTGTACGGCCGAGCCATTCCACTTGAGAGGCTCGCCCTCATGCCTCTCATGGACCCTGAGTGATCGACGTAGACATCCTTCTTAAGCTTCACACACACTAAGCCAAGACTTAGAGCGGCCTAGGTACATCCCCATCACGAACGAAATAAACGCATAAAGCTGTTTCTCAGACCAATATTTTCTTATTTTTTGCCTGGCATTGACGTCTACTGATACATATTGTAACCAAGCCATTTATACAAACCATACTTTATATGACAATTAAATCACCGAACTCAAATGCATAATATCTGGATAAATATCACAATGTTCGAGTTATTGAAGGGTATCCTGGAATGCAATAGATTGCGCCGTAGATGGAGTGAACGAAGATAGCAGCGTAACAAGATCGCCTATAGAAAGCAGTCAGACAGACACCATCGATGATGTCGTACAACCTACCCTTCCGGAGGGGTTTACTAAAGAACGCATTCATCCCTGCGCTCATGCAAAGTTGCTTGGTGGACTCTTGGCAGTCGGCGCTGAGCGCAATAACTAGCATAAACAATTGGCGTCAGAGAGTATGTACGCCTTGAACATATGCAATCTCACCTGGCAATGTAATAGGAATCTGTTTGCTGTTTTCCAAAAATCGTATACGCTTTGCAGCCTCGACACCGTCACAAACGGGCATGTCTACGAACGTGACTTCATATGCTGAACTCATGCCAGCATTTCAAACTTACGATGATCAAAAAGGGCTACAGCAAAGAAGCCTGGCTCATGGGACTCCCACGCTATAAATGATAAAGTCAAGTACTAGATTTGCAACAGTGGAAAACCAACCTTCAATCGCCTCGTGCCCATTCGTAGTCGCCGTCACATTGAGATTATGCCGCTCTAGCTGTTTAATGAGTAGGTTTCGGGCAACTGGGTTATCTTTGCGTGCCGGTAAGAACTTTGGGAAGGACTGATTATCTGAAACTCCGAACCTTCTGCGATGAGTACGTTGCCAAAAAGAGTGCGACGAGCAGTACTAATAGCATCCATTGCCTTGGACACGTCGGTTGATGGTGTCGAAACAAGCGATTCATCATTGTTTTTCAGACTGGCTAGAAGATGAAGAAGTCGAAGTCTCCGGGGTGGTTTTGTCATCTTCACGACACCCGGTGTCGCGCTGTGGAAAGTTGCAGGACCCCCCAGATGGTCTACCGTTGGCGTGTAAAGTTGTATGACTCTAGTTTCTTCCAGAGCAACGCCCTTTCCAGGTCCAATACGTTGTGATACCTCGGCGCAATTGTGATCGGACTGATCGTCGAGGATAATGTAATCCAACGCTTGTCCTGACTGCCGTTGATTAAGGTGGAACTTGATTTCTTCGAAACAATCGACAGATGCCACATCAAAACCAGCGAGCATCGTATTGAGAAGCGTCAACGTGGAATTAGAGGAAGAGCAAACAAGTACTCGCAATGGCCGAGGTGTCATGAGCGATCCTCGAAGCCTTGAAAGTTCAGCATCTGCCTGTAAAATGACTGCGCATTAGCTACCGGCATTCGCAAAGATAGCTTGAACACACTTTAGTGACTTCTTCTCCGTCATATATCTTGGCCGGTATCTTAAACCAGAATACCGAACCAACATCCAGTTCGGATGAGACACCGATGACGCCCCCCATCAGTTGAACCAGCTGACGAGATATGGATAAGCCCAAGCCTGTACCACCGAAACGGCGTGTAGACGAATTGTCAGCCTGTTGGAACGGCACAAAGAGCATATCCATGGCGTTCGAGGACAATCCGATGCCCGTATCCCTGAAGTACAGTGAGCAGAATGGTCCTGCGACGAACAAGACTCTACGGACTGGATGGTAAATTTTAGCTGTACCGCCCCCGGTTCACTTTCAGCGGAGTTATCAATGCCGCATTGCACGATCACAGATCCTGATGGGGTGAATTTGACGGCATTACCGATCAGGTTCATGAGGACTGTCAAAGTCAGATCTGAGCATGATCAGAAGGCCAGCATTGTGGACACAAACCTTGACGTATACGAGCGTAGTCAGAGACGACCCCTTTATAAGACGTCAACACCTCACAGAATCGAAGTAGAATGTGCAAACGCATACAGCTCGGGACATCCCTATCGATATTGAATGACAGATCCAGCTTTTTTACCGCCATTGGAAGTAGAAGCTCCATACAGTCCTGCCAGATATGAGATCCCATGTTCAGTTCTTTCACTTTCTACTTACTGCGATTGTATCTTCAACTGGAAATCCAGAGTACTCAAGCTTGACAGCTACAAATAGCTGAATAGTCGTTCTCTAACAAGCGATGTACTTACCTGACGCTTCCAGCTTGCTGTAGTCGAGGATGGAGTCGATGATCTGCAGTCATATTCAGATTATTGCAGTCCCATCAACTCGTATAAAAACTGACCTTGAGCAAAAGCTCGCACGATTGTTTGGCAGCATGGACTGGAGGTGACGGGTCAAGCCGATATCCATAAGTCACTATTCCCAATATGACCTACCTATTTCACTCTGACCGGGGTTGAGCTCTGTACCATTCAGAAGGTCGAGAAGGCCGTAGAAAGAACTACAGTAACAATACGTAAGCCATCGATACAGAGGCCAGCTAATAGTATACTTGCCTGAAAGGCGTTCGCAATTCGTGGCTCATACTTGCTAAAAAGTTGCTCTTGATCTAGACAGGGTCAAACGAGTCAAAATCCATAAGGTTCGTGGATACTACCTTCGCTGCTTTCAGTGCATCCTCACGACTCCTTCGTGCTGCTTCGAGTGCCTCCCTTTGAGCTGCGATCATCTTCAGATTTTCGCGGGTTCCAGCTTGAACAGAACGGAACAAGAGGGCGCTCGCAATGCTGATACTAGCCTGCTGGCACAGAATCGAAAGGAGCGAAAGGGTATTTCGAGAAAAAGCGTATTCAGAAGATACATAGACGGCGCCAAAGACTTGACCTCGATTGTTGGAAATAGGCAGGCATATGACGGAGCGACATGGAGATTCCTCGGCTTCAAGCGCAAAGCGGTGATCTGACCCTGCGTCTTCAAGGTAAACCCTTTGCTTTGAGGATGTGATTACTACGGGTGCGTCAATTGCTGCAAGGTTGACAATGCCAGAGAAAGCTACTACAATGCAAAACACTTCTTTGTAACGGATCCTCTAACGAGCTGATGGTTCTTGGATTCCTGCCAGGAGTGTTAGGTGATTGATGTATCTATACAATCGTCAAAATAAAAGAAGGCCTACTCAAACACTTGACACATTTCTGGTGGGTTGTATAGCGTGGCGACATTATACGCTCCAGATTGTCCAGTCATGACAATGCACGAACTACGAGACGACGAAACCTCTTCATACTGGATCAGTCTCAAGATACGAAGCCATGTGGCGAGCTTACCAGTCACGATTTCGGTCAACCTCTGAAGTGCTATGAAAGTACAATGTTCAGCCCTCGTCAACCTGATACAATAGACCCATACCTGACGACAGGCTGAGAGCAGTCGAGATTTCTTTACTCCACCTAAGGATAGATGCAAGATCCGAAGCTGTCATCGAAGCCACCTCAGTCTCCTCCTCAGAGCTTTCTTTGAACGGTTCCCCGTATCCGGAAGGAGAAGGTATGCCTAAGAAACCGGTTTGAACACTTTCGGTCTGCACTTCAGCATCCACTTTGAAGATAGACCGTTTGGTCGGAGGCTCAGAAGCGCCAACAATAGCTCTGAGATGTTGACTACCCTTGTTCATGAGGCATTTAGTATAGATAATGGCTCGAGCTTACACAATGCCCTGGGCTCCCCATGATGCTTGCCTATCAATACCACGTCTCTGCAGCTCGCCGCCCAAGTCGTCGACGCCGTTTCGCACCAGATGGCAACCTTGCTATAAAAAAACTCAATATCGTCGACGTTCGTCACGAAGGACACGGACCAAGTACAAGCCAAACCCGGCTTCAAGATGCCAATCATACATAGTAGCCAACCTGACAAGCATGTTAGCAAAAACACTGCAGCAAGCACAGTTCAGCATTACTCTCTACTCACTTAATGGCTATATCATATTTTTTCAATGCATCCATGTCATTGAACAGGGAGGCACATTCTGCGTCCTGAAGGGTTTAGAATGCTTCAGAGATAGGACAACCCCCTTCTTCTGCTCTAACTCACCACAAGTGCAACCCATGCGCCTACGTTGACTGGACTTGCAGGCAGCCACCTGCGTGACCAAGTTAGCACATCATTGGCGCAACAATGTCGCAGACTAACTTGCGAATGAAAGCTTGATTGAGTTCGACTTGTTTGAGATATTGGCTCTGCTGTGTTTCGGAAAGGCGACCTCTCCTGATGCATTCAATCAACGATAAGCTGTGGAAGAATGCGGCATAACGGCTATGTCGATGACTACATGGGCTCGTTAGTAAAGAGGGGTTCATCTTGGAATCCAGGCACTAACTTTGGGTGGGCATCTCTGTATTCGTAAGTTGAAAACCCGAGCACGGCGGCAGCCTCAATGAAACCAGTGCAAAACAGCCCTGCAACCTAATTTAAGGTCTTTGAGTGCCATGGCCGTGGATTTGGGACCATAGACGGACCTTGAAACAATTATACCTACGGTATATCAAAAGTATCGTTCACATCTCATTAAGATCATCGAATGCGTTCTCGCGCACCAGCTAATTGACAGAAGATAGTTGCTGCATGTCGATTTTGCTTGTTCGTAGTACTCGCTTTCACGGAAATTCTCGGTGTCGAAGATCGTGTCGACACTGCTGGCATCTGTGTATCCGCCCAATGCGCGGACGCAGTTCAACACGCCTGACAAATATCCAATAAGTATACAAAACCAATACTTCAGGGGCAGAAACATCAACCTCTTGCCAGTATCACAGCATCCGCACCCGGGGTCCAGGAGACGATGTCACTAACGCACTGACCCAAAGTTTAGCGGTAATCGGTATGATTGCAAGCTAAAAATCTTACTTCTTCGGCAGTTGCTACAACCTCGCTCACTACAATGTCTGAGTATACTTCATCGACAAGATGCAAAGTGCTCACAATGATCGCAGATCCACAGTCGACCCGTTGCCATGTGGAGGCTCGCAAACCCAGTAAACACGCTGAAAAGCTCGTAAGCCTATTTACGCGCCGAGAAGCAATGGGAAGGCTTACCGATCACCAGCGCTTTGGCCGTATCTTCGCGCATCAATGAGCCGGCCAACGTTCATCCGCAAATGTACGTTGTCGTAAGGTGCCACCATGGCGCAGTACAATACACGCGCTCGACTAGAGACGCGATTCTAATATCAATTTATGGTAGATGGTATCCTCTTACCATTTCTCCATGCTCCCACCGTGAAGGTCTGCTAAATGTAGGGCCATCTTACCAAGTTCACTAGCAAACCTAAACATTTCTCGCCGCTCTGCAGCTGTTACAATGGATCAAAAAATGTCATCAAGTAGAGCAGGGTGACCAGTGTTTCTTACCTGCAAGAGCCCATAAAAACCCCAGCGCTGTCCCTGGAGACATACCGTGACTGCAGTGTGGTTAGGAGATGGCTTTAAGTGAACTTGAATCGGCAAGCACTTACTGCAATGCAAGCCGAACAGTCTAGAGGGAATTAGCAACAACCTATCATAACACTATAAATAACATACCGTCAAACCTGTTACGTCTACGAATCCCTCGCCCCTACCCCAATAAGCGTTGAATCCTAAGGGACGTCAACACAATATCTTGTCGACAATTTTTCTTTCCTTACCGGCATCTCCCAACAAGGCTATAGCAAGATCAGTCCGCGAATCCTCTCCTCTCGGTATGCTGAGGATGCCATCAAAACCTATGGCCAAAATTTCGTTCTTGACAACTTCAAACATGGCATCGGCATCCTCCTTTGACGCGTCTGCGGTGACATTCACGCCAAGAACCTGTAGTGCAAGTAATGTATCCTGCAGCGCAGTCGTGTAGTTGTTTCGCAACCAATGGTTGTTTGACCTGAGACGCAGGACCTGTGCGCGTTCTTCAGCAGAGTTTATTCGAACAAGGCATTCTTCGATTAGCTCGTCAGATCTGCTGAGGTCTCCTGAAACATAATTTAGCATCAGTTTTTTTTGCCTACCAATTAGGAGCTACCTTTCCAAGTGAGAAGACTAAACCATGCATAAGGATAGGTACTTCAAATGAATGGAGTTCTTACGCAGCCAATCTTGACGTTAATTGAAAGGACCGCCTTGGATGCTCTTCCCACGAGTTAGCACGAAGTAGGGTGATTGCGCTTGTATAAGCATGAAGCGCACGCTATGAAATTTCAGCACACATTTTTGATGGATGAACTACCTTACCTCGTGAGCACCACGAGTCCATGCGGAATCCCCAGCATCACATGTCAGGCCCAGAAGTTCTTCTCGCTTGGGATGCTCGAGGAGCAAAGGCAAGCACCGTTTGGCGTGTTCAGCAATGCGGTGAACATCCAGATCATTGTCGTGAAGCATCATAAGTACAATCTTATAATTGGTACCAGGTCAAAAACGGGAAGAACCAGTTTTAGACGTGAACACTCACCCTAAACGACATCTTCGCGACAACTGGCTCTGGAAGTCTTTGTGCCTCGAGCTGGGCCGTATGTCTATACCTGTCATGGGCGAAGCTGCACAAATCCCGCCCTCGTTGTATAATCCATCCTTCCGAAACTGCTGCCTGTAGCCCGCGCATTGCGCTGCGTGCGGCTGGTACCCGGTTCTTCAGCATAGACACTGTTTTTGTGAAGTCCCACTGATCTTCGCTGTCTTCTTCGCTGCTGCTTCCACTAGTATCTTCCCATTCCATGAGAATAGCTACCTCAGTCACTTGAAATCTGTATGAGAAGTGAGATACTAGTTGAGAACGCCCACTGAAGTCATACGTCGAACCAAAGAATGATGCCCAAATGAGATACTTTCTGGACTCTTCTGCTAGTTCTCTGAAGTGCGAGACTAGGTATGTAGGGTCCATGGGATCTACCGCGATGTGCTGATGTTGATTGGCTTCTATTGCGTTGATGTCGAACCTGCAGGTAGAGTTAACCATAGTAGTACGGTCACGATAGATTGCAGCATACTGCCAACTATTTCGTGCCCAGTCAAAGGTGATCTATATGAAATTAAGATGAATGATAAGTAATGGGTAACGCAGAGCTTACATAGTGCAGACGATGAAATTGGTGCAAGATATTGCGTGCCACAAACGCATTACCCGCTGATGCCGTATACACAAGGCGGCTCAGTGGTGTACAATCTTCCTTGTTCCGATGGAGTGTCTTCGATACCAAAGAAGACATGGCGGCATAACTCAACGGATCTAGATTCATCCAGGCGACGCGGGATTTGTTCGTGCTCATTGACTTGACTCTATCGACCAGGGCGCTAGAAGGGGGATCAATAGAGGCTCTCGCAGTCATCTCGTCTGCTCACGCATCGTCATCCCGAATTGTTATGAAAATGAGCTTGTTGAGTGGTCGTTAAGAATCAGTACAATGAGATGAAATTAGCATATGGAGAATATATACCATACGTATTCGAGCGTTAATTAAGGCTTCAACCATGTCTAGACATCTATCAAGTGGTGTGGATCATACCGTAAGCGCCCGTTTCAAGAATAAACCATAGTTGTTACTCAACGAATCATCTGCTTCATGCAAGTCATCAAAAAAGAGGGCAATTGTCTTGATCTCTGAGATCGCCAGCAGCATATTTTCCAGAAGGGACTGGAACCGGGCTCGGAGTTCTGAAGTAGCCAGTCGATCTTGAGGAGAATCTATGGTGATGCTGAAAAATTCGAGGATGTCCTTGATTTCAGGTATACCTTGATATAGAAGGGGAACGTTCTGAAGGTGTTGGCCCATTCGCTCTTGCAGCGAAGTAACAAACGTATGGAGATCGTTTTTATTCGCCATCAACTGTCGGAGTATGGACGAGATGCAGCCTAGCTGATTGAGCTTTCAACACGATGTAATTCTTACGACCACACCCTTCACACTTACCAAGGCTTCATATGGAGCGTTGTCCAAGCGTTGAAACTTGGCCTGACCCCACAAACCATGAGCTGAATGGGCAGAGAAAGTGATTAAAACCACCATCATGATGAGGCCTGCTGAAGATGCACTTACAGCGCCATCTTATCTGATTTGCTAATACCAGAGAGCTCTTGCCAATACTAGAAGAAGCTATCTTGTGAAACTCCATATCTGAAACCGACTCAGACTTACCCTGCAGGTCCAGATACGACGATGACATGGGAACGAATGGCACGGGTCCGTTGCTTCAGTACGACGCGTCTAAGCCCTTCGTTCATAGAGCTGGGATTAGTCGGTGATCCTGCGATCTCTGTCGGCAACAATCTTGATGATGAGCCTTTGGGGCTGCCCTCATGACTCCTCATACCAGCGGAAGACACGCTGCGAGAAGAAGCGGAATCACTGTGACCATCTCCGCCTGTCCCTGTCCCAGTTCCCGTCCCCGTGTCTTGACTATCAGTGCCAGTGGATGAAGTAATAGTGAGGCCTTTCGAAGCAGAAACATCTCGTGAAAAACTAGTCAGCGTGTTTCGTGTGACGTTTCGTATCATTTCCAGTTCCTTTTCTCTTCCAAACTTAAACGGTATCAGTGCTGGAGGTTGAACTGTCTTTGAAACCAAACTTACAAGGATCAAAGGTATCGAGAAAGTCTTGCGTCTGTGTGAGTCGGGCCACATCTCGTGAACAACAGCACACTCACCGAGTATCGATCTTGAGCGGCAATCTCAAATGCCGGTATAAGCTGGATCATACAGGGCTTACTACGCATTCCGATTATTTGGGCGTGGATTCAGACACACCTCTGTTGGCTGACCTATCGAAGAGGACACTACGGCTAGAAGTCGTCGCTGACACTCTAGCAAATCAGCCTTCAGCCCAAAAGCGCTTTGGTATCGTGCATCCATGCTTTTATCCATTAGCTGATAAAGTACGTAATGTGAGAAGCTAAAGGTGCCTTACTTTAACGGGAGAGCGTACCTTGTCGATAATATCCCCTATGACGCTCGGCACGTCTCCACGCACTTCGTGAACGGGCAAAGGCTTTTTCTGCACCAATGCATGCAGAATCTCCGCAGGTTCTCCTTCAAATGGAAGGATGCCCTGGCCAACAATAAGTGTCCACAACATAACACCAAGAGAGTAAAGGTCGGTCCTGTGGTCCTGGAGAGTGACATCGGTACTTCCCGATTGCTCAGGAGCTAAGTAGCACAGAGCTTCCTTGATGCGATACCGTTCCATCTCATCGATGGATTTGAGTACGTGACCGGAGGCCCCCCCAGCTTCCTCAAGTGAAATGGCCCGGTTGCCAAAGTGAACTATCCGAACCACGCCCGTGTGTGCATTATGATGAAACGCGTTCGCTCGGACTCCACAAGCCGTTTAGCATGAGAGAGCGAACCTCTTAGTAAAACACCTACTTTCTCGATGTATAAACCCTGACCTAAAAGTATGTCAAACCATGAGATTGGGTTGCAAATGCTCAGTAAAGGGGTCACATGCCTGTGCACAAGTTCAATGCAATGTGTTGCTTGGATAGCAAACCTGTGAATCCCAGGTTACATCCAACAATTTTGCTAAGGCAACACACAAACTCACTCGAGAAAGGATGCTAAGTCGATCACATCAAACGAATCCAGCTGAATGCTATTAACCATATCGCTCTCAAGCATGTATGTGTCATCGAACGTGGTATCTGGTTTCGGTCTGTTTGGGTCGGATAGCAAGAAATCGTTCACTTTAGAGGGCGGGAAATATCGACCGAGGAGGTTGAGGCCAGGGTGTTGGAGCAGCAGTGCGACGCAGTCACCGTTTGCATGGGGAATTGTCACGAAATCGATCATCCTAAGGGTCGCGCTGACTGCCTCTGCCGATTCAGCCATCTTTCCTAGACTGATGTTTGCGTGAGTTGCAGCAAAGAAAGCCAGAACGGAAAAGGTATACATGTGTGCCTCTCGCTCGAGACATATTGACGCATTAGAATGTATTGGGGCGACCTTGGCAAGAATCAAGGAGCCATCTTTCAGACTACTACCTTCGCAGAGAAGCGTGCCACTACCGGTATCGTTCCATGGGAAGGCCTATGAGAGGAAAGTGTGAGCTTGAACGGAGAAGGGAGTGGTTACGAGAGGACCTTTTGGAACGTGTATCCGGGGATGGATAGTAAGCCATCCTTGAAGGTAACGTTGGAGTTTACGTGGTTATTCCGCCTGCGCATGAATCCAGGATCGGCAATGCTTAGATGGCAAGGACTGGGAAAACGTAGCCGTTTTCTGCGATCACTTGCAGAGGCTCGATAGAGATTGGTAGTGGAGATGTGGTTCGCTGCCAAGTTCGGGTTGCCAGCCAATTGCAATCTCTGTCCACCCAAGCAGATCCCGTTCGAAGCCCACACGGGCGACAATGCGTCATCGCAACCACCGCAATGACATCATGCCTCAGAACGTGACCGCGCGAGTGCTCGTCCGCGATTGTACCCGCGCTCGTCATCCTCACGCTGACATGTTACGAAATACGCGTTACACTGAGCAGTTGCATTCAAATTCAGTTAGACGACAGAAAGGATGATTGTATTTAAGGAATGCACTAAAAAGGAAGAGACCGAAGACAATATGTGAAGGCGCTCAGTGTGGATCGAGCTCAAGACGTCACTGAAGACGATGTCAGATTACATTCGCATCAGACAATTTGAGAACTTACTGTAACTGGCCGGGTCAATGTGGTCAGGCAACTCTGGCACAGCGACCTCGAATCTTGATTGAATCGCAGCCATGACTTGCTGGTCGCTCTCCGACGACACAAACGTGATCGCCAGACCTTTCGTACCGAACCGTCCAGCACGGCCCACGCGATGCAGGTAACTATCGGCGTCCGGAGGCGAGTCGTAGTTGATGACAATGTTCACTCGTTCAACGTCAATTCCACGGCCGAAAATGTCGGTCGCAACCAGGATACGCTTTTCAAATGCCTTGAACGCGGAATATCGGTTAATGCTGTCATGTTGATGCTTATTAGTCTGGCGCAAACTCGAAAGTATCCTAGCGCACCGTTCTTCCTGCTGCAAACCAGAGTGAATGCTGATACTAGGGAAGTTGCATGATACGAGCAGTTTGTCAAGCTCAATGGCACGAGCAACCGACTTGACGAAGATAACGACCTAACTCTGAGATAAGTTTGTGGTGGTCGGGTAATAATTGCTTTCGCACCTGGTTGAATTCCAGAGTATCAAGAAGTTCGTTTAATTTCCGGTTCTTGGCGCTCTCGTCCAATTTGACATAATGTTGCTGTAGACCATGGAGAGTGAGCTTCGTCTCATCATCGACGAAGATTTCCAGAGGCTTCAAGAAGGTAAGCAAGGATCGCCACGACGGAACGTTAGGATGCTCACGTTAGCCATGAATTTCTTGCAAGTAACCCTGATTTCCTTCGCGAGGGTGGCACTGAACATCATGACTTGTTTATGGTGAGGGGTCGAGCGGAAAATCTCCTGCACGTCACGGCGCATGTCTATTGGCGGTTGTCGTGATTAGATCTTGTCGGATTGCAGGCGACACAAAAAAGAGAAGGAACCAAAGGAAAAACGGTGCGAATCTGGAAAGGCGCAATTTTCAAGCATCTTGATGCCTTCTGTGCGTTTGACCCATATGCAGTGTTATGACCCGGCCCACAGCCCGCTTCTCTTCCACCCCCTCCGCAGATCAACCTCAATGACGAACCCAGAGCCCGTATCTCCACACAGAAGATATGCAGTCAGACGACCTCGCTTCCGTTCGCTGGCGTGCAGTTGCCGAGACGGTTAAAATTTCAAAGTGCGACCCGGCGGCGGGACGTATGACGAATAGAAAGCAGGGACGAGGAGCCGAAATCGTAGATGACTAACCGAGCTGTTCGAGCATTTTGTCGCACTCGTCCAGTACGAAGTGCTTGACGTTTTTGGCATCAAGGACCTTGTCCCTAACGAGGGCATTGAGCCGACCGGGCGTGGCGACGACGATGTGAGGACATTTCGACTTGTCACGGAGCGTTTCCGCGTCCTTGGTGACAGGGGTGCCGCCGTAGAAGGTGCTGACGCGTACATCAGGCATGTACTTGGCGAATCGCGAGTATTCGTTCTTGATCTGGAAGGCCAGTTCTCGAGTGTGGCAGAGCACAAGCACAGAGACCTCGCCATTCACTGGCTCAAGCTGCTGAAGCGTCGCAAGGACGAACACAGCCGTCTTGCCGTGACCAGACTTGGCTTGGCAAAGGACATCCATGCCCAAAACGGCTTGGGGAATACATTCCTGTTGAACTGTTCTGGGTTAGCGGGAGCTGCCTCAGGATATTCGTGGTAACGAGCATTTTACCTTCCGAAGGGTGCTCAAAACCAAGGTCACTAATGGCACGCAGAAGCTCAGGTTTCAACAGAAAATCCCTGAAACATGACATTAGGATACACTCAAGAAGCACAGCAAGATGCATACCTAAAACCTGTGGCATGGATGCCAGAGAAGTTTTTCTTGTCCTTTTCCTCGCCGTCGGCTACACCTCCTGCGACGGCCCCGTTGGAAGCAGAAACACCGCCATTGGGGACAACGTCATGCTCATCCTCGTAGTCGATAAGTTCCTCGTTATCGTGAGCGCTCATTACTGGGATGTAGGGTGAAGAAAGACGGTAGAAGGGGAGAAGGGGAGAAGAGAAGATGGGAGTGGAGAACAAAGGACGAAAACTGTAGCACACGCGCCAAACGCTTGCCTTTGGTGGCTATGCCACAAACGAACACCTTGCCTTGCACGTGCGCACGGACCTCAAATCCAGGCTTCCTTCAATACTAGTACTTCAAGCTGCTTCAAGTTCCTCATCCTACGAACCAAGTCCCATATATAATTAGCTATGCTAGTACTTACACGCATCATGAGCAATTGGAGATTGTCGATCGGGAGCTTATCTAGCCTTTACTACAGCGAAACAACGACTCAGATCCTACGCAACGCATTTGGTGTAATACTAATGTGCACAGACTCGGAGTCTTGCTATAGTTGTATGAGGTCACTAGCAATTTACTTGCTCGAGCACTCGGCCTCAGAAATCAGACACGTCATCGTGTTTTAGAAGCTTGAGGCCCCGGAAGTTACAAGTGACCCTCGGCCTTCGAGGGGTCCACTAGTACTCCTGTTTGAAGCTTCGCGCGTGCTGTATTTTTGCCGAGGCGCGACGTCGGCGTATGCATAATTTGGTCATAGCGATTCACTAACATGTCATTAATTCATTACGTAGGGGTAAGGCTAGTAACCACATCCTTTTCGGCAGTGCAGGCCGAAGGTTAGGGTGTTGTGTACAAAAGACCTGCAGTCCTAAAACTCCTTGCCAAAACCCTTCTCCCTTTCTCACTGGAACATCAAGCGGAACATTCCAAGCCAACTCTGTGAACAGTGAGACGCGTGCGACTGTGAATTGTCAAGACTCACAGGACCAAACTTCTTCGGTTTTGGTGCTTACCGCGTTCAGCAATGCCGCAATCATACCCGTTCTGGTGAGTCATAGTAGCCATTAGAAGAAGGTTGTATGCTAACTACGAAATGCTTTAGGCTCGGAGGTGAGGTAGTCTTTTGGCTTTAACAGAAGGCCCACTGCTAAACCATATGGGAATGTAGGCATCGGCGCCTCCAGTGCGTAGCGAATATGTCTTTCCTTATCGCCTCAGCTCACCCGACCTATACAGTGGCCGCTTGCTTTACGCATCCGCTGGATCTCACCAAAGTGTTCGCATAAATCTATAATGATGACCATTTCTTCTGACTTTGGCACAGGCGGATGCAGTCCGTTGAAGCAACGGCCCCCAACCCTTCTATGATTTCTATGGTGCGGACCTCTTATCAAAAAGCCGGGCTTAGGAGTCTCTACGTCGGATTGTCCGCTTCTATCCTCCGCCAAATGTCCTACAGCCTTGTCCGTATCGGTACCTACGAGGAGTTCAAGAAGCGTCTCCAGAATCGTGGAAATCCCTCGGCTGCTACACTTCTTTTTGCCGCTAGCATTGCCGGTGGTATTGGTGGAGTGGCTGGAAACCCTGCAGGTGATGTGGTTTGATTCCCTGACATCAGCGTAGTGCTAACTATGGGCTTCGAGATGTCATACTGGTACGTATGACTAGTGACGTCCTCCGACCTCCAGAAAAGCAGTACAAGTACCGAAACGCGATCACGGGTCTCATGTCCTTGATCAAGGAAGAAGGTGTCAAAGGCCTTGCCAGGGGCCTGGGTACGAACACGGTAAATGATTCCAGCTCATCAGTTCACATACGCTTCGTTCTGACATGTGACGATGTTGACATAGACGAGGGCGGTCCTGATGAATGTGAGCACATACGATCCTGTGATAAATATAGCTAATCTTTCTGATATGTCTGAACTATATAGACGGCACAAGTTGGATCCTACGACTTCTTCAAAACTTCCCTCCTTAAAACTCGCGTTCCTGTATTCGATTATCAGTTTAAGGATAATTTCTTCCTTCATGTTGTGGCAAGCCTGGCTGCCGGTACTTGCGGAACTAGTAAGTCTCGTACTTCTGAGCCTCACACGCGTAGTCTCATTGATAATTGCACTCGTGTCTACATAGCCGTGACTTCCCCCGTTGATGTCATTCGAACTCGAATCATGGGCTCCGTACGTGACGACTATATACACATCATATTTGCCATTCGTCTGAAAGATTTTGCCCTCAGAATATAAAGTCATCTCCCGTAGGGGTCTTCCTCAAATCGTTGCGTGAGGAGGGTGCCCTCTTTATGTTCAAGGGATGGACGCCAGCGTTCATCCGCCTGGGACCAAATACTGTCCTTATGTTCGTATTCTATGAGGTTCGTAAATCGCAACTCCTACGCATTCAATCTCATATCATCATCCTTTCTATAGCAACTCAAGCGTGCATGGTCTGCCACCTTCCATTGAACAGTCGTCGCTAAGGAATTTCACCTACCATCTAACATAGATATCCTGCATGCTAGATCTTAGAGTTATCATCTTATTTATGTCACATACCTGTAGTAGTATACATTGTCTTAGTATACGTAGATACCACTTTAGAAAATTTATACGATCAAATCTTTCTGAATGAGTACGACAGAAAGGATTGCAGTTTAGCGCTTATGTTAGCCCCGAGTTAACGTTATGATAACAGATCTCTCGGATTTGCAAGACGATTAACGTTGGGATCTCAATAGATACACAGTTGTTATAATGTAAAGATACTGTATACTGCGACTATCTTGCACTAATTAAAGTATACAGTACATAGTTACCTAACGCTCAATTGAATCGTGGGTGTATTTACCCAAATGAGGACCAGATGTAATGATCGAAGCACTATTTCGCGTCTGCAACCTCTTGTGTCTCCAGGTATGTTCTTCACAAACGAGCTGCAGGCTGCTGCATGTACTAGATACCGAATTTCTGCTGACGAGCTACTCTTCATCATTTCCTTATGCCTTTCTGAACTTGTAGTTTCTTGCCCGGCTGCATGATGGAGGCGTTCCAGTTACTTTCGCGAGGAGGAATCAAGTTTGACAAACAAAGATTTAAGTCGGACGTTCAGCTATTCAATGTGAGTCGATGTCGTTTCTTCCTCCTGAACCTTGGTCCTCAATTCTGTCAAAGCCAACACAGAATACGGATCTGAAGACAAAAGCGTCATTTGCTGCTAGCAATGACTCTGACCTTCCCACTGAGCTTGACTTCTTCAAGTACGCACAAGGTGGATCCAGCAAGCGCAAACCAGATGATAGATCAGGACCTCTCTTAAAACGCCGAAAGATGGGCGGCGCTTCAGACGACGAAGGCTCGGATATTGAAGATGGCGCACAGGAAGAGCCAGGACCCTCCATTGCCCAGCGTGTTACGGCCAAGGGTTCGGATGTTCCTGAGTCAGCTCAGTCCTTTGAGTCACTCCACGATCGATATGAGCTGCCAAGTCAGCTACTTAAAAATCTCAAAGAAAATGGCTTTCGCCATCCTACAGGAATCCAGTCCCATGGCATACCAATTTTGCTAGAGGTATGTGGCAAAGACCCTGCTATGCTATTGGCCCTCACGGACTATACCAGTCTCGCGACCTGGCAGCTATATCGCCGACGGGTACCGGGAAGACGTTATCATACATTCTTCCCGTCTTCTCACTTCTGAAGTTGCCTTCCTCAACTTCCAAGCATGACGCAGGTTCTGGTGTACGGGCCGTGATTCTAGCCCCCACTCGAGAGTTAGCTCACCAGATACATAACGAGTGTCTGAAACTCGCTGAGGGTCGGAAATGGAAGATTGTACTATTTAACAAGACCACTGCAAACGCACTGAAGGATCAGCAAACTAGAGACAAAGTAGGTGAGTGTTCTTGGATTGGGTGAAAAGGCTCCGCTTGACCAGTTCAAGACATCATCATTAGCACACCCCTCCGTTTAGTAGCGGCCATACAAGAAGGCAACGTCACGTTGAAGAAGTGAGTAAACTCCCTTGTTCCTTCTTCAATCCCACTGGTCTCACGTTTATAAGCGTCCGTCATCTCGTCTTAGACGAGGCCGACCGCATGTTGGATGCCGAGTTTCTGTCTCAAGTGCAGGAGATTATCGCTGCGTGCACACATCCCAACCTTCAAAAAGCAGTGTTCAGTGCGACGTTGCCCGCTGGGGCAGAAAAACTCGCAATGGCGATGTTACGCAATCCAATACGTATAGTGGTGGGCTTGAAGTATGCCGGATTCACCTGCCACCGACCTGTCGCTGATTGTACATCATCAGGGACACACCGCTACCTCTCATTGCACAATCTCTGACCTACGTTGCCGATGACGCCTCAAAACTTCCGAGTCTACTGACATACTTTGCTCAACCATACAACCCGCCCGTTCTCGTTTTCACCTCTACTCAGCCCCGAGCCTCGTCCCTTGCATCAGAGCTTATCATGAGTGGAATACCAAATGTGGACTGCTTGCACGCTGGTATGACCCGGAAGCAACGCGAAGATGCTGTGAGCCGGATGCGAAGAGGAGAAAGCTGGATTATTGTCAGCACGGAAGTTATGGCACGTGGCATGGATTTTAAGGGTGTACGAGAGGTTATCAACTACGACTTCCCAACAAGCGTACAAAGCTATATCCACCGGATAGGTAAGGTGCTGTTCGAACGTCGCAGAAACACCGAGCTTACTGGCACACTGTAGGTCGTACTGGTCGCGCCGGGCGGGAGGGAAAAGCGGTCACATATTTTACGGATGAGGACGCGCCTTTTTTGAAGTCGTACGTAGTTTACCGCCATTCCTCTGCTTACTCTCACACTTTGTATAGCATTGCAAATGTCATCCTACAATCTGGCTCTACAGTACCTGAGTGGATGATCAAGCTCCCCAAACCTTCGAAGATGCGCAAAAAGCAAATGGGCAGAGTTAAGCGAGCTGAGACCGTCAACGTCGCGCGCAAGATTGGACGCAACGATGCTTTGAAGAAACGGTAGGCTCTCAGAACTGTCAATCCTATTTGACATTGACGGCTTTATATAGAGATATGATCGCCGGGTCAAAACGTCGTAAAGCAAAAGAACAAGCGGAGGATAGTGGTAGCGATGCAGAGATGGCATCGGTACTAGAGTGAGAGCGCAACCTCGATTCATTCCTCGAGTACGCGACAGACCCCCAAATAAAAAGAACATTAAGCTACTTAGGTCAGTACTAGTCTCTCCTAGGTAAACCGAGTTACTTATTAGTTCGATGATAGTCGATCTAGGTTAGTACAAGAGCCTTGAGTGGAGCAGAATCGGAATGTCTATGGCTAGTGTTGCCGCGATTCGAGGAACCAGCTCAAACCGACTCCCTGAAATTCCCTTTCTTGCCACCATATCGACTAGCGAAGGGTTAATCTTCGGGGTTTTTAGCCTTAACACAGCGACGAGGTGTGGTATCTGGACTGATCGGGTTGGTATAATAGGAAATAGTAAGTGTCAGTGCAAGTTTCTTTTGGCTTGTTCCAGCCAGTTCGACAAATGCGGCAACACCGTTCTATGGTATAAGTAGTATAAGTGTCGCTGACTCCGAAGATGAAAGCGGAGCTTGAATAATTTGTAACCGAAAGAAGTGACAGCTGATGACAGGGGCTTTGCATCCAGCTGTACTTCCCCTCACGCCCCAATCTTACCAAGCTTTGTGAAGAACAACGTTCGCCATTTCAAGCGTGTCCCACATACGGTTCAGAGAGACCCTGTGCGCACGGAGTTTAAGGTTTTGTATTGACGATGAGCACGCCATCAGTTCAAAATCTGGAGGAAGCTGCAAACATTGCGTCCGAGTACATTGCCAGTAAGTTGAGTTGGGTCGATGTGGTTGGAAATAGCCTTGACTGGCCTCAATTACTGCATAGGCCTAGATAACGTCCCAAGTGAGGTACAGTTTCTTCTACAGGAAATCCGTACGAAAGACCAGCGCTGTCAAGGTAATTCTGATCGTGTCTATGTCGCCAAGGCAGTTTGCCGACTCTTTCGCACAGAGATCCACCAAGAGGTCACCAAAGAGGCGAACAGATACATACGCCACTCTCTGAAAGCAGAGACCGATGCCGCTAAAGACAAGCCTTTTCCGCCGTCGCCCATTGAACACATTCATGAGGCTCGGCAAACCCTTGCCGCCCTTTCAGAGGAGAAGATTGCGCTTGCTCAACGTGTAATCGAGCTACTCAATCGCAAGCGCGGTCGTCTCGATCATGATTTACGACGGGTGCTCCTGCTCCAAGGTGATACTGAAGCGGCTGCTGTCGTCGCCGCTGGTGTCCCACTCAGCTTGAGCAGCGCGGGTACAGGATATGCACTCGGTGGGCGGAACCCTGCTCAGCAGATCACAGAAAGTCTGCGGAACGCGTACGGCACTACCGCTGTGAGCGCCGGTAACAGCATATCCGCCTCTCAGTCACGAGTCCCTGTAGCAGAAGAAGGCCTTTACAAGAGTGCGTGCTCGTTTACAGTGAAAACCTTTGGGCGCTCACTATCCCGTGCAGAGCGCAAGCTCAACAGCACACAAGCCTCGATCAGACTTTCACCAGCTCCTAGCTCCGCCTACGCACCTGGTCGCAGCAGAGGCCGCAAGAAAGCAGAGTCAGAAGACCTTGACCTAGATTTCGAAGAGGAACCCCAAGGTACCGAGGAACTTGAAGGGGAGGAGATGGAGGCAGAAGACGGAGATGACGGACCTTATTGCTTCTGCCAGAGCGGCAGTTACGGAGAGATGATCGGATGTGACAATGAGGGTTGTCCTTACCAATGGGTGCGTAAGACATCTCTCCTGTTGTCTGTGTGTTGACCCATTGATTAGTTTCATCTTCCTTGTGTCAATCTTACCAAACCCCTTCCCGAGCGCTGGTTCTGCGACGAATGTATCAAGAAAGGTTTTAAACCTACTAGCTCAGGACGCAAAGCTCGGAAGAAGTAGTTCTATGCAGGATGGCAGGATGGTAAGCTGTGGCCATCACTTGTGAGGATCCTGCAAGTCTTCTTTCAGTAGGACCGTTCTCGACTTCTTTTCTCTCTTCTTCAAGCCTCTATGGCCCAGTAACAAATCATACCTGATGTTATGAGACTGTTCTCATCGATGCTTAACTTGACCTACGTCTTTCTCTACTGTAATGACACGGACTCCGCTGACGCCCGTAGTGTACTCTTATAATGGCCCATATGATGTGTTTCGACAGTCTATAATTGAAGGCTACCGTTTCCGCAGTATCAATGTAACTCCAACCCTTGGTTCATCCTCGTCCTGGGAACCTGACAAGGCAAATGTGATCGGGCAAATGATGTGATTACAAGGGATGGTTTCCTCGGAACCTATTGCCGGAGCAACGCTAACGCTCTTTCGGGGCGGCGGCAAATGAAACGCAACGAAGCGAGGACCGGATTAGGCAACTACTGCAGGCTTTCCTTGCCCCAGCCCCACAAAGCCTCGCGGTCATGCCTCGTGGGCTTATCAATCTTACTCACTACACATAAGACGCGGTGAGAGCTGATGAGAGCACCAGCCTATGCGCGTTGTACAGGGCATTACTATGACCGCCAAGTGACAGGAGACACTAGCTGTCGAACATCGTCGTCTCGCCTTGTCGACCGCTTAGCGCGTTTCTTGTTCTCTGTTCCTACTTATACGCCTCTTTGACTCTCCAATCCTCCACAACTTACAACTTCATGCCTTCAACGCGCCATCTTCCCTCCAAATCCACCCGTCAGCTTTTGGGGCAGGCTCCTCAGACTGGTGCGTATTCTTGACGCGTCTTTCGTCCTTCCGCTAACTCGCTAGGTTAGATGTGAATGACCTTTTAGGCACCTACAACCGCATAAGGGGCAGTCTCCTGCACGAGTTCATACTCAATAACGCAGGCCATCCGTCTTCTCCTTCACCCTCCAACTGCACCGAAGACTCAACCTCTGAAACTTCCTGCAGCTTCATTGTTTCCAAGTCACACAGTCGCAGGCGCGAACCCGGCCATATTCCTCGTCCTCCAAACGCATTCTTGACTTTCCGCTCTTACCTCTGCGTCGTCAACAATATTGGCGGTGATGGAAACCAGAGGCAGGTTTCCAAAGACGCAGGAAAACGATGGGAGCAGCTCGACGCGCATGAAAAAGAGCGTTTCAAGGCACTTTCTGAGAATATCAAGGCTATTCATACTCAGTTCTGGCCTAAACATCGTTACAACCCTGCGCAAGGCCAGAATTCCAAGTCCAAGGCTACGAAGAAAGGTCCGAAGCCCCGCACAGGGTCTCTCCGCGTCAAAGGCCCTGAACTTGCCACCTCGACGATCATTTCTCCACCGCTAAAGTTGAAGTTGTCCAGGCCTCTCTCTCCATGTCTTCTCCAGACACAGCCAGCTGCTTCCATCTCCCCGTCGTCTCATCTCCAGGGCACCTCTAACTATTTTGTTCAATATGATGCCGCCGAGAGTCCTGTTATGTTGATACCGGACGACGATGACATGCCTGATTTGACATATCCTGAAGATGATCTCAAAAAGGATTGTGGATCTGCAACAAATTTCCCACTTACGACACTCGACGAGGAGATGACGCCAATGGTAAGCCATGCATGTCGTTTTCATCCTCATCGGCTTATGTGTTCGAGTAGATGAGCATGCCTTGTCATCACTTGATGTGTTTATCTCCGGAACGTAACTCATGCCTGATTGCGTCTCCCATCAACTCTGAGTCTCTCGACTCCTTTCACGGTTGTTCCATCCAGCTGGATACCACTCTCCTAATAGACGAGGATACTACAGTAATCCCATCCTCAGAACCCATCCACATGGATGTCGAGTTCACTGGCACCACTAGCCCGCCGTTCGCGTTGGGATTAGAAGATGAGGATCCCTTCAGCATGGTGTTCCCAGCGCTGTGCGCATTTCCTAGGGAAGAATATGCCGCCTTCCAGCTTGCATCCGCCGTAGAGCATGACTACACTCGCAACGAGCAGTGGTTTTCTTAACGGCGCACTTTGGGTCTGGATCGTGCCAAAATACGAGCGGGCAACATTGCAACGTGGCCCACCCGAAACCGAGGAAGGCCGTCCTACCGACACCGATGGCGTTACAAGTCCTTAAGCAAAAGCATGTGGTCTTTGTCTTTCTTCTGCCCTGAAAGCTCGATTATTCCTCGCTGCAAGTTTATACCCATACCGTGGAATAACATATATAGACTCCAAAAAAAAGACACAGACCATGATCGAGGGTGTCATCAGGGAAGGCCTCAAGTTGGGCACAAAGAACCACTACTTGGACGGTATCCCTGCATTGTACAAGGCGGCAGACTTATTCGCCCATTTCAATCTGGAAGATGCCTTGTACAATACTCCTTCGCAACGAGTCGCCATCGGTAAGTAATATATCTGATAAGGCTGTTGAGATTCTGACAGCGTTGCGCTTAGGTCTCCTATTGCGAGACAAGAACGTCCATAATGTGCACAGTGGCTCACATTGGTCAAGTTCGTTGTTATTTGTCTTGGTAACACAGCTGGTTTCGTTGTCAGATGGTCAGTTGTCGGTTCTCTTGACAGTGCCAAGTATTTATTTAAGTATACATGGCTACGTACAGATGCTGCAACACAGCTTGTTAATGGCTTCAACCATTTTATTCAGCGAGTACAAGAGCTAGGACTGGATAAAGCCGTAGATGCCCCACCGCTCGTGAATGTATGTTCTCTGTACTTTGGTGTTTCATCACAGTGGGCTGACAAATGTGTGGGTAGGGCCGCGAAGTGCTTGCAGTCATGAATGCGAAACCAGGACCATGGACCAGGACCGTGCTCGATCGCGTCGTTGAATGGCAGCTGGAACATCCGGATGGCTCCAAGAACGAATGCATAAAATGGCTTGCAGAGGAACGTGACGCTGGGCGACTAGCCGTCGGCGATCATCAGGGCGCTGGCATGGGTAGTAAGAGGGGTAAAAACAATGCGGAGGAAGGATCGCCAAAGAAGGCGAAACGATGACCGAGCTTCTTCCAGTGGTATCCGATAGACCAATGGTATAAGTCAAGTAATATAATTACAATCGGGGACTTAAGACAAAATGCTCGTCACTAGTAGTATAAAACAATCCGCCGGCTTAACTGGCCAATAACTGTCAATATGCTTTAATGTTACATATACAATTGAAATATGCTGTGCGTAGCTATTAATGCAAATGCTGAAGGATGCAATGATTTACGGAGGATGTGGAATTAATTCTAGCTGCAAAGCAGTCAGAAGGGAGGGGTGCAGGGATGGGAGGTGTTTGCGCGACCGCGAACTTTCGGGAGAGATGAGGTCATGAAGTAGGGAAGCAGCAAGCACTGCGGATGAAATGGGACCCCGGGAAGAGGAAGCAGAATCCTTGATAGCGGGAGCAGCGTAGAAAATGCATGAGTAAAGGGCGAGGTTGTTAATGAGCTGCAATGATAGCAAAGGGTCCGGCCCTAGCAACTCATCATGAGCAAGACCACGGGCCAGAGACCCATATTCACCTTTGAGCATCTTGTCTAACTCTTCCCCAACCCGCTCTCTGCTGATCTTCTTTGCTAGACCCGCCTGCACGAGACGATCAGTTTGACGTGCACCCACATGAGAAGGATGATTCACTTGAACTTCCGCATCTCGAGCTGCATCCTGCAACTCTGTTACCATTTCGAACCCAAGGCGACTGGCAAATCGGATGCACCGTATCACGCGGAGTTCGTCATCGCGAAATGTCTCGAGAGGTGGTAATGGAGTTCGAACGATTCCTCGACGAAGGTCTGCTAATCCCTTGCAAAGATGATGAGGTAAAGAACAGAAGGGTAGTGTAATCATACCTTTTCGGTGTGGTCTTCCACTTGTCTGGTATGTACGTTATAGAAGAGCGTGTTGATTGTGAGGTCGCGTCGCAGAGCATCTTGCAATGGTGTTCCAAATGTCTGAAACGCATCAGCATATAGCCCTGTTTCTTTAGGGCATCGTAGCACGCACCACTTGAGTTGGAATACGGCTGTCACTGGCGTACTCTTCACTGCGGAGATTTACGAAGTCGAGCTCGATGTCGAACAGCGTTGTGCGTGCGGTCTCAAGGTGCTTGGACTGATCAGGGTTACTCTCGATCTTGGTGATCTTATTCACGGGTATGCTCTTCCGTTCTGAGGCAAAGGATACAAAGCGTTCTGCGAATGGCACGCCCATCATGTCCTCCAGGCAGATATCAATGTCATTGCTCTGCAGACCAAGGAGCTACGATACACAAGTTCTCAGGAACTGATGTCAGAAAGCATAAACTTCGAGGGGCCAACCTTATCCCGAACCCATCCTCCGGCGATTCTGCAGGAAGTAGAGAGGCCGTGTTCGGATTTGAGGTAGGTGGTGCATTCGTCAAGGAGCGTGCAGAGTTGGTCCTCGGAGTCTGTCAGCTCGATTTTTTGCCTGACGTGGGGTGCAATGCGACTCTGCATTCTGTACGTGCACCGTCGCAGCGTGCAATTGTTTGACAGGAGGCTCCGGAATCTGATGAAAGTGTCGGCCAAGAGCAAGGTCATTAGAGCTATAAATAGTGCGCCGGCGCGCCAGAGTCATCGTAGGTCATCGATTCATCGCTTGCCGTGATGCCCCCTGACTCGAGCTCGTCTATGCAAATTCAAATGTTCGCCCAAAGCTCATTGTCAATGGTGTACATAACGTAAATATCCAAAATATAGTCCACAAATATAGTAATCTCACAGCGAATGTGGTTTACGACATCTTGTCCGAAGCGTCCCTCAGCGCAAAGTCTCTCGAAGCCAGCGAAGAAAATCACCCATTTCCTTGTCATTTATAGTATGCTCCAGGCCCTCATAAAGCTTGAGTTGTAGCTGCCCTTCGGGTATTTGTAGGTCCTCCCGCAGGAACGTCATCGCATCATGTCCATACGCAACAGGCACTTCAATGTCAAGTTCGCCATGACACCACAAAATTGGCATGTTCCCTTCAATGAGCAAGATGTGCTGAACGGGGGCATGGTGAGATCTTAAGTATATTAGGTGGCCATATAGCCGGAATGACGTACCTCTCGTGCAGGAAGTGGTATCCAACCCGACAGGCTCACTATACCCCCGAGTTCGTGTAAGCTGGAGAGTCCAGTAATCAAACACGTCGCGGCACCTTGACTGAAGCCGGCCAAGACAACATTCCTCGAGTCAATTCCTGCGTGAACCTGACCCAGAATGATGTCCTCAAGTATACATACGGCGTCCGTCACACCTTCTTCATCATAGTCATCGTTCGCAGGGGGTAATGTGGTAATGTCAAACCAGGATGGCCGCCTGCGGCCCTTATTGAGACTGACGGGCTTGGAGGATCTATATCATATTGTCGTGACAGCGGAACCTGACATGATGAGAGGATACTGACGCTTGAGGAAGCAACCACGTAGTATGAGGCAGTTGAGGCGCAAAGCCCCTCAAGAAGGTCTGTGCCCAAGATGAGTTGGATTGTCCAAGACCCTGAAAAGAGGTCAGAGTGGTGAGCTTTTACTCATACTATAGCCTGAATGTTCTTACATGCAAGAAGATGACGGTGCTGCGGTGTTCACCACTTGCAGAAATCTTCAATGTGGTGCCCTCGGTAGAGATTCCATCCATGGGGCACTATGTAGAGGTGCCAGACACTGGTAGTCCATGGTGGATTTTTGAGAGTTGGCGTACTAGCACAGCCGCGGTAAATATACCCACTATCGTTGTTTGCGCAGTCGCCTAGAGAAGCGGGGTAACCCTGTAAGCGATCAGAGGCACAAATGCGCTCAAGTAAGAGGGCACTGCAAAGCGGTCCAGCGATCGTCCAGCCCATCAGAACAAGAGCTAGAAAGCGCTCATTCGAGACCGGAGCCCAAAAAAGGAGAGACGCGCGATTTCGTCAGATTTTTCATTGTGCTTGGATCCCGGAGCGGACGAAGATACTTAGTCCAGAGGTAAGCTTAGCGAACGCAAACAGGATCTCAATAGCACCGCCCTCCTGCGAACGAACGCGGGATATACGACGCACGTGATAAGTACATCGGCTATTTCCGAATGTGGGAACCTATGTGCGGTATGTAGCAAGTCTGGCCTCTGGAGCTCTAGCAGCTGGCCAACTGCTTTGAACTTGTTCCGGGTAGTGAAATCCTCGAAAGCGGAAGAGCCCATCGCTTGTCTTTCATCTCCTTTCTTTTGTTAATTCTTCTACATCCTTTGAACTTGGTCGGGGAGTTATGGGTGTTGTCGCCAGTTGCTGCGATTCGTGTTGTAAGTCTCCCCATTCTCGCTCACGCCACGGTAACTCAGGCGCTCCACAGTTCACTCTAGGAGGTCACAACAATACGAGCCTCTTCTCCTGGAGAACGAACGAGAGGCGGTAGCGGATCTTCTCCAATATCTTGAGAGTGCGTGTATGCGTTTCCTCGCTTTTGCGGCGTGGCTCACCGGGCTGCGCAGACCGAACTACAACCAATTTCTTCCATGGCTCACCACTCTCTGCCCTCACTACACTCTCTTTCTCTGACAATGTCGACCTTCAACGAAGTGCTGCTTTGGCTTTTGCCGAAATCACCGAGAAGGAAGTTCGGCCTGTTGGACGCGATACCCTTGATCCCATCTTATTCCTCCTGAGCAGTCAAGACACGGAAGTCCAGAGGGCTGCCAGTGCGGCTTTGGGCAACTTAGCAGTCAACAGTATGTGCAATCAAGTCGCAATAAACGTTTCTTTCCGTCCTAAAATTTGACAGCCGACAACAAGCTGCTTATTGTCAAGCTCGGTGGTTTGGAGCCTTTGATCAGGCAGATGCTAAGCCCGAATGTTGAAGTGCAGTGCAATGCCGTTGGGTGTGTCACTAACTTGGCGACTCATGGTAAGTACGCATTGTTCTCCCTTTGTGCGCTCTTACATTCACGGTATGCAGATGATAACAAGACCAAGATTGCCAAGTCCGGCGCCCTGGTGCCTCTCACCCGACTGGCCCGATCCAAGGACATGCGAGTTCAGCGGAATGCGACCGGAGCGTTACTGAACATGACACACTCAGGTCAGTTAACCTACCTTTTGGGTATCATTGTTTGTTGATCGCGCAACAGATGAGAACCGACAACAACTTGTCAACGCTGGTGCCATTCCTGTCCTCGTTTCCCTCCTCAATTCTGTCGACACCGATGTACAGTATTACTGCACAACTGCCTTGAGCAACATTGCCGTTGATGGTTTGTAACACTCCGGCTGTTAATAGGCTGTTTTTAACGATATTTCCCAGGTGTCAATCGCAAGAAGCTTGCCCAAAGCGAACCCAAGCTCGTGACCAGTCTCGTTGCTCTCATGGATAGCTCAAGCCTTAAGGTTCAGTGCCAAGCTGCACTTGCCCTTCGGAATCTTGCAAGTGATGGTGAGAGTCGAATATGTCCCTTCATTATAACTTCAGTAACTCATGCTATTCATAGAGAAATATCAACTAGAGATCGTGAGGGCAGACGGGCTTACGCCCCTCCTTCGTCTCCTGCAATCCACCTACCTACCTCTCATCCTTTCCTCTGCGGCATGCGTCAGAAATGTCTCCATCCATCCCCAGAATGAATCGCCCATTATCGAGTCTGGCTTTTTGCAACCTTTGATCAACCTTCTCTCATTCAAAGACAATGAAGAAGTCCAGTGTCACGCTATCTCGACTCTTCGAAACCTCGCCGCCAGCTCTGAGAAGAACAAGCTCGCCATTGTGAAAGCTGGGGCTGTTCAGTCTATCAAGGAGTTGGTGCTTGAAGTACCAATGAACGTACAAAGCGAGATGACGGCGTGCGTGGCGGTACTGGCCCTGAGCGGTAAGTGGGTTTTTGCTCCAGTCGATTTACTACTGAACCCGGTTTTGTAGACGAACTCAAGGGGCAGCTTTTGGAAATGGGCATCTGCGAGGTTCTGATTCCTTTGACGAATTCTCCAAGCTCAGAAGTTCAGGGAAATAGTGCCGCTGCACTGGGTAATCTTTCTTCCCGAGGTGAGCTCATACAGTCAGCGTGTCTCAGCTGTCCCTTACATCCGTGTAGATGGACGAGCGGCTTCTGATGACTACTCGGCCTTCAACGATGTATGGGAAAAGCCTGATGGTGGACTGCACCGCTACCTGTACAGTTTCCTTACGAGCATAGATGCAACTTTCCAACACATTGCCGTATGGACAATAGTGCAGCTGCTTGAATCAGGGGGTGAGTGATACCGGATTGGCTCGCGCCGTGTATACTAACTTTACCATCTCCACCCATTCCCAGACCCTCAGCTGATTAGCAACATCCGTCACTCGAATCTTTTGAACCCCAGCATTCGTCAGCTCGCCAGCTCGCGCACTCCCACGCCTACCTCTTCCGTTGGCACGCCCCGTTCTCACCGGTCCCACTCTCAATCCTATCAGGACACCGAGGCCGGAGATGGGCAAGGCGAGATCCAGCTCCTCGCACGGAGAATATTGGAGTTCGTCGACGGTGACGCTGCCGACGCTGGTATCCCCCGCAGTGTCACGGGCTCTCATATGCAGCCGGGATCCTCAGTCGACGTTTCTCATGAGGAACTCAGGAGGAGCGTTCGGGAAGCGTTCTCCGGCTCTCAGCATTAACTGCCTCGGACTTGTGTGTAGTGGGTTGATGTTTGCATTCTGTGTCATGCCTGATGGTTGGGTGTTACATATCGTATATATCTCTTGTCCCGTTCCCGTTGCTGACAAGTATGGTCGGTACGCACGATTCCTCCGATCAGTTGTGCCGTCCTGATTGTTTGTTTTGGTTCGATAGTAATCCGTTCATTTGACTTGATTGACAATATTATTATTTGTGATGTATTCATTCCCAAGCATTGATGTCTGACGAATATCACGTCCTTATACCCTGTATCTTCTTTACCATGCAAGGTTTTTGCACGTGGCATGGGGCAACTTTGGGCGGTACAACTGCGGACGAACACTGCAGCATCGTGGCTAAGCAAGGAATAGTCACATTAGTACAAGTGAAGGACTCTACCTGTGTAAATTTGAGAGAATGCGTTCGTGAGGACCTTGGCGGCGAATCCAGTTCCCACGCTGGTCCGCGCTGCCGGCACCGCGGTCCTCTTGCCTTTTGTGGGTAGACGCGGCTAACCGTGCCTTGATCAAAGCCGCCGGCTCAGAAAGGTTATTGTTCTCTCGTCGCTCCGAGTAACGCCAACTTAGCGAGGACAAAGGATAATGGCAACAACAATGACTATAAAGTCGGTGGTCTTTTTCGCCCTGCTTGCTCTCTTTTCTCTGTCTCTGTCTTTCTCTACCTCTTCAGACTAGTCCCGGGTAGGCTGAGCCGCACCCATACTGTGCAAGTGCCTCGTGTTCGCAGCGGGCGGCGTTTCGAGTGTCCTCGATTGCACGTTTTCTACGTGTCTGGTCAACCTGACCACCTGCTTCGTGTTCTTGCCTTCGTGAGGCTTTCCATTTAGATACAAAAGGTGCGACGCTGCTTATAAGATACCCCGACTCGCCCGCGAACGAGCTCAGCTAATCTTCTTCCTTCCAACCGCTCTCAGGAAATTTGACAACCCCAGGCTGCGCCCGGGCCATTGGATACTTTGCAACCACACAATCTTCCTCTTGCTTTATATATAGAGGCACATCGAATTTTTCTCCTCCTTTGCTCTCCGAGCCCCCTTACCAACTCCTAGCATCTACGCGACTTGGTTCTATCGATCCCATTTCGCCTAGAGCACACCGACGATCATGTACATCTCCACGCTACTCACACTCTTTCTCCTCGCCAATGCCGCGCCGACACAGGCGGACATGCTCGGTGTTGGCTTCCTTAAGCGTGCAACCAAGCATGCACACAAGGTAGCCATCAAGCAGTCTGCCACCCTCGCCCGCGATCTGCGGACAACATTCGCAAGTGTGCTGATCCAGGACGCTACAAGCCCATCGATGCAGAACGTTTACTGCGTTGGTTCCGCCGGAAACGTGACTATTCCCAGCCCCGTGAGCAACAGCACGGGCCCCTCGAACTCCGGCAAGCCCTCGGGCTCAGGCAACGGTACGAGCACCGGAACGACTGGCAACTCGACATCGGCATCTTCCCCATGGAAGGTCGTCCAGTCGTATTCGGGTCAAAACTTTTTCAACGGCTGGTCGTTCTACACGGATGCGGACCCTACCAATGGCAACGTACAGTATGTCGACCAGAGCACGGCGAGCTCAAACGGCCTTCTCGAGGTCAACTCGCAAGGACACGCGGTCATGCGCGTAGAGACGACGCCCAAGGTGTCAAACAACCGCATGTCAGTCCGGATCACGACAAATGAGACGTTCACGCAAGGACTGGTGGTAATGGACTCGGTGCACATGCCGACTGGGTGCGCGACATGGCCAGGTGAGCACCCTGAAAGCTTTTCATATCTCGCCCGCGCTCGGCTTGGGCGTTTCCTCATTCATATTTCATATCTCCTGCTTCCTTTCCATTAATGTGTCTGCGTTCGGCTTCTTCATCTATTCCTCCCGGTACCCAATATGGTGGTCCTGCGGTGCTGATTGCATGTGGCCTATAACAGCGTTTTGGACAAATGGCCCCAATTGGCCCGCGGGTGGAGAGATCGACATCGTGGAAGGCGTGAACAACTACACGAATAACCAGGCGACAATTCACACAAACCCTGGCTGCACCGTCCCCTCTTCGCTGAACATGACCGGCACTAGCGTGGGCGGGACCAACTGCGCCGCAGCGGAGACGAACAATCAGGGCTGCGGAGTGCGCTCGAATCAAGGAAACTCCTTTGGGTCGACGTTTAACAATAACAGCGGAGGTGTCTATGCCAGTAAGCACTACTTTGGCCTTTTTCATACAAAGATCCCGATTAACGGACGTTTGCAGTGCTTTGGACCAATGCCGGCGTATCAGTCTACTTCTTCCCGCGCGGGTCGGTACCCTCGGACATTACCAAAGGCGCACCGCAACCACAAGGCTGGGGAGAGCCGATGGCGGACTGGCCTGCGTCAGGGTGCAATCCGTCGACGTTCTTCTACGACCACTCCGCTATCTTTGACACGACCCTCTGGTGAGCGAGACATGTCCGACGCCTGTCTATTTAGAGAATCTGATGGAAATTACAGCGGTGACTGGGCTGGGACGGCGTGGAGTTCAACTGGCGTGCCCGGACAATCAACGAGTTGTGCGCAGCAGACTGGTTATTCGACATGCGAGGCGTTCGTCCAGAACAGCGGAGCGTCCTTTAGCGAAGCCTGTGAGTCTCCCTTAGTTGCAGTAAGTAACACCGTTGCTGACCAGACCATCCAGACTGGGAAGTGGCCAGTGTGAAGATTTACCAGACGCAGTCATGACCATAGAGGCATAGACGACTCATCACGATTCACGACGTAGATGGTATTATATTATATAGAATGCTGGCATCTAGACAGACCTGTAAGATTGTATTATTTGGGTGTATTATTAGATCTAGGTGTAGAATAATATTTACCTGGGCCTAAGGAACGGGTTCAAAGTATTTGTGGTGCCTTGTGGGTGCTTGGTAATGGGAGGGGTCGACCGAATCAGGCAATATGGAGTGGCGGATCATTCTGGAACGTGAGGGAAGGGAATCGCTGCGTCGGGAAACTCGGGAGTCGGGATGGCAAGTTCTGGAAACGCGGGGACGCGTCGTCGGTATACGCGCGTCTTGTCTAGCATTACTACTGCGATTCGTCAGCTTTGCTAGGGAGCACTGGTATAAAATCTCTGCGATATGGCTCACCGACAGCATCAAGTTCTTCTCCGCACACTCGCATTACACTCCCGCACTCTAACACACTCTGAATTGCCATGTTTGCGTTGACTCCTGTCTCTGCTCTTCACTCTGGCTACGGCCAGTCCCACTACGGGCAGTCTCCCCGCGACAGGTACCTCGCCGCTCTTGCAGAAGCTCGCGCTGCTGAAGCCGAGTACGCAGCTGCTCTCGCTCAGGAAGAGGCCATTCGCCGCCAGCGCTACCAAGAGGCGGTCCGCCGACAGCGCGAAGAAGCTATCGCCCGCCGTCAGCGCCAGGAAGCCATCCGCCGCCAGACACTCTTCGATGCTTTCCGCAACCACCAGCTCAACTATATTGTTGATGATGAAGATGAGGATGCCTTCAGCCGCCCCAATCCGTACTACGGTGGCTTCGCCCCTGTGCGTCAGATCCCTCAAGACTATGCACGCGAGGAGCAGGCCCGTCAGCAAGAGTGGGAGCACCGCGTTGCTCAAGCTCAAGCTCGCCGCCAGGCATGGGAGCGCCAGGCTGCCATGCAGCGCGCTTGTTCTCAGGAGCGTCGCGAAGAGGCGATGAATCGTTGTGCCTCTCGCTCTCCAGCTGGACCTGTAAGCTGCTCTCCCTCTGAGAACGTCTTCGAGCCGATACTAACTGAGTTGCCTCAGCAGCGCGTTGCTGCCGAAGCTCCGCAGGTCCAGGCTTTTGAGCCTACCAAACCTCTGAAGGAGCGTCTCGAGTCGCGCTTGATGTCCGAGTACGAGCAGGAGATGAAGGACACCCTCACATCCCTGATTTCATCGCTTGGCTCTTCTGGACCTCAACCCTCGACGGATGCTCCTGAGGTCAAGGAGGACGCTTCTGCTCTCACCTCTGCAACAGAGCCCAAGGGCAAGGAGAAGGAAGTTCGGCCAGTGACCATCCCGATCTCGGACCCCACTCCCAAGGAAGTTTCTGCATCTCTCGACACCATCCGCTCCATCAACGCCGAGTTTGAGAGGCTCTCTTCTGAATTCGAACTTCCTCGCGATCTCGACTTCGACACCACCCCGTCCACCCCCTCCTCAGTCACCTCCGCTGTCTCTGGCTCGAATCTCAAGCTCGCATTCACCGCGCGCAACGCTCCAGTCCGCTTCTTCGAGCATGCGCTTGGCAACCTCCTTGTCAAGCTCGACACCGTCGAGAGCTTCGAAGATGAGCACGTCCGTTCCCAGCGCAAGACTACTGTCACTCGCATTGAGAAGGCGCTCGAGGATCTGGAGAAGGAGGTTGAAGAACGTTTCGAGGCTTTCAAGTGGAAAGAGAACCATGACGCCAAGGTTGAGAACGAGGAGGAGATCGCCAAGACACTGGCCGAAGACCAGGCGTCCGCTCAGGTCACTGCCGCTGATGCGATGGAGATCGAGCAGCTTGCTTCGGACATCTCTCCAGAGGCGGTTCCTTTACCGGTCGGGATTGACGTTGACGACGCCGAAGTCGCAGTTGCAGCTCCCGAGGTCACCTCTCTCCCTTCCGACGCCGTCTCCGCCGACGGCAACGCCCCGTCCACCCATGAGTACGCTACAAAGGAATTCGTAGCGGAGGAGTGTGCCCCTAAGCTTGCAGCAGCCAACGTCCAGACTTCATCACTCGATACCAGCACTCCCATGGAGACCGAGCAACCTCTGGCTGCTGAAGACACTATGAACGAGGTCCCCCGGGCCCCTACTGTCGATGACGTCGAGGTTCAGCACCCCGATGTTGACGTCGTCGACGACATGCCTGAAGCTAAAGAGGTCTCGCAGATGGCCGTTGCAACCGATCTCACCACATCTTCCTACCCTCCTCTCATCTACCCGTCTGTTGCCTCCGACTCCTCCGCACCCTTGAACCCAGAAGCCTCCAACTCCTCTGCTCCCCCATCTCCCACCGAGCCCACTGCTTCCACCGACCGCGACCAGGACGAAGCCATGGTCGACACCTTCCTACTCCCTGCCGCCACATCTCATCCTTCGACGCCCGCTCCTGCGCATCTCACGCAAGATGACGACGACGATGTCGTGGTAGTCGAGGATACCCTCAACTCCGAATCAAGTGGGGGCACAGCTGACCGCGAGCATGAGGATGGGTGGTGCGAAGTAGACGCATGACAACTTTTGGCTTTTATCTGATACTTTTTTTTTCGATTCGTGTGCTCAATGTTATTCTCCCCTCCTGCCAGTGACCATCATCTTGTACTACGCTCAATTATCTATACTATTATTTGTAACTATAAATGGGACATTCAATGAACTCGTCTAATCACGTCCAAATCAATCAATATCCGCAAACCTGGGTGACTCTGAACGGCAGCTCTGTCGTTTTCACGGCGATGCCTAAGTGATGAGATCCAGATGGACGCTTTCCACTTCACCAAAGACTTAATTAAGCGCTCATGCCTCAGTGGTACTGTATATCTTGGGATTCACACTTAGAAAGGGTGTGTGATACGCTGATTGCGCTCAGGTATGATTTCTCGCTTCCCTTATACTAGTAAATACATTAGGAGAACTTCTGTAGCTCCTGTACTCGTATTTAGCTTTTGCTTTCCCGAGCCTTGGCCCGGGACTTGTGACTCGTCTGGTGGTCTATCCACCCATCTCGTGTCTTATTATCTTATCTCGGCATCGGCCGATTACGTGAACACGATGACAGGCTCACGAATTCAACACTCCCCCTCAAACCTTGGTCCATGCCGAGTCTGGGACACGTTTTTCGCGTCCTGGTTTTGGGAGAGGTTTGGTGAGTATAGTCACTGTCATTGTCTTGTTCTGATAATCTTGTGTCATCTCTGGGTTCCTCATTCATTCTCTTCGTGAATGATATATGGTCTGAAAGTGTTTTATGCTTTCTTTATATCCATATTTTATGTCTATTCTTTTTGTATAATAAACGCGGCGTTTACACGGCATTTTTTCGCCGAGCTTTTACTCCGTTTGTAGGTCTGAATTGACTAAGCAATGGCCAGTTGCTTTTGTTGTCTTTATTATATTTTATTCTTTAGTTTCGCGTGCCAGCATTGATTATTTAAGCATGTTCACGCCCACAGTTTGCTATTTCATATTTTATCGGATGCTGGTTCCAGAGGATACATCAGACCCATTTGTCTACTTCGAAGATTTTTTAACTGTGCTCTTTAATCTGACGAGCTTTCTATTCTTAAAATTCTCAGCATGCAAGAGAACTTTTTATTTATTAGGCTAAGTCTTGTTTTAGGCCGGTATGCATCCCAGCTTTTATGATTATTTATTCATTTAGGGTTTGACTTGTTTATGCCTTTGGTCTAGTGTATAGTTAGGCCACGCAGTAGCGCTTTTTTAATAGCCTTGTTTCTTTGACTCGCAGATTCTTATTTGGTTTTTTGTTACTGAGTTTTCTACTCGGATTTTGTTCTGATTGTGTCTTTAGTCTGATCACGTTTTTTCGCCTATTTTGACGCTGGATCTAATTCTAGCTTCCGGATTTTACTCTAGCATTCTTTATGCCCATTTAAGCAGCTTTTTATATGCCGGTTTCGGCGTGGTATCTAACTACTCCCCCTCATGCCGGAAACCCGGCTGGGAAAGTGCATTAGAGTTCGCTGGGACACTTTTGTCTCCCAGACTTTATATATTTTCATTTCCATCTCTCATATTTTAAACTCCCCCTGACTTCAGTCAGTATGCTCGGGGGATTAATTTCTGGGACCTGTCTTCAATAGGCTCTTTTAAGTGATGATTTTTCTGTCTGAGTTTTAAAGCTCTTGCCATATTTAGCGCGCAACTTCAGTCTGACTGTCTCAGCCCAATTATTCGGACTTCTATCTTGTCTTTGGAGTATATATCATCGAGACACTCTATATTTCTATAGATATTTTCTCATTTATTTGAGCACTTTCGAGTGCGACTACTCATGTCTGAGTTTAAACCGTGTTACCATATATGGTATAGAGAGTCAATCTCATCTTGACTGTTTCAATCTCAGTTCTAACTCTTGCCTTTTTCGGCAAAGAACATGAGTCGGGTTCTCTCTCATGATGAACACAGCTTGTCGAACTTATTCTACAACCTTTCAGGTGTATCTTTTATTTTATGTCTGTCCTTCGTAGTTTTTTTTAAGAACTTCATAGTCCATTTGAGTATGTTACAAACGTGTGAACAAATCAAAATTCTGAGGTTTGGGAACATGTGTCATGTTTGTTTTTTCTCGTAAGCAGGACATTGTCGTGTCCAAATACCTGCTCCGTAAATAGAGAGTATCTAGTTTTTGTTTGGTCTTCTGCTGGGCTTCTCGGCCTTATGCAGATTCTACTCGGGCAATCTCACCCGAGTACTTCTGTTTTTGTTTATTCACATAAATGTTTATTATGTCATCTACCCATTCGGTAAGATGGACCGTCTCAGGGGAATTGCGAATATAATCGCACGAATCTGGCTTTTGCCAGTTTCGTATGGACTGTCTGAGTCCGAACGCGCAAGCACGTGATGTGCTTCTGCTGCCGTTCTCCGGCATGGCCTGTCCACGGTGCGTGAGGAATAGGATGTGGCAAGCGAGGCGATGAAGAAGCGTGGTGTAAATATATGCGAGCGGGAGCGCGGGGCTCATAACCTCTTGGGATTCACACTTAGAAAGGGTGTGTGATACGCTGATTGCGCTCAGGTATGATTTCTCGCTTCCCTTATACTAGTAAATACATTAGGAGAACTTCTGTAGCTCCTGTACTCGTATTTAGCTTCTGATTCTCTAATAAATAGCTTTTGCTTTCCCGAGCCTTGGCCCGGGACTTGTGACTCGTCTGGTGGTCTATCCACCCATCTCGTGTCTTATTATCTTATCTCGGCATCGGCCGATTACGTGAACACGATGACAGGCTCACGAATTCAACAGTATATAGGGCGGAATTCGAACGTGGGGTGCGGAGGTTAGGAACGAAAGTCTTTCACAGGATCCTTCGTTAAGTTCAAGCTTACTTTTCTATAATACCTTACAAGACTATCTTCAAGCCTGTAAGCTAGCTGCGCAACTTAAGCCAAGCATTACGTTGAGCAGAATGCCATCATGATAGCCAAAGTAACACTTGATACCCAGTGGAAACGTGCTGTGCTCAGATGTGTGGGAATCAGGGCGGATTGGTGAATCGAAGCATAGTAGGGTACATCTTTGATTTTTCATCAATAAAATGCGGGCATATTGGTGAAAGACAGTGCATGTGACCTTGGCGCGATTAGAATACCAAAAAGTTCGACGCATATGGCACTCAGGGAACTAGATACGGGCCCGAACTTCCTGCTGTTGCTTCATCAATCATCTTTTTCATGAATGGAATATTCCCAGCAGCGGTCCTGGTGAAAGGAAGTATTGCCGCGTTTGCTTCGTGAAATGCCAAGTCTTTATAAGTCCTGAAACTGACACAAATCGTCATGCAGAGGTTCTGATTGGCTCGGACAGTGAATTTAAATGTGATATCCTTGCAGTAGTTATGTGTTTGTCCGCTAATTATAAATAGGCAATTGAAATGTCCCCGTAAAACCACATTTCAGTAGGTCTGTAATATTCAAGTTAGCTGTTGCTTGGCTCTGCTTGCTGTGACTTCTCTGGAAACAGTCAGGAAACTCCGCAGTTTTGATCCCCGCGTGTTACAGCCTTGTTCGTGAGCGCGTACGTAGCTCTCCCTTCGTTCCTTCCACCACCACCACCACCATCCTCTTCACCACCCCGAACACCGCCCGTACGCACTTGGGTACGTCTACTACGACATTCTCCTAGTTGCCGCAACATGACTCTTCCACATTCGCCACTCCAGTCAACCTCTTTAACTTGCACCACTCAAAATTACTTCTGATTGTCGAGTTCACGAGTAGGAAGTGATCGAACATTCAGGTGAGTCGATTCCCGCAATCCGGTTTACCTTGCCTTTGCTCAGCGACTGCACAAAGCGTGTCCTCTGTGTGGTACGTACTCGCTACCTCTGCCATCACATATCGCGATTCATTCCATCGACGGGCTCGCGGTCGGGCGCATCCGGCTAATGCCATTGCTCATTATTTGTAAAGATAGCCAGCATGTATATTTAGTAGCCTTTAATAGATAATCTCAAGCTGCTTTGGAATTTTCGCTATGGATGGAATAAACCGAATTGAGTCGTATTCTATTATATCAATTAGGTATTTAAATTGAGTTCACGTACTCGTGAATGCGTGCACCGATACGAACCGATGTGCCCGGATCCGAGCCAATGGGCGTCATGAATTAACACCAAAAAATCGGTGAACAGTCCAGCCATCGGTTCGCATTGGTGTGTATCGGTGCATCAAAGAAGCACCACGAGATATGCTTCGATTCACCAATCCGCCCGGATTCCCACCCATCTGAGCACAGCACGTTTCCACTGGGCTTGATATCTGTCCTCTTACTATAACTCCCACCGAGCACTAGTGTTGGGCCTCAGGCCTAGGTAGCCACACAGGTACCACTGTAACGTACACAGTTCGTTTTCATACAACATGTATAGATCTACTCAGGCCACAGAGAAGGGACACATTCCTCAGCCGAATACCGCCCCAATTGTCCTGGAGTAGATTGAATCGACTAATCAGGGTCGACTCAGCTTATGCTTTCCCACCCTTTTTCTTCTTGTTTACGACCTTAAAGCCCCACTCAGGTTGCGATGGCTTTGGCTGCGTCTTCACGACATCGGCGATGGACACAATCTTGCCAGTCGGACCCGCGCTCGCACCATTCTTGCGGGCCGCAGCGTCGACCTTACGCTTGTTGACGAATTCCGAAGCAAAGCGCCGCCCGTCGAGCGTCGTACTGTTTGTGTAGATCATCTCGGCAATAAGCTCCATCGTTGATGAGTCGGGGTCGAGCGGGAAGGAAAGCAGCATAGACGAAATCTCTTCCACTACATGTTTGGGATCAGTCTTTATGTTTTGAAGAAGTGCATATGCACACGTACGGTTGACTGAGCTGTTTAGCCCTTTGAGATTCTCGCCAAGCCAACGAAGGAAATCGGCAGAGGGTGCAACAGGGAAGTCATCAGCCTTCTGGGCTGAGGACGTCCCCTTTGCAACAGCAGAAGCTGCGGTCCTGGGAGGAGCAACAACGCTCGGGCGCGACGTGACGGGCGCAGTCATCACGCTAGCCGAAGACGTTGTAGGAGCAGGTGCTGGACGAGCGCCCACTGCTGCGGTGGCGCTCTTCCCACTAGGTCCTACTGTGGTCCAGGCTCCACCGGAGGCGGGAGCTGGAGTGAGCGGCTACGGATGCCCAAGTAAGTATTCTGCCATATCGCAATGATGCATATCAATATATTACCTTTGTCGTTGTCTCAGCATAACCCCTACGAGTTGGCGCTGCCGCAACAATCTCTTTGTACACCGCCTTCTTACGCCGTTCCTCCTCCTCCTGGATTTCCTTCATGGTCTTCTTAGCACCTGCAGCATTCGTCGACTGACTCCATGGGGCGGCAGCAACAGACGCGGCAGCGCCAGCACTAGTTGGTATCGCAATGTTTGGTGACCCAACCGTGCGGGAGCCGGCTTGGGACGTCGGAAGGCCCCAAGCAGCAGTGGTGAACATTTCTTCGGCAGCGGGAGTGACCGGTGCGCTTGCACGCGCGACACGCTCCCGTTCCTTCTCAACTTTGCGCGCATCTGCTTTCCTTGCCTCATCTTCCTGGATCTCTCGAAGACTCATGCCCGCTCCCGCCTTCTTCGTGTCATCCTCCATCAACCAAGCAGCCTTGGGTACCGCGCCAGGCATGGAAGGGGTAGGTGGGCTTGTTGCACTTGGAGGCGAGGGGGGCGTCGTCTTTGTGGCCAATGGTTGGACTTGAGTGTCCTTCGTAGTAGCCTTGCGGCGAGACTTGGAAGGTATGGGTGCTTGGACTTCCGAAACAACAGGTGCAGGCTCGGGTTCGGATCGTTCTGGCTCCGAAGGTACCTCCGGGATTGCTGCTGTCTCCTTCGCGATTTGCGCATCAGTCGTAGCGGCACGCCCGCTGTCTACTGGTTGTGCCTCTTCGTGCATCATGTTGTGTTGCCCAACGTTGTTGAAAGTAAGACTGCTTGGACCCGGAACTTCTTTCCAGTTGTCATCCGTGCCATTTTGTGAAGCAGCCAGCCAAGCGGACTGATCGCGTTTGGTTCCCGGCTGTGATGACTGGCTCCCGCGTGACCAACCCTGCTGTAGGTGAGATGCCGATTGATTCATCTGGTTTTGCGGAGTGGTTGCAGATACCCTTGGCGAATCAGTAGTGCCAGGCCGCATCAACAAGGGGTCGATGTTTGCCCAAGGGGACGAAGGTTCGTTCAGAGACTGGACTTGAGATGACAAGGGATTCGTTCCAGGGGTTAAGGTAGTATTCGAGGTTTGAGCGTCCGAGAAGTGGGATAGAGATTGAGGAATAATAGTAGGAACAGAAGGAGACTGGTCGAGTTGGGGTTGGTTGTGCACAAAAGGTGGGTTGTTGTAGGCAAGATTTGCACTGTTGATACTCATGCCGTTGGTGACTGGGCCACGTCCATGCAGAACACGATCGAACGGGCCACCTAACCCGTTCATTTCTCCGTATTCTGGATTCATGGCCGGCCGAGACATCGCCTCCGGGATGATAGTTTGCCCCACCGCTCCGCGAGGAATATTGGCGGCTGCATGATTGAACGCATGGTACGGGGTAGAGGGATCGACATCGCCACGCTGATGAGTGTTTTCTGTCTGGCCAAGCCATTGTGGTGCACCCATGTTATTGCTGTAAACGCCGTACGCATCCACGGAAGATGACCGGCCAGGAGCAATGTTTCCGAACGGAGAGTGGGGATCCGGTAAAGGTTCGTTGAAGGGCCTTCCAGGATAACCTCGACCATTGAAGGGCGAGTCACCAGCGTGCATTCCCAGCCCTGCTCTGCCTCCGAAGGCGGAAGGGTCTGGTGACCCATTGTTGAATCTTGTGTCGAATGATGACCCAGGAGAGTCGGAATTGGCGTTCAAGTAGGAGTCCAAAGTAGCTGCGCGCAAGTTGCGTATAGGTACAGGTGACTGCCCGCTAAACACATTAGCTTGATGAGTAGGGATATTATGGAGAGGCGAGTCTGTTCGAGGGACAAGCCCGGGAGGCGCAGAGGGCGGAGGCTGGGAAAGGAAAGTTTTACCACCACCGGCCCGCCGTACCAATTCTCCAACAGAGACAAACTCTCGGTCGATATGAGTGCGCTTCATTAATAGGTCGATGGTAAAGTAACCTTCTTCATGCCATTTCTGCATAATATCGGCGGAAAATGGACCTACATGCGTGATAAACAACGACGGTCCTACCCAAGATGCAAAGGCACTGACCTTGGACGGTTCCTGACGGATCAACATAGGACCACTCGATCGTGGACGGATCCGGGTTCCCAGGAAGGCCTGGAGGAACAGGACTATCGAAATGGGGGTTGGGGGGTGCAATCTGAGGGACAGGGGACGCGCCACTGAGGGCAATCGACGCTACACCGTTAGCGATATGATTTTCGTCTAAAGAGTGCGCGCCTGTCGAAGGCACGTCTCGAGTTACGACATCGCCTTGAGGTGCATCCATACTCGGTTGCCCCTCTTCCTCCTCCTTGATATCGGGGCCCTTCAACTCGCCGTCAGTAGCATCCCTGGAGGTATTGCTGCCCGGCTTTGTGCTCTCCGATGCACGCCTCCTGGCAACCCAAGAATCGGAATTGCTCAAGACGCCATCGATCCCGGAGCCAAACCCTCCCATTCTGGTTCGAGGTGACGGAAGGGCAGCGTCGCGTGGAGAGGCAGCCGTGCCCTGGGTATTAGACATGGAGAGCTTACGAGGAATTGTCAAAGGGGGCTGATCTTGATAAAGCCATCGTCAACACGAGTTGGTGCATAGATCTATATTGCGCCCACCTGTGCTGTCCCTCCGTCTGTTCATGAGGGACCCAAATCTCTCCCGCATAGGGCTGGCTCCGGCTGAGTTGTTGTGTCCGATGCGTGGACGATCGGATGAGTTCGATGGGGTATTTACTACGTCGCCAGATTGGCGCCTACGAAGCTCGGAATTGAGGGGACCTGCGAAGAGCTGAGTGGCCCATGTGAGTGTCACGCATGGTGCAACACGAGGCGAACGGGCATGCTCGGCTGACCTTCTTTTCCGCATCGCTCAATTCGCGTAGGCCAGTTGGTTCACCGCCAACTTCTCTGACAATCCCTTCGTGTCTTTCGACCTCAAGACCCAGTCCACCCCGTCCACCACCTTCTCTGTAGATGCGAAGCATCTCCTCCTTTGAGTACCTGAAAGGGTGGGATTCGTCACGCGTCTCGGGCTCGGGAGCAGCGGGGGTAACGAGGGCGGAGTAGGTAGATGCGCCCGAAGGAGAGGTGCTGTGATTATTGTTGGTCGGTGCGGAGGGCAGCACGGGAGGGGAAGGTGGCGGATGGGGGCGGTTTGGCATTTGGGGCTTGCGCATCCATTCGGGGCCAAAGTGCATCGTAGTAGCGGTCATGGTTGGGTGTGGTGTGGTTGGGTGTATGCGGGTCTGTACGCGCGGAAGGTCGGTGATTATGACTGTTCTCGCTGTGGGCAAGAGTAGATAAAAATTCGGAGCGCCAGGCGTTCTCACCTTTGGCACGCCTCGTGGAAAATCAAAGCGCGAGCTCGCGCCTACAGTTTAGGGCAGGCGAATCGTTCTACATTATCTTATTACTGCAGGCTACCACTCATGCACTATCGCAGTACTAGCAGCAACACCCGCTCATTATATACAATAGCACCGGAAGTGGAAGAGCCGTACACCCAGTATCCCATCCCTTTACTTTGCCGGCTCAGAAACCATAACAAATTTTACTCCGCCTTTTCTCACTCGCTACTGATCCGCCACCGGTGGACTGGAAGAGCTGTCGGCGAATAAAATATTAGCCATTGGTCTGGATATGAGAAAACACATTTTGTAGCACGCACCCTGCAGCCTCCGCGCTGTTGGAATGATGTAGCTCACGACGAAAATGACACCAAAGGTCATGCAGATGGCAGAGATCCAGTAGTACCCATCACCTTCGGTGATGCATTCCCCGCCGATGTCCGCGCAAAGAGACTTTCCATGCTCGGAAACACATTCAGACGCTGATTCATCGTCAGATCCGGGGCGATAAAGTGAGACGGCGGAGCACACCTTTGACTAATAAGTCACTATCAGCGTCTTTCACCTGGCAGACCGACTCGCTCATGAGGTCGACACCTATCGAGCCCCGTCAGTCAATCAGAGTACAAGAAAAAGAGAACTCCTCACCTTTGAGGATAAAATACTTGGGCCAAGTGCCTCCGAAGTTAGAGAATGTATTTAGCAGCTACGAAATCTATAAGCTTGGCACGAGCCAGCGTGGAAGAGGGCTCACCGTCATATACGTTCCTCCAATCAGTGGATCCGAGATGCGAGTATGGAACGCAGAAATCCCAACAAATTGCACATTACTGCTCATAATGTGTCAGTATGCGACATTTAGTTAAGCAGGTATGAATCACCTTGCAAATGACTGGACAACGGTTTGTATAACCAGGAAGGTGAAGAAACCGTAGGAAATTGGTGGACTGGGGAAGTAGTAGACGATCAACGTCGAAACAAGTGCTAACGCGAGGCGAGGCCAGAACGCGATGATCCATGGTCGTAGTGGTTTATCCCCTCGAGACCAATTTGCAGCTAACCATCCGCCTATTATTTGGAAGGGGAAGTCAATTAGGACAGTGATAGCCAGGTCTTCACGTCCAAGGCCTTTCTCTATCATCTTTAGCTGAGTGACACTCTCGTTGGCTTGGAAAGCAAGTTTTCCGAGGCAGTGGACAACAATGAGTGACCGAATATCTGGGCAGCCTTGTGAGTCCACCGAGGGCAACGATGTGAAAGAGGGCTCACGAGGCAGTTTACAGATGTTCCATATCGTCTTGTATGTCGCAGACACCGTCATCTCCGACTCGTCTAATGACTCCTTTCCCTATAATCACGAAAACGTCAAACATGTCCAAAACATTTAGTCATAGTCTTACCTCCTTCTGGAAGAAGATTAGCCAGAACGTTACAGCGAAGCAGAGCAAGCCGCAGAATTTAAGGTATGTGCTCAGCGTAAGCTGAGGTATGCCCCACTTATCGCTACAGAACGGTTCAACCTCTACCGCGCTAGAACAACTAAAACCCCTACCAGAAGGTCTCGCTGTTCAGGGCGAGGAAAACTGTAAACGATGCAAAGTAGCCTGTGGTGAGCCCAATCGTTTGACATGTAGACGCGTATGACAAATTGTCTTGTGAGAGTAGCGTCAAGGCCCATCCTGATAGAATTGTGCTTAGGGCAGTTCGATACTGATGTGAAAGAAGATAAGGGTCACACCGTCGACAGCAATATCTAGTTTCATGGATTAGTGACATGTTAGCTCGTCCGCGCAGCTCACACGAACCTTGAGTAGCAGACAGTAAGACCAGTGAAGTAAACACGAAGGTCAGTTCGTAGAGATTTTCGGAAGGCTGTTGAGGGATATGTCAGCGATGAGTGGCAGCTTCAAACGGAGCACAATCACGTTGATTATCAGTCTGTCCACGTTAAACGATATGTAAACCATTAGAGATCCAACAACGAGTTGCATTGGTATAATCCAAGATTTGCGACGCCCGATGGAAGTAAAGTAAAGTGAATCGACGATTGGTGACCATAGAAGTTTCAGAGAGTAAGGATAGTTGGAAAGCGAGAATACGCCAAGTTCAGAGTAGGATAGGTGGTCTTTCAAAAGGAATGGCACAGATCCTTGCGTGGAAATTTGTGTGTAAGTTCTCTCATATCTATCTCTTGAATGAGATAACCCACCTAGAGCAAGCCCTAACTGTATGGTCCAACAGTTAGTTTACGGATGAGACCAAGAAGCCGTGTTTGATGACTCACAGGAACACCTTGGATCAAGTCTAGGATACGTAGCGTACACAGATAGACGCGTCAACTATAGCCAGCCGTGAGCGGGGCGAGATACACGCACAGAGTGTGATAAGCAAGGCCATCGCCCTCTTGTCTCTCATAGACATTGGCTTTGTCTTGGGTTCGCCTGCGCTCCCCAAGTACCCGTCGCCCGCACCGAGCGCAGCGCGCGACCTCTCATCCTCGTCAAGTAGAGTGAGCTCCACTTCCTCGCTATCTGTTGCATCGGTACCAGGCCGAGAGCGCATCGCAGTAGGGTTGCGAGGAGTGACGCGAATACTCTGGAGGGAGGACGAGACTGCTTTGTTCTTTCGGTCGGTGAGCTTGCTCATGTCCGGACCAGTACCCGAATTCGGCTGAGGCCGATGGTGTAATTCTAAAGGAGACTTCGATCTGTTGTTGCGGGCAGATTTGCGCGTCTTGGACATACGACAATGTGGTGGCTTAGGGGGGTGTAGGTGTTCTTGAGGTTCTTATGTCGGAGTGTATTTCTCCGTTCTAGTGGCTCGGACACCTCGGCCAACTTTAGCGGACGACGTGTCCTCGCGGAAGCGCCCGTCGGCATAACCCTTTTATTATCAAGTCACAAATCTTTGTCCTGTCATTGAAATGATCCCTGCAGCTTAGAACAGACCGACGCCACCGTTCCAATATTCGTTATTATTGTACTACGTACTCATGCTATACGTGTACTCTGGATACTGTTTCCCTCTCTGCAACGCTGACGCTCAAGCGCTCGGGTCGATCATCAACGCTCAATATTCAATATTCAATACTTACTTATTTACGTCGACGCCGCTAATCGCGCCATTACTGTTCTCGCGTCCTTTGACCTGCAGGATCTTCTCCATGAACTCTAGGCAATATTGCACACGCCAGAACGGATCTTCCTCGACCATCTCCTTACTCGCGACGCTACCGAGTTAGCCTGGGTCGTGCATCTTTGCGGCGCTGTCAGGTTGAGGTACCAGTACGTGTACGATATATGGGATCCACCTACCCAGTCAATACCAACTCCTTACGATAGCCACGAGACATCCATGCAAGTTGATAGTCTGGTCTACTCGGCTTAGAGAGCCATGCAGCGTCTTCGTTGCACCCGACCTAAGATGCTGTCTAGCTATTATTGCTTTCAGACCACTCTTTGCCCCGGACCGTCCTTGATTTGTCCTAACTCGTTCAATGCGGAACATGTATCTGACAATTGCACGATACTTCTGAATGTGAGGCATCCTCGATCGCCGGCTCTCAGGATCGAATCGCAGCGCCTTTGGTAATGGCGCATTCAAACACGAGTAAGTATTTAGCTCGAGGCGGAAAATCCTAAAGGTCTGGCGTTCCAACCAACCTCAGTCATGCTTATCGCGTTGTTGCTGAAGCTTGCTTTCCTCGTTTCCGTGCTCTCGCTAGCTCACCGCCTTTGCAGCCTGATCAAGGTCCATTACGACCTACGCTTCGTGCCAGGACCCAGATGTTCCTCGTGGATTTGGGGCGAAGAGAAGATCTTGTTCTATAGTAGACCGGGTTCGCACTACATCTCTTGGCACCAATCGTACGGCAAAGTGGTCAAGTTCTTTGGTCCCTTTGGGGTATGTACACGTTTACTTGAGGTTACGAGCCTCGGTATATGCTAACCTGTGCAGCAACCCATGCTATCTATTACGGATCCGAGCGCTGTGTCATTTATCCTCGGTAAAGGGACATACTTATTTCCAAAGCCTAGCGGTGTTCGCGCCTGGTTTTCGACTCTGCTCGGCGAAGGCATATTGTGGGTTGAAGGTTTGTGCAGTAGAATCAGACATTTGCACTTTATTGTCATCTCATATATTTGCAGGTAAAGATGCTCACGAACGACAGCGACGAACACTCGGCCCTGCTTTATCGTAAGCCATTTAATGCACATGGTGACTCGCTGGGTCTCTGCAACTTTACTTCAGACAGCAATCTGCGAAGAACATGACAAACATCTTCTACGAGAATGCACATAGAGTAAGCTCCATGCTCTCATTTCCTCGAATTCACTATACTTCCTTCTCCCAGCTGGTGGGACAATGGTCTGGTATCATCGAAAGGACTTCAGACCGTTCCGAAACAATTGACGTTACGGGCTGGTGCGGCCGACTCGCGTCCGTGTCCAACATGCTATTCGAGAAACGTAGGCTGACAACACTGCAGGCTAGACACAATCGGTCGCGCTGCATTCTCATGGGACTTCGGGTGCCTCCGTGAGGATATTCATACCAGCACGCTGGCAGAGACGATGGATAGCCTGACGAACCACGAGCACTCACGCGCCTCGTTTTACATGCGTGCGCTCTTCTGGGTGTTTCCGTCTGTGTTACACCTGGGTAAGAAAGGGAAGACCATACGCAGGATACGCAAGGAACTCGGCGACATAGCCAGATGCATTCTAAATGACGCCAAGGAGGTCAAAGATGATAGCAGCAAGACGGTGATGTCACTCATGAGTACGGTCTTCATTTCCGTTCGTTTAGATTGCTGCTTAGCTTGGTTTAGTGCGCGCTGACAAAAACACCGCCTTTGAGGACGAAGAAGTAGCCGCTCAGATGCGGACGATAATCTCGGCGGGTTACGAACCCGTCTCGGCTGCAATGACGGTAAGGAATCAATGGTGCTATCACGAAACCTCTTCTAACCTCCTGTATTAGTGGCTTCTATATGAGATTTCAACCAACATCGAATGGCAAGAAAGGCTACGCCAAGAGGTGTCCGCTTGTATCGAACCTTCGGCAGATGAACTAAGTAGTTTGCCTCTCCTCGACGCATTTCTCCTTGAGACATTGCGGTGCCACCCTCCGGTGCTTGAAAATCATCACGAAGTAGGCGTCCATCTAGGGTCCAACTACCTAGCCGGTATTTACCTTGCCGATTTACTAGGCTTCAGAAACCATTGCCGTCCCAGTCACAGAACCACTTCCGGGAATTGGCTCACGTCATCTCATTGTACCCAAAGGTACCATCCTCGAAATGCCGGTAAATGTCATTCACAAAGACCCTGCGATTTGGGGCGACGACGCCGACGTATTTCGACCCGAACGATGGCTTCAAGATAAGTCTAGGAAACTCACTGTGCGGGACCTTCTTGCATTCAGTTCAGGGTATGATTATTCTTGCTTTTGCATTCGCTTGTCATTTAGGCCGTTATCCAGCCCACGAGCTTGTTTAGGTCGAAGCTTTGCACTCGCTGAGATGAAAGTATGGTGTTTTACCATTCATCTTCAAAGCCATTCGCTGATCATTGTATCAGGCTCTTGCTTTGACCCTTCTGCAAAACTTTGCGTTCTCTTGTGAAGAGGACATTGAACCGTTTCAAAGTTTTGTTATACGACCTCGGGTCAAAGGACAAGGGATAAGTTCCCTCCCTCTGGTAGTGCAAGCGTTGCGTCGGTAACGATACATACAAACACCCCATACACCAGCGACTACTGCCACCCAATACAATCTACGTATAAAAAATGCCTATATACGAATAACACAAAGATTCAGCTGCTGCAATTAGGTCAGACCTTGAAGTCGTCTGTTTTAGGAGGTTGAAAACATCAGTATTGCATCAGCTCCAGCCTTCAATTTTTCTTCTGCTTCTTGGCTCTAGGCTTTTCGAGATCGATCTCTTCAGCATCATCGTCGTCATCCTCGCTGTCTTCTTCGTCGGAGTCGATTTCATCACCACCCATGTTACCAAGGAAGTAGTCCGTCGCCTCAGGGAAAACTTCATTTGCAATGACGTTCGCAATCTGTGTGCCCTACTGGTCAGCCACTGACGTCAAAGCACCGGATGCCGACCTACGTCAAAGGGATCTGAAGCAATCTCAAAGAAGTTGAAGAAGCTGCCAGCGTCTGCAGGAATGTCATCGCCATCCTCATCCTCAACACGGGGGTGCAGCTTGGTGAGGGCATTTTCCGGGTCTTTCCATTGAATCTTCATGGACTTCCATGGTAATCAATATTGTGATCCAAAAACATTGCAAGGTCACTTACCGAAGGCTCCACGTCGCGCTCCCATGAGAAGTCAAACATCGAAGGGATGATACCGTCGGCATCAGGCTTCTCGTCGGCAGCAGCGGGCGGTGGTAGGTATTTGTACTCCTTCTTGAGAACGGTGTCTGCGAAATAAGGGTTCGTTTTGAAGTGCTGTACCCCCTATCGGTAAGCGCGACATGCATGAACTAGATAAGATATGATTACGCACGAGTTCGATAGTGTAGCACCGTGATTCCTTCGGGTCACGTTCAATCCAGACATCTTCGAGATAGCTAAGCGCTTGTCTGTCGGCGTTGTGCTGTGCATGGAAACTGAGGATGTTGTGGTTCATCAAAGCGATGGGCCAGTAGCGAGGTATCGACTTGGCCACACTGCGCCTCTTCGCATATACGGGCGTAAGTTCTTTCTGGGCACGACGCTCTACAAAGTCGTGTCAATGAAGAATGAGAGTAGCTATGTGAACGAGGCTAAGTACCAAGAACAAGCTCAACGCGGGCAATGTCCTTCTGGACCTCTTGGAGCTTCTGGGCATCGGCATCGGAGAGCTCGGCGTTTTGAAGGGAATCCTTCTCGTTGTGTGCACCAGGGGACGCTCTCTTGACTCCAGACATTTTAGCAGTGATTTAGCGTAAGAACAATCCTCGCCCTGAAATTTTGGCCGGCGTCAGTGCTTGGATCACTTAAAACTCCGACGTTGCCAACATTATCCCATGTGAACATCTTCCCGTGAAGCTTGAAGGTCGCCTTCAACCAACTTTCAGTGCACGTTACCGTAGAGGATGGCCAACTCGAACTACCAGATGCTGAATATATAGAATCACCGGTTATGATGGGGAAGGGGTTTGGTGTAAAAATTCTAATAGGTTAAATTGGGCTATGTAAGGTAAGTGTGAAGTCCATCGGTATAAACAGTGACCAGGTGAAACCTTAGTCTTGTCTCTTCTTGTCACCCAACTCCAACTCTATCCGGCTCACGGTCAGACCTCTCTTACGACCCCCTGTTGCAAAACTATCGGCCATCGGCACCTTCTTTGCGGAAGCAAAGCCTTTGCCATGGTGGGCTGACCGAAAACCAGGACCATCATAGTATATCAGCTCAGTAGGAGGAAGCAGACGAGGCCAGGCGACATATTGGATGCCATTGATCACCATAAACGAGAGAGCGATGATGGCGACGCTGAACCAAAGTGTAAAGTAGTAGAATAGCGAGTAGTCTGAACACACAAAGCAGATTAATAGCAACATCTTAGATCAAGAAAGGTGCGTACCAGAAGTTCGTGGAAGCGTCATGCCGGCAGTTATCATAAACAACGCAAATCCGAGGATGTAAGGAACCTGTAAAATCCTTAAGCGACACCGACTTGTTCCAGTACCTCAACAAAGACTCACAGAGCGGATTATAAGGGATCTATGATCTCCAACGATCGAGGAAGCGGTTGTGAATGTTGTCCGAGGTAACCACGCCCCTGTGACGAGGTCAAAAGCATCCTGCTTTAATGTAAATTATCTGCCATCCGCTTAGACGTGGACGTAACGTGCCTGCCTGGTTCCATCAAAATAGTTGTTTTTTATGTATCGTTGGATGCTCTTGTAGCCATCTTCGAGCAGACCCTTCCTGGTGCGCTTGTTTGTTCGGGTGAAGTCAACCTTGAGGGCTCCAGAGCCAGCATACGCCTTTGAAATCGAGTCCGCGTGATCTGACCATACTGTCACGAGTGTCAGTGGAATGCAATGACAAAAAACTCGAAACTATTACTTTCACGGAAGTCTCTGCTGAAACCTTCGAAGTCATCGACGCCTTCGCTCTCAGTGATGATACCCAATCTTCGCAATTGGAGCGTGAGGGTCCATTTAGCAAGAGCCGCCTGGACGACGTTGGTTCTGTCGAGATTGTCCATGCAATTCGTTCGGACAACGCCGAGCTGTCTTCTTGAGGGCTCAGGTTGATTGGAAGACAAATGGAAGAACCTGTTTATCATAAACATGTTATATTGTAATACATAGAACACGACCCACCCTTTGTTGGCCAGATCCCCTTCCATCTTCTCGATGAGAACGCTGATGCGGTCCCAACGCATGTGCTTGCATTCATTGTGGAAGTCGAAGTATTGGTAGGCCACCTCAGGCATCTCAATCTGAGCAAGGGCTCTCTCGTAGGCATCCTTAACCGGCTTTTCGTGGCCCTTTTGATTGACTAGATTGACTAGTGACTGTTCCCCGTAATTCGAAATTTGGTCCTTGAAATGGAGACGCATGGCTTCGACCTGGGCAGTGCGTCAATCAACAGTGAATGGGCTCGAGAGAAAGAGGGTATACAGTGGTTTCAAGGTCCATGACCTGCAAGTCAGGCTTATAGCGCATGGTGTTGATCTCGCCCCAAAAAACAGGGACGCTACCTCTGATTTGAACGAAACTTAGTTTGTCGCTGAAGTTATCATTTGAGACTTGGCCCGATCCTTCGACAAGTAGGAGTTGCTCCGTCTCGTTGAAGTTGGCAACGTGCCCCTCATGATCGATACCGCGTCTGAAGTACCTAGTGCCCGCCCTGAATCTTGACCGGCGGCTGATGAGACAAAGCTGCACCCGACGGCCTCGAACATCAGCCAGCCGAAGGTCAAAGGCTACACAAGGATAAGCGTATACAAGGTAAATGCGAGCATGTCACATACTGCCGTATATGATGGGCAAAATATAGGCACTAAGCTAAGGAAGCATGAGCAACGCCATGTGTCAGGAAGCAACAACCTACCTCTTGCGCTATCTCGGACTCGATGAGTCTAGATTGCAAGAACCTTCACATTTTGTCAGATTTAATCCACAAGATGAGTATTCGCATACTTGTTCCAGAAGAAACGATCATCGGCCTGGTAGGGCGTCAGAAAAAAGCAACAGAGAAGCGTTGTGTGTCCATACCACTTCCCACAACGCTTTCGTCTCCTCAGCATCTTTCTGCTCCCACTGCACTTGCAGTCGACGAGAGAGATCCCAGCTATAGCTGAAGAGGAAGTGGCCTCCGTTGAGATGAGATTTGACCAGGGCGAGGAGATGCCCCTCTATTGGATGTGGGGGATTCTGAATAGAGACATTGGGGTTTAGAGGCAGAATGTCGAATTCTACGGCTCTGTAAACGTCGTGACCCATCAAACGTCCCCGTTGTTCCCTCCCGGTCATGATTACGACATATTCGGCTAGTCAAGACAGTGAGAAGGGCAGCAGAAGCATCGTACAACCTTACATAGTGCGAGTTGTATCAAACCCAGGATACCATAGACAGTCTTTCCATATCTCGTGGAGGTGTTTGGGACAGAAGTGTGGGTAGCTAAGAGCACTAAGTTTCGGATTTAGTAGTCCAGGACGATGTGCGCACCATTAAGCACGATATCCCCCGTAGTTCGGTCAAGTGTGAGTGACTGCGCTCCCAACGGCTCCACGGGAACGAATGTGTAGGACTCTCGGTTCACGAAACTTGGTTTACCATCAGGTGAGATTGTTCTTTCGTAGGTTCAAGACATACTCACAGGCTGAGCCTGGTGTAGATGGGCTTCATGGCGTCAAGCAAGGTGCAGCGTGCCAAGAGACAGGCGCGGTCGCGTCACTGGACACAATGATTCGTGGCTGAGTCTGAAAAAGTCAAGTGTTCGCGGCACGCTGCAGCAGGTCAACCTAATCGACGTCCTTGCTTAGTCTCGGCCAATCCGTTCTGGTTGATCACGCTAGCACTCTTGGTTGCTCCCAGTCATGGTCAAGCTCACCCCAGAGCTCCTGGCTCAAGCACCTTCTTCTCTAAATCCTAACAAAGAACGCCAGCTTGACCTTCGCGGTGCGTACATTGGCTTGTTGGCGCGTCATGTTGCAAGTGTGCTAATTAACCCCATGAACTATCAGGCTATAAAATACCCACAATCGAAAACTTGGGTGTCACCAAGGTGTGATCATTGGGATACAGCCTTCACCATATCAGTCATCTGAACAATGGCATCTGGTGAATGTAGGACCAGCATGATGCCATAGATTTCACAGACAATTCCATTTCCGTACTGGGCAACTTTCCCCTTCTCAAGCGCCTACGAACTTTGCTCCTTGCTAACAATCGAGTTTCATCTGTGTCGCCGTCCATTCATCTCTCAGTTCCCAACCTGACAACTCTCGTGTTAACGAACAATAATGTGGCTGAGCTTGGTGATCTGGAGCCTCTGAAAGAACTCAAAAACCTGAAGTACTTGTCCCTGTTGGGCAACCCTGTACGGGAAAAGAAATGGTATCGAGAGTGGCTTGCGTGGAGAATACCATCGCTGAGAGTTTTAGATTTCCAGAGGATCCGGGATAAGGTGTGCCTCCCATCTTTGTGAACGATTTCGAATCTGGTGGCTCAACGTGACATAGGAACGTGAAACTGCGAAGTCCCTCTTCGTTACAGCTGACGGCCTTCGAACCGCTCTTGCCACGACGATATCCGAAACTGTTTCAAAGACTGGTGTGAAGGCGGCAGTGACTACGGACGAACCAAAAGCCGCACCCTTGACAGGCAAAGCGGGCCGTCTCATGTCTAAGGAGGACCAAGAAAAAGTTAAGCAAGCCATCGCAAAGGCGACCTCCATAGAAGAGGTTAGACGGCTGGAGAGAAGTCTCAGGGAGGGTTACATGCCAACTTTCGAGTCGTCAGGCTCATGAGTATAATCTTGTTTGCCATACGGATTTGCACCTGTATTTCTTTGCCGTAATCGTACATATAATGCAAGAAGACGAACGAAAAGCTAAGCGACGATATATGCAATCTCTAAGCTCTGCTGCCAAGGCAGAGGCCATGGAATGTCAGCAACAGGACTGCCCCTAAGTTAGCGAGGGAGCTGATGCCATGGAGGGCGCCGAATCTAGCATTGATTTTCTTCATCTCTTTTGATACCTGAAAGCGATATCAGGGCTTCGGCGCTAATATTGCGACCACAGCACAAAGACCTTACCCCAGCTTCATCGTAACCCTTGCCTTCAGCCTTTTCTAGTTTGTGACGTTGGAACATGGTCCTTCGTAAAAGAATTACTTCACATCGTCATAGCTTTTATAAACAATGCACTCACTTGCTGGTCAAAGGGCCAATGATGAGGTGATTGCTTGCTTGCATGGCGATAACGCCGGTAAGAGTGTAAGCTTGCGCGACGTCAAACAAGGTGGGTTGTGTGTATTTCTCGGCCACGGTCGGGTGGGTATAAACCCATGAGCTCAGTAGAATGCTGGCAAGGCCTATGCTCAGGCTGAAATACGTTGGGAAAGTACGATGCTGCAAGTTGCCAAACTGTTGCCTGGCTGTCGAAATTCACTGAGTAAGAGAAGCAGATATGTTGCGGAGAGCCATAACATACGCAGAGCCCTATAGGCTATGATGCCTGAGGAATATATGATTCACTAGGCCAACACATACTAAGGGGAATATAAGCCGCCTACCGCCAAAGAAAGTCACCCATATAGCTACGGATAGTTGAGTTCTCTTGTAAGATACGCGATGAAATCCGGCGATACTCACACATCCCATATAGCCACCCGTAAGTGACGACATAAAGAGATCTCAGACCAAGCAGAGAGGAGAAGGAAAGCTCTTGGTGACTCATGGGGCTGGAGACTGCTCGGGAGGATTACAAAATTGATAATAAAGGATAGGGTAGAGAAGGTGGTGACGAGGACGCAACGCAACACCAGGCAACACCCCTATAACTCTTATATGATATGTGAAGAGCCGGCGATTGCGTCGCCTTATGTGCGAAAAGTTACAAAGCCGAAATGACCAGAATCTGACGATGAACACCCGCGGCCCGCAACACGCGTTTCCATCGTGTCAGCATTAAATTGCTGCTGTGCTCAATAAATTAGGGGGACAAAGTCGTAAAGTTGCAAATATGATACAATACTATCGGCACAAGCGCTAGGTCTGACACGCGTTACAAGAGTAATTCGCTCATGGATGCATTCCCCATTCACTGGCTCTTCCCATGCGTCGACGAGGGCCTGGCAGAGACCGCTCGTCACGTACACCCATGGTCATTACTATATGTTTGTCCACCAGCTGGAGGAATTTATACTGTCAAGAAGAGTAATATCAGAAGGGCATAACGGAAACTTACATCATTCAGTATGTTAGCAGATTTGGTCAACGACGATAGTACGGCTGTCAATTGCACATCCTCGTATTCCTGTAACGCCATGAAGTCAGAGGAGATGTTAATATTGGTACGGACTTACTGTATCGAACTCCTGGCGGAAACTCTCGTTTTCGCTAGCGGGAAGTGATGCTATGAGCGCAGACAGGGATCGCAAGGTCATATGATCCTTTGGCACTTGACCTGAAAATACAGGTATAAGGCAGGGAGAAGTTATGTGACATCGAGGAGACAGGACCTGCGATCACATTGGTCACATATTGCACCAGAATCAATATACGCTCGTGAAGCATCTTGACAGCCGCTCGTTGCGTTTGTAGATGTGACTCCACTGCCCAGAAAAAGCTGAGCACAGGGAAAGGTCATAAGTCAGGTTAGTATACGTACAGCTTGTGCCTCCTACACCCCCCTTGGCAGTCCAATCAACAGCGATGCGCTCTGCTTCGCCAGTCTCAACCTTGAACGATGCTTCGATAAAAACAGATCGAGTTTTCTTATCCCGGATCTCCACGGTCGGCTCATATGCCGTAAAGGGAAGAGTTTGGCCCAAGACGTCAGAAGTAGGTATGCTGTTGGTAGACGAGGGCTGCAAGAGGAGAAGAAGTGGCGTGGAGCAGTACCCAGTAAACTAGAAGATAGGTCAGCATGTGTTCGGACAACTTTTACTCGCCGTACTTGTTCGTGTAGGACTATATGTCTTGCTGTAGGTATGGGTGCGACAGTATACCACCCTATGAACTCGAGAGACGGGAAGACCTGTTTGTCTATTGTCGTATAAGGTCAGAAGAAACATCGAAAGCGATAAAGGTGCTCACATTGATCCCTTCTGGTGACTAGAAAAGCATGGTCCACTATGTTCTCGTCGTTGACATCCGTAGCAAGCTCAAAAGTGTTCACGATCTCCACTTCACGGCCATTCTGAGTCCCGAGCAGAGCGCCGAGCACTGTATGAGGTTGGTTCGGGCTATATTCAAATCCAATGATGATCAAGGCTAACCAAATGGTGAGTTCGTCCTTGCTTGAAGTCTCAGTCGCGTCAAATGTTCTGAGATGTTAAGGATCGGCAAGGGGTGCCTAGACGTCAGAACTTAGATAAGACATTAATGCCACATGCGAAGATGTCACCAACAAAGATATGTTGAGGCCAGAGGTAGTGCTAGCAGGTAGTACGACAGACTGTTCATCAGTGTCCATAGACGCCATCGTCACAATTCAAGGGAAGGATAATGTCAATGAGAGAGGGCCAGTGAACGCCAGAATGTCATCCACGCGAGTCCACGCGTCGTGGCTTTTAAGGGGTCTGATACCCAAAAAGGACGCAAAAATCATTCCCATTAGCCGACTTGAACGACTGACCTCGTCATTACTAGTGACGCGCTCTACCAGCTGAGCTAAACGGGATGTTATGTCCCTATCAATGTACGCTCTATGATGTATATTAAAATTTGAGACGCGAAACCACCTGCCCTGAACCTCATTGCAACTGTCGCGTCCCAAGACTCGCCCCACACGGCACTAGTCTCTCTCGTACGCGACCATGTCCGGTTTTGATGCAAATCAGGTCTTCACCGTATCTGTTCATGATCAAGCAACACCATCCGCTCCCGAAAACCCATCTCAAACAGAGAAGCTCCTTCTCGAATTCCTCCTCCAATACCGCGTAGGTGGAGAGTTCATATATAGGCGAGTCGGTACCCAGCGAAACACATCAATGCAGATACTGACCAAGCCCAGGGACAAGCTTCGAGCCAATTTCCTCCTCAAACAGTATCAATTGGAGGTTGACTTGCGTCATATAAGCCTTTACAACGATGAGCTCGCACACGCTATACAAGACCAGCCAGCAGATATTCTTAGATTGGTGCGCTTTCTGTCACTCAGCTCTCGTTGAAACATTGAATCAGGCCCACATAGTTTGAGAATGCTGCTACAAAAGCTGCTCGGATGATCTTGAACCCTCTTGCAGGCGGGTCTGATGAGCGCGCTGAAGCCGCACTACAGTCCATGCCCAAGGTGCAAATTACCATTCGATCTGGTTTAAACATTCAAAGGTTTCGTGACCTCACTGCCGACACGATGAACAAGCTCGTCCGTATTCCTGGCATCGTTATCTCCGCCTCCGTATTGTCTTCTCGGGCCACCAAGCTACATCTTCAATGCCGTGCTTGCAGATCTACAAAGATTATTTACCCGTCTGATGGCCTCGGAGGCGTAGGAGGAGGCTCAGATCGCGGGCTGCCCCGTGTATGCGATGCCCCTGAGCTACCAAATCAGAAGAAGGATTGTCCGATGGACCCCTATGTCATCATTCACTCAAAGTCATCGTTCGTCGACCAACAGACATTGAAATTGCAAGAGGCACCCGATATGGTCCCCGTCGGAGAACTACCAAGGCATATGTTGCTATCCGCAGACCGCTATCTTACTGGCAAAGTTGTCCCAGGCTCACGCATAATAGCAACGGGAATCTATTCCACTTTCAACTCTGCCAAGAACGTGAGTCATGAACACAAAACAGATATGCATGCCGAGTAATTGCTCTGCAGAAATCAGCAGGTCCGGCAGCGCTTCGTCAACCTTACCTTCGATTGAACCACATAGAAATGTCGTCTCCAATGACAGGCGGTGGTGCATCTAATCCATTCGGCGTCCAGTTTACACCTGAGGAAGAAGAGGAGTTTGGAGAGATGGCCCGAAGCGAGGGCTTCTACGAACGCTTTGCGCGGAGCGTCGCACCCAGTATATTTGGTAGCCTTGGTACGTTGCGATCTCTTTAAGGGGAGCTTTCGCTGATTGTCTGCTAGATATTAAAAAGGCGATAACGTGCTTGCTTTTTGGAGGATCCAAGAAAGTGCTACCTGATAGCATGAGACTTCGAGGCGATATCAACGTCTTATTGCTTGGAGATCCTGGAACAGCCAAAAGTCAACTTCTGAAGTTCGTGGAGAAGGTGTGTCACTTGTTCTTCCTTTACCGAAGAGAACCACGAGTGAGCTTCGCCAAAGGTTGCCCCAATTGCGGTATATACGTCAGGAAAGGGTTCAAGCGCTGCAGGTCTCACAGCCTCCGTACAAAGAGACTCCATCTCCGTGAGTAATACGCTGTCTAAGCGTGATTACTGCTAATGCACTTCTACTGAATAGCGAGAATTTTACTTGGAAGGAGGTGCTATGGTGCTTGCTGACACAGGTGTTGTGTGCATTGATGAGTTTGATAAAATGCGCGACGAAGACCGTGTAGCAATACACGAAGCCATGGAACAACAGACAATTTCCATAGCAAAGGCTGGCATAACAACTGTCTTGAACTCTCGGACGAGTGTACTAGCTGCCGCTAATCCGGTATGGGGTCGGTATGATGAGGGACGAAGTCCAGGGGAGGCAAGTGATTCTGATTGATTTAAGGCAGTCGTATTAACCCCACTGCAGAACATTGATTTTCAAACGACCATCTTGTCACGGTTCGACATGATCTTCATTGTCAAAGACGAACATAACGAACAGCGCGATCGGGTTTGTCTACACTTTCAGGTTTGGTAGTGACTAACGAGGATACTAGATGATCGCAAAACATGTGATGGATATCCACATGAACCGCCCAAACCAAAATGCAGGAGAAAATGGTGAGGTCGTTGGTGAAATAGATATAGACAAAATGAAGCGATACATTGCCTACTGCAAGGGGTAAGCCTGTAGTTTCTTGAGCTGAGCCCCTAGCTTACGGTTCCTCGTAGCAAATGCGCCCCACGGCTTTCCGCGGATGCCCAAGAAATGCTTAGCAGCCATTTCGTCAGCTTACGAAAGCAAGTCCAACAGGTTGAGAGGGACAACGACGAGCGAAGCTCAATCCCCATCACCATACGGTATATTATAGCTACTGCAGGTGTAACCATCGCTGATACCCTTGAACAGACAATTGGAGGCTATCATCCGGATTTCGGAGTCGTTGGCCAAGATCACACTGTCACCTGTCGTTCAGAATCATCATGTTGAAGAAGCTATTCGTCTCTTCAAGTTCTCTACCATGGATGCCGTCTCTGCTGGCTCGGTCGATGGCATGTCTCGGGGTGAACTGAACGATGAAATGTCCCGGATTGAGAAGGAACTCCGACGACGACTTCCTGTGGGATGGAGTACGAGCTACCAGAGTCTGGTCAGAGAGTTCGTCACACAACAAGGATACTCAAGTCATGCCCTGGAGCGGACGCTCTTTGTCTTGGAAAAGAGGGAGATCATCCGATTTACTGGACAGGTAAACGGTCTTCAGTATGTTCATCGTCTTTCTTTGACAACTTCATACGTCTACAGAAAAAGGTCGTTCATCGGTGAGATGCACGGTATGGTTTTCACAAATTCGCAGAGCTGACGTGGATATCTAGGGTGGGTGTTTGAGTTGGCGTACTTCATGACGATGGTTCTTCGGCTATGGATCATCTACTTATGCAATGTGTGATGGGCAAGACTGCAGCCTGCTGGGAGTTGTACTATTTTAATAGGGATTTCTTCAAACTTAGAGGTTTCACGCTTTACCTTGTAAATGTATTTCATTGTGCAATTCTATACTAGTGTTAAAAGCTACGTTGACATCGCCCGCCTAGCTCAATCGGATAGAGCGTCAGACTCTTATGACTAGGCGATCTGAAGGCTGCGAGTTCGACCCTCGCGGTGGGCTAGTGTTTTTGCTTCCTCCAAGGCGGACCTAGCTGCAGCGATGAAGTCCTGGACCACGAACATACCATCAAGAAAATATTCATTTTTGTCCAACATCCAAAGCACTCGTGTTCGCCGCGCGTGCATGATAATGATTGTACGATATGCCTTGTTACTGAGTGGCAAAAAAGCCTATGCGTGGCGCACAAAGTACTGGAGTGGCAAGCATTAAGGTCCTATGGTCAATTTATTTAGCCTGTTGTAAACGTTTGTGACTAACACGACTGTCATGACTGAAAATAGCATCAGCTAGGTATGTGGAGTGCAGGGCAATCGGACAAAGGAGGGGAAAGTGGACTCAGAGCTACAGCAAAAAGCCCACCGCGAGGGTCGAACTCGCAGCCTTCAGATAGCGATTGTACAACACGATCGTAAAAGTCTGACGCTCTGGCCGATTGAGCTAGGCGGGCTTTGACCAACGTCACCCAAGCGGCTCCTATATCTATTATTGGTGCTTTGACTCCTTATCATGTGACAGCCAATGGCTCGAAAATCAAGCACGTGCGGTTTCACTGAGTGCAACGCGTATCAAGTTTCAATTTCAACGTTTCAACTTGCCCAGATTCGGTCCGTACCTATAAAGCATAGTGGCACCAGGATCCTCTTCCTCAATTTGACAGACTATCATGATACTCAATCGACAGTCAACTAGCGCTGTATCGGAAAGTGAACAAGAGCTGCCAAGAGAGCTGCCAAGGTGAGCTTCGGTTATCATTCGAGCCATACTGTATTTCTGTTGCTTAACTCAAATCATGTCACTGCTTGCTATTGGTGGCACTAGTACCGCGAATATCAATCTGTATGACGCATCGAAGAGCACTGGATGCTCACAGGACGTGATAGTCATATCTTCGGACGATGACACAGAGTGCGCGCGCGAATTGCTCACTTCCCCTGCTTCCCATCTCAACCCTTCAACTATATCCAGGCCGGTCGAAGCGTCGCAAACCGCTAGAGGATGCGCAACGAGGTTTCGCGCCGAACCTCTGACTGCCGATAGTCTGTCACAAGGGAATATATTTTCATTCAAACAGACAGATATTATAGAAATATCTGACGATGATAATATGGAGGAGCTTCCTGCCTTGCTCACGACTCAACGTGTCAGTACAGCTGTCCCTTCTCCACCTCCGAATCAGGTGGGTGATAACGACGAAGGGTATTCCTGGGATAATATCGACGACGGATCAATATTGGTTTTGTAAGAAGCCATCTCAGCACAGGTTATATGAACTTACATGTAGCCACAGCGACGATCCAATTATTGCTCGAAAGCCCATTCGCCAAGTCTTTGCCAAGTCAGCGTCACCTTCTGCAACTCGGAGGGTGCCAGTAGCGACGGCTCGATCCATCATTCAGAGCTCGGACTCAGACGATAGTCACTCAGCTCACCTTCACAAACCATCACACGGGAGTCCCGCCAAATCAAAGCCGTCTTCCAAGAAACCTCCAAGATCAGCGGCTCGGCGCGTCATCCTCAGCTCCGATTCTGAAGACCACTCATTTTACTACTCTCCTACACCATTGGCCACAAAGACGAATGTTGTTCCTCAGATCGAACCTCCCAAGATACCGCGGAGAGGCAAGAAGGCTCTGGCAGCCGCAGAACAAGCCCGACGGGAAAGTTATGCAACCCAGTTATTCAATGATCTCAACCAAACTGTCTTTTCCGGAGGTCTTCCAAGCAAAACCAAGCTGGTATGGAGTAAACGACTGCTTACTACAGCAGGTCGAGCGAAGTGGCATAGGTCATCTACTGAACCACATGGATGCATTATCTCAAGCTGACTGAACCTTCAGGTCAAGAGATGGTGTGGAGACAAGTGAAATAGAGCTCGCCAGCAAGATCCTTGACTCGGACGGTAAGGGGATTCTTTCAGTCTATGAACGTAGTGTTGACTCGCTCGAGAATAAGAGAGGATCAGGAACACACTATCGCACGAGATGTGTCATCTTGCTTGTTGGGTCATCAACAACAATATTCGCGAGGGCCATGGGAAGGAGTTCAAAGCATGGTAAGTCGCCACAAAAGAAGGTTGAGTCTAGTTGCTAACTTGAATCCCAGGGCGGCTAAAGTCACGAAGACTCGCTCTGATATTCGGATTTCAGTGAGTATCGACTTGTATGTGATAGTGTGCATGTGTTGAGGTTGAAGCCAGACACGACACACTTACGAAATCGCATATGCATATGAATGGAGTAAGTTAGCTTTGACTTGGACCAATAGAGAGCGATCTAACCTTCCTGCAGAGTGCGAAAAATGTGACAAAATGTAGATATACCTTCAAATCCATTTCTAAGCAAAGTATCTTTGACGCACTCTATCCCTAGATACGGCAGGCACAGTAAATCAATCAGACCGGATGAATGCGGTACGTAGAAGGCAAAGACCTTCATCGTCCTCTATGCTAACTGGGCGTTTCAGTTTGCGGGGCTTGTAAGGAAGGGAGGCTCATTCCACTGTTCACCCAAAGAACTCCGAAAGTATCGAAGGCGAGTAAGCTTGTTGCGACGATACCGCAAGGTACTAGGCCGCTGGCTTCTATAATATGGTACCTTCGTCGCGGTATTCTGATCCGATGTTCCAGCCAGTCCAAAGCTTCTTTCTCGCTCAGTCAGAGGCGGTGAAGGTGAGATCAGCTCACGCCTAATGGCCTCGGCTGACGTTATATGTATAGATGGCGTTGTGCCGGATGAAGATCTCGGTGTCAACGTACTCACTGCTACTGTGAGCAGAATTTCCATTTTCTAAGGTTATATAAACTTGCAATCTAGCACAACTACTTCTGAGAGAGCTACGCATGTTTGGATTTAGAGTTGTTTACACTTGTACTAATTGATTCTGAAGCACCTGGGCATGGATCGGAAGCAATTAGTAAATGAAGCGGATGCATCAGAACAGAGTGCTTCCCGAAGAGGGACTTCGTTTCTGGTTGCCTGTTTGGGCGCCAAGTATGTTATGTCAACTGTTCACCAGAACTTCGCCTCCTTGTTTGCCGCTTCTCTCCCGCCCACGGTTGTATCACAAGAGGACACTTTGAGGCGCGACAGTCTCCTAACCTCACCATGGATTTTCTTTCTTTGTCAACACCTTTGTTGGTCCTGCTTGGTGCTCTCAAAGCATGTGGGGTCGTGCTCCTACTTCTGCTCGCGAGGGCCATCTATTGGATGTTCAACATGCTGGTCGTCGCACCTCTTTTTGATCCTCTCAAAAATGTACAGGGGCCCAAAGGGTCAATCTTGGAGAACCATTTCCGTCAGGTCATGGAGTGAGTTTTCCAAGTGGTAGAGATCAACCCGCCATTCTGAGCTGTATTCAGCCCTAGAGTCAGCCCTGATACGCACGAGAGCTGGACGCGAACATACGGCAAAACATTCAGATTCCAGGGCTTTGGCAGAGTTCGTTCATGTTTTAAATAATTCTCAAAGGAGGTATCTAAGTCCCTTGTCAGCATGACTATCGATTACTTTCCTTGGATTTTCGTGTCATGAGTCATGTCTTGAACTCTCCTGTGTATGAGAAGCCATGGCAGACACGTTCCCTTCTCTCCAGACTCCTCGGCAAAGGTAGGTATTTCTGATATCCGTTAGACCGTTTGTACTGAAATTCACAATGAAAGGTGTTTTTGCCATGGAGGGTGACGAACATAAACAATTGGTACGTCGGTGTTTAAGCTTGACACCTTCACAATCTGAGGGCTAACGATGGTCCACAGCGAAGACTGATAATGCCTTCCTTTTCGACGCATGCAGTAAAAGCCTTGACACCGATTTTCTTCCAGAAGGCCGAAGAGCTTCGGGACATCTGGGAAACGTTGATCATGAATCCTGATTCTCCTCGCGACTTGCAACGCGGCAAGCTCCCCCCTCTCCCTCCTCCGCTATATATCCCCGAAAAGCCCCTCGCTGAGCACATCATTGATGCGTCCCACTGGATATCACGGGCAACTTTTGACGTGATTGGCCTTGCAGGCTTTGACTACCATTTCCATTCACTCCAAGACGAGACCGAGGACGTATATCTTGCCTACCGTAGAATGTTTGATATAGCCGACAAGGCACCCGGTCTCAAGGGCCTCATTCAACTATATATCCCATGGCTGGAGAAAATCTTGGTATGGTTTGGTTTGACTCTTGCACATGGTACTGTGCTCATGTATCTGGATGTAGCCCGACGAAGGCGAACGCATCACTCAAGAGAGTCTCCGGACTATTCACCAGGCGGGTGTACGTCTTATTCAGAGCAAGAAAACAGCTATCCTCGCGGAGAAGGCTAGTTCTCAAGAAATCAAAGAGAAAGACATCCTCAGCCTTTTAAGTAAGTCGATATACTGACATTTTTGACCAAGCTAACTTTTAGACAGTCAAATCCAACCTGTCTTCTGATGCACCATCTCGTCTGTCCGACGCCGAGCTTTTAGACCAATTATCGACATTCCTCTTCGCCGGGTCCGACTCAACGTCACTAGCAATTGCCTGGTGTTTGCATCTTCTGTCTCTTCACCCCTATGCGCAGGCTCGTCTTCGAGATGAGATCATGTCGTTATCGCCATGTGCCTCCAGAACATCGGACGGTCCCTCTGACTTGTCGCTGACTGACGCCATCGACGCTCTCCCGTATTTGGATGCAGTCGTACGCGAGACTCTTCGCCTTTGTCCCCCAGTCCACGGCACGATACGTGTAGCCACCCGCGACGATCAGATACCGGTTTCATCACCGATCCTTCTGCGCGACGGAACGCTTATACGAGAGGGCGAGACCATTCCTATCAGAAAGGGCTCGTACGTACATATACCCATTGAAGGACTCAACTTCAGCCCTGACATCTGGGGCGAGGATGCACGGTTGTTCAAGTAAGTCATTCGTAGACTGCTGTCACATACGGCCTCCTGACAAACCTCTCAACAGCCCCGATCGATGGTCGTCCCTTCCAGCAGCTGCCCGTACACCCGCCCACCCCGGCATTGCCAGCATGATGACGTTCTCGTTCGGCCCACACGCTTGCCCAGGTTGGAAGTTCTCCCTTTTGGAGGCAAAGATCTTCATAGCGACACTCCTGCCCCACTTCGTCTTCGAACCCGCTGCCGAGATACGGAAGACCAACTCAATTCTCACGCGCCCATATGTATACGACCAGTTCGAGTTTGGTTCGCGAATGCCCATCAAAATTGGCCGTTATACCCCCTAGCTTTCCTCTAATTCTTACTGTATAGTCATTATTGTAGCGTTTGTAGAAATACTCAGTGTATCCATATGTAGTCATGTCTTGCAACGGTCTGTAATGTCCCATGCGAAGAACACAATGAGATGCTGTCAGTTGCGATGCGGTAGGAGGCGGCACGTTGTAAGTTAACGAACCAGTGTTGATTGAACCATACTCGTATCCATTACATTACAAGTATCGATAAAAACGAGTCTAAACGAAGAAGCGGAGGGTACCAGTTCTGTAATAGTAACAGGATTTCTGCATCAGGAACAGCCAGACCATTAGTAACAACTGATATGTATGCCAATGCGAGATACGAATAAAAGAGGAAAAGGGAAACGTGAAGGTAACAACCTCACGTATACCAGCCCCACGCCCAAAGTCTGTTCAAGCTAAGAAAGCAAGCCAGTAGAAGCAAGCCAATGGCCGGTACATGAAGTAATAACGTCCGTCCGTCCGTCACCAATCGTTGATACCGACCCAATCGGAGTCTTTCACGTCTAACCAGATGTGGTTCACTACGTCACGCGCCTCTTTCCGATCGCGTTGATCAGGAACAAGCATGGGCTCCAAGAAAGCGCAGAATGCGGTTGAATCGGTCCCAGAGAACAAGTACTTCTCTGTCATGACATTAAAGAGCGGCCAAACCTTGAGCGACTTGATGTACCGTAGGCCCCCACTATGGTCAAACAGCTCCCTGCTGTACTTGCCCCCCATCTTGGCATCCAGAGGGAAGTCGCCCATGAGCTCGATGATCTGAGCCATATGATCGTCATCTTTAGCGAAGAGCTCTCCTTGCCCGTGAGGATCGAACAGATACTCTGCGGTCAAGAGCTCGAAGATTACGCATGCCACGCTCCACACATCCGCGCGTGTGCCCCAGTCTCTCCGACCTATGATCGCTTCTGGCGCCCGATACTGCCGAGTCTGAATATCCTCGGTGTAGTGGCGTTTAGAAGGGGTAGCGTTTCCAAGATCGGCTATCTTGATTGATATGGGGATAAAGGAGTTTACACCAGGGGTTGGTGTATGGGACGATGAGGCTAGGGGGGTAGCTGAATCGTGTTTGGAATGGTCCAAGTGGGAGGGGGCAGTTTGAGACAACAACGAAGGGCCAGCTGTACCAGGGGTCGTTTCGTGGGGATGATGTGGAGGTATCAGACTCGAGGAGTCTGCAGTCGTTCGCTTGTCATCGGGTATAGAACTATCCTGTGTGACAGGTGACTTTCTAGCCCGTGAAGTAAACGAGAGTGAGAAGGAAGCCAACTTGGATAGTAATGGATTATCACTGCCAACGGATGTAGCGGGAGTGTCAACGGCACTGTTGACTCCGTTTGGAATGGAAGGGGGTGACGAAGAAGCAGAAGATGTAGCAGAATGTGACGGACTTATAGTCGTTGTCGGCTGTTTCAACCCTATGATGCTTCCGGATTCGTGGTTGCAGTCAGGACGCGGTTTCAGCACATCGCTCAGGGATGCAGAGGCGGACGAGGTGTTCAAGAGGTACCGTGATAACGTCACACTCCCGGCACTTCCACTAACACTGCCGCATCTCGACGAGGGGCTAGATAACGGCTGCGAGTCGAAAATCTGGACATGTCGTTCGCGGATTGATGTGCGTCGCTGGGGAAAGGACACACCGGAGCGAGACTTGGTCGGCTGGGGAATGCCTACACGGCGAGAGGTGGGCGAGGAGGAGGCTGATAGTTCAGCATGAATATGAGTCTCGATATCAGGTATGGAAATCACTTGATAATGCATGAAGATGAGGTAAGAAAAATGCGAACAATCAAAATACTACTTACATATGTTCTCTGGCTTGATATCAGTATGGACAAGATCGCATTCATCATGCAGGTACTGCAGTCCAAGAAGGACCTGCTTAGCGATTACCTTGACCACGGGAGGAGGTACGCCCTTCTTTTTGTTTCTTTCGATAAGGGCCAGGAGGTTCTCGCCCAACGGTTCGAAGACGATGCAAATGTGTGAATCCTGCGGACCACTGTGCGTGAAGGAATCAAGGAAAGAGACGATATACTGCTTCCCGATATGAGCCGGATTGGCTGCGGCCACTTGAGATAGGAGCTTTATCTCGTCACGAGCGGTCTCGGCATAGCGACTCGCTGACTTGACGACCTTGAGGGCGGAATGTCGATTTTCCCTGATAACACATGCTTGTTACAACATTTATCATAGCAAGAATGGACAGACAACACTTACTGTTTGTCCTTGACTAGCCATACTGTGGAGAAATGACCCCAACTGTGGAGAACACATTTGAGGACATTATCGGCAAGAGGATGCAAACGGCTTACCCTAGCTTCCGAGTGACAAGGTATCTTCCATCCTTAAAGGTATCGTTGATCTTGACTGGGAGATATCCACCAGCGTTGTAGTCTGAAGGAGCTTCCTCGTCTCTCGACTCTTGTTCGATGACAGGGAGAATCTTTGGACCCCCTGGGGTATTGACGTACTGGTACTTAGCGCATGGCTCTTTCAATGCCATATACTACGATGAGGAGCGAGGGAGCTTTGGCGGGGACAAGACGCACGAGGGTGCAGATGAACGTGTGCTCGACAGGCTGGTTATTTGTGGGCGGCTCGCGTATCGGAACGGATTCGGAGCGGGTCCGTGATGGTCATGCGTGTCGCCCTTCGCATTTTGACTCAATTTGATAATTTGCCCGTTATCGCTGACATCGCACCATGACATAAACACCGGTACCCCTTTTGACGTTGACGTTGCTAATGCGACCGGTCAGGTACCCTAAAGGGAACGGTTTGGCCTTCCTACAGTGAAACCCTTGATCACTAAATTGATGGGATGTGGGGTTTCATAATCGCTCCTTCATAACCTTGACCCCCCTCATGCACTCGCCTCTTTTCTCGCTACATCAGTGTCCTTTTTAACCAGCACAACGTTCCCCATATTCCTTCTCTATCCTCGCTCACGCCAGCTCTTTTCCCGGGAACCGCCATTCACACCACAAGTCCACGGGAGCTGTGTCTATAAGTTCGCACTCTCGACGAGGAACGATGTCCTCCAGTGTTTCCAAGCGATTCATTGGTGCCGTCCAGGATGAATGGCAGCTCTTCAGGTCAGCTACTCTTATTATTCGGCCTTGTCATATGCTCAACCAAACCCAGTGACTGTTCATCAGATTACACTATGGGGGCACCAATTGGTTTCGGTGCCTCCTCCATCGTCTATGCCGCCATATTCAATCCTCCAGAGGCTTCAAACCCTGTGCCTTGCGCACTCAAGGTCCTTGATCTGGACTCCTTATCGCTTCACACATTCTCGCTGCTGCGACGTGAGACTCAGTTGATGTCTCTCTCGAAACACCCCAACGTCCTCCGCGTCCGCGGGAGCTGGATGGATGGACACAAGCTCTACATCGCGTTGCGTCTGATGAACAAGGGCAGCGCCGCTGACGTCATGCGCTATGGCTGGCCAGGAGGCATGGAAGAGGAGGTTGTCAAGTGCATTCTCAAACAAGCGCTTGAGGGGCTCAAGTAAGTGGGGCTCCGCAGCATTTCTAACATGCACTGACTGGAGCATGGCCATGTAGCTACCTCCACGTGAACGGGTTTATTCACCGCGATGTGAAGGCGGCGAACCTGTTGATTGACGACGATGGAACTGTCCTTTTGGGGGACTTAGGCGTGTCCACGTCCCTTTCTGATGACCACGACACCAGCCGGGCTTCGGGTGGAACAGACAACCGCGCGATGCACTTTGAACCTCTCTCGGCTAACAAGGCTCCACACCTGAGCTCCCCTCAACGCCCTAAAATGGGCAAAAGGAAGTCGTTCGTCGGAACGGTGCGTACTATCGATTCCTAATCTGGAAGGTAACTTACCGTCGGTTCACAATAGCCTTGCTGGATGGCACCCGAACTAATCCAAGGCAAGCAATACGACTCGAAAGCGGACATCTGGTCATTTGCGATTACCGCTATCGAGCTCACCCAGGGACGACCTCCCCGCTCACGGGATAGCCCTCACTCTGTTTTACTAAACACGTTCGTCTTTTGCCGCGCCTGCACCCGCCTCATTCTAATGCGCAATAATTAGTGTTCAGGGCAAACCCCCCACCCTTGATCGTGAGCACGGCGTGCATCAGTACTCGCGCGCTTTCAAGGACATCGTGGACAGCTGTCTTAAGAAGGATCCATCGCTTCGGTATATACCAGCTTTTTCTTAATACTCTTCAGTATCCTCATTTCACGCATCTTCTAGACCCACAGCAGAGCAACTGTTGCAAACCCCCTTCTTCAAATCCGCGAAGAAAAAGTCTTACCTCGTGAATGCGATTCTCAACGACCTTCCTCCGTTGACCATGCGTCAAGAACGTCGTAGGCGTGAAGGGAGCGTGATGAGTCATGGCACCACCGATTCCTGGGATTTCAATGTTACCGCAGCAGGATCTCCTGTGGCTTCTATCATTGGCGCTTCCACACTCAGTGGGAAAGCCTTACAGAGGCTATCCAAAGTGACTTCCGTCCATAGCGCGAAGAGCACGGACGGCCTCATCGTAAGCAAAGCACGCTCGAATACCGACTCCGTCGGTGGAGAACAGCGTTCCCGTTATCGTGGTAGTAACGGTAATCAAGAGGATGGAATTGGCGCAGGCTTGCCTTCTCGTTCCAAGCCCCGGGCGGTGCCTGGCCGTAATCCATCGACGACGGTTGCGAGGAAAGTGGAAGACGTTGTCAACACAGACGAATTTATAGGCAGCCATTTGCCCACTCTACCGCCTCTTTCCTCTTCGCCAACGGACTCTTCTGAGTCGAGTGCTGCGTCTGCCGTGTTCCATTCGTCCAATTCCTCGCTCTCCGCCATCGAGGCGGGCTTGCCCTCTCCTCTCCCAGACCATCCACTAACACAACCGACAACGATTCCTATCCGGAGCGGATCGTTTTCCTGGCGTCGTAAACCTTCTTTCGCATCTGCAATGTCTACCTCGCCTTCCTCCCTTCCTTCTGCTGGAACTACTGGTTTCTGGAAGAAGTTGACAAGATCAAATACGAGGACTCTAGTGGCTGAAGAGGACAAGCCACCAAGTGGATTAGCGCGTATGCTCAGCAAACACGGAGTTGATCTCCGCTGATCGTCCGCTTATCCAACCAAAGAACGTGGACCCCTCTCCTTGTGACGACTTTGATGACGACTTTGACGACCAATCTACGACTCATTGCCTACTATCTGGCACCCCACAACGCTTGTCTAATACTTCAACGAAGTTCCATCTGCACATAATAGTATTTAATGTCCTATATACTCACTTGCTGTACTATACCTCCACGTCAAAGGCAGGTTACCTCTAATTATACGTGTAGTTGCAACTGACCAGGTGTCATTGATGACATTTGGGCACCAATCATCAAATCGTGTGATGGCGACTTGGAGGGTGACGATAGGATGGAAACCTCTACGACTATCTAAGTTCTCATTACAGGAAGTCAACTCTATTAATCTACCCAACAATGAGGTTGCCGTCGACGTCGTTGAAGTCATACGGGGGGATTTCAAGGTTAAGCTACATCAGTGACATAGTCAGTTATGTTTTTTGTTCAGAAAAGAAAGCGACTTACAGGAGCTGGGCCCTTGCGAGCGCGTCCGGCTAGTCGCTAGGTCAGCAAAGAAAATTTCATGTGGAAGATATGATAGAACATACAGATATCGTAGTGAGAACCATGACAGGGGCAGAACCTGTGATGCACATGTTAGAAGATGTACGGCTTGGTTGAGATATGTATTCACCATCCTCCATAGTCACCAGACTCGCCAATTGGCACGCAACCAAGATGGGTGCAGACACCAACCATGACTAACCACTCGGGTTTCTTCACGCGATCCTCGTCGCTCTGGGGGTCACGGAAAGTCTTCCAGTTGACGTTCCGGGCCTCCTCGATTTCGCCCTGGGTACGGTGACGGATAAAAACGGGTTTGCCGCGCCACTTGATAATGACGTTCTTGCCCTCTGGAATGGAGGCGAGTTCAACTTCCGTCTTAGCAAGAGCGAGGACATCGGCAGAGGCGGCCATCGTCTCGAGGAAACCGGTTACAGCCGATTTTGCGACGGAGGCAGAGAGGACACCCATTGAGCCGACTATAACGTATGAAAGGGCACGGTTAGTGCTGCTAGACTTGGCTTCGTAGTCCGAAAAGTCGGGAACCTCGGGGGCTTCCCGTGCGACAGCCGAGGTGTGCAGAAGGCGCAGGTTGGTCGTCGGAGGTGCGGCTTAACTTGATTTTAGGCGCATACTTCGGTTAACACAGAACCCATCATGCTTACTGGAGAATGTCTTCGAGACAAGGCCTGCCGAAGGGCTCCTGTAGGCACCAGTCAGGCGTCTGGGGACGTCGGAGCGAGCACCAGAGTGGTCATGGCCATGGTGGTCTCCGGCCGGAGCACGAGCAGCGAGGTTGAGACGGGAAGCGTGGGGCACACCGCTAGGGAGAGTGCGCACGGTGGGGGCGAGGTTAAGGGATTTTTTGGCCACATTGAACGTCGACATGGTTGGTGACGGGGGATGGGCCGCTGAACGATGCTTGCGGTGGTGATAAATATTCTTGAAGGTGTTTTAGCGGAGTTGTCCCAGCCCGTGTCCGCATATTCCCGAACCCTTCCGACTCAAGCGCGTCGACGCGTCTGTTCCAACTCGATCGTATTCTAAAAACAGCTCTTTCAGAGTAAGGCTCGTCATACATGGAAGGCACAATAGATAGGGCTATAAAAAACAGGCGTTTGCAATAGCTCATTCACTAAAAGGTTTCATATCGAGTCATTATACAGCTGCAGATATTTTGCTAGTAATGGTGGCGTTCTTTCATGCTCGAAGAGCAAAATCTAGATTGTCTGAGATCTTACAACACATACAACTCACATCTATATGCTATAGCTTTAATAAAAATCGTGTGGAATTTATATCGTGCAGGTATGATGATGTTTATTCTAAAGTACAATTGCTGAGAAATCCCCATGTTGAACTTAACGGTTTGACATATGCTTGCTCAGACAGTCAAAGACACGCCGTTTAGCATGTTTCGGTGCAACAGGTAGCATCTGCTGCTTGATGTAACGACGCACGACACCAGGATCTGATTTTGAACGGCATGTCGGTGAATATCGACGATATAGGAACATCAAGCCATTCACGTACAGTCTGTGATGATACCGTCGACGTTCCACTCCACCAATTGCTCAACGACATCAAGTCGGTTGACCTATAGGTTGATCAGCACGCCACAACGTGCGCCTCGGATCTGGCTTCTACTTACTGTCCAGGGCTTGACCTTCAATCCCAGTCTATGGGCTTCGTTGATCATGGCCTTGGTGGCAAAAGGAACATAGTTCTCCGCATGCAAGTCTTCAGGGGAGCGAAACGACTCTGCCGAAGGTGAAAGTATGTCTGCCGATATTGCCTGGGCGGCTTGAGCGACTTGATGACCTGACGTAGGGCCGGGGAATGTATCGAGGCGGAGACCAGCAAGCCAAGGAGTGGTGTAATTCTCGTCCGAAGTGAGGGCAGTATCACTGAGTCAAACGGTAAGCAATATATAACCCGCTACCTTGCTCTATTGATGTAACTTACTCATCAATGAGCGCAGAAATGGTAATCGAGGGATCGATATGCTGGAAAGTATGTTAGAGATTTTTGGGTTTGGGGCAAATCATGAATATTTTACCCTCATAGCAACCAGCGTCCGCCAATCGAAGCTTTGATACTTCGACAAGTCAGCCATTACCCGTACAGATAGCAGAGACAATCACACAAATATACTCACGGTGATGGACTTGTGATATGGGCTTGCGGCAAAACTCGCCTGTTGTAGTCGAGCAAACATTTCTGGTTCCTTTGTGCAGTTACTACAACGAGCGTCGACCTTGGACTCAATGTTCCAAAGTATTTGATGTGTTGGATCAGCGCATTCAACAAAATCGAAGACTTCTTGTAGTGTCGAGATACGTGTTCCAGGATAAGTAAGTTGCTGCGCTAGAAAGCTTGTTGGTATCACACAAATACTTGGCAACTTTGAGACGCATACGGTAGTCACGTTGTCTTTTGGATCCACAATCCAGAGTTCGTATTTGGGCCAGGGTAAGATTGGCTACATATTTCCCAACATACGGAAACATGGGATCATCCTGGAACTAAATGCAACAAGTCAGAGCTCGAAGAGGTCATAATGCGATATATCTGGGCTTACCGCGGGCTGAGTGTCCTGGCACTTCTGTGCAACAATGTTTTCGTCATGCCAGACGATCACTACTCCGTCCTGTTGATAGACATTAGGATACTGTTGTGATGCCGAACGAAGTTGCATACTGCCGTAATACCATTGTCCAGCTCAAGGGTGGTTGCGCCATCAATTAAGGCCCTTCAAGGTGTAAACGTCATGCGACCTGAGCAGTTTAGTGAAGACAGTACCAAGCAAAGCTTGGAAGGACACTCTCGACGGTGCTACCTCTTCCACCACGATGCGCCTATAAGCCAGATGGACATAGGTTCGACGAGTAAGCCGATTCAGCTGCATACCTGGACATCGTAAGCCTTCCTACTCAAGCTATGTGAGACATCGAGGGACAAGGGAAGCTGTGCTGGGGTAGACGAGACCAGCCCAACCTCAGCAAGTAGGAAGGTGACCAGAGAACGGAGGGACATTCGGCTTGAGAAGGGTGACCCGAGAACTATAGAGTCGGGTGCGGAAATATATGCTTGTGCGCGGCATGATGGAGCTTTGCAGATTCCGACTGGTCTGATCTCGAATAGCACTGAAATATACCGCGGTCGTCCTACTATTGGGTACTGGGCGGAGGGCGCATACATTCTAAGGACGAACGTTCGAGCATGTTTCTCCTTTGGAGATCCGATTGCGGTGTAGTCTCCCGTAGGCAGAACTTACTGCGGTGTGAGCTTGCACTCGGGGCGGCTTGATCCCTGTATTTACACACAAAGGTTGCCAGAGATCTTAGCCATGTCAACCTAACGTCGAACTGGGTGCCAGAGATACATGAGACCTATCGCGATCGAGACCTCGTCGGAAATCGAGAAATCAAGTGCGAATATGTGCGAATGACCTTTCATCTGAACATCGTGGAATTAGCATGCTGACAAGATAGCATACCTGTGAAGTCCGGACAGGATCTCAAGCGTTCATTTGGCACTTTTATCAAACGTGCGCGATAGAGTCGGAGAAACTGTCAATCTTAACCATTTGGTAGCACTTTGTCATGCACGCGGTGCTTTTGGTTGGCCGGTGTCAGCCAGTACTGGCCAGCAGACCAAGCTATTGTGAACTTTGTCGTCATCATTCCTAAATACAAAACGACGTTGACATCAATACGAGATTAAACTTCATGCGGTTGTAACTCTACCTGAGTGAGCCACAATTCGGCGCCAATACTTGTTTGTACCCACACGTCGCGATGACGAAGCAGCTAAGTATAGTGGAAGGATTATATAGGATAGCTATCATTCACCACTACAGAAAGGCTGGGGCCCACGCGGAGCATCGATATCCACGACTGCAATCTCGAGCACATATGGTGTGGCTATACGAGGTCAATATGACACCCTACGCAAGTATTAGGTTGCGGAAAATAGAACGACACCTCGCAAGCTGTTTAATTCCGACGTGGAGCTTGAGCTCAGGCTTGTGCTAGATTCGGTGTGGGTGCGGGGGCGAAGCAATTTAGCGTGATGCTATACGTGAAGAAACCCTGGTCAAGCTGAATCGGTCCGTGAGGATACTTTGGCTTTGACCTCAGGATCTTCCCCGGCGAGGTTAGTGAGGCCCAAGTTTTTCCACTCATCGCGGTCCATCAAACCCCTGCATGTATTAACACTCGAACTCAGCCAAGAGAGCGAAGCAGAAGACATACTTGGTCATTCTGCAGTCGAGGTACTGCTTACTGAGGACTCGACAAGGCGTCGAAGTGCTAGAGTTTTGCTTGAGACATTTCATGTATTCCATCATAGCTTCCTTGCATTCTCCTGTGCGGCAATTACATGACCATGGCACCTCGACTGAAGATGACAGAACACACCATCATGGTCTAGAGGGAAAGACCCTCTATTAGGCGGCGAGACCTTGAAACCGACGTTGATTGAGGGGGGACGACCAAAAGACATGTCCTGGTTCGAGATTATGTTCGTATCCGTGTAAAAGGATGTACGGGCCGCCGCGACGTAGTACGGAGTGACGGATCGGCCTTGTCCCCCAAGTGGCTGTGCCTTCGGGGCTTGCCCTGGCTTGCCTCCAACTGCATTGTTTTGACATTTCTGAGTTTTACCCTGTTTTACCTGGTTTCAAAAATTTACGTCTCGGTGGGATCAAGTGCGGATGGTTTAAGATGTTCTGTAGCGCGAATACCACAGCGCAGCGCCCTTGAGCATTTTTGTGTATGTGTGCTAATAAGCCAGCTGTCACCTTTGTGGAGACAACCTAATATATGCGACTTGAGTACTTGAGTTTGCATGGTCACTATGTAACATGAGCACGCTAGCTCTCAGGATCTCATGACAGGTCGGCAAACGTCATATGGAGGCCGGCGCGGAATACCCCACGCCATGGTCTGACCAGCTACCACTGTTTTCAAGGTGCTATCTGGCGTAAATGTTAACAGCATGTAGGAAATGAGATGTATGCGGATATATACCGAGTACATTTTACATTTGTCAATGTTAATACAGATGCTTTCATGCTAGATCATTACTCAGGCGAAAAGTCGTAGTGTACAGAGAGTGATAAAAAGACAGGAAGTACTGAGAACTAACAGAGACAACACGGCAGTCAATTAACCGATGGATAATCAGTAAAATGTCCGGGACTGCAAGAGATAAAAAGAGGCGAAAGGAGCGGCCCTGGATGTATCCTCATGCTCATCGTCATTAGCGAAGGCTTGAGTTATGATGCCAAAATGCGTCGTCCTTAACGATCACGATACACCCTTGTTTTCGCCTTCCTCACCCTTATGAGGTTGTCCCTGTTGCTGCTCATCATCTTCAGACTCTTCGTCTTCGTCTGTCCTTGCATCCGCAGGTTCACTCGACACCTTGTTGTCGCCTTCGATGGTGGATGTAGCGTTCAGAGCTTTGCCCCTGAGTAGGACAATCTCCTTCAGCCAGCTGTTTTCTTTCCTGAGGTCTGCCGCTTCACGTTCGAGTTCCTCGGCACGACCAGCCAGATCGGCGACAGTCCGCTCGAGATTGAGGGTCCATTGCTTCTTCTTTATGCGAAACCGTGCTGTTCGTCCAGTGAGCCGGCTTGTTACAGGTACATAAACGATTAGCGTACCAGATGCAGCAGTATTACGACGTCGTTTGTCCTCGGCTATCGCCGTGACTTCGTCGTCTGCGGCATCCAAGTCGCCCGAATGTCCTCCAATTGTAGGCCTTGACAGGGGAAGTGGAAGGTCCGAAGAGCAATCAGAAGGCTGGTCCAAAGATGACTGGTTGAACAAAAACTGAGAGGGGGAATAAGGCCGTGACGGAGCTTGCTGTTGGTCAGAGATCGAAGACACGGATGGAGACCAAGAAGTAGGCGGTGGTAAGTTCATGGGGGGCGCGGTAGGAAAGTTAGAGGGAAATCCGTGTGATGGAGGGAGGGGAAGAGAGCCTTGCATAGACATTAAGGCTTGCATCAAGTAGTTGTAGGCCTCGGGTGGGATTGAAATATGTCCGCTGCTAGGAGGAGCATAGGTGGGTATACTTCCCAAAGAATCGGCAATCTGGCACTCGGTACTCAGTGGAGAGACGGACGATTGTTAGATGAGACGCACCCTGGAGGCGCTATCATGGATGGGCAAGGGAAGATGCCGCCCTTGGAGCAGAGAGTGGCCACTAAGATGGGTGTTGGAGGACCGAGGGTCCTGTGAGTTTTCCATGTCGAAGTGGCTTCAGGTGAAGTGGGTGCTAGTCAACAGTGCCGTAGCAGTGAAAGATCAAAGACCACAGGCCCGGGGCTGGTGTGTCATTTACTCGCGTGATACGGAGGGCTGATTTTGTAATGGACGGATAAATGAGGTTCACCATATATGCGACCCGGTAAGTAACGAGTGTTGACACGCCATACGATCTCGAGATTGCGACAGGAACAGTCGCGGTAATATGCGTATATCCAGGACGCTAATTAGAAATCAGCTTTGAACTTAATGTACGTAAGACATGCAAAAGGGGTTAGACTCCCAGGCCGAAGCACCTCCAGGAAACAGGCTCTTCAATAAGCCAAGCGACTGCCAGCGGCGGGCCAACCAGCTCTACGTTTAGTACGTTACACCTCCAAGGCCCGGCAGCTCTTCTCGCCAAAAAATCTTCTACTGGCTTGTCTTGGAGAAGTACCGGTACTGGTTTAGAAGGCAGTCGCCATAATCACGCCTTTGTCGAGGCCACCCAGCCTTACTAGTATGCCGTACGACCCGTACTTCAAGTTACCGGTACAATCACTCAGTGAAATTCAAAAAAAATTATCGATGTGGCTGTAGACCATCTTTCCGATATTGACCTATAGTACTTGCTAGCTGTCTCACATGTTTGCATAATCACCATCTTTGTCTGCCCTAAACTGCAACCCGAAGTTCGGGACTCAGCTCGTTAGGCGAGCTTCAATACCGGCGCTATAATCCGCGCGTCTAGTAATTTAAATGGAAAGCCATGAATGGGAGTCCCGATTAGGTAGCCATTACTCATGTGGCTGGTTTACAGTGTCAGCTTCACGATTACGCGTATTCCTGTACTTTGTACTATCTTCTTAAGTTGACTGCAATGGTGAGTTGATTATTGCAGCTGGCTTGATTTTGGCCTCTCAAGGCCTAAACAGCTTGTCAGGATTAGGTCAAAAGACGGAAACTTTCGTTTCGAGGTTTCTCCTCAAGATGACGTAGCCGTCCTAGCACAAAAGGCGAGTACATGTTCAGGCTCTGCTTCACTGGCGATCTAATTGCCCACAGATCCTGGAGACCACTGTCAACCCAGACCCATCGTCCATCACAATCTCCAATCAGCCTCGCGGCAGCGAGGTCAAAATCGCTTCCTTCAAGGGCAAGACTCTGCAATCCCTTGGGCTCAAGTGAGTCCGACTTGTCACAATGTTTGACAAATCGTTAAGCCATTCAGACACGGCGATTTGATTTTTGTTGGATATAACCCAGGCATTGCTACTAGCACATCGGCTCCAGAAATCACGACAAACCAGCCGTCTGCTGAAAGTAGCCAGCGTCAGCCTACCACCAATGTCTGGGAACGTGTCAAGGAGGATCCTGTCGATGAATATTGGAGATCGCAAGACGGGAAAATTCCTCGAGGGCGCGACGCACGCTTCTGCAAGCATGGCGCGAACGGGATGTGCGATTACTGCATGCCTCTCGAGCCATATGACTCTGGATACCATGCAGAGCACAACATCAAGCACTTATCCTACCACGCGCACCTTCAGAAGCTTTCTCCAAAAACATCCTCCTCAGCAACTTCCTTGCTACCATCTCTCACACCGTTATCGTACAAGGTGAAAGTGCCTTGCCCAAGCGGAGGTCACGCTCCTTGGCCTGCCGGTATCTGCACTGCATGCCAACCGTCCGCGATCACATTGCAATCACAGCCGTTTCGTACGGTTGATCATCTTGAGATTGCATCGCAGGACATCATCGAGCGGTTTTTGCAAGCATGGCGTACTACCGGAATGCAACGCTTTGGCTGGCTCATCGGTCACTATGAGCCATATGATAAGGTTCCAATGGGTATTAAAGCTGTGGTAGAAGCCATCTACGAGTCACCTCAAGAAGGAGAACTTGATGGTCTGACACTTGGCATCCCATGGGAAGAGGAACAACGTATCCGGGAACTTGCCAGATGGTCGTCGACACCTCTCTCCATCGTGGGATACATCTTCACCGACCTCACGCCTACTCCAGACGATAGAACGAGAAGTATCTATAAGAGGCATCCGCAATCTTTCTTCTTGTCGTCGCTTGAGGTAATCTTTGCGGCTACGATGCAGAATCTGCATCCCACACCCTCCAGGTCATCGACTACCGGCAGTTTTGGCTCACGCCTTGTGACGGCTGTCTTGACAGCTACAGAAGACGGTCAGGTTGACATCAGCGCATATCAGGTCTCAGAACAGGCGTGTGCGATGGTTGATGCGGACATGATCGAAGCCAGCGTTGATCCTGGCATCGTCCGCGTAAAGGAAGAGGATCGGGACCAGGACTCGGCCCGTTACGTTCCCGACGTTTTCTATAGGTACAAGAACGAGTATGGACTCGAAGTCAAGAAAAATGCAAAACCCTGCTTCCCAGTGGAATACCTTATAGTGAATGTGAGTAAGCTTGCTTATTTTACCGTCATTATACGTTTTTACGTATGAAATATCAGGTCACACATGGTTTTCCACAAAATCCATCCCCAATATTTAAATCGAACTCGTTTGCCATCGAGAACCGCCCAGGCGTAGAAAATCAGCATGTCGAGGGTGTCATTGCATCCCTTGCGAGGATGGATGCACCGAATGTTACGAGCGATCCCACACAAAACCCACAAAAGCTTATCGAGCTTGCAAGGTGGTTGAGCGATTGGCATCTCATCGCATTCTTGGGGACGACTCAATTGATTTCTCAGGTAAGGGGCGATGATCCTACAGACACAGGTATACTCATGGGTACATAACATCTAGGATGATATGAAGACCCTTACTCGCGTCGCAACATCGCCGGCGATACTCCAAGACTTGACGCCATTGTCTGATCTGTTCAAAACTGAAGGCTGGCAAACGCTGATGACCTTCACGCGCGAAAGCGCCCGTGAGTTTTCTCGCATATCCTACTTGCCCGTGCTTGTCGCTTACCCTGCTTCCAGCTGCGGTACCAACGTCCTCTCATCTCGGTTCCTCTGGTTCAAGAATGGACGATGACATACCCTCAGAAGTGTTCGACCAGATTGCCGCGGAGGAAGCGGCAGCGCGTGGATCTACAGGTGGTGGCAATGGTGGTGAGGACTCTTCGGGCATTAGGATCTGCCCTCATTGTACGTTTGAGAACGTACATGGGGGAAGCGATTGTGAGGTCTGCGGATTACCTTTAAGCTAAACGATGAACGCCATCAATATGTACAATTACAATGATTTCTTGCTATCCTGTTTGCACACAAATAGACAGCATGGCATAATAATGGCGCGTGCAGTGTCATGTGCTAAGCGTGTATACTGCAAGCAGTCAAGCGCCTGCCCTACATAGTGGGTTGCAGAAGGCGGGTAGGTCGTAAAATGAAGTGGGGAACATGGCGACCCCCCTGCGATTCGCCCGCGCCAGGTCACAGCGTTCAGTCGAACACATGGCGCAGACATGGCGCGCTTCTGGGTCACGATGCATGGCATGAAGCTTGAAGTCGTGCAGGGGCGCAACTCTTGAATAAGGACGAACGGTCTATTTTGCACAAACATCGCGACTCAAAGGGTGGAGATCATGTTGGGCGTAACTATGTTAACTGACGACTTTTGGAAGGAAAGAACAGGATATTCGTTACATCTAAGGTAAAGGTGCTATTGTGATGTATGTGAAGGTGTGTGTATGATGTTTACTGAAACTGTTCTGGATGAAATTGCCAACGATGAATCTCGGGTGTATACAATGAAAGACAAACAGGTAAATCGTCACCAAAAGTCCGTAAAAGGCGTAACTATGGTGGAGTCCGAAATGCTCCGATTTCTGCATGGTCGGCTGTGCGATCAAGAAAATACCCACCAAGCTGCAAAGGCCAACCCAATGATAATTCCGATCGCACGAAGGATAATTACAACGATTAAAGCTTTGCGCACAGCAGCATAGAACGTATTCAGCGCCGTTCCAGCCCAGTTGATCCTATTGAACACATGAAAACTAGTTGACATGGCTAGAAATAGCCGAAGACTTACCTTCTATCGTTTGATCCTCCAGATCTCGTACTGGCCTCCCATCCACGGACGACTTCTCGATACCTCTTGCCAAATACCCTTGCGAGACGTTAGGAGGTGCTTCTGATTATTTTGTGAAGACCTACCAGATCCAAAAGTTGACATCAGGATAGGAAAACCGCGGGAACACGCTCGCGAGACTTGGAGCTATAGCTTCCACACGCATACCTTCACCTCCGACTGGACGGAAGGGAAGATGGAGTGCAGATAGCCACACGGAGGAGTCAACAGCAGCGGCAGCGGCAGACCTTTGTTCACGCTGGAAAGAGCTGACAGATAGCGGCGGTGAAGGCAAGCTAGGAATGGACGTCGAATGCACACTCGGGATCATGTTGGAGAGTAAATCCAAAGTCATGCCAAGCGACAAGCCCCATAGCTTCAGATACTTTGGCTTCAACGCTGATGGCACACCCTTTTCCAGTGAATCTTGCGTCGAATTGGGGAAGGAGCCTGGGCCTTTAAGGGGAGGCGAATTGGCGGGAGAAGGATATGAGGGTGCTGAGGCAGTTTCGATAGTATGGTCGGGTACATCTAGCAACAGAGCTGGGAATTGCATAGTACCAAGGAGAAGCCTGACAAGGTGCTTGAGTTTTGGGGCATGTTTAGGTGTAATCCTTGAGGCGGCGTCGACATTGACGGTTGTCCACTTAGCGCTGCGTTCGCGATCTATCCCAGCAGGGATTGGACTGACTGCGTCCACTAAAGATTCCAGAGGCGTCCAATAAATTTCGGTACCTTCGGCGGGGTCCACTGGGATAGGATTGGCAGTGAGCTGAAGGAAGACAAAAGGTGACAAGATCATAAGAAGCCGTTTTCCAAGGGATGTCGTTATCTCGCGATCATCGAGCTGTCCAATGCATGTGAAGTCCCGCTCAGCCAGGTCAAGTCCTATTTCTTCCCAGGTCTGACGCATAGCTGTAAATAAAAACCACTCGCGATTAGCGGAAGGGATTGCGCTGACTTAGGGAGCAGCATACCAGTATAGAGGCCACCTTCGTCACCCTCCTCCATACGCCCACCTGGGAAGGCTATGTGCGCCTCTGCCTTTGCTCCTGAACTAGCGTTAGACGTGCTGGATGTAGAGGCATAACTCCCTGGGACTCCGTCCGAAGGTGCCGCTCCATCACGGTGCAAATATAGAATCTCCACGCTTGCATTTGGATCGTTAACCCAGTCGAGCTCGAAAAACTGGCTCAACGTGGGTATGGGGGCATCGCTGGGGATAGGCGGTGAGTGGGGAGAAGGAAGGACGCGTATGACGAGTGCAACAGCAGCACGACGAGGTTCTAAAAATTGGAGTATGTCACAAATTAGCGAAGAGGACTCTCATCGTGTTTTGCTTACGGGTTGCGGGCGAAGAGATAAGTCTTGGGGAAGTCGTGCGGATACGATGAAGAGCACGAGACAGTAACCGAACGACGTGGATGGGTTTCTCTAGTTGAGTTGAGCATCAGCCAGTGCGCTTAAGCGTATCCAATCACAGAGCTCACCCGATGACATTATTGCTACAGTAGTTACAAACTAAATGTCGCGGCGAGGGTGGATGTTGTAGCTTCCAGCCTACAACAGACGCGGCCATCCATTTCTTTGGGGATGCGACCTTACTGTACAGACCCCGAAATTCTCAGCGTCGACAAGGACTCCGAAAACCCTGTTCTTGGACATGATGTCAGCTTCTAGATAAGACCAGCGAGGGGCTCTTGGACCTGTACCACCATGTACAGGGTGGGCGTCTCTCCTCAGTGAGAGACCCCGCCTTGTCGTGTACCTGCGTGCACGACGGGTCGTTCATTGTAACTTGGCATATTGCTTTACCAAGAGCCCCCCACCTGAACATAATCTATAACTTATAACCGTATCCTCCATGCCCCCAAGTACGCGGACAGCGCTGACATGCCCGCGCGCTGCATCCCCTAAGACACCCCCCACTCCAGTAAGCTGCTGCTGACCTCGCTACTCCGCGGAACCCAACTACTGGGGGGATTAATGGTAGGCTGCGACCCGGTGTATAGTGCACCTACACCTCCCACCTCCACTACCAAACTTGAGCTCAAGCATGAGGCGACCGACTGTACTAACTCCAGTTGCCCTCCCTGAGGCCTGACCACTTGCCACGGTGGAGTAGAATCGAGGGAACCACCGCGACATATCGGGCGTCTCGCGCCCACCAGCATCCCCTTGATACTCGACGGTCTGCTCGGTCACCGTCTGCGCTCTGCGATACCCCCGTCGCCGGCGACGTACCCCACTCAGTACTTGCCACCTACCTTCCTTTTCGGAAGACGACGCGCCACCCCTCCAACTCATTCCCACACGGCGATCTCATGCCGGGACACCTGCGCGGCGAACTGCTATATCGCCCCTCTTGCTAATTGCCGTGGGTTACGCTCCCCACACTCCCCCCCTTTTTTTCCGCACTGTCCACTTGCCCTATACCCTATTACTGGCCCATCCCCACACTGTGTGTAGCCCGCCACCGCCCATCCTGGGGACCCGACAGAAACCAGTCTGACGATGGAGGTGCTACCCCCAGAGAACTGCTGGAGACTCCTGTTACGTTATGTTCTCCGCCGCTTAACCCTCGCCGGTCTCCGAGTTCCGCCTGGCTATGTGGTATTTAACATAGCTCTGCATGTTGCGCAACCACCCACCTTCGCTTCCGCCTTTATTTTATCACCTCTACGTTATGGATATTTTCATCCCCGCCCACCAGCGCTCCTTCTATAATTCCATGGACACAGTCATCAGCGTATACCACCTCACCAGCCCCGCAACAACGAGAATCGGTCTCCTCACCCTCCCAGTCTTCTACCTAAGGAACATCAGTCCTGACAATGGGACTCAGCTTGACATTGACAGGCACGTTGTCGCTTACTACGAGTCTGTGGACCCTAGCGCAAAGGCCAACATCCTTCCCCGCCCCCTCTTCACCGGCAGTACCACCGTTGTGGTCAATGCCAACAAGTACTGGACCTACTTCCTGGTAGAAAGAGAAGAAGACCCGAACCTTAATCCGGTTCCCTTCCTACCCGAACCGGTCTTCCACGGCCCGCTTATCCTCGCTGTCAAAGACTACTTCTACACAGCCACAATCTCGGACATTCGGTGGACTCGCATCATGCGGTTCTTCTTCCTACTCAGTGAAATTGAGTGGCCCGACATCCACGTCCAGCCACTCTTGTGGGGCAGCCCTGCTTTCCTCTGGGAGGAGCCTGTGAGACCCCCGCCGCTAATCCTCTCGGTCTAACACTCGTAAGTGAGCTGCCTGCTGGCTCCACGCTTAGAACCACCCTCTGACGTCCCTCCTGTGGTGTCAGGTGCCCACGTCGTCTCGGCCTGCGCCGATGCATGCCCCTCCTTATCGCTCCCAGACCGCGGCCCGTCCATACCCGACCCTTCCAAACGATTGCCCGGAATTGCCTGCTCGCGCCCCCATCTGTACACAATGGTTATACACGCCTCTGCCCCCCTTTTTTTTCACTACAGACCATCACTCGTTTGACTGTTTACTTCTTGGACTATTCCCAATCTCCAACCATACGCTTACGATTCTACTAGTGTGCATTTATGTCCGTACCTCAGCTAGCCTATCCGACCAGACGCCGATCTACTGTACCCGCGTGTGAATCTATGGTATGGTTCTGACTCCCCGCACCGTTAAGTCCTACGCGCCTGCCAGTCACCCAGTGCTCATCCCCCCCGGCATGACCCCTCCTCCGAGACCAAAATGGCATAAGTGTCTCAGCGCCAAGCACCCGAACTCACACCGGCTCTGCTCAGAGTTCCCCTTGACACGGCCGCTTACTACTCACACCGGGCATGTCATGATACCCGCCGAGTCCCAAGCCACTCCCCTCGCCCACCCACCACCATCTGCACATCCCCTCTGTACCTTCCGTTACGGCCCTGCGGTCGTACAATAGCCCTACGCCACACTCTCCCCCATACCACTCACTCGGTCAACCCCACAATCTTCACTGCCACTCTCGTTGGCATCCCCGCTCGAACACCCCGCTCATAGCCCTACTCTCCACCCCCACTTCTGTGGTGTCTACAACACCAGGACATCGGCGAGAAGACGTACCTCCCTCAACTGCCGAAGGGCGACCCAACCAGGCAAGGACCCACACTCGCCCACCGCTACCTCAACCTTCAGTCGACCTGGACACAGATGGCTAGGAAACCAACTCAACAAGCTCACCACAGGTTCGAAGCCTAAAAGACCGCCACAGGGCTATCGCTGGGCGAATACAGGCAAATGCAGGCGAGTCGCTGATCTGCCATCCATCCTCCGCCTTCTAGTGCGCTTGAGATACTGACATCTCAACCCTCGCCCAGCCAGACACCCTCCTACCCCTCCTCTTTCGTGTTTTTATGGACACGCCCTCCTACCACACGGTCCCACTGACTCACTGCGTCGCCGGCCCTAGGGAGATCCTTGACCACTCATGACACCCTCTGTGTTACGAAAAAACCGTGGCGCTGACAGCAACCGACGCGGCACAACGGTATAAAAATCCCTCAAGACCATAGACGATATCATGTCTCAGTCGCTCTCCTTAGAAGAATACCCCCCACTCCTTTGCCTTTCATATACTCAGTCTCCCTCAACCCACCCATTGTCCTTCATGGCCCAGAAACGCAAGGCGTCTCAGGCGTCCTCACAGAACTCCCCTGGTGACACCAACCAGGACATCCCCACCTCTCCCATCGACGATGACCTGGTCGCAGCCAAGAAGGCTAGGTCGTCGCTCCCCGGGAAAGTCTCTGCTGTAAGCACCTCTGCCAACCGCTCAGCCGAGCCGAGCCGTCGCCCCTCTCACTCACCACCGCCCTATCAGACTGGCGGCAGCACCGCCCGAGCAACCATCGTCGTTCGTCTGTTGAAGAGTCACAAAGCGGCGGGATCTACTCCTGCTGCTGCAGCGGACCGACCCACACCTGGAAGCTCCGCCCCTCTCATGAACACAACCAACCGGTTCGCCCCCCTCGCTGCCCTCGCCGACAACGAGCCCTCCCTATCGGAGCCTCTCACGACGGCGGCACCTACACCTCTGGCGCCGGCGGCCCCTGCTGCCACTCTAGTCATAGCTGCCCCGACACCCCTTGCGCCAACAGACGGCCCGCTCCTGGCAGACCACCCCGCTGTCTGGGCGGTTCCCACTCCCCCTTCTGCCCAACGCCGCAGAGCCGATACCCCCATCCCTATCCTCGTCGATTCTCCTATGCTCAACTCCTCGTTTGGCGACTACTCCCCCCGGTTTAACGACCCCCACTTCTTCCAAAGCGGGACCGCCGAGAAGCCCTCGCCAGTTACAATTGGCCCCTTCGGTCTAGAGTACACCTCTCGCCCAGAACCCGAGGGCTGGCCGATATCCCACCGCGGCGCCCTCGCATCGCAAGGCCAGGACGCGGAACAAGTCAAGTCCTGGGACAACCACCCTGGCCACAAGCTTCTCTTCTGCATCGCCCCCGCGAAATACGAGGCCAACGCGCAGATCACTGTCAACCGTTCGAAGAAGGTCATCGGTAACCGCCTTAGGATCCACAAGTCATCTGTCACTGTTGGCGTCCCTACTCCCGCCTCCGATAACCCGGCGACGGGACGCTACGCTTTCCCTCACTTCTATTTCCTCGGCGTCCCCGAGGCCCACATGGTTCAGACCCTCCTCGACCAGTATGTCCTCAGTACCTCGGAGATCACCATATTCTTTGTACCGTGGGTGCAAACTCCCCCGCGCTACCTTGGCACGGTCGAGGGCCTAGTTCTTGGAGACGATGACGCGGACGTCGACATGGCGCTCTCCGAGATTCGGTCCTTCCTCCGCAACAGAGACGAAGCCGCCGCCTTCCTCCTGGAACACTCACCGGTGCACGATCACGAGGCCCACGATCGCATCATCGACTCTATCACTGTCACGCCCATGCAGATCTTCGGAGACGGCGGACGACCCATGACGGTCTTCAATGTGGAGTGCCAAGAGCTCCCACGCCTGTCCCTGGCCCACTTCCAACTGTGGGCCTCCATCATACGTGACACTGTCTTCCCCACCGTCTTCCACGGCACCGGTAGCTTCCGCACTGGGAACCGACAGTTTGTCTGCACCATCTGCAGGAGCTTCTCTCACCCTGCCGGCCTCTGCCCCTTCCCGCCTATCCCCGGATGGTTCGGCCCTCAACGCCATGTGGATGATTCTAACGGCATGCTCTTGTCAGCGGGCCAGAACGCTCCTGCGGCACCTGCGGCTAGGAGAGGTGGCCGCGCTGCAAATGGCAGGGGCAACGGCCGCGGCGGAAGGAACCGCACTCCTCGTTCTTAATATACCCAACTGAGCCACTCCTTATCTGATACTGTGTACCCCCCGTATTGTTGAGCCACGCTCGTTAAACTGACCTCTAGTCGATCCTTCAATCACCACGCTCTTTGTGTCCCTTAACCTGCGCTTTGTGAGGAAGGAGCAGCCAGTGCCTGACGGCCGGCGGTTAAGTTAAGAATTGTCAACGGAGGCCCAAATATACTGACGCTTCGGCGGACAGGAAAGCCTCAGACAGAAAACCTTATTTACAAACGGAAGGCTTATTCAAGTCGGACCCGCCGTAGTTTGATTACTGAAAGGCGACAACGGGCTGCCGGACTCCCCCTCACGGGTTAACGGTATCTCGGCGTCGGTTGGATCACCCCTCGTCATGTGGGTTAACATGTTCTCGACTCCTATTACCCGTGGCTAGGGTAGAGCCGACATACCTGGCCGCGAACAACTTATATCATACCACCTCAAGTCTGCGGCCCCGAGTGCACGTCTGCACGCCTACTAACCCTCCCCCCAGGTCCACACATCAAGTCAACCCTGAAGCCCAAGTCCCCTTCCAAGCTGGGGTGAATGCGCAAGACCTGGTACGTATACCTCTCCCGACACCTCGGGCACCGCCCCGCACCGCGCTCTCGCCGCACCCCAGCACCCCAAAGGTCATTCCACCAGCATCGCCTGGCAATGCCACCAACGTCGTGGCGTACCACCATACCGGTCCAGCGCCGAACCATACGGAGCAGGCCCCATCCACGTCGACCACGGTCGAACCCCCGCACGCCCGCATTCCACCTAACGCACCGCCTGCCCACACATCCCCCCCACACCAAGGCAACGAACAACGCCGAGAGCAACACCCAGACTCCCCCCCAGACAACCGCGACATGATCAGAGTAAACCTGGTCGTGGGCTCCCTCAGTATGCGGGGCCGCTTCCACGCCGGCAAAGACAAATGGCCAGACCTGAACCAACTTATCAGAGAAAGGCGGCTGGGGATCTTAGCACTCCAGGAATCCCACCTACCCGATGACGACTGTATCTTGCTGAACGAAAGGTATAAGAATTCGCTACTCATTACCCACTCAAGCGACCCGTGTAACGTCACCAACAATGGTATTTCCATAGTTTTTAATAAACTACTAGTAAACACGGACTCTATCGAAACGACGGTTCTCATACCTGGTCGTGCCCTCTGCGCCAGACTTAAGTGGCACAACTCGCGGACACTCACTATCTTGGCGGTATACGCCCCAAGTTCTGGCGGAACTGACAACGAAGAATTCTGGGTATCACTCCAAAATAAGCTCACCGCGCCAGCCTTCAACCTTGGTAAACCCGACATCATGCTCGGAGACTTCAACGTCGTCGAAGACTCCCTGGACCGCCTTCCCCCGCACGCTGACCGGAACCCCTCAGTAGCCGCACTACGAAACCTAAAAACGACACTCACCATGGGAGACGGCTGGCGCGAAGCGTACCCCGACATTAACGCATTCACCTTCTTCCAGACGGCCCGACAAGGTGGCAGGAAGTCCCGCATTGACCGTATCTACCTAAATACATCCATGATCCCATTCGCGCGCGACTGGGACATCAACTCGTCCGGGATCGACACTGACCATAAGTTAGTCACAGCCCGAATATCCGCTAAAGACCTACCATTCATTGGACGAGGCAGATGGACCATGCCCATCTTCCTCGTAGAAGATGCTCACATCTTAAAAACCATCAAGGGTCGCGGAAAACGCCTACAAAACGAACTCACCGAGGGTGAAAGGGCTGACCGGACCAACACGAACAACCCTCAACTTGCATTCAAACGGTTCAAAGACGACATCATAAAGATGGTCCGCGACGCTGCAAAGAAACGGGTGCCTGCCCTGGAACGGAAAGCACTCGCCCTGAAAGGGAAAATACATGAGACTATGAACGATCCCCTATCGAACGAGGAGGAAAAGAGACTGGTAACATCAGTACTCCAAGATAAACTAGATGATACCATGAAGATGCGATTCCAGAAGAGCCGTGACAACATGGACGCCCGCATGAGGCTTGAACGAGAGAAACCTGGGAGCAAACGCTGGGCCCGTATGGGCCGCAGCCGCAAACCCAGAGACACCATCTCTGAACTCCGTATCCCCGGATCATCACCCCCAACATTCGAATGGAATTCCAAGAAGATGGCGGCGATCGCGAAATGTCATCATGATGAGCTACAGGCCCTCGACCTCGCACCGGAACGCGAACGTGCAGATGCCACGTCCCAGGTCCTCAAAGAGATGGGGGTCTCCCTAAACCGAGAAAGCCAGTCCATATTGGAGAAAAACATAGCATACGATGAGGTTCGAACTGCCCTTAAAACCCTGCCCAATGACAAAGCGACCGGAATCGACGGCGTCCCATATGAGCTGTGGAAGGCACTAGCCTCCTCCGCCCCGTCACACGCTGAATGGACTGCGATGACTGACGACGAACGAGCCAAAGCTCCCTTCAACCTTATCGCTGCGCTCACCAGCACATATAATGATATCGAAACCCATGGGGTATCCTCAACCACAGGCTTCTCTGAAGGCTGGATGTGCCCACTCTATAAGAAAAACGATAGATCAGACATAGCCAACTACAGGCCAATAACCCTCCTCAACACAGATTATAAAATCCTCACAAAAGTACTCTCAGGCCGACTCTCCCGCGTTGCCCCATCTGTGATCAACCTTGACCAAGCAGGCTTTGTCCCTGGGCGTAGCATATCCGCGCAAACGCGACTCACTGACATGATCCGCTCCTTTGCGGAAATTGAAGACCTGGATGGCGCCATTATAGCCCTCGACCAAGAAAAGGCCTATGATAAGATATCCCATTCATACCTACGAGACGCCCTAAAGGCATATGGCTTCCCTGAGCACTTCGTCCGCCTTATCGGCTTCCTATACGAACATGCCGAAACATCTGTCATGATCAATGGCGTACTGAGCGAGAAATTTAAAATCATACGAGGAGTACGCCAAGGCGACGCCATGTCATGCCTCCTCTTTAACTTAGCCATTGAACCCCTTGCGCACGCCATACGACAGTCTAACCTTACCGGATATAAAACCCCCGACATGCACACTAGGGCAGTGGTATCCATGTTTGCCGATGACACAACAGTCTTTTTAAGAAAAGAGGACGACTTCGCCCTCCTAGAGACCATCCTAACGAAATGGTGCACCGCCTCTGGGGCGAAATTCAACATTAACAAAACAGAGGTAATCCCTATTGGCTCACCGGAATACAGAGCGGAAGTTATCAACACCCGCCAACTTAGCAGTGCCCAACCCCCGCTACCCCCCAACGTTCGAATTGCCTGTGATGGGACCGCTGTACGGATATTGGGGGCATGGATAGGCAACGATATTGATGAAGGGGCCATATGGTCGCCGATCTTAGACAAAATCCGAGACCGTCTAAACCATTGGGAACGGATCCATCCAACCATCGAGGGGAGGGGAATACTGATCCAGTGGTTTGGATGCGGAATGACGCAATACCTCGCCCAAGCCCAAGGAATGCCGCCCGACATTGAGGCAGAACTCTCGAAACTAATCCACGCCTTCGCGTGGGACAACGCCGGTCATGCTATGATTAACATAGAAACCCTAAGGGCCCGTCATGAATCAGGCGGTAAGAAGATTGTTGAAATCACACACCGAAATGATGCTATTGAGCTGACATGGCTGAAACGCCTACTCGCCCCCACTGGCACCCCCGAAACCTGGACATACTTCGCCAAAGCCATCCTACGCCAGTTCCCCAAAAGCGCCCCCTCCGTGCCGGACTCGATACGATCCGACTTCCTATTACAGAGGTGGAAACCCTCGTGGAGAAAACTCCCCAAATCACTAAGTCGAATGATAAGAGCAAGCGAAAAATACCACCTATGTGTTGACGACACCGTGATAGAGGATGCCACTAAGAAAAGTGCCCCGCTGTGGTATCACTTTGCAGGAGCCGCTGAAGACCAAAGCAAGAACAACACCCCCACAGCGAAATGCCTACGGGACAACCATAAGATAATCCTTGTTAGCGATGCCGTCGAATGGCTCGAGCAAACAAGCCCAGCACACATACCGGAATGGCGTTGCATGTGTCCATCCTGCACCCATGACCTCACAGTTTTGCACTGCCTGAACCCTGCGCGATGCCGAGCCCACGCCCGACGCCTCCTCAATCGTATGGAACCCAAATGGAACCCGTATACCCCAATTTTCAAACGTGACTGCACTAGCCAAAGCACTCTCAACCGGATAGGCAATAGCATATCTGAACTCACCTCTGACGCACCGAAAGTGGCGTATCGGGGGGAAATCCGCATTCTCGCTAACCCGGCTCCATTGACAAAGCCAAACCCGCCCCCTGGACCCTTCGTAGCAGCAAACCCGGAAGCCGTAATATCCATCTGCACTGCGGGCAGGCAACTCATCCTTGACGACGGTGACCATGTCAGGAGTGGAGCAGCAGTCTTCAGCAGCTTCGATTTCAAGGAAGTGAGATATAGATCCACCAGCGTGTTCTCCGCCCCGCTGCTCGGAGAGTTGAGCACGATGGTAGTGGCGATCCAACGCGTCCGCCCCGACGATACCGTCCTCCTGATAGTGCAAGCCAAAGAACTATACGAGGCCCTGACGACAGACCTGGCGACACATGAGCTGACACTCTGGATTGACCTCGAAAGCGAGGAACGGACCGCTGCACGCGCCCTCATGACCCTGGTACGCAGGCGCCCGGGACCAACCTTCATTCAACGGCACCGATCCGTTGGGGGAATGAACGGCACCCTAGTTGCGTTGACAATCGACCTCGCAGATGACCTCGAGTCCATGACAGAGGATATCCCACTGGCCGACGAGGTAAACCAAGTCGCCACCCTCACTGGCATGGCACTAGGTGCTGGTACCCAACGCATCTTCCACAAGATTATCCGTGAAATGAATAAACCCCCCCCACGGCGACGCACAACCATTAATGTGAGCCGCATCCGACATGCGGTAGCCGAGCTCAACGAGCAAGCTCCCACGACGAAAGCCATATGGGAGTGCACCAGGGACTCCGATAGCCCTGTGGCCATAAATGGTTTTAACTACAAAAATTTCCATGACGGGTACCGTCTGGGGGACCACTGGAGATACATTCCTGGCTTCGAAGAAAGAGTGAGGTGCAATCTGTGCAAAGAGGATGAATCCATGGAACACATCTTGCTGGAATGCGAAAGCCCACTAGCTCCAACACGCACCATCTGGCTCTTAGCGGAGGAGCTGTGCCGCATGAAAAATATAAAATGGCCCGCACTTTCATATGGCCTTGTCCTAGGCTGCGGACTACTGCGCTTCCGAAACTCGAAAGGAAAATACCGTCAAGGAGCATCCAGACTGTTCAAGATTGTAGTCGGAGAATCAGCCCACCTGATCTGGAAGCTGCGTTGTGAAAGAGTCAACAAAATGGTACAGAACCCCCCCTCTGCTCACCATCTAGAAGAGGTCAGAAACCGATGGATCAAGCAGATCAACCATCGACTCGCCCTCGATAAGATCCTCACCAATAAACACCGTTTCGGCCCCAAGGCCCTGAAACGCGCCATTGTTCTGAACACTTGGAGCGGAACGCTCTTGAATGAGGATCGCCTACCAAACGACTGGGTTACCGAAACGGGGGTTTTAGTGGGTATCACCTGCCTCCGCCCTCCGGGGCGGAACAGGTGAGTCCCACACTACCGCGTCTGACGCGGCGTGCGTAACCGCATTTCCTCCCGGTGTCTATCTGTCTTCGGTTTTCGCTCCAGTCCCCTTTGTGCAAGTCCGCTTGCATTCCCCTCCGCTACCTCTGGTAGCTCACGTAAACCGGCTCGTTCCGGCTAACCGTTCCACCAAAAAAAAAAAAAAAAAAAAAATCTAGATAAGACCAGCGCTAGTCTTACTTACGACTTCTATCATCCGGGCGCTTGGCCTCTGCAACAACGACGAACTCAGATCAGGCATGGTGGTTTTTTGTGAGTGGCAAAGATCGTAAACTCTCATGGCGCTGGATCCAGCAGTGAGCACACGATGCAGCCCAAGGGTTGTTATTTGCATCAAATCAGAACGCTGCCAGGCCCACTTTGTACGGGGCTTACTCAGATAACTATTCCCGACGGACTCGCGCTCGGACGCCATGCACATGCGGCATATCTAGGCATATCTTCGTCACTTGGATCCAGCCTTTAATTATGTTCTTGGCATATGGGACAGCAATCATTCACGATCGGCGGCCGTACGTAGCAAATTTAAAGTAATCCCAAGCGCATGAGCCAGGTTTGAATCAAGTTCATGGGAGACTCATCTGCAACGTTCATAAACTTCCTTGCTGGCCCACGAGCCTCTCACAAGCTTCTAGAGACAGCGCTTGAAGAACTTGGGCAGCTTAATTGCTTAATCGCGCTAGGCTGTTTATTATGCGAGAAGTACTCGCACCTCATGGCTTCGAGGCGCCCGCCACCCACGAATATGGGGACCAACACGTCGCTTGACGCCGAACCAGCAGAAATAACTCGTCATGGCGTCCCGGACGACCGTCTGAATACAGTGGCAGTAGTGGCGTTAGGCGTTAAAGCGTCGATAGATGCAGCGCGCCCGCACTTGGGGCTACTTGAGAGGTGTATTAATGGTGTCGCCGGCGCAGGTGCCTTCTGAAAAGTCCGGATACCTCGCTAAGTTAGATGCATATGATATGGCCCATCCTTTCGGTCCTAGTGCCTAGACGTTGTGATTTATCATGGTCAGCGCCGTTCTGCCGCGATCTGCATGCCAGACAAGAGGGGCGACCACTTCTGTCTGAGGGGGTGGTCCGCAGCGACGAATCGGTATCGATGCTGAAGTAAGTACTAAAGTATGGCAGAGCTGAACAAGGGGCCGTCATGGATTCCTCGGATGTCAGTGGGAAAGATGCAGCCTATATGAGGGCCATTCTGAGTTGCATATTGCAAAGCCGTTCAGATCTGTTCTCCTCCACAGGCCGGCGACTGGCTCAGTCCCCTGAATCCATTCGCACGTAACTACTATATAAGCGCGCCTATCCCTATCCGCTCTCTACTTGCAACCGCCAGCCTGAAACGCAGGACCTAACTCTCTCACCTAACTCTCACTCCTCACAATCTGAGCGCCATGGGCATGAAGTATCGTCAGTACCTCGCCGGAGAGCGTATCTATGGCTGCTCTACCTGCAAGACACACCTAGCGACTATTCACTCCATGATCTCTCGGGTGCGCTTCCTCTCTTTCTTGGATATCGACTATGCTTAGCGCACCAACAGGCATTTAACGGGCAGCACGGGCGGGCGTATCTCTTCGACGGAGTGTGAGTTCTATCATCATACTGCAAGTTCGACGATACTAACGTATCATTTTGGCAGTGTAAACGTTGTAGAGGGTGATCCCAGCGACCGTCAAATGACTACCGGAAACCATACTGTTCGAGATATCTACTGCTGCAAGTGTGGACAGAAGATGGGCTGGAAATATGTGTGTCATAGTTCTCAGAGCGCCTTCCTTCGGTGTTATAACACAAATGACTTGTGCAGGATCGAGCCTACGAACCATCTCAGCGCTACAAAGAGGGCAAGTTCATTCTTGAACGCAACCTTCTCATGGATGTGCAGTAGTCTACCCCGTGCATTCCTCATGCTACGGGACCTCATCTTCGACGTGGACTATCGCACCGGCTCAGACATCCGAGACATCCATCTCGGGCCTTTTACCAACCTTCCGCTTGACCAAATCGGTCTCCGAACTCGAACACCCGACATTTAAAGTTGAACGTTCACAATGCGCATACCACCCATGTAGGTCGTGAGGCAGCCTAGCTAATGGTCTGGAATGCCACAGCATATCATTCACCGGCACCGGCACCGACACCATCACCACCTTGCGCCTCAACTAACCACATTGATACTGCTTACTGTTCAGTGTCGTTCTGGTGCAACTACATACTCGCACACGACCATATCTAGACCACTCACACGTCAATGTTGGACGCCTTTTGCGACGTCTGATTTCCCCCGTCTATTTCTCGTTCAGTGTTTAACAGTGTTCAACGTTTAATCTTGTATCCAGTTCGCAGCTGTAGCAGCGTTGTATACGTCCAAGCAGCTAGCAGGACATTGTGTCATACCTTTTGTACATACAGTCACACTTAACATACGTGCTGAAATGAACACGTTGATAGCTTTTTCTTTACAGCGACGAGCACAAGTGATTAGACAAGCCCGAACTGATAATTTGTGTAAGTAGCTGCACAAAATAACCCTACATCTAGTCGGTCTCCTGAGACAATGCTTTTTTCCAGCGTCGACGAGATACAATATTGGGATTTGTCCTGGTCGGGTCGATTGGTTCGAACACAGAGATGTCGTGGGACTTAGAACTTACAGCTGTCAGTATTCCCGGATAAAACGAGCAAGTGCCAAGCAGCACAAGACAAAAATGGATGCGAGAGGATGCGAGGGACTGTACCTGGCGACAATCGTCGCCGGACGGACGATGTCAGGCACAGAGCGCTGATGTCTGTGCTTGCAGTTGCAGAGGCTTGCAGGCTTTAGTAGACCAGACGTGGACAGTTGCGGATAGACGTGGGCCTGGAGACTGCTTGGATACGGCGCACGGGGACGAGCAGGCCGTCGCTTGATTGGCCCGGACTCAGAGGCAATGGGGTGGGCACAGGTTGTTGGTTGGGAGGAACACCGCCACGTCAGAATGATGGGGAAGGATGGGGAGCATGGACATAGGCCGGGTAGTGGTTCCGAGTTGGCCGATCCCCAACTATATGTAAGACGCGCCGTCTCACCCAACCATGTTCCAGCCAGCCGCTCGCTTCCGGTTCCCCAGCGAAAGGTCCATCACTCGCGTATAAGTATAAATTTCATCATTTCAAAGACCCCCAGTCTGGTACTGGCGTCGACACAGTCCTTTCCTTGTTCAAAACCAACAAGCCCTCCAACCGCTCCCGCTCTCCCAGCAAAACCAAAGTGAGCAATGGGTAGGTCTCACTCACACCTTCATGTTCCAACATTCACTTACCTCGGGAATTTACGTCAACTAGCCGCATTGACAATGTCATCTCTCTCCGCACAGTCCAGCAAGGGTCTCCCTCGCCCATACGTCTCCTCCCCTCTTGCGTCTTCGTCTCAGCCTCGGGCTCCCTTGCCTCGCACCCAGCGTGGCTTACCTGCACGTGGCCCCGCCTTTCCATCCTCTCAACCTCTCCGACCTTTTGCATCCATCTCGTATATCTCCAAGCCTGGTACTTCGGCTGGCAAAGGCAAACAAGTCAAGCTCATCGAGCCTCCAAAAAACTTCAAGTCTACGTTCGTTCTTGACTTGTCTCAAGAGGAGTTCAGCCGTCAGATGTGACCTTTCTCATGCCGCACGCAAGGCTGCTGCATAGAGCCTCAGACGTTCTAGAGGTGTCTTTATATGAAGGAATGTACGTTACCCATGCAGGTCGGACCGTTCATACACAGGTGGCCTGCTCGTCGAGTTTTTCTCTTGATTGTCTCACTGTAAATACTAGCCCATACCATTGTCACCATTAGCTATACCGCGTTTCTTGTTCAAGGGATTCTTCCATTACGTCACGCGTATTTATTTCAGCACTCTTTCATTATCATACCTAGCTACATGCACTAGTTGTAGAATCGTTGTAGGTGTCGCGTGTATGTCGTTAATGGACGGGAAAGGATGGCGACCGAGGTTGGTCGCCGATTATAAGGAACGTCTCTATTTGTACTCTAGTACTGTTGCCTTTTGATGATCGACTCTTCCGAACTTCGTCTCAATGGCTTCAACCTTACAGCTACGCGTTGCCAGCTATATAGGCCTGCAAGAGTGACTGTCGATACCGGATATTGATGATGTTCTTGTGACGTCAACATTCCAGGCGTTCTCTAAAGAATAGATCTCGGCGACCGATCGTCTGTTTTCTGGTGTGGACGTCATCTCCTTATTAACAGGTTCTTATCAGCTATAGCACGTTATAATATCAAGAACGACTGTCTTCTGATATAGGGTCTGCCTAAGGGAGACTAATAGCACGTGGCATGCCAAACATCGAATCCTGTTACTAATCGCTACGTTGGAATTGGCTTCAAACAGTTATCCTTCAATAATACGTATCAAGGTTTCGGCTTGTCTCATTGACGGCATCGCAAGCGCCTCCACAACAGTTCTGGCATTTTGAGGACGTACGTTCCTCCATCGTTGCACACGAGAGCTTAACTACTCAAAGGCGAGTTTCTTTAATAGATTGATGCATCCAGTAGTATATAGAGCCACATGCACACACTGGCAGCATTCCCATCTTGTATAGAACCTTCGGTAGGTCTAGTAGGCCAAGGGATGTCTAGACTCACGACGAGGATAACGGTCATGGCTATTGTCGAGGCTAATTTTAACCCTAAGATCGGCTTACCATCTGGTTTCCGTAGGTGTAAATTCGTGCAATGGGAGGCAAGCTAGAATTCGTATTGTGGCAACTCTTTTGCCCCTTTTCGAGGGTACGACTAGGGCATGTTAACCCAAGGTACGTGCTATCTTCCTTGTGGTCTGCTTAGAGTAGGTTATAGCAATGGCCTTTGTTTTTAAAATCTCAATCAGCTGGGTGAGTGATCTACATATGTCCTCCGAAGTTGTTTGAGCGATCGCCCAAGCCTTTTAACATCCGTTCAGGCAGCTTTTATCTCTCATAGTTCGTTTCCATTGGGTTTCTGTCTTCAGGCAGGCACAACGTTTTGAGCACGGGTCAGTTGAGTCGAGTTCTACAACGGTGACTTTACACGCTCGAGAATTCGGCAGTGTTTTGACTCCAGACACGTTGTAGGTTGGCTGATCCACGTTGAGATTCATGTTATGCTGGGTTTCCCCGTTTCCACCCTGGGTCGTGTTATACACATTTGCGCTGCACCCTGCATTGCAGTAACGCAAGTCGAGTTGTCGCATGTCTCCTCGGAGTATCGGCGGGTTCAATGAAACGCTTAAACCTTGTACGATGTCATCCGTGAGAGGTAAGTTCTATCGATGGAGGTCATCCTAATTACACGCCCCCAGGATTTTCACCCAGCCCCTACATACATGCATCTCAGTGCATCTGCCGCGCGGGTGCCCGCATCCTCAAGAGATGAGATATGGCGCCTTGACTGGCAAGGTGAGATGCCGACGCAGTAACTTTCCCTGTTCGGCTGAATAACCTTATTTCATGACTCCCGTTTTCAAGACCAGGGCATTGGGCATCTCCTTACTAACTACCTAGCCACGGAAGTATTCCGCGAGCCAATCGCCAAGTTCTAACAAGTTCCAACGCTGGTACTTAGTATACTAGACCTTTGGTAATCATGGCCAGTGTCAGCGAGTAGTTCTGCGGCACAGGGGGTAACCCTCGTTGAATCAAGGCCGTTGTCCCGTGTTATGCATACTGGTGTGTCTGTTTTAGGTTGACACAGGATGTAGTCCTGACACCTACATGTAGGTCCTTGCGGCCTCTTTACCGAAACTTGGTCAGACGGACAACTTCGGCTATGCTCTCGTTCAGACGAAGAATCCTCTGACTTCATCATGTGATCCTACACAAGCACATGAAATTGTTGTATGCACAGGCCGTACGACACTGATCACTGGTCTGATTCAAACGAGCAGTGGCCGGCCGTTTGAGGCACTGAATCAACCAACTGTCTTTGAAGAGATTTTTGACAGTAGATTGTACTGAGAATGACTAACAATGCCGCGGCTTGGCTGATCGGGACAAAACACCCAGCCAGTCTTGTGAGGACCGTCGGTAGAAAAGACATACTCGGGTCCTAACCTACTAGGGACACGTACGCTGCTTCCGAAAAGCGTCCTTTTCGAGCCGTACCAGTGTCCACTAAGGTGACGCCTATGTCGAATTTGGTACTCCGTTGGTAGGTGCACACAACATAGATGGCTGGTATCGCGAAGTATCGCAAACCATCTATATAGCCTTCATTTTCCAAGATCACGGCGCGTTTGATCTATTCATGGCGGTGCCTGGCCATTCCGAGGGGAAAGGCTGGCGATGAGCCATGGAGCGCCGAGATGAACAGGATGCATGAGAGGTTGAGGATAGGTCCTCGAGCGGAAACGGCCATGCAAGCGGTGTGATGCTACTCATGTAATGTGACTAGCCTTTCCTAGACGATTAACGTGGGGCTGGGAGCTCTCCGCGGATGAAGGATCTTTGGCTTATTGTTTCGCGGGTGGGGTGCACGAGATGGTGTATAAACAGCGCAGCGAGAAGACAGGATGATTATTGAAAGCATGTCTAAGTATACTAAGTAGGCTATAATTTTGGGTTTCCACATGGAAGGACGGCGCACTGAACGAAGAGGAACGGAATTGTACCGAATGATGTGCGGAGATTCCCGGATGCGGGTGCGGTCGCACACTTGCAGAGCCCCTAACCACGGCTGAGATGATAAGATGAACTACTTGGAACATAGTCATTTTTTGCCTCGTTCTGAAGGAACTAATGGACGGAGCGCCAGGAGGCCAGGGGAAATAAGGGGGAAGGGAAAATGCTTAAAAAGTAGACAGTTTATGGGTCAAACATCCAGAGGGGCCCAATTTGCCCGTGTTTGTGTCCAAAAGTCCCACATCAGGTGAGGCATCGACTTGCTTCCCTGCCCGAATAGAAATACACACCGCCCAAAGAACTGCTCAGATCAACGCCGTCTCTTTCAGTTTCTCCTACCCCCCCGTCAGCTTTCCTTGACTCCTGAGGCGCTTCTGGTGCCCCGTCTTCTCTTTACGACCTTACACGAACTTGTACGACACCCAGCGACATCCAGTGTGCTTCTCAATCGCCCACTCGACTTCTACTACATACTCACGATCGTCGTTTCCAATCGCTTCTCTCATTCTACGGTGCGCTTCCTCCTCATTTTTGTTCTCTTTGCACTCATACGCTCTCAGAGTCCTCTTTCTTGTTTACATCTGCCTTGTTTGCTAAAGGTGTTTCCTGTTGTCGCGTGTCTCAAGGCTCAGGAGTCTCATTTCGCTTTCGCTATTAGACTATGGACAACTGGCGCGTTGCTGTTTTGGGAGATGGTGGGGTTGGTAAAACCGCGCTAGCCGTGCAAGTAAGCAGGTTATGAGTATCGTTCAATTGGAAGACTCACAATATGCCCTCTGCAGTTTACGTTGAACTGTTTTGTTGGTATGTACTCGTCAAGTCTATGTGACTCAACGTTCACGGGTATTCCCTGCGTTTTTTTCCACAGAGGTTTGCACTAATCTTCCTTGATATGGGACCCGAGCGCTCATTTGCATCTAGACATATGATCCGACTATAGAAGACGCCTATCGTAAACAACTAGTCGTTGATAACAAAATGTGTTTTGTTGAAGTTATCGATACTGCGGGACAAGGTGGGTACCACGTGTCAAATCTTGCCTGGTCCCTTTACTTATTGTATCTTAGAGGAGTATGCAACGTTGCGGGATCAATGGGTACGGTAGGTAACAGCCGCGCGGGAAATATATCTACCTCAATTAACTCTGTTTCTAGCGAGGGACAGGGCTTCATTCTCGTTTACTCGATCGCCTCGCGCCAGACATTCGACCGTCTAGAGGTTTTCCGACAATCAATGCTCAAGGTTAAACGCCAGAAGCCGATATTCATGTTGGTAGGCAACAAGTGTGACAAGACGTACGAGCGGGAAGTCTCCAAGGAGGAGGGTGTTCAGATGGCCAGAAATTTTGGTTGCGACTTCATGGAAACATCAGCCAGGACAGCGTACAACGTCGAGCTCCTGTTCACCAACTTGGTCAGAGCACTCCGTCAGACCAAGCGAGTCGAGCCGGCGGGAGGGTCAGGATCCACGGCGAAAGATGGAAAACCTCCAAAAACCAAGAGTAAAGGTTGTATAATTATCTGATGGATCTTGGTTTTTCCAGTTGTCCGGGTTTGGTGTGATTCTAGATGCTCAGTTCTCCTCTTACCTCCGTTATTGATACCTGCATCCTTCTTGTTTGTCTTTTGTTCCTTTCTTTGCCGCTCATACGCCTAGGGCACATCATGGTCTCCTTTTACCGATCTCATGACATCTCACTTACGTTTGACTGTTCATTCTCTGACATTGAGTGGCCGTGGTCAACTTTTGCACAGAATCTCCAGAGGTTGTTAGCAGCGTACGAGGATGCCAGCATGAAGCGATTTAGTTTATGTGTGCTACACGTCAGTTCGGACGTAATCCTTAGATCTAGCTACGGCAGCCACGACATACATGACTGCGGAACGACTATTTAACTATTGCTGGCGCAACAGCACCCAAGGATCATCGATCTTTACCCCTGTTTTTTTGGAGCCGACAGTATCAGACTTTCACATCACTTAGGCAACCTGATCAAGATGCCGTCCGATAGAAACAACAACCTCGACACCAGTTCGGAATCGACGGAACCAAAGCCCTTTTGCGACAATGTTGACTTCGTAATTCGTTCAACATACGATGACGTCCATTTTGATGTTCAACGGAGCAGCCTGCTCAGAAGCGAAATATTCCGTATGTTTTTTTTCTCTTAACCGAATGAAAGTGCAATATAAATAAAACTGGTTCGCAGGTGACATGTTTGCCTGTTGCAACCCTGAGCCAAGCATTGTTCACAGTGATAAGAGGGGTCATGTTATCGACCTCCACGAATCAGCTCATACACTCCAGGAGTTATTTGATACCCTGCACCAGCCCCCACCCCCGCCAGACCTTTCTGCTGAAACTCTACGAACAAAACGTCCCCGGTATCGAGTATACGAGCCGTCCTCCATTCCTTTGGCCACTTTGACAGAGCTCCTTACCTTGTCCGACAAGTACCTCTTTTGTGAGCCTATTGTGTATTCACTGCACGATCATCTTCTTGCCCACGCGCCTGCACACCCTCTGGAAGTGTATGGACTCGCCACGCGTTTTAATGCACCGGAAGCTGCCATCGCGGCAAGCACCTACTTGCTGGATAGGCCCCTATCCTCGTATAGCAAGAAAGAGCTGTGTTACATACCCACTGTAGAGGCCTATCATGACCTGGTGCGGCTGCAGGCTTATAGAACCAAAAAGACGCGGGAGATACTGCTTCAAGAGGACATATTTCCTCATGGATATGGTGTTTGCCCAGTCCACAAGACCAGGACTTTGCAGCTCTGGAATGAGAAGCGGATAGAATTAGCCAGCCAACTTGACGTCGGTGCGCACCCTAGTACTACGATCTGAGGTGGATAACATGCTGACCAATTGCCACAGACACAAACGTTGGGGCAGAGATGCGCACGTTGACCGATGTGCTGGATCATTGTCCAGTATGCGAAAAGTCATGCATAGCAGCATCGGAGATGCTCAATGTAAGTCTTCATTTGATATCCAAGATTCAGTGCAAGCATGATGTTGGTTACTGACACATCGCACACAGTACAAATGCGATAAGATTCCAAAATCCATAGACCGCATACCAATGGAATGAGCAGTGCATGGAGACGTCTAGATCTGCTCGGTGACCGTTGCTGTGCCTATTAGTATCGTTAAGAGTATTGTACACTGCAGTGGTGTCCAATTGATAGCCAGTGAAGGAACGTATCACTTGTTATGCCAAAACAGTGTCCGTAAATCGTTCCATGTCTCGGAGTCGCGATATAAGTATGTCATAGAGTTGAACATGCCGGGTTGGATTGTCTCGCCCCTGTGCTTGAAGAGCCACATCACCGAACCCCACGAGAGCGCAGCGAAGACAGAGAACCAAGCTGAATCAGGTGGCCGGGGACGAACGGCAGCAGACTGTCCAGCAGCTGGTGCTGACTTCGAGTATGGAGCATCTGCTCGTGGGATGAACGAGGCGACCACCCTTGATACGACATAGAGAACGATCTGGGGGGGCGGTTCAGGGACACAGGCAACAAAGTACAGAACGGACTCTTCGCATACCTGTTCATTGACGGCCGTGCGATTCCCAAAGACTACACGGCCACCTACGAGACCGGCAATGAATGTATCCGCACTCCGTTCCTTTCCGCCGTTGATCTTCTTCTGCAGAAGCAAGAGCATCTTGTAAATCGCGACAAACTTTGCCAAGTTCGTCGCATGCTGCCTCGTCGCTTTATAGATCGTCTCGAGACGCGACTTCCAGCTATCCTGAAACGATTAGAAAGTTGCAAGAGAACGTCCATAGGGAGACACGCACTCTCCGCGGCCAAATAGGATGGCCATAATCAGGGCATGAGGGAAGCGAACCTTGACTCCGTACACAAAGCCATTCCTCGCGCCTTTGAGAATGGACAGGTAGTCGTGAAGCCGAGGGTCTTGTACCCAGGTGTTGAGTCCGTCAAGGGTGGGCATGGAGTTGGAGGAGGAAATGTGACGGTGTGCGGTCGGAACACCTTGCTCGGGTATATACATGTATTGAGGGATGTGCGTTATCACATGTTTGTACAATCAACAGTACTGTGATGGCAGCCTTCCCCGCACCACACTATACCGCAAGCCCGGAGTCAACCTGAGCGTATCTTCATTAATTTGTTGATTATAATCCAAGGGTAATAGGTATCTGAATATACTATAGACGACCTGTAGGGATTGACTACGACAACTTCATTTTATCAAAGTAACAGTCTCCAAACTCGAATTGACTAGGAGAGCACCATTCAAACTATTGTTTATTCATTCGTTAGCTTGAGTGGTTCAGGATTGTGAACATTGAGGGGCTTACACCGTCTTTGCCGGCTGATATGTGGGACTCGGCTTCAGCCCGAATAACGACGAACCTCCGGTACTCAAGTAGAGCGGGTTGTACGTGTAGCCACGTCAATGAACGCGATAGCTCATTCTCCGCGTCTGACGCCTGCAGCTTGGAAGGATCGGTGAATAGTTCACTGGCACTGCGAAGACAATCTTCCATGACCTGATTTTCATCTTTCATTGAAGGAAGCAAGTCCGCAAAGTCAACACCCGGACTTTCCCGGTCTGTGTGCAACAGTGTGATATCACCCTCGAGTGCGAGTTCTAGGAAAGGTTTGATAAAAGCGAGGCTGTCAAGGGAATTAATTCACAGTTCGGACAAAGAAAAAATGAGTGCAACGATACCTGAGCGTAGGGGCCTTTCTTGCGGCTGCCCCAAGAACCCATGATAATATGTAGGAGTCCCAGAATGGGTGCTCTTTGCATTGCATCATTAGATTCAGGCAATCAAAGGGATTCTCAGCCAATGCTCTTGGGGTAAACGTCATTATGCCACCTACTCAACTTGCATGAGTATACAGGACTCTCAAACAAACTCAACTGACCTATGGTATATATGGGCTTTACTCCCCACCGGTCCATTGTTATAGCTGGATCGGAGCCAAAAGTGTAGAAATGTATCTCTGGATGCTTGCCCTTCCTATCCGCCAGTTGCGGAAATTTACCGATGGCACTCAATGCTGGAAGGTGGACGAAAACAAGTCTTGCTTCTGCTTCTGGCGCAACATAGGTCCACTGACACTTGCGTAGGGCTCGTTGGAGTTGCCTAACTTCAACGTCAATTTGACTGGAGCCTTGACCAGGACCACGTGTCCATATAGTGAACGGTTTGCCCCTTTGCGCTGTGAGATGCTTTCGCAGCATTGCTGGAAACCCGAGAACAGTCATGGGTTGATGTATGAAACCTTTCATTCCGACGTTGGGGACCACAGAAGTTGCAGCAGCTTCTAGGAGGCTATCAAATGACATCGAAGCGTCGTTGTTGGAGAGCTTGCTGGATGTCATGAGATATGGAAGATATCCGATCAAGATGATAGGTGTGGTCCTGTGTGAGCTGGGAACCTTGAATTTGTTGCAAATATCCAGCGACAAAGACGAAAAGATGACAGCGATGCCGACTTGGGCATCATTCAAGTCCATAGGGATCAATGCAACCTAGCACGCCATCACGTTAGAAGCAAAGCAAATCTCCAGGCAGATACTTCACAGACCTTTGAGTCTTTCGCCATGCTCTTAGAGAGATTTGTTACATTCCTACCCTCCGATGCTTCGACATTTTCCAACTTCACGACCTGTTGACATTCTTTACAGCCTCGGATCATAGGGATCATATCCTTGGTCCCAAGCAGATTTCGTATCCGAAGCGAGTCCACGCCTGACAGGAGCACACTAAAGTGGTTACCAGTTCCTGCGTCTACAACTTCAGATAAAGAAACTTGACAGAGCTTTGTCGCGGTTCCATCAGGTTGATCAACGAACAGATCCCCTGTCCACTTCCACTTCTTGGGTATCCTAAACTGAGGATGAGATTCTGCTCCCGCGCCTGTTATACCCAACCGACCTTTTCAAGGGATCAATCCTCGCAGCGGGAGCAGCGGTAGACGTGACTTTATCCCTGCAACTTTGTATTTAACATATTGCCCATCTCATAACATGAGTCAGACTTACGTTCCAAGGCCCAGACTGTTCAAAAAGCTTTCAGCTTCATTGCTTTTCCGAGGAACAGTACTTGCGGCGATCGATGCACTGGCAAAAGGTTAGATTATCAACGCATAGCCATAATATGAGCGTACCTGGGCACATTTCGGGCTGAGTTTGGGGATTCTACATCCATGGCATTATCAGCAGGGGACGGCGGTGGTATGTCTTTGCTCTTTGAGAACGACAATCCGGCCAGCTTGGGCTTGATGGAAGGAGGATTAACCTTCGGAATGGCCATCAAGCTAGATGTCTGGGCGAGCCGAGACTTAGTACTGAGCGAGCTGCCAGCAGAGGGGTCGACTTGAGGAATCGGACGAGAGAAAGGCTTCTTGACTTGAACCTTGTTCGCGGGGCGAGGAGGGGGTAGGGGGCGAGACGGGGCGACATTCGCCTGTTTCGGTGGAGAAGACGGGCCCGGGTCCCCGAACAAAGAGTCAACGGGCGATAGCCCACGAGGAGGCTCTGGAGGTTTGGGGGGTTCCGGAGGTTTCTCAGCCGCTTTCTTCTGCTAATTATGAGAATTGAAACTGTCGATATTTGTGCTGTAATGAGGCTCACCTTGGGGGGCAGCTTAATTTTTCCAGCGGACTTCTCTACAGGTTTATCTGATGCCTTCGACATGGGGGTGTCCTCCCTCGAGTCACCCTTATGCACAGGAGCCCATTAACAATTGCCTACCGATAAATGGAGAGCTTACCGTGCTCTTAAGACGCTTCTTCTTCTTCGGATTGATTGGTTCGCTATCTGAAGAATCATCAGAGCCGCTTGAGATCTATGTCTGAGTGAGCTTGGATGAAGATCGTCAACCGGGCTCAAGACTTACTGGCCGTTTCTTCCTCTTCTCTTTCCTCTTCATGCTCTTGAACTCTTTAGCAAAGAAACCCTTCTCCTTCTCTTGGGATATGTTTATCGAACTGAGAAATTGATCTAGAGCAGAGAAACGAAGGCCACTTACCTATCCAATAACCCTTGGCTGCTACTTCGTAGCCTGGGGAGTAATCGTCGTTGTCATGACCAATGTGGGTCCAGAAGGACTGAAGCAGCCTGTCACACCCTTTGACGTTCCCTTCCGGTTCCCAGCTACTGACAGTTGAGCAGTCATTCCAATACGCATGTGTCAAATGCAAACCTGTCACCATCAGACCCATAACCCGCCCACTGCGAGGTGGCGATCGGACATGTGAATCTAGGTATTAGACTCCAAAAGAGAACGTATTTAACGTACCTTGACATAGTATTCCTGAAGTGAGATACATGCACAGTGAGTTTATGAATCTAAGACACCCTCAGACATGCAATTTGCATGCACTCACCCATTCCAGGTCCTCGGTGACACGCGCTCTGGTGATGACCTCTGTGCAATGTGTCAGACTGTGGGGTGGCGTCCATTACTTTGAAGACGCACCGACATGGAAAACCTCTTCCTCGGACGACGATTCCTCTACTTGTTTCTTCTTTGCCATTTCAAGTGGTCGTAGGAAAGGGGGGAGTAGACGCGTTAACGCGTGTTATGGCAGTCGTGATCTGGGTGCGCCTTTAGAATGTAGTCGAATCGTACGGCGACGCGCGAACGTGCTTGAAGGAAGATGAAGGATCCTTGCTGCTCCACTCTCGATGCGATGGGTAGTGCGCTAATGAGAAATTAAATGTCGCGTTGTAATGGTCGTCGCGTTGGATGAAAGACGGGATCAAAAGCCTCCGTACACTGATTGGGATTGGGAAAGGCGGGGTTCCCATTTCGCGCGCGCTTTCTCTCGCAGCCCCTTTCTTTCTAGCACACTTCACAGCCTCCAGCGAGACACGATGTCCTCCAAATCCAAGTCAAAACAAGAAGAGGCCCAGCAGTTCCTCGACGATCTCGACAACCTCAACCCCCCGGCCGTTCAGACGCAATCAAGTGGTCCGTCTGCTGCCGGCGCGCCCGCCCCATCGGGGAACAGCGGAGACCAGCACGCCGATGTCCTCGCTTTCATCGACGAGATAACCCAGAAGAGCTCGGAACCCACCAAGACCACAACCGCGCACATCGACCGCCCGCTTTCGCGCGCTGGGACGCCTGCGTTGAAGAAGAGCACCGAGCGCGTGCGCGTCGGCGGCGGTCTTGCGTCTTCCTCGACATCCTCGCTTGTGGGAAAGACAGACACCCCGCCCAGATCCACCGCGCACCTTAAGAGCGAAGCCCAGTCCGATGCAGCAGCAGAATCCGCGGCTGCAGCTGGTGCTGGTCGTTGGGGTTGGGGTAGTGTGTGGACTCAGGCATCCGCCGCGTATCAGCAGGCGCGATCGGTCGTGGACGAGCAGGTCAAGAACTTACCCAAGAACGAGCAAGTGAGCAAGTGGAGCGCGGATGCGCTCGAGTATGCTAAGAAGGCTCAGCTGGACAAGCTTGGTGGGTGTTGTTTGCCACTCGATTACTTCGGTTGCATTGAGTGCCGTCGTTATCTATCTATGCAGGACAAGACTTCAAACGCGTCGGCCTTTCGACCCTTACTGACATTCTGAATGTCGTTGCACCGCCAATATCAGAACACGAAGTTCTTCAAGTCTGGCTAAGCCATGATATGAGTGGATACGACGGCGTGGAATCTCTGGTGTACAGGTCCTTGTCCCGTGTAAGGACAATCTTTCCGCTATCATGGCTTCGCTGAGTTTGGCATCTCACTTAGGTTATGGAACAAGTCGAAGGGGGCGACCTCATCGTTAATCGCGGTGCTGAATCAAGGCCCAAGGACGACGCCAAAGCCGAGGGTCGGGATTTGAACGCAGTCGAAGGGTATGAAGCTGCTCTCAAGTTAGCTCAGGTTTGTGCTAAGCCTCCCTTGACCAAGTTGACGTCTGATCTTGTACAAACATCTCAGGCGAACCTTGACGATCTGGTCAAGAACAACAAAGATGCACCCTCTCAGAAGGAATCCTCTGTGCAAAACCCGACCACTTATTCTTACCTTTATCTCCGCGTACAGCCCTTCTTGACTTCGTTCAAGCTTCCTCGAACAGGCGATGACGCCGTGGAACCCAATCAAACTCTTGAACAGTCAAGTCTTCAGTTCCTTCTGCACGTCTCAGACCCGGGCCACAAGCTGGTCCACTCCACCGTGACGCAAGCAGTCCCTGGCAGTTGGCTGGACATCTGGGAACAATATGACTGGGTCGAGGATTTGGTCGCCGAGTCGCTTCGCGTTGGGATAGAGGTGGTAGGACAGGACTATGTCGTTGCAAGAATGGGATGGGGAAAGAAGGAAACAGCGAAAGCTGACGAGCAGAGTATCCAGGAAACTGCAGCGGCCGCTGCACCCGCCACGGCTTGAGATGATACCAATGTACGGACTTATTTTGCTATGCGTCTTTTATCCATCGGGACTGGGCGCGAGAGCCGCTTTAAATAAGATCGCCATTTGATACTTTATGATGTCTATTCAAAGCACTACAGGAAGAATCAAATACTGTACTTCTACTTCTTCGCTGGTGGTTCCTCCTTAGGAGGTGGGACAGGCTTGAGCTCGGCAGGCTTGATGGGTTCAGTACCCTCGCCAACTTGCTCCCAAGGCGAAAGAGACTCGAAGTTGCTTTGGTAATCGTGATTAGCAGATCGCAATTGCCATGCGTATAGTGCACTTACCGGAATGCCTGAGTGAGCTGCAAAGGCTCATAAACGACCCGTTTGCGCTCTTCGTCATAGCGAAGCTCGGTGTAGCCCTGACAAACGAGCAGCGTCATGATCTGGAACTGGAATCTATCACTAAGGCACTTACCGTCAGAGGGAAATCTTTCCGAAGGGGGTGACCTTCGAAACCGTAGTCCGTCAGAATACGGCGACTGTAAAGTCTATTCAGTGACATCACAGACAGTAAAGGTAATTGTTACATACAGGTCGGGATGACCGGTGAAAAAGACTCCGTACATGTCCCATGTCTCGCGCTCATACCAGTCGGCACCACGGAAGAGGGAGACACAACTGGGAACAGGCTCGGCCTCGCCCGCGTAGGTCTTGACGCGGATACGAGCGGCGTGCTTGACGCTGAGAAGGTTATAGACAACCTCGAACCTCTGGTCCTTTTCGGGGAAGTCGACGGCGGTGATGTCCATAACGCTCTTGAACTGGCACTGAGAGTGGTCGCGAAGGAAGGTGAGGACCGGAATGATGGCGGAGGGAGCGACATGGAGGCTGAGCTCGTCCTTGAGGACGGAGAACTGCTGGACGAACTTGGGGAGACACTGCATGAGGTAGGAGCCGTAGGTGTGGAGGGATTCTGTCGTCTCCGCATATTTTGTCGCGGTTGGGTTGGGCGATGTGGGTTCGGTGAAGGGAGATACAGACGCTGGATGTGGACGGACATTGTCGGTCAGCACACATCTAGTCGTGTAGGTGACTTGGCGCGCTCACCGTTGAGGGAAGAAGACGTCTGCATTGCGCGAGCGAAGGAGGGGCTGTGCGCCCTGCGAGCGAGTGTAGAGACGCCCTGGACCACCCTGAGGCCAGCGCGGACAGACATGGCTTGTGGTGAAGTTGGACGAGCCCGGGTTGGGACTCCGATCACGTTTCTCGATTCCACCCGTGCGTTCTTCCGCGCGCGCGTCTCGGCTCTTCAGGCAATGGCCTCACTCAACGGCGACCAACCACATCAGCAAGAGCTCTTGGACTCCCTCCCATATTACGACAATGACCTAGAGCAGTACCCAATTCTTCACGAAAAGGTCAAGCGCGAGCTCGCCCGTGAGCCCAAGCCTCCATCGACTTTGCATCCCCGAGTGCCGCCTCCACTTGAGCTATTCAAGGTACGGTGCTTTGTACTTTCAGCATTCATTGAGGCTCAGCTGTTTGTTCAGAACAGCCCTTTGTTAGCTGCCGAACTTGACCGCGTAGAAAGCAACCAGACGCTTCCTCCGCTTGATACAATTCGGTACCAGCTCCCTGCACCGCTCACAGCCCCCGGCACAGATGAGGAGTGGCAACAGGCGCTCGATAATGCTCAAGCTCAGCTAGAACACCAGAGAATACGGTCAGGATGGGCATATCTACTTGTGCGCATATATGCATGCTAAACGAACATACCATGCAGGCAGACAAATCTGGCACTGCTGCAACAGTACGGATCGAACGCGTGGCGGATACACAACTACCAGTTAGAAGAGATGGCCAAGCAGACAGAGAAGGCTCTAGAGGAGCTCAAAGGAGTAACGACTGATTTGAACCGTGAACGAAAGAACTCGCAAGTATGTATCAGAATTGGAGGTGCCCACATGAATCCTAACTTGCACATTCTTTGCAGACGCGCATTGGGGCTCAACTGACATCGCTGGAGACGCGCTGGACAGAGTTGATCTCGAGCATTCTGCAGATCGAGATGGCGAATGCTGCTCTTGACGCAGAGGTGGACAGACTGAACAAAAAAGAGGCGGAGCTCGCTGCTATGTAGAGTACTTACATCTGCTTTGCTTATAATAATGCCATGTAGTCATTGGACTGGAGTTGCATCTAAGCCTTTGATTGGTGTTCGACGGCGTGGCGCACCGATACGATCAAGGAACCCGGAGTGATTTCCAAAAGAGGCGATACCGGCGGGGGCTGGTGTCCGGGTCGTAGTGGTTCTTGAGAGTAGTGACGGCCATTGGTCCGCCTGCAGCTCCTCCCTGTCCTCTCTGCGTCCTCGGTGAGTTTCCCCTCGCTCTCGTGCCAGATGCGATGCTGACTGGCTGCATAATTATCATCTGCATGTATATAATACGTTATATTCATGCCTCTGTGCCACTTGTTCCGATACTCCCACTGGCAAGACTCAGAAAACAGGAATCTCGGCGTCTTTCGACGCGTATATGGCCAATATCGACAAACCACTCACAGAACCTCCAGGCGGGACGAATTTCGATGCGCTGACAGACACGGCAGACAAGGCGCTCAGTCCACCCATCATCACCACGGACTCGTCTCCCCCAGCGGTCTCTTCCCCAGATCCCGCTTCCCAGAGCGCCCTTGCACTCGCCATCCCCTCACCGACGGGATCTGCAGAGCCATCTCGTCCATCTTCCACCACTGGCGTGCAGACACCCACGTCCTCTGTCAGCCCTCATCCGAAGAAGTTCACCGCCGTTAACATCAACAAGAAGTTCCTCCAGAAGAACTCCTCTTCCTCCGCCCCAACACATGCCCCATCGTCCATCGCCACTGTCAAGTCAGGCAGCCCAGTTCGTGAGTAGTCTTGGACATAGGCACAAATCATCGATTGACGCGCAGCGCATGGCCTAGCTCGTCCATCTGCCACACCCCTCAACTTGCACTCGCGCCTCGTCACAACCAAGCTCACCGCAGCGCCATCACTTTCCACGACCACAGGTCCAGGATGGTCCCGCCCGTCGTCCGCGACTCCTCCAGCATCGTCTACCCAATCGGCGGCTCCGAATTCCACGGGCCAGCCGCACCCACCAGCGCCTGGCCCGTCGACAGGACCCGCCCCACCTCAGTTGCCTCATGCCGGCAAGGTGATACAACCGCAGCGGTCCTCGGTACCCCCTAAAGACAGTTCAAAGTCTGCATGGAGCTCTACCAGGCCGCCTGTTGCACCGCTATCCCTAATTGCTACTAGCAATGACTTCCCTACCGCGGCCGAAGTAGCCCAAGGTCAGTATCTCACGAAACTTCATTCGTGGACTATGTGAGCTAAGCCATCTCAAGGTGCTTTAAAGCCCAAGGTCATCGAGGTCAAGCAGTCAGAAGAGCCATCATCTTCTAAACGGGTAACTATGCAAGAGGCCGATGCCTTCAGAGGGGTGCATCTTGATCCAAACGCGCACCATTGGGATGAGGTTTGCATTGATCATATCTAGGTCGTAAAGTTCATTGACCGAATTGGCTTGTAGATGGAAGAGGATGACGATAATTTTCTTGACGAACCGATCAATTTTGGCGATGGGCGACATTACGAGGTGTCAGCCCCATCACCACCCGATGTGTATTCAGCACCTACACCTGGTGGATACACCTCAGCACCCACCCCAAACATTATTTCTGCCCCCACTCCCAATTATGCATCACCTCCAACTCCTCCCCATCCCTTTGCTCGGACGCGGACTCCAGACTATCCCTCTGCTCGGCCTCGGACTCCAGACCATCCTGGTGGGCATGACTGGCTGGATCAGCGCCGCAGATTAAATGCAGGACACCCCGCCGACAGTGGGCTGCCGCATAGTGCCGTCAACAAAGAGGATCGCTTTGCTGATGATTACGACCGGAGTTGGCCTCGCTCGAAACCATCCATGTCGTCACTGGACACCCGTTCAGGAGGTGCTCCGCTATCAGGCTCCTCTCACACATCCTCGCAGCCAAGTCACTCGCCATCTGAGAGCTCCAGGCATCTTTTCAACGAGCGGTCAAATCGTCTAGAGCCTTATAGTGGACAAGCGCCTCCACCACAGCGCTTCAATCACGGTGCAGGTGCGCACCCGCCTAGACTTAGCTCCCGACCGGACGACGTCGAAGTCTCTAGCGATGTCCATGCAGGCAGAGATGGGCAACCACATTCGGCAAGGCCAGTACAGTTGCTACAGAAATCGGGCGGTCTGCCTCCTCGACCTCCGGGACCAGGTCACGTCCCGAATAGGTCATCAGAAAGAGCAGGACCGAGCTCGCCTGTCCTCTCAACTGGCCCCCCAAGAGGGCGTGAACGGCCGGCACATCTACCGAGCATGCAAACGGGATCGTCAGGATCAGCTGTTTTATCCCCAATCTCACCAGGAGGGAAAGGACGCCAGCTTCCTCCCCATCTCTCGCAACGGCCTGAGTCGCCCACTCGTAGACGACCATCTTCTACGCTTGAGTCTCCTCCAACATCCATCAGAGGTGCAGCTGCTTCCCCGGTTTCGTCGCAGACGTTGGAAGCACCACAGCTTTTGTCACCTGCAGTGGACATCGAAGACGTACATAAGACCGCGATGCATTCGGCAGCTGAAAGGGCACGGCAGCGGAGACAGATAGAAGAGGAAGAGAGACAGAAGGCACAGGAGCGTGCCAAGAGGAAGGCGGCTGAAATGGAAGAGAAGATGAAGAGGCTGGAGGCAGACAAAGCTCTCTCGGTGCCCGTGACAGAGCAAAAGACCTCCGCAGAGGTGAGATTTATGGCTGATTGTTTGCAACACTATCATAACTTCTCATACATACTCACCACGCGCGCTTTCAGGCTGATGCTGTGAACCTAATTGAGGAAGCAGTCGCTTCTGCCGATCCCAGGTCAGACCAACAACCAATCCTCATGAAGCCAAGTCTATCCCAGAGGCCAACGGAACGACAACCCTCTCTTCGGTCTATATCTCCTTCGCCCTCTGCTGCTGCTGCACCTTCAACAGCCGTAGAAACTTGGAGAAGGGGTCCACCTCGAGTCATTTCCCCTGCAAGTCAAACACCACCTCCGGCTCCTGCATTGCCATCCCAGCAGCAATCGCTTCCAAAATCACCAGTTCCTGTGAAATCAGTCTTGCATGGAGCAGAGCCACCGCCAAAACTGACAGGTGATGGGCTCGAAGAGGTTGACTTCTCAGACCTCGGCAAGTTTGTCAGCGGTGAACCTCCCGCGTCTGCTGGGCTTCCTCCAAAACCCGTAGCCGCCGCTGAGGCCGCTAAATCAAACAGACCGGTTGCTAGCGACTTCTTCGAGAGTCCTCCCAGGACGGAGACAAATCCGTGGAGGCGCCCCCCAAGCGAGTTTGCTCGCAGGCGACCGTCTACCTCCCTCTCGAATTCCGATAGGCCTTCCGGAGAGGTTGATGGACCGGTGCCTGGCACACCGTCGAAACCTTACCTGAAGGAAGCGGACCTCCTTGCAACACAGCGCCATCCGCTTCCACCAGTGCCGGTTTCGCCAACGCTCTCCATGGGATCGAAAGCTGCAGCTTACCGCGAAGCACCAATGTCTGCTCTTGACGACGTGATGTCTCGCATCAAGGGTGCTCTGGATGGCATGCACGCTGAAAACACACCTGTTCCTACGACGGCTGTCAAAGAAACGCCTCGGACTCCTGAGGAAACTCGACCTCCCAAGCCTTCCCCGCCACCCCAAGCGCCTTTACCGCTGTCATTGCCTCCAAAACCGATAGCAGTCAGAGAGCCGAGATGGCTTCCGCCAGCCCTTCGACCCCGACAGCCACCAGGTCCTCGCACAACAGAGGTCTTTGACGTCACGGTGAGCGAGCCACCGCGTTCGCCCAAGCCAGCGTGGAACGCTTTCACGGTGAACCTACCGGAGGTGCCTGAACTCTCATTCATGCCCAGGAAGCAGATACACCTGTACAAGAACGCTTCCGACTTCACCCGTTGGGACACACTATCCTGGGATCCTCCCGTGAGCGGTATGTCGAAGCGTGACCTCTCGGTGAACGGGGTCCTCTTCAAACGACCTCAGCCAATCAGAGGGAAGATCAGGTACAGAGTGTCGCTTCCGAGGTTCTTTCCTCGCCAGGCGGCCTCGAACTCAAGTACTCCGCGAAATGTGCCTGCAACAGTCGGAACTCCAGCCAACGCTGGTATTTTTGGTCGTCCACGGATCACGGACGATCTAACATCGTGGCGCAAAGTAGCTGTATCTTCTGAAGACAAGGAGGATTATGTGGAGGCTCCATCCACACCCGACGTTGCTCCTACTTCGTTGGCAGAGAGCGCAAGTGCCAAAGGAGACCCTGCATCCACGCCATCACGGTCAAAACCGAAGATGCCCGTTGGGCATTCCGTAGGATTCTACCGGGACCCGGAATCGCAGGGCAGTGAGAAGACACAAACGGTCAACTTCACGGTCTCCAGCGAACTGGAAGAACCTACCGCGATTATCACCGTTACTCCTGCGCCTGAAACGAGCGATCTTGCTGCTCTTCCAGAGTCCATGGCAGAAGACGCGACGGAGCTTCCAAGAGAAGCCAGCAAGCCTTTGTCCAACGGTGCTGCGTCGGACATGGATTCCCCTCGCGCTGCAGGATCTAGCTTGGTTGGTTCCAAGAGCTCTGACGATTCGGTTGGTTTCTTGTCTTCTAATCTTAAATTCTGCCTATTTCTGACCTGTTGTTGGTCCGCAACAGGGCGCGGCACTTGTCACTCCTCCCTCCGGACAGTACGGCACCCCATGGAAGTCACCACTTAGTCTTCCTGGAAAGGATTCACCAGCCCGCGGACCTGATCCAGAGCACCTGAAGGCTGTTTGGTCGCAGACGACAGACAAAGCGCTATTGCCGAGCGTCAATTCCCTTAAAGGTATAGCCGATGATCTGACGGCTCTCCCGTTCACGCTACAAGATGTCAAGTCGGAAGACGGTGGAACGCCACCTCCAACGAGTTCAGCAGCGCAACCGAGGCTGTCCCTCTCAGACGTAACGCGCGCCTTCCAGCAAGCTCCTCTGCCGCCGTCGGCCTCATCACACCGTTCTGCGCCTCGCTCTCCGCCTTCTCAGCCTGCTCCTATCAGTCGACCCAATAACTTTTACAATCACAACCATAACCACAATATGCCTCCCTCGAATCCCTCTATGCGCCCACCATATCCGCCTTACTCTTCACAGTCTCTCGCGCATTCCCCAAGCCCGACGTTCTTGTATCCCCCGCCAGGACCAAACCAAGGTCCTCCCCGAATGGCCACCAACGGTCATTCGCCAATGTACGGTCAGCCGCTCTGGGTATCCGTGCCATCGGGCCCGCAGAATCCCAACGGAGGCATGCGCCCGATGCACTCGCCTTATCCTGCGCAGCTGATGTACCCTTCACCGAACGGAGTGCCCATGTATGGACCGCCACCATCCGGCCACAATGGACCTAACGCCGCGCACCCCAATGGCACATCTCAACCCCGCAGAGACGGCATGCCCATGATAAGTCCGGTTCTGCCCCACGCCGCGCCGCATGCACCCGCAATGTATGCGAACAGTCCAGTGATGATGCACGCTGTGCCGTCTGGACCTCAGGCGTTCATGAGTCCGGTGCTCTCTAGCGGGATGCCAGGGCGTCCAGATGGTGCCCCCTCCGTACAATCTCAGCACCCCGGTCCACAAAACTCTCATGTCGGCGGTTACAACGCACAGATGTACTCGCGACCCTCTTGGTGAAACAAAGGACCCATGTGCACGATCCGCAATTGACGATTTATCTCCCTCTAGTAGTGTAGTCGTATGCTGTTCCGTAACTTCTATACATTTTACTTGTGACATATTCACGCGTGCGTTGGCAAGTGGAAAAAGAACCAATGATAAGTTATATGCTACTGATAAAAACAGCCATCAAGATCGGGTCTATGGAGGTATATATCCGAAACTCAGACCGCAAGCTGGACAGCTTTCTCGGCGGCCTCGTCTAAACCATCGAACGGAATGATCTTGAGGCCAGAATCTTTGATCATCCTAGAAAACAGAGAGTGGTCAATATCCAGCGTGCTGAAAAGTTGTTGTGACAACGTACTGCTTGGCCTCAGCTTCCTTAGTGCCCTTCAGGCGGACGACGAGGGGGATATCCAAAGAGAGCTCCTTTGTTGCCTTGATGACACCCTCGGCGATGTAGTCACACCGCATGATACCACCGAAGATGTTGATGAAGATGCTCTTGACCTTGGGGTCGGTGAGCAGGATCTCGAACGCCTTCTTGACGGTGTCGGGGGTAGCACCTCTGAGAAGCGGACATACGCTGTTAAGTAGCGGTCATAGAAGCACAATATCACGATGTGGCTCACCCTCCCACGTCCAAGAAGTTGGCGGGCTGGCCACCGTGGAGAGAAAGGACGTCCATGGTAGCCATGGCCAGACCAGCACCGTTAACGAGACAGCCAATGCTGCCGTCGAGCTTAATGAAGTTCAGGTTAGCTTTCTGGGCCTCGACCTCAGATGGCTCCTCCTGCGAGATGTCCCGGAGGGCGAAGATGTCCTGCTGACGGAACTCAGCGTTGTCGTCGAATCCGAACTTGGCGTCCATGCTTGATTGTGCCCAATTTTAGTCCGATTTAACTCAAATATGCAAAGAACCCTACTTACCAAAGAGCGCGGCCATCAGCCGTCTCTGCCAGAGGGTTAATCTCAATCTGCGTGGCATCCTTGTCCTTGAAGATCTTGTATAAGTTGACAAAGATCCCCGCGGCCTCCTTCTGAGCGGCCTCGCTGAAACCGAGCTTCTTAGCGAGGTCGAGAGCAGTTTGTTGGCTCAAGCCATTCTCAAAGTCAATCGGGGTGGTGATGATGGCATTGGGGTCCTTAGCCGCGACCTCCTCAATATTCATGCCACCCTGATTCGACACCACAAGCACCGGGCCCTGAGACGCACGGTCGTTCAAAACGGCAACATAGTACTCGTGCGAAGGATCGCGGCGCTCCGCAAGCATGACCTAAAGAAACGAAGTCTGTCAGTTATCGCCGCAGCGCAGTTGCATCCGTCCTTACAGCGTTGCAGACGCGACCAGCGGCACCGGTCTGCTTGGTGATGAGCTTAGCGCCAATCATCTTGCCAGCGTACTCCTGAGCCTGCTCCGGGCTGTGCGACACGTTCAGCGGACGGATCCGGACGCGTCAAGCGGTAGGTTTACCTGTCAATCTTGTGGACACCACCCTGGAAGCCACTGTCGAAGTGGCCCTTGCCACGGCCTCCGGCAAGAACCTGAGCCTTGATCACCAAGTTGCTGTGGCCTGTTTCACGAATGTTAGCGAGTCAAACGGGTACTAGGTAACAGGAGAGCATACCGAAGCTCTTGGCAACACTGTAGGCCTCCTCCGGGGACTTGGCAGCGATACTTTTGGGCGTCGGGATGCCATACTGTTGGAGGACATGAGCCGGACACATCACCCGCAGGCTGCGCAGTGACCACTAACCGAGTTGAGCAGGTTTACTGACTGGTATTCGTGAATAGAGAGGAAGCGTTTCTGACTGGCAGAGACGGCCTGGAAGAAAAGAGTCAAAAGCGCGCTCTTCCCTCCAGAACGTGACGTACACGAGCGACGGAGCCAGCCTTTCTGAGAGACGCGAGCATTGTAGAGGGACGGAGGGGAGAGTCGGAGAATGCAGGGGCTGGCTTTGGCTTGAGCTACTCAGCCGTTTACTTATAGAAACGAAGGAAGATAGTAGTCGAGGACCCGGCAGCTTCGCGCACTGCCGCTCACAGTCCGCCCGCCGGTTCCCTTGTTTTGCTTATGTAAGCTTAAAACGGCTTTAAAACGGGACAGGCTCACGCTCTTTCTGCTTCTTCACCCAGAGTGACGACGACGGCGAGACGCGTGATTCTGTTTGAATGTCTCCCCAGTCTCCGATCCCGCTCTCTTTCAGAAGAGGGTGAAGGAGCGGCTCTGGAAGAGTGACCGTTCAGGTCCTCGTCTTGAGTTCGGGCAGTTTAGGCTTCTGCCTCGGTGGGCTGTCCGAAATTAGATTGTAGGGACACTTCAAGATCTCTTCTCTCTTCGTTACAAATTCGTACATTCTTGCACGCCTTGAAATCTACATGTTCAGAATTCACGTACTCGGGCCCATACATTTGGGCAACCTTGACATAGTGTTTCTATGCTAAACTATTGTTGCTATCTAATCATTTGATCACCCCCGGGCACGATGACTTGGCGAGTCACCCAGCGCTAAGTGGGCAAGGGCATCGACGACAGTATTGTGCAAGGATTATGGCACGCTAATGGCATGCTGCACCGACGACATACATATGTAATGATAGAGTCGACCTTTACAGTAAACCCTTTTCGCCCTCTCTCCCTGACGTCAGGTCGCCTTCTATCCTCCTCGAACAACATCGACGCTAGCATCAATGGCCGAGTCCGTCATTATTTCCAGCACAAATGGCGCTTTGACCGACAATGACACGTCGCTCGAGCAAATGCTCTCTGTCTCTACCGAAGTCTTGCGCCAAGCACTCGACCTTCTAGACAACGTCTTGACCGAGGATGAGCAGCTCACGACACCATCCAAGTACCTGCCTGGCTCAACCATCGGTACGTTCATACATTATTTTACGCGACAAATACGCCGATAATTTCGCAGGGAAGCATCTCCGCCATGCCCGCGATCACTTCATTCTGCTCGCGGATTGCGTAGATGGTCCAGAGCCCCATATACTGTCCTATGACACTCGTGTTCGTAACACACCTATGGAAAGCAAGATTCACGATGCCAGGGACTCGCTTAAGGAAGTGATCGGGCGGATACAAGATATCGTCCCTAGAATGAAGCTTGATTCTCCAATGACTCTGAATGCGGTCACCCCCTTCATGCAGACATTCGAAACGACCTTTGGTCGAGAGGTGAATGCGAATGCAAATCGACCAGTTTGCGCGTCTAACGACCATTCGTCATCAGTTATGGTTCACTGCACTTCATGCCGTACATCATTGGTCGATGGTCAGTGCAAAGCTCTTCATTGTGAATGCCTACGGGTCTAACAAGTTTCATCAGGTACGTGTGATTGCGGGCGAGATGGTGAGTCAACGCGTCTCTAAGGTCGTGTAGGCCGGTCTGACCAGCAATTGTTCTAGGGCATAACGTTGGCGGATGATTTTGGGTTCGCACCATCGACGCTCGTTTACAAGAACAGCGAGGCACCTCTTGGAAAGGGCAAGATGTAGATACGAGACCTAGTGCGAGTGCTTGTAGTATACTAGTATATAGCTACTTGTTCACCCATATAATGCATCCCCGCAGTGGCGTTCCTGGCTACTGGGTCCGATGGCTTTTGAGCGACTGGCACAGCTGCCGAACATGGACATCCAAACATACTCACATCCTAATTATAATCGAGCTGTTTGACCTCATTCACCTGCCAGATTGAGCACCTGTTACATACATATACCTCCACCCACCGAACACCTTCACCACATTTAAGCGTTCCCTGTCCCCGTCATGTCGGGCTTCACAACCCCTCTCGGCGATGATACTCACAAGAAACGCGTCGTATGTACCCAAGTTTTCTTTACCTGCAATTGTCTCTTTATCTCGTATTTCCTCCAACTGTAGTGCTATTTCTTCGATTCTGATATCGGAGGATTTCACTATGGACCTGGTCATCCGTATGTTGAGTTTTGTGCTGATCAAGGGACAATTGATCATCAAATAATGCACTGCTGAATTCCAGGATGAAACCCACCCGTATACGGATGTGCCATTCGCTGGTTATGAACTATGGTTTGTACAAGAGGATGGAGATATTTGTACGTCAATCATTGATTCCGAGCTTTGAGCACTAGCAGTGACACCGTTAAACGTCATGATCAGCGTGCAAAACCTGCAACAAAACGCGAGATGACGCAGTTCCATTCAGATGAATATGTTGACTTCCTCAGTCGCATAACACCTAGCAACATGAACTCCTACATCAAGGAGCAACACAAGTGTGAGGTGCAATCACATTCCACGAGCGCGACTCTGACTCCGATCAGACAATGTTGGAGATGACTGCCCTGTATTTGATGGTCTCTTCGACTACTGCTCAATCTCGGCTGGTGGTTCGATGGGTGAAGCTGTTTTCATATTGTTGCAAGGACATCTCATTCATCCTTTATCAGAGGGCGCGGCCCGGTTAAGCAGAGACAAATGCGACATAGCTATTAACTGGGCAGGCGGCTTACATCACGCTAAGAAGAGTGAAGCCAGCGGGTTCTGCTATGTGAACGGCAAGCTGTCACTTGCACTCGTCTGAGCATACACGCTGACCCGCTTGTAGACATTGTTCTCGGCATACTTGAGCTCCTCAGGTAAGTATATATCGTGCCGCCGAGTTTTTATCTAAACGCCCATTCAAGATACCACACCCGGGTTCTCTACATCGACATAGATGTGCACCACGGCGACGGCGTAGAGGAAGCATTCTACACTACCGATCGGGTCATGACTGTCAGCTTCCACAAGTACGGCGAGTTCTTCCCAGGAACAGGAGAGCTGCGCGTGAGTCCAGCTTTGGAGTTGTGCGATTTGCGTTGACGGGATATGTAGGATGTTGGTATTGGCAAGGGGAAGGGCTACTCTCTCAACTTCCCACTACGGGATGGTATTACTGACGAGAGCTACAAGTCAATATTTGAACCAGTAGGCATTTGTCACTGCCAATCGCCGGAAACTGACTCTTTGGGACAGGTAATTCAACAAGTCATGGATAACTTCGACCCTTCAGCGATCGTCCTTCAATGCGGCACTGACTCATTATCGGGGGATAAAATTGGCTGTTTAAACTTGTCTATGCGAGGTACATATCTGGTCTCAGGTATAAGACTGAGTCTCAACTTATGGCAGGGCACGGTAATTGCGTCAAGTTTGTCAAGTCGTTCAATAAACCATTACTGCTCCTCGGAGGTGGCGGATATACGATGAGAAATGTCAGCCGCGCATGGGCTTACGAAACAGGACTTGCCGCAGGAGTTGAACTTGGACCAGGTGAGTTGCCGTTTGGACTCGGTGAACGGTGTACAGAGCGCTGGTAACAGAAATCCCGGTCAACGAGTATTACGAATACTTCGGTCCCAACTATGAGCTTGACGTCAAATCTTCGAACATGGAAGACATGAACACCCCGGAGTATTTGGACAGAGTCAAGAATATCGTGTTCGAGAATCTACGGCACCTTGGTGGGCCGCCCAGCGTGCAGATGTCAGGTAGGGAGGCGGCATCTATTGAACGGTTGATGTTGCTAACTCCATATCCAGATATCCCCAAGCTACCGATTGACGATGCTATAGACGATGTTAGTAGAGACTTCGACATGCTTCCGCCGGACGAGCGGCGGCCAATGCGTTTGCTCGACTCAATGAGACAGGCAGACGGTGAACTTTCCGACTCGGAAGACGAGGGCGAGGGTGGTCGAAGGGACCACGCAAGCCACAAGGAACGCAAACGGGGGAGTAGAAGTCCCTCGAGCGGCACAGAAGATGTTGGGGGACGGAAATTTGGGATCGGCACGGGTATCTTATCGTCAGGTCCTGGGACCCACGGCGCCGGGCCCAGCGGACACACGACCGTGGTGCCGCAGAACCTCGGTGCAACATCCATGGATGTGGACGACATGCCCTCGAACACAGAACGACAACCAACTCCGGCAGATGTATCGGTCACAAACGGAGCCCAGGGTACTGCGGAAGCCGAAATTACAGCATCGGCAACAACTACGAATGGCATCGCGATGATGGAGGACGAAAAGCCAGCGGCTGGACAACCTGAGAGCTGATTGTTTACCTCCCAATGTCTATATTCACATTACAATAGTAACTACTGCTGTCATATCACAAACACCTGCGCAGACATATGGTTCCCATAGAACGCGGAGACGAGCACCGAGCTGGTTTCCACGCGCGGCGTGACTCATATTACAAACGCGTCTCGCGTACAATTCAGGGCTTATGCTCAGGAGCCATTTCTTCCACCCACCATGACTGAAGATAACCAACGACCAGTGACGCCGCCTCCCAGGCCAGTGGATACTCATTCTCTCCAACTCACGCCAGATCAAGTCCGGCAGGTTGAAATCAATAGGCTAAGAGGTATTGTCGCGCTCATCATAACTCCCTGAGCGGTCTCCTTAGTCATGAACAGCCAAGGCTAAACAGCGACAGCGCGAGAAAGAGTCAGCCGAAGGCTCTTCTTCGACGCTCAACGAGAACAAGAAACGCCCGTTAGAAGTCACTCCCGCTGCCTCTACATCTCCAACGGCACCAAAGCCGCTGAAGCGTGACTCGAGGCTAGGGAAGTATTTTGAGTATGACTTGTCCAAAATGGTCAATTCGAAGGGAGGTTTCCTGGTCGAGGACGAGAAGGAGCCGAATAAAGATCTTCGAGCCAAAGAGCGGGAGCGGGAGAGGCAGCGCGCATTACAGAACTTGGAGCCCCGTAAGTTGCAATAACGCGTTTCGCCATACTAATCAGAGAAGGATACTAATTAGCCGTTTGTAGCTATGCACTTGGATCCTGATCGCAATCCGAAATGTAAAGAGTGCCAATCTATGGACATAGATTATACCTTCAAGAAGATCTTTGGATGCTTGGTGTGCAACAAATGCAAGGATCAATACCCTGAGAAGTACAGCCTGCTCACCAAGACTGAATGCAAAGAGGTAGGCTCTGCATCTGTTCTCAATCCTACGTTCCTTACCTTGTCGCATTTAGGACTATCTCTTGACTGATCGTGAGTCATCCTACTTCATGCGAGAACCGCGATGCTAACGATCCCTCAGCTGAGCTCCGCGACCATGAGCTCCTACCTCATCTGCTAAAAGCCAATCCACACAAGTCTACTTTCGCCAATATGATGCTCTTTCTTCGCTGTCAGATCGAAGAGTTTGCCTGGAAGAAATGGGGTTCTCCTGAGGAACTCGACAAAGAGTGGGAGCGCCGAGTCGCGGAGAAGAAAAAGAACAAGAACAAGAAGTTTGAGGAAAGCCTCAAGGACCTGAGACGGAGGACGAAGGAGGGGATCTGGCAGAAGAGAAAGGACAACGAACACAAGCATGTCTTCTCGACAGTCCAGGACGGAAAACAGGTTTGCCATGAATGCGGGTTCACTGTTGACGTTGAAGTGTTCTGATTGGTGAAATGTGTCCATGCCGAAGCTCGTGGCCTTCACTCGGTCTTAGCACAAAGGCCAATTCAACGTTCAGCACCGACAGGGAGAAATAGACGACCACAAACCCATGAACCTATCGCTCAATGTAATCCTCTAAGGGGTATCAGGGCTGATTATTCCTTAGTAGCAACGGCGAGGTAGGGCCGAGCTGGCTCAGCGTTCTCCGAGCAGCTCGATGGCCTGTGCAACTCCTTGGCCCCGGGAGAGATGGAACCGTTGCCGGCTGCTACGAGCCCCGGCTACGTACTCGCCGGTGGGCTGTCGGGGGGATCCTCCTATATGGCCGAGTTTATTCTCAGGACATGAGGAATGTGTACGTGAAGTTACAGCTAATTTACTGCCGGATAAACCATGTACTTACGGATTTATAAAACGCCTGAGTATGTGTGGCTACGGTATACGTTGTAGAGCCAATAAAAGCGCGTACAGCGCTTGTTACTGGCCCGGGGCGTTTTCGGATATTTTAGCAGAAAACATTCCAAAAAACCCGCACGTGTTTCTCTTCAGACCGGCTACCATCCCGGAGATAGGGAACTCGGCGTCGAGTCGGCTGTTGGGGTTTGGGATCAGCAAATGATGCCGGATGCTTGTATTTAATTGCAACCTTCTGGCAATATTAGCCTAGTCTGGTGTACCATAGGAACGTTCGCGGTCCACCTCTTTCTACCTCGAACAAAACATGGAAGACACAAATCAAGTAGAGCCGAACACTATTGACGTTTGCCTTGATGTTGAGCAGCTTGAAATGAACTTATTCCGCTCTAAACGTCTTTTCATGCCAACTCGCGCCCGAGGTGTGTTCGGAGGCCAAGTGATCTCACAGGCCATTGTTTCTGCCACCAAGTCTGTCGATTCTGGGTTTGGCCTGCATGTACGAGTTTTATTATGTTCATTCCGTGTATTCCGATGTGCTGATCTCTCTCTCAGTCCATGCATGTGAGTCCTGGCGCTCCTGGAGTCACCAGAAGACAGTTTCCTAACGTGTCCAATATAGTGTTATTTCCTCTTAAGCGCATCTCCCGCCGTTCCCATCATCTACTTCGTAGAGCGCCTTCGTGACGGGCGTTCGTATTGCACACGCAGCGTCAAGGCTGTCCAGAACGGGAAAATCATCTTTCAGCTGTTGTGTTCATACCATAAGCCGGAGCCATGGCATCCAAGTCAACAGTGGCCCATGCCTGTCGGCGTCCCAGATCTGTACGAATGCGAGCTAGAGGAAGACTTATTCAGGCGCCAGGCAGCGCGAGAAGACATAGATGAGCGAATGAAGGCACTTCTTATAACTTATGCAGAGGTGAGTCATACCAAGCCCACGCTCATAGTGAATGTAGGTCATGATTATTGCCCAGGAGCGCTCCAGGGGCCCTATCGCTGTTCGTAGAGCGAAGTGGAATACTGTTTCAGAAGATGGTGCCTTGACATCGATGTTCTGGCTACAGGCACGAACCGGACGAGCTGAGAGATACGAAGCTCCAGTCCAGAAGGTAAGTGTCCTGGCAAAGCCTGGCATGTGATACTAATCACCTGGAGACAGTGCATTTTGGCTTACATGTCTGATATGAACTTGTGAGTTTCAAGCTTGATCACAACAAAGCAGGAGAAACTTATGATCTCTGTAGCATTACTTTGGCTACCGCTGCTTTAAAATTGAAGCGTCATTCGAAGGAAGCAGACGGGCATTCCATGAGTGTGCGTTCCCAATAGACAGCATTGCTCTAACCTAGCTCATTGACTTATCAGTCGACTTTGGACCACTCAATATACTACTACGAGTGAGTTACCTTTCAGATATGTCGGTCGCGGCAACTAAGACTTTCCTCCAGTAATGACTTGAGCTGTGAAGATGGTTTACTTTATGTTGTGAGTGCAGAAGTCACGCCATGAGTGGCACACCTGTGGTAACAGATACCTTCAGGTAATATGTCCGCGAGGGGCCTCTGGAAGGGCGGTTGTACACGGACGGGTGCGCAACTACTTATCAATCATTGCACGCAACTTACACGTCACCTTAAGTTGTACTCGCGTACCGGCAGTCTGGTTGCTGTCACTTCTCAAGAGGGTGTTGTGCGGAGCAACGCCAGGGCCCCTCAACAACAGTCCAAGCTTTAGTTTTACATCTAATCTAGACTTTATGCTTCCTGAACACTTCATAATCGTACATCACAGCGAAAAGCCGGGCTCACACTGGGAATGGGTTTGTCATATTTTTCGCATATGGACCTAATGAGAGTACATGCCCGGTAAAGGATTACGAGCATACAGTTTTCGAGCAGCCAAACCCAAACGCAGATGCAAATTATTTTGCGTGTCGGTTTAGGTAGATGAGAATGCGATGAGGATGTGCAGCGTGCGAGTGAATGCAAGGTGTAGAGTACAAGGGATCGTCGCCTAGTTCTTCCGACGGAACGAACACCCTACGCCAAGACATTAGGAACAAACGCAAGCCAATAGGGAGTTAGCTTACCCTCAGTCAATCTTGCCTTACCACCCGTAGGTTGACAGAGAACTGATGCACACGAGCCGCAAAGGACTACTGATTGGGCATGCGAGAAGACAGTGGTAATGGCGAAGCAGCCTATCCAGCATGGGTGAGATATGAATCATTGACATTGAGGGCCTGCATACCTGGGCACTTGACATCCATGAAGTAGGAGTTAGGCGACTGTACGAGGCGCTTGAGCTTGTGCTGCCTCTTCTCATGCTCAAGAGAGGGGTTGAGGAGATCGACGGCAAGAGTCTGATCGAAAAGATCAGTACATCATCTGGGCATAGTTTTACCTTGACTAACCATTTTAAAGGACTCGGATTACTTGTGTTCAGGAGATAAACGGCGACGATGACCTTGAGAGCGACTCGCTGACGAATGTCGAAGGGAAAGTTTGATGATATGGCAGGCAGAAGGTTAGGGTTCAATCGGAGCCTCAAATTTTCACTCGGCGTACCATCACGCCACAGTCTTCTCGCGCGAACGGTATAGTTCTTTAAAGTAAGCTTGGCTTCCTATAGTACAACTCATGTCCCTTCATTGACTCATTAATCACTTTCATTCGTTTTCGCTCTCTTTCACTACGTTCCTTATCATACTACTTACTGCAACCTTTACAACGAGCCGACGAGGTAGTAATTACCTGAGCTACATGTCACGTAGCGTAGTCGGCCAATATCACACTGTTACTGTTACAACTCTTAGTTCAAATATTAGTAACGCATCACGCGAGTAATCTTGACCTCGTAGAAGTCAAAAGAAAAAATGACAGATTACATGTCTCGATCGCAATGCGTTAACCATTGTAATCACGCCCTCACGGCTAGGCCTCTACTGATTTTTTGAGGGATGTACTAGGCTGACTACTCGTCGTCGCGAGCTTACGATCAGCGCAGGAGGCATAATATAATCGGTCGTAGACTAGGAGCAGATTGCTACGGTACTATCAGGTCAGCTCGTTTCTTTTGATAAAAGGGAAGTTGATCTTATTTAAAATCTGATCGCCGACTTGGGCTCGAAGGCAACGAGCGCTACAGTCTTCCTGTGGCCAGAGTACTATTGTCCATGTACTAGTTTGCAGCCATACATACATGCTATGAAGTCTCACATGCACAAATTGTGCGCCGACATGCACGCATCTTGGGGTTCTTCGGTGCGGCTATTGTCAAAGTCCAGTCTAGTCCATCTAGAAACTCATTCTGATGCCTCGGGGCAATGCATCGTGACGGAGGAACCGGAGTCAGCTTTGCGTACTCCGAACTTCTCATGAGGCTTCGAATGCGGACAAAAGTACAATAAACTAGAGCAAATCGAGACACAAGAGTGGCGCAAATAGGAGTCGAATGCAATTCTACGGGAGGAGAGCGGAAGTAATCTCGGCAGCGCGCGGTGGACGCGCCCTGCTATTGTGACTGAGAAAGGAAGTCCTTCATTGTCTTTTGTCCTCGCGTCGCAACCCCTTGTACTGGCGCAGTACCTCCTTTGTGTGGACCAGATGAGTCTTTCGCGTATATAAACCACTGTGCATCCTGCGCTTTCATCCCAACAGGGTTTGATATCCCAGTCTCTTCATTCTTTACTCTCTTCCTCTCCCTACAGCCAGGTTAGTAGTCCCATCGCCTGCGTACCCAACTCTTGCTGACCTATCACCTTCTTTTCCATTCGTTTTGCTCTTTCCCCTCGGTCCTTAGTCTGTTAGGTGTGCTCTTTCTTGCTCGACGTATTTGACACCGATGGCTAAACTGACCCTGGTCCAGATTTCCGACGCTCACATTCGATCTCTCCGTCCAATCTCAAATACACCTGAGACCACTGCTTGACGCATTTCCCATTTAGCGAGCCAACTCCCGCACCTCTCATCGCAGGTCGATCCACTCTTTGAACTTCTGCACGCAACGTTACACGCCTTCCATCTTCCGCATCAACTTCTATTCACCATCATCCCAAACATCAGCATGTCTTCTTTCAGCCTCAACGTCACCCTCGCCCAGGCGATTGCCTTCTTGACTCGTCCCCTCCTCCGCACTACTCCTGCTGCCACTGTCGTTCGCCTTCAGTCTCTTCTCGAGGCGAACCTCACTGCCTTGTTCGCTCCGACTTGGGAAGTGACCGATCCCCTCCGTGGCTCAGGACGCCGGTGCCTTACCTTGTCCCCCAACTGCCTTCCTCATCGCTATGTCTATGCCGCATGCGTTGCTGCTGGCGTCCAGTGGTTCGACTGGATGGCCGCGCTCGGTGGGCGCGAGTTCGACTTCTTCGTTGACCCCGGCTCCGTCTCCGTTCGTTTCGGGCAAGGTGCTAAACTGATCACCGTCTGGTCCGAGGAACTCATGGTTCATTCCCTCCCGAACACGTCGTCCTCGGCAACGTCTAAGACTCTTGCACAGCAGCTCTTGGAGAATGACGAGGAAGAAGACGAGCAGATTTTCGCCATGATTGCCGACGAAGTCAGCGCTCCTACCTGGATGGCCCCCATCCTGGACAAGTTCCCCATGCCCATACGCTCCGAGTCACCTCTTTCCGCGATCTCCAGCGACTCGCGCTCGTCCAATTCGAGCTCCTGCTTTTCGTCATCAGACTCGCGTAGCTCCACACCATCCAACGCGACTGCTTCTTCCGCTGGTAGCGTGGGGACTTCGAACCTCTCCCGTCGTGAGAGGGCCAGGCAAGCTCGCGTCTTCATTGACACCACGAAGACGCAGGTGACTCCTTATGATGGAGGCAAGACCACCGTTCTTACCGGTGGTGTCATGTTGGGCGCCGCGCGTGCCCCGGCTAAGTCTACTCCCCAGGCTGGCTCCACCGCGACGACCTGGCGCCGTGTCTAAACGACGCTCCATCTCTTGACATCACCTTCGGTTTGATGGAATTTTATGACAACCTCTGGCAGACCCTTTACGCCTTTTACGCAGAAAAAGCATTTCAACGAACTTTCATCTGGACATTATACCATAGCATACCATAACTTTCAGGCTTTATATCATAATTGTTCTCTGCCTTTCTCCGTCACCCCCTTGTCTCCTTACAAATCGAATGTGTAGCATCTACAGACCTTGGCATACCTTTTGTGGTTCTGCAAGCAATACCCCCCTGCTGTCGATTTCATCTTGGGCATTTGTAGATTATCTAGTTCGTAATATTGCTTTCTGCTTGTATTCTCAATACATAGCCTGGTGCACCACAAGTCCTTTTGTCTCTGCTGCATGGAAAAGCGCGAACGATTGCAAGCGTAAATGTACAGTAGCTGATAGGAGTCCATAGGTTCGAATGAATGGCTCCTCTTCGATCGTCGAAAGTGGAGTCAGCCACAGGTCAGCACCATTTGAACGGCACCCTTGAAGCAGATCTAGATATCTAGGGCGGTGTGAGCTTGTAGAGCTTTGAGCTTCAAGCCAGATTAGTAGGGATGGTCGCATACACCGCTCGTAAACCCCTTCCGATTGAGTTTCCTTTGGCCGACTCGGAAATATGTGGTGGACTGGGTTGGGCCGTACTGTCAAACGGGTTCATCGGAGCCATGACGTAGGTGATCGGCTGCATGTCCGTGTATGGGTGCCGGAATACTATATACGGTTCTGGATTGATGTCAGGTTCCATTAACGTCATCAGTGCCACTGGGCGCAGGCTTGCCCCGCTTCTTCTTTACGGTGGCCTCGCGATGCATATAAAATCCGTTGCAATTCGTTGAGCCTTTCGTTCTCCAGAGCCTCATTGCATACTCATTCATGACGACCTCCTCCATGATGTCTGCCGATACCGTCGAACAACAAAAGCTTCTTTATTCTCGTGAGCTCGCTGCATACACTCTTCGCCAGTGGACCGCCGTACGCAGAACCATGGAGAATAAGCCTGACATCGGCGGTATCAACAGCGCCTTAAATAGTTTTCATATCGATTCTTCTGACGAAACTTCCAAAGCTCGACAGCCAGGTGAGCACGCACAAATTCATTCGCGTTCATATCTTTATTCGATCGAGGCAGCCTGAGGGAGCCAAAACCACAGGGAGAAAGAGCTTCCAACCTCACTGGCACGACGGGATAGTCACAGAAAGTTGACGGAACATTAATTTACATCGTTCAAATCTTGTCGAGATCAAGGTCTGTCCCCAATTATTCTGTGATCTATCGTGGATATCTAACCCTGCGCCCCATATCTAGTGTCGAGCCTAGAATGAGCCGGCGGGGGACACTACAGTAATATGGCATCTAAACATATATGTCAACGTCCATAATACCACATTGCATCATAGTGCACGAACAGAACTACATTGTAACGCAGCTTCTAGATATTTACATCGCATTACCTTAGAACACTGTAGCATAGCGCAACAAATTTTCATGCTCACGACAGCTGAGCATCTGCATCAACCCTACTTTCGGCTGAAATTAAAGGAGACGTTGAGCATTGTGCTTTCGATACGTAAATTTGATCAGTCACCGGTTGGTTACCCATGAAGCTGAAGCTTCCACCTTGCCAGAGCAGTGGTGGGGAAGTAAAGGAAGATGTGAGATGATAGCAGTTAACCATTATAATTCCACGAGAGGTCGCATTAGCTGGGTGCACAACATCCTCTGGATATCAGAGGTACACTACAACTGGCTACACTCCAATCGATATTGGAACATACTCCTGGCATGATGTACCGATGGTTGTAATTCGTCAAAAAGTCTTTTGTGTACACCGAGGGAGAATTAGAAAATATGTCCAACTTTGAAGTTGGATGACTGAGTGTACCGTGTCGGGGAGTCTAGACAAACGTTATGGAGTAAAACCTATTGACCTCATGTGAAGTTGCTCCAACGATGATGGTGCACTTCAAGGCGCGACTCCAAGCAGGCGTGCAGACTCTGCATGTCAAACCAGGTGACGTCTTGGCCGAGTGGTGACTGGTGATGACATGTTGGCGCCAGTGGATTACATCGCCATTTGAATAGTGGCTCTTGAAGTCGATCTAGAGCGGCTCGTTTTCAGTGTACTGGTGGCGTCTTGGGTGGTGTAGTAATCGGCCACCGATGATACAGTCAAAACTCGAAGAAGCCATGCAGCTCCCCTGACAATGCCTAGACCTGTGCCACTGAGCGCCGAATTTTGGTGCATCATAACATTTGGGCCCTCGTCGCCGGCGACCCCGCTTCCGTATGTTTTTTGAGCATGCCTTAAACCAAGTTGTCAGAAGTCCCGAGAAGAGAGGTGTCGAGACAAGCTTTGAAAGGGGAAATTGCCTCGTGATCTAAGCCGGTGTAAAACGAGTAGGACTTGCAAACAAGCTTGCAACATTCGGGAGTCAGGCCTAGTAAGGACTCGGAAGCGAAGGCAGAGAGCTAGATCTTAAGTTGGCACTCTGCGGGTGCAGCGAGAGTCCTAAGTACGTGAATCCTGGCAAGGCTTAGTAGGCCTAGTGTAGAACTTGCAGCCCGCCTCCGGCACATCATGTCGTTCAACTATGTATACTTGAAGTGGGTCACCATCGGTACAGCGGGCCAGCCTTGTCTTGAATGTCAGACGAGTCGCATGCGCGCCATGTGGATTGTGCAGTGCATCCTCTAGGTCTGGCAAGTGCATGGACAGCCTGACCTGAGAGGGTAAGCAAAGACTCTCTATTCCTGTCTAACGCCGAAGTTTTCTTGTACTGTGATTCATCGTCAGAATAGACAGACTTTTGTGCAACGCGTGTGGAATATTTTTCCTTCGCCCAACTTGCTTAAATCTAGGTTTGGGATGTCCTTGGTATGCGATCTACCTTACAAAAAATCGCTGAGTGAAGAAAGCATAGGGTGCATGTGCAATGCACGAACCAGTGTTTTAGGCCGAATACCGTCAGAATAGACAGTCCGCGCGGGTGGTGATAATCTATATTAGGCAGGCCGTCGTGCACCGTAGCCGGTCTCAAAAAGGAAAATCAAGGCGTTATCGCTGAGCCGAAATCGCTGTTACAGCGGCTATAAGATTATGGCAAGGCTCGAGAGGACACTCTGTCATCGTTCCGACATATTTAGAGTTGTCGCCTTTTGCAGCGTCCAAAATTGCTCCAACGAAGGTTAAAGATGTCCTTACAACATATAATAGCTCTATCATTCACACTGTGTCGCAGCTTTGAGGCTTGCAGCTTCACATCCAGACATTCCCTCGCCAATCGCATGTACAGGCATGAAGTACAACATATTCTCGTAATTAACATGAATTTAGTTTGAATGATTTGCTAAGGAAACGGGCACAAAAGCGAGTTGTCTATTCTGACGGTGGTGTCTACTCTGACGGTGAATCACAGTAATCCCCGATAATGTGATCTACAAGTTAACGCCGCAGCCTATCGATATCTGGCACAATAGGCCTTTGCCAACGTACATCAGCTTAGATGATTTGGTATTTTAGTACTTTAGTTCTCGAAACCTGCCGACGATCGTGTTTGCACTTGACTTATCTGCGGCACTCTGCGGCGGGATTCAAGCGGGATTATTGGTATTAGTACCGCCAGCAGGTCATCCCTTTAAGTATACCCGACCATCGGTCTCCCTCTTCCCTCATCCTCCCTCATCTCAAACGTTCGCGACAGCTGCAGGATGCTTCGGATCGGACTGAAAGGTGTTGCTTTGCAGCGGGTAACTTTCATAAACAAGAGATCACTGGCGACTGTCACTTCTGTGGCTTCTACCATTAGCAGTGTCCGCAATGATTGGTCCCGGCAGGAGATACAGAAGATCTATGATAGCCCTCTACTTGACCTGGTCTTCCGCGCCGGCAGCGTCCACCGCGGACATCATGATCCCTCGAAAATACAGCTATGCACCTTAATGAACATAAAGAGTATGGTCTATTGGCATCTGCTTGCCACAACATAATCTAATTCGTTCACAACTTTTGTAGCGGGCGGTTGCTCCGAGGACTGTGAGAGCTCACAGTCGCTTTCGCTGCTACGGGCGTGAATATATGACACCACCAGGCTCCTATTGTTCTCAGTCCTCCCGTTACGTCACGGAAACGAAAGCATCAAGACTCCTGGAAGTTGCACCCGTGATCGAGGCTGCGCGCAAAGCAAAAGAGAACGGAAGCACCAGGTTTTGTATGGGTGCTGCCTGGCGAGACCTTGCAGGTCGTAAGAGGGGTTTCGAACGGATCTTGGAGATGGTTCGCGAAATCCGAGCAATGGACATGGAAGTGTGCACTACGTTGGGCATGCTGTCCCCAGAACAAGCCAAACAGCTCAAGGAAGCGTATGCGAAGCCACCATTTATGCATGTTAATCCATCTCATCTTTCTCTCAGGGGACTGACTGCTTACAATCACAATCTTGATACTTCAAGAGAGTTCTACCCGGAGGTGTGTGCGATGTGAAAGTCGTGAAATCCGTGAAGCCAATGATACTCCTGATGCCCCTTTCAGGTCATCACGACGCGCAGTTATGACGAACGCTTGGGTACCATTAGTGCTGTCCGTGAAGCAGGCATTAGCGTGTGCTCTGGCGGCATCCTCGGTCTTGGAGAGTCTGACGAGGACAGGGTCGGGTTGATATGGGAGGTGTCGAAGTGAGTGCCTCTTAGCCATTCTCAATCGGCACTTCACGTTGATTGATGTGCAGCATGCCGGAACATCCTGAATCGTTCCCCGTGAATGCTCTCATTCCCATACCCGGCACGCCCCTTGAAGGCAATGAGGCAAGTTAGATTGCTACGCATTTCTCCGTCGCTGACACCATGTCCAGCGAGTACCTTACCATACCCTTCTCCGAACGATTGCCACAGCTCGAATAGTGCTTCCGATGACCATCATTCGTCTTGCCGCTGGAAGGTACACTTTGGCAGAATCTGAACAAGTGATGTGCTTCTTGGCAGGAGCGAATGCAGTGTTTACTGGGGAGACCATGTTAACTACGCCTTGTACGCTTTGTATCGGCTGGTCATATATGATGATTGCTAACCGCGTAATAACTATTAGGTTCCCCGTGGGATGAAGTACGTGATTAACCAGTACCCTTGAACGTCCACTCTGATCTTCTTTTTTGCAGGACAAGGAATTGATGGGCAGATGGGGTCTTCAGGGCATGCGTAGCTTTGAGCAATCCAGCGTTGCTAGGAAAGAAAATCCTAGTCCTGGAGGAATACTCGCTGAAGCAGAGATTCAGAAGTAGACAGTTGGCAACGCTACTTATACCGTCGCAGCGCTCAGATGCGCTCGCTTAGAATTGTATTCCCCCGCTGTAGCTGATCATTTGCCAAGATGTAATCGAAAACAATGTACGCTTTGAGTGTTGTAAGTCGAGTCTCCTAATCTCGAGGGATTTCGAACAACACGAACTGTTGAACGTCCGTCTGGCGATATGGATAGGGGCCAGCTAACACCAGCCACCAGCCCGGGCCGACGATGCTTCGGAAGCTATTGATTCTCGCCTCAACACCTTCTGGATCGCTGCAGCCTTAGCTTGTACAGACACTACAGGCTTATATACAGCCTACGTATACCTGTAAGGCGCCGATATCAGTGAAGTTGTTGTCATTATCCTAAATGTACGAAGACGCCAGGTGAGCTACCATCGGTCTGCACTGCAAGTCGCTGACTGACCAAATTGTCCCTAAGTCCTCTTGTGTTGAACGACCACAGCGCGTGGTATTATCCTTCGACCGGGTTTGGTGAAGAAACAATAACAACAGAAAATGCAGCGAGGGGAAATTGGGGCAACAAAACAGTTGCAGGTTCTCGATGGGCACGGAAGGGCAAGAGCGCCCCATGGGGCCCAGGGATGGACGAATGGGAAGTGCGTACGCCCTGTAATATCTTTCTAGGCCTTTACTCAATGAGGCGTAGGCAGAGGAACGTGCACGCAAACGCATAAAAACACTTTTACCCCAGGACGAACGCTCTCCTTCACCACCCGTACTTCCTCACCTACGCTCCCCATCGCCCCCATTGGTTGCACCATATCCCCCTCCCACCACACAACATCTCAACTTCTCGTCCTTCATTCTTGACAAGGCTGTGACGCATTCTTTTCGCTCCAATCTCTTAGATGAGCTAGAGCAAGCCACGAATAACCTTATTGAAGGAGAAGCAGTAATGAGGCGAGCGTTGGGAAGACTATGGCAAGCTATCAGTGAGGACCCGGACGAACGCCCAGCTCAAGATGATGTTATACCCAAACGAGAAGAGCCCGAGGAACATCAGGATGGAGAGGACGAACGCGATGCCAGGGTAGCGCGTGCACCAGACCTTACTCCAGCTACGAATAGGCTGTTCCTTGCATCTTACCAGGACGATGGACTTCCGGTGGTAGATCCTTCACAGTTCGCCTCGCCTGAGATGCAGGAAGAAAGTTTGGAAAAGTCTCTCGCTACGTTACATGAACTACAGGATGATGGTCGAGAGTACGTTGAACGGCTAGAAGAGATCCGCGAGATCATTGGAGATGCACGCGCGCAACGGAACACGATCTGGGACTTGGTACGAGAGAGGACTATCAAAGAGCTGCAGGAACAAGCCTTCGAGCAGAACGAGGAGTCATAGGTGCTGGAATTAAACGCTACTTGTATTGTATGGACGCCAGTGGGTCTTGTGATGAGATTAATGAGTGTTTTCGATAATTAATCTGAGCTCTCCGCAAGCTCAGTTCAAATAGAATACATAATCATCATTAAGCGCCACTTGGGGACTCGTCAGCGCCTTCTCCACCCCCTGAATTCCCCCTGCCCAGCTATTCTCATTCCCTCACCACCATGGCTGTCCCAGACATTTCCTCTCTTAAATTAGATGACCCGGGCCCTAACAATGCTCTACACGATCCCGCGATGCCTTACGACATCCTTCACGCGACTGATCGCTATACAGCGAAGTTAAAGGCATATGCTGAATCATTGCCATACTCCATTGAACCAAACTCTAAGATGCAGCAGCTGCTGGACTTTTTCCTTCTGCGGATCTCTCAGTGTCTTGAAGCACGGGACTATGAACCTGGTCTAATTCAGTGGGATAGTATGCTCAGCTAGTGAGTACCTCGATACCTGGCACACGAGACGCGTCAATGAACGCGTTCTGCAGCTGGGCTATGATGAAATACCCAGTTCCCAAGGACAAGCGTATCCGCTTGGTCAAACTATACTATCATGTGGCTACTACACCGGGGATGTCATCTCAGACGATGGCTGTTTGTGCAGATGGACTAGCCAACCTCACACGTTCCAAGAAGAAGCTGTCTATCGAAGATATGAGGCTCCCCTGGAAACCCATCTTCAACATCCTTAGTAAAGACCTATTTCTATCAAGACGGCAGTTTGAGTATAGGTGCGTCTAGCCTTGGTCGATTCGCTGGTGCATTCACTCAAACTATCCTAGTCAACTGTCATGGATCATGGGATATGTCGCCAGCAATTCTCGAAGATTCTTTCATCCCGCTGCCATTGACGAAATGTTAAACACATTCCTTCCACGCATCAACGGCACAGATCTAGACGTTAGTGTATTAAACATTCCGTGGACACTAGCGATGTACTAACTCGCCACCCAGAGCCTCCTTTCCTCACAATACTATTTGCTGACATTCTTACCGCTGAGCCACCCTCAATCGTATCTCCCAATGCTATGCCGCTTATGGGAGTCTCTGAACTCTTATTTATATGATGAGAGGATGTTGCAGTTCCTTTCCCGCCTCTCAGAGTTACACGTAGATCCAACTGTCAGTGATCCCAAGAAAATCGAAGAAATTCCGGATGATGAGAAGTCTGATGACGAAGAACGACCGAAGTGGAATCGTGACGACCTCGACGACAGTGCACCTTGGTCTGGCATCTACAAGGATGTTGGCATATTCTCTGAGCACGAGTGGCATTTTATTATGTGCAAATGTCTTGCGTCGATGGGTGGGATATAACATCACTCAACCCAGTCACTGTAAGCTAATATCCTCACAATGCAGAAATACCGTTAAAAGATGCCGGGTCTCTGACGACCGGTCCGTCCGCCGATACAGCTTCTAGTTTCGAGATCAAACGCTTGCCTAAGCCTGCTTGGCGAATTCGTGAGCTCTGAACAAGGTTGCGCAGAACTTCGCTAAAGCGTCTTCTTCTAGCGTCACTTGCGAAAATCATTGTATACTCCATGTCTCAGGATGGGACTCCGAGTCCTGGTTCAACTGCCCCCACACCTGTTTTCACACCGGCGGGCTCTGGAACAAGCACACCAGCCCTGACAGCAGGCAGTGGCGTGGGTGAATATTTGACCATACCTCTAAACAGGTGGGGTCATTCCAAGGGTCCGACGTACCTTGCTGGCTCGAAAGCCCTTGATTCTTTGGCTCGCCTCATAGCCTCCACTGAACATTTCTTTCATCCGACAAATTCTGGTGGGTGGACGACTGACGTACGTGGCTTTGGTGATAAGGGAGTGCTGTTTGATCCAATTTTTGGCACAGCTTACGGCTTTCGTCAAGTTCATCGTCTATGAATTCAATAAGAGTAGGTCAACCATCGACTATATCTTGACGGATTTTAATCTTTCCAGGGTGGCATGAGGAACAGCAACAAGACTGTAAGACCCCTATGGTACGTTTGACCGCCATTTGTTAGCCAGGTTTCGTAACACCGTATACAGGCACGCAGGCTAACAGCGCACATGAAGCGTGAACTGGTCAAGTCGCTCCGTACAGTCATGCTGCTGTCCATGTTTTCGCAAGACTCTTCTACCGTGTCAAACGTTCAAAGCGCTCTGAAATCTATGTCATACATGGAACCTGCTTTGATCTTGCAGCCCATTTTAGAGCGAGCCATCCCTTCCCTGGAGGCCCTGGTTGAGGTATTCATGATCATTATCATGTGGTATGCCTTCTAACAGATGGATACCAGACCCACAGGACACTGGCCGTCATCAAAGCCTTGAGTGCAATCGCACCCGCCATTGTTTCCAGGGATGTGTACTATCCCGGCGCCAAGCACCTCATTACCATACTGCAACTACTCATCCCTGGAATTGATCTAGTGAGCTTTTTATCGTCCCAGCTTTATCGTCCCTACTCATCCACGAATCTAGAACGACCCCACTAAAACAGTAAGTTAGTTTCTTCACCGCCGCGCGGAGCTTGACCATCTGTAGTTGTGCACAACATCATTTCTCTCTGAAGTAGCTCAGTATATTGCCATCGGGGACATCTCACAAGCCGGGGACCAAACGTCAAGACCAGAGTCTCCTGCTACACCGCAATTCGATGTTACAAATGGCTACATGTCACTGGACGGCTTGGAAGACCTCATGCTTCCTGAGCTCCCAAGGAAAGAGGAGGATGCTATTTTGAGGGAAACCACCGGCAGCTTTGCGAATTGGATAGAGAGCTTTATCCATCGTATTATACAGCTTCTGGAAAACTTACCCGAAGAAGGTGCAAATGGCAATGCCGGAGGAGCTAGCGAAGGTAAGGTCCTTGTAAATGCTGTAATTTCCTATTCTGACGGCCATGCAGTTCAGGTCATTGATGCCGTCACGGGCGCTTGCAGCCAAATTTGCGTCCACCTGTCAGACGCTCTCTTCAACCAGGTTTTAGACCTAATTTATGACTACGCCAGCAACAACGTTCGCTCCAACGCCGTTCGGGCTATACATCAGCTAGTCGAATGTGTTGCGAATGCAAATCCTGAGAAAACACTCGACAGATTCTTTCCCATGTGCGTCAAAAACATTCGGACAGAAATTGAGCACGGTGCCAGCTCGGTGAGGACGACCGCTGCATTCTCGCCGATTCCCTCAGATGCGACACTTCACTGGAGTGAGTTTGTTTTTTTGAAGACCATACCAGTAAGATATTAATAATGAAATAGACTTGGCCATCCTCCGTGGCTCCGTCTATAAGTGCGTACAGCCCAACTTTATTATGTAGGCCTGTCGCTCAGGCCAAATCTATCTAACAGTGATGGTCGTGTGGTTCGTTGCAGCTCACAGTGATTTGGTGCTTGACTAATGTCAATCTCAGCTTCTAAAGTATAAGGATGAATTTTTGTCATTGTTCCAACTTCTGCGTAACAAGACATATTCGAAGCGTGGATATTCGTGGAGCGGTAAACTCCTCTCCAGTGCTCTTATCACGCTCACGCACACGTACCCCATCGAGAACAAATTCGTTAATCCTGATGAGTGGAAGAGTGACGGTAAGGTTGTACTTATGCACTATCTTCATGTCTTCACATATTTTCAAGAGTTCCAGCGAAACCATCATAAGTACTGGGGAAAGATGTACCGTACAGAAGACCTCAAGGTGGGTAAACTATACAGGGCTTCGGATGTATCTGAAAAGCGCGTAGATGTCATGGCATGTTCCGTGCAAGGAGGAATTGGACTTCGCTTTGCAGCTCTTCAAAGAACTCATAGAGCCAAATCTGACAATTCTTGATGAATTGCTGGAGAGCAGTAAGTCAGCCTACACTGTGATTACATACACCACCTGACAAGATCAGGCAAGAGAGATGCTGATTGGCGGAATGACTTCTGCCGGTTTGTCAACTTCAAATCCCACAACTCAAACATTAACCACTACTATGTAGCCGTTTGTGCTTTGTGACTGAGGCATTCGCGGGTATACCGACACTGTGCAAGGAGTATGTTTCTGCGGAAGCACTCCACTCAATGGCAGAAACCAGCGATATTCGGTACGTACCCGCATTGGCTTCTTGAAGCATCACTAGTAACCATTTCGTTAGAAATGAGCTTCCAGAAATGATCGCTTCAGTCGAGTCACTATCAGCCGGCTTTTGTCTTACAGATCCGAACGACGAGCGGTACATCTATGTCAGAACTTTGCGGCACCGGTTCGGTTCGCTACTGCACAATGCATCTGTTTCTCTACAGAAACAAGGAGAAGAGAACACCGTAGATGCCGTCCAAATGCTGGTAACGCTCTTCTAAGGCCGTCCGATCATCGACAACTGACGTGTTGATAGATGAGTGCCATTCGGACTTACCTACTTGACTATGGTGATAGCAAGGATAGGTAATGGACTACAACTATATATTGCCCAAATTTCGCTGAAATATTTGCAGCTATTTCGTTAATTCGGAGCAGTATTCCTCCGAGCTCAATGTCGCTCGCCTATATGCTGGACAGAAAGTTTGGCCAAGGCCAGTACTTGTACGACGCGCACGGTGAGAACCCATAACAGAGGCCTTGATTGGTGATACTCAAGTATTGGGAAGTTTCTATCACTCCACGCGGCTCTATTGGAACTCTGTGGAGCGTTTGCGGGGGCCCTTAGAAAACACGCTCATAGATGACGTTGTTGAATGGTCACTCTGGCATTATCCAACAGGTGAGGGTTGACGTGGTCGTGCCTCAATGTTAGCTAACACATAATTCAGTGCGAGGGTGTGTCTAGATCCCCATCTGACGTTTGGCTAACCTCATTTCTGAGCCTGAATTCAGATCCAGTCAAGGGCTCCTGGATTCGCTATCTTCAGTATGTTTCCGTACACCCATGTTGCTCAAGTAGATAACCAAGGCAGTTTTACGATGGCCTGAGATCGAGGGCCCTACCAGTGCTCTACCAGGCTCTACAGCCAGGTACAGACGATGGTCGCATGAAGGGCGCATTGTATACACTGCAATATGCCTCCCTTGGTTGGTCACTATCCCAGAGGGTGAATGAGTCGCTGATGTAACCCCCACTTAGGTCGGTATGCTATCTCTGGTGAGTGAAAGCGATCCGTGAGCTCCTGCAACTAAACACGTGCGCAGATCCTACCACTGCAACGGAGTACATCCAGCATATACTTAATTGCCACCACAACGAAAAGGTAAGCAGTCCCTTCCGCTGACAGGATATATGACTGATACGCGAATTAGACGTCAGTGCAGAATGTTGTGTCGACTGTGGCCGAATCTAGTGGGCTTTGTTCTTTCGCCATCGTCTCATTTATTCTGATCGTATCCTAGGTCTCGAAAGCTTTTTGGAGCCTTCCTTCCTTGTTTACGATGTGGAGAACCCTTCTCTGGATGCGGCATTGAAGGAGCTGAAGAGATCCCTGAAACTCACATCTGCAGACGTTGAACTTACTAACCGAGTTTGCGAGCAACGCATCGCTCGTATCAAGGCATACAACGAAGCGATTGAGTCCACAGTCAGTCTCATTCTCCTAACAAATGACATGATGGTTAAACAATATGACAGAGAGATCTGGTATTGGAGGTCGCTGATGACAACAAAACTCACTGGCGTTATGCGATATATGCGATCCGGGTTCTTCGTAGTCTCATTAGACGCGATAAGCCCACATCCTCGTCTCATCTACAACTCTTCATGAAAATGGCGCTCGACAGTAACCCTTCCATGGTGTGTTATTTCATTGTTCTGCCTTTGAACGCGTTGGCTAACCGGAGCTGATTTAGCGATATGTAAATGGGTTTCTTTTGAGTTTTCTATCTGTCACATGGGCTAATTCAAGTCCTTAGTATGCGCACCGTGGCTTGATGAAAATGATGCGCTACATCAAGCATCGGACTTACAGCAAAAGCCCCGGTGCTCTAACCTTGGCAGACATTGACAACCCCCTCAAACTCCAGATTACTGTCAAGCCCATTCATGAGCTCACAGCGGATATCTTATCGAGCTATCGTTCAAAGGCTGTAGTGAAACAGCTGTCCCCCAAACAGTAATGCAAAGTATCATGTCAACTACTCGTAACTAACCGATGCGTGCAGAGTGTACTATGATGAAACTCCCCAAGGATGGCTCGCGTGGAGAACCGCAACCGTATACACCCGTCCTTCAGTTGATCTCGATACGTTCGCATGGGAGGAGGGTAGCCAGGAAGCCATCCAATGTACTAAAGATTCAGTCCTTCATGAGGACTTCTGGAAAAAGCTCTCCACGCACTTCTCTGAGGAGAACCACGAGTCTGTTGTGGTCCAGGATCACATTTCACTTGTCAAGTCAATATGTACGTCATCATATCTGGAGTGTTGATGATCTGTTTGCCATAATAACCCACCACAGTCCAGCTATTAACCGATCAACCATACGAGCTTCTCAAGCCTATTGTTGAAGAACTACTGGAAGACAACGACAAGAACAAGCAACGGGCGGCGGCAGAGTTTGTCGCCGGACTTCTAAATGGCAAGTGTGGTTTCACATCCAGCTATTAAGTGACCTTTCTAAGGCGCCTTCACATAGGATCTAAACATTGGAGGATGGAAGCGCAAGATCAGGTATGGGAGTGGATAACACCTCACTTGAAAAAAGTTCTCGTTCCATTCATGAAATCCGAACTTCTACCCATATGGACTTCGTTTTTGGATGTGAGGCTTTTTTAGTCTGTGTTATTTCACCTGCTAACACCTCATAAGTATATCTTCTACCACAAAGATCCACGTCGTTTCCAACCCATTGTGGACCATGTAGTCACCCAGTTCTTCAACATGGATTACAACAGCCAATCATCATATGACTCGGTGAAAGTGCTGGCTCTTTTCAGGTCCTTTTATTCCGAAGCGGGTTGGAAGTTCACGGATTGGTCTGAGTCCGTACTCGAGCGGTTTTGGCCTGAAATTCATAGCGAACATGAGGACGTAAGCTCGCCCTGATTCGCTCAGAAGACCCACATCATTAAGTCTCTCCGTAGGTTCGTGCTTACGTTGCAGAGTTAATGGCTTTCACTGGACGACTGAAGGTATTTCACCTCATGATGGTTTAAAATGGCTGGACTCTGGGCTGAAGCAAGTCTAGTGGGCGCCTGCACCTTCAATCCCCACTGCCGAAGCATTTGTAGTGGAAAGTCGGACGACGCCCCTCGATTACGATTTGATGGGCATTCGGGGAACCTATCACTCCTCTCGCGTTCATGAACTCGCCGAGAAATTCAACGAATGGCGAGATGAACGCATTCCTGGGGTTCGGGCTTTCCAGTCCACCTACGATAGGTTTGAGTGTTCTCACAATGTTTTGCCATATATCCAAACCTTTTTTCAGGGTAGGAATATTGGTCTGCAGGTGGCTTTTCCAGTCCATCCACGACATTCAAGCTGTCTCCACATTTGATTATATTTTGCCGCTCATGCCCGAGCTATTCCGCTTCACCGAAGGTGATTGCCACTGTCATTCTAAACACGAAAACTTACTAGGGTTCAGTAAACGACAATGACGAGCTTGCACGTCGTGCCAATGTGCTCCTAGTCCGCATGTGTGGAGTTATGCCGCCTCATGCTCTTGTAAATCCTCTTCTAGAGGCTATCTTTATGGCCATCCAGACATCGCCAGTGAGTTCTTTGTTTATGCTACGCGCCTCATGATCTGTAACGTCCTCATATAGTCCTGGAAAGTTCGGCTGAAAGTACTGCCAATCTTACAAGGTAGGACCGGCAAATGCTAATCGTGATTCTCCTTATCTTTAACTGGGCCTGCTGCAGTCTTCTACTTCCGACAGCTTCCGGTCATCTCCGAGGCCAAAGTGGTTCAAATCCTCGATGTCAGTATTGAGCCAGTTTCACTGCATGCACCGGACAACACTAACGGGGATGAACAAAGGTACTCTGCAAATGTCTGGACGATGAAGTCGTCGAAGTCCGGGAAATGGTAGGAACGACGTTGTCTGGGATCCTTCGACTTTCCCCTCGGCGTAGTGTTCTCACTCTCAAGGTAAAGGTTGTACATCTTTGAACTGAGCCGGCCCTCTTATTCGCCTGTGTATAGGACCGCTTCGTGAAATTGTCTCAGAAGAGCTTGATTCCTCCCCGCACCTCTGCCACATACAGTCAGGCCATCCGTCAACGACATGCAGCCATTATTGGAATCTGCGCGCTCATAGACAGCTACCCATACACCATCGAAAAGTGGATGCCGGAGTTACTCACAACGGTCATGCTGGAGCACACACATGATCCAGTTAGTAACCTCTTTGACCTCATACAACATAACGTTCTTGTTAATGGCATCGACAGATTCCTATCTCAACTACTATTCATAAATGTGCCAGTAATTTCAGGAAGACCCATCAGGATACCTGGCACGAAGACTCGAAACGGTTCACAGATGATCAACTCGCAGCATTATCAACGTTGTTGACAGGCTCATCTTATTGTATGTTGCCCCTTATAAGCGATCTGGCACTCAAACTCATTATCCAAAGATGCTTGATCATTGTAGCGGACGGTGCAAACGTCTGGAGGTTCAGAAAAAATTGCAGTATCTAGGTTCAATGATAATTTACCAGATCTATTACATCAAATTTTGTACATAGCTTCTAATCTAATGCATATAAGGAAGGAAGGCATCTAGGCCTATCATGGTCTGTTGCCAGATAATAAACGCTCTCAATCTCATCAAGCAGCCTGGGGGACCTTCTGGCCACTTTCGACATCTTGCACCGCAAGAGTAGGCGCTGTGTGTTCTTCGCCACTTGGGGCGCCGTGCCGTGCTCCCGCGTCTGGCACAGTATCAATCGGAGCGTTTCTTCGATTTTCATACCCCGATTTGACACGGTTATTCGATACTGATTCTCTTTAGGCTTGTAAGCAAGGGAAGATAATAAGCTGGGCTCTCTCGGCGTACCGAATTTCAGCGATCAAGTCGTCTATGGCATACCAAGCCAAAGGTCCATATGCAACACCTCGGAACCAGCCTAGCTTGTCAGCAGGCAATATGTAGGCGTGAGCGTGCAAGTGATCTGTTATTGGGATTTTGTTGTCTCTGAACGGAGGCGTTATGAATCCGATCCGCATTCCGGACTCGTCAGGTTGCGACATAGTAGTGGTTGACGCCTCGGGTGATGTTGAATGGGAAGATAGAAGGTGCGTTGCTAGTGATCTGATGTTGCTTAGGAGGGGAAGATCACTAGAGGACTAGGCATCAACGTGTCAAATATGCGGAACCAGAGTTATCTTGGACAAATAACACACCAAAGTGTATATTGACGGCACATGTAGGCTAGACCAGAGCTTAGGTGGAGACTCAGATCTAGAGACAGGTCAGTGACTCACTTGAGTGCGATGATGATGTGAGCTTTGCTCGACACTGGGTTGACTGTCTCCCTGTAAGCAGTAAAGTTATCGTCTCTCCATAGGACTTGAGGGCGCGCCGAACTTTCGGGCGGTGAGGGAGTTTGTGCTGAACCTGCAGTGGCGACGATCCCACACATGGGACATCCAGTTTTTGGTGCAAAAGCCATTCGTTGTCAAGCAGGGAACGCAAGAAGGATATGCTGGGCTTTTCTGAGGCGAGTCAATACAGTCCTGGTCCGAGTGGATACATGTGCAGGTTGATGACGCCAAAGGTTTGTGGCACCAATATAGCTTGCAAACCTGTCAATACCAAAAGCGGATTGCCATTTCCAGTGCTTCTTTGCAGATCCAAATCTTAGACTCGAATGAACGCCCCATCGCAATCCATTCGCGACGTCTTTGACGGTTTTCGCCAGGAGCTGGATGATTACAATGACAGAAGAGAACGCTTGATCAAGGTGAACATCATCCGCCGAGAGTCACTTCATGGGTTTGGATCAAGGCCATTTTGCAGTCCAGCCGCGACATCACCAACTTGTCCAAGAAGGTTATTTTCCTCCTCCATCGTCTGGTACTTGAAGAGGACGAGCCTGTCTCAGGATATGAGAAGGCCGTGAAACAGGCGCTTCCCAGGCTCCGTGAAATTCAAGAGATTTTCTTCAGGCTTAAGGGCGAAATCCAGGGGGCCAATTTTTGGCACCATCGCCGATCGGTTTCTCCTGGGCTTCAAGAGTATGTGCATTTTCCAGACCTTTCTCGACTTCATTTCCAGAGCCTTCATCTGAACTCAGGTACATTGAGGCTTTGAGCTTTGCTCATTACCTGGAACATGGCACCTTGATCACTTTCGCTGGGGTGCAGGCCACCTTGGCCGACGCATCAGGCGTACCTGTGAGTCTTTGCCCGAAGCAACGAGGGCCGAGTCCAGCTGAGTGAGGTTTCCAGTACTTTCCTTTACCCAAAGAAGATTACTTGCTAGGTCTCTCAGACCTCACTGGAGAGCTTATGCGCTTCGGTATATCAGGAATTGGTCGTAGAGGAGGCCGTGCTAAGGCCCAAGCAGTCTGCACCTTCGTCCGCCAGTGCAAATCAGGTACCTCTACCGCCCAGCTCTTCAGGCCCATCGTTGTAATGACCGGCATCGAGATTTTGATCGGTTTACGCCACACATATATGAGCTATCCAAGAAGCAGCATGTCACAGCACAGTCATTAGAGAAAATTGAAACCGGCAAGCTGCTCTCGTTTGCGTTGCTTCTATTATCGGGTTTGACATGAGATTGCAGCTGTTTACTCCATCGTTGTTCGCGGATCCGAGTTCGACCTCCCGCAGGAGGTATTGGACGACATCATTGCACGTTCAATGTCAACCGTGAACGACGGTAGTACCAGAAGCAAAGGAAAAGACGTTCACGATCGTGCAAATGAGGATGAACTTGGGATCTGAAGTATGATTCCTCGTGGCACTTTGGTGCGAGAAGTTATAAGTGTCGACTCTCAAAACCATGTATGTCCATCTACGTGTACTTAAATCAAGTTGTTTATCATAGTTGTACATGTTTGCAATTGAAACGATAGCTTCATAACCTGTGTGCTAGATGGTGGACGCGGGAGGACCCGCTAAGTCTGTAGCAGCTACCAAGAAGCATCTGCCCTTGTTGAACGACGAGTTGTTGACCTTTGCCCATGCCCTGGGTGAACATTGGCTGGGACAAAACCCTCTTGCCAAGTCGGATCTTCATCTTCATCATCCGAGACAACCATTAGATCGAGAGAATGCATATATCGTATGGGAGGAGCAAGGATAGGGGGCTGATGCATAGCGTGCCGCCCTCGCGACGATGTTGCGTGCGTCTTCCTCGTCTTCTCAGACCGATCGGCATCACTTAACTTCCACATTCTACAATGGTGTCCAGCTTAGCTCCAACCAGAGGATATACGTGACTTACTCTTGACGTGCATTCCACTCCGCCAACTTAGATCCACCCGGAAACCAATCCGTCTGACCAGCTAACACTTGGGTGCGGATGTAAGCTTGAACGAAGTTGTCCACAGAGAAATTACGCAGAAGAGGCTGCGACTTCTTCAACTTCCTTCGACATACAGGGCATGTCGGCGCACGCTCCTACTCAAATCAATTGCACCTCACTCTCAAAGCAGCAAATGTTGCACCCACGTTCTGCGAAACCCATGCAAACCCACAGTCACCGCAATAACTGTGCCCACAAGGGTTACCTATATGTGCAGCCACACTATCAGGACATCAGCGGCAGCCCATAGCCCACTAGGGGACAACACACAATAGATCGCAGCAGCTGCCAACATGTTAGTGAAAAACGGAAAACAAGGAAGCCACGACAACACACATGGGGCAGGATACCTCATGATCGAGTATATCGAATAAGACCGTGATGTCGTGAGCTTCAGAGCTTTCTTTCGCCTTGCCAGCCCTTTTCTCGGAAGATGGCGAAGGAAAAGGGCAGGATCGCTTAGATGAGATAACGCTATCGTGCTGTGATGAATGAACTTGAAGCGAGGGAGACCATAATTCTTCAAGACAATAGGATATGTTATAGTGGAAAATACGCACCAGCAGGGGCCTGCGCTGATGCTTCATTACCAGCCTGACATGCAAGCCAGAGAAAAATACGTACGCTGACGAGCCATCGGGGTTTCACAGGAAACACTTTGTCCTGAAAGACGCTGTATCTATGCACAATACAACAACGAGCCTGATGCTACTCACCGACTATAGGTTGCCTCGATCCACCCGCTACCCAACGTCGGAATTTAGCATGGGAAGGGGATGCTGGTGGGATAGGTCGTACCATCCGGTACTCGCATCAGGGCCTGCGCTTCAAGTGCATCTACCTGTGCTAGCGTAGAGTCGTCCAGTTCGTCATCGAAACCGTAGTTGGAAGAGTGTGGAGATGCTCGTCTCGACGTTGAAGGTCGTAAGTGCGCAACTGGTGCTTGACTGAGCGCAGGAATTGTACTGAAGTCGACGCCTTCGAGTTCATCGGGAAGCGTATCAAACTCGTCGTCGCTGTCAGTCGGCATACCGAGTTACCACTGACTTGAGATGCTTAGGGGAATTGTAACTTCTGTCAGCTGAACAGCGACCTTGACATGAGCGTGTAAATACACGTGACAACTGATATTGGCCACGTGGCCACGTGGCTCAGTGATTTCACCTGGCAAAGTTTGGGCCCACTAGCTTACTCTCAGTCGTTGCCACAGGCCTTGTGCTCCCGGGCTGGTTCGCCCCATCCGTTTCTTGCATCCGTTTATCACTGCTGAGTGCTGATTGAAGATCCGGGTCCAAATACCATGGTGTCACTAGATCATTTGGATGGCAATGCACTGTACCCACAGGATTAGAGTCATGTAAGCGGTACAACCTCAGTTTGCTATAATTATCTTGATACCCAACTCAGGTAAAAGCCCATGTGTTATCACCAAACTTAGAATTCTCAAGCAAGGGTTGGGCTTCCATGAGAGATTTAAGCCATAAATACCCTCTGAGAAACGAGAACAGAGATAAGCTGTTCAGTGCTATTGACGGCCATCCATGGGGTTAGCGCTAATTTCAGAAAACTTTAAGCTTGGTAAAGGGCTTGGGACACATGCTTCAAGTTGTGCACGATATATAAACAGAAGGACACATATGACTACTCTGCAAATTTTTGGTGACTTGCTCACCGTATCTGAAACACTTCGATCCGATTTACCCGACAAGCCACCCTTTGACGTCACTAGTATACTCGAAGGATGGTCAACACGCTAAAAGCGTCGGTAAGTACGGTATGACTGACTACACCATGAAGGTGCTCCTCGTCACATTATCCACGCCATCTAGTGCCAAGGGAGCCAGGAGGTGCTTGGCGAGCGCACGCGAACAGCAGATTCAGCGGTCGCAAAACCATCTTAGTAAGACCACGCACAAATCACCATGCTGCATTGGGGCCATGCGGCTCTAAGGACGGTGGTGCACGTCTCAGTTTCTCTTGGCTTTGCGTGCATTTTTAGCTTGCAGAGACGAAGAATGTTCCATCAGGCTATCAGATCCAAACGAGGATCCCGCGAATAGTCCTGCGAAGTCGCGTTTGAATAAGAACCTCACCTTGTTCCGACGGCTTCCCTCGAAGATCCAAGAATAATAACCCTATAATAACTGAACAGGTGCGACAAGGATTTCAGTAAATTAAGGAAGCTGTCGACGGATATTGCAATCAGCCGGGGCTGTTCTCTAATTTTGACGATGATGCCGACCATCTGCTTAGCAGGTAAATAGCTCTACTGAATGGCCCTTCCAGAGCTCCAGCTGCCAACTTCGAACCCAAGTGTTCCAGGTACAAGCCTGGCCAAGCGATATACGAAGCGAGGGAGCTAAAAATAGACGTGGGGAAGAAGCAGCCTCTCCGAACGCCAAGGAGTGTATCGCCTTTAGCCAGCTAACTTTAGGTCCATTTTTGTAGTCACTTCAGATAGCCGGCTTCCGGATCCGGGGGAGACAGGGGTCTTGAGCGGGAAGCACTATTTGAGGTGTTCCATAGAGAAGATCTTTCAAACGTTCAGGTGGTACACATTTGTGCCAAGGCTTGGTAAATATAAAAATCTTGCTACATCCATGATCAGCTGCCACCGCCATGTAGCGCCCAGCCAGGTTTCACTGGTTTTTCCAGGCGCTCCTCAGACCCATCTGTCACACTAGTCTTCGCCCTGCCCAGCCTGCCCCTGCCGCAGGGACTACATGGATGATGGATGTGATCCTTTATAATCCAATAGTTGCGGTGCCGTTCTCCCATTTCGAGGCACGCGGTACAGAAACATGTGGAATAATATTGATGGCACTCTTGTAACCGCCAAGAACTAGTGGCTGAAAATATCCGGAAAGCGTTTAGGGCCAGTTACCCATGAGAATTACTACACTAAAATGCGTGGGGCTACCATGGATGGAGAGGAGTACAACGAAGTGCGACAGGTATGCGAGAGTAATACTGACAGTAAACATACAGCGAATGAGATGAATAAATAAATGTGGGCATAGCACCACACCTACTGGGGCGCTGATGGAGGTGTTGGTTGTCTTTCCTCCCCATTCTCTCGGCTCCCGCCTGTCGACAGCAAAGAACCAATCGCCATAGATGCTCGTGAACGTGGAGAGTATTCTTCAGAGTTGCTGCGGGCGGAATAGGGTGAGGGCGGTAGATCACGCAGAGACGTGTGAGGTGGCTGGACGTCACGCCGTGAAGGAGAACGTGACGATCGTTGGCGTTTGCGTGGAGGTTGGACAGTCATTGAAGGAAGCTCTTGGACATGGCCGGGAGACGCGCGACCACTGCTGAGGTCACTGGGGTAACGGTGATGTCTTGCTCCATTCGCATGGGATGAGGGTGGGTGTGGCGGGTATTGAGGCTTAATGTCGTGCACGGACATCTCAAGGGCTGTCTTATGCAATGCAGCAACAGACGCAATCCTCTGTAAATTATGAGCCTTGGGTTACAAGAGGTATCGTGTTCACCAACCTGATCTTCTGCACTTTTGGCGTTTAACATAGCTATGAGCATGTCTCGGTCACCGTCGCCTTTAGCTTTATAGGCACCCAGAATTTCTCTGAGGCTAGGCGGAGGTGGCTAGGATAGAAAAGGAGCCTCATGAGTCGAGGGCTTGCTAGGAGAGGTGACACGATCATACCTGGTCAAGGACCTGCATGGCGGACAGCATGACCTTTCTATACTCGGCGTCGATGGGAGCGAGGTGGTTATGCAGCGAAGATTCTGCGTGTGGGTACGGGAGATGGGAGACTGAGTTCATGGGTTGTTAAGGCGTAAAGGGACGCTCGAGAGTTAGGATGCAGTGGATGGGCCATAACGCCATCCGCAGAGTTTTTGTAGGTGAGCCAAGTCCAAGATGCTATCTTTGCCTTGGTATATTTAGAACGCCAAGCCAAAGTGAGGCTCAGCTGTCCGCACAATCAGTGCATGCTATAATTATCCTCGCTCATGGATGCTCTTGGGCGTACCCACGCCCAGAAAACAAACGTTCCTCTCCCCTCATGTTGTGAGTCGAAGTGGGGGCGACGAAATGCGCTCGGATGGGAAGGAGGGGGAGGTCGAGGAGGCTTGGAAGGGGCGTCCAGGTTCGGAAGTTGTTGCGTCACGCTGATTGTGACAAGTATAGACGATGTGTTCGAGCTAAATATACGTGCCTTGCACCATCTTGCACCTGCGGAAAGTCTTGGCATTCATCTATTTTTACGCCCACAAGTTGAGAGGTTACCGTGTTTTGACGCGGGCCAGGTTTGGTGACCAATCAAGACGTACACAACGGACATTGCTAATTTTGGCGGGAAGACCAACGGGATTGAGTTTGGAATCCCTTGCAGTCTTACTTGCAGCTCTCAGCTTTGTCACTCCGCTCTACTAGTGCAGTAAGTATTTCGGGCCCTTTGCTGCGCAGCGCCTCGAGTCTTCCTCCAATCTGTTTGCGAGGTTACTTGGTGCCGAGGCCTTCCGTTTTGCATTGAATCATCAGTCAATAGGAGCAGGGGGACCAAGAGGAAGACTGTTGCTGGCACCTGCTGGCACCTTGCCTCAGCCGCACCCGGCATCTCACTGGGGAGACACCGTTCAGACCATGGCTGAATCAATGGCTCCTCCATCTACTCAGGCGGATGGTCCACCACCCAAGGCAAAGAAAATCTATCCGTTCTATTCATGGCGCATTGGAAACAAGGACGCAAAAGTGCTATACATTCGAGATCACCTCGAAGCGGACCAGGTGCTTTCCGAGCTTTCGCCTGGGCCCCTTGGCTTCGATCTCGAGTGGAAACCCAACTACAGAAAGGGCGAAGCAGAGAATCCTGTGGCGATTGTCCAGCTTGCCAATGACAACCTCATCCTGCTTCTCCAAGTAAGCGCAATGACAGGTAATCGTCCCCTCATTAATACTGAACATCCTTGTACGATGATAAGTGAGTCAGAATTTCCAGCAAGTCTCCGCGTACTTCTCGAGAGTCCTGATTTTCTGAAGGCTGGTGTTGGAATTCAACGTGAGCCTACTATACGACCACTGACTAACGCAAGTGATCGAAAGCTGAGACTGTTCTAAGATGATTGTCAAAAGCTCTATCGCGATTATCAGGTATCCTGCCGCAACTGTGTAGAACTGGCTTTTCTGGCACGCTCTGCTGATAATGATCAATGGAAAGGAAAATATTCTAGTCCTATAGGTCTTGCTCGCTTGCTAGAGGCTTATGAAAACTACACGTTAGCTAAGGGCAAAGTCCAACGGAGTAATTGGGAGCGTCATCTAACAGATAACCAGCAAGACTGTGAGTACTCATGGCAAGCACTAGATGACGACTCATACTTACCATGGTTCATAGATGCTGCGAACGACGCCTATGTCGGTAGCAGGCTCTATTCAAGATTGATTCAGATGGCACACGAGATGCCTACTCTGCCTCTTCCTGACTATTACTCATTTAGCCTCGTGAATGGGATGCTCCTGAGCGTCGATGGACTGACTTCATGGGCCCCAAACAATCCGTTTTATGATCCTGGCCCTCCGCCTCCACCTAGACCTCCCAAAGATCCTAACGCCCCGAAGAACGTAAAAAAGAAAGAGCCGAAAGTTAATTCTGCCATGGCCCATACCCCGGACTATTTGCAAGCGTCCAGTTCTGAGATGCCATCGATCTCTTCATTGCTCCCAACATCATCCCATCATGCATTCAGAGGACGACGATGGCCCGCAAATACCCAAAACCGCCCCTGGTCGCGTGCTGAACCTGTGGACGCTTTGCCGTTCGATAATGTTCCGGGTTTAAGAGGAAGAGGTTCAGGTTTTCATGGGCGGGGGCGTGGACGCGGAGGTCATCCGCCAAGAGGCGATGGCAATAGAAACCCAGCTTGAAGTTTTAGAGTCTTGCACTTGCTTCATCCGCATTCAACACCCGTAGCATTGTTCTCTTGCAACTCTAATGGTGCTTGTCTTTGGATCAGTGTAGGTTAGCATACCTTAGATGCTTCCCATCGCATACCCATTTTTGTACTTGTAAGCCCTTGCTTACTTTTGCCGACTAGAAAAGCCAAGCGGAGACTTTGGAGCCATTGCGCCTCGCACAAAGCGTTGAAGCCCATCGTTGTACGTAGATGTACATCGGTGGTTCTCAGACTGCAACCTTGTGTCGCCCAGGAGATAATGAAATGCTTCAGTGACCCATCACAGAATACGTGAATTATGTATAAATAATCAACTACTCCTGCCTCGACCAACTTACAGTCCACGCTTGAAGAGCCGGGAGTTGGCACGCTTGGACGACGAGCACGCGCCGTTATCAGCCCAGGCGCCGGAAGAACCTAGGTTGAATGTTAGGGCACGCTTGGCTAAGGGAGATGGTCGATTTAAACGTACCGCCTGGGACGGAGTTCTGCGTCCACCAGTTAGCGGTCCAAAGGTCGCCGTTGTAGGTGACCTGGTTGCCCGTGGTGTAGACAGCAGTTGCAGAATACGCAGCTACGCCAGCACAGCTACCAGAGCCTCCTGACGTGGTAGACGGAGAGGCAGCAGAGCTCGATGTGGTGCTAGTACCACTACCAGAGCAAGCAGAGACTAGGGCCGATGTCAACTCACAAAGTCAATGTGAAGAGTAAATCTACACTGACTGATGTTCCAGTCACCGGAGCTAGAAGACGCGCTGGGAGTGTCGGAGGCGTAGTAGTTGGCCTATGTATTATACAGGTAATGAGAGAGAAAATCTAAATGGTTAAGCGAACACCCTTACCTGCCAGATGTAGCCTTGGTAAGTAACTTGAGAGCCACCAGAGTAATCAGTTCCAGACTGGAAAGCGGGCGCAGAGCAAGCAGGGGCCGTGAAGCCAGACGCCCCGTCAGCCACAAGGGCGCTCTTGACCGCCGCAGCGTAGTTGCTGTTCGCTGGTCGATGATGAGTAAGTATCTCAGAAGAGCAGGGGGCAGTTCGTTACTAACCGTAAGCTTGGGAAGCATCCCAAAGCATGACACCACCGAACGAGGGAAATGTGTCGTGCATTTGCTTAGCAATGCCGGTCAGGTTGCCAATGTCAACGTATCCACGGCCAGCTGCTGTGCTCGATGCGGGCGCTCCAATGTAGACTTTGACCTAGTAACATTTTTTGTGAGCTTTGGAGTACGACAGATCGATGCAGCATGGCAGAAAAACACGCACATCCTTGTTGGGACTGGTATTCTGGGCCCAGTAATCCCTGCCACGTCTAAGTACGTAGCTCAAGTTTGGCGTGATGAAAACTCACCAGATACCGAAATCCCAATCCTGGTGTGAAATTCAATGATTTGTAGAAAGGAAGAATGGAGGAAATGCTCACATTGGCGCTGCCGTCGTTCTCCAGACCGCACAGGTTGTTATCTAAGGTTCGGAGTTATTCCCAGCAGAACATCCGTCCAAAAACAGCACCTACAGAACTGGACGTAAATGGCGTCGAAACCAACTGCATTAATGACCGATCCCAAAGAGGCATCAGGGAATGGGCACTGGGGTGCACCTTGTGGAGATCATGATAAGGATACACGCGAAAATAGGCAGAAGAGCGAATGCATGCCTGTAATGTAGTATCTTCAGAAGAACCTTAGCACTGAAGCCAATTTGATAGTTTAGTCTTTACTCACTGTTTGCTGGCGCCACTGGCAAGAGAGCGAATCTTGGTGACAAAAGCGGCATAACCGGTTCCACCGCCACTCTCAATGTCGAGATCCACACTAGCATCTTGGGTGAGCCAGAGATTCACTTGGACAGGTTGAGAACTTACCCATCCAAAACGGCATCACCGAACGGGCGAGTGCTGCTGGAACCTCCGAGGTAGAGATCCCAGACTTTACCAGGATATGAGATATGATCAAGTTCTCTAGAATTAAGCGACACGTACTGGTCTGAGCGAATGTCTCAGCCTGGTCGTCGCTCTGGAAACCGACGCCGCCTCCTGCACCTCCGAGGGAGATAGTGACGATCTTTCCCTTCGCTTGGCAAGCTTCTATGTTGGACGCCAGCGCCTGGCAGTTGGGCATATCAGTGCCAGAGAAGGTGGCATTGTCCACGTTGTTGCAAGTCTGCACGTTTGTAACGGAGTTCAGTAAGATTGCATGGAGGCTAAGTCAGTCACGTACGTTGGCCAAGTTCATGACGGGCAAGTTGCCAGTGCCGAAGAAGGTGTCGACGAACGCGACCGGGATGGCATCAATGCTGTCATCCTAAAAGGTTGCTCAGGAATCTACATGGCTGCAACAGCGTGATACATGCCTGGCAGTAGAAGTCGATCGGCTGCTGGAAGTAGGCAGTGTTCGAGTTGGCAGCACCGTACGAATTCTGACCCCAGTAGCTGAAGAAAACATGATGATGTTAATGTACATTGTTCGCTCAACAACGTATCCTTACACGGCAAGCTATGAACGTAATCAGAAACGATGGGCAAAGAGTTGAGCAGCATAGTCACGAACATTATCACGGGCAGAGTTATCGAATGCCTGGACCTTAGCCAAGGACGTGGCAAGTGCAACAAGAGCAGAGAAGCGGGTCGAGGCGCGGAACATCTTGATCGACTAACCTGGGGGGAGGGGAGCGAGGCTTCGAACGTTCCAAGCTTTGCTCTCCGCCTTTTCAATGAACACGCTGGTGACAGTTTCCGAGCATCTGGTCCAAGCCGATCATATCCGTGACGATGCATGTGAGACTTCCAGCACAAGCAAGGAACGATAGGTCTAAATGTGGGTGTCAGATTCCCCGGGACTGTCACCTTTGCCGTGTCTAGGGCACGCTACTGACACGCTTCCATCACGACGTAAGCCCTGGGTCGAATGGTTTTCGATCTGAGAAACTGCCAGCGATTGTATCGTATGGGTCCTGTGAGCTGGCGGACAAACTCAAGTGGAAATCAGGGTCTCCGAGCACAAACAGGTAGGGACCCGCATACGACAGGGGTTCAGGTAGAACGGCATGGTAGTCCAAAAGAGCCAGGATCACGCTTACTTGCCTGAGACTCTCATCAGTTGTGCCATGAAGAGACCGAAGCCGCCAAGAAGCCGCAGTGAAACGCATGGTGTCCTAGCACGTGATCGTAACTTTTCTGTTATCAGACACTCGCTATCAGTTGCTCTCGCACTGTAACCTCAGGTGCTACGTGTCACTGTTCCGTGGTCGCGAAGACCACACGGTTCCCAAGGGGTCGCCGATCCCAACAAATAGATATGAAATGCGGGCGATGGCATGTTGACAACGGCGTGCAATGTTGTATTTCATCTCGACCGAGGAATTTGTCTGGAGTTGTACAAGAAATCTGAAGGGAAAAGGGAGCAGTACATTGCTTCGCAGCGGTAGAGAAGGGTAGAGATCAGGGCGATTAGTGTATAGATTAGGCTGATGATGCCCCCGAATCTTCGCTCTCACCGTCGACGTTCCCTGTTCCGGGGTTGCGGACGGGATCTGTGGGCAGGATGACATCACGATTCTGACCAGCCCCGTCTCGAGAACCAACACGTACCAAAGTAAGGATGGGCTTGGGCCTCACGCGCTGTGAGACGCTCCTGGTGATCGTAGCGCAAGATCTTGTCCAGGAAATCAATGGCCTCATTGGAGATGTACCGCTGATTCTCGGAGGTTATAAAACGTGTCCAAGGCTTTCGTGCATATCTGAATGACTTGAGGTCATCGCAGTACGATGGATGAAGTCGGATTATCGTACCTCCCAAGTATCTCATCATACTGAGGATCAAGGCGAATGCTGTACTTATCCAAGTAGGCGTGCAGTTCGTCGGTGCCCAGCACTTTGGCTATCTTGACTAATTGATCATAGTTATCGTGTCCATGGAAAAACGGTTCTTTACGGAAGATCTAAGGTATTCGCTCAGCAGGAGCGTAGGTCTATAAGGTACGAGCACTCACCATAGAAGCAAACATACAACCAAAACTCCACATATCCAGACTATAGTCGTACTCTTGAAAGTCTACCAAGAGTTCCGGACCCTTGAAGTAACGTGAGGCGACTCTGACATTGTATTCGATCTTTGGGTGGTAGAACTCTGCCAAACCCCAGTCAATCAAGCGCAGCTATCGGTCGTTCGGATGTTAACATAGTGAATGCCAGGGTGCTTAACACTCACTTTACGGTTCTCGTGGTCAATCATGACATTGTGTGGTTTCACGTCTCGATGCATGATCCCTCTCGAGTGACAGAAATCAAGGGCCTAGGGAACGCTAGGCATTAAATGTTGTATCGGTAATGGAGTGAACCAACCTTGAGCAACTCATACATATAGAATCTGACATCATAGTCCGCAAACCTAGGATATAAAACTTTGAAGTCGACATTGTCCACATATTCTGTGATTAAGCTTGGAATCTTTGAAGCAGGATCGCGGACGACATCTAGCAGTGCTACAATGTTTGGCCCTCCCGCTAGGTTTTGCAGGATCTTGATTTCTCGCTTGATTTTCTTTTTCTTGACTGGTTTGAGGACCTTGATGATGCATTTCTCATCGTTCACGATGTTCACTCCTTCAAACACCTTGTACGATGCATCGTCACGTCAGAAAGACTTCAAAGCGGATCTGAACGGTATACCTCAGAGTATTTTCCGCGTCCAACTTTCCTGACTATCTCGTAATGATCTTGAGTGCCCCACTGAACCTGCAAATTGTCTGCAAGAAGCAGAATGAACAGTCATTACAAAAATGGTCTGGTGTCGCATTACCATATTCATGCCAAGAAGGTCCTAGTTGAGCGTTGACGTCCCGATAGACACGCGCAACGGACTTGACTGGCGGTCGAACCATGAGACGCTGGTTGAGTGTGAAGCGAGGCGCTCAAGCCGCCTTCGGGCTCTAAGTCCACTGAGTAACCCAGTATCATTGCTTTATCGAGACAAATGCACTTGTCTCAGCTTTGTCCCACGCTCTCCTTGCACATTGTACTGTACACTCCAACCCGTTATGATCTTGTAATGGGCATTTGAAACCCCTCGCCCTGTCCATGTCGCCTCGCTCAAAGCCATCGTCTGTCATGATCAATCCTCCTCCTCATTGGCAGCAGCACGTCCAATACCTCGCCACACCTTTCTATCACACATCTGTATCGACCAGCATACGCTCATTCTTGTCTGGCCAGAGTTCTTCCAATCTCAATCACACGCCTCGCCATCCTGCTACCAGCCCCCACGCTCGCATAAAGGTGATAACGTTACCCTCACACCAAGCACACGGCCAGCGTGGTCTATTCGCCATCAAGAAGATACCACCACGTACTCATATCATCGATTATGTTGGCGAGGTCCACTGCGATGACAGACCAGATTCAGACTATGATCTTTCCCTCTACCGGTTCCAGGATGGGACTAGCGTTGGAATTGATGCAAGTGCTATGGGTAATGAAGCGAGGTTTGTCAACGATTACCGAGGCATCCGCGCCAAACCCAACGCTACTTTTGTCGAGGGCCGTACGTCGTCTGGTGAACTACGAATGAGTGTTTGGAGTGTGGAAGAAGTGATCAAGAAAGGCGATGAGATTGTCGTTTCATACGGCAAAGCGTGGTGGTACTCTCGGAATAATGGCATGTTATAATTGGAAGGAATTGCCCAAGCATCCCTTTAAGGCCCTTGTGAGTAGCCACCGCGTCGTTCTGTACGGCTCACCAAGAGCAGCAAGGTTGGATCGAGCGAATGGTACGAGTGATCGTTACATAATTTATTAGTGTCTGCTCGTTTACGTGTTCGAGGGAACATTGTCTGGGCACGATAACGTCGAGTTTACTGGAGGTTTCGGAAGTATTCATGGGAAAGTAACGAGGCCCAGTGAAGTATGCTGGATTCTGGACCTATGTACATGTGCAAGGCTTCTTGTTGTCACAGACGTTCCAGGGTGCTGCCAGTCAGTTGGCTGCATTCAAAAGATGCTCCCACATTGACCTCGGTGCACAGATGGGGTTTCGAACTCCCTGCACAGTACTAGTGACATGGTCGTTGGTCCCTACGAACTTACATCGCACTCACGTATTGGCAAATTTGAAGCCCCCTATCTCATCTACTAAAACATTCGTGATGATGGCGTACGCCACCGACCAGTGATACTAGCCACTAGTACTGTAATCTCCCTCCCATTTGTGATTTCGCACTGCATGTTAGTAGATGCGTTAACGTGCCCTCCACCCTCTATTGACCTGTGTACGTATGTAGCCGTACTTATATAAGCCAAGTGTCCAATATGTGTCCTAGCACATACGTACGTACGTACCCAGCTCGATCGATAGTTCACTACTCAATATTAGCTCACCGAAGAGACGCGGTGCAGCAAGGTACGGACCGGTGAGGCGTATTAGTCAGTGAGATAAACAAGCGTAAGCATACAAATTTGAGAGCGTCATGTACGTGGGAAAATGAATACTCGAGCTCAGTGTAGTACTGCCGCTCATTACCCGGGCCTCAGTGCGTCAGACCGACCTATAGTCACTCAAGCAAGCTACACACTCCATGACACCACGACTTGCGGCGCGGGCAATCAACTCCTCCTCCCGTTACTCTTGCGTGTGGAAGTGCGCGCGACATGATATAAGGGCTCTCTCAACCTTATACCAATCTGCGGACACAAATGGCTTGTTGAGAAACTCTAAACTTCCTGGTCGCGAACAGAGGGTAGGCGGTAGAAACAGTGTACGTTGCACATATTATGCACGTTCCATTCCCGACTCTCATAAGATATCTTTAGCGTGGTATACATGCGTCTGCACCCGTCTCAGCGAGTAGCAAAGATCCATACCAGGTGTTAGGCGTGAAGAAGGACGCATCAGCTGCTGAAATCAAGAAAACCTACTTTGGAGTACGTTGAATACTGTTTTTGGAGGCAGAAGATATCAGTACTTATTCCTGACTTCAGCTTGCTCGCAAGTATCATCCCGACACCAATCCTGATAAGAATGCTCAGGCCAAGTTTCTCGAGATTCAAGAGGCTTATGATGTGCGATCCCCAGTTCTTACTGTTTTCTTTACTTTCTTACACTTTGCAGACCTTGAAAGATGACAAGAAGCGAGCGGCGTACGACCAGTATGGCTCTGCGTCTCAACAACCTGGGTTCGACCCAAACGCTTTCGCAGGAGGCAATCCTTTCGGAGCTGCCGGTGGCTTTGGTGGCTTCCAAGACTTTGCACGCGCCTTCGGAGGCTCAGCGCAGGGCGACATGTTTTCTCAGCTCTTTGGCGGGGCCTTCGGTGGCCGCCCTAGGGGTGGTTTCGCTCAAAACTCTAGGGGGGATGACATTGACATCGGGGTCACCGTCGGTTTTATGGATGCCTGCAAGGGCACATCTCGTACATTGAATATCAACCGAGTATGCAAATGCTCAGCATGCTCTGGGTCCGGTTTAAGAAAGGGAGCTTCTCGTACAACTTGTACCTCCTGTGGAGGATCTGGCGCCCGAACCTATGTGATTGATAGTGGGTTCCAGATGGCGAGCACATGTCGCAGTTGTCTCGGGTCGGGCTCGACGATCCCCCGTGGCGGTGCATGCGTTGACTGTGGTGGCGAAGGTCATGTCCGCCAGAAGGCCTCAGTGAAAGTTGACATACCACCAGGTTTGTAGTAGCTTTGCCCCACATTAACGGAACGCACACTCATGAAATGGGGTATGACAGGTGTCGAGGATGGAATGACAATACGAGTGCCGAGGAGCGGAGACGCACCACTTTCTAGCAGTGGCGTTCCAGGAGATCTGCTAGTACGAGTGAACGTTACACCATCCAAGGTATTCCGTAGACAAGGCGCCAATTTACACCATGAGGCCCGTATACCGTTGCATACTGCCCTCCTAGGAGGGCGTGTGCGGGTACCCACGTTGGACGGAAACGTTGACGTACGGGTGCCTAGCGGAACCCAGCACGGTGAAGAAATGGTTCTCAGAAATCACGGCGTTCCGTCAGTATTTGGTGGTGATAAAGGGGATTTGTTTGTGAACTTCTCTGTTCAGTTACCCAGGTAGGTAATTACAGGACTATCCGTTGACAGTCACAGGTAACGCCTTGCCCGCAGATCTCTGACGCCACGCCAACGGGAAATCTTGCAGCAATATGCAGACGAAGTCGAAGGTCGAGCTACACCGAGCGCGCCGACTTCGTCATCGACCTCGGAGCAAAAACCTCAGTCATTCAGTGAACCGAACGAGGCGTCAAAGCCACAAAAGGAACCCAAAGGAACTCAGAATTCAGACAACGGTACGAATTCCTTCACTCATGCGCCTCCCCCTAGCGGCGGATGGTTGTCTCGCACTTTGAGCAAGATACGAGGACTCACAGGGCTTTAATTTCTATGTATGTGTTTTGCGTTGGTCGGATTACCATGCGTCACGCATTGGCCTCCATCTCACCCTCGAATGTATAGAAGGCAGCAACACTGGTGATAGCGAGGACACTTCGGAGAACGCGGAGCGCGTGCAGAAGAGAAGGGCTACAGCATAGTAGAGAATATATAGAATTAGAACATACACCGATTTTTAATTTCATGGCAATAGCATAATTACATTGCATTGGGAGTAATGTGACTATCGCATAGAGATTTGCCTTCCGGCGAGGTATCAGCTGGCTCTCTGGCGCCAGAACCGGACGGCCGTAACGAGGAAGCCATGGAGGAGAGATTACATTTTGCTCGCCAAAGCAGAGTGAGATCTGATCAAGGTTATAACTATAGGCCGCGGGGGTGAAGCGACAAAGCGGTCCCACAAGAGTATTGAGACTCCTCTATTCGTGGGAGACCAATCTCGCGCCTGTCTTGAAGAAGACCAAACGTCAGACATCCACCTTCTTGCCCCCTTGTTCTGATAACTCAAAATTTAAACGGGGATCTTGCTCGACTAGATCTCTCAATGACTTCCTTGTTCCTCGTCGCCAGATGCGATCATGCGGCAACGAGGCTAAGGTTTTCCCTCAGACCTGCGAGCACCCTGTATTCCTCGCATCCGGCGACTCTAGATCTGCTAGTCATGCACCTCTCTCTTGGCTTCCTTTGCCTTTTCGTGGTACAACCTCTTTAACATAGACTAAGCGGCCCACCATCCCAGATTCCCAGTTAATTTTATCGAATCTCATCGACACAGTCCAAAATCCGCTCACTCTGTTCCTTCTACGGGCCGTTCGTCTCGAAAGCGCGCCGTAATCCCCAACTGCCACCATTCTCTCCAAGAGCATGTTGCAGCTGCTTTCTTCGGTGCAGCTATTCATCGAAGCAGCTCCTGACGGCATCATGAAGGATATAAAACCGTCTGCTCCGTGACTATCAGGCATTGACTGGTGTTCCCGTTGTATCTCGTCTTATTTCGCTGGTCCTTGTACCGAGCATCATGCTTTCGTCACCGCTTTCTCGATGTTTGGCTACGATGGCTAAAGAAAGGCCTAATCCTACAGAATCGGGCGTAAAGCGCCTCTCGGAGTCCGACTATGCAGTCTCGTCGACTTGCACATCTCGGGTGCCGTCTCTTGAATCTCAAGAAAGTGGGTCTGTCAAAGCATATCCGCGCTTGTCCACCACGCGTCTTTTGCTTGCACACATAGGGTAGGTCGTCGATCTATCGCTTAGCCATGGCTCGGAGCATTTCGACTCACACATGCACCCAGGGCGGCTCTAACGTTGTTTCTTGCCACGACCGATTCGGTACGCTTTTGGCAACTCTTCTAATATATCTTCACCTCTAATCACTAAATCACGAAGACAATTGTATCCACGAGTTTGCCCACGATCTCCGCAGAGTTCAACGCGACACAGAGCGAGTACACCTGGGTTGGCATCGCTTACATGTTAACGCAAACGGCCTTCCAGCCCCTGTATGGCAGGTTATCCGATCTGGTCGGACGCAAGGTCGGCGACTATTAGGAGCTTTTGCAGCTAGATCTGACCAGAATACTAGATTGTATTATTTTCGAGCATGTTCATTTTTGCTCTTGGGTCACTGCTTTGTGGCGCAGCGAAGGTGGCGCCTTTTAGATTATGTGGCTGCATTGCTGCATTGCTGATTAACACCATTCTGCCCACAGTCGATGATGGGTCTAATTCTAGCAAGAGCTTTGGCTGGTGTTGGTGGCGGTGGCATTGTCAGTTCTGTTTGGGTAATCACTGCCGAACTCGTGGAGCCAAAGCGAAGGTCCAACTGGTCGCAAGCACTCAGCGTCACTTGGAGCTGCTCGGCGGTTGCGGGCCCTATACTTGGAGGGCTTTTTAGCAGTAAGTGGCAAGGACGATCTCTGATCGCTTGCTAATTTAATACGGCAGATACTTCTTCTGGTCTCAGCTGGAGATGGGCATGTGAGCGCCCATTCATTGCGGTCAAGGCACGACTGTACTAAAATTTCATCCATTACATAGTTTTTTTGAACCTGCCTGTCTGTTTTGCCGCGTTTGTGGTGTTGTTGATCACCCTTCACAACGTGCCCTTAAGCTGTGCAAGGGATGCGTCCTGGAGATCCTTCGCCCAAAAATTTGACTTTGTCGGCCTGTGAGTAGAGTAGAAGACGCCACCCTGTCGTGCTGCTTACAATTTGTGACAGGTTCTTATTCATGGCGGGCACCAGTTGCATCGTGCTTGGATGCAATTTTGCAATGAGCTACGGTTGTGAGTTTGCAGTGCTGATCGAAACGTTATCACCCGTGACACTTCGCGTAGGGTATGCACCTATAACCATCGTTCTGACTGTCATGGGACCTATCATCCTCATTACTGGCGGGATCTACGAAGCGTACACAAAGCGTGATGCGCTTTTCCCACCAGCGGCCTTTAGGAGCCTCATTGTCGGTAATGCAGTTCTTGGCCAGTTGAGGAAACCCTGGCTAACTTGGTGCTATCCAAGGTACCATACTGACGATAACGTTTCTTCACCAATTCGTGTTCAACGCAGGAACATTCTATCTCGCATTGTACTTTCAGGTGGGACTATGCTCACAACTAAATATACACTCCTCATACACGTGCTCAGGTTGTCAATGGCGCATCGCCGCTCCAGGCTGGGATCCAGATGCTCCCCTACTCACTAGGATCATCTGTTGCATCTATGCCGGCCGCATGGTTCATGTCGAAGTGGCAAGAACGGAAGGGCCACACCGGCGGTCAAAACATCATTATAGGCATGGGCCTTCTTATCGCAACCACCGGTTTTGGTTGGTGACTTCCCGGGAAACTTGATCGCGTGCTCACAGACCCCTGTTAGGATTAATGGTTATTCTTAATGAGCGATCAAGCCAGGCTCTTCAGTCGATCTTCCCCTTAATAGCCGGGATTGGTGTCGGAATGCTGTTTCATGCACCATATCAAATCTTCACCCGTGCACTTGGTCCGTCGGAGCTTGCTACTGGGACAAGTGCCTTTTTCCTGACCAGGTTCACTGGCGCTACTGTTGGTCTCGTGAGTGCTCACACCAATACCTGCTTTCTGCTTCTGTTGTAACATTCTTTTTTGGCAGTCTGTGGCTGGGATGGTCTTCGATGATCAGCTGGGCCACAACCTTCCGTCGTCATATGCAAGCCTTGCATCGTCTTCATCTGTTGAGAAGTTAGTGTCCTCTATCGGGTCTCCGTCCGTGAGATCGAAAGTCCTGGGCGGCATCTCCGGAGCTATCAGTGTAAGCTCACTTTTCACTCGCCTCGGTGTTACGTCAATACTTACCGTTACTGCTCCAGGCAATCTGGATAGTGTGTACGCCGTGCTTGGGTGTGGCACTGATTGTGCGTTACTCTATCGCTTCCAGGCACTTTATCTGACGACTATTCTCAAGCTCGCTTTCTTCATAAAACGTCTTCCGATAGAAGACCTCCGAGAATCCGAGACAAAAGAGCCTGAAAAAAGTCTGTCAGTCGGGTCAATACACCCCGAACGGGAAGGTGAATCTCCCACCAATACTATCAGATCCTAGAATATGTATGTAATATTATTGTCATGTATAGACTATGGCCCATTTGATCATAAGAAGTTTCGAGCATGATTGGTGCACACAAAGTCTACGTAACGGTTCCGCTCCTGGGAGCCTTCGCGGGTAGAGTAGAAGACGCAGAACAGTCGGTGGCGCTTACATAAATGGTGGCGTTCATACCAACCTCCCTGGTCAACAACGTGGGCCGACTGGGTCGAAGAATCCCAAGTTGTTGTCCTATGGTTTCAGAGTCGAAATAAACTTTTCTCGCGCTGCTGAATGCATGACCCTTATGCGAGCAACTGCAACGCCCACGGTGAGTTCCCCTACACCCTTGATGTTTGCTATGAAAACTTATGTTCAGATTCTCGTCTCGGCCGCAGTATGCGTATCAATCGGTTCGAAATCCCCCAATATCAACAACATAACAAAGGCTACTGACTTCCAAGAGCATCTAGTTATTATACCAACAAAATATTCATTGACGGCAAACTCATCTGCATCAAATCACATCATTTTGCGTAAGTAGCATACCCTCTCCCTTGCATCGGTCCTTGATTGCCAGAATGAATATGCACTGCTTCGTACTGCATGGAAACGTCCAGCGAACGCGAAGGCTAAGACCCAAACGTATAACCTTTAAGTTGATTCCGCGACCGCCGACGTGTACTCACACTGACCCCGTGAGTCCAGAAAGGCTGCAGGTTACGGCAAGGATCATTGCCAAAGGTTATCTCAGTTCTCAAAGAAATGCAGCAGCAGCCTCATGGCAGACATTCGCGATGTCCAACGTGTGTATTGCCGCGGGTCAACCCCCCTGGCCTTGCTGACACAGGGCGTGGCCATCCTCCAGAAGGCAACTCGGGTGCACACTATAGCTGAATGTGCAAGACGTTACGTACAGCACACCGCGATGGGCTTGCAGCGATATTCATAGGTGAGAGAATACCCAACGCATAAAATTAAGGATTGACTCGCTCGATCATCAGCCACTATGCCCATCTCGGACGTGAGCAAATATTCTGCGCTGTGATGTCTGCAAAGCTGAACGGCGAACTCACGACGAAACGAGAGAAAATTGGCATCCTGCTCACATGGCTCCGCCAAAAAGATTAGATAGGCTCCTCGTGATGGTCTACTGCGTGGGTCTTTTTGGCATCATTCCGTTGGATGTGTGATGATCAGTGGCACGCACAAAACATTTACCAGAACCGCCGCTCCCTGTCCGCGGTATCTGGAATGTATTGAGATGGACAGAGGTCAAATTTTCAAAGTTCAGCGAGATCGTGAAGAAGCCGCCGGGGCCCGTCTGGGCCCATAATGCAATGCACGAATGTTGGAGCGAAGATAAGGTACTACCAAGATTTTCTTGAGCCACTGACGTATGTCGATCAATCTGGGTACATTCAATTGCATAGTTTGAAGGTTGATATTCCCTTATTATTTATGTAGACCACGAGATCAAATGTTTTTGCGCGGCCATACTAGGCGCCTCGGTACGACTGTAGGAATCAACACATGTTCACTCACGTAGTGGCATAACCTAACACGCCTTCAGGGAGCTCAAACCGTGGGAGTAACAAACCCACTTCATGGTTCTCAAGATCAGGAATACGCATCTTTGGACGAGAACTAATAGAGCGTCCAATTGCACTCAGTCGGATGTTCTCCAGATCCCACAAACACAAATGACGGATAACAAATTCAAGTTGGTCGTCTGAATGCTGTCCGAACCGTCGGCGTATTGGTTTGCGTCGTGCAATCGCCATGTGCACGGACACGTGCGAATCTGGTGACATGTTGCGAGCGCGAAAACATTCTAAAAGCGTATGTTCAATCACATTAGGCCAAGCCAGAGAACATATACTAGTATGGTGAATGTGCCCCAGTAGAAGTAAGATCGAGAGGTATTTAGCACCAAGAAGACAGCAATACTAGTGAAGGATTGGGCATGTCAGGAGAACGTTCGAATGTCGGGCTTCTATAGCAGCCCCACCACCCCACCACCCAGCGCTCCTAGTCACAATCGACGGGCCAACGGGGCGAGAACAGTGCTGCCATCAGGGTGTCATTTGGGAGGAAGCATGATCTTTCTATAGCTGGTTTCGCACCCTCGAACTTGAAGCTTGAAGCTTGAAGCTCGGAGTGGGACGTAAGCGGGGGCTTCATTTCAAGCAAGCACACGCCTGTCAAGGTGGTGGGGCACGCTGAATCTGCCAGTGAAGTTGAGCCTAGTGTCCGGCCCAAGAAGGACCGAAAAACAAAACCAAATCGAGTCCAATGAGTTTTTTTTGGTAGATGGAGAACCAAAGCTGAAGCCAGAGTATGCAAAGCAGTCAGTTATGAAGTCATCTTGGCTGCAACTTGGCAGAGCTGTCAAGGTATGTCAAGAAAGGCGGCCGAGGACACCCAAGACCATGGCCTGGCTGCTGATGACTCGATAGAGTAGGACTTGCCAGTGGTCCCGACCTTCAGTAAATAGTTATAGAGTTTTATGCTCAGTGTGGTCCCATGTTGAAAGGGTAGATAATTAAGCGTCGTGCACCATGGTGTACCGGTACCTGATTCGATGAGCGAAAATGAAATATTCCCGGATGTCTCAGGGAAACCCTTGGATGGCCTTCATACGTGGCATGCATGTAAGCTTCTCGACACAAGTATCTGGAGAAATTTACGATGCCAAGGGTTAGTACTATGAGGTAGTTTGACCAAATTTGAACCAGGCTGCTTGATGCTAACGTATTAGTATCGAGCCCCTGCGAAAATCACGCATAGCAGACTGAAAGTACGACTCCCCTATATACGCAGGACTGTAGCTATTTACTGATCATGGGTCTCTGATTAAACTTCTCAAATATGCTGGTCCATCGGGGCAGTGCTATCGTTTCGACGCGCTAGTATTGTCACCACGTTGGAACGAAACAGGGAGAGAAGCGTGCCACGGCTAAAAGGTTACTTTACATTGTTCGGCCCTGCAAGCTGCACCGGCGGCGCAAGGTGATTTGTGCACATGCGGGTATCAGGCACAGTATACTAGTAGCACCTATCAAGTAAATCATTGAAATATTGAATGGAAAGCCGCTAGCTGCATGTTTGTACAGTCGACTGTACGTACCTCGTGAGTTTGTCTAGCTACGTGAAGGAGCCGCCTTATTTTAGTATTCAATATTCAATATTCAACTCGGACGTTGGCTTGATCGATGTAGCCGTTCAACTGACCGTGTCACTGTGAGCATATACTCGAAGTACGCCTGACTCAGTGTCTTCGAGTTATCCTATGTATTGAATAAGGACGGTTGACCAAAAGGAAGATAGCTTCTCCAAGTCATTTGACAGTAGAAAAACATGCTGATGCATGTGGAATGAGTGGGTGAGCTTTTGATCGACTCGGAAAAGTCAACAGCAAGCTGCAAACAGCAAGCGAAGCTTATCGTTGGAAGCGTGGGGTCCTCGAGGGTGAGTGACCGGGGTCCTATTATGAGCTAAGCGATAAGAATTGGTCGCGTGCGGAGCGTTCGTCCATATCTTTCTTTCCTCCTCCTCGACTTCTTCTTCGTCTACCTATATGTCCGGGATGGCAGAAGCAGTTCCTTTATTGACAAACAGTACTATATCAACAATGTCGCCCGCTGCATCCCTGCCCTCGTCTAGTCCACCATCCCAGTCTGGTCGCACCTCCGCGGCCAAGTCTCCCGCCCACCGCATTGACGGTCCTGGCAAACCGGCCTTGACCGGCCTTAAGCACGCGCATACAACGCTTGATGCTAAGTGAGCTGCATTACGTTGGATATTTGCTTTTTCATCTGTAATACCATGCAAAGTTGCCTGTTCATTTACTCGCCTCACCTCTGTCCATCTACGCTCCACCAAACTCCATGCTAATTACTTTCTTCCAGACATTACAAGACGTCCGAGTTTGCGTCCCGGCTCCTGTCAATTGTCGTCGCCCTTCGTGTGCCTGTTTGGCAAAAGATTGGGATGACCTCCATAGTTGTGAAGATATTCAAAGTTTCCGGTTCGCTCACGAACGCCGTTTACTTCGTATCTTGTCCTTTCGAGCCTGCTGCCCCCACTTTGCTCTTGCGTATATACGGCCCCTCTTCCGGAAACCTTATCTCCCGCCCTAAAGAGCTTCATACTCTCCATGTTTTATCGTCCAGATACAACATAGGTCCCAGAATTTATGGCACCTTTGACAATGGTCGCATCGAGGAGTACTTCGACTCTTCGCCGCTCACCCCTGCCGACTTGCGTGATCAGAGCGTGAGTCGTTCTATAGGCGCACGCATGGCAGAGTTGCACTCGGTCGACGTGAGCGCCGTCGAGGGCCCTTCAACGGGCGGATCTACGACCGGACGCGACATAGGGGTGAAGAGGAACGTTCAAGAATGGCTATTCGCAGCTAAAGACGTGTTGGATCTGCCCTGCGTGTCTACACATGACAAGAATGCTTTGGATCTTGACCGCTTCCAAGAGGAGTGGACGGGATACATGAGCAGGCTTGACAGAGTCGAACAGACCGAAGGTATGAGCACGCGAGTGTTCGCTCACAACGATACCCAGTACGGCAACTTGCTCAGAGTCAATGGCACGTTGGAGGAAGGCATGCCCGCACATCGTCAGGTCCGTCATCAGATGCTATAAATTGCTATGTTTTTGTTAGTCTTATCGTCGCTTCCCATTTCCGCAGATCATCGTAGTCGACTTCGAATACTCAGCCGTCAACCCGCTTGCCTTTGATATCGCGAACCACTTCCACGAGTGGACGGCCAACTACCACTCCGACGTCCCCCATATCTTGGACCCGTCCCGGTACCCCACCCTCGAGCAGCGACGGAACTTCTATGTTGGCTACCTACAGCATGCCGCGAGCTCGCTCTCGGACGTGGCGGGCGAGAGCCCATCCCCAGCCAGCGAGAAGGATCTCGCAACGCTCGAGCGTCAAGTCCGCATCTGGAGTGCAGCATCACACGGGATGTGGGCGATTTGGGGTATCGTACAGGCCCGCGACGACTTGGCGAGGGGAGAGACTCAGCCCGAGTTCGACTATATTGGGTACGCACAATGTCGGATGCAGAGTTTCCGTAGGGAGGTGGAGGCGCTCGGAATCTAGTTCCTTAGAACAGACCTACTATATATACCCGGCCATTTATTGTTTGTGTTGGTTCTCTTTTCTCTGTCAGATATTTGTATGTAGTACCCTATATCATGGAATCTTTGATGATCGTCGTATCATCATCCTTTCTCGCGACTAGCTAAATCACAACGAATTATTGACTTTCATCTCTGGACATCACTGGATGATCGCGTTTACGAAAGCGTTTTATTCAAGAGCGAGCATTTGGACTAGGAATATTGCACAATGAAATGTAGGCGATGGGTACTTTACGTCATGCAAAAGACTTGAAGGTATGCAAGCATGAGTACAGCGACAATAATAAAGATTGGTGAGTGCATGAACGTTCACAACATATGCAGAAAGAGAAAAAAGAAAACACAAAGTCCGTTCCAGCGGTTGAGATAACGTCCGATATGTTTTTATTCAGATCCATTGTGCGTTGTTGCTTACTCGGTTCGACCCAACAGCGAGCTCGGATTGGGGAAAAGCAACCGAAAGGTTGCTCCGCGTCAAGCTACCCCAGTTGCCTGCACTACCCGATCTAACGTGCGATCGAGGAGCTGTTCCGGAAGCGGAAAGGCGGTCGTTCTGGGAGCCCATGCCGAAGGAGGAGCTGGCGTTGGCGGCCGACGGAGTAGTCGGGGAAGCGTACTCAAAATCGACATCCGCCCCGTTGAACGAGTGGCGAGGGTTCGACGTGTTCGTCCTGCCAACACGCTGAGAAGAATTGAGTTAGCCTGGACCGGTTGTAAGAGGCAATGTGCCATACCTGATTTTGCCCCACAATATTCAAACGAGCGGCAGTGGACCGACCGAGATCGGGGCCGGCGGTCAGAGGAACCGGCGAGTGGATCGCAGGTTCACGCGGGTTCATCATCAGTGCGTTCTGCTGGCTAGCGAGGGTCGGATAGGCCGACTTGTTCTGCTTCGCAATATTCGTGAGGGACGCAGTATCGACACGGAGGGACCCGGTGGGCGGTCGGGTATTATACATGTTATGAGCTGCAGAGTTCGTGTCAATAGGCGTAGCAAGGTCGTGCCTGCTGTGAGAGATCCGCGAGAGAAGGGATGTCGGGGCGTCACTGGGATCGCTCGCCGAACTATTAGCACGTTGGCGAGAGTCAATCGTCGCAGAAGGGGGAGGTGCGCCCTCAGCACCGGGGGCAGCACCGTTCGCGGGGAGCTCTGTGTGGATGAAACAGCAGCGTTTCCCATACGGGCAAGCGCCCGATACCCAGAACGTCTATGAAGGTATTAACATCGAGAATACCATTGAAGCTATGAAACTTACCCTGCAGATCTCCGTCTTGTACTAGTTTGTCAAATAGCGATGAGCAACAAAAAGGCCCTGAAAGGAGACGAACTCACCTTTGGATGACGAGCCACAGACCGCAATTCCCCTTCACCATGAGCGAACTGGCACTTGGTGCCGTAGCGGCAGGTGCCCTTCTCCTCCCAGGAGCGGCAAAGCTCGGTCTTGTAAAGCCCAAGTTTGCGGTTGTTCGCGCTGGGTCCAGATCCATTCGAACTTGGCGCGGACGGTGCTGGAGCGTTCAGTCCCACACCACGTGCCCCAGTCTCCATGCCCATCGCGGGAGTGGGCATAATACCAAATGGGCCAGCGAATTGACCTTGCTGAAGGCGGTTCAACATCGCCTGCGCAGCAGCGATGTTGCTTGTGTAGCTGTCGGGTCCTCGGTACGCCTGAGGGTACATGCTCATAGGGAGGGGCGCCGCAGGCGGATACATGCCCAGCTGAGAGTAACTGGTGGGGTTGCTCAGCAGTGCGAGCGCGGCTGCATCGCGGAGCGTAGAAGACGGATCGGAAGACGAGTGCTGATGGACACCACGGAAGGCACCGTGCTGCTGCTGGATCCGAGCCACCGCCGGATCCGGATGAGAGAAAGGCAGATCGTATGCTTGCTGCGCTCCAAGCGAGTTGGCGCCATTGTATCCCAAGCCTCCAGGAGTGAATGTCCTGGGGTTTGGGCGGAGCCCTGCGGAGGCAGAGGGGGGTGGATTGCGACCATAACCTGAGCCAGAAAGGGAGGGGTACGTCGGCTGCTCCGGGGAGGCAAGCTCCCGAAGTTGCGACCAATGGCTGGGAGAATCCTCGCCAGCCTGTTGCAAGCGGCGGAGGTCAGACGATGAGAGGACGCCGTTGAACGAGTGGGGCCGCTCCTTATGTTCTGAAGCCGTTGTGACTTTGAGTGCGCCTGTACGCATGTCGCGGTTGTTGGAGTTGGCTGGCTCACGAGAATCAGCGCCAGATGACCCACGAGAGTGAGAGGGAGAGATAGAATGATCAGGGGATGAACTGGGGCTGGCCTCTGATGCAGACTCGAGTGGGCTGGACTCTGCATAGTGGGCTACAGCAGCGGCAACAACCTTGGACTGGGGAGGCGTCCGAGCGTGGACGTCATCGTCCTTGGAGCCGATTTTGAGGCGTGCTATCTCCTGTGCGAAGTCCCAGTCAGTGGGGTCGGGATCGCTGAGGACATGGGTGCCAGAATAGCGTGAGTGGTGGTGGCGGTCAGAGGACATATCAAGTGCAAAGTGGGAGGACCAGGGCGCGATTGCGGGGGAGGCAGACTGCATGCTGTTGGTTATGTGAGTAAGGAAGGAAAGAGGGGACAGAAAATGGACTGACCAGTGATATAGAGATCAATAAGTGGAAATGAATAAAGAAATGATACTTATTAGGATATCCAGAGGTCGTCAAACGTGTCGTGAGGATGAGGGATAGATAGATGAGGGCTCCTGGCTGACGGGGAGAAGTCGAGCACAGAAGAAGTCGAAGGGGGAGGATGGTATAAAAAAGCTCTCTGACTCGAGCTAGGGCTTATTCCGTGAGCGTGTCGCGAGGAGCTGGCAGCTGGGGTGTTGCCTTTGGGGTCCCTGGATGACCGCGAGAAGCAGAAGCGGCGAACGAGGGCAGGCAAACGGCAGGCTGCGTCTGTGAAGGGTTTTTGATCGCAACGTGCCCGGTTTGTGGCGACGTTGATCGCCAAATAATATTATCTATGATTCCTTGCCGTCCTCCTCTGAGTAAAGTCCAATAGCGATAGGCTCTGTCAGATAAACAATAGGTTAATAATTACTTATCAACGGGGCAAGAGACGAGAGATGCAGGAAGGTCGTGGTCGATGGGCAACCTGGATGGATAGCCGCCAGCAGGTCTAATTCGCGCGCACTGGTTTGCCATTTTGGCCTATCACTGGACCAATGTCGTAACCTCATCGGACGCAATACCAGTTACTATCACTTCAGCCACCGCCCAGGCCGCGCTCATCGTGCCCTCCCCTTTTCAATCGTGCCCTTCCCCAAAGCCACTGACACCCAGCCAACCGCACCTCCGATCCGTTGCTGCACATATCGCATATCTTTCGTCTTATCCGTTCCCGACTTTTTGTAGCTTATCCTCTTACTTTCCACCCTTTCAAATCAGAATAAACCATCGATGACAGATCACGTGCGCGCAACGTGTATCAGCCGCAACTCGAGGCGTTTGATCCCGAGCGCCGGACATCCTTCTATTGCCCCCACGAGCCATAATAGTCTGTCCCCAGCAGAGTGCAGTTACAAGACAGTGAAGGAAGTTTACCATCGTAATTCAGTGTTTTCTTATAAAACCTTCCGTCAAAACTTAGGAGCTTACTAGCTGCAAATGCGCTCTACTCAACAAATCTATAAAATCGATACTTTAGTTCTAGGTCCTAAATTTCCAATCGTGTCGAGGGACTGCGCGACTTGCTGCGCGAACTCATTATCTCAGCTCAGCTATCTACATGGGATAAATATCAGCACGTGGGTCATTAAAATTAGAGAAAAGTGAGTCAAGAAAGGCCTCTCGACGTACAGAGTTTAAACCCCAGTTGCAAGTCGACCCAGTATACAGGAGCCAAGGATCAGTAGGACAATACAGTTGAATTCATATCTACTATCAATCTACATCGGACACAGGAATAGAACTATGAGCTCGTGTATCCCCTGGGTCAGCCATTCCAATCTGTATGTCAGATGGTGGATTTCACTGCCAGTGGAGGCCATACATGGGAGATTACAATCAATTTACACGCAACATAATCAGCTCTCGTCTCTTGGAAGATTCCATCCGGGCTGGAGTCGTCCTGCCAAATTGCTGACAGGCCCAGAAAGACCTCCTTGGCTCTTGAAGCTCTCTAGGAAGTTCTTGATTAGGCCATAATCCATTGACTCGCTCACGTCATCGTCATCCTCGGCGCCGTCGCGCTCGAGCATTGCCTTCAGCTCAGCGTCCATCGCCTCACCGATGTCAACCTCATGATCGGGGACCTCCTCCTTCGAGGCCTTACCCTTGCCCTTAGACTTTGGCCGAGAACGGTCCAACTCTTCGTCCATTGCTCGCATGACCGCCTCGAATGAGTCCAAGTTGGGGTTGGGGTTTTTCCCTGGGCGCCGAGTCTGATTTTGAGGGTCTTCATTGCGGGTGTCGGAACGTGAGTCATCAAGTGTTGGAGGACGTGGAGGAGTAGTCCCAGCGGGCACGAAAGCTAGTTTGGCAAAGGTAATTAATGGACCGGAAGGAGAAGAGTCAGGCAACTTACCGCCGCGGCTCTTGCGTTCGCCAATGATATCCGCCCATTGCTGGTCGGATATTCCCAAAGCCTGTCGTGAAAACTCCAGGAATTCTTCCTCCTCCTCGCTCATGTCTATTTCGATATCTCCAACTATCTGGGGTCTATCGTCCTCTGACTCGTCTTCTTCTGCTTCATCTGAGTCTGTTTCGTCATCTGAGTCGGCGCCGTCGTACGTATCCCGAGGAAGGATTGGGGGGCGAATCTTGATTGGGGCGGGTTTCTCTTCTTCGCCGGTCCGCTTGTCCTGTTCGCCTGTCTCAGCATCTTCTCCTACCACGTCCCGCGCGACTCGCTGAGAATTAGTGTAATAGTTCGCCGGCATTTTCCCGTATTCTGATGGATTAATTGGCGCCACAAGCTTGTCCATTGCGGCCCGACGTTCATCGCCGTCGGGCCGCTCGACATAGCTGTCGTCAGTATCGTCTGAGTCGCCAAGTAAGTCTTCATCGGCGTCAAGATCTTCTTCTGAGTCTTCGCTATATAAAAACGTTAGTAAACAGCGGTAGCCAAGCACCGAGCGCATACTCTTCAAATTGGGCGCCTTCTAAATTACCCTTGCCTTCGACGAATTGCTCCACTTTTTGCGCCAAGTCTTGCAACCTGTCGGCCTGTTGTTCTGTAAATCGATCATCCACCCTGTCCGCCGCGGACTCCTGGTCCACGTCCATTTTGGCTTCGTCACCGCTGGTGCCCCGCGTTGGCTTCGTGATTTGTGCGCTTTTCTCAAGCAGTGCATCAAAGTTCTCGGCATCGATGTTCAGCCAGTCATCTGAATCCTCCGCTTCCTGGGAGGTATCCGAGAGAGCTGCGGGTGCTTGAGCCAAAGCTCGGGCCACGAGAACGGCAAACGACAGCCGAGAAAGATCGCTAGGACACGGTGAGCTCTAGACGTACGGATGATAGCGCGAACTTACTCTTCGCGGTTCACAGATACGAATGTCTCTGCTGCTTTGCTCTCGAGATCCTTCCAACTCTGAGAGCCCTCTACCTCACTCCGAAAGTAACCTGCAGAAACTAGGTTTTGAAGGTACTTGGCATACTCTGGAACTCGGCGAAGGGCCTCCTTTTGAGCTTCTACCTAAATAATGTTGTCAGCGTTGTCGATATCTAATATTGATAAGACATACCGAGGAGGCAAGAGCCGCAGAGGAGGAATTCACAGCGTCAACCTTGCTTTTGCTTTCCTGATACAACATCTCGAACCCACACGCCTACATATCCGAGTCAATTCCTAGTAAATCATAGACGACACAATGACCGACCAATTTCATGCCAACATCTTTAAAACGATGGTCCTCGCTGCTCTCTGACCATCGCCCGAATATCTTCGGAGGATGGAACTTTTGTCCCACTAACTGGGCGTATGCTGTTCGGGTCATCTTTACGCTTCTTAACGCGGAGGGCTCTGGAGGAAAGCGGGCCATCCGATGCGCAGCCTGTATCCGCGACTTGTCAAAGCACGCCCATGTAAGACGAAGACGAGATCAACTAACGCGTAGCTGGATAGCATCTCGAGTATAAAAGGTCTCAACGGCTTTTTGGACAAGGGAAGGGTCGACATACAGGGCTTTTGCGACGTCGATGGGCAAGTAGGCTTTGGAGGTGTGAGTATGACTACGGGCGGCTGCAGGATATCTGTCATATGTTAGTCAAGTATGTATGCTCGCATAAGATCTTGCTTGCCTGTTGATTTTCTTCCAAACGAGTTTCTCAACATGTGGAGGAGCAAGTGTGTTTACACCGGGGTCGCGAAGTACCTTGAGAGCGTCGAGCGTAGAAATATATTCATCTGTATCCTCAAAGTTATTGCCGTCGTCATCGTCATCCTGGTCATTGTACACTCTGCGGTGTCTTCGTGTAGTTGAGGCAGGGGAGACATACTCCAGTGGAACTATATGCAGATGCGAGCTATATAGCCAGACCTATAAGAGAATCATCGTGAATCGGGAAGTGCCTTACCCATGCAAGAGCGGTGCGCACCCGGTTCTCTGAATTGGTAGGTTTTACCCACGGAGGGAGCGCTTCGGCAGCCTCGATGAGCAGAAGTTCGCCGTCCGAATCAATTACACTGTAAGGATGGAAAGGTCAACGGTGTGCAGCTGGAGGAGTAGGCGGCGTACCTGATGGCAAGATCCCACTTCGCACTGATCTCTCTCAGTAACCAAACGGCACACCATTCGTCGTCGATAGAGTCGCCAACACGCATAGTACCGTCCAGGATCCATGCATCCTTCTTATCAGGATCGGGTATGACCTTGAGCTGGAATGTATCCCGATGCCACAAGAAGCCCGGAAGCAAGGACTCGACATGATCTTGTACGCAAGAAGCTAGCGATGTAGCAGACGTCTTCTCCGAGAGGTGAGCAGGTGGGTACAGCGTGTAATGTAGCGTATCTTCAGAGATCGAAGGCGGTCGATTGAAGATATCCATGGTGGAGTCCAAGGCGAGTGCAAAAGAAGAGGAATATTGAGACCTCCTATGAGTATGCGGTAACAAGGGCCGGACCCAACGCTGAATGAGGAACTCGGCTTAGTAGGGCTTTCTATTTCCGGTCCGCGCGGCTCTCTGTCCCTGGCAGCGAGGATTGGGACTGTGACATGGCAGCGTCTTTCAAGGACAGAAACCTCATCGCGGTCATTGGGGACGAGGTGAGTAACTTCTCAACGTGAATATATGCTAACAACTAATGATCCCGCGACAGGACTCTATCACAGGTCTTCTCCTCGCTGGTGTTGGCCACATCAACGAACAGCAGAAGAAGAACTTCCTCGTAGTAGACTCCAGTGCGTGGACACCTATGAGAATACAATATGAGGATGGGAGCTCATTCTTTCACTCAGAAACACAGGTCTCCACCATAGAATCGGCTTTTCAGGAATTCACGGAACGCAAGGACATCGCTATTCTACTCATCAACCAGCATGTACGTACCACGTCCCAATGATTTCAATCGAGTTACTCAACACGGCGTCAAGATCGCAGAGAAGATTCGGCCTACGGTAGATAGATATCAGCAAGCGTTCCCTGCGCTGCTCGAGATCCCCTCAAAGGACCATCCATATGGTATGTTTCATAGTAGCTTTGGGTCTTACAAGATATCATCTCACTTAATCACGCGTTCAATGTGATCAGATCCATCAAAAGATTCTGTGCTGAAGCGCGTACAGAAGCTTTTCGGAGAGTAATTGGTCTATATCGTCAGAGCTGGTTTGGGTTTATTTCATTGTACAATATAATACAGCGTGGACGCCATCAATGGGGGACAATGCAATCTGACTGCGATTAAACAAACGGCGAAGTAACGATAAATGATGACGAAGAGTTCGGGAGTCACGGCGAGCGAGACCCATCTTACGATGATCTCCACCGCATTATAGGCTCTGTCTCCCGGACACCGGGTGCTTTCTCGACAAACACACGAACAGTGTTGCGACTCTCCGAATCTACCAGGAAGACTTAGCATCAAGGCTGACAAGTGAAGGAAGAACAAACGTACTGGGGAAGTCTATCAGGAGATAACGGAAGACAAAGTAACCATCATCATTCTGTGCAGCCCATGAGTATGTCAATTCGCCTTGAAGTGAATCGTCGCTTACTCTGACGAGGTCCGCATGAACCTCACCCTCAGCGAAAAATTGTCCACTGTGGTCACTACTGCTTTGCCGAGATGTTCGCGAGCTTTTGATGCCAGAAAACACGCCGGCAAAACTCCAAAAACCACCTTTTTCATCCTTGTCCTCCGTTTCCGGGGGCTTGTCATGCGCCGGAGCGGGACCAGGAACAAATTCACCACTCAGATACTTGAATACCCGCTTTGAAGCTTCTATAGCATCACATCCGCGTCCTTTTATCCAATCGACACTGTCATCGAGGGTAATATCCGAGAAACGATCCCAAAAGCCATCCTCGGTCATTGAAGCAAAGGTTGCAGACTTCGAATTTGGATCACGGCCTTCCACATAGAAGTTCAGAAGCATGTGCTCTCGTCCGGAGGAGTCAACTGCAATTTGAGAAGAGACATGTCGGTTACGATGACGCGGCCGCACAGCTGAGGGAGGGTTGTTGTGGAAAGTAAGAGGTCCGTGCAGATGGGTGGCAACCTATATAGACGGTTGGTCATGATTCGTGGTGGTGAAATCACAGGTAGGAACAAACCTTTGGGGATGCCTCAATGCGCTTGCAAGCGTCTCCATAAACAACGGTGGGAGAGTTTTTGGAGAAAAGCTCCGACGTAAGCGCGTAAACTAGCACTGCTGAGAGGCCAGCACCGAGCAGGATCACGATCAAATTTGATGTACGTTGGCCTGTACGAACAACTACACGGAATATCAGCCCATATTGAAGCGCTAACCAATTGCGAGCTGCTCACCTTTTCCACCTGTGCTGAGCTCTGACCACTTCTTCTGCTTCTGCTGTTGAGCAAGCTGCGCTTGAGAGATGCCTAGTTGGAATGGTCCGACTGTGTCATCCCTCTGAGCAGCGTGCTGCTTCTTGTCCAAGGCGGAAGAAAGCAGCGAGGATGTAGTGTCGCGGTGTGTTGCATACTTCCTGTGAGGTGACGACCGCAAAAAATACAAATGCGCGTTCGCTATGCATGAAGAGGGGGGCTTCAGCCGTAGCCTGACTATAGGAATGGTAGAACGGAGTGGTGCCCAAACCATCGTCATAATAGTCAGTGACGAAGGTGGTTTAAGAAAACAGGTCACATGACTCATACATCAGCGACTTCGTCCGCCTACAGCCCCTATTTGTGAACTTCATGGAAGCTTGCTTAGGCGCCTACTTCAGACTATGGAGTCAGACATCAGAATTACCGAGTCCTGAGCCTTGAGTATCTTAAGGTCAGCTTCGATCAAGTAACCGCACGAAGATGATATGATTATAGAATAAAGAAACATGTAATAAAAATACACTAGAGCTGATCTCTACTAATGAACCACTAGGCTCAACCAGACTCAGCCTCAGTTGCGCTCTCCACGGAGTCTCCGAGCCAATGCCAAATCCTTAGGTTGGATAGTAACACGCTTGGCATGAATAGCCGCAAGGTTGGTGTCCTCAAAGAGCGACACAAGATAGGCCTCGGCAGCTTCTTGGAGGGCCATGACGGCAGACGATTGGAAACGGAGGTCGGTCTATGAAGAAAGCGGCACACATAAAAAAGGCTAGACAGGAGAGGCAAACAAGGAATGACATACCTTGAAATCTTGGGCAATCTCACGAACAAGACGCTGGAAAGGAAGCTTGCGGATGAGGAGCTCCGTCGACTTCTGATATCTCCTGATTTCACGCAAGGCGACGGTACCGGGGCGGAAACGATGGGGTTTCTTCACACCACCAGTGGCAGGCGTCTGAATCGAAGGTTAGCAAACGAAGAAAGTTGATGGTGATAATAGACGGAACGCACAGCAGCAGTTTTCCGGGCAGCCTTCGAAGCGAGCTGCTTGCGAGGAGCCTTGCCTAAAGTGATGATAAATACGCTGTGCAAATCATGTGGACGGTGCCCGAGTCTTACCTCCGGTAGACTTGCGAGCGGTTTGCTTGGTACGAGCCATTAAGTGATTGGAGAAGATGTTATGTTGTGGAAAGTGGTGGTATGGGTGTTGAAGAGGAATTCTAATCGCACCGACCTCTTTTTATATCGCCACGGACCGTCGATCAACAAAAGCTGCAATAAACAAGACGCGTCGCGGTTCACGTGAATTTCACGTGATAGTCACGCCTTTGCCCAACTTCATTCTCAATAGCAAAAAGGCTTCCCATTAGCCGACTCGAACGACTGACCTCGTCATTACTAGTGACGCGCTCTACCAACTGAGCTAAACGGGATGTGTTTCATAATGACGACTTGGCGATCATGAATAGTCGTAATCGATGATTTCTTTCATATCCAAACGGCATGCATTACAGCGCTTTGCAAGTGAATGCGGAAGCCTGGGTGGAGAGATGGCAGTGCACACTGGGGCCGGTGCAGGACCCCTGGCATGAGGCGGGCGAACGATGCGGAGTTCTGCCTGAATTGCTGTGCTCGCGTGGCCGAATTTGGCAGGTACTACTCGGGGTCCTCACTCGGCTGTCTCGGCGGGGCCATTTCGCGTCAGAGGCTTTTCCGCATCTTTGTGCAAACCGCTGTAACAACGAGATTACTACAGAGACTGCAACTGATCAACACGCTCAAACACATTCTTCTTGAGCTGCGGAGAGGTTCAGCTCAGGACATACACATCAGTAAGCCACTCACTGGTGGACTAATTCCTTGACCCTCGAAATAAGCGAGCACAAATTCCGTCGCGACCCAGTTACTCTCCAGGGCGCCGAGGTCGCGGAATATGAGCGAGCGAGGCACTTCAGCGTTGGCAGAGGGTGCCGTTAAAACAACATCCAGTGGAGTGCCTTTCGCCATCGATGAAGTTGGGAACATGGTCTTGAGCTTACGTATGGGAGACTGGGCATCAACTTCGTCCTTGGCTGAGATTGAGTCTTTCTGCTTAGCAAGCTGCAGTCTGCCGACTAGTGCGCGGACGAAACCATCACGCAAATGGCTGTACGATGTTTGGCGAGTGGGAACTGGAACGACGATTAATTGTAGGAGACAGAACGAGTTTTTGAACATACTAATTCGAAGGGCACATGCCGTGTTCCGCACTATATAGTCAACCTTTTCTTCTTTGGTCGCCGACATAGGCATGTCCTGACAGATATGGTTTGCGCCTTTATTTTGGATGACACTTTCGATGGATGACATACCTTCAAGCTCGGATTTGAAAGGTCAGCGTAAAACCCGACAGAGTATACCTTAATCCCCAAGAAGGATACGGTCCTTACACCCACTCCCATGAGGGTAAATGTGGGCATGTAAACTTTGGAAGGTACATTAAGTACGGTTGGGAATTCGATGGATGTCGCAGGATCGACTGAAGGTAACGAATGAGCAAATATTATCTATCAATCTATCCAGAATATGTATACCTTGTATTGATTCTGTAGACAATGTCGCATCAAGCTGAAGCGGCTGAGCAGTCCATGCAGTGATGGCGAGGCCAGCTGACGCGAGAAGTAGAGAACGACCAGCGAGTTTCCTGCTTTTATGCAGAGGACTAGCAACCCTCAAAGTCATAGATGGAATCAATGTTCGCGAGGCATGAAGACCTACTCTTTGGAAGAAGAAAAACAGCATGAGGATACGAGGCACAGGCCCAGGTGTTAGATACTGTTATAGCCCTTGAGCTTGAGTTCGAAGAAAGGCTGGCGTGAGTCGCGACTGGCAATGTCAGCGCATCGGGTGCAATAGTGACGGTGTTGATATCTTGCCAATTGCGTATCTGCATACTCCGGAGTCAGCGCGAGTGTGCGATCATAAGTGCATACGCGTCTTCCTCTTGTCATTGTTAAGCGGGGGATACGTACCTCCTCTCAACGACGCGTCATCTACATTCTCTTCTACGTTGTTCCGCAATCGGAGGACCTTATAAGAACACGTACGTATAGACCAGATGTTCCCTGTCTCCCAACTTTCCTCCCCCTGAGAGACCCGCACGCGATCCCTACGCCACTGAAGCTGACCATGCCTTTCGCTCTCAATGTATCAGCACAGGTTGCTAGTATCAAAGACGAAGACGCAATGTCAGATTATGATGAAGATCTCTCCGATTTTGAGGATGATTCTCTGCCTTCAACCCCGGACCAAACTTCAGACAGGCAGACCGCCATGTTCGCGACGTTACTAGACTCGCTTCCCTATGCTTGCGAGCCTGCAGAAGTTATGAGATCTCACTTAGAAGATATCATCAGCCGGCTTGTTATATGCGCAGAAGCCAAGGACTGGTTTTGCCTCATGCACTGGGAGGGTATGCTAGGGCGGTAAGCTGCGGCTGTGGTAGTGTTCGAACATATCAATGACTAATATTGTTTGCCGCATTAGCTGGCTCATGCTGAAGTATCCTATTCAGATTTCTACGCGAAAGCAACTTGTGCAACTTTTCTATGAATTGTCTCTACTCCCTGGCATCGAGCCTCGCATCACCAGGAGCTGGGTCAATATGGTATCGAGATTAACCAGTAATAAGGGTATTCAGCGTCAACTATATGCAGACGGCTTCCGACTTTCTTGGGTGCCACTCTGGAGAGTCTTAAAGAAGGAACTCTTCCCAAAAGAGAGACTGACTGGCAATCCGTAAGCAACTTCAGGTCACAGTGTCCATGATGTTCATGTTTTAGCAGGCGTAACATGAACAATATTTACCTCTATCTCGCTGAGAAGTGCAGTCGTTACTTTGATGCCTCGGACATTGAGGATATGTTGTCAACTTTCCTACCTATGTTAACATCTCAGGTAAGTCTTGAGCCATGAATAAACTATTCGCAACTAACTATTGACATTGTAGACGACGCTCACGATGATGCCTGTCCTCACCTCCTTTTTGCCTCCCACTCACTGTCACCACTATCTCCCCATTATGTTTGGAACATGGGAATCATTGAACTCGTTTGTCTTGGATGATCGCTTGTTCGAGTTCATGGGTGTGCTTTCAGAGGGGCATGTTGCAGGCAAGGCAGGGTATAGCGACTCAGAAGCTGGAGCCGAATGGAAGGACGTCGGCATCTGGACTGAACACCAATGGGCCATGCTGATGAGCAAAGCCCTTTCCAGCATGCGTATGTTCTCGTCTTTGTAGGTGTCCTCACTGGACGGCTTATAACCTTCTTTTAGATGTCCCCGCTGGGAAACTCAAGGTACGTATTCAGGAGAATCGTCAGGGTTAAGTATTCAAAGAAGTAAAGATGACCAGCACGACTTCAATTCAAGCAGACGCTTTAGCGCTTCGCCAAGGATCTAAAGTCAAAAAGTCAATTAGCAGACTCAGTAAGAGGCTTATAAATCACGGTACTCGTATGCTTATTCGTTGTACAGATTTTATTGCGAAGATTTTTGTTTGGAGCATGGCCGTAGATGGACCTGTGCGGGGCGAATCTGCTGCATCTTCATCCAGTGAAGCCTCTGGCCAGGTCGGGTATCGAGCAGGATCCAAAGCTCTAGATTCCTTGGATAAACTGATCACCAGCCTCGAATCCTTTTTCCATCCATCCAATCACGGGCACTGGTCAATGATCGTATGACACTTTTAACCATGTTTTTGTCTTCTTTCTCATCACTCTATATAGCTCACCAACTTTCTGACTCGCCTCACGCTTGAATTCAGCGAGAGATGGTATGACGAACAGCAAAGGTCTTGTAAGACGCCAGCAGTACGTACATGACTCACATCATGGTCACCATTAACGATTGCCGCGAACTCCTTGCAGGCACAGCGGTTAACGCCAGACATCCGCCGCAGTTTCGTATTGACTCTTCGCACGCCTGCGTTGCTCTCTATGTTCTCCAAAGACCCGACATCCATGTCCATGGCGCATTCAGCTGTGCGAATAATGGCTATATTTGAGCCAAATTTGATGATGCCCCAGCTGCTTGAACGTGCTTACGGTGGGTTAGAAGTCGTAAATGAGACTCATCGTACGACTGCTGTCCTGAAATTGCTGTCGAATGTCTCGCGTCCACTTGTTTCGGAGAAGATCTGGCGGGGCGGTCCTAAACACGTCTTGCCCCTCTTGGAGCTTTGCATCCCTGGGATTGACTTGGTTCGTTCAATATAGATTTCCATGACGACATTTGCTGATGGTCGTAGAATGACCCAAACAAAACGGTGTGCACAGCTTCGTTCATCGTGAGCATCGTTCAGCATATCATGATTGGTGACCTGTCCATGCATCAATTTGGGGTGGCTTTAAGCGGAGATGCTCCTGGGGAAGAAATCATGGTTGTTGACTCCAATGAGCAACTACCGGACGGCGCTGAGTCAGGTCCATTTGCCGTGCTGAGTGTTGAGGAAGAGCGAACTTTGACAAGGGAGAGCACTGCAGCTTTCGCAGGTATTATTCATCGTCTTCTTTATGTGTTTCTGGTTTAACATGAGTCCAGACTGGGTGGTTTCACTTTTCCGTCGGGTGATTTCTCTGTACGAAAACCTGCCAGAAGAAGGTGGCAAGAAGAACACTACCGGTGGCAAGCAGGAGGAGACGGTTCTCAAGGCTATCAAAGGCATGCTTGTCATTGTCTGTTTACATCTCTCCGACCACCTCTACGATCTCGTTCTCAATCTCGTTTATGATTACGCTACTACTAACGCGAAATCAAACGCCATCCGGCCGCTCGGTCACCTTGTGGCCAGTCTCGCCAGAGCGCGACCCCAGAAAACCGTGGACAAGTTTATTCCTATATGTAGTTTACAGGTCCGAGAAGAGCTCGCCCATGGGGCATCTAGCACGAGAAATACATCCACACATACGTCGGTTCCTTCAGACACTACGCTGCACTGGAGTAGGTCTTATAATCTTTAGCGGAACTTCTCATCAACTATCCTCTTCAGATTTGTCTATCCTTCGTGGCTGTCTGGGCAATGGTGGAGCTGCGGTATGTCAGAATGGAATATGTACAGGGTGATGTCTTGCTAATGCCGTTTACTATGAAGCTCGTGAAGCATCAAGAAGATATTGTCGGCTTGTTATCGCTACTAGTTGAAAAGACCAAGAGTGAACGTGGCTATTCGAGTACTGGCACCCTGGTTTCCAGGGTTCTTCAGTCCTTGACGTCAGTGTATCCAATCAATGATAGATTCGTCAACGCCGACGACTGGCAACGTGAAGGTAACGAAAACATACACACGATTTGAATGTTCAATCTTTGATATATTCTATGGTTAGACTTTGTACATTCCCACAATCTACACTGGGGCCGTGTATATGAGGCTAAGGATGTCAAGATTGAATGGCACGGTGAGTGATCGCTTATCGTCGATCATTCTGACAGAAACTAAAAATACTCTTCGTTAGTTCCTTCGTCAGAGGAGATCAGCCTTGCGCTAGAGATCATCACTCGTGTTGTTGAGCCTACCCTGGAAAAGGTCGATGCCTTGCTCGGCACTCGTGGCACTTGGGATAGCATTGGCCGAAATGACTTCTGCCGGTAGGTTGTCCAACAGTCATCGTTAAAGCTCCTTTTGGCTGATCCATGCGCAGGTATCTTCACTTCTGTAGAGCTGCCTGGAGTGGTTTACCAACCATTTGTCGAGAGGGTCACAAGGAAGTCCCTGATCCGTGCGCCGATCCGGATGTGGAAATGGAAAACATGACGCCGGAAGCTTTACATATAGCTGCAGGATTCGTGCTGACGGCACAGGAGGATCCTACATATCAAGCTTTTACCCGCTATCGCCTACGCTACGGTGATGTGGTTCACCGCGCGGCAACGGCTCTTCTACAAAGCCATGGAGAAAGCGAGGATCATCTAGATGCCATTGTTGGTGTTGTCAGAGCCATTGACACATATTTCCTGGACTACGGTATGACCAGGGGAGATCTGACTGCCCTTCAAAAGAACTACGACCAAGCGAGAGAGTAGGTGTCTGGCATCAAACATTTAAGCCAGCACTATCTGACCATGTTCAGGACTAACCGTTTATCCCCTCGGTACAAGGAAAACGTCCGTCTAGTATGGATCAAACGGGCGCATGTCTATCATAATGCACGGGTTTACATGCACTCTTTATATCGACGACGTTCCGAGCTTGATGACAAGCTTCTACGGGATGCCCTAGCTGAACTTTGCCTATCACCGTATCTGCGTGTACGACGGTAAGCTACACACGCATACATAACAGCTCCCTGTCACTAACATCATGCTCAGCTTGGCGCAGAGTGTCTTGCAGAATGTCTGTTGGGTGAGTACGCTATATTGCAATAAAATTGGTTTCTAACGAGTTGTCATATGTAGTACTACGTGCGCGCGACGAGGCTCATTCTGCCCTCGATGTTCAAAGCATTGGGCAAAGGAAACGAGCCTGATCGCATGAAAGGGGCGCTATATGTCCTCGGCAACAAACAAACGAGTGCGTTCATATTGTAACTATAACATTTTTGGAATATTACTCAGATCAGACTCTTTCCAGTGGCGTATGCTTTGTCAGGTTTGGCTTCCCCATGATGTTCAGACTAAATGTTAAGTCAAACGTCAGATGTGCTTCACCGTCACGGCTTTTTGCAGTCTCTCCTCGAGAGTCAGTACGAAGAAAAGGTTGATCTTCCATTGCCTCCTCTTCGCGTTGGCTGATGCATGCTTTTTCAGCCCTCAGTTCAGAAGCTTGTCAGCGATTATAGTCAAGATAGCCTTGCCTACCTGAGTGAAGAGCTCGTACGGACAGGGGCGTATACTGATGAAACCCCCAATGTCCAACAGGTCACCAATGCCCTGAAGTCTGAGATCACTTCCGTTGCCACTTACGAGAAATTGCGGGAGGAATCTCTACAGCTTGCGCCTCGCCGCGTAAAAAGGACAGTGCAAGCACATGCCGAATTGGTAAGAGTACGACCTATCTCTCCATTCCACAAACGCTCAACATCTTGTAGGTAAATTCCATCCTTGAGGTTGCCGTGCGACCAACCACCCACGTACGTAAAGTGCAACCTCGTCTAGATAACTTCTGACGACCCTGTTGTAGTGGAGATATGTCCTCATGGCAGCTCGTTTCCTGAACGAACTTATGCGCAGAGATGCTCCCGTCTCAGTAGATTTGGCCAAATTCTTCGTAAATCAAACTATTAGCCCGCAGCCAACGATCAGGTCTATTGCATTGAAGTTTGTGTCTTCAGTTCCTCCCAAGGAAAATACCTGATTTCCGATAAAGGGCAATCACAAAACTCACAGCACACATCAAAGTGCGCTCGTATGCCAAGTCGGACCAGGAGCTTTGGCTCTGCGAATGGAAGAGTCCATGGGCCAGGCATATTCCAGTGAGCAACCCATCGGAGTTCCTAGAGTCTCTGCATCATCCTGTAGAACAAACAAAGTGAGAAAGCACCGACAAAGAGGTTCAGTGACTAACTTCTTTACTTCAGATTCTATGTCGATAAAATCATCACGGGATTCCTACTATGGGCACCTTCTATCAAGGTGTATACAATCGAGGATGCGAACGCTACCCATATCGAACTGGAAGACCAGTCAAAGAGCGCTCTGTCGTCGATGAAGAGCATGCTCACCTCTGCCTACTGGTCTCAGCTTTTGTCGCTGTGGACTCAGGAAACCACAAGCTCTAGATCTTCAGATTCAGATACTCTCCGAAGAGAGCACTGCCGTTACATTGTAGTGCTCTGTAAGCTCTGCTCCTATTTCCGGTAACAATTCTACTGATTGGTGTTGTATTCCAGCAAAGTCTTTCAGAGAGCTTCCCGAAGCTTTACTGGATGCCGTGGAACCCCTGTTATCGGATACGGACAAGTTCAAGCAGAGAGCTGCAGCCGAAATTCTATCCGGGCTCATCCGCGGTATGCTTGACCACTACTGATGTCCTGATCGTTTTCTCATAGAAAGTAGGAGCGAAGCATTGGCCTCGGGCACCTCTAGACTCACTTTGGTCATGGATAATGTCACGCTTTGATCGCACATTCTCTCAAGTGAGACCGGATACTGCTCAATTTTGGGAGCAATTTCTTGCAGTGAGATACTACGTTGCTTCCAGAATCGTATTACTAAAATTTGTTCAATAGATCTGTTTACAAAACCGAGATCCTAGGCGGAACCAACCTCTGGTAAACTGGATACTTGCTTTGCATATCGATTTCCAGGGAGACTCAGCGTTCACGAGTGAGTACAACTAGTATATCTTTTTACTGTAGTCTCAACCATATCTTTCATGTTTCAAGTGACGAAGACACTAAGCGTCCTAAGCGTATTAATCGATGCTCTTGGCATTCGATTTGCCCCGCACGCTGAAAAATACACGAAGCTACTGTTCGAGAACGCGCACACCGGTTATGCTGAGGTAGCTACCAATACCAACTCCGCCCCTTGCTGGTTCTCAGTCTTTTCATAGTTAAGGATATCTATCGGAAACATGCTACTTTCCATAAGCCGAAACACTTGGTCCCCAACTTACCCCTCTGTTGGATCATTACTTGAAGCTTGCAGAAACACCGAGGATCCTCTTCGTACAGCGTATGCACATGTGACACGGTTACCATCTACGCACTAAAGATTTGCTCTAGAAATGAGGATTTCTCTCGTCACATAGTCCAAATCCAACAAGATCTGGCACGTTTGAAGAACGAACGCCTTCCACCCCCGCGGAGCAGCCAGTCTGATGTGAGTATTTACCCAATGTGTCTAGAGACAATGCTAACGTTGTCATCAGTATGACAATGTCTCGATGACCGGTGAGACGCTCGCGCTACTTCCACGTATACCACCTTGACCATGATTGCCATAGTACTTCTATGGTGCTGGATTTCTTTCCATGCCCCAGAAGCATGTCTCTCGTACCGCGGCGTGGTCACTTTACTGTGTGTTTCCTCTTCACCTGATCACTTTTCTTTGGATGTGGTCCCAATATTGATGACCCGCCATTAGGCCCGATTTCATCAAGATGTCTGAACTTAATGACAACACAGAGCTTCAGAGATATAGCTCGGGTGTCCTCTATGTGCTGTCGGCGGTTTATTTCCCCCCAACCTATGTGGAGAGCATCTTGAACATTTTGATCGATTCCGTCAAGAAGTCTCAAGTATTGTTGTCATTTTAAAGTTTGGCCTACAACTAACTCTGATTTAGTCGTGGCGAATAACTCTGAACATTCTACCCGCGCTGGTGGTATTCTTTTTCAGGAATCTACTTTCTATCTCACCAGATGGTGTTTCCAAAGTCACCGATCTTTTACTGAACTGTCTGATGGATGAGAATATTGAAGTGAGAGAGACTGCTTCAACAACACTGTCAAGCCTTGTCCGCTGTTCAGAACGTCAGAGAATTGACCCCCTGAAGGTACACACGTCGTTATAGGGAATGGAGTGACGGGTTTTACTTATTCGTGACGACACAGAAACGGTTCGTAACCCTCGAGCGCAAGACGCAGCTTCCTGCGAGGTCACATCCCGAATACGCGATAACTTTGCGAAAGCTTCACTCGGCAATCCTGGGACTTTGTGCCCTGATCGAAAGTTTCCCCTACTCCGTGGAACCTTGGATGCCTCCTCTCACTGAAGGCCAGTTGGCTAACACGCTGATGTTTGACTAAGCTTCTTACATTACAATCCATCGATAGTCTTGGCGCGACATTCCACAGATCCACCACCTATTTCCACCACAATTCGCAAGTGCGCTTCAGATTTCAAGAAAACTCATCAGGTGAAGTTTGCTGCTATGTTATGAGATGATTTGTGCGCTAACAGCCTTGCGTTGCAGGATACATGGCACACCGATCAACTCGCCTTCGATGAAGACCAACTCCAAAGCCTGTCTTCGATGCTCGTTGGGACATCATACTGTAAGTCGAATAGGTATCTCAGAATCGGCATTCTGATCCTGAGCTCTCTGACTCGCAGATGCCTGATGAATTAAGAGAATTCACTTCATACTTCCCACACGCTATATCATAAACATCGCGACCCTTCATTCAAACAAATGTATAGCACTAGTAGTGATCATGATGGATGCCCTGCATTTGATGTTCAATGGTTGTTTCTGAGCTTATATAGTCAGAGAGATATACGGTAATTCAACTTTGTAGATGCTCCGGCATCATTAGAGCGAAGAGCGCATGATCATCACCATTACTACAACGATTCCAGGGTTTCCTCAAAGTCTGCCCTCTAACTTACCCTCTAACTTCACTTGAGACCATTGGAGATATTCACTTGACAAGGCCCGCCGCTCTGTATTTGTTTGAGAAGCATAACGCAACGTCTCGCGTACAACGCTATATCCCACAGCTACGGCGTCACTAAAGTCATGATCCATGCCGTGCTTATATGTCAGTTCTCCTTGGATGGTCTTTGTACAGGCCCTCACGTCCTTTCAAAGCACAGTTAACACCTCCGGTGTGCCACGACTGACGGAGTTCTATACGCCCGTACAGCAGTCCGCACAGACGCTTGTTCAGAAGATTTTCGCGCTCATCTCTGCACGACCCGCGGGCCTGTGTAACTTCCTCGATGCACCCGAGCTTGAGGCACATCTGGCACCAAAGGGCAGCGTCAACGATGCATCCATGCCCCGATCTGATTATGAACGATGGCGCGTCGTGTACCGCAATTACGCAACGCTCTACTTCGTCTTTGTTGTCGATGGTGCGGAGAGTGAGCTTGGGATTTTGGACCTGATTCAGGTGTGTCATCTTGCTCTCGGAGATTCGCCAATTCCTGTCTGTTATTGACTTTTATCGGTTTTCTGTAGGTCTTCGTTGAGTCTCTCGACCGCGCATTCGAGAACGTCTGTGAACTCGACTTGGTTTTCCACTTTGACGAGGTAAAACACCCTTAACTTCTATCGCACCGATGATGCAGGACTAATATAATCAAGGCCCATCACATCCTTTCTGAAATCATCCAAGGTGGTCTTGTATTAGAAACAAGTGTGGAAGAAATTCATAATTCTGGTGCGTCATTAGACCGTCAGCTCGCACGCCTATACAATCGGTTTGAGCTGTGGGCGTGGCTTCTCTCTTGTATTCCTCCGAACAGGCGACTCTTACATCTGACATATCTTGTCTGGCATAGTTCAAGCGGCAGCAAAGGCAAGACAAGAATCATATGCGTCAGCAAACCCACTTTCGCTGAGTAGCGGCGCGGTTCTTGGCCAACGGAGTGGCTCACTTGGAACGTCGCTAGGCTGGCTCACAGGCAGGTTAGGCGTGATACGATGAATGTTCAGCTCGAGGAGGAAGTCTCGGCTATAATCATTTGTTTGTTATCAGCCTGTAATCCGTGTCATTGTGACGGGCATAGTGAGCACCCAGATATAAATCTGACAGGAACGGTATGGAAGAGCTCAAATGCTTGACGACTCCTTCCTTTTCGTAAGCGACCTGGTATTGCTTTACAGAATGAGCGTGTGCGGTGTTGAAGTTCAGTGACGTGACTAGCAATGAGGTCGATCTTTCCAAGCACGTCCTTCTTGCCTCAGCTGTATGGACCGCTGAGAATAAAGCGCATCACTTCCGTCGACAACGTTGGAAAGGGTTCGCCCTGAGTTCTCAACAACGGCTATGTGCTTGTATTTTAGACCAGCTCGTTAGCTTGGTGCAGGAGCCAGAGACGTTCCTGTCGAGAAAGCAATCGTCCCCCTATTTTTCGACAGGCAAATGAGCAAAACTTACTTTTTCGTTTTCTTTTTCCTGAAACAGTTTTGGCGGCAGACGGGTCCTGTGGAGTAGGAGCGGTAGACGCATCGCGTGGCGAAACACCTCGGGTCCCAGGTGTAGGCGCTGCGGACGCACGAGTATCTGGAGCCGTAGACATTCGCTCTGAGGCAAGAGTGTCGTCACCAATCGTCCCGGCTAAACGAGACGCAAACGACAGAGTGGGATGCGCCGCGGTGGTCCGCATCGCATTGAACATTAGCATGCTGTTCTGTTGCTTCTTAGTAGGTACGGCAGGTTCTTGGGTAGTAGATGCGGCCGTTAAAGCAGATGTTTGGGTATCTGGCACCATGGCGGACGCTGGCTGGCTGTCAGTGGGGCGAGGATCATGCTTCTTCTTTGCATCGTCAACGAGCGCAGGGTCTATAATCGGCCAAACAAATCCCGTCCTTGGGGTATATTCTGGACGTTTTGAGCGGAGGATATCCATGGAGGTTTGGAGAGAGGTAAGGGAGGTGAGCTATGGCCACAGGTGTGAGCAGGGGGTTCGCTGTATGCACAGAGAAGGTTACCAGTCTGTTGGATAAAATGGTGTACAAGTCGGGAGACTGGTATATACGGTTGTTAACCACGAAGTATGCTGCTAAGGGGCGGACTGGAGTGACCGCAGGGTCAGAAACGGAGACAAGGTACAGGATCACGAACAAATACCTTCTTCTGGGGACAAACGATCGCGTTTGTGAATGATAAACAGGGAAGGTGGCTGGGCATATGTGACAGCAAACTCAACACCAGTGAAGCGCCTATTGTGGCATAGCAAGAACATCCGTTGTTAGGGGTTATTTCGTTAGGTGGGATTGCGTACTTGAGTTCCTCTGCTTCGTTTAGTATGGGTTGCCCGGTATGCATCGTCTGCATGCGAAGGACTTGGTTATTGCTTTGCTTGTCGTAGAACATGGAAGTTGTGAAGTATTCGAAGACATTCTCACTGGTGAGCGGTCCATTGGCCTAGACATGCAAATGCGTGTGTGGAGAGGAGGATCAAAGCTCATTGACAATGTCATACCTGGATCCATTCATGCCAGATGAAGAACCTGTGGCTGTAGTCATCTGGCGGGTGAAGGTCGTTGACGTCCATACTGAGCACGTCGAAGGCCCACTGTCCAAGAAACGGTGAGCAGAGAAAGAGTGACGTGACGCGACAGTAATGAGTCTGCGACGCGGATCGCACTTGAGTACGTACGAGTATCGAGCCTTTTCAGGCTGAAACTTAAGGTTAGGTCTAACTTGGTTCTAGCAGTTGCATCGTTCAAACGTTCAAGTTGCAACCCACTTACTGTGGTGCCGACATCACGAGATAAAGCTCTTGAGGTCCATTTCCATGGCCACTCTAAAGCTCAATGATATATGCGCGTACTATAATGATTGCAACAAAATGGCGAATTACATGGGCATTTTACATTTGGATGAACATAAGCTAACGATACAAGTACACATAATCAGAAGCATGTGAGTAGGATCATTAGTACGCAACCATCTCGGTGAGCCCATCCTGCTCGCGTTCCCAAATACGATGCCTACTAATGTTCTGCGCGAAGTTCCCCACGAAGCTGTGGTCTTGCTTAGCCATGCTGAAGGCTGCCGCAACTTCGGTGGGCGCGCTATATTGCCCAGTTGTCACGACCCCGTAATCAGATACGACTTCGCCTTCTCCCGTAGAGGGTGCAAAAAGCTTGACATTAGGGAGGCGAACCACATCGCGGAGGAAGTTGACAGCTAGAAGGGAAATTGCGTTAATAAGTTATATGGACGTGCTGTACGAAGCGTACCTTCACCAACAGCAGCGATAGGCTTTAGGTGCCCAAATGCCTCCCGTACCCAATGCACCACCCGACCATTCTTCGACAATGTTTTGATGTGCTCTGCCCCCGAGGGAATGTAGATGGCATCGAAGAGCGTCGAGCGCTGACCTTCGAAATGATGATCGGCAATAATTTTCTCGCCAATGTCTTGCGCAGGTTTAATTTCGTTACGCCGAGGACCGATAATGAAGCAGAGCGCCTTCGCTTTCGTCAGGGCCGTCTTCACAGCCTTCACTTCAGCTGCGTCGAACCCATCGGCAATAAGGATCGCGATACGCCGCGACGCGATGGTCGGGTTCTTCGGCGCGAAGTCGCCTTGTGAAAGGCCATGGCTGGTACGACCATGGTTCGGGCGATGAGTCTTCTCTGGCAATTTTCCGTCAACCTTCAGAGCGATACTCTTGGCTAGATCCATGTCGACGTTCTGGAGGACGTCCATGTACGACTTGTAGACCACGGGGTCATCACAATGACTGAGTTCGAACCCGATCGCATTCATAAGATGGGTTTGTTCGTGAGGGGCGAGGGAGTTATAGAAAAGCTGGGCCTGTGAGTAATGTTCCTGGAACTTTGGGCCGCGAGCGCGCTGCTTGATCCCCTCGACCTTTTGAGCATACCTGAAGGAAGATGATTAGTAAATACCATCGAGTGGACTACACTACCTACTCAAGATAGCCCCCTTCCTGAGGCGGGACAGGTCGGTTAAAATCCTTTCGATTCGGCCAGTAATTGATGTCACCCTTGACAATTCGATGTCTCATAGCACCATCGCGTTGATTGTTCATGACGGGACAGACAGGACGATTTATCGGAAGCTGTCAGATTAACTGTGAGTGACATGACAACTATGCAGTAGAGGACGAGACCAACCTCTTCCCAGTTGATGCCTAGACGAGTAATCTGGGTGTCAAAATACGAGAAATTGCGCCCTTGGAGAAGCGGGTCGTCGCTGAATCCGATGCCGGGTACGATGTGAGAGGTGCAAAACGCAACCTGCTCCGTCTCCGTAAAAAATTCGTCCACTGTCCTATTGAGAACAAGTTCGCCAACGTCGATAAGCGGAACGAGCTCCTCTGGCCATATCTTGGTTGCATCTAAAATGTCGAAGTCGAACTTGTGCTCGTCGGCCTCGGGAATAACCTGGATCCTCATCGTCCACTTAGGATACACCCCATTGTCAATCGCCTCATGGAGGTCTTTACGGTGGAAGTCAGGGTCTTGACCGCAGATTTTCAGAGCCTCATCCCACACCAAACTGTGGACGCCAAGCTCCGGAACGAAGTGGAATTTGACGAAATGACGTTCGCCTTTCGCGTTCTGCAGGGTGTAAGTGTTCACACCGAAGCCTTGCATCATGCGAAAAGATCGAGGTATGCCTCGGTCTGACATCACCCACATCACCATGTGGGTAGCTGTGGCCGTACATTAGCCTGGCGTTGTGCATATCCAACAATAGCACTGACCCTCTGGTTGTAAACCCACGAAATCCCAGAAGTTATTGTGAGCACTTTGCCCTTGAGGTACCTCGTTGTGCGGCTCAGGCTTCACCGCGTGGACAAAATCAGGGAACTTGATGGCATCCTGAATGAAGAACACCGGGATATCGTTGCCGACAATGTCCCAATTCCCTTCCTCTGTGTAGAACTTAACGGCAAAACCGCGCACATCACGGACTGTGTCCTACGTGAAAAGTGAGCAAACGTGATCTATACATGACTGTTGTTGACTACTTACAGCGCTGCCGCGCGAGCCTTGTACCGTGCTGAATCGTATGAACACAGGTGTCGTTCGAGCGGGGTCGGTCAAGACAGGGGCAAATGTGTACTTGGCTGCCGCATCGTTGAAAGGCTTGAAATATCCGTGCGCACCAGCTCCGCGCGCATGGACGACACGCTCTGGAATGCGCTCATGGTCGAAGCGATGTATCTTTTCACGACCATGCTGATCTTCTAGCAACGCGGGACCGCCCTGCTTATCATTTGCTACCTTCAACCTGTACAAAAATGATTGATTGATTGAGCAGGGGAATAGAGAGAACAACACGCACCATGTGTCGGTGTTTGACACCTTTTGACCCGAATCCGTTGTAAGACTAGGACCCGTCCTGGGCTCTTGAATATCCCGTTCGAGGTCGGCGATCTTGCTTGTAGGCGTCATGGAGGCTATACGTGGTTTGGATCTGAGGATTTTTAGTAAAACGATCTTTCATCGTCTCCCCTGTTTTCTTATATACCATCTCACTGGCATAGGACGTAACCCCTGAGCTCATCTCAGCATGGCGTCAGCTATGACGGCCTTCGACATAAGTAAGTATCCTGACGTAGATTCCTTCAGCATTCCATCACGTACGTAACGTATGTCATAGGCAGACACACCATTATGAGCTGGAGACGGACACTAGCTCGTCGCCGAGCTCTGAATCGTCATCCCCTGCAACAAAACTTCCATCAATATGCCTATGGCGTATAGATGCAAATGCTGAGGAATTATACATCAATATCATTAATATTGTCCACGATTAAGGATTGCCACGAAGTACTCACAGAGCGGTGCATAATTAACCGATGACTTCCTACATGATTGGCAGGTGTCATTAATCTTTCATTCGAGTTAACGGAGATTCGGGAGCAACTACGCGTCAAACTTATACTGTACCAGACTGAATGTACCACATACTTGCCAACTGCGTAAATGCTACGTCCTTAATAATGTGCAAACAAATCGGGCCCAAACTGAGATCACTCAACAAGTATGTCAAACCAAAGCGTGTATATTCGGTTCCTGGAATTCTTGAATATTGGTTCAATGTATAATTTGGAGAGATAAATAAGTCCAAAGTACGTGGAGCAAAACATGGCCGTAATAAGGAAAATACACATACGTTAACAATAGGAAACGTAGCTAATTGTCAGAACACCGGGAAGCCAGTGGAAGGAAACGTTAAAATCATTCTCGAGATCATGCCCGTCTCTGGGTTTGCGCGACTCTGGCCAAACGGTACGGAACATAACACATCGAATGAAAGAAGAGCGCATAGACGGAAGGTCACCACGCCATAGGTGACAAATGTCGACGATATGACCTCCAGCTGCGCGGCGTGATTAGCGAGATATTCGCCCCAAAGTCTAGAAGCATGTGAGTAAAGTAGGCAGACAAACAAAGATGCCACTTACTCATATAATTCATTCTCACACAGGCATTGGAGGATTACTTAACCTCAGCAACACAGGCGCACTCGGCAGGCTTCCCAATCCATCCCTTGCCACAATTGTCGCACCAACCACGAAGACTCTTCTCGACACCAACGGATTTGGCAGAGTGGGTGGAGGTGATGGACTCGTCGCGGTGGATGCTGACGAGATGGCGACCAAGATCATGCTTGCGGCTGAAAGAACGGCCGCAGGAGCGGTGAGGGCAAACATGAGGCTTAAGCCTGTTGGGGTCATGGGTGGCCATGTGTGTTTTCAAGTTGTAGGCGCGAGCGAAAGCTATTGGAGAGCATGAGTGATATATAAGATGTACGCAAGGAAAAAAAAATATTCACATCGAGGGCACGAGGGGCACTTGTACCTCTTGCGAAGGTCTTCAGAGGAGTGTTCCTCAGCATCTCGGACGGAACGCGCTTGCGGAGCAGCCGCAGACGGGAGCTGTGAAACCGTGGATGACGGGGTAGCATCCCGAGCTCTGACTTCGTAGTTGAGCCCATAATACTCCGCGGATGATGACTTGGGGACAGGGGGGATGCGGGCACCTCCATAGTCGGAGAAGCTGTTGCGCTTATAAGCATTGTCCGCGGCGGGAGTGGAGTTGCGTGGGCTTGTGGGAAGGGCATTGAAAGAGCTGGGGTCCACAGTTAAGGCAGCGGAGGGTGGCTGTGCCGCAGCAACTCCACCGTAGTCAGAGCGACCACTTTGGACACGGATTCGCTGGAAGTCCATTTCCAAGTCAAGGGGGAATGAGCAATTGGATGCAGCGTAGGAGTCGCTGTAGTTATAGAAGGACTCGGAATGCGACGAGAGAGATTCGTACGCCGATTCAGACGACTGTGTGATAGTGGAGGGGGGGCCACAGGTGGGAGTGTCGGATCTGAGGAAGGAGAACGCGTCGTTTGAGTCAACTGTGAGAAGCTGGAGCTGGACTTCGTTGAAGGCAGCAAGGCTGGAGTCAAGTTCTAATTCGAAGAGATCTGGATGGGGCGCGAGGATGTCTGAAGGCGAGTGAAACGACGCAAAGTCGAGGCCTTGTTGGTGTTGTTTGGAGTACTCCTGACCGAAAGGCTCAAAAGGAGCGAAGAGAGGTTCCGTTGAGTCAGACATTGCGGTATAGTCACTGCGGAGGGCTTATAAGATGCTGGACGAGGAGGAGGAAGTGCTGCGATCCTGAGCGCAGAGGCCGATGGGTGGGGCTGGAATGAAACCTGTTTGGTTGCTGCGGACACGCAAGCGCAGGTTATATCCATCATTATGTCAGCCACCTTTCCCACACACCGCCCACCGGCTCTTGCCGCCCCTTTACCCCTGGAGAGTCCTGAACTGTCCTGAACGAGACACACGCCAGGCACACTCTCACACCTCACAGCATCCCAGGGACATATGCGTATGTTCCCTGTGGTGCTCAAGTTGTTACTTCGCATAATTCGCATTAAGGTAGCAGACTTTAGGTGTTTTGAGAGTAGGAAATGTAAAATAGTCGACGTACAGACATGATGATCTCATCTCAGGTACTGACTGCCATCGGCCTCTCCCCGCAGTCTCCGCATGTGGGTTCAAACCTAGTATCAGATTGACTGACTCAGTTATTCCTTGTCCGCAGCGGGTTGATGGTGACGACTTTGCATTGCACTCATCTCAGCGTTAATCAAGACGCCCTAGTCCCCAAGAAGAATGCCGTCGTTTCTCAATGTAGACGCCTTCGCATGTTTCTTGTCGGTTTCTTGAGTGTCGATATCAAAATGCTGTGCTGGTTTATTTTAGTTTGCAGGCTTATCCATCTGAGCCGCCCGAGAAGACCTTTATTAATATAGACACATGCTGTATATATAGCGTATGTTATGTCTTTCTGAACCTATATCTTCTCACTCACACTTGTGCGCCATATGGTGTTTTGCACTTCTGCGCAGCCTCGAGACTGCGCTCCTGCCGATATCCCAGATGATCCATCCCAGGCCTGATATCTGCCAGTAGGTTGTGTCAGTTGCGTCTGCCTGCCGCAGCCCCGACGGCTGCTGCGAGCGACGTTGTCTCGGCGCACCCATGTCAAGCGCTACCATCCGCAGCTCCTATCGATCTGAAGTATCGCCGTTTTACCGACTTAACCTTCAGGCTGCGGCGCAACATATGGTTCTGCAGGCGCAGCCAAGATGTCCGTTCCGTATTCCGTGTTCACCGCAGTGACCGTTCGCCTTTAGCAGCACCTACGTACATGCTTCGTTGGCTGCTTGGCACTCCACGCGAGCTCACTTACCAGAATCCTGTTGATCCATTTGGCTCATAGCGGAAAAGGAGCATCTCTGTCTCTGGACGTTACTATGACCTGATAAATTGGAAAAAGCCTCAGTGTATGCTTGAGGGAGAGAATATTAGCAGAAGCGATCGGCATGCCATGTATTTTATATAACATGTATGGTAATCGAATATTGCCCGCCTAGCTCAATCGGATAGAGCGTCAGACTCTTATGACTAGGCGATCTGAAGGCTGCGAGTTCGACCCTCGCGGTGGGCTAGTAATTTTTTCATTCCTGTCGCTGCGCCAATCAGGTTATCAAAGAATGTGACGGTGCGACTCGTAGGGGCATGTTCTAGGTTATTAGAGAATGCTAGCAGCGGCAATTTTCAGCAAGTTGTGGGGCGATTTCCCATTCAGTAGGGACACTACATGGTGCGAAATGCGCCAACGCTAACAATCTCTATTGTCAATGTCGATACATTGTACTTTGTTTCCGTGGCGAGCTCGAGCATTATGACCAATGTCATATAGCATTTAGTCCGTAAATAAATTTCATGAATAACATTTGATGCGCTGCATTATGGAATCATCCGCGGTATGTGCAACAGCTAGGGTCAAATGTCAGCCATGACGACGGTCTCCGAGTCGGACTGAAATCTAACCTGATCATATAGGGTATTATGGACACTGTGAGGCAAGCAAATGCTGCCCACGCAAGAGCCAAACCTTTCCCTGCAGCAACCTCAATACCTGTAGGAAAGCCGGCGGATGTGGAGTAGGTGTTAACATTTTCGGCTTTCTTAATGACTGCAGTCCATATGGCAGCTCCGATCAGGATAAAGATGGCAGCAACGATGGACGTCACGGAAGAAAGGACGAAGGCCCAGCCACGATGCACGACCCCGCTAAAGCGACTTAATCAAAGGTTCAAGTAGAAGTGGCTGAGGATGACTTACGTCACGAGAGAGACAGTCGCCAGTACTGCTCCTATTATAAGAAAGTAGTACGCCGCATGGGTATGTGACCCAAAGTAAGAGCTATCTGTGAAGATTGTGGGGGTCAAATAAAAGATGCCATCCGTAAACTGGGTATAGTTTAGTATCATGTCGGCTTTCAAGGCCAGGTAGGGCTCAAAAGGCCTGGCCGCGGTATGATTTGTACATGTTCCAAGAGAGCTATTCACAAAGCCACAATATGAGTACAAGCCGAACTCATACAATGGTCTGAGTCCGGTTGCGTTCTGGAGTGGGGCTGTGGCGTTGTTGGTATAAAGGCCTTGGATTGGGACTTGGAAAGAGTTTTCAAGGGCCGTTCTAAGAAACTTGAGTATTGTACTCAGAGCAGACGAAGAACTCACGTACCCATAACCGGAGGTATTCACTGTCACCTTTGAAAACCAGTTGTATTAAGGCTCGGAGACCGTATATGCAAGAACGCATACCATCGCGATGCTATGGGGCACGCTAGAGGTGTTAATTTGGCCAACCTTTCGACCCGTCAGCCTGATGGTGATAGCGGAGTACGTTCCGAGCTCACATGGAGGAAGATCAGCAGCAGAACTGCTACCAAGCTTTTCGTAGTTAAAGGTCAACAAGGTGCACGCGATCAGGCACAGACCAGAGATACATACCTTAGGAGCGACGCGAATCCAACACACACTTCTCCCCTAAGGCGTATCATGGACGTAAGAATATAACAGAGAAGAGAGAGGGAAAACGAAACGAGGCGAGAGAAGAAGAGGATACGGGCTACGCACTGCTATGCACGTTTACACCTCGAGGATGTCTTTCCTTTCTGTATTGAACATGACGGTTGCCGCGTGCCCGTCTTCCCACGCACAATGTACGTACTATCCTCAAAGACCACCCTCAGCCCGCGGGGGGCACAGCAGAATCCGTGACCGACGTTTTCTGTCCCTGACCCCTTCCAGTCCGTATCCTCCTTGTCGTCGTTGCCATCTTCTTGAGCGTGCACCTCGCATTTGCGCGAGTAGCTCATTGCCAAACATGTCGAAGCTCACGTCGTGGAAGCCTTTGGCGCGGGGTCCTGTTGTAACCGGGCCGCATGACACTTCCCCACAAGGAATGGGCCTAGAGGACAAGGGCTCGGACACAGAAGACAATGATGGTGCACTCTCTTCGTCAGCTCAACGCTTTAAGCGTGCTGTCCTCAAGACCGTCGATCTCGGCAAGAGCGTGCCTGCCAGAGCTCGGTCGCCGTCCTCGCCTTTCAAGGGTACCAAGGGTTTGCTCAGTATGAGCGGCCAGGGTCGAACCCGACCGTCGGCTAACCCAGCTGACTCGTCCAAGGGTACATTACCCCTAACGCCCATTCAGAGAACATAGTTGACATACATCACACAGCGTCCCCGTCAGATGGTCCCTCCAACCTGAAAGTTTCTACATCCTCTTTGGGCGATGATTCTCCCTTTATCAAACCTCCTTCGCCTACTCACACCCCCCTCCGACCGCTACTTCAGTCATTTCGTGGCGTTGGCTCTGTGAGTTTCATTGTGATATGACAAAAGGCACTAATCTCAATGTGGCACAAAAGATGCGAGCAGGAACCCAGACTTTAATACAAGCGCTCCAAGCCTTGCCATGGGCAGAAGATCCTGACAACGAGACAGATCCAATGAGCGCACAGCTCGGACAGGTGGACTCCGATGGTGATGACGATGTTGCTCGTACGTCCAGAGACAATGTGTTCAAGAAACTTCTTCCAAACATGCGTCCCTAGATGACCCAGAAACGCCTATGAGTTCGTCCATCCATGCTATATACCGCCCCGTCGCACGTTTCCGGCGATCCGAAATCAAGTTGCCTTCAGCGTCACAAACACAGGGCAAGCTGCCCGTTCAGCCGCGCGAGGAGTCAGAAACCGAGGAAGGTGCTGGCCCTTCGGAGGATGACGCTGAGAATGATTTTGAGGCTGCAACGCCGAGACCGGAGGAGGCACAACGACCTGCGTACATCATGTCGCAATCAGCAGCATCCGTGAAACATCTAAACTACTCGCGACGGGTTAACGTCAGCTGCACAGGAAGCATGGCTACCGTCAAACTGCATCGAAGGGCCCGCCTTGCCGAGAAACTCAGGGAAGTCTTCGAGTTGGATAGCATACATGAAGTTCTAACAGGCGAGTATGCATCATCTGACATTATATTTTATCGTCTGATCCGCTTCTAGAAATGCCCTGTTGGTTACTTCGTTCCGTTTGTAAGTGCATGCGCCTCTGAGTATCAACATTTCTCCATTGACATGTCTTTAGTGCTGCAAGGGTATATGTACCTTACGAATTCCCATATCTGTTTCTTTGCGCACATGCCTACCCGAGAGGTTCGATTCTGATGGATACCACTAATAGGCACTTATCTCATGACCATTCCAGGACCAAGTGTTAAAATCAGGCGCTTTATTTAAGAAGGCGACACGAACAAAGCGGTGGTCAAAGCATTGGTTCCTCCTCAAGAACGATGCATTGTCCTGGTACCAGTCCTCCTCGGTTTGTGCCTTTCAACTTCGGCTTCGACGTCTATTGAAGATTGCTGTAGGACCCTTACTTCGTGAACGGAATCATAGATCTTCGGTATACTCTTTCTTGCGAACCAGTTGGCGAGAAGGAGATACGCATTCGCACAAACGAGAAGAGCATTCATTTAGCTGCCGATTCGATCCCTAGTCGTGATGAATGGGTGAAGGCTATTAAGAGAGTTATCTTTAAGGCGCAGAACATGGGTGACACAGTTAAGGTACGCTTCAAACCGATTTTATTCTCCTAGCCGTAACCAGTCCTTGTTCTAGATAGCAATACCATATACGGCTGTGGTTGATGCAGACAAGTCTTCGGCTATGGACTTCAGTGAAACGATTGAGGTCAAGGTCATCGACAAAGAAGAGCCGTATGCTGTGGATTCCTATTTCTTCGCGTACTTCAGCGACCTTTCCTTGGCCCTTGATCAAATTAGGGACGCGATTCGATCGTATAGGACACTATCAAGTGTTGAACATGCTCTCCTGGATACAACATCCAATCGACCAACGCCTGTTTCTCCCGCCATCGATCGCGCTCGCAGTTTGCCCGCAAACGACTCAAAGAACTCTACAGGCTTTAGATTGGCCTCATTGCTAAGACCGTTCCACGAGTCACTTCCCAGCGGCAAGCAAAACAGTGTACTTGAAGCTACTCCCAATGAGGGCACAGATGAGTTCACGCATATCACGAAACGGGAGGGTTCATCCTTCGTTCCAATCGAGACAGGCGGAGATGGCTCTTTGGAGCCCGTTCGGTCCGTAGCATCTATCTCTCAGACAAACGCATCCTCACGTTCTGGTCCCACACCTACGACCCACACATACCCTCCCTCGACATCGATGGCCGAACTTCCTCTGCCACTATCCAGAAGCACATCAAATGCTGCCTGGAATATGGGCATACCATCTTGGCTTAAAGCACCGCGGAAAGCACTTGTCTCTTCTTCCTCAAGCACGACGATTGGTCCCCCAGATATCACAACTTCACCTACGAGCGAAGTCCGTGAAATGTTCTCATCGACCACTCAGTCAGAGGCGTCACAACATGACCTCGGATACAGTATTTTGGAAGTGCCAGAGCGTGTCGTAGACCACAACCTCACAGAGAAGTTCAGGAGCTCTTTCGCATTTGATGAGAAAGAGACACTCCTAGGATGTAAGCAACAGCTATAAGTTATTGACTTATACTAACTATGAGCAGATTTCTATGGATACATATACCGTTTACTTCCCCTTTATGGCCGGCTTTATGTTTCGACAAACTACTTCTGCTTCAAATCAAGCGGTCCTCTGTCGACGAAGACTCGTGTAAGTTTGACTTCACAAGCTTCACGTATCTAAGTTAACAACTTTCAGATGATTCTCCCCATCCGGGATATCCTTGCGGTAGAGACATCCAAAGCCTCGAGATTTGGTCATCACGGTCTCGTCGTCGTGATCAAGGGTCACGAAGAGCTGTTTTTCGAGTTTGGCTTCGAGGATCGCAGAACAGCCTTTGTGACAATCCTGCAACAGCAAATAGAAGAGCTTCGGCAAAGACTCACAGGTCCAGACTTGCCAAACATCAGTCAAGGACACCGCGACGCTCTTGTCCTGGAAGAGTTTGAGTCGAAGCCATCGACGAACAGTGAAGTGTGCACAGAACCTTCAGAAACGCTATCGGAATCTGTGCCTGCTGTCATGTTTGCATCCACCTCTTCCACTTTTTTGACTTTCAAGCCCAAGGAATCCTTGCACTTCACGTTCCTAACAATTGGTTCGCGCGGTGACGTTCAGCCTTATATCTCATTGGCCAAAGGCCTCATGCAAGATGGACATCGTGTACGGATCGCTACACACGGTGAATTCCAGGATTGGATCGAATCTGTGAGTGTCACAATTGTAATTTAGTTCACAAAGCTCAGTCATCGTGTTTATCAAAGCATGGCATCGAGTTTGGATTTGTTGGCGGTGATCCAGCCGAGCTCATGAGGATCTGTGTGGAAAACGGCACCTTCACAGTTGCGTTCCTCAAGGAAGGCCTCCTGAAGGTAACGTCGCAACCTGGCTACATTAATCGTGGGCTACATGCTTTTCTCAGTTCCGTGGGTGGTTGGACGACTTGCTCAGGACCTCCTGGGAAGCATGTCAAGGAACCGACGTCTTGGTTGAGAGTCCTAGTGCCATGGGAGGCATCCACATTGCAGAAGCACTACAGATCCCTTACTTCCGCGCATTTACGATGACATGGACTCGGACAAGGTGCGCCGCCGTGATTAGGAGTGTAGGTTGCGAGCTTATGTTCTGAGCTAGAGCTTATCCTCATGCTTTCGCCGTGCCGGATCGAAAGGTCAGTAGATGCGCACCTTCCTCGATTCAGACATTAACATATAATAGATGGGGGGAAGCTATAACTACATGGTGCGTATGATACTCCAGCGCAACATGCAACCACTGATCCTATCAACTAGACTTATGTCATGTTTGACCAAGTGTTTTGGCGTGCAATTTCCGGACAAGTTAACCGCTGGCGGCGGAATGTGCTTCACTTACCCAATACCAGCTTAGATCGATTAGAGCCTCACAAAGTTCCATTCCTTTATAATTTCAGCCCTACTCTCGTCCCACCCCCTCTCGATTGGCCCGAATGGATTCATGTTACGGGTAAGGAACGATGCTATTTACATGGATTTTGTGCTCATTTAGAATCAAGGCAATTGGTTCCTTGATGATGCCGACGTCAGCGCCACGAAATGGACGCCTCCTCCTGATCTCCTCCCCTTTATTGACTCGGCCCATGCACAAGGCAAGAAAGTTGTGTACATCGGCTTTGGAAGCATCGTAGTGTCGGACCCTCAGGCCATGACACGTTGCGTCATCGAGGCAGTCGTTCGAAGTGGCGTCTATGCCATTCTTTCCAAGGGGTGGTCCGACCGACTTCACACGAAGACTGCAGAGGCTTCCGAACCTAAAGAACCTCTCCCTCCTCAGATCTATTCCATATCATCTATTCCTCACGACTGGCTGTTCCAACGAATTGATGCTGTTTGTCACCATGGTGGAGCCGGGACAACAGGTGCTAGTCTGAGAGGTTCGTGACTTTGGCGCTTTCCGGATAATGTCTAACAACACTTTGTAGCTGGAAAACCAACTATCATCAGGCCTTTCTTCGGAGATCAATTTTTCTGGGCTGACCGAGTTGAAGCTCTTGGGATTGGCACCGGAGTTCGCAAGCTTACCGTAGAGGCCTTGACAGATGCACTCACCTCTGCCACCACTGATATCAAGCAAATTGATCGAGCAAGAATAATTGGGGAACAAATTCGTTCGGTCAGTGCTGCTCTCCTGTCCATTGGTATCTTTCATGAACACTGCCCTACAGGAAAACGGCGTGGCGACAGCTATAGAAGCTATTTATCGAGACCTAGATTATGCACGTTCTTTGATCAAGCGGACCGCAGACCGAACCCTAGACGACGAGCCGAACGTTGAATCTCCAGACCAAGAGCAATTCCCCCAACCTTCTCAGTCGTTGATGGATCGCTCTCTCTCCAGATCCCACAGAAGCTCCCGTGGCTCTCACCGCAAAACTCCTAGCGAGGACTGGAGCGTGATCTCTGACCAGGAGGAACCCCGGTCATCACCAAGCTCTCGGCGAAATAGCAGACGAAGCAGCGAAGGCAAGATAGAAAGGTCCCCTACAGCGAAGAGGACTGGCTTAACAGCAGCTGTGATGTCTGTTTTGCCCTCGGCGACTCATCGACGATCTGGTTCTATACATCTCAACAGGCCACGCATCGACATATCTATCCAGCCAACGAATTTTTGCTATGACCTGTACGCGTTAGCGTAAGGACAAACATTGAATTAGAGAATAGAAAGCGCGCTACCTTTGCGACAACGAAAGCGACTCGGTCTGCAGGTTGGTTGCAAAATTTGATGTTTATGTCCAATTTGGCCTTCACGATCGGACGAGCCACGCTCTGCA